ATTCGCTTGTTGATTCGGATTTGGGCGTGATTGGCAAACAAACAAATACTAACAAACAAATACAAACAAACAATTGCAGACAAGCAACTGCAAACACCAGCTCAGGGTTGGTCGCCGCCGTCCTAAAGGGAAGCTCTTCAGGATTCCTTTTTGTTTTTCCTTGCTTGCTCGTGTTTTGGACAGGTTGGTTTCAACACGCATCATTAAATAGAAACCAAATGCGGAGCTACTACTTGTACAGGGGAGGGTTACAACTTGTATCTAGGATTGGAAACCAGAGCTAAACAGAGTGGAACTCGTTGCATTACCACATGAACAGGGCCGTGATGTTCGAACGGGCACCTTCCACGGTAGGTCCATTGAGCCAGGCGACAAATTCGTCCATGGTCTGCCAGCTAACCCCAAACTTGGCCTGCGCCGCCTCCCGGATCTTGATGTTCCCGAAAATGGCAAACGCCACAGGGGCGACAATGTCCGGATACTCGCAATCGGATGGCCGGCCAGTGAACGTCTTGTGCAGCCGCTCGTCTGCCTGTGGGATATGGCAGAAGAAGCAGCAAGTGTCAGGGGTGTTGCTGTCCTTGTAGACGAGAGCGGCCTTGAAGTCCTTGTAAACCTTGTGCTGAGAACCGATGAAGGGGCAGGCGAAGAACTTGCTGTGGGGCAGGACACTCGAGCCGTGGACGAGGCAGGTCGGGCACTGGGCGTTGAAGAGATTGAGGCAGGAGCGGAAACGGTTGACGTACTCCAAGCTAGACATCTCCTTCATAATCCGGCGCTGCTTGACTGCCTGGGCCGCTCCAGCAAATGCCTCCATCCGATCCTTGCGCTTCCGAGAGGGCCCAGGGACAGCCGGCAGCGCAGCCGGGACAGCAGAGGCAACGACGCGAGGAGCGTGAACGAGATCCAAGCAGTGAACGCACCGCTGGTTAGAGGGAGACGACCTGCAGGACTGGCCCTTGCCGTTGCAAAAGGCGGTGATCTGTCTGCGGAGGCAAACTCGACGCTTCCCCCAAGTGTACTCGGCCATCTCCTTGAGACCCTTGTGGTCGTCGTCCGGAATCTCGCGCGACCAGGGGCCAGACCCGACAGGATAAAGAACACACTTGGTGGCCTGACCCCGGCGACCACCACGGGAGACCTCCTGCACATAGTGCACCATCTCCTGCGGAGCGCCCAAATGCACCACCAGGTCGACCGTTGGACAGTCCGTGCCTGCACTGAGGGCGGACGTGGCGACCAGGACCTTGTTCTTCCCAGAGAACCAGTTCATGTAGATCTCCTGCCGCTCCTCCGGCTTCTTCACCTTTCCATGGTAAAACCCGCAATCAAGCAGTTCGGCCACCTCCTCGCCAACCTCCAGAGTCTGAACAAACACAAGAACATGGCTGTGGCTCCGGCGCATGTGGGACTTGACTTGGGCGACGACCTTCTCGATGGCCTGCTTGTTCGATCGGCATGGAGGCTCAATGAGATACTGAAGTTCGGGCCGGTTGGTGGTCTCGCGGTAGACCTGGTAGCCATCGATGAGGCCGTACGCCTCGGCCAGAGCTTTCTCCGAGCTGGGAGGACACGTTCCCGTCAGGAGAACAAACTGCATCCTGAACGACCGCAGGCTGGAGAGCTCCGTAAACGTCCTGCGAAAGTCGTTCTCTGTGAGGGCCAGGTGCGCTTCGTCAAAGACCATCCTGGTAACACTCCCGGTGGTGGCCTCCAGGGCGGTAAGGGCATTGTACCACTTCTGGGTTTGGGCGCGGTCGACGGAAACGAGGACGACTTGGGCGTCCGGTCGGATGTTGGGGACCGTTCCGTCGAAATGGTCAAAGACGACTCCCATATCCTTGAGCTTGCGCTTGTAGTCGACGATGAGAGAGTTGAGGGGAAGGACAAAGACCGTGATGTCGCCGTCGACAAGGGTGGGAATGAGAGGGACCATGGTCTTTCCACCGCCTGTGGACATGATCACCATGACGTCAGTGATCAAGGCCTGAACGGCACGTGTCGCCTCCTGCTGGATCGGACTCTTCCACGTCGCCTGGGAATTCTTGAGCAGCTTGCGGAGGATTTGGACACCTTGCTCGTCGCCGTCTTGAACACAAATATTATCAGCAGCATGAACGGACTTGTGGCTGAGCAACTCACGTTGGGTCATCATTGTCTCTGCTGGTCTGGGAGGGTCCAGTTGGGCCACGACAACAGATGAAGAGGTGGAGCCTGCAGCTGGTTTCAACTTGAGCTGGGGAATGGAAACCAGGCGGGGAGGAATGCCGTAACTCACCAGGAGCTTGAGCTTCCAAATCCGAGGTGGCCGGAACGAGAACTCGACCCAAAGACGGTGGTGCTGAAGGAACGGTGGTTTCAATCGAAGAACGGGAATGGAAACCAAACGAGGTCGGCTCACCTTGCGGCACAGGTGCTGCATTGGGAGGGTCCAGTTGGGCCACGACAACAGATGAAGAGGTGGAGCCTGCAGCTGGTTTCAACTTGAGCTGGGGAATGGAAACCAGGCGGGGAGGAATGCCCTAACTCACCAGGAGCTTGAGCTTCCAAATCCGAGGTGGCCGGAACGAGAACTCGACCCAAAGACGGTGGTGCTGAAGGAACGGTGGTTTCAATCGAAGGACGGTAACCCTAAACCAAACGAGGTCGGCTCACCTTGCGGCACAGGTGCTGCATTGTGCTCCTCTTCAGAGACATCTTTTTTTTTTTTTTTTTCCAACCGATAAGCATACAGCTAGTGTGAGGATAACAGGGACCAAGCACTCACAAAAGTCAGCCATGCTGTCGGCGTCCGATGCATCGTGGTCTGGGCCTGCAAATGCATAAGTGCCAGGTCGGGGACAAATCAAAGCTGACAGGAGGTCTTACCGGATTGGGTCAAAGGCTGTGTCGCCTGGGAAAACACGGGTTCCGTCTCCACCGCGTCTTCATGCTCCACAACTGGCGTAAACTCTTCAATCCCATCTGCAAGGTCTAGCGCCAAGGAGCTCGGGGGAAGGCTGCTCGAGTGTGAACGTTGGACACGGTCGACAAGCTCCGCATCCGAGACGTGGCTCATGGGCCCCTTCCACACAGGGGGCTGGGCCTTGTTGCCAGCAAGGGCAGACAGAAAAGCATCCGAAAGAGCCTCTTGCAGGGGCGTTGGAGCAGGCGCAGCGGTTTCTACCCTCGGGGCAGGATTGAAACCTGAGGCCTTCCGAGGCCCTTTCACTGCGGATGCATGGTTGGCGAAGCCAAGCCCCGACTCAAAGTCTAGACCTTTGCCCTTGGCAGCTTCCTTCTTCTTGGCCTTCTGCCCACGGACCCGGACAATGCCGGCAGAATCGGGCCCAGGAACTAGTGCGGGCGGATCTTGTGGTGCCTTCCGCTTACGTGTCACGGCCAGAGCGGGATCAACTGGTGGGTATAAAACATCGTCAGCAGGGCACTGCCCATTGAACACAACACCAACGAGAACCCTCACCTGAAGTCTCCACTCGACCAGTGGTTCGGAAGCCGTCGGGCAAAAGCTTCCCGCCACGAGGATCGGGCATGACAGCTCGCTTCGAGGGGGGCGCCACTGCGCAAAGCAAGGGTTAGAGCCAATACCACGATATTAGAACGGACTGCAAGTTACTCACCTTTGGTTTCAACTCTAGGGGCACGGTTGACACCACCCTTCACAGGACCAGGTGCAACGGGAGCGGCAGGGACGGCAGCGGTTTCCAACGGGGGTCGAGGATTGAAACCATCCAACAAGGCGTCGGGTTCAACGAGAGGGGGAGGGGCGGCACCACCGGGTGTGGTTTCAACCCGAGCAGCCGGATTGAAAGAACCACCTATGGTTTCAACTCTAGGAGCAGGGTTGAAACCACCCTTCACAGGACCAGGTGCAACGGGAGCGGCAGGGACGGCAGCGGTTTCCAACGGGGGTCGAGGATTGAAACCATCCAACAAGGCGTCGGGTTCAACGAGAGGGGGAGGGGCAGCACCACCGGGTGTGGTTTCAACACGAGCAGGCGGATTGAAACCGCCAGGAGTTTTGGCCTTGAAGAAGGAGGTCAAAGTGTCAGTCATCATCGTCTTCAAGGTCCCACACATAGCCTCCAACCGGGTCTCCAGGCGAGCCTCGAGCTCAGCTGCCTTCTTCTCCAGCGCGGTCGCAAAGTCGTCCTGCGGGCCCCGGTAGTTCGACTTGATCCGTCCAGCAGCCGCAAGAGCGTCAAAGTGCTCCACTCGGGCCTCTCGGTACGGAAGCAGAGACCCGCCAGGCACAACACGCACGACCACCTGCCACTCGGTGCTCTTGTCCAAAAAGTTGGGCATGACGTCCTCCGCGATCCCGCGCACTGTGGAGTCACTGACACCGTAGAGACGCATCTCCGTGGACCTGGTGTGCCCCGCCTGAAGAGCAGCCAGGCTCTCGATACCCTCCTTCTCCCTGTCCTTCTCCTCTTCGTAACCGGGACAGATCTTGTGCCGGTACCCAGAGGTAAAGTGGCGCCAGTCGCGGGTGCCCGTAGAGACCCCAAGGTACTTGAGAGTGTACAGCCGGAGGGTGTCGGACAGGTGCTCGGTCGTGAACGCAGAGTTGATGTTGACAAACAGGTGCGTGTCGTAGAGACGAAGGACATCCGGGTTGTTCGGGAAGCAGATGTTGGCGGCCAGTTCGGCGAATGGGCGGGCGATGGCGAGGTCTTGGATGAGGAGGTCCGAAGTGACCGCGTCAAGCGAGTGGGGGAGGACCTTGTCAAACCCGGTCATGGAGGAACCCTTGTGGTAACGGCACACAACCGTGAGGTGGTTCCCAACCATGTACAGCCCACGCTGAGGTCGCGTCCGGGTGTTGCGGTACTCCAGGCAGCAGACCTCGGTACCTCGTCCGGGGGACCCACCCATGGTCTCCAGGCAAGCCAGGAGAAGGAGATGGAAGTCGGCATAGTGCTTCAGCCACCTCTGGAGCGCATGGATGTTCCACATAGGCTTGCCGTCAACGATGGTGCCCGTCAGAAAATGTTCCGAAAGCTTCCGGTCCGCACAGATGGCTCGGACGAGGCGGTCCCGGTCCGCAAACACCTTGTTCCGCCGGTCGTGGATGAACGAATAGCCAACAGCATTGTTCGAGAGATCGTCGGCCAGATCCTTGTAATCAACCCGTAGGTCGAGGCCCATAAGGAGGTGGTCCTCCCACCTGGAGATGGCGTCCGAATGCATGGCGTTGAACATCGGAGTGAGGTTGTCGAGGTGGATCGGGTCGCCTTTGTAGAGCATGGTCCTGAAGTTCTTGCGGTCCGTCCAGACAATCTTGATCGACCCGTCTTCCGCATAGGCGTAGGCGGAAGCCCGGTGCTGGAGAGCCCGAATCTCGTTGAAAGTCGTGCTCTGCTGCTTTTCGGTGTAGTAAAGGCGGTACCGCTTCGCCACTTCGGTCATGCGCTCCGGTTCTCCCTTGCCCTTGACGTGGATCAGGTAGAGGAAGAAGAGCCGAATGCAGTACTCGATCTGGGCGATGACGGGCGTAACGAGTGTGGGCTCTTTGAAGCTGCCGTCTGGCTTGAGGGTCGAGAGCGCAAGATAGGCGACAGTGGGATCGCCGATCGAGTTGCCATCCCGCTTGCTCCAGCAGTGGGTCCAGAGGTGGAGAAAGATGCTCTGGAGAGCCAAGACAAGATTCTTCTCGTCTTTTTCGGGGTCTGGATGGGGGTTCCGCAACATGTCGAGGCAAGCTTCAATCTCATTGCTGAGAGGAAGGGTGTACTTTTCCTTCTTGTCGCGAAGAAGGAACCAGACAAGGCGGACCATGGGACGGACGTAGTTGTCAAAGGAGCCGGCGGTAAAGTGTTGCTTGAGGGGACTGTTCAGCGTTCTGCGAAAGAATGGTTTCCAATCCGCAACAAAGGTAGAAACCACGCGGACGGTTTCAAATCAGAATCAAAAGTTGAAACCAGGCACAGAAGAACCACTCACCCGGTGTTGATCGGATTGGGAGTGTTGAGCATCTCCAACACCAGAGGTGGCGCACCTGGGATGAGGTCGTAGGCAAAACGGAAAAGCCCGATCACGGCGTCGGTGATCCGGTCAGAGTTTTCCTGCTTGGAGGGCAAAGCGGCAAGTCGGATGAGGTCGTCGACGTTATAAGGATCAACGTGCTCGTGCCAACCAGTGTACATCAGCCACGGGCTGACATTCCGGAAATCCACCTCGTTGGAACGGTGCTCCTCAGCGAGGCGGTCCCGTTCAGCGCGCTGCTCCGAGAACATCTTTTCCAGCGGGGTGAGGTCAACAACAGAGGAGTCGTCCGAATCGGATGGTTCCGTAACCTCGAAAAGCCGATTCTTGGTTCCGTTGCTGAGCCGTTGCGCCTTGATGCGGGGGAGGGAAGTCGGGACGGGAAGCCCAGGGTGCTGTCGGGAGCAGTGCGAGGCGAGGCTGGACGCGAGGTAGACGTGGCGGCAGTGAGGGCAGCGGACACAGTCGGAAACAACAGGCAAACCCTTGAGGGAGGGAATGGGCTCCAAGGAGAGCCAAAGCTCAGGAAGCTCTTTGGCCAATTTGTATTCCTTTCCAAGGGAAAAGAACTGGTTAGGCTTGGGATGAATACCAAGCCCCTTGTGTTTTTGGGACCAGTGGTCGGGAAGCCAGGTGTAAGGCAGCATAACCTTGCACTTGAGGCAGTACAAGAGCCGAGTGCGGGACTCGACAACGCAGCCAATAGTTCTGATAGCGGGAAAGTCGATAAAGTGGGAAGCCTATAAACCAGTCAATAAACAGTGGTCTAGGGACCTGCAGCTAAGAGAAACAACCTCGTGTGGATCCTGAGGCTCATCAACACTCATCACATCTTCCTCCTCGCTTTCTTCGCTAGATGCCTTGAAATTAATAGAAAATTGAGAATGGACCCTGATATTCGGAAAAATAAAGAACAGGCTCACTATTGGAGAACTAGGTTGGGGAGACGGCTGTCCAGAGGGTCGGTTTCAACCAATTTTGAGGATTAGAAACCAACTCACCAGATCATTTTCATCCTCAGAGGGTAGACCCTGTACTTGGTCCTCTGGATCCTGATCCCCGGGAGGGGGAGTTGCATTTGACCTGCTTTCGCCATTAGCCGCGGGATTGGCCTCTCCATCAGGATTGGCATCCGGGACGGTAGCAGGGGCAGTCTGCATAAAGTGATCAGGTTTCGAATACAATGGGAAATTAGAAACCACCGCACCAGACCAGGCGGCTTCTCAAGCCAGTCAAATACACTTTTAGAGGCATGATTCTGAATGCCTTGGGTGGTAGAAAACAACCGTGCACATTTGGGGGCAGCACACTGGCAATAGAAATAACCGTCCTTGTTGCGGACAATTTTAAAGGTGCCGTTGGGGAACTGCGCTGCGACTGTGGGGTCGCAGGATCGGCGGTGAACGCGGAGGTGATTGAGGGTGGGGAACGAGGTGGAGCAGTGGCGGCACGTTGACATGTTTTGGGTTTTTACTGGCCAAGAAAAGCAAGTGAATGTCCAAAAAAGGAAGGTGGTGGTTAAGGTGAGACCTTGATTTCAAACTCAGCTGGCCGATCGATCATCATATTGATCGAACTGATGATCAAAATACAAACACGACCAAACATTGCATAAAATAGTTGGAATGACATTCCATCTTCTCGTGAGGCAGCCTTCACCCTGTAATGTTTGGAGCATATCAGAATAACAATGACTGGTCCTGTACTGTGGACTGTAGCCAAAGACTGAACATTCAACATACCCCAGACTGGAGAAGTAAAACTTGAGGTTGCAATTAATCCATACAAGTAGAAACCACTGTCTACAAAGTGTTAGGGGGATTCAGAATCACACCTTGCCTCCGCAATTTCGTATGCACCATAGTTGAGCTCCCAAGGAGTGTCGCTTACCCGATCATTCCGAGAAAGACGATGGAGATCCGCAACGCCTGTTGCTTTAGGGCCTCCAGACAGGAGGGACACCCATGTGGGTCTCATCACCCGAGAGCGGAGGAATAGACGGTCCCCCACCAAGCTACAACCCAATGTCGTTCGTTCTGATATTGTAAAACCCTCTACGAGCTCGGAATGGCTAGCTGGAGATGATGTTTGGATGTGGCCCATAGTTGTCGTTAGTGTCCTACCCAAGGCTGGGACCGCTGGGTGGCTATCGGTGCCTAACCCTAAATCACAGCGACACAGGCCATGAACTGACAAGTATCCCGCAGACAGACGCAGCCAGGAGTACTGTTTACCCAGAGGTGGTGGTATCGGTGAGACATCTATCCACTTTCGGCAATCCTAACGCATGTGAAGAAGATTACACGTAATCCCAGAACAACGCCGACAGTATTTCAGAAGACGAAGAACGTACCGGCGCCACAGGGCACCCGGCATAAACACACCGTCAATATAACCCCAAGTCCACATCTTGCTCTTAATGTCGCTAGCGTCGACCTCGTGTATCGAAAAACATCCCAAGGTTGGGGGCGAGAGAAAAGAGGAAAAACATTCCAACGTTCCGTTTCGCACCTTGCCTGCCGTGTTGGTCACTCATACTGGGCGGTTGTGAAGTTGATAGGAAACGCTGACAACCCTGGGCGGAATTGGCGACGCGCGCGACAGTAACCCTCCTCGATCCTTAACGAAACAAAGATCGACTGTCATCGATTGTATTTGGCGGTTTCAATACATATCCCAGAGTTGAAACCAAACAGAGAGAGTGAGAGAGAGGAAACGGTGGTTTCTATCTGTAAACCCTGATGGAAACCATCCGAATAGTTCTGACTTACGGTTTCCGTTATGGATAATAGATAGAAACCACTTGAAATCGTGGCTATCGTGCTTGGGTTTCAAGACTTATCTCAGAGTTGTTAGCCAAAGGTCTCAAGTGGACAGTTGTATTGGTTTCAATTGACTATTCTAAGTGTAAACTGTGTGAAAGGGACGAGTAAACGACATACGGAAATGGAATTGGTCTGTACACATTCGAGACTAGGATGACCCTGCGGCAGCGAGACCCTTGAAAATCAAGGTGTCGAGGGCGTTGGGACCAGCAGAATCTTCGGATGCGGGGGCATCACCCTCCTCGCCCAACTTGTCATCGTCGCCATCGCCGCCATCGCCATCGCCATTGCCTGCTGACTCGCCTTGCCCGCTTACGCTGTCGCCATCGCCTCCTGTATCGCCTTCATCGCCTTCGCCTCCTGACGCGCCTTCATCGTCTTCGTCGCCTTCATCGCCATCGCCTCCTGACGCGCCTTCATCGTCTTCGTCGCCTTCATCGCCATCGCCTCCTGACTCGCCTTCATCGTCTTCGTCTTCGTCACCTTCACCGTCTTCGTCGCCTTCACCGTCTCCCTCCCCTGCAAACTCCTCCTCATCGCTGTTCCCTTCCTCCCGATCCTTGGTGTTGACGTTGTCGCCTGTCGCCGCGCTGAGCTTGGTGGCGAGCGCTTCGTCGATCCCCCCAACAGGTAAGGTGCGCTTTTCGGCTGGTTCGTCCTCAATGGTGGACTTGACTTCGACGCGAGGGGCGTTGGGGATGTTGACTGCCACGCCGAGGCGAGTGGATCGGATAGGGGTGGCTGGGCCCTGGCCCATCATCATCTTCATACGCTCGTCGTCGCTGTATGCTCGAAGGGCAACCTTGACGTCGTCGGTCTCGATGAAAAAGTCCGAATCCTCCGGGGGAATCTCGATACCAAACTCGCTTTTGAGGACGTCGTCCATGATGGTGAGGTTGTTGATTCCGACCTTGAGTTCCTTCTCCTTTTGGGTCTTGTTGTCGGTGATGAACACTGGGCCGAATCGCCTGCGCTCGAGCATCCGAAGGTAACACGCATGCTAGGTGGGGTGAAAGGTTTCAAAAACACGGTAAGAATTGAAACCAAGAGCGTGAGGTCAGCGTGGTTTCCAAACATCAAGAGCAATTGAAACCAACTTACACGAAGTGGGTTGACGAACTGGTTGTACGCCCAGACTGGAATGCGGGTGAACGACTTTTGAACGTGCTCGCCATCCTCCTCAACGCTGGTCGTGTAGCTGATGGAGAGAGAACGAACGAGAGACAGGTAAAACTTGTCCATCTGACTCTGCTGCATCCCCTTGAGCATTTCCAAATCCGTCGCTTGCTTGAAGTCCGTGATTTTGCTGGAGGTAAGCTTGGAGAGCGATTGGGAGGTGGGCTGGTGGGTGTCTCTGGTGATCTTGTGCCAGGGTTCCCAAGACTCTCGATGCTCGTGGATAGTCTTCACCAAGTCGCTGTAGACGTCGAAGACCATAGCGTCCGTGCGGATGAGTTGCTGGAGCTGGGGAAGTGCGACGAGGGTCTTCCAGATGACGCCTGAAGCCGACTTGGCCTTCTGGAGGTGAGCCTTGTGAGACCCACCTCCCCCAGTCTTCATCCACGGTCGTCCTGAGCGCGTGAGCAGCGTCTCGATACCCTTTGTAATATCGAGCATAGTCGTCTGGATACCCCATTTCCGTATATCTGGTCTCGGCGGAGATGGACTCGACTGCGGTGACGGAAACGGGGAAGACCGTGCCATTACCAAGCTCTACGGCGGCGTGAAGCTCGGGGAATGAGGTAGCGTGCTCAGCTTCGAGGTTGGACTGGGCGGCGGCGTACTCGCGAAGGATGGTGGGGAGCATTTTGGTGGCCTCTTGCGCCGGGTTTTCGTAGGTCGCCTTGGGGCTGAGCTTGGAGATGTTGGAGGCGATAGGGGCATCACCAGCCAACCACTTCCAGGCGTACGTCTTGTCCTTGCTCCCACTCAACCAACGCGGTGTGGAGGGACTTGAGAATGACTCGACGAAACTAAACGTGGTTTCAACATCGGAAAGAGGATGGAAACCAAATGTAAAAACTTACCTGGCGAGATTGAAATGCAGCGACGTGGTTTCAATCGTGATTGGAACGTGGAAACCAGCACGGTTAGCAGAGGGTTTCAACTCTTGGAGGGGTTTGGAAACCAGATCCACGACTTACGTTGTTCATGATAGCCTGAGACGCTCCGTTGTCTTCGACCAAGTCACTGGGGTTCGTGCAACCTTTGACTGGGAAGGTCGCAATCCACTTGGCGACATCTCTGAGGTGGTACTCGTAGCCACTATTGCCGTGAACGGGCGTCAAAAAACCCGGGTCAACAAGAGCGATAGCCTTTTGGGGAGCGGGAGGGTTAGAAATATTTCGACAAATGTAAGTACGGATCGTAGTACGTACCATCGCGATGCCCTCTCGGCGTGCTGTGACAAGTTCGATCAACCTCGACGCCAACTGGGGGATGTAAAAGGGAAGAGCAAACTCTCCCTCGTTTTCGCCCGCGATGGCCTGCTGGATCTTGCGGGTACGCTCGGGAAGAGCGACGATGATGTCGTGGTTGGCATGGGGGACGTTCTTCTCCTTGGCTTCAACCGCGCGGTGGGCGTCCGCTTCAAACGAGGCGATCATCGATTCGTAAAACGCCTTGACCCCTCCATACCAAGACGCCGAGTTCTCTGGAAGTCGGTCTCGAGGGGTGGCAAAAGCAACGAAGTTGGGCTTGATGTGCTCGGCGTACTTCTCATCAACAGTCTTCCAAAACGAAAAGTCGAGAATGGTGTAGTCGAGCTGGGCGTACGACATATCGAAATCCGAGCCTGCCGGAACTGCGGAGATGGGAGCTGCGAGGAACGACAAGGCACGATACATCTTGTGAAGAATCGGGTTAAGGATCTGATGGAAGGGATGTCAGTTAAACCTAATCCATGAAAGAAAGGCATACATGTTACTCACCTCTCCTGGAAGGTCGGCGATGGACTCGATGATTGACATGGAGAGCTTACTCTCTTTGTTGTGGCTGTGAGCGTCGCTCGCGAACATGTGGACGACGACCTCCAAACCCTTCGAATCTTGTGCTAAGGCCGACATGGTCTTGTTCGGCGGGAAGAAAGGGAGCTGCTTCAACCACATCGAGTAGTTGACGCCGTGGGTGACAAGAACAGTGACGATGTTCTTGACGATGTCAAACGGTCGGTCGGGAGAAGACGCAAAGTCTGGGTTAGACGCTAGAACCCTGAGGACCTCTTCTCCAAGCTTCGACTTCTCCAGTAGTTCTGAAAACGGTTTCAATATGCGGTAGAGAATGGAAACCAAGTGTTCGCTCACCAGTATCGTAGACCTTTGCACACCACAGTCCCGCCTCCAGGAGCGTACGGGTGTTGCTGGTGATGGCCTTAACAAGCTTGGCCTTCTCCTTGGGATCGTCCGTGTTCGCAGCGGCTACAAGCTGCTCGGCCCAGCTGGCACGCGACGTCTGGGTAAGGTCCTGTACCACCTCGAGTCGGTGGGCACCGTTGACAAGGAAGATGACGGGCTTGTCGTGGTCCTCGAGGAACTTGGCGAGTTTCTCAAGGTTAATCTTGAAGACCTTGGGCTCCCCAGTGGACGTCTTCGTAAAGATGCTGCTGTCGATAATAGAGCCGGGGAGTGCGATGATAATCGCGTGTTCTTCCGCGTGCGTGGCGAGTACTTCAGCGTCGTCTTTGAGGCGCTTGAAGACAGCTGGGTTTTGAGGGCGCTTGTTGTAATGCCGGTAGACGATGTCGAGAACAGGCTTGAACTGGGCGGCACGACCTTTGGTTTTCACGAACTGGTAGAACCCACGCGAAAAGAACTCGGAAACCTCGAAGGTTTGCGCAGTGGGTGTTGTTAAACAAAGGTCCTCCTGCGCCATAGAAGAGCACGTAGCCCAACTCCGCCTTGGCAGCTTCAGTGTGTAGCTTGATCATATGGGCAGCGTTCTGGGCACGCGATGCGAGCATGGCTTCAAGGCCTTGAAAGGCGGCGCCGGTCTCCTTGATCTAGATATACGTGTAAGAGCGATAACCCAATCAATCGTTAACGAACATTACTTACGAGGCTGTCGACATTTGTGGATGTCTGGATGATTTGGTTTCAATATCTAATCTAGGATGGAAACCAAAAAAGGTGGTGGTGCTCACCTGTTTTCCTCGACTCTTCTTGCTCGAACCCTTCTTGTTATGTACATTTACGTCGTCCTGGATTTATGTTAGCACATCGTCAGTGTCGTCAAATTGTATCCAACTCACCATCACAACATCGCCATCCTAGATTGAACGCGAACATGAGTCATCGAACCCTACAAGGACTTAAGGAACACATTGACTCACCAAGTCCATGTCCTGCGATAGAGCGCGTGGAGTGTCAGGATCTTCGGGTGCCTGATCCCCCTACAACGAAGAGGTCAGCATGCTTCCTAACCCTAACGAACCAAGTCCGACTTACCGAACCTTCGCCCTCGTTGCCGCGCTCGCTCTGATCACCACCTCCAGCGTCCTGACCCTGCTGTCAAGACCGATCAGGATGGTTTCAATACCTGGAAGGAAATGGAAACCACGTACCTTTTCTTTACCAGCGCCCTCTTGCTCCTCAACCTCCTGTGATTCGATCGGTGAGTGGTTTATCCTAAGAAATGAAGTCTGATACTCACCTGGGGACCTTCGCTCACCCTGGACTTCTTCGCCTTGCTCCCGCCCTGGCCTTTGGCTGTCCTCTTCGCAGGAGGACCAGCAGGTGACGAGTCGTCCTCATCGCCAGAGTCAACGGTCTCAGCGCTCTTGGGCTGTTCAATCGGTAAGTGCCTTGGACTGGGAACATCAGAAATCAAGGGTACTCACCTGGGCACGCTTTTTCCCCTTTCCCTTCCCCTTTCCACCTGAAGCCGCCTTCTCCGCCTTCTCCGCCGCCTTCTCAGCTGCCCGCTTCGCCTGAGCTTCCTTCTTCTCCTGCGCCTTCATCTGACGCTCGTGCGCCTCCTGTTTCTTCTGCTCCTCGGTCTTGGGGGGCCTTCGAGGCCCTCAACTCGTCGATGATCCGGATTTGGGTGGCTTGAGAATCGATAAAAGTCAGCAAGGATGGATGGATTAGGGTCCAGCATGCCTCGAATACGTCGAGCACATGCTGAGACCCAGGGGAACCACTCACCATCGCGCTTGGTTGAGTGTGGTGCAACCTAAGGTGAGAAATAAGTGAGCTGTGGGTTAGATCAAGGGTTAGAACTGACTTACTTTGGTTTCTAAACGTTTTCTTGACCGACGTCGTCGACGAGGAAAGAGAACGAGAGGAGGATGGTGGTCGAAGGGAAGAAACAACGAAGGAAAACTTCAGCCACCCAGCTTTTATATCTTGGGTGGCTGAGTAAGGTATGATCGAGCTCGTTTTACTTCCGTTTCTGTCAGACACTTCTTGACTACCGATTTCCTTGTTTCTAGGTTCGTTGGAAAGCGGTGTTGTCGATCTTTCTACGCGAAAAGGCCGTTCAAAAAACGGTTGAGAAATGAAGGGGCTGCGATGGAAACAAGGGAAGGTAACCTTCACCCTGGGTGAATTCTGATCCGGTCCGATCATGCCCAACTTGTTGACTGACGATTGGTTCAGGTCTTGGCTCCTTTAAAAGGTCTTGAACATCGCCTCTCGATCGACTGTGAAACAAAACAGTGTAAGGCCGCTCAGGGGAGATTTTTGGATGGGAATAGTGATGTCATTGCTAAATCCGGTGAGTAAGTTACTTTGTTTGGCGTGCGTGATAGCCTAAAAGTGGCCGTAGCCCTCTCGTCAGGGGCGCGTTTTAAAGCGCTCGATCGACCGTTCAAGGCGAGCCCAAGATGTCGCCAATACGCGAAGGTCTCGGTAAGTTACGGTCTTTTTTATTCAACTGTCTCTCCTGGTACCCACCCATTCTAACACCCTAACACCCCTATCGCCAACTAGTCCGTTTTAGGTCGGTTTAAAGGACTGTGAGGGGTGTTGAAACCATCTGAAAACCGAGGGATCTTTTCTGGGGGAGCAGAAGTCAGGTAGATCGGATGGGGTTGGGTAAGAGGGGTAGAAGGTGAGGTGAGTTCGGATATAATTCCGTTTGCGTGATTGTCTTGCTGACGGTCTATCCTCCTCGGCTATGGTGTGTTGGAATGGCCTCAATTGGGGTTTCAAATGAGGGCAGAAGTACATGGATTAGGGTATGAAATTGGTGAGTTCTGTTAGCTGTTCACCCCCCCCCCCCCCCAACATCAGTTCGGGGTCCTGAGGGGGTAACCCTATCTTAAACTTTAATTCCCATCTAGGCCTGGCTTGAACCCCATGGAATTATTGGATGTACTTAATATACAGGCTTTCAAATATCATGGGGAGGAGCCCAACTTAGGATGGGGGAGGGGGAGAGGGAGGAGGGTGCTCTTCTGGGGTACCTGCCAGATTAAGCCAGAGGAGATGGATCAACGAATTTAGTTCCGTCCACCGGATCGGAGGCGGAACAAGATCGACTTACCTTTTCAGGAATCGGCTACACGGTAGGTGAAAGTCTGGTTTCAATTTCTTGCTGGAATTGGAAACCTGCGACAACAACCAGACCAAAACGACGACCAGACCAAGGATGGGTGGATGGCTGGGGTAAGGGTCCCTGGTTTCCAAACTCGGGTACATTTGGAAACCAGGTACCATAGTGTCGTACACCAGATGTACGATGGTGTCGTACACCAGTTGTACAAATGGTGTCGTACACCAGTTGTACGATGGTACGATGACGTCGTACATCGGTTGTACGATGGTACGATGGTGTCGTACAAGTGTGTACGATAGTGGCGTAGCAGTGTACGATGGGTGTACGATGGCGTCGTACAGGGGTTGTACGATGGTACGATGGCTTCGTACGCCGGTTGTACGATGGTACGATGGCGTCGTACAGCGAGTGTACGATGGGGTACTCTCATCGTACACTCGTCGTACGATGAAGGTACGATGGCGTCGTACACTGTACGATGACGTCGTACACCGGTTGTACGATGGTACGATGGCGTCGTACAAGTGAACGATGAGGTGGGGTCATCGTACAGCGAGTGTACGATGGGGGTACGATGGGGTACTCTCATCGTACACTCGTTGTACGATGAAGGTACCATGGCGTCGTACACTGTACGATGACATCGTACATCAGATGTACGATGGTACGATGCCATCGTACATTTTGGTTTCAATAATCTATTTCAGGTAGAAACCATGTACGATGGCATCGTACACTTGTACGATAAGGGTGTACGATGGTACGATGGCATCGTACCAAATGGTTTCAATAACCGATTTCGGGTAGACACCGTGTACGATCATCGTACATTGGTACGATGAAGTGTACGATTTACCGAAAAAATTATTTTTTTTTGTACGATGGTACGATGAATGTACGATGACATCATTTTCCCACGGGGGACGACGGTACGACGTCGTACATTAAACATGGCCATGTTTTTTGGAACATAATATTAGGGGTACTCTCATCGTACACTCGTTGTACGATGAAGGTACGATGGCGTCGTACACTGTACGATGCCATCGTACATTTTGGTTTCAATAATCGATTTCAGGTAGAAACCATGTACGATGGCATCGTACACTTGTACGATAAGGGTGTACGATGGTACGATGCCATCGTACCAAATGGTTTCAATAACCGATTTCGGGTAGACACCGTGTACGATCATCGTACATTGGTACGATGAAGTGTACGATTTACCGAAAAAATTATTTTTTTTTGTACGATGGTACGATGAATGTACGATGACGTCATTTTCCCACGGGGGACGATGGTACGACGTCGTACATTAAACATGGCCATGTTTTTTGGAACATAATATTAGGGAGTGGTGTTCCTGGAACACCGCATACAGAGGGTGGCTACCACTCTGACTCAGAGAGTGGTGTTCCTGGAACACCGCATACAGAGGGTGACCACTCCGACTCAGAGAGTGGTGTTCCTGGAACACCGCATGTGAGCGAGTCACTACTCGGACTGAGGGAGTGGTGTTTGACCACTCCGACTCAGAGAGTGGTGTTCCTGGAACACCACATCCAGAGGGTGACCACTCCGACTCAGAGAGTGGTGTTCCTGGAACACCGCATGTGAGCGAGTCACTACTCGGACTCAGAAAGTGGTGTTCCTGGAACACCGCATACAGAGGGTGGCTACCACTCCGACTCAGAGTGTGGTGTTCCTGGAACACCGCATGCGAGCGAGTCACACTCGGACTGAGGGAGTGGTGTTCCTGGAACACCGCATACAGAGGGTGACGACTCCGACTCAGAGTATGGTTCCGACTCAGAGTGTGAGCGAGTCACACTCGGACTGAGGGAGTGGTGTTCCTGGAACACCGCATACAGAGGGTGGCGACTACCAGACTCAGAGAGTGGTGTTCCCGGAACATCAGAGCAACAGCGGCCCACCACCTCATCTCAGAGACTTGAGCAGGATGCGCCCAGGGTCCCCCATACTCTCCCCTGACCCTTTCCCCCAGGGTCAGTCCCCAGGGTCCCCCATATTCTCCTCTGACCCTGTCCCCCAGGGTCAGTCCAATATGACCCCAGGGTCAGACCGACCCTACTCCATTTTTTCTCTCTCTATAACCCTAACCCTAAGTGACGATGGACTGACGACGGAGCGACGATGGACTGACGATGAGCGACCGCAGAGTGACGACGGACTGACGATGAGCGACGACGGAGCAACGATGACCGACGATGGGAGACCTAACCCTAAGTGCGAGGGTGTTTGGCTGACGATGGTGCGACGATGGAGTGAGTATGAGCGACGATGGACTGACGACGAGCGACGATGGTGCGACGACGGTGTGCGGATGAGCGACGATGAGCGACCATAACGGCGTTTGTTGCGACGACGGGCGTCATTCTATCCGAGATGTCGTTTGGAAAGAGGGCCGTTCTCGCGACGACGGCGGGTTTGTAACACGGCCATGTTACGGGAAGTATATTATTAGGCAATTATGTCGTTAATCAAACGCATGCATACCACAAACGGCTTTCAGACAATAGAAAGCATTGTCATTGAACCTTAAGTTCAGATTGTGGGCGGCTATAGTATGCGTGAGGGATCCGAGGCATCGGAGACAGCTCAGCCAGAAATTCTGGAAGGTAGTTAGATTCGCCCTTTTGTCACTTTACGACGCCTACACTTATTATCATAACCTCGTCTCAGGGTGCCTCAGGAGATGGCCACAACTGAAAAGAGCCTGAACAAACACGCTCGTCGTGCCTGTGCCGGAATCGGGGAGGTCAGAAGGTGCAGTCGTCGCCCACAGTCTCATTGTCGTATGTATAAAGCGTCACTCCTAAAGTCAAGTAATACCGATACTCCAATCTCTGACTCCCCCAAGGATGTTCACTCCTCTGGTTGCTCTGCGTTCTGTCCTCATTGTTGCCTTTATGGCAGTGGAATGCGTTAAAGCTTTACCGCAGCCTTCTGAACCTCCCAGTGTCGAGCTGTTGGAGGCAATTCCTAGCCCCGCAGAGCTGATTCGCGCTGCCGAGACTGGAGAGTTCAAGGTGGTACCTGGTCCCGGTCTACCCTCTCTCGAATCCCTCAATTTTACCTCCCGCGATCTCGTCGTTCGCCCACTCGAGCGTATCGAGCGCTCCAAGGAAGCTCAAGGTGAACTTTTTTTTTCTGCCATTTGGTGTCATATTTTGTCGGTGCTCACCCCACCCTTTTGTATGGTAGAGGACAGGGAGAGGTCGAGCTCCTTCACAAAGCGGTACACCCCGACGTGTGACTGGCACCAATATCTCATCAGCATGCCCAACGCGTGGGCCTGCCACGAGTATCTCCACTCTATTGGTAGTGTGACCTGCGCGGTACCCTCCTCGGGATCGAGGTTCTGCCATACGGTCAGCGGGTACGCAGATGTTGCATGGTACGGGAGGGTGAACGGCGTGGCCTACACACAATCTAGCTGGTAAGGTCCTAAAGCCTCTAGATGTGGATAGAGGGGTTCTGATGTGCATATTCATCGCCGACAGCGCTAATGTTGCGAATGGTGGAGTGTGGGTGCTAAATAACTGTGTTTTAACAGCGTTTCCGTCTCTACCGGTTCTCAATGAAGGCGAGTAGTACCATTGCGTATGACAAGGGTGATCTATATCTGACGGCTTCCCCTCGACGAATAGGTACCAACGCGGCCTGGGGTAATGAAAACCTCATTGTTGAGGTGCGCAAGTTCTAGGCTCCAGGGTTAGGAATGAATGCTTTATACTGCTAGCGATGTGAGATGTTACACACTGGATATTATGCTGTACTCTTCTTCAATTATAAATCCTGTGTCGTCGTCACTGTGGTCTCGTTTTGCTACCTGGACCCCTACAGTGCCCATTTCCTCTACAGTCTATTCAGATTTCCACGAGGAGACCGTGTGTTATAGGAAAAAGCGAGGTATCCGCAGACTTTGTGTGATGTTGTGTGATTTTATAAGGTTTTGTTATCGATGTGCCTTATAGCTTCAAATGACCACCGATTAGGGTGAAGGTCTTGCCCCGTGTCACCTCAAGGCGACCTTCAACTCACCTTGCGTCAACACTACCAGCCGCTGTGTCGAGCCCAAACTTGTGTTTGGTCGTTGTACAAACAGCGGAGCCGCCGGACCGCTAGACAGAGCGCGCTGGTTTAGGAGCCTGGTTACCTACCCTTTCCTAGCAAGCCACCTACTCCCAATGACGAAACCGAAGATATCAGCACGCTCCAAACGTTCCCCGCGATACCTGTACGCGACTTACCGCACCGAGTACGTAGACCATTCGGCTAATTACACCACCACCACCACCAAGTCTATCATTTCTAACCGCCCAAACAGGTGTGAAGAAGCGTTCCCCGCCGCCTTTGAATTTACGGACGAAAGGATCAAAGACCGTCGTCTTCCTGTGCAGCCCCTCTATAAGCCCGACATTGGAGTGAAGATACCCGTTCCGATGTATTTTGCCGGCTTCATTGTCTCTGCTGGGTGGCATCACCACTGGAACCGCCGCCACGGTGTGCATGGTGCAGACGTTGTCGCGTCCAAGGCAGTGGTCGACTGGGTTAAGCTCGGTAGTCCGTGAGTACTTCTACCGGTGTTGAAAGAGACAGCTCACTGACGTTTCGTGCATTTACCACCCCCTCACGGTTCGCTCGACACTCCACCATCGCCATCTCCAGCGAGCCCTTTCTCGCACCCCGTGTATATCCCTACCCAACGGGCGACAATGTGATATACTTCATCACCCATTTGGCAGACCGACGAGATATCGATTACTTTTACGACAACCGGGACGCCATTCTTGACCGCTTCCTGGACGTGTTGAGCTTTCCCTCAGACGAGAAGGACATAATCAAGACAAGGTTATTCAAATGGCATAGGGTGATGCCTACGACAATGTCAGCGTTGGATGACTTGAAGGAGGATTTACCGGAGGATATGTGTTTGCAGTACACGGGGCCTATCCCCGACGAGTTCAAGTCTGAGTACAACTCCGCCTCTGAGTCCGAGTCCGAGTCTGACTGACCAGATGTTGCGACTCTTCGCACTGTATCCTATGTATTGCCAATGAATTTTGATGCAAACGAGTACGACGCGCGGAGGTCAGGCAAGGGAATGATCAATGAAAGTTGGCGAACTGCTAGGAAATCCTTGCCCACACAAGACGGCTTTCGGAGTCGCTTCATCGCCTTTTGGAAGTCAGGCAGACCCCTCAGACCTGGACTGCCTTTGAGGTATTGCAACATCAGCGCTTATTGATCTCGACATCTCGTCGAATGGGATCTCTGCACGAGCGCGCGGTACCCTCAGGGACTGCATTTAGTAGCAATGGAAATTAAGCGCCCAAAGGCAGATCCACGTTCTTTTTGGACGCCCGTCGCCCGCCTGTAGATGCTATACGACCTCATCGTACTTCGAGACCAAAGTAATCGCATTGGAGACGGCATCCAGCTTTGAACGCGGCGTCGAATTAGAGAAGGGAACTCCCGCGTGCAAGGTGTATCAAAGAGCTCTACTAGCGTGTTTCATCTAATGACATATATCAGAGCAATGGCGGTCTAGATATTCAATTCGCCGAGCGCCTCTCCAACTTGAATTTGAACGAGTCGAAAATACGATGGTACTATAGAACTAAAACACGAAAAAAAGAATACGAACATAAGCGTAGCAGTAAGAGTAGCACCAACAAGTACCATAGATGTATCACGGAGCACGGTGACAGACAAGGGGACTTCCCGTTGTCCAAAGTACGACGTGACAGTCTCCCTCGATATTACACAACATAACAGACATACTCACAGACGATAAAACACGTAGAGATGAGGAAAACGAGGGGAAGAAAAACAGAACTAAAAGTCCCAGAAAAGACTACTAATAGAGAGAGAAAGAGAGAGGAGAGGTAATAATGATAAAGAAAAATAAAGCGTAACAGGTATTCGATTAAAACACAATCTTCCAAGAAATGTAAAAGCCCTCAACATGACAACAGAAAGCCCAACGAAACCAAAAACCCAAGCCACAATGGACGTCAGACGTCAAGGCTCACTTACGCCCACCATACCGACTCTCCTCCCTCTCCCTCAACGCACGAGGAGCAGCAGGCGGCGGCCGCCCACTAAGACCCCACCCCACCGACGCCGACGACACCAACCCACCACCACCTCCTTCTCGCTCCCTATCACCCCTCACAAAGTCTCTATACACAGATCTATCCCTGTCCCTATCCCGATCGCGATACGAGTACGAGTCGCGATACGGACCATCCCGATCTCGTCCATACCCAGAATCACGGTACGAAGAGAACGAACCGCGCCCATACGGCGGTCCACCGGAGCTCGACGTCGGCGAACCCCACCTCGTCGAGGGAGGATTGCCCTGCGCTTGTGACTGCGCCCAACTCCTCGGACCAGTAGGGATAGTCTTGGGACGAGGTGCAGTCGGTGTCGCCGTGGTCGTCGTCGTAGCGGTTGTATTCGCCGCCGTGGTAGCAGTCGAAGGTGACGCCGAAGGCGCACCCACCCTCGTAAACGCTGGCGCACTCTGCGGTGGAGGTGGAGCTGCAAGTCCTGAACTAGGCGGGGGCGGGCTGGACGCATGAACACTCGCACTCCTCCCACGTCCATTCACATCCCTGTCCCTATCCCACCTCGTTCCCTCACGGAACGCAGCGGGCCCAGACGGCGTCCTCGCATCCCTCGATCGACCACGTGGCGCTGAAGGAATGGGTGTCGGTGTCGTCCGTCTTGCTCCCATTGAGGGGATACCACCACGGGGAGCGGTAGGCGGAGGTTGCATCGCCTTTGATGTCGTGGTATTGGGGATCGCGCCTACACGCGCAGGCGTAGACTGGACGGGAATCCTTCCACTGACATCCTCGCCCTCCTCCTCCTCGTCACCCAACGAAACCGCGTCGTCGTCCTTCTCCTCTCGCCCGTTCTTGGAATCTGCAGCCACAGCACTAGCTCCATCCTTCTCCCCCTCCTTCGAGGCTTCCCCACTATCACGCTTCTCTTCCTTCTCCTCCCCCTTCCTCGCACCGTACTCCTCCCCATCGGGCCCAAACTGCGAATAATAATCGTACATCGCAGTAGCTGCCGTACTCTCCATACCAGGCGTGGGAGCTCCAAACGCGGAACTCGAGAACACTGAGGTCGGTGCTGAAGCGACGGCGAGGGGAGCTGAAGCCACGATGGTCGACGCCGAGGAGAGTGAACTGGGCATCGCTGACGAACGAGGTGGCGAACTAATCAGCGAACTCAACGACAAGACAGGTTTCTCGAACGCTGGTCGGGTGTCGCGTGGGCGCTCGCCGGTTGTAGTCGTAGTCGTCGTAGTCGCCGCGGGCGTTGCAGAGGTTGATGCGGATCCAGCGAGTAGGAGGTTAGACGGCGAACCCACACCTGGAACAATCAATGAGCCACAACGGACAGTCAAAGAACGAAATGCAAACTTACCATAACCAGACCCGATACCCGTCGAACCAAATCCATATCCTCCAGGTGTAGGAGAGTCAACCGATCCAAAACCAGGCGAGGGCGCGCTCCAATCTGACCAACCACGGGGCGGACGAGGTGAAAGAGGGGTGATGAGAGGCGAGTCTCGAGGCATGGCAGGTGACTCTCGAGCAATGGAAGGTGACTCTCGAGCGATGGCGGGTGAATCTCGAGCGATGGCGGGTGAATCTCGAGCAGAGGACGGTGAAGCACGAGAGACGGACGGCGACTCCCGGAAAGTCGAAGGTGAAGCTCGAGAAACCGCAGGCGATTCCCAAGTCGTCGTACTCGGCGATGCAGGAGCGATAGTCGGAGACCGTTTTACTTCGTCGGCCTTCATCGCCTTATCCTCCTTCCTACTATCGTCCTTCATCTCAACCTCCTTCACCACCCCCTCCTTCCCCTTACCAATCTCCTTACCACCTTCGCCAACATTGGCGACACCCTGATTCTCCTTATCCTTCAACCCACCCATCTTCTCCTCCTCCAACCTCTGCTTCCTCTTCCGCATCGCAAAGTCTTTGAGCGTCATCTTCACTTTCGGCGGTGGAGGCGGCGGAGGCGTAGGTTCACGAACAGGTGCTGGAACAATCGGTATCGAAGCAACACCTGTGCCCGTAGCAGTACCCTCTGAAAGGGATCCGGGATCCGACGAAGGGTTGGTGGCACCAGCTGTTGCTGTCGTCGAGGTGGAATCTACAATCACAGCAGACCAATTAGAAAACATGAAACCTTCAGTAGCGATACGACACGCACCGCTCGATCCATTAACACCCCCATTAACCCGCTTCTGCACACCCACATCCAACCCAGGTATGACAGAAGCAGACCTCGACCTCGCATCGAGGTCAATATCCATCGGCGCCGAGCGTATACCTCCTCCACCCGCCAAAGCTCCTTCAACATTCGTCGTCGAGGCTCGCCCATCCTTCGCCGATTCGTCCTTCTCCTGATCCTTCTCCCCAACAGACCAAGTAGGCGATAACGGAGTAGGAGGCTCCTTCTCCACCCCATCAACATCCATCTTCTCCCCCTCGTTCCTATCCGCCCTATCCACGCGAGAGCAGAAACAGGCGGAGAAGAGAGCGGGCTCGTCGACGGTTGACGCTCGCGCTGCCGTTCTTGATAAGGTTCACGTTTAGCGACTTCAGGGCCGGGATACCCCAACTCGATAACGTGCGACGAAGGCGAGTACGCCGGACTCTCCGTCGCAGACTTGCTTGCAGCTCTCGACGGAACGGTGGCGTGTTTGGGTGTTGGGTCCCTCGAAGGCACACTGACCTCGTCCCTCGAGAGAACCTCGTCGCGAGGCGGCGGTTCATCCCTCGACGGCACATCCTCCTTCTCCTCAGACGACTCATCACTAACAATCGTCCGCCTCCGCGCTTTCACCTTCACGCCTCCCGTCGCCTTCGCCTTGGTCTTCTTCCCGGACTCGTTAGCTTTGGGTGTCTTCACAGCCTTGCCCTTGGGCACCGTCGACGTCGAAACCTCCTCCTCGACCTTCTCCCTCGCAGAAGAAACCCGTCCCCGGCCCTTGGCGGTCTTCGACGCGGCTTTCGACGTAGCAGCAGCACCCTTCTTCTTCGTCATTGCCTTCGTCGGCGTCTCCTCCCTCTCCTCCTCCTCCCGTTCCACCACCACAACCGCCTCATCCGCCTCATCACCGCCATCGTCCTCCTCAGAAGACAAAGCCTCGGGCGTAGGACTAGGCGACATGGGCGTATCCGGTATAATCTCGTTCGGATCTTGCGGTACGAGGTGGAGGTGTGATTCGTCGTCTTCGTCATGGTCCTCCCCATCACTTCTAACCTCGCTTTGCTTCGCAACCTCGGGCTTAGCAGGGTGCTGTAGCCTGGGCCCTTGCTCGCCATCGTCCTCGTCCTCGCTCTCAACCGTACTCCTCCCAGCCTCGTCCTCACCCTCCTCCGCGCCCTCTTCTTCCTCCACAACAACCACCCTCCTCGCCTTCCTCCTGCCAGCCCCTGCCGCAGCACCACTCTTCCTCCCCCGTCGCTTAACAGGCGACTTGGGGATAGCAGGCAACGTAGCAGATGCTCTAGCCCTCTTCTTCGGTGTAGGCGGAGGGGGCATCCTCTCCACTTCCTCGTTTTCGCTTTCGACGGTGCGCTTCTCGTGGTCGATCGAGGTCGGTCTCTCGAGGGGGTTGGGTCTGTTCGAGTTCCGAGGGTGGTTAGGTGACGTCGGTCTCTCGAGGCGGCCGATGGAGGTCGGGTTCAGGTGGTTGGCTGAAGCGGGTGTCTCGGGTTCGCTCTCGACAGTCGTCTTGTCGGGTTCAGGTTCAGGCCTGGGCGAGACCAACGACATGCGCGCAAAGGACGTAGCGGGCGATACACCTCCTCTCCCAACATCAACCTCCATCTCAACATCCGTCCCAGCACTCGAAGGCGACGAAGGAGGAGGCGGCGGGTGGAGCAGCTGCGCATCGTGCAGAACCGAGCTCGTCGAAGGTGGAGGACCATTCGTTGTCGAACTCGTAGGCGGCGGAGGACCATTGATCGTCGAACTGGTAGATACCGGCGGACCATCCGTCGTTGTCATCGACGACATTTCTACAATCACCATAAGCATCAGCATCGTACCACACCAACAAAAATAACCCAATAAAAAACGTACCTTCCCTCCCCAACTTCTCCCTCAACGCACCCAACGCCCTATGCATCCACCTCTTCCTCATCTTGGGCGGCATGTCCTCTTCTACGGGCGGTCTATCGCTCTCGCTCTCGCCCTCCACAACCGCGTCGTCACGTCTATCACCCTCAGCACGCTCCACCGATAACCTCCTTCCACGAGCCGATATTGCCGGTTCGCCGTCGTCGACGTCCATCCGATCAGGATCAGGAGGCCGTAGTTCACGCGTATCGACGAGCGGTGAACCAGACACCGACTCGACATCTGCGTTGCCGTCGTGTCGTGATCGAGAAGAGGCTGGAAGAAAAAAGTCCAACGTTAGCCTACCTTACAACAAACCAATGACGAAGAAAGAGGGAATAAAACCCAACAAAAACCCCGAAAGAAACCCTCGAAAGAATGAACGAACAACAACGTACCTCGTCTCCGCCTCCCAACCCTCTCCCTCTCCCCATCCCCACCTCCATCCACAGCCCTCTCCTTCCCTTTCCCCGCCCTCCTCCTACCCTCTCCCTCCAACCCACCATCCGTCAAATCAACAACCTCCAACCCACCCAACCCACCACTCCCCACAACCCTCTCCCTCGTCCTACACCCTCGCTTACTCCCAAGCCCTCCCCGCAGAACACCACCATCTTCTCCATCCTTGGACGAACCCTCTCTAAACTCCCCCTCCCCCTCCACCTCCCTCACCCCTTCCCTATCCTCTCCTCTATCACCCACTCGCTCTCTACTCCTCGAACACTCCCCCCTTCCACACCTCCCATCGCTAAACTCTCGAGCCTCCTCCCCACGCCCAAAACCCCCACCAAGAAACTCAGGCACCTCCCCACTAACAAACCTCCCCATCAACGTAAACGCGCACTCTTTACTCCTCGCTCCACACGCGCACGTCGTAAACGTCGAACTCAGCGCATGGAGGATGTTGGCGATCTGAGATCGTAATTGGGCGAGCTGCGTCGAGCTGTTTGAGTAGTCGGTGGAATTGTGGTCGGTGGAATTGTGGTCGTCATAAGGGTTGTTGGTTGAAGAGTGGCGCAGGTTGGACGTTGGATGCGTGGTTGATATCGAATCGCCACACGACGACGCGAGCGATGAAAATGCCGAACGGAGGGTGCTACAAAGTCAGGTAAACCATTCGTCTACAACGTAAGGAGAATCGAGAACAGAGTAATGCCAAAAATCTTGGACAGCGAGCCCACAAAAAAGCTCGTAAGAAAAGAAGTAGAAAAGGTAAGAGGAAAGAAGAAATAATAGCAACGAAACCCTAAGAAAAAGAACGAATACGCACTTGAACATCCAAGGACTCTCCACAACGGCAGGAAGAGTATGCACAACATTACCATCATCCCACTCCCATCCAAGAACCACCTCCTCATTCTCCTTCAAATCCCTAAGCGCGAACAACCCAAACTTGAGGGGCGCCTCCTCTTCCTCCTCTACATCCTCTCCATTCCCACCGTCTTTATCCTTCCCTCCACCATCCTTATCCCTCCCCTTCGAATTCGAACTCTTCCTCCTCTTCCTCGAAGAAGCACTAGACCGCGTCGACACCGCCGCATCCTCACAAATAACAGGCCGAAGCACCGCATTCGGCCTACACCCACTCCTCACAAACCGTCCTTCACACCCCACCATCCTCGAATCCAACGCCAAATCCCACGGCTTGCCCAACAAATGGACGAAGGGTTTCGGTAGACCCGTGCTCGCATAGCCATTCAAGACGTCCTCGACGTAATGCCGCGAAGGGGTCAGGACGGAGGTGTAAGGCGAGATGAAAGAGTGCGAGGGGATAGGGGTGGTGGTGTGCAGTGCGAATGTCGGCGGGCGGACGCTATGGTTCGATGACGAGAAGGAGAGGGCTGGGTGGACGGACGTCTGCGGGTCAAGCGAACGCACCGCAAGATTCGGCGGATGCTCAATCGTCTCCTTCGGCAGCACAACAGGCGCCCCCGAGTCCAAACTCGTGCTAAACGCCGACACCCCCCGCCACTTCTGCGCCTCCTCCCAAAGCTTCTTCCTCGTCTCCTCACTAGGCACGATATCCTTCGAAACATGGACGTACGACGAACTCCACGCCTCCTCGACGTCGATGATATCGGTGGGCGGTGTGTCTTCAGTGTGGCCGTGCGCGCCGTTCACAACGACGGTGGGGAGGACCGGTGTCAGCGTATGATGCGTCGAATTTCTGCGGCGGCGTTTGTGGCTCCCCCCGTCCCCCGAGGCCGCCGCCGCCCTCCTCCTCCGCCCATCCTTCTCAACCACCGCCGAGCCCGGACTCGCCCTCCTCCTCGGCCCCGGCGTCCCCAACCCTCCTGCTCCCCCTCTTCCTCCCTGCCCTAAACCTTGACCCTGCATCTGTATAGAATAACACAAAGATTGAGCCTCCCGACCCCCAACAGCCTGCGCATCCAAAATAATCCTCACCCTCTCCTTCTGCAGCCTCGCCGCTCTCGCAAAATCCACAGGTCTGGGACTACACTCCCAGCACCTCCACTCCTCGGGTACCCTCCCCTCCACAATATCAAAACACGCAGCATGGCACCACCGCTCGCAGATATCGCACGCGATGCTGAAGCCGTCGTCGAACGTCGACCCGCAAATGCACCGGATGGCGTTCGTGTCGATGGGCGTCGTGTCGGGGTCTTGTGATGATGCTGTCGCTAGCGGTGGTGCTGTGGCTAGACTACCCCTCGGTGGTTTGGTCGACGAATTCGGCGGTCGAGTCGAAGATGAGGTGGGTGGCCGCGTTGAGGACTGGGGTGGCCGGTTCGCTGTGGACGACGGCGGTCGACTCGAAGATGCGGCCGGTGGACGGTTCAGTGTAGTCGAAGAAGAAGACGCCGCCCGGTCCTTTGACGTCGTGCGCTGTATCGAAGCGGGAGGTAAAACCTCCTCCTCGACATCAAGATGGACCGCCTTCCGCTTCGAGGGTACCATTTTCTCGCCCCCAATCAACGGGCTCGGTTTGGCGATGCCCACTCGGTTGGTTTTGTGGTTGGTGTCCAGTGGTGTCGTTTTGTGGTTGGTGTCGTGCGGCGTCGTGTCGGTGTTGGGATTGTGGTTGGCGTCAAGCGGCGTCGTCGTGTGGGCGATGTTGGCGGTGAGCGGGTTGGTCGAGTCAACAAGGTTGGTGGGTGTAAGGCCTAACAAACCCAAAGCGGCCTCTTGCGCATCGTCGTTCATTCCCTCCACCAACGAAATATTCCTAACCCTTCTGCTCCTAATGTCGTGTATACTTCTTCGCTCCTGGTTTTGTAGTCTTCTTCGATCCTAGTCGGTACTCTTCGTCTCCTAGGTCGTAGTCTCCTTCTCCTTCTAATGCCGTATACTCCTTCTCCTCGTTCGTCGACTCCAAAATCCAGCTCCTACGTATCTCGTGGTCTGGTTCGCTTTCGGTTTTTTCGTTCGCGTTGACTAGATGAGGTCGCGCTGGTCAAAGTCGTAGTTCATGAGCGACGACCCCTCGAAAAACGCTGTCCGTGGTGTTTATGTGCGTCGTTGTCGGACTAAAAAGATGCGTAGTTGTCGACGAAGCGTGATGTCGGCGGTGGATGTCGAACGAAGCCCTAACGTCGGCGTCGGATGTCGAACGAACCAAAACGGTGGTGGATGTCGAACGGAACCAAACACTGCACAGTCAAAAGTCGGAAGTCGAACTTGCTGGCCTTGAAGTTTGGTAAAGTGTTTGGTAAGAAAAACAAGAACAAAAGGGCGGAACACGAAACACCTGAACCCAGCCTCACTAACACCAGAGCAGTTCGTTCGGTTTGGGCTGAGCGAATGCTTACCACACCACAGCACCACAGCGCCGGCTCTCCCGTCCCAGTGCGGGCTTTGTTTGGCACAGTCTTGTGGACTGTTTGGCCGAGTCGTCTCGAGTCAACACTCAACGGCTCTCCGTACTGGAGTCTCCGTTCTAATCCTCATTTGCCGCACTATGCCGTTGGAGGCTGCATAACAGAATGACGATAAAGGTTTCACCACCATGCCGAATATGATGGGTCAGATGAGTCCGCGACTCACACGAAAGCTGTAGAGATAAGCCCGATAAGACCGAGAGTGCGATAAAAATAGATTGCTCTGCGGGGGAGGCGCGTGTCCTATATAGGCTGAGTGGTTGTATGTTCCATCCTCCCTTATGTTGGCGTTACTGCGTTACCTTGATGGTCGTCCTTGTGTTTCATTGTCTCGGGAGGGTCTGGTAGTCCGATGCACCCACTATCCCCTTAGTTCCCAGTTACCGAGAGTGACCACGACAAGTGTCGTCGCTGAGCCCTGGCCCTGAAGGACCATAAGGCAGGTGAAACCCCTTCACCAGAAGGAATTGAATTAGAAACACCGTACACGCCGATATTCCCGAACCACGAATATGTACATCTCACTTATCAGCTCGCGCCTTGAGCTCTTGAGGGCTCGGAACGTCAAGGAACCCCTTCTGATACGTACGCTTCTCGAGCGATAAGCGGTATCGATAATTAAGGTGCCGTACATACCTCGACATCCGTCCTGCACTCTAACAGCCATTCCCTCAGTCGAAAAGGCATTCCTCAATCGCGGAACTGCCTTCGAGAAAAACCAAGCCGGCAAAACCTGAAGCAAAACACGTTGGTTCCATGCTTCACGTCACAGCCAGGGGTACCTGCAGGACATGTGGGCGATGTAGATACAAACGGCGTGGCGAGGTGCTCGTTTCTCAACGTTCCTCGCGCGACTGCCACTTGTCTCTTCCCGGTCGATTGCAACGACTTCTACGACTACGACTGCTCGACTGGTGATTGCGACGACTGCTTCGACCGCACAATTGCTCGACTGCTACGACTGCTCGACGACGATCCTCGACTGATAGCGGTTTACGACACGCCACAGCGACAAAGATTAGGGAACAATGAAGCTCCACTCTGTTCTGGTTCTTGTGACGATGGCGGTGGTGGGGCGGGTTAGGGCGCAATCGAATGGAGGTGCGTCACCCTCTTGGCTTTCTAACATTGCTACAGCCAAACTCACTGCGTACCTCGCCTCTGTGCTGACTCTGCGTGTCTGACCATCTACGAATTCTGGACCCCGACCCATGTTAAACGTTACACGCCATTCAAAACGCACGCCATCTCCCATGGGCGTGCCATCGACTCACGGAAATCGCTTCGCTCGAACGACCGTGGATAATGCCCTCCATTTCAACCCGATACCCACCACTATTCCCAACGCCGACGAATTGCCTCCACGCGATGCAACTGAATCGGCATGTCTCATCGCTCGATAAACGAAATTCGAATGATCGACGTCGCCCAACGACTTGACTGGATTGCTCTGACTTGACGACTCGACTACTGCGACTCCGCTACTCTACTTGACGACGTGTAGAGCTCGAAAGCGGGATTTCGCCCTGCATACTCGAGTGCACGATGGCGAGTACGCGGCAGAACGATTGTGGGAGTGTGTGTGAGTACCACTTTCTCTTCCTTCGTCCAAGTCCTACTTCTCGCAGTTCCACCTTCTCTGTCCATTCGGCGTTCAGTTCGCGATCCAAGTCCCCGTCGAAGTCCATCCCCCTGTCTCAATGTATCAGCCTTCCTATGAGCTTCTCAACTTTAGCGCCAACCCCTCAACGTCCGAGATGCTAACGAATCTTCGCAGAGCAAACCTTCAATGTACATGCCGCAACCCTCAATTCTTATCCGACGCGAGGGCGTGCCTTGAAACGCGGTGCTCGACGGAGGAGGTGGAAGCTGCGGAGAGGGTTCAGAGGGAGAGCTGTGCAGCTGGTGAGTCCCCGTTTTAGTTTCGCTTTGCATTCTTTCTGTCCTATGAAGCCCGGGGGAGTGTAAGAGGCTCGCCTTGGCGTTGGTAATTCGAAAGTTCGGATTCTGGTTCAAATTGGGCTTGCGATGGGACTAGTGAAGCAAGGTTGGCGCTGGTGGTAGACTGTGGTCGACAGCGGGTCTTGGATGCTCGAGCGTTGTGCTACGGGCCTACTACACGATGCTAGATACGTCTTCGTTCGCGCTTCGACTCCCCTCTCCCCCTTCTACTGCGCTACCAAAACATCGAACTCGCTAACTAATTTTCTCTCTCTCTCGATAGCCGGTTTCCCCCTCCCACCGACTCCACCACCTTGTTTGATTGGATCCGGAAACTGTATCGGGAGATGGAATATGTTGTCCGCCATAACAACGAGCAGTCGGAGGCCTTCCGAGCGACAATAGGCATTCTGATTGGTGACACATGTTCGCCTATCCTGTGGGTGCTGTACATGGCTGACCTCCCGCAATGGATACCGAACGACGACGACGATGTGGTTCTTGGTACGACCCCGGTTACCAACCTGGAGCAAGCGGACGACATTCTCCTTCTCTCGACGACAGCACGGGGCCTGCAGAGGAAGATGTCTGGACTGTTTCGGTGGTGCGGCAGGAACTTCATGATCATCAACAGTGTCAAGTCCGAGGTCATGGTGTTTGGAACCCGCTCCACCGACATGCCCCAGTTTCGGTTCGGCGATGAGGTGGTGTCGGTAGTGGATGCGCAGTCCTACATCGGCTTCAAGGTCTCGTCAAAACCACGGATGCTGCTGTCGCGACATTACGACGAGAAGGCAGAGCAGGCACGTCAGGTGGGACTCAGTATCTGTGGCCTAGAAGCACTGATTGGAAAGATGCCCGTGCCTCATCTCCTCAAGCTGTACCAATCGCTGGTGGACCCTCACCTGACGCACGGGTGTGAAATCATCCTCGATACGGTGGCCAACCAGTTACAGAAGCTGGAACGGGTCCAGTTAGCATTTCTGAGACGGGTGTTGGGCGTAGGCGAGCGCAGCATACGCGTGGTCCTGTTCACGGAGACGGGCATGCTCCCCATCCGTATTCGACGCCTGCTGCTCGCGATCGACTGTGTCCGCTACTATGTACGGCTACCTCGGGGACACCTGGCTCGGGAGGCGTTTGAAAGAGGCTATGGCACTGGACGCGATGGGGAAGGGCAACTGGGTAGCAGACTTGCGAGCTGTGATTTCGGAGCTGCCCTACTCGACGTCATTTCCGGACGCCCAGTCGGTGCGGGATGAGCAGATATGGTTGGATCTGACAAAGGACATCCGGACAGGGGCTGACAAATGGCTACACACGCTCCTCGAGGACAACGAACTGCTATACCTGCTACACGGGAGGAAGGAGCGAGTGGGATCGGGTGAAGTTAGAGTGGTGCGACGGTCTTTGCGGGGGTACCTCAGAATCGGGAATCGAGACCACCGTGTGGCGCTCACCAAACTACTGGTCGCAAACCACACCCTTCGCTCGGTAACTGGTCGGTGGGCAGGCATACCACTAAACGAGCGGTGGTGCCGAATGTGTGGACAGGCGGAAGAGACACCCGAACACGTCCTATTGGAATGTCGTGGGGTCGCTGAGGTGATCACCCAGAGACAGAGGGTGCGACAGCTGCTAATGAACGTCTTGAAGCCAGACGATATGGAACGCATCCGAAGCGTGGGGAGCAGGGGCACCGACCAACTGCGCATTCTCATCAGCATCGACAAGGCCAGCGTGATAGTGGCACCCTTTGCGTACAAGGTCATGAAGACGCTTCGACAGGTAGCATCGTAACACACAAACTGCCGCATATATATATTCGAGAACCAATGTGTATAAAATAGGAAGTATATGGGAGTATTTGTGACCCAAACACGGGAGAAATCGTGAATTAAAACTCCTCGGGTTGTCGGCTACTCTGGGATGGACATCGACTACCTACGGGCTGGCGACAGTCGCCCTTTGTCCCGACAACTTACTGGGCTGATGAGAGTTCTGGGAGTTCCTCTCTATTAGTCAGCCTGGGGGTTACGGTGCCCACGAGGCTGCTGGACCTTGGAAACACACACACACACACACCTCCACCCCGCAGTTTGACGGACATCCCGACGCTCGCCCCCTCAACCACCGCTATATCTAGCCCTTCGGCGGAGTCTAGTGCAAGCGATACGCCCGGCGAGCTGGAGGAAGGCGAAGGCGAGGAGGGAGGAGCAGGTCGGACTGGTGGAGCGTGGGGTATGATGTTGAATTTGGGAGGGGTAGTCGGATTGGCTTGGGCGTTGGTGTAGAGGGTATCGATGATTCAAATGACTCGTCCCAGTTCCTATGTGGGTGAGAGTCAAATTGTCAATTACTCGAGTAGTCCATTGCCGGGAAGACATAGGGTAGCCGATTGTTAACGTTTGCAGAACCTTGAATCTTAAGTTGGTTTCTAAATCCCTGAGGCCGTGATACGACTATTCCTTCAACTGCTTACAGGCACTGTTTTAGCTAGCATCAGATAACTGTCATATCATTCGTTGACACTTTGCCTCGTGTTCCATGGGGTTCTCGTCATGAGAATGACAACGTGGTATCTGAGTGGTCGAGGCGAAAGGCCACAGTCGTCCCCAGATCTTTTCTACATACTACCTCGCCCATCCCGACGATCTTCGCTTGTCCGGACACCGATGGCTGATCAGAAGCAAGGTGCGACTCTGAATACTTCGTAAGAGGCCGCTGCTCACCCACGGTCCTGGGCGCTAGGCCTAGTTCACTCTCCAAAGGTTCGACGACAAGGGTTGAGCAGGCGCAGTGTATACCAGGGCATCCTTCTCTTCGTCAAGCTTCCGAGCGGTGACACTACAAGCCTAAATGTCAGCAAAGATATAACGTTCTCAGAACTGAAAAGGTTGCTCCAGGAGGAGTTGCGCTGTTCCAGTGGTACGTCCATCTCCGACCAAGTGGTCCATTCATCGAACGCTGAGCTGGCGCGATCTTCTGCCAGACCCACTCCTGTTCTTCCACCGTGACCAACAACTTCGGACGAACTCCCGAACGCTCCAGGACTATGGAATCGAAAGCGGATCCATGCTACGTATCGGAGTTGTCCTCAGCAATGGTGAAGACCCAGCGACGTACACGCCGACATTCCAAATTCAAGTTAAAACACTCAGAGGGACCACCATCCCAATTGGCGTCGACGAAAACATGGACGTGGAGGATTTGGAGCTCATCCTATGGACAAAAGGGGAGCCATCACCAGGTGAGTGAGCGGCAGTCTTCAAGGTCGTCAACCACATCTCGATTTATCTTCTTCTTGCTCTTTGCGTTGTGGTGTGGCTTCCAGGACGCCAACGGCTCATCTTCAAGGGGAAGCAGTTCGTGGAAGGGAGGACGCTCGGGTATTACAACGTCCAACCCGGATCTGTGCTTCACCTCGTGTATAGCCTCAGAGGTGGAGGTGACGCCCGCGTTCGAACGGAGTATCCTGGGGCGTACCTCCTCGTAACACACCCGTGGTCTGGAGAGATGCAGGTGCGTCTGAATCAAACTCTATTCCATATTCTCGAAATGCTGACCACGCGAATGCATTGATTGGCCCGCTTCTGCAGCTCTCCTATATACAGGGTCTAAAGGTCGAGCGTGGCGATTCAATCATTTGCGAAGAGCTCGTATGCCCGGGATGGCTGCGATGCACGAACAAGGACGGGTCGGAAGGGCTCGTACCCATAACGCATGTCGCACTACTTAGGTACGCGATTAATACCATGTATCTGCTTTGGGGATAAGTCTGATCATTTCTTTCTCTAGGGTATTCAAACAATCGTTATACGACGAGCTGAAAGCGACCTCTGCCGAAAACATCGCACTTCCAGCGCTGTCTTCCCCACCGACGGCGAAATCAGCAGACGAACCGTCAAATAGTCCACAGGAGAATGTTAACAAGACGCCGTTCCACCTTCTCTCGTTCTGCTGCCCCTCGCTCGGTCTGTCCAACGCAAACAACTCCGTCGAAATACTCCCCGAAATCCAGTACCTTACGCCGTGGGATGAGAAGCTAGCAACAGAGCTCGACACGGAATCTCTCCTCAAAGTATCGGAGCAATCGAGTCCGACCCTCCGACCCTTCCCATACCCCGATCCTGACCCTCCAGTGCTACTCAAGCACGAAATCGGGGCGGGTTCGTCAGGCAGCGAAGGAGGCTCAAACTCAATGGTGGTCGCCTTCGAACTCAGCTGCAGTCGATTAAAATCCCCGAGCGACAACCCCAGCGTCCACGTCCTCGTAAAATGCATCGCCCCTTCTCCCGATCGGATATTCTCCATCGCGTTCACGCTCCACATCGAAAGAAATGAGATCATCGATGTCTCCCCGCAAGAAGTCCTCGGAAACGAGACACACACCGAGCTCAGTTCGACTGACCGGCAGAAGGGTGGACTTGATGTAGGTATCTCGGTCGAAGGATTCAGGCTGGGCGGAAACTACGAGAGAGAGAAAGGGGTGGAAAAGGTGGCGACGCAGGTTACCCAGATGTCGATTAAAGGAGTCAGGATTGGACGCGAAGAAGCGAGGTGGGCGTTAGCTGAAGACCCCAGCGATGCGGGGAGAAAAGGCTTGCCATTAGAGACCGAGTTGTCAATAAAGGTGAGGTTTAAGCCAAAGAGCGTCAGGTGCAGATATACCGTTGTCGGAGTCAAGGGGGATAGGGAGAAGGTAGAGTTCGAGAACAGTTGTGAAGTCAATTTGTAGGGTCACACGAAAGCTGTATGTAGAGATAAGCCCGATAAGACCGAGAGTGCGATAAAAATAGATTGCTCTGCGGGGGAGGCGCGTGTCCTATCCAGCATCTATAGGCTGAGTGGTTGTATGTTCCATCCTCGAGCCCTTATGTTGGCGTTACTGCGTTACCTTGATGGTCGTCCTTGTGTTTCATTGTCTCGGGAGGGTCTGGTAGTCCGATACACTCACTATCCCCTTAGTTCCCAGCTATTGAGAGTGACAACGTCGTCGCTGACCCCTAAGGCCTGAACGACCATAACACAAGTGAAACCCCTTCACCAAAAGAAATTGAAATTAAAACACCGTACACGCCGATATGCCCGAACCACGAACACGTTATCAGCTCACGCCTCAAGGACTCGGAACGTCAAGGAAACGCTTGAACTTCTTGAGCGCTTATAAGTAGCGTTATCGATAAGATGCCGTACATACCTCGGCATCTCTAAATAATTCCTCGCCCATCCATTCATCCAAGCTGCCAATCCAGCAACACCCTCCGCGGTGCGAGCGGAACCGCGTTCGAGAACCAAGAATGGGCGCTAACATCAGTAAAATGGCCAGCGCTTGGTCTTGAGCTTGATCGCTTGAACTTGAGCTTGATCATTGAACTTGAACTTTACGCGACCTGCGCACGAACTTGGATCATTTGAGCTTGCAATGACAGCTTACGCTATAGCTTTTGCTTCACCACTTGTGCATAGAATGCCTTCGAGGAGAGCCTGCATTCACATTCACATCTATCAACTAGCAATCTCGTGTGCATTATGGTCCGCATACTTATTTACATAGAATACTCGGAAATGGTCTAATGAATGAGTATAGTCGAAACCGTAAATAGGAATCCGATGTTTCCCAGCATAACCAATGAGATGTGCCGCACGGAAGATGGAATCCAAATGGATAACATCGAGCGAGGGTTTCCCTCGGATGAAATCCGGCTCGACCACCCACATCCCAGTATCAGGACAGGGCTCATCACCAACGGTGGAGTACCACTGTACAAGGGCACAGGGATGTTTCTCGTCGCAGTAGGATAGCTGGAAGAAAAGGAAAACGCGAGCAACGAGAAGCCCACGGAATCCAGGTTCATCAGAGGCCCCAATGAAGACGCAATCGTAACGAGGCCTCCCTCCCTGCCAGCTTCGCACAGCGCGAATGCGCTCCGTACGCATGCCTTCAATCCCGGAGACGTCACTGGGAGCAAAGAAATCGGCACGAGCTGAAGGGTAGGTGTGAATCTTCAGTGCTGAAATATCCGGACAGAGGTCGAGAGGTATATCTTGAGACGATTGCGCGATGCCGTTGGCAGTGTAGTTGTACAAGTATTGTCGGATTCCATCGATGAGCTGAGGCTGCTGAATCTCCGAAGCAACCTCGTAAACGTTGCGAGCGCGCCGGGGGACTTGAAGGGTGGTCAGAGAGGCATACATTGAAGGCAGATACAAACGACTTACCTGCTCGTTTGGCTAGTTTGATGTCACCCATACTTGCAGGTTCGTCAATAGCATCGGCATCGAAGTGGTCGCTCTCGAGATCCAATGAAGTTGCCGGTACAGTTGAAGGTTCAAGGGGAAGTTGAGGGACTGTGCTTGAGGACGAAGCACCTACTGTCCGAAACTTTGTACGCATGGCAAGGATTTTATCCGTCCTCTGGTTTGTAACGAGCATTTGGCCCAGCGGGCGGTTGCGGTTGGATCGGCGATATGGTTTCTTCACTGCCTTGATGTGCTTCGATTCCGTGATAGACGAACAGAGACCATTAGGTGCGCCAAATTGTTGGATAAGATGGCGGTAGTGAACCATCGAATGTTGTCGTGGCAGTGAAAAGCCAGTAGGTCGCACATTGTCACGAAAGATCTCTCGGTTGCGATGAAAGCTGGCTACAAGATTGTCGAGTCGTTCGAGGTCGTCTTCCGTGATAACGGAGCGCCGTACAAGATATGTAAACTCTAGAAAGTCGCGAAATGTGTGTACAATCTGGTCGGGGACATGGCCAGCAATCGCTGGAAGCAAGACCTGAAACGAATTCAATGAACGCTCCGGTATCGCGCGGGGTAAAACTCACCTTCATTAGGCCTTTCGAATCGTCCCCTGTCCACTGTTTAAACCCTCTGCCTTCATAGAATCGACGAAGGCCCGGGAAAGGTGAGGTCACCGCAATTCTTCGATCAATATCGGCAAGCACAGACTCGGCCTCTTGCTTCCCAAGTGTCTCCGTGAGGTACTGGACTGTCCAATCCACAAGGTGGTCTTTGAACGTGCCTTTGATGAGTTGATGAAGCAGATCTGGAGAGATGAGCTCGTGTATGTTGGCACGGGGAAAGTATGCAGTAAATGGCTTGGATAACGATGGTCAGGACCCCTGGGCAGCATTCCGAGAGGGCTACAAACTTACGATTATGTCTCCCACAATGCCATAGTCATCCCATACTTCGCGAAGGCTGAATGCAGTGCAAAGGTCATCCGTGTGGTCGTGAGATCGATACACATGTTGGTGATCAAGCGCTTCCTTATCGAGATCGTTGGAAGGGGCGGTACATCTAGATGTATTGCCGTCAGTGTTGTGAATCTAAGGAGGAGTGAATGGACTCACATTGGACACCATCCCTGTACAATGCAAGCCAGAAGCGCTTGCTCAGGGTAATCTGCGATATATGGTCCAAGACCGTAGATAACGCGGCGGAAGTAGCCATCTCCACATCGAGTAATGCGAGGTGTCGTCATGTAGGGCTCCAAGCTAGATAGAATATGTCGCAGAGAGGTATGAAATAGTTGGCGCCGGAAGTGGCGGAATTTCGGGTCATTTGCGTATTCTCTGCTGGCTGCGGAAATATAGAAGTTATTTCGGAGCTGGTTACGGAGGGCGTCCACTTACTTTTAGGGATGGCTAGAAATCCAATTAATGCGACTGCATTGCGATGTGCACGTCGAACGGAATTGTGCACGTTGCCGAGGGATGCGTAGAGGGGATAGAAATCGTTTTGTCCAGTAGCAATTGATACCGTTGTTTTATCGCTGCCCATGACGATGGGCGCGAACATAGCCCCGTGATTATTGATGTCTTTTGAAAGTATATCCTGGGATAGGCTATTATGAGTGTCGTTAAGAGTGTGAAGCAAGAACCACGTACTGCCTGTTTCCATGCCCAATTCCCAGACATCAAGTCCTTCCACTGTCGCTTATCATTCTGATAGACCCGCTTAGGTGCATAGTCGATCTTCTCTTTGAAGTCGGGGTTTCCAATCTGGCTCTCCATGACCTTTAGAGGGTCCCGAAACCAAACTTCGTACGGTTGCATCATCCAAGGTGGAATGCTGCCATGCGTGGGCTTTTCTCCATTGTAAGTGACGGAGAAAGAGTCCCATGGAACTTCGCCTTCTTTGATGGAGTCGATTAGAGCATAGAGCTCACGGTGGTTAGCCATTGGTGGAGGTTCGTTGGGGTATAGCTCAGCAAGGATCTCGATGAGTTCGTCGATTTTGCCGGCTGACATTTCACTTTTGACGTAAAGAAAGTCGGCGAGGCGGAATTCGGAAGGGGAGTTAAATGGGTAGCAGATTTCAGTGAGAGCTTCATTTTCGAACGGAGGCTCTGGTGGTCCATCGTAGTCAAAGCCTTCAGCATCGCAAGGGGTGCCTGAATCGATTATCACTATCGCTTAGATGTGGGGACTTGAAACTTGAAACACGTACCATCAAGAATTGGATGAGTTTCAACTCGATTGGGAGGACGAGTCAAAGATGGAGTGTCGAGAATCTGTGGTTCGAGTGAAGGGGAACGAACAGAGGAGAGTTGTTCAGGTGATTCTGATCGAGTCACGGTCACGCGCGAGCTGTCGAGGTGCTGAGTTTGCGGTTGCTGCTGATCTTGTATCTTTCTGAGGGCGACAGGCAGCTCGTGGACTCTCCTGTGCTGCTTCAGACCGTGAGGGCTGGTGTAGCCCTTCCCACATTGGGAACACCGGTATGGCTTTGGTTTGTAAGTGTTTCTGGTGCGATTTGACATGGTTGAATGTTAACAGGCGACCACGGATTCGATTTTCAACAAATGAAAAGGCCATCATCGATGAGAGTGGGAATTCTGCAAGTAATGAACAGTCCCACTCAAATTCTAGTGTGTTCATTCCTGCTTGTTCTCTTACCACCACGTCGCCATGTCCTCCAAGAAGTCGAAGAAATCCAGCTCTGTGAATGCGTCAAAGGCACCAGCCATCAGCCTGCCTCGACAACTCCGAAGCCAACAATCCCAGTCGACTGAACGGGAACTGCGCCCCCGGCCAGCAAAGCCAGAAACCTCTACTCCAGCACCGACCCGCCGCTCATCCGAACAAGTCCAGCAAGATAGGGCTGCAGCACACGCCGAAAGGCGAACCGAGGTCCGACAACAGCAAGAGGCAATCGCGCAGGCAGCAGCAAATGAACACCAGAAACTTCGTAAACAACGTGCCGATGATAAGTCTGCTAGCAATCCACCACTAGACCCGGATGTTCCTGCAGTAAAGGAGCGGCGCTTACGGCCAAATGAACCTGAAGACGACGACCTCATGGATGTTGATAGGTTCGGCGACGGAGGGTCTGATTATCAAGATTCGGGATCGAACTACATGTCCGACGACGATGAGATTGACGACCTTTCTCCAGAGAAGCGTCGCAAGGGTGAAGCACGGCTCGTCATGGACCAGCTAAAGGCATTTCATGATGACGAAGAGTCTGAAGGGGGGACAAAGCGTCGACGGTCTGATAGCAACGCAACGTGAGTACGCCCACTACCATTCATCCCCGCGCTCGCTGCTAACCATTAAACCACGTCGCACGACATGTTCGCAGGACCCAGAGGCCAGCAAAGAAGGCCAAGAAGGGCTTCAATGTTAACGCAGGGCTCCGCAACTGGAATGGCAGTGGATCTGATCGTAGGTTCTCTATTTCATGGCGCTGTTGAGTCTCGACTCGATACTTCAAACAGATTCTTCGTCCATGGACTACTCGAGCGAGGGTCCATCGAATCCTCCAACATCAGACCCGGTTACAGACGAGACAAATGAATTCGGGGACGGCGCTTTCAGTGATAACGAAGAGGGTGAATCGAGGGAACGGGCACAGATCAAGGAGGGTGCCAAGCCACTGTACCGCTTTGTGGCCAAACACCCAGCGAGCGCTCGTGTAGTACCTGTGAGCAAACAAGCGAGCTCGTTCCATCATTTACACCACTAATATGACCTCTATAGCCTCCCCAGAACAACGTCAACATCAAGAACACGGAATCAGTCGCCGAATTTATGCCTCCCTCTTCCGCCCAAGTCCTTTTGGTTTCCCGCCTCAATCGATCCGATATCACTAAATCGCACCTACCCCAAGATCTGCGGAACGCGTTCGACAACATCTTCGTGCCCCTGATCCTCCAGGACATTGGACATGGCAAGGATCCCTGGGTCTCCGTTGAGGACAATCAAATCGAGACGACGTTCGCAAATGTATTCCCAACCCGCAAGCCACTTGCGGAAGATCCAACATTGCTTACGATCTTCAGCAAGCTGGCAAGTCCCATCTTTGTCCCGGTGCTAATGAAATGCTAACTGGTTCTTAGACTGCAGAGGCGGTCTCGCAATGGCGAAACAAGTTTGCCAATCAAGCTACGAAAACCCTCGAATCTGCTATTTTTGAAGCTTTACCTCAAGGTGACTCCGTTTCTGACGCTCGCAAGACATACGTCAACTGGGCGCTATCCGGCAAAGACCATGAACGCGTCTTTTATTACCGCGTCTACGAAGAACAACCAGACGATGTTGATGACGCTCAAGAAAATGGAGCCCAGTCGAAGAAACTGTTTAGAGCGGTGAGTTGGCCCACTGTAACCAGGCTTTGCACTTACACTTTTCACTGTATAGGGCTTGTTCCAATCAGTCTTGATTTCATCCGTCTTATCCGTCCATTACGCCTCTCTTACCACACTGCCGCAAAACCGACGCTCGAAAGAATTTCCGTCTGCCGCTTTGATTATGGCTATTCAAGCGGTACGCCTCGTCAATACCTCTTTATCTCTCGCAAATCTCACTCCTGTTTAGTGTAAACGCGCACTTACCTTCTACGAAACGGGGGAGAAAGTTATCCCAGGTCGCCCTTACAGCGATTTCTCGCGTGGAAACTGGGGTGACCATGAGGAGATACGCGAAGGTCGAAGGGTCATGGTTTACACAACTTCCAAGCTCTACAAGGTTGTTTCGAAGCTCACAGAACCTATGAAGAAGAAGATCTCGGATGCCGCCATTGCTCTTCTGCCAGAGAAGCGACGCTCGAGCGCTACCACACGCTCTGCCCCGCCTATTGCTAATCAAGACGAAGATTCGGATTTCGACCTAGTCGATGACGAGAATGGTGACAATTAGAGCAATTCACTGTCCCCAGTCTATTGTAGATTGCTTAGATCTGTTACCTTATCATCTGCTCCTTAGTACAATGTTCTTAGTTTACCTCATCCCTAAATACATCGGATTTTCGTACGAATTTCAGGAAGGAGCGACAGCGATACACTATCCCCAAGCGACAGTCAAGCCCTTGAATAAGATTCGAACCTTGAGCAAAGTCGAATGACTTGAACATTGATGGTAGCTTGAATGATACTTGATCAAGCGATCAAGAGCTTGTCAAGTTAAGGGCCCTGGCTTGGTCAAGGATGAGTGCTTGACTGGCTTTTCGGCTTGGTCAAGCGTCTAAAGCCTCGTCAAGTGGGTTGGACATTCTCCTGATGAAACACCATCGATAAGCTTAAAATTCTGTAAACGCAAATACCATGCCCGTGCAGACTTTGAGCACTACATTCCCTTCTATTCTAGCAGTCCATTCGAGTAGTCCATTCGAGCGCTACGTCAAGATTTCCTCACCCTCACACAAGTACACCAACCCAAGTCCTTCAAGCCATCAATCACCATCACCGTCCTCGACCACACCGAGCGCCTATCTACATACCACTCGCTCGCTTCATACCTGCCATCGTTCCATCACCTCACCTCACCTCGCGGTCACTCCGTCCCCTTGTATGAATGTGTTCCATCACCTCGTACGAAATCATTCCGTCGCCTCGTTGTCAGTCATTGCCCCTGTTGTCAACGATGAATTGTGCAAACCTGAAGCAAACCACGTTGGTTCCATGCTTCACGTCACAGCCAGGGGGTACCCGCAGGACATGTGGCCGATGTAGATATAAATGGCATGGCTAATGTTCGTTTCTCGACTCACCCTGCTACGATTGCTCGACCACTGCTCGCCTCTTCCCGCTCGATTGCAACGACTACTACGACTTAGTGACTTCGACGACTGCTACGACTGCTCGACGACGACTGCTCCCTCTACTCAGGGTGACGACACTTCTCAACTTTTAGCAACGACAGGCCACGCGACACGGTTAGAAAACGATGAAGCTCCATTCTGTTCTGGTTCTTTTGACGATGTCGGTGGTGGGCCTGGTTAGGGCGCAATCAAACGAAGGTTTGTCACCCTCGTTTACTCTTCGATGATACTGCAGACAATCTGACTGCGTACTGCGTACCTCGTCTTCTTCCTGACTACACGTGTTGCCATCTACGAACCCTGGACTACATCCCATGGTTAACACGCTCCGTTCGAAACACACCCGTATCATCGACTCACCGCAATCGCTCTCTTCGCTCGATCTTGAACAACCGTGGACAACGCCCACCATTCAATCCGAAACCTACCGCTATTCTCAACACCGACGAATCGACTTCTCGATAAACAAAAATTCAAATTGCCTCCACGCAACTTCTTGCTTGCTAACCTAAATCCGAATGTTCGACGTGACTTGACCTCCTCCGACTCGACCACTCTACTTGATGATGTGTAGAGCTCGAAACACCAGATGCTGTAGCTATTATCCATAACTTGTGGGTATATCCATCCATACTGTATCCATAATCCCATGGATACGTGCCCTAATACCCTACTTGCTGCGTCTGGGTTCGTTATCCATAACATTCTGGATACCCAAAATGGCATACCTTCTCCTATTCCATGTCCAAATCAGATCCATCGGTCTTCTTTGTGATCTCATTTACTGCTTGTGACAAGCGCACCAGATCCTTCTGCAGATCCAGCATTTGGCGTCCTTCGGCTTTGGATTGGGCGGTGATGGGCGCATCAAAAGCCGACTTCTTTTCCGTATTAGGAGGGTATGTACCATAAATAGCACCGAGCTCTATTTCCGCTCGTTCTTCTGGACAGTGTCAGTAGCTATTTGGGTCTCCTGGACAAGCGACTCATATACATCCACGTTACCGATACCAGGGGTCTGCTGTGCGCACAAGCCCAGAGTATGTACGATGACATATTGGTGGAAGTCAAGATGAGGGTAGCAGGTTACGGCGGGGTGGAACATGTGGGAAGTTACAAACCACGTACCTGTTGTCATTCTATAGCGTAAGTTGGTAAATTGGAGCTGTATAATATTGGCACATTGTAAGTAGCAGAACTGTGGCACGCCAGGTGGCCTAGCCACCCGTCGAAAAATCTTTGATTGGGCACTTCCGGCAACTACCGCGAAATTGATCGAATCAACATTCGTGCCGCCTCATGCCGAAAACATAGAACTGCTCCTACAACATGGTCTGTGTGTCGCCTGACTCTCAGACGGGGCGTATGGGGTACTACACCAGGTATAAATAGATTCCATACCCCAAGATATCACACCCTGCGTTTTGAAATAAAAATGATACGAAAATCAAGAACCCAATGGGGGATGTACTTTCCACAGAAGGATTTCCAACAGGACATCCTCCTCCCAGTTGCATCGTCACCCTGTCAGCGTGGAATTGTTATATTAAGGAAAGACGACTCCTGGGTTCCCTTTCTGGATATAGTAGACTACTCATTACTGTCGTGTGTTATTTCCAACTGTCCTGAGATTGCTAGGACAATGGTAGTAGAATTGACATTCACATTACACGCTCAGAACTCATGTACATACCTTGAGACTTTACGAGGGGCAGGGTGTCCATGTGCTAGTCCATTACGCCGAGATATGAGGGTCCGTTCCTGTTGGATGTCGCACGAGAGGCTAATCAGTGTATTCTACTGATAAGCGGATACAGCTCGCAGAGTAACGTCGATTGCTTTAGTATTGTGCGTGTATGTTCGAAATGCTAGTAAAGGTGTTCCCTGCGAGTTTTATCGTAATCAAAGGAAATATGGGGAGGAGAGAGAGAAATCGATCTGGTGCCAAGCCAAATAATGGAAAAGGAATTCCACCATACCCCGGGGGCCTGTTGCGCTGATCTGTAGATGTTCATTGAGGCAGTAAAGTCGGAAATGACATCTCAAAACCTTGAGACTATGCGACCAAATATCGTTGAGTATTCATTGAATGAATGATTTTACACCAAATCCAACAAAACCCTTTTCTACAATGGAAAGACGTGCGGGTGCGCTTGAGTGTAGATACAGTAAAACACCTACCATTACTCTATATCTCTACCAATTTTCAAGGCGTAATTTGTACACATTACGGATTTACGATGTATGTCATTTCTTGCCAATTTCACGGAAGTTCGACCGAATTAGGCATCCCGCCATGTTCGGTTGTGCAACGGGACACCTGTCCAACACCGCTGTGGTTCCTTTGAACTGACAGGGACAGCGACAGTTGATTGACAGGTGTTCTTGATGAGAACCTGGTTCTCCGTCGATGGGGTTATGGATAACGATTGAGAGGGTCCCTAACCATGCAATTATGGATCACTACAGGCATGGATAAACCGGGCCATTATGGATAATTTGGCCGTCTACGCCTCCTCGAAAGCGGCATCTCACCCTGCATACTCGAGTGTACGATGGCCAGTGCACAGCAGAACGATTGTGGGAGTGTGTGAGTCTCTTCTTCCCTCTTCTTCCCAATCCCAATCCTCCTCTCCATCCCCCATGTCCTTCTATTTGCCAGCCTTCCCACCCACCTCCCTCGTCAACCCTAACACCAACACAAACACTAACTACCCTAACGAACCCCCACAGCGCAAACCTCCAATGCACATGCCGCAGCCCCCAATTCCTCTCCGACACGAGGGCATGCCTTGAGACGCGGTGCTCGAGGGAGGAAGTCGAAGCCGTGGAGAGGGTTCAGAGGGAGAGTTGTGCAGCTGGTGAGTAATCCCCTTCTACTTCGCTTTGCCTTTGCATTTCTTTGTGTATTATGAGGCCCGTGGGCAAGGGGGTGTACGGGACTCCCTCCCTTCGGCGTTGGAACCTCGAAGTTCGAGAATCTGGTAACGGGTTCGACTTAGCTTTGTGATGACGGGACGAGCGAAGCAAGGTTGGCGCCGGTCGCTGGTGGACTTGTACAATGTTCGACACCTCTTCGCTCGAGCTTTGACTCCCTCTCCCCCTCCCTACTGGTCTACTATAACACCAAACTCGCTAACTAACTCCATATCTCTCTCTCTCTCACCATCCCTCAACAGCCGGCTTCCCCCTCCCCCCAACACCCCCACCTCCACCCCGCAGTCTGACGGACATCCCAACACTCGCTCCCTCAACCACCGCCACCGCCACACCTATCCCCTCGGCGGAGCCTAGTGCGAGCGATACACCCAACGATCTAGAGGAAGACGAAGAGGGAGGAGCAGGTCGGAGCGCACGTGCAGGCTGGGACATGACTCGGATGATAATTTTCGGAGGGGTACTAGTGGGATTCGCTGGGTCGTTGGTGTAGAGGCCCGGGCCTGGGTATACCGTATCCGAGGATGATTCCAAATTCCAATGAGTCGTCGCAGTACCTCTGTAGCTGGGAGTCAAACTGACAATTACTCGAGTAGACTGTAGTCTATAACATTGCCGAGAAGTACAAGTACATAGCCCATAGGGTAGTTTACGTCTCCGATTGATCATTGATGAACGCTTTCCACAACACTTCTGGATCTTCACTTGGTTTATGAATCCCCTCAGACCGTGATACGACCACTCCTTCAGAAAGAACGGTAACGTGACCATAGTCGCGAAAATGAGAACATCCATTAAGCGCGCGCGTCCGGACCTCCTGAGTCCTAATTCTCGCAGCGCCCGAGACGTCGAACCACTCCAGGGGCTCTCCAGGTGCAGAACATCCGATGTCACTTGCTCAGGTGAGCAGGCCCAACGAGGGTGGCTTCCAGTCGTGAGTCCAGAAAGGAAAAGAAAGCACAAGAGATCAGCGGAGATGAAATATTTGATATACTTATCTCGTGTTCGAACTTCGTGAATCGTCGCAAGTAGATCATCATCCCCTCATTGAGACATCTGTCACTGTGGGCGCCAACGCATGGCTTCTCCGAGTTCAGCCTGTCAACATTCAAGGAGAAAATATTTTTTCTTTGCCTTCTTTGGAACAAGAAGAGGCGCTTTGACATTGTCTGACTTTGAAAATTAGGGCCGTTAGGCAGGGATAGCATAATGAAGGGCGGCGAGGATCCTGGTTTGGGGAGGTATGACTGGGAGAGTGGCTCCAGGGTGTCAACGTAGATGGACCTCTGATGAGAGAAAACTCACGAAATAGGACATTCAGAGTCTAAGGAACGGGCGTGGATCGGTGTGACCGCTCCAACATTGTCGCTTCATTGTCGCTTCTATTCTGGTTCCCACCTTCGCCATAAGTTCCTCTTCAACCCATGAATCTGGGCGGCCAGCATAAAATAACAACCAAAGCGACGGCTGTTAGCTTCTCGGGATTATCCTGAACAGGTGGGACATCCCTGAACGGTCACCTGTGCTGTTGGAAAGGAACAGGACAGGAATTAAGACGTATCCTCGATGACCTGGACAGCATTCAAAGTGCCTCTTGGTGAAGAAGCGGAGAAACATCCCCTTATCGAGCTAGCCAATCCTGACAAAAGAGGGCTTCAGCATTACCTGATGTCTTTTACACCTTGAATGACGATCAACGCCAAGCAAAAGGAAAACGAGGACAGCCCTTCGCCCAGTGGCGACAAGAAATGGGACTGTTCTTCTGTGACTTCCCGGCAAGGCCCTTTTTGCGACGATGAGAGTTGTAGAACAGGCTTTAACTAAGGGATAAGCCGGCTTTATATACGACACGCACGACCGTATTTTCGGCTAACAAGGGAGGCTAATTAAGGGAAAGAGGGACGGATTGCCACTCGGTATTACAGGAAACACGTTGGATCCCTGAGGCGTGTACAGAGCGATACGTTCGGCGGGAAAGGAGCTGTGATAGGAATGAAGAAATGTGGAGGGTAAAAGCTGTGATAGACCTGCCATTGGGCAGATATCCTGTGACCCTAAAATTTCGGACGGGGAAAAGCCAGAAGTAATTATGGGCATTTAGGGCGGGGATGTAAAGTTGGATCTCCCTGTCTCCGCCCCATTTATTGATCCCCCGAAAGACATTGGTCACCCGTCATCTTTCCTCCATTCTTGCCACTCCGTTCGAATTTCGAACTTTAGTCCTTCCCCACAAACACTTCCCGCGAAGCGAAAATTCCAGTCCGGGCCTTGCTCGATCCATCCCAATTACAGCTCGCTACAAGATGGTAAAGGTTCGTACTGAACGTTCACTTCTATGCGACAGCGCGACGCTCATACATTTTGACAGACGTGTAACAAGGGTCAGAAGAAGAGCGCAGTGTCCAGGCGGAAGCCTGTAATCTTGGTGCGTTTATCAACCACCTCCGGTCCCCAGCACGGGCTTCTTATAGCCGTCGACGGCGTTTTATAGGGCGCAACTAAGGTTCTCTGCAGCGTCAAAAGGCGTACACCTTGCGTGAGTCCGTGTCCTTTATTGATTCTCGATATCTCTTTAAAAGTGGTTTAGGAGAAGTTGCCACCGGATATGGTGTTCGCACCTATCCATCGCCCAGACCATGCGAGCCCCGACTACACCATCCCCGATGAGAAAGCGGAGGAGACTGGCAAGCGCGTCACTCAAACGCCCGAGAACAAGCTGAAATGGGTCCTCGCAATCCTCTTCCTCTGGGTCGACTTCAACGAAGAACCCGATGTTCTGGGGACACAAGTCTATTGTATGGCGTGTTTCAGCAAACTGGTCCTCGACAACAGGGAAGACTCGAAGAAGCGGGGCAAATGGTACCTCAGCAACCTGTACAAGCATTTGAGGACCGCGAGACACCAAAGGAAGGAGAAGGAGTGGCGCAGGGATAATCCCCAGAAACCCTGCAACGAGGTGAGTTTTGATCTACCATGGATGCGACTCACGAGTCTGATCGATTCGGATTTCGTAGGAGGTGCCTGTCGTTCAGCGATGTCTCTACGGAAAGGTGAGGGACTAGCGTAAATGCGGTGGTACAACAACTTACCGAATACCATCCTATAGCCCATCTTCCCATCGCCATCTCCATTTCCATCGTCGTCGTCGTCGTCTCTTCCCTTCCCTTATGTCCCACGACCCATCTTCCGACCTTCAACTTTCGAGGAGGTAAGCTTCCGACACAACGATCGCTCCGATGAGCTGTTTGCTGACTAGAGACCGTCTAGTTGTTGTCCTATGGTAACATGACCAACGGACGACAAAACAATTCAGTCCATACATCCGTCCAGGGCCCCGATTTCAGACGAGATCAGTATCCCGCGCTTCGTAGACCAGACGATGTACAGGCCGGTTTCGTCGCCCGTTACTAGCCACTGTATACCTGGGGATCTGCGTCTGCGATGTGGAGATGATTAGGGCTCTGGACAATCGATTCACTCGACGATTCGTCGTTGAATCGTTCTGCTTTTCTTATGTAATGGCTTTCGGCCAGTTTGATCCTTCCTATGTTTTCCGTTGCCATTATGCTTTCGTTGCTCTTTCCTTTGGTCTGGTTTTCCAATTATTTGACTCGTATGTATGCTCATGTACTCTGTCCAATGGCCTTGGTGCCTCTTACTTATTTATCAAGGTGTTTATCGTAAACTTGTCTTAGCGTCGAAATTCCGGCATCGTTGGAGTTGATGAAGGATCATCGGACTTCGAAACCGCCACTCGCTGAGTCTCGCTCGATGTCCTTCGACTTGGCGAGGGCAGTCCTGAGTTTTTGCGCGAACAGGCACGGTGTTCGACGAGACGACCTGCATAGAATTACCCTCTCGTCAATATTGAATTATCCACTACTAGAAAGGGAGTGGGGCGAGAGCGCCAAAATCGGGGTACGGTCCAACGGAGTGGCGGCACTTGTCTTCTGCTCCCGCGAAACATGCCCGTGAAGTGCTGTTAAAAAGAATTTCGTCGAACAGGACGGCGGTTCTATGCCTGAGCCACAAAGTCGTGTTTTCCCCGAGCCACCGGTGAACCCCGATCACAAGTGGCGAGCAATAGGTTCAAGGGAAAACGGGGCAGGGACCAGGAATAACCTAAATGGTAAGTAAAGTATGATATTGGTGGAGATGCGGAGCAAGAACCGTTTGTGGTTAGACGATTCTGACAACAGAAGGTTCTTGACGTTCTTTTGATGGAATTGTACATAAGTCTAGTAAATCAATACCGAACAAAAAAGAGGGTGGTTACTCGAATGTGCAGGGAATGGCGACTTTGTTTTCTGCTCGTTCGGAAATGTCCCATTTGGCGACGGAGAATCTCATCCAGGAGGATTTTGAGTCCAATATTCACCAAAATTGGAATTGCTACAGCACCAGGTTCAGAGGGTTCGAGCCTCGTTTTTACCCCTTTAGACACACCGATGAAGAGGCTATGTTATTCGCCTAGCGTTCGACCCAAGGAAAAAGTGATTAATCAGTAAGGAAGGGTCAGCGCCCGGAGCCCGGCCTTTACAGCAAACACGTTGCACCCTCGAGGCCATCCCACGAGTTCACAGTCAAAGTGTCAGGGGCCTGTCATTCCGTCCGTCCCATATCCGTTTTATCCGTCTATCCGTCTTCCGTTCGACAGTAGGCGACCAATACCTGACATGATCAGCTCTATATATAGTGCCAGCAACCTATCACCTTAACCGGTGATAGCGGCCTTTTTGGCTCAGTTGGTTTATCGCGAGTTGCTGGCGCGGTTTCTAACAGTATCACCGGTTACCATTAGGTCGCAGGTTCAAACCCTGGCAGGTGCAATACTTTCCGGCTTGGGAAACCGGTTTGTTTGTGCTTGTTAGGGCCCGGGGGCCTCGGCTGACAGGACATGTTCGAGTTCTGGGGGCTATTATGTATATCTGATCGCGGGTTCTGGGGGCAAGACGTGGCTAGGCCTGGGAAACCTAGTAAGAAGTCGTCATCACGTCACCTCGAGGGCTCGGTGCTTAACAGGGGGGTACTGTCAGGGGCCTGTCATTCCGTCCGTCCCATATCCGTTTTATCCGTCTATCCGTCTTCCGTTCGACAGTAGGCGACCAATACCTGACATGATCAGCTCTATATATAGTGCCAGCAACCTATCACCTTAACCGGTGATAGCGGCCTTTTTGGCTCAGTTGGTTTATCGCGAGTTGCTGGCGCGGTTTCTAACACAAAGCGTCACTCCCAGTTTGGAAAGATGGGCCTGGGCAGAAGGACAAGCCTGTGAGCGTCCTGAAAACGGAACAAATAATGTGACTCCATTTTCGCACGAAATTAATTATGGGCGCCTAGGGTGGGAGAGATAAAGTCGAGGTGGTGGTCCGTATACATGGATTTCCCCAGAGCCACTCGCTTCCCTTGTTTCTCTCGCCAACGTCAACGTCGTCATCCTTTCCCCTCCCCACTCGCCGCTACACCTCGACTGCATATTTTCATCAAAGTGGGCACCATCCTCACCTACCCTCGAGTCTCATGCACTAACACCACGCTCATTCAGACATAATGGCGGTAGCTGTGAGTCCGTCGCTACACGTATTGACGTGCCTGTGTACTCACCTTGGTCCTTGAATAGTCCAACACGCGCGGAAAGAAAGCGGCCCACAGGCCTAATCGCAACGCCTCCTCGATGGTGAGTGATGAATCACTACCGATTCTCCCCTCTCCCTCATCACGTCGTCTATCTGTAGATAAAGGGTACACCCCGCACGGTGAGTTCTGGTTCGCTCTCCCATGTTGTGAGCACATACTCACCCAACATCCAATCGCCAGGCACCTCGTCCTTGTGCAACTGTCTATCGAGGCATGGCGGAGCGCATCCACTGGTTCACAGCGAGGAGCGAGATCTTTGGCATTTTGACGCCAACCAAAGTCAGGTGCAAGATGTGTAACCGAAACCTCAAGCTCGAGTGCCCCAAGAAGACGGTCCAGGAGAATACGAAGGGCGGATACTACCACCACAACGCCAATAAGCACCTAAAAACCAAGCGTCACCAACGCAAGATGGAGGTATGGAAGGCAAAGAAGAGGTCGGAGCTCGCGGTGTTACGCCTGAGGGTCATCTGACCCTTCAAAAATCGCGAATAACACACCGCCGGACTAATTTCGTCCGGTAAAACGTACATCTCGATAAGTGACTGAAAAGCCCTAAGGCACTGTGTTTTTCATAACCGGCGGTCACTTATTCTGTCGTATGAGTTGAGACCGAGCCCAGAGTCGTCAACTAAGTCGAACTCTAAGAACGACTCTGAAAGAGGTTGAACGTAACGCATCATTGATACCGTAGTAATTGACGGGTTAAGGATGTGTACTGGACCGATTGAAGATCGAACTACGGTAGTGAGAATTTGGCACGAAGTCCTCACCGCCGGGAGCAAGACTATCCATGGGAGTGCACGATCGACTTCAAATCGACTAGAAAGCTAGTAGCGACTTAACAAGAACGACGACACTTAGCACCAGCGCCTGTCAGTACCCTAAGAGGAAACGCCCATAAGCGCCGCCGGACGGTCGGAATCAGCCATCAGTCGCGGAAAGCTAAAGGGGACCTCTACGGATTAGGTACGAGATCGATAAGATAGAAGCCGAGATAAGATAACCAGAACGACGGGACCAGGAACGGATCACACGAGATGTTCTATTCCGTTGGACAGGTGTCCTCTCTAGGACAGATGAAACAGGGTACTAACAGTCCCATGACCTGTCAACAGAAAAGAAGTAGTACAGAGAGAAGGGACAGAACGATGAATCCATACGCCGCCCTCCGGCGGTAGTTACAAAAAGAGGTATACCATCTGTTTCCGCGGAAGCATCTTCACGGAGTAACAATGGAGTTTCCCACAACACATTGGTTCCGTTCCGACTGGACGGAACTACCAAAATTCACGCGCTTCAACAGCGCATCAATAGACGCCTATGGGCATACTCGGCACGACACCGCCGGGGCTTCTTTTGTCGCGTTTCTTTCCTATTTCGTATTTCTGATTCTCTCGTACCTCCGCTCCGTCTCTCTACTCTCATTTTCTGTATCATGCGCATGTATTCGGCTTGTTTTATAGTCTTTGCTAGTCTTTGTTTTAAAGCTCGTAGTCAAACATTTTGTACCATATATATAGGCCCGCCGGGCAAAAGAATCAACAGATACCCCTTTGACTCGATTATATATCTTGTCCTGATCGGCACGAGTCGTTCAGTAAAACAAAGAAGAATTCTCTGAGTGTCGAGTGAGCGAGTTAACGAGTTAGAGTCGAGTCCGAGTTTGTGCGGAATACACGAGTCCGAGTTTTAAAACGAGTCAACGAGTGATCCCGCCGGGACGAGTGTTAAGTGTTTCCAAGTCCAAATTCGAGTTTCGAGTCTAAGTCGTGTTCAAATCGAGTCGCGAGTTGAACTTAGTGTTTCCCTTGTGTGTAGAGCACAACAAAATATAAAACACCACCTGCATAAAGTCAAGAGCCTTTTCAAAGCTCTAAAAACCCTAAAAACCGTTCTATACGAGTCAGAGAGTCTTCTCCTCGTTAACTTAGTCTACTAAAACAACAACCCCGTCGAACTTGCGTGCCAACGTACAGACAGTACCTAAAAGTCTTTAGATTTAGCCGTCGGTCTTCATCTTCGTGTCACTTGTCTCACAAACAAGCGCCACTCGATTCGGGACCGCCGGTTGTTTTCTTGCTCTTCTTTGTGCTTTCTGTGCTAGTCAGAACATCATTTGGAGCCCACCGCGAGGGGTTGTCCAATTTCCAAGTTTAAGTAGACGAAGTTTTGCGAAAGCAGGACTTAAAACAAGTGTAGCACGATCTTTCGGCTGCGTCAGATCTTGAGTTCGGACTTAGGTCTTTGAGCTCGATCCAACGTCTGCCGGGAAACCAAAAAGCCTACGAGATTTCCACTCTCAAGAAAAGAAATCCTAAGGCACCAAAATCATCTGTTGAGGCGCGAATAAATCCGCTCACAGGAGAAGCGTTTGAAGAAAGAACTACGAGAAGACAGCGTCAAGGACAACCTCTGGAATACCAGGAACTAGAGTCGGATAGAGCGCTAAAACGTCAAATTAAGGAGGCTAAAGCAAAAACTACCTCTGGAGAGGACGAAGAAGCCGCAGTTGAAAATCTAGTTGATCCCGGTGCAGAGACAGAGTCAGAAGAGGAGTCAGTTCCTCCAACTTTCCAATTAGGAGCTAGTCAGGGACCAAGTTTCCCCGGCGGCTTTGAATTACCAAAAGCAGAAAGCGTTTCGTACCGTCGGTTAGACAAACTCAAAACCGACGTCGCAGAATTAGGGTTTCCATCTTCGCTAGGAACCCCCAACGAGCCACTTTACTTCAAGAAACATCCGTTTAGAAGTAGTTACCGCGTCACAGAGTCTTCTGCCACTGAAGGCGATTTCTCGGACTTATCCTTAGAAGACTTAGGAAAGTCAGTTCAATCCCCAGCAGTTCCCAAACCTTATAGTCCGCTAGAAGCTTCTTTAAGCCAGCGAGAAGAAGGTAAAGAACTTAGTCCAGTAAAAGAAGAAAACGAGGTAGAACTTCCCGCCGGAAGTGACGAAGTAGAAGGTAGTCTTCGATCTCACAAAAGAGACAAAGGAAAGCAACGCGCTACTTCAGAGGATAGAAGTTCGACTTCAGAGCCCACTACAAATACACCAAGCGAACCTACTACAGGGGAAAGCTTTGTGGATTTTGGAAACAAGAGCGAAGAGGATATCGAACGACTCCCTGAACGCAGGGCAAGAAGAAGAAAAAGGACGAAGAAAACGAGCGTCTTAAGAGAAACGCCGAAAGAAAAGGAACAAGTTAACGTTCCACAACCGCCGGTAAATCAAACGGCTACTTCTGTTCAACGAGAACAAAAACCTTCAGTTTCGAACTTCGAGACTCCTACCCACGAAAAAGCACCCTTAATCTCTCCGTCGTTACAAAACCACAACAAGATGGAATACGAGATTTCCATGGATCCCAGGGTTGATCACTTGACAACCCAACAGTTGTATAAGAACCCTAGGGTTCCTCAATTGTGGAAAGCGAGCCACTTAGTGTTGGAAGATGACACGGCGGCAGAAGTATGGGCTTACATAGAGCGGATAGAGACGATGTTTGAGCAAGCGAGCGTAGTACTGGACAGGCACAAAAAGAAGGCGTTGGTCGACTTCGTAAAGAAAGTCGATTTAAAGGATCAGTGGTCCCGGCTGACCCAGTATAGAGACGGGACATATGCACAATTTAAGGCAGAAATTCTGTCTTACTATCCGGGCATCAAGGAACTCCAAGAGGGAAGCCTTTGATAGAGTGGAGAATATCTTTCACAGGTATGTTAGGATTAAGATGCATGATGAACAGAAGTTGATGGACCTAATTGCGAAGGTCAGAACAGAGGTCTCAAAAATTCGAGAGACCGAAAGGAAGAGGAAAATCCAACTCCTTTCAGAAAGGACGTTAGTCCAGGACTTCCTGGCGTGCTTAGATCGTAACTTTAGAATGGCGGTCCAAGTACGGCTCTCAACAGCCGACCAGCGGAGGATTCTGGCAGAATTGAAGAGGGAGAGCAGAGCCAATGCCAGAACATTGGACAAGAGGCTGAAGAGGATGGAAGCCCCGAAAGGCCCAAAGGTGGAACCCGAAGAAGGCAAAGAAGGAGGACCCTCTACGGCCCCAGAAGGTGATCTTGGGACAGAAGTCAATCCCATCCAAGTCGAAGATGATGGAGACGACGACTTCGATGGCGAGCTCTACGACTCCTCAGGTTTGGAACGGGTTATGCCCATTGTTACTAAGTACACGCTAGACGATCTGTTGTACGTAGCACAAGTGGTAGCCCGGGAACACTCCAATAGTTCGGTCTTTGGCTTCACGACGGATCTAAGTGACACTGGTACAGCAGACCAGGACGTCATCAACACCGCCGTGGCAGAAACGTTGAAGAGATTGGGTATTAAGCCCAAGAGAGAAGAGCAGCATGTGCAGGACGCTGGACCCCCTAGAGGGAGTCAAAACATGCCGCCGGGGATGTACCAGTGGTCAGGGCCTCCTAAGTCGGACAACGATGGGTTTAAACTCATCTTGGAAAGACTGGATCAACAAGAGGCCAAGTGGAAGGATACACTCACTGGTCTCAGAAAAGAGCAAAAAGAACAACTGACGGAGTTTGAGACGAGAATGGAGGCCAAAATCGACAAGAGGGTTGACCGACCATTCTCAGCGATTCAACTCGCACAACTCGTCAGGGAGGAAACAACATTGGTCAATCCTACGTTCCGCCGGGAAGGAGGAACTACTCGAACTCGGGTTCCTCAGGCGGAGGGTACGTCGACTTTTCGCGTCGACCAGGTCAACAGGGCTACAGCCAAGGCGTGTGGCGAAATGCTGACGCTGGTGGTGGAGAGCGACGAGGAGTGACTTGCTGGTTCTGTGGTGAGCCAGCTCATGCAGTTATGGGCTGCAAAATTAGAAGGGTGATGTTGGATACGGGTCGTATTTGTCATGAAGGTGGCGATTATCGTATCCTTGAAAGTAATAGAATTATTACGCCCTTCAGAAATGGGGAAGAATTTACTCTAGACCTCATTAGAAAGAGTATGGAGAGTAGCGGCCATACGTTGGACCTCGACGCGATTAAGCGCGAGGCTCAGTACGTACAAGAGGAGCCGCCGGAGCATAGGTGGAGGGATCCGTTGACGGGTCAACCAACGCAAGAGCAGTTGGTACATGACCTTAAGGAACGGGTTAGTCAATTGGAAACGGAGAAGGCGCAGAGTTTAGGGTCGGCGCCTAACGACACGTCCGCGGAAGCGCCCGCGGCTGCTGACGAAAAGGCAGCGATGTGGAACGCCCTTCCAAGTGTTCTACCAAAATTCGCGTCGACAAGAGGGTTTTCAATGACGACGAGGAAAGCAGCAGCTGCTGCTTCTTCCAAACCGGCAGGAAGTAGCAAGACTGAGCTAGAGAAGTCTAAGAAAACCGCCGGCGTAGAAAAAGAAAACACCAATAAAAAGGAGCGTGTCGAAGAAAAAGAAAGTGAGAGTGAAGAAGAAGAGGTGGACGAGTTACAAGAGGAAGAAGAGGAACCGTTGAGGTTCGTCGAGGTTAAGAGAGTTGGACCTCCTAAGAAAAAGAAGAAAGTAACATGGTCAGATTCTCAACCAACGGCGAAGCTTACGCCGTCCGGAACTCTACCTTATGTAGACGTCCCTCCTCTTTCAACTAAACCTTTAGGTGCATTCAAGCCTAAAGTGAACAAGGAAGAGGAGAAATCTTTTGAGAAAGAACGAGAAGTAGAAGAAAAAGGCGAACCTCTACCGGAAATCGACCGGCGGGGACCAGCCTATAACAAACGCGCACCTGTAGAACAAAATGGTGCGGCAAAAGCGATCGTCAACGAATTGCTTGAAGTCACCGTACCGGTGAACATCAAGTCGCTTATGGGGGTTTCGCCAGAGGCAAGGGAATACCTCAAGAACCTCCTGACTCGGAAGCGAGTACCGACTAGGGAAGTCCCTATCCCTAGAGAGACTGAAGTGTTTAAGCGTTTCTTTGACGATCCGCACGAAGTTAAGCGTCTACACGTTGGCTTACAATGGGTAGAAAATAGTGAGGAAGCGATGGCAAAAGCCGAAGCAGTGGTTGAACAACGGGCCCTAGCCGAAAAGCAAAACAGGGACTATAAAGAAGCCTCAACTTTGCGACCGGCGGTCCGAACTATTGCAGAAAAAGGAGATGAGAAACCATTGGGGAGTATCACTATCTCTGACCCGGTGGAACAATATATGATTGAACTGGGTACTGAAGCTAAGCCAGTTATAGTGAAAGCTGAAGAGTCGTCTTCGTTGAGGGTCATCTACCCTGAAATCAATGGAGCCATGAAGGAAGAGTCCTTATTAGACGGCGGTTCGACAATCTGCTCAATGCATGAACAAGCCGCAAAAGACCACGGCCTTACTTGGGATCCGGCGGTGACGGTATGGATGTCCTCAGCGGACAAAGGATTGAAGAAGTCCTTAGGTTTAGCAAGAGACGTGCCCTTTGTCTTTGGAGAAGTAAGAGTGTACCTCCAAATACATTCGTACTTCCAGACGTGGGTTATAGGATCTTGCTTGGAAGACCGTTCGAGATGATAGCGGAAACGCTAACAAAGAACAATCGAGATGGGTCACAAACGATTACCCTGACCGATCCTCAGAACGGGCAAAGTGGTGAGGTTGAACACTTATCCTAGAGGAGAACCTCCTCCAGAGTTAAAGGCAGAGTTGGACGCCAACCGGCGGTCTTTTCAGAACTCGATGAATCATCAATAGATGTAGGAGAGCTTGCAGTCGTCTTTGAACAGACAGCTTCTGGAGAGATTAAAGTCGAAAAGGTGTTCCAGTCCGGCCATAAAAGTGGAAAGTTCAGCCAAGAAGACGTGAAGTTAATGTTTATTCAAGAAGCATTAACTAGGGAAGTCGAAAACAAGAAAGCCGCTAAAAAGGTCGAAGCTTTCTTGCAACAAGTCAGGACAGGCAAAAGAGACAAATCCGTCGGTGAAGTCATGATGTTAGATACTGTGATAAAACACTTCGAACAGATTTATCAACAGTTAAAAGAGGATATCATCGAGGATTCTGCCAAGACTTCGTCAACAACCTCCAGCGAGAACAAAGACGAAGTAGTAGCAGGGAACCCTAACGCTAAACCAAAAATTAAGGGTGTCTCTACAGGAAAGAAGTATAAGAAAGTGGCAGATAAAGTAAGACACCCATCTTGGGGACTCTAGCAGAGGAGTTTAGAATTATTCGGAAGATTATAGGAAACCCATTGGCTGAATTGCCTAAGATGCCTACGAATCCGCCGGAATTCACACCCCAAGGAAGGTACACCACAGAGAGAAAGGAAGCCATGGATAAGGTCCACGGCGGCGATTTCATTTGGCCAGAAGAGCGAAAACTATTACACTGGTTAATAGGAGTACATAACCTAGCTTTCGCTTGGGAAGATGCAGGAAAAAGGGAGATTCAGACAAGAGTTTTTCCCTGATGTCCCTATTCCAACGATACCACACACACCGTGGGTATTGAGGAATAGACCAATCCCACCTGGACTTATGGATAAAGTATGTAAGATTATCAAGGAGAAGATAGATTCAGGCGTGTATGAGCCTTCGAACTCGAGCTATAGCTCGAGGTGGTTCTGCGTACTTAAGAAAGATGGTGAAAGTCTGAGAATTGTACATAGTCTAGAGCCTCTTAACGCCGTGACAATTGCGCACTCGGGCATTCCGCCGGCAACAGAAGAATTGGCAAACCACTTCGCCGGTAGAGCTTGTGGAGGTTGCATGGACTTGTTCGTAGGTTACGATGAGAGACGATTGGACGAGAAGTACAGAGACCTTACCACGTTCCAAACACCTTATGGAGCGATGCGTTTGGTTACCCTACCAATGGGGTGGACCAACTCGGTACCAATCTTCCATGACGATGTAACTCATATCTTACAAGACGAGATTCCTGCAGTCACGAAGCCGTATATTGACGATGTTCCTACGCGAGGACCAGCAACGAGGTACGAAGACGGAAAAGGAGGGTATGAAACCATTCCTGAAAATCCTGGTATCCGGCGGTTCGTATGGGAATATCTAAATGACGTGAACAGAGTGATGCAGCGTATGAAGTATTGTGGAGGGACATTTTCAGGAAAGAAGTCGATCATTTTGGCAGACGAGTTTACAGTAGTAGGACACCTTTGTACTTACGAAGGAAGGAAAGTTAATCCTGAACGCGCAGATGCAATCCTTAAGTGGGGAGCATGTAAAGACGTTTCAGATGTACGATCTTTCCTAGGAGTACTAGGGACTTTGCGAATGTTCGTCAAGGATTATGCCCGCCGGGCAGAACCTATCCAAGAACTAACTCGTAAAGAAGTACCATTTAGATGGGGACCAGAACAGGCAGCAGCAATGGCCGATTTACAGGAAGCCATTCGAGTTGCACCAGTATTGAAGGCTATAGACTACGACAGGAATGTGCCCCTAAAATTATCCGTGGATACGTCGTACAAAGCCATAGGATGGATGATATCCGTCCAAGATGATGATGACCCTGATAAGTGGCACTATGCTAGATTCGGGTCTACAACGCTAAGTGAGAGAGAAGCAAGGTACGGCCAAGCAAAGAGGGAACTCTTTGGCTTGATGCGAGCTTTAGAAGAAAATAGGTATTGGTTACTTGGGTGTCGAGAATTGATTGTCGAAACGGACGCTAAGTACATTAAAGGGCATGTTACAAAATGCTGGAAATGGACCAAATGCGACTATAAATCGATGGATCGAATCCATACTCATGTACCATTTCACCTTGGAACATGTAGCTGGAAGTAAGTTTGCGATACCCGACGGTCTGTCACGTCGAGTTCCACACCCGGATGATAAACCAAAGACTCCTTACGATCACTCGGAAGAAGAGACCGGCGGACTCACTGGGTACAGGAAACCAAACCCCGACGACCCAGAACCGTTGGACTTCGAAGAGTTCAAACACGAAATCGATACTCGTGGAGGATATCTTCAAGACATCGCAGATTTTGAAGAAGATTTGGAGTTAGATAGAGCAGTGGCGGACAGGGTGTTGTCACTAGGGCCGAAAATGGAAACTCAATTCGTAAATGTGGAAGTACTGCCAGATTTATCCTTAAAGGAAGATCCTAAACTTCGACAGGAATACGATGGAGAGTCCCGCCGGCACCCACTTATCAAAGAGATCGACAGAAAAATACCGATCGTAGATAAGTGGTTAGAAAACCCTTCAGTTCGACCAAAAGGAATGAGCGACGCGGAATACCTAGCATTCGCTAGGTTTAGTACGCATTTCTTTAAGAAAGATGGAAGGCTTTTTCGTCGAGGAATAAATGGTGAACATAAGATAGTCGTTTATCCAGAAAATCGGATGTACTTGATGCGTACAGCGCATGACGCTACCGGGCATCGAGGACATTATGCTACTAAGGAATTACTAGCTAAACGGTTTTGGTGGCCAGACTTAGACGGGGACGTAGGCTGGTATACGAGGACTTGCCATGTCTGTCAAATCCGTCAAAAATTGTTCATGAGGATACCCCCGACGGTAACGGAAACCCCATCTATATTTCAAGTCTTACACGCCGACGTGATTCATATGAGTATTCCTAGCGATAAGTGCAGATTCATAGTTCACGGAAGGTGTGCATTGACACAATGGATGGAAGGGAAAGCCTTGCAGAAGCAAAATGCTAGTACTATTGGCAAGTGGTTGTTCGAAGATGTAATCTTAAGATGGGGTTGCATCAAAAAGATAGTGACAGATAATGGTGGACCTTTCATAAAGGCTGTTGGTTGGCTAGAAGAGAAGTATGGAATCCGTGGCATTCAAGTAACGGGTTACAACGCTCAAGCAAACGGGACAATCGAAAGGCCTCACTTCGACGTAGTAAATATGCTAGCCAAGGTGACCGCCGGGAATTTGTCTAAGTGGAAGTGGTATTTCCCTCACATTATGTGGGCGGACAGAATCACTATAAGAAAAAGATTTGGATGTTCGCCGTTTTATATGGTAACAGGAGCAGAACCAGTAACACCCTCTTGACATACAAGAAGTGACCTGGCTAATTGAACCCTCCCGAATCGTTCGTTTCCACGGAAGACTTGCTCGCGCGAAGAGCTAAGGCGTTGGCAAAGCATCGAGACTTCGTTGAGTCAGTAAGAAATAAGATCCACCAGGCGAAGAAAGATAGAGTAGCTAAGTACGAGATTGAACACCGGCGGACGATTAAAGACTACAACTTCAAGCCAGGAGACCTCGTAATAATGAGAAACTCCCCAATTGAGGATAGCCTTGATCGAAAGCTGAAACCTAAGTACAACGGTCCGTACGTAGTGCTGAATAGAAACAAAGGAGGCGCCTACATAGTTGCCGAAATAGATGGGTCAGTATACCAGTCTGTAGTGGCAGCATTTAGGCTATTACCTTACCACGCACGAAAGAAGATTGAGCTACCTCGAAATATTCACGAGAGCATCGACCTAGGACCGGCAGAGTTGAACAAACTAGTGTCTTCGCGGCGAAAAGGCGAACCGGCGGACGACATAGCGTTCGAAGGAATGCCTAAAGGGAATAGACGAAGCGAACAGGTGAATGAGGACAACGATCTCGACGACTTGGGAAGCTCAACCGAGGACGGTTGATATTTCTAAGTTGGGGGGAGAGGAGTACCAATAGGGCGAAAGAATGTAACTCAAAAAGAGTACATTCTGAAGACCAAGTAAACATTAACCTAAAGTTCGCATTAAAATTTTCGATTTTCCAAGTCAGGAAGACTTAGAAAGGACTTAAGACAACTTAGAGCACTTAGGAGGAGTTCACACACAGATAGAGAGGTGCAAAGCATGATGATATTCAATATAGTAGTAGTACTAGGGAAAAAGCGAAGAATCGCAACAAAAACCTAATACTACTACAAAACGAGGCTCAAAAACGAGAAGAGGCTAAGCCTCAGTCATGTCAACGTCACCGGCGGCATCGACGTCGCCCCCAAGAGTGCTATCCGCCTCAAGAGGAGGAGGGGAAGCAGGAGACTCCACAGAAGAAGAAGGAAGATCCTTCTCCTCAAGAGGAGGGAGTTCCTTCTCCAGATGGGCCTGGATCCTATCATACTCAGCGAAGAGTACTTCAAGGAACCGAACGTCGAGACTGAGAAGGTGGACCCGCCGGAGGATCTCAGAGCGAATGTCAGTCAGCGTCGCACGAGTCGACGAACCGACGTTGACAGCGTCAGAGTAGTTGGCCAAGATGTTCTGTACTTGAGACAGAACACCATTGACCCACTCGTTGTTGACGGCGAAGTGGTCGGCTAAGAAGAAGAGAGTGAGTAAGAAAGTAAGAAACAGAAGACGAGAGATGACTTACCAGTCTTGACAAGCATCCCGTCGGGGAACAGGTTGGGATATTTGGAGGTCAAAGCGTTCTTATTGACCTCCTCGAGCGCCTTGGCGTCGAGCGAAACGCGAGCGCGCTTACCCAGCTGAGTAGCCTTGAGAAAAGGCGGGAGAGGATAAGTCGAGATTCGGAACGAGGTAGTAAGGGACTCGTACGACGGCAGCAGAAGCACCGGCGGTGGTACGAGGGCGAGAAGGGCCACCACCGCGGCCACCCTGTAAAGTCAAAGAGTAAGTAACGAAACGAAGAGAGAAAGAAAGAAAGAAACTTACTCGACCACGAGCGACGGCCTTGCCACCACGAGTCGACGAAGTTGAAGTAGAAGCAGCCCCAGGACCGCCGTTTTCAGTACCGACGATTTCCTGAAAAACATAAGTCAGTAAGGAACAGAAAGGGCAAGAGATAAACACTTACCACGTCGGAATCGTAAATGATAGCGGGGGACTTGGGTTGCTTGCCACCTAAGAAAGATGGGTAAGCAAAGATAGTAGTAGAAAGAGAATAGGACTTACGCTTTTTGGGAGTAGGAGCCTCCTCCTCCTGAGTCGAAGCCCCATTAGCGAGCTTTTTAATGTTATGGAACGCCGAGCTGACGTCGAACGGGTCAGCATCGGCAGGAAGGGGGATGGTGGGAGCTTTCACCGCCTCGCCAGACCAAGCGAGGTGGTAAGAGACCTCCGCCGGGACGTCGAGCCCGATGTCCTTGTCACCGCAGAACTCGACGAAGACCTTCAGCGCCGGGTGCATGACGCGAAGTTGCTTCTGAATGAGAGCGGTGTAGGCCATCTGCCCGCCGTAGAGGCGACGCTTAGGGTACTAAAAGAAAAGCGTAAGTTAGAAAGGAAACGAGTAAAGCAGGAAAAGAGACTCACCATGTAAGAGACGAGCTCAAGGGCAGCCGTCTTGTACTCCTTAAGGATGCTGAAAGGAATAGCCTCCTTGGCGATCACACGAAGACGGAGGTGAACGCCGGTGAGCTTGTGGATGCCACGAGCGACGTTGGCGTTATCTTCAACGTAGACGCGCTTCATGCCATCCCACACGGACGGCGGGATAGACTTGGCCGGCACTGGGAGACCAAGAGGAACCTTGGGGTCGAAGCCGAGGATCTCCTGGAAGACGTTGGAGGCGGGAGAAGACATGGTGATAGCAAGAGAGGAAGAGAATCGAAGAAACGAAGAGGAGAGCGATGAGAAAGGTGAAAAGAACCAGAGGAGGTTGCTGGAGAAACTTGACCAGGAAACCGGCGGTTTTTATAGCAAAAAGCCTCTCAGTTTTAGGGAATTTCTATTGGTAGACGTGTTCAAGGAAAAACCGACACGACCACGATCTCACAGTCGAAAATCGGTGTGCAGAACGTGCCCCAAAACCGAAAAACATGAGTCTTCCTTAGAAATTTGTGCAAAGTCGAGTATCCCGAATTGGCAACGGCAATTTCACCGTTTCGAGAAATCACTCTAAGTCTCAGATAGGATACCGGCAGTAGAGATAACCAAGAAATTGGATTTGAGGCTACACTAATATGACTACCTAAGAGTCGGTGTAGTAATCCAATAATGTACAAGATGGTGCGAAGGACATGAGTATACAACAACAAGAATGTGCGAAAAATAAATAAATACGAGTGTCCCCAATAAGCGCCTCCCCCGCCGGCGGCCAGAGTAGAAAGAAGAAATGTCTCTCAGAAAAGAGCGAGAGACGCGAAAAGAAAGAAGGAAGAAGAAGAAGAAAACGACGAACTTAGTATTCGGGGGAGTCAGAAAGGTCTCCCTCGTCGCTTGAGTTCGAGGACGAGGCGCCACCACCAGAACGAGCAGAGGAGAGGGCCGAGCTAGACCTCTCGTCGACGTTCATCGCCGAACCCTCGATGCCTGGCCACTCTGGAGACTCCTCTGAGGAAAAGAGACCAAGAGAGTCCCCAATGATAACGTCAGCACTGGGAGATACGCCAGTACGATCGTCGTAGACTAGAAAGCAAATGTTAGTAGGAGTAAGATAGGAAAAAGAGCGATATGACTACCAGTCATCTTCGTCGTTCGGAGCAGGACCACCGTCCGCCGGGTCGACAAGAGGGTCGAATGCGGGAAGAGAGGACGCGTCTTGATCGAGGAAATCGTCGAACTCGTCGTCGATAGGACGATCGAGTTGCGACGGGGACCAGAGACGGCCGTCCTTGGCCATCGGGAACTCCTGCGCAATGAACGAACCAAAGACGTAAGGAGCGTGAGGAGGGTTGGCGACGGTAGGAAGGAGTTCGTCGTCAGGGATGGGTACGCCGGAGGCCCGACGCGAACGGGTGAAGAGCTCGTCCATACGCTGGACAAGCTCGGCCTTGTTGACGGTGCTACCGTCGGCACCCACGAGGAAATTATCGAAGGTAAACATCGAGCGAAACTCGAGGTACGCATCGAAGTCGTTGTTGAAAAACTCGACGACGATGGCCTCGGGTCCCTCAGACGTTTCCAAACGATAAATGGCCGAGAGGAGACGAGCGTGAAGCTCGTAAAGGTGGAGGGAGTGGGTGAGGTACTGATTGAGCGAATCTCGCACCACGTTAGACTGGTGCAAGATGTCGCGCACGACAGTGTCAATGTCTAAAGAGTAAGACATAATAATCAGTACCGGCGGAGGAAAAGAAGGTCACGAGGGGACTTACAATGAGAAGATCCCTCAGCTGCACCCGCCAGCTGGTTGCGAAGGCCGCGACGAGCGTCGATGTTCAACGAAAACGGACATGGCTTGTCCGCTCGACCGCAGTTGCCGCAGCTAAGACCAGGACCACGGTACTCACACCTAGGGATGCCTAAGAAGGCACACCTAGCGCAAGGGCCCACAACCTGAGGAGGGTATTAAGTTAGTAAGAAGAGTTAAGAAGCAAAGAAAAGAGAGAAAGGCAACTTACCAAGGCGTGGTCGGACAACAACCGCCGGGAACCCATGATACCTGTGAGGTTCTGGTAGAGGATGTTGCGGAGGTCGGTAGTCTGACGTTGCGCAGTAGGCATGTTGCGACGAAGGGACCCGACGAAAGGGTTGCTCGAGGAGCGAGACGAATCGTCTCTAGCATCCGACGAGCCTCCTTCAGAGTTAGACGAAGAAGAGGAAGACGAAGAGGAAGGGGAGCCCTTAGGAGGGACTGGTGGACGCAAGTAGTGTGCCTGGCGTTCCTCCCGGCTCAGGTGTTGAATGGAGACGCCAGTCCTCTGTGAGAACTGAAGCTCGAGAGGAGTGGTGTCCCTCCCTTGGGACAGGAAACCCGTAGGATCGTCAACGCCATCCCGGCGGACGATCGGGTTGAAACCAACGGAAGGGGGATGGAAAAGCTCTCCATCGATCGACTCAAGGTTGCGCGGGGCCAGTGCCGGTATAGCGCGTACTTGCTTGAGGACCTTTGGGAGCACGAGGGAAAGAGGAAGGACCGTAGACGGCGGGTTGACCAGGAATAGGAACGATTTTCCTCGCAGAGGAAGGAGTCGCAGGGATAGGAGGGATGCCGGGCGTCTTGGGCGTCTTAGGAGACACCTGAAGGGAGCGAGATCGACGAGGGGTTCGAGGAGCCTCTTGATGCACGTCTTCGCCGCTAGGCGAAGGGTCGAGTTCGTCGACAGCGTCCCCGTCGTCAAGACCCGTACCCGACGCGACTACAGAGGACGACGCGGAACGACGATCGTCTAAGGAGTCGTCAGCTCGTCGGTTAAAGGAACGAAAGAAGAGAGAAGAGCCTACTTACCCAGAGTAGACACAGGAGGCACCGAAGAAGCAGGAGCCGCCTGGGAGACCGACGCGCTGGTACCAAAGACTTGACGTTCCAGACTCGAAGTACCAGAGGGCGAGAGTGAAGCAGGTGCAGAGTCGCGTCCCTCTCCTCGAAGGAGAGCAGTGGGCGGTAGAACAACGCCAGGCGGAAAATTGCGAGGACGAACAGTAAGACGAGGAAGTTGAGGGTGAGGATGACGAATAACAGGGGTACCAGGAGGAGGCGAAGTGTGGTCAGCGAGCCATGCAGCTCGCTCCCGCCTGTACTTGGCCAAGGCCTCTTCAAAAGAAACGGCCACATCGATATAGATGTGCCAGTGCTAGATATTGGATCCCTCAGTAATACGCCACCCGCCGGAACGATCAGAAACTTACTTGATAGTGAGGATCTGCCCTCCAAGTGGCCCAATCCATAGGCAACGCTGGAGGAGAAATGAGTCGCCATCCCCGTAAAGTGTTGTCACGAAGGCGACGAGGAATGAGGAACGGCATCTCAGCGTCCTAACAAGAGAATAGTAAGTAAGTGTCCGAGAAGAGATAGATAAGGAAAAGACGAACCGTCGAAGGAACGATTGGACGGGTCAACCTTAAGATAGCCATCTGGGGGTCGGTGAAGACGATGTTCATCATTCGACGAATGCCCATATTTCGGTGGACTGGTTCAGCCCAGGCCCGCCAGGAGTAAGGCGCAGTAAGAGGGTAGCGAGGATGACCAGGGGGACCGTCATTGCCTTGATAGACAGTCATGAAGGCCATGGTGTAGGCCCTCACTGCCATCAGCGAATGACCGCCGGGCAACCTCTGTAAGATACACTGAAAAGTCAAGTCAGAGGACAGAAAGTTGAAGAAACAGCACAAAGACTCACCAAGTCGTTATAAGTGGCGAAAGATAAGAAGTCCCACTCAGGGGAATATATAAACGCCTCCTCGAACCTGAATTGGCCGAGGAAACGATTGAGGTGGTCGACGATGAAATTCCAGCACTGTCGAAGATAAGGGGAAGAACGAAAGAGACGGAACGTTTCAGCGTTGTCGTCAATTTGGAGACGTTGGTCGCCAATTTGGATGAGGAACTGCTGAGGCGAGAAGAATGCCTCGCTAGCCGGAGAGAGTAGCAGGTTGAGGAGTGGACATCGATGAAAGATAGCACAGTACAACAGTAAGCCAGGAGCTTGGAGAAGGGAAGACCGGCGGTCGTCCCCTATATATAGGCCAAAGAACGACCCCGAGCGGATAATCCCTCTAGGAGCGCAGACTGACTTCATGAGAAGAGGTGGGGAAAAGTGTTAACGCTGGTACTTCCCAAAAAAGGAAAGTGATAGACCCTAACAGGAGTCAAACCACGGCAGCTTGACCCTTAATATGTGGTATCAAACCCCACTAGAATTTAACGCTCTACTCATCTCAAGTCAAGGGCAGAAAGATCAGAGAAAGTAGAAAAGCGAAATTGTCGATCCAAAGGACGTTCGAAAGCAACGTTTGATGTCTTGTCGTAACGGCGGCAGATTCAAGAGCCACTTAAGCGCCAGATCACAAAACACCACCGTATCACGACAAGTCCAAGTTTGGGGACGACGGGCTAGTCTAGCAGAAGTGAATTGGAGTTCCCTGTAAGGTGGCGAAGAACTTCAGAAGTCGATGTCAAGAGGAGTGACGGATCGTATATGTCGAAGTTCCAAGAACTTTCGACAAGAATCTGACTGGGGACAGTCCTCATTATAAGTTGGGGGGAGATGTTACGCCTGAGGGTCATCTGACCCTTCAAAAATCGCGAATAACACACCGCCGGACTAATTTCGTCCGGTAAAACGTACATCTCGATAAGTGACTGAAAAGCCCTAAGGCACTGTGTTTTTCATAACCGGCGGTCACTTATTCTGTCATATGAGTTGAGACCGAGCCCAGAGTCGTCAACTAAGTCGAACTCTAAGAACGACTCTGAAAGAGGTTGAACGTAACGCATCATTGATACCGTAGTAATTGACGGGTTAAGGATGTGTACTGGACCGATTGAAGATCGAACTACGGTAGTGAGAATTTGGCACGAAGTCCTCACCGCCGGGAGCAAGACTATCCATGGGAGTGCACGATCGACTTCAAATCGACTAGAAAGCTAGTAGCGACTTAACAAGAACGACGACACTTAGCACCAGCGCCTGTCAGTACCCTAAGAGGAAACACCCATAAGCGCCGCCGGACGGTCGGAATCAGCCATCAGTCGCGGAAAGCTAAAGGGGACCTCTACGGATTAGGTACGAGATCGATAAGATAGAAGCCGAGATAAGATAACCAGAACGACGGGACCAGGAACGGATCACACGAGATGTTCTATTCCGTTGGACAGGTGTCCTCTATAGGACAGATGAAACAGGGTACTAACAGTCCCATGACCTGTCAACAGAAAAGAAGTAGTACAGAGAGAAGGGACAGAACGATGAATCCATACGCCGCCCTCCGGCGGTAGTTACAAAAGGGTATACCATCTGTTTCCGCGGAAGCATCTTCACGGAGTAACAATGGAGTTTCCCACCACACATTGGTTCCGTTCCGACTGGACGGAACTACCAAAATCCACGCGCTTCAACAGCGCATCAATAGACGCCTATGGGGCATACTCGGCACGACACCGCCGGGGCTTCTTTTGTCGCGTTTCTTTCCTATTTCATGTATTTCTGATTCTCTCGTACCTCCGCTCCGTCTCTCTACTCTCCTTTTCTGTATCATGCGCATGTATTCGGTTTGTTTTATAGTCTTTGCTAGTCTTTGTTTTAAAGCTCGTAGTCAAACATTTTGTACCATATATATAGGCCCGCCGGGCAAAAGAATCAACAGATACCCCTTTGACTCGATTATATATCTTGTCCTGATCGACACAAGTCGTTCAGTAAAATAAAGAGGAAGTCTCCGAGTGAGCGAGTTAACGAGTTAGAGTCGAGTCCGAGTTTGTGCGTGAATACACGAGTCCGAGTTTAAAACGAGTCAACGAGTGATCCCGCCGGGACGAGTTTTAAGTGTTTCCAAGTCCAAATTCGAGTTTCGAGTCTAAGTCGTGTTCAAATCGAGTCGCGAGTTGAACTTAGTGTTTCCCTTGTGTGTAGAGCACAACAAAATATAAAACACCACCTGCATAAAGTCAAGAGCCTTTTCAAAGCTCTAAAAACCCTAAAAACCGTTCTATACGAGTCAGAGAGTCTTCTCCTCGTTAACTTAGTCTACTAAAACAACAACCCCGTCGAACTTGCGTGCCAACGTACAGACAGTACCTAAAAGTCTTTAGATTTAGCCGTCGGTCTTCATCTTCGTGTCACTTGTCTCACAACAAGCGCCACTCGATTCGGGACCGCCGGTTGTTTTCTTGCTCTTCTTTGTGCTTTCTGTGCTAGTCAGAACATCAGCGGCTGGGGAGAGGACCAGGGCCAAGATGTCCCTCGCGCACCTGTGCGGTCAATCGGTGAGTAGTTGGGATACGTTTACTGTTGATACCGTGCTCACTGGCTCCCATCGTCGCCATCCGTGCCGGCATTTGTCGCTTTCCAGCCGTTTTACAGACCTATCGAGCACAGTGCTGCGGCGACCTTGATAGAAATGAGCCATTCGACTACGACCGGCTTCCAGGTGGGTGTTGGATCTGAGCCCGTCGACGATACCTTGCTGATGCGAAGACGATATAGGCGTTGCCCCACGGTTCCATGATCAACGGGCAAGACAACGCAAACCTGCATATCTAGCCAGTCCCACACTCCAAGCGAGATCATCATCCTGCCCGTCGTAGACCAGTCGATATACAGGCTGGTTGCGCCGCCTGTTACAAGTCATTCTTCACCGATGGCTCTGCGTCTGCGATGGGGAGGTGATTGTGGGTTCTGGTCAATCTGGATTCTCGTCGACACGGGTCGTCGACGAATTCCTTCCCTCACGTTTTCCTTATGTAATTCCTTTCGCTCTCAGTTTCACGTCTTGCTCTCGGCCGAATGGCCCAGTATGTTCTCGTTGTCGCCTTGTGCTTTCGTATTGCTTTCTTTTGTGTATCTCTTTGCACCTACGTCAATATGCCTTGAAAAATACATACATTCTTGCCTTTGTTTGAACCGATAGCATTGGATCTGCTGGGGAATTCTGCCTGGGGTGCCGTCCAACGGCATCGTATTATAATGTTTTGATGGCACGAGTTCGGACAACGAATTCGCAGCAAGAGTCAAGACTGGAGACTGGGCGTCTGTAGCTTGACTCTCTCGACAATAATCCCAAATCGTGTGCAGCGCTTACCTCGCATTTTCTGCATGATGCGCTTGGGTATGTTGGAAATTGGTGCTGGTTCCCTTGTGGCTGATACCTACATACCTGCTCCAGATAGTCGGTGAATACAAAAGTAACTTGGGTTTACTTGGATTATGTAACTTGCCCTCACAAAAGTAAGGCCAAGTTACTTGGGTATCCAAGTTCGATTTCCGTCACCCAAAACGAGTGGGGCCAAGTACTATTGGTATAGGTACGTACTTGGATACGATTCGGTGATGTATATCCCGTCGCGCATGGGCCTAATTGAGTGGGCGAGGACGAGTATGGCTGTGCGTGAGGCTATACAGTCTCGGATCTGACCAGAAAGGAACGGGGCTTACGACTCGTCGCTGTCAGGATTTGTTGCGGGTCTCTTTCTACCACAACACCAACCATTCTTTTCGTACCTCTTTATTTCCAGGTGATTTTCAAGTCTTTCTGTTGTTTCACCCAGAATCCAGGCAAGAATAGCGAACAGAGCGTGTAGCAGGCTGCCTTGAGTCGGGCCTTGGCGCCTGGGGGGGCTGCGGCGAGGATGGAACCTCGTCCTTGTAGCCTCTGGAAATTGGTGATACTGGACGATACCTCGGGACGATCGACTTGTGATAACTAGGTAAGAAATTATCTACATCTTTGGATCAGAACTGTGTTAATTGAGTTGTGTTTTTCGATGGGGAAAAGAGGGCAAATAGTAGTTACTAAAGACAGTATCAAGCGCAACAGTAAGCGCGCTAGAAAATAGTTGAACTTACACCACTCGGTAACATCTCGATGTACAGCTGTCTGCTATCTAATGCTGCATTCTCGTACATCACTATCCTACTATATCTTATATATGATTCTTTTAAGTTCCTCTACCCATGGACAATGAAGTTTAAAGTCAATCGACTCAGCGCGAAGCTCAGCGCTTATGTTACTTTAGGGCCGGTCAATTTTACCTTGACCCTGAGAGGGTGAGTATCCAAAGAAGATTTACCGTGTTTATTCGTCACAGAGTACTATAGTTATATCTACATGTCACGTCCCTCCTCAAATAACTATTCCCCGGTGTCCAAGTAGGATCCAAGTAGGATCCAAGTCCGACCCAAGTACGATCCAAGTACACCAAGCCAAGTAATCCAAGCGTGGGAACCAAGTTACTTGGGCTCGCCTCAGAGATTTGGGTGGGCCAAGTTACCCAAGTTAGGGACCCAAGTTACTTTATTGTCAATCCAGATAGTCTAAGGGCATGGTGTTGTTTTTCAGCTCGACGCCCTGCATACGCGGAACAAGGCTGCTTAGATTACAGCACTCCAAAGCATTGTTTCGCCGTATGAGAGTGATTTCCAACGTCGAAAGAGGTATTCTGAATGCTCACCTTTGGTTTAGGTCGTGTTTCGACGGATTGTTCTCAATCTCGCAAGCGAGGACAATCTCTGTTGTTTTGTAAATGCCTTCGGCGTCGTTTGTTTCACTCGATTTAACCGCCTATTCGTTCATTGATATACCAAACCTTTCACGCCGTTACTCACCTCCTCCACCACCCTCAGCCACCGTCATTTTGATAGACGGTCACGACCACGACCCCTACCTCAAGCCCCAGGCTATCCAAATGGTCTCGAGTGGCTATTGCAATGCTTCGTAGCACCACTCTCCGGTTCCAACCTCGAGACCCACAACTCCAGCCCCCACCGACCTGCGACAGTGACTCTATATTTCGATGACCAACCAGACGGATTCGTTCTCGCCTACGCTACTCTCTCACCACAAACCTGACGAAGCTACCGCCCCTGTCACCCCCTCCCGGCTCCCGTCTTCACCGTGGCCTCTCATGGTTAGGTTTTCGGTCACGACGTACATCAGCAAAACCCAGATATGATTACCAGAAATTTTGGCCACCTTGTATGGTTCGTAATTTCTTGTCAACACGCGGGATCTTGTAGACCTTATAAGAAAAAGTGGGAAAGTGACATGATCTTTCGTAGCTTATAAGATTATCTTGAACGTGGTAAGATTTCTCGGAACCTTGCAAGGTTGCTCTATCCTCGCAAGGTTCCCAGGATCCTTGTAAGATTGTCCAAAGCCCCTCAAGGATCGCGACGTCGCGTTGTCTGGGATCACTGCTGCCCTCATAGAGAAGAGACCAACCTATTGAACTTTGAAGTAAACCAAAAAGTTTGAGACAGGAAAATTGATAGCATTGGACTACTAATACGCGACATTTCTGCGCTGTTTTGAGGCGACTGGGAATCGATGTACTCTAGATCTTTAGTATATTGAATCCATAGATGTCACGACGTCAACTATAAACATAGCCGCGGCGAGAGGTCTCTGGGAGGGGTGGGAAGCTCGCACGCCAGAAAAGGGATAGGCAAGATTGCAAGGACTTGGGGAAATTAGAAGGAAGCCGAGGAGAATGTAAGAACGTCACTTCACATTGCAAGGTAAAGGTAATGTACTACCAACATTACAAGGTAACAGTAAATATTATAAGCTTTCGACAAACCTTGCAAGGTTTGACGAAGCTTACGGGATCTTTTGGAGGTTCCGATCAAAACGTCATTCCTTACAACGATACGTCATTCTTACCATACCCGTAAGCTCTCGGAATCATATCTAGGTTTTGCTGATGTATGGCGAGGGAGGCACCCGGGAACGCATTTCGAGATATTACCTTTCGAACACGAAAGGGTCATTGCTCCTGATGATCCCTTCCTGGACCCTATCGTCCCGCCCAGGATCAAGACCATCGCTCGACTGCGAGCAACATCCACGTGGCCAAGTAAGGTATTTTGGATTCATCGCGCAATGCCTCTCTGATTTTCGACTGCCTAGGCTGAAACACGTAATTCCACCCAAGTACGCCGCCCTGCCCTACACTGGTTGATCTGGCCAGTGCTTACCCCGTTGTAGACATGTACAACAAGAAGAGCCTTCGACGTCGAGCATTATCTATGATCGCGCTCCTACCGACACCGAGTGAGCTTTTGTGCAACTCATCTTTCGAGACGTCTTCCTTACCGAATTATTCAGAGAAACCCGTCCTTTCCCCGGGGTTGGAACTTCGAAGGTACATGCAAGGCAAATCCTCGAACAACCTCGGCATCCTCGCCTCTCGCCTCCACCAACGACAACGCCGCGCCCTGGGCTCACAGTGTCCCTGGCTCTGTCCCTTCCTCTCGACTGCACGAGCTCGGGTGACGAGTACCACCGTGCTCCCCGATTGCGTTGGATAGTGCGGATGGGAACGACGAGGAGAAGATGGTTGTTGATGGGGTGTAAGATTCACCTCCCATCGCTCGAGAGTCCTCGAGACTCCCGTCTCATCACCCCTCTTTCACCTCGCCCACCCCGTGGTTAGTCAGATTGGACCGCGCCCTGACCTGGTTTGGATCGCTTGGCGCTCCTTCACCTGGAGGATATGGGTTTGCTTCGACTGGTTGTTTCGGTGCGCTGTTTCGGGGCTTCAACCGTCTTGTCGGAGACGGGGGGCGGGAGGTACCTGTGCGCATGATTCCCCTCTAGGACGCTCGAAAAAGAGAGAGGGGGGAATAGGAGGAGGGAGAGAAGGAGGGAGCTAGGGATGTGGCTACATATTCCAAGAACGGACGGGAGGATAAAAATGAAGACACAGTTTCTTTAGGCGGCGATGAGGCAGTGACGACGACACGGGATTTATCATTCAATAAAAGTACAGCATTAATCTTCTCACATCGCTACCAGTATAGAGCATTCTTCCTACCCCTGGAGCCTAGAACTTGCGGATCTCAACGATGAGGTTTTCATTGCCCCAAGCAGCGTTGGTACCTATTCGTCGAGGGACGCCGTCAGATATAGCTTTGCAGACTTAACATACGCGATGGTACTACTCACCTTCATTGAGCACCGGAATAGACGGAAAAGCAGTTAAAATACAGTTATTTAGCACCCACACTCCACCATTCGCAACATTAGCGCTGTCGGCAATGAATATGCATCTCAGAGCCCCTCTATCCACATGTACAGGCTTTAGGACCTTACCAGCTAGATTGGGTGTAGGACACGCCGTTCACCCTCCCGTACCACGCAACATCTGCGTTCCCGCTGACCGTATGGCAGAACCTCGATCCTGAGGAAGGTACCGCGCAGGTCACACTACCAATAGAGTGGAGATACTCATGGCAGGCCCAGGCGTTGGGCATGCTGATGAGATATTGGTGCCAGTCACACGTCGGGGTGTACCGCTTCGTGAAGGAGCTCGACCTCTCCCTGTCCTCTACCATACAAAAGGGTGGGGTGAGCACCGACCAGACATGACACCAAATGGCAGAAAAAAAAGTTCACCTTGAGCTTCCTTGGAGCGCTCGATACGCTCGAGTGCGCGAACGACGAGATCGCGGGAGGTAAAATTGAGGGATTCGAGAGAGGGTAGACCGGGACCAGGTACCACCTTGAACTCTCCAGTCTCGGCAGCGCGAATCAGCTCTGCGGGGCTAGGAATTGCCTCCAACAGCTCGACACTGGGAGGTTCAGAAGGCTGCGGTAAAGCTTTAACGCATTCCACTGCCATAAAGGCAACAATGAGGACAGAACGCAGAGCAACCAGAGGAGTGAACATCCTTGGGGGAGTCAGAGATTGGAGTATCGGTATTACTTGACTTTAGGAGTGGCGCTTTATACATACGACAATGAGACTGTGGGCGACGACTGCACCCTCTGACCTCCCCGATTCCGGCACAGGCACGACGAGCGTGTTTGTTCAGGCTCTTTTCAGTTGTGGCCATCTCCTGAGGCACCCTGAGACGAGGTTATGATAATAAGTGTAGGCGTCGTAAAGTGACAAAAGGGCTAATCTAACTACCTTCCAGAATTTCTGGCTGAGCTGTCTCCGATGCCTCGTCTGACGCCCACAATCTGAACTTAAGGTTCAATGACAATGCTTTCTATTGTCTGAAAGCCGTTTGTGGTATACATGCGTTTGATTAACGACATAATTGACTTAATCTTCTTGCGTCAAGCGCGGGGGTAGGTGTGCGTTACGTGGTGCTACAATAAGTCGCATTTCCCAAGGAGGGAAGGCAGCTCTGTCATGCCACCGCCTTTCGATGAGACCCTGTGCTAGGAACGCTGATCTGGACCTAGCGCAGAGATGTAGGCACTTATTGTACAAGCTCGATGGCCCAAATCCAACTGACGGGGGCGGTTCGTTTAAGAAAGACAGAGGAAAAGTTAGCTTTGCTTTCGAGCGTTTCGAACCAGCGCACCTCTCCAAGGTACTTTTCCAGGACCTCCATCTGTTCAGGTGTCGGTCGTCGGTGGTAAAGCCGCGCAGAGGAGCTACACCCAAGAACGAGAAGGTACACTGCATCCACATCGTATATGTCCGAGCGGAAGGTCATGCCCTCTTCCACGCACTTGGCGTTCGGCCTTGCTGAGGAGAAGCAGATCGCGTGTTTCCACATTGTCATTTCCTCCAGCCTCCACGCCACTTTCCCAGCGTCAGTCACAACGCCATAGCCCACTGGAAGCCCCAGCCGCATTCCGACCTTTTCCATCTTCTCCACCGTCACAGGGAACCCATAGAGGAAATGCCCATTATAATCGAGGTAATTCGCCGGGAGTGGCCTCCAAGTCGCGGACCCAGGAAGGCCCGGCGAGTGGCATGTCAACATATCCTTTCTTATTATCTGAGCAAGGGAGATTGAGTCAACGGTCGGGTACTACGATAAACGAATCCACGCACCGCGGCGCGACAGTCTTTGCATGGAATATAGCTCAAGGACGACTCATCGTCCGCTTTTCTTGAGTGGTTTGTTTTCGCGGATTTCTAGTTCGTGAAGGTAACATTGAGAAGAGACCTGGCATAAGGAGATGTGAGCCTACCATAAGGCTTGGTCGTCGTGGTGGGTCCTGACAGGAGAGACGCGTCTGAGACGGCACGCGGATTTTCCCATCACGCAGGGCAAGCCTGCCCTAAAGCACGCGATGCGCGCTTGTAGACTCCTTGCAACGTTGCAATATCCTTAGTAACTTCCACTAAAAGATTTCATTGTGGGGGCAACAATGGATAAGTTGATAGTCAAGTACTCATCTTACGCTTTCGAGAGCCCTCGTGTCCATGTCTTCTGATCTAACCATCACCTTAGATGTGGGCTTTTGGATAGACGTCAAAAACCGATGGAATCGCAGAACCTAATGGCGAGTCTATCTGAGTATAGGGAAGCCACGATAATATAGTACAAATTGAGTACAGGATTCAAGACAAGTACAAGGTGCAAAACCAGACCACGAGAGTTCAAATAGACAGACTTATACACAATGAAATGCCTTCCTAGGCCTTTAATCTAGTACCTTCTCACCTCAACGATGAGGTTTTCGTTGCCCCAAGCGGCGTTGGTACCTATTCGTAAAGGAAAGCCGTCAGACATCGCTTACAGTACTGGCCATGGGTAAGGCACTACCCACCTTCATTGAGCACCGCAATAAAAGGAAATGCGCTTGAAATGCAGTTATTGAGCACCCAAATACCACCATCCGCAACATGCGCGCTATAGGCGGGGATTAAGCACGTCGAACCCACTAGAGAACCTAGAGAACAACGGCTTACCAGCTCGATTGGGCGTAAGATACGCCGTTCACCCGCCCGTGCCAGGCAACATCGTCGGTCCCACTAACCGTGTGACAGAACCTCGATCCGGAGGAAGGTACCGCGCAGGTCACACCCCCGATCGAGTGCAAATACTCAAAGCATACCAAGGCGTTGGCATAGCTGATGTATTGTCCCCAGCTACACGTCGGAGTGTACCGCTTCGTGAGGGAGCCCAATCTCTCGTTGTCCTCTATCATACGAAGGAGAATCGATCAGAAAACGACATCCGATGAGATGAATCTGAACGGGAAAGACATTGAACGTACCTTGGGCTTCCTTGTGTCGCTCGATACGGTCAAGCGCACGAACGACAAGATCGCGGGAGGTAAGGTTGAGGGACTCGAGCGAGGGTAGACCAGGACCAGGTACGACCGTAAACTCCCCAATTTCGGCCGCATGAATCAGCAGTTCAGGGTTCCGACTGACCTCCAACAGCTCAGGACTGGGAGGCGCAGAAGACTGTGGTAAAGCCTGGACGCATCCAACTGCGATGAAAGCGACGAGGAGGGCAGCACGTAGAGTAGCTAGAAGAGCGAACATTCTGGGGGATCTGGGGTGTCTGTATTACTTGGTACCGCTTTTATACATACGGTAGATTAGACTGTGGGCGACCATTTCACCTTCTGACCCCCCGGTTTCGGCACAGGTACAGACAACCTGTCTGCTCATGCTCTTCTCAGCTCTGGTAATCGTCTGGGGTACGCTGATCCAAGGTTCTGATAATGAACGAGGATGTCGTAAAGCGACAAAAGGGCTACCCAAAGCAGCCCAACCACCCTCTTCTAGAATTTCTGACTCCGATGCCTCGGATCGGCCACGGATGCTTGTGGGCGGCTATTCTGGCGCCCACAACGTGAACTCATGGTTCAACGACAAGGCTTTCTATTGTCTGAAAGCCGTTCCTGATAGAAACGTGTTGATCAACGATATATATTGAATCAATCTTCTCGATTCGAGCGTGGCCGGTGGATTTTCATCACCTGGTACTTCAAGAGCACAAGCCGAATCATGTAAGATAATTTTGTCATGCGCAACTTGTGCGCACGTTACAAAAACCCTGCCGAGCGGGACTTACGGCCAGATATTAGGTCCGCGTCGCGCAGGTTCGAGGGCTTACACGGACACCCATGCTTTGTGAAATGGGGACGTTTTGATCATGTGGGTCGCGGCAGGATGAAGTCGCCGAAAGACTTTACAGAAGGTGGCTTTAACTAACAAGGTTGGCGTATTATTCACTTGAGGGGGGATGAAGGTCGGCTGCGAGAAGAGGGGGTTCCGCCCTATCACCTCGTCCTAATGAGACCTTTATTTTACCGGAAGATGCTTTGAACGAGTAAAAATACAGACAAGTATGTACGTCGTAGGCAGTCGTAGGTTGCCGAGGAGAAAAAGGGACGAAATGTACATGCACGAATGTCGAGAGTAGTACGTGATCCCATCATCCCGAATCTATTGGTGTCTAAGGGAGATGCTGTGAGTAAAATATATGTACAGTGAAGGAACGATAAACTAAATGAGAATATTCAATATTCTAGACTCTAGAATAGATTAGAGTAACAAGGTGAGTATGCGCAGCAGTATGGATTCCATGGTGTGGGAAATCCATTGAGTAGATGTGATGAAGTTAGGGGTTGGAATCCAAAATGCCATTGGGAGATAATTGGAATAGCCCCCCTGTCAACCAGTCGGTGGGTCGGAGTTGGTATTAATGTATTCCAGAGTGGTGGTAGTTAACAATGGGCCAAGTTGACCACGCCACGGGGGGTTGTGACGCTCGGGCAATCTTCGAATGTGATGTTTGAAGGACGAGGTTCATCTCCCCGGGTAATGTCCTGGACGTGTCGGTTCGTGATGTCACAGCACTTGCCAAAGTGCAGACTTGGTCCTCGAAAGGTTGCGATTGACTTTACGAGGTCGGGGAAGTCGCGAATGTCGTATAATCGCAACGTCTGCGAAGTTGGGAAGCAAACTGGAGCGTTGAACGCGCATCTGAACAAGTCGATGCGAGGTAGGTCACATATGTAGATGGCGGTGAAAAGGAAGTTCATCGTCCTCGCGTTGGCGCCGACGATAGTCAAGGTCGGCCTCGATCGAAATCCTCTGGAGCAGTCGGGCATGGCTGGTATATCGACGTCGTCGAAGAATAGTTTATTGAGGGTCTCCACATTCGAGAGAAGGGTTATCCAGAGAGACACCTTGTCCTTCGTGTAGCCTTCGGTGACAGGTGAGAGCTTCGTTAGTCCAGCGACTTGAAGACTAGAAAGCCCGTGCAGAGTATCGATGCGAGGTGAATCGAGGAATGACATTAGCTGCCTTCCTCCGATCGAGAATGTAGTTAGGGTATTGGTCGCGGCCGCTACGTCCAGCGAGCGCGTGAATACGATGGTGTCCGTCGTCGAAAAGGGCCATACGACGTCCGAGTCGCATACGTCGGAAAGGGAGCCCGTGCTTGAATCGTCGGCGTGGTAGGCTAGGACAAGGGTGGATAGGTTTCGGAGCTCGGAGTTAAGATACGAGGGAAGGTATGGTGGTACCGACGAGCTCTGGTTGGGCTCAATGAAGAGCGTTCGGATTCTGTCGTGGTAGGGAAGAAGGATCCTCGTTACATGAATCATCTTGCGTCGTTCCGATAGATCGTATGTAATTGGAATTTTTCTGCGCAGGACGAAGACGTCGAGTGGACCTTGGTCAGTTCGCGACGCTGTAGTTTGAACATAATGCGCGAGTTTGTCGAAAGAGAAGGAATGGCGGTCAAGCTGGATGATGATGTACCTCCAGCCAAGTGACGAGGTTATCAGCGCATCCCAGCTTCTACAGACTAGGCGAAAGTCAGCTAAAGCCGCCTGATAACTCTTCACCGACTCGATGTTCGATGTCGGTGGCGTGTGCGTTGGTCGATCGAAGAGGGGGTCAAGGGCAGCGAAAACTGCCTGAATTATCGTTTCCATGCTAGGAAAAAAAAAAAAAAAAACGCGAGGAAGATGGTAGTGGGTGAGAGGGTGAAAAGAAGAAAATGGCCTCGAGGATGTCGAGGATACTTTTATACCCCAGCCAGTGATGCTACCGCGCTCATCGACATAGGCTTCCGAAAGGTCACCCTCTTTTCTGTAGTTCGTGCTCTTTAGCAATGTCCGGGTTCATTTTTCTGAGACGACACACCATGGTTCACACACGCAACAAGTTTTACGCTTGTCTATTGGATATTTACAGGAACAATATGGGGACGAATACTCTAACCCATTCATTCACAAGGTCCAATCCAGAGCCCTATGAGACGAAGAAGCGAGCGAAAGCCGATCGAAATACCTAGATGACCTGTGAGACTTTATTCCTTTGGCTAAGGCTGCGAGAAACTCACCCCATTCCCAGCTCAGAAGTGAAGACGTCGATATCGCTTACCAGAAAACCTGATTTCGCATCATGCTGCCACGATCCGCCAGTACCGAGCATGCAATGGGCCTATACGTGCCTATCAGCGCCAGAAATATATCCACCGCGCTCATGCTAGGGAAAAAATAGAAGGTGGCAGAAAAGGAAGGACAGGAAAGGGGGCAGTCAAGAGGAGGGAGAAATGGCCGTGGGAAGCACGCCGTTTATTGTACCAGAATCATTTGAGCTCCGTTTGAATTCGAAAAGATGGTTTTGAACCTTATTTCTCTACTTCCCACCACCACAAAAACTTCTCCAACCACAGTTTACATGGTTTACATGGAATGCACTAAAGCACCTCAAAAAGCTGCTTTTCTTCAAGTTCCACAGTCCTCTGTACATCACCGCCCATCCCGTCGTGCCGTTATCCTCATAGTACCGGGAAACTCGAGGACGACGTCCTATCTCATCGGGGGCGACTTGGCTTCAAAGTGCATTCTACCCAGAGGACATCCATGCCGAACCTTCACGGACCCATTGAAATCATCTCGAATGGTTGTAACCCAGGGAATCCCACGTCAACCACCCATTGAAGTACTCCAGGCATTCTGGCCATCGAACCCCCTTCTTTGCACCCACTTGACACATTCTTTCCAGCTGGCCCCCTATCGAATCGCTGGCAGCTGCGTCGATCGCTTTAGGATGCTCGGATGGTAGCTTCTATCTAGGTGCGTTCTCACTTGGCATCTCGGCCGGTCAATTATTTATTGATTTACTCGCTAATATTCCCAGATTTTCGACCTGGATTTTGATTTCAGAATCGAGGGGGCTCTTCCCACACCTACAATCCGGCAGCGATAACCTGTGGACCCGGGACTTCGACGGAGCTGGGATTTCGACTAGCCCCGATACTTAGGGTGTAACAAATCTAGCCGGCACCGCGCTGCTTGCCGCTTTGCGATTTCTTGAAGGGGCGTGACAAAATGGTTTCAATACCATTTCCTGTTCCACCAGAACGGGGTCAGCCTCCTCGTGTTCGCTGTGGAATTACCATTATTTCATCATTCGCCGCTGCCGCTGGACTTCCAAACGCGTCCAAGCAGTAGGCACATCAACTTCTTCGGTCAAAATCAGCCTCTTCTTGCTGCACACAACACACCACCGTCAAATGGCCACCCAACGTTCCGCTCGTATCCCTTCACAAACGTTTTGCGGATCTCGAATGGAACCGGTCAGTACGCACAGCCAGTTCCAAACGCTCCTTGGCTAACTGCTCTTCATAACCAGACAAGTCCCATTGCTTGGACTCTGAAGGTCCGTCAGCCCCAGAATACAAAACCCAGTGGACGAGAGACGGCTGTAAATTGAGCTACTTCTGTAATCGAACGCCTTCCACCATACGCGCACATTCCTACCCTACACACACGCAACGCCCTCGTGTCAACCGCCCGCAAACCCTTCCGTTCTTTTATCCCTTATTACCCACCTCGGCGACGGAAGGTTTGGAACCTTTCCTGTTCGACGATACCGTCCCTCGACACCCTTGCCAATCTTTCTCCATTCCACATTCATTTTGATTCCAGTCCTTGAAGTTTGATTCTATTTTACTTTCCTTTCTTTTACATTTCTTCTCGTTTCTCGTCCCATTTTTGTTTCTTTCCCATCATGAGAGTCGGCGTCTTCTTCACCTCGCTTCTTGTTCTCCTCCCGACTATCCTTGCATCTCCGACCCACCTCTACCGTCGCGACTACTCGGGCGAATCTGGTTCGAGCGGGAGTGGTTCTGGGAGTGAGGTTGGGAACAGTAGTGGCAGTGGCTCGAATGTCGCTTATAACGTCGGAGGTGTATACGGCGGTGGTAGTGGTGGATACAACTATGATGGAGGAGCTGGCGATGGCGGCGGCTATGGTGGAACCAACGTCGAAGATGGGGAAGGGGATGGTGGCGACAACGAAGGTCAGCGAGGCAGTGGCAGTGGGGGAGGGTACGACTACGACGAAGGGGGAAACGATGACGAGGGAAGCGCTGGAGGGGCTGGAGAGGACGACGGCGACAATGGAGGAGATGATGGTGGTGACAACGGAGAGGATGGAAATGGTAACGACGAAGGATCGAGCGGAGATGACGACTCGAGCAGCGAGTACGACGTTGAAGGTGACGAAACATCAACATTTTGCGTCTATAAATCGAACTAATCGACCGATGTCAATCAGATGTTCGTATCCTGAGCTATGCGCTCAGCTACGAATACCTCGCCACTGCTTTCTACGAGGACTCTTTCTCTCGGTGGTCATGTCAAGACTTCGAGAACTTCGGCATCGACGAGTGGGCCTACAAACGCTACGAGCAGATTTACAAGCACCGTAAAGCGTATGTCAAGTTCCTCGAGAGCGCAATCGAAGCATCGGGCGCGGAGTTAATCCCGCCCTGCACCTATAACTTGTAAGTCATTGTCCCTTACGATTCGCTTCGAGTTTCTCTCAAACTTGAATGCCTTCTCAGCGATTATTCCAACGATGTCAACGATTTCGTCAACCTCAGCCAATACTTCGAACTCGCCGGCACGTCCCTGTATAACGGAGTCCTTGGATACATTCACAACAAGGTGAGCACTAGTCGATGAACTAGAGGACCTGTCACTAATCAGGCGCGAAAGAGATACGCCTCTGTTATTGGATCCATTCTCGGTGTTCAAGCTCGCCACTCGGCTTGGATTCACTCCACCGTCCAGGAGAAGAACCCTTGGAACACCGCATTCGAGGCAAGTCGATTTTCCAGGCTTTTTAATCAACGTATTTATCTCATTCCCTCCAGACTCCCCTTTCATTCAATCAGATCTGGACGATCGGCCATCCCTTCTACTCTTCGTGTCCCTCCTCCGGCCCTGGAATGAACGCCTTCCCTGCCGGACTTCGCGACTATCCTTCCTTCAAGATCTGTAACGAGGACATTATCCCTGGCGAAAACGTCGGTATCGACCTCTCAGAGGCCTACGGGGCCAACCCCAGCGCCTTCAATGGTGATCAGGAGCTCTTCGCCGTCTTCGCGCTCGGCACTGGCTCATACGTTCAACCTCTGTACGCCAAGGGCTCAGACGACGGTGGAAATGGTAACGATAAGGACTTCTGGATGAAGGTTCCGAAGGAACTCGAGTCGACCGGCGCTGTCTACGTCTCCATCGTTCAAGCTTCTCCGGATGAGGCTTCACAGTCTGGCTTCCAGATCGACGACCAGAACACCGTCGCTGGGCCGAAGATTTGGATGTTCAACTATGATTCAGACTGGAAGCCTGAGAAGGGCTACGAGTTGTTCCAAGATTGATGATTGAGGCTCTTCCCCATTCGCACCTTCTGTCTTTTTGTCGTTTTCGTGTACTTTGTGTAACCTTGTTCCATCATTAGTTCTACTTTGATTGATTATCCCTCCATCGCAGGTATGTACATCGTAAATGTATAGTATTTCTTCGAATCGCCTATTTCCTTTTGAAACTTGCGAACGGCTATGTCGTTCATTGAGGGACGAGCCAAAGCGAGCTGATTCCTGAACCCCTTGAATGGAGCCGATTATCTCTCCAGAGATTAGATTAGATCTTTGAGATCAATGGCCAGTTATCCACGTGTCGCAGCGAGGAGCATTTCAGAGGAGAACCCACCATGTGCAGACTACGAAGACATTCCACCATGGCCTGGGTTCCAGTTGCGCCTTACCGAGCAACTCCAGGAATCACCACAGCTGACTTATCGTATACCTCATACCTCCTGGATGTCTCGAAAGGGGACATGACAACGCTGGACTTCACAACAGCTTCACAGACCGGCGCTTGTTTCTGCGACGCGACGATTTTGAAATTCACTCTTAATGACAGGTCAACTGAGACTGGTCGCTCGATCTACTTATAGTTGAACTTCCAACCCGACGTTCCCAATCGCGCCCATTACTGCGACTGGTCAACTCCCTTCGAATCGCAGTTGGCCTCCGTCAGCCCCAAAGCTGCTCACATTCCGTACAAAAACCGGGCCCTCTCTTCGAGATCGTTCATACGAACAGCCTAAACCACACCCCATACGACCTTGACGACGCAACGGCTCTCATGAAGTTTGACGCCCTCACAGCTCTCGTTCTCTTCCTCCCCTACGTCCTGGCTTCTCCAGTCGGAACCCCGGGCGGAAGCCATAGCCACGGCCCAGATCCCACATTCGCTTCTCACTCTGGCGGCTCTGGAGTCATGAGTTACGCTGCTTCTCCGAGTTCCAGCGACAATGGAGTACCGAGCAGCAGCGGGGTGAATGTGGCAGGAAGTAGTGCTGGTAGTAGCCCTGACGGTGATACCCCCGTCGCTGCCGGTTCTCCCAGTGGAAATGACGATAGTGACGACGACGGGCAAGCATCTAGTGCCAGCACGAGTCCAGTACAGGATGATGGTGGTAGCGGTGCCTGGAGCGCAAGCCCGCCAGATGTCGATGGTGAGCTCGCCTTCCCGTCCTCCTTCATCGAGTACTGACGAATCACAGACCTTCGTGTTCTCAACTATGCCCTCACGTACGAATACCTCACCACTGCGTTCTACGAAAATTCCCTTTCGCGGTGGTCGAGCCAAGACTTCAAGGCTTACGGACTTGACGACTCTGTTTACGGCCGCTACCAAGAAATCTACGAACACCGCCAAGAATACGTCAAATTCCTCGAGAGTGCTATTACAGCTGCTGGTCTCCGATACCTCGACCCTTGTACCTATAACTTGTACGTCTTTCTCCCATCTATCTGCTTTCGATCACTAACATTTTGGCGTTATTCCAGCAACTATACCACCAGCGTCGGCGATTTCGTCGACCACAGCGAGTTCTTCGAGCTCACCAGCACCTCCATGTACGAAGGAGCACTCGGGATGGTTTCTAACAAGGTACACTCTCCCCGTCACTATCATCAGCGACAACGTTAACTGACCTTGGATTCAGGATTATTCGTCGGCCCTTGGCTCTATTCTTGGTGTCCAAGCGCGACACTCCGCTTGGATTCAGGCAACTGTGAAGGGAAAGAATCCATGGAATACCGCTTTCGAAGTTCGTCCATTCTTCACCCTCGATTGAGAGTTATCACTGAACTAGAAAATCAGGCTCCACTTAGAGTAAACCAGATCTGGACGACAGGAGATCCTTTCTACGTTACTTGCCCTCCTATCGGACCTGGCTTGCCTTCCCTACCCGCCGGATTGGACCAATACCCTCTCTTCCAAATCGATACCCCTCAATCCATCATCCCCGGTGACAGAGTTCGAATCGACATGTCAGAAGTCGTCGCCATTAACCCGGATTCCATCCCCAATGCCTCTAGCGACAAGAAACTCTACGTAGTCTACGCCATCGCTTCCAAGAACTATGTCGAGCCTCTATGTGCGGAGGACGACGAGGACGCTGATGGCTACGGGTACTGGGTGGACGTTCCAAGTGAACTCGCATCAGTTGGAAGCGTCTATGTTTCCATCGTCCAGGCCACTCCCACCGAGGCTCGCGAGCCTGGATTCCAACCCAACAACGACAACTCCGTAGCTGGCCCAAGAGTCTGGATGTTCGACTATGATTCTCAAGGGAGGTCTGACGAAGGATACGAGCTGTTCAAAGGGTCACGAACTACGCCTTTCGCGGGATGATCGTGGCAGTGAGCATTTCTTTTGTCTCTCCAATGCGCTGTTATAGTTCGCTTTCAAACTTCTGTATTATTCCTGTCTCCTCTAATGCTCATCGAACTCTGATATCCATGATGACGGTCTCTTTCTTCTGTTCGAGCTTTTGGGGCACCTGAGGGCCATAGTGCTACGTGGGATTGGCACATTCAATGTCCAGGTCGTTTCCCTGATGTAAGGCAGCTATCATAAGGTGTTGATTCCCCGCGCTTCGTACTGTTCGAAGCTACTGGTTTGTGTCCCCTTCGCTGATACTCGGTCCTCGCCAAACTTAGCTCTCCAATACAGTCCTAAGACACGTATCTCAGACAGAAGCAGAGCTTCTAGGGTCCTCGGTCACCTCTTTCGGGGAGCCTAAAACGCCGCTTAATCAAGGAAAACTCAGTCTAGAAAGTTCGACGTTCGTCAGGGATGTACTGGGCAGAGATGGGAACCGCAATTGTCCGCACAACGGTAGACATCCGGTTAGAAACGCTTGCTTGAGACCGAGGTGACCATTAAGCGCGCTCAGTGATGGGGCGCGTGATGTATCCTTTGCTTGAATCGGTAAGCAGCCCCTTCGCCACTGGGTCATGGCTCGGGAGGATATCGCTACGAACACAAGCAGCGACTACTTAAGTCTCCGATAAACACCTTTTCCAGCCCAACTCTCCCTTAACGCAATACGTCACAGGGGACAAGGTAATATTCAATGATGAGCATAGACAAGGCAATCATGACATATCGTGAGACGCTAGCGCTAATGTTATAGAGTGGAGGAACTTTCTCCAACTGAACACTCAGATGATGTACTAACGAGCGGATAGAAATAGGTAGAACGTAAATAAAAACGTTAGTAACCGGGATAAGACAATTCAGATTAAATAGTCCACCGCCGAGGTGGAATGTCTGGAATAGCCAACTCGATGGCGTTCAGTATATGAAAGGGAGCAACCTGTAAGGAACTCGTTTTGCCCACAGTCTCCACTCCGGCCCAAACTTCGCGCGCAAAAGCCTATCCTCGTTCGGCACTCTAAAAATGAGGCTCAGAATGACAGCCACAAGGATAGCCATCCACCCAAACGCCAGAAGACGTCCCACCGGAGTCTCCAAAACACCGCTCTCCCTCACCCAAGAGCCCTCAACATGATTCAGGATGGAACCAAAAAGAAGTACAATCAACCCGGTGTAGCTTGGGTGCCGAACAATCGAGTATGGACCGTAATCGATTAGAACGTGATCTGGGTGGATGGCGAGTTCGAAGGTGAAATGTCGGCCAAGGGTGCGATAGCACTGAAGGCGGAATGCGCCCCCACACCACACAAGGACATGTCCAAGGACGAACCACCAGGTGAATCCGATCTTCGACGCATTATGCGGGTTACGTAGGAGGTGGGAAAGAATCCACGTAGCAAAGGAAGAGTTTGGTTGGGCGCTCGCGAGGATGACCACCACCTCGAGAGACCAGGAAGTCCAGTAAAGGGTCTAGAAAAAAGACGTCAGAGTCGAGATGGTGGGGAGTGAGGCTGGACAGACCCTGAAAATCCTGCTAGGCAAGGCAAGAGATTTAAGGTATCGTTCCCTCCAATCAGGGATGACTTGTTTCTCCGGTGGTAGCGGAGCATTAGGTGGTGTGGCTGCAGACAGCATCCAGAACGCGTCGGCGGCAATGAAAAGTATTTTCAAAGGAGCGAGCGAGTAATTCATGAATGAATAGCGTCGACTTTCGAGCTGAGGGGAACTTTCAGGCATTCTAACCTCGTATTTATGCCAATTCGAACACCGTGTATACACATCCCAAAAGGCTAGAGGCCCAGCATCTCCTGATTGTAGGCTTGAGAAAAACGGTCCAATTTCCGTCCTGGTCAGCGAGCGCAGGGATGTGATTCCAATCGGTCTTGAGTATTCGCCGAAATCGAGTTTCTGGAAACAGACCTTTCATGGAACACTTCCATGACGTCCCATCCATGTAATTGAGCGAGTCCGAAAGGGATATCGCACGGCCGATATGGCAGTAGTTTCGGATACTCGCGAAATGTCAAACGAACTGACGGTAAACAGAGGGAAAGAGTCTACAAGAAATGAATTCAGGCTAAGAATACCGCCAAATTAGTGGATTGGACGGACGCTGCCGTGCAATAGATGCATCCCCTTTAGGGAACATCGGATCGCGACAAAACGGCACGAGGGAATCTCATGCAGGTTACAAGTTGGGGATGGAAGTGTACAAACGGAGTGCGTAAAAAGTTACTTTTCAAGTTAACTTTACCTAACTTTGCTCCATAGGCGCGACTATGGGCTAACTTTTTCCCACGCTTTGGAAAGTTAGCGCCGTACTTCAGGTCACTTTATGTCTGCTGACACCGTCTTACCACGGATAAAGCAGGCAAGTCGTATATTTTCTTGTGTCAGTAGATGATATAAGAGTCGTTTGATATACCTAGTAGGCTCATTGCTGTGAGAATTGTTCCTTCATAATTCCATTTTTGTAAAGAGAGGAACACCGTCGTACCTTGTCAGAATCTGGAGTGTTGTCATTTGTTTTACCACGTTGTATGAGCCCTTAGGTACTGGAAAGGCGACTTGAAGTAGGACCAAGGCTCTCATTGGCGAAATATTGTCTTTGGATAATGCATTTTGTCCGGGATCCCGTGTACGGTGGTTCCATGGATCAGGCGCGCCTGCCCTAAAGTAGTTTAGGCGCGCATCAATATTGTCTGTAAGCTCCCTCTTTGTGCAATATCCAGAGCCCATTCGGCGAGTCCTATTGCTAGATAAGTAAATATACATGAACGTCAGAATCCAATCAAGCTTAAGAGGACGTGGCTGAACGTACATATCTAGGTCTTGGGGCATCAAGCATCCGCCATCAGGCCTTCCAGACCGTAGACGACACCTGTATCCACAGTCAGCATCCTGGGACCTGCGAACCATTAAAAGCGATAGGTTAACTTGGAAGGTGTGTGACTTACCCCGCCTAGTCGTCCTTCTCCAGGGCTCCGCACCAGAAGGCTTCTTCACACATCGAACCTCGTCAGACGTCCTTCTGGGCGTGACATGGCGGGGTGTCATGAAATGGCTGATTCAGCGTCCTAAAGGTAGGTCAGTAGGCTGTTGGAGATCACTCGTTAGAGACCAGGAGGACTTACATGGGTAGCTCGAGGCTAGGCTCGAGATCGTGCATGAAGATGTGGTGGTGGGTTGGAAGAAGCACGACGACCGCCGAGAGCGGAGCTATTTCCCAAAATGGCTGAAGTTCCCATCTCGGTATACGCGCTGGACGTCAACGCGTCAACTTTGAACTGGACTTTGAAGTAACTTTGACTTTACTTTCAAGTTACTTAGCCCATATAAAAAAGTAACTTTTGTCTTACTTTACTTAAGCTTTTTTGGAAAAAGTAACTTTGGTTACTTAAGTTAGAAAAAGTTACTTTAGTACAGGAAAGTTAGTTCGAAAAGTAACTTTTGTTACACCCGTACAAACGTAGGTGTCCAAATGAATTGATACAATTCCAAACGTGTATAGGGCGTTACATATCTGTTTCTTAGCAAGGCGGTGGGTGGAGCGATAGGCCTACTAAAGAACCTACATGGTGAAACGCCGTATGCTATGGTCGGTCCAGTTCATGCCTACGGTCATGACGTGGCTACAACGACGCCCTACCTCGAGACTCGTAGGGTAATAACAGGGCAATGAGCCCAGCAGCGATGAAGATGCCTCCCGCAATGAAGATGGGTACGGACGTGGTCAAGTCTGCGTATAAGGCAATAATAGGAGCCTACAGTTCCCCAAAATGAATAACTAACATCAGAATGGGAGAGAACCTTTACGGACCATGATTCCGAAGATACGATTCGCCGACGCAGTAAGGGCGTTGCCGGTTCCCCTATCCTTGGTGGGAAAGAGTTCCGGGGTCAAGGCGTACAAGACGCCATACATGACATTGCTCGTGAAGCTGTAGGCACAGTTCCAACCCAAAAGAGCATTCGAATTGCGCGACGTAGTAGAAGCGAGGATAAAGGCGCCGGTGAGAACTAAAATTATTTAAGCGCCGTCCAGAGTATGCTGCCAGTCGTACGCACTGGTGAAGATCGAAAGCGTCCCCCTCCTTCCTAGAAGGGGTAATTCGACCATGTAACCGGCCAAGAGGGCTCCTGGAACGCCTATGACACTGATAATAGCTTGCTAACTCTTTCGTTAAGTAACTACGAGGATACGAAATATCGGAAAAGACTCGCGTTTCTGTACGTGATGTCGATCGACCCATCGCCAAAATCCGCTCCCCGAGTGGAAAGACTACAGTTGCGGTCAGTTATGACTGGGCCCCATGATCATCGTTAAATGAAGCTCACTAATATGTCACGAAACTGTTGTACCTATAGATCAAGGTCAGGCGGGGACAATGTGTCAAAGATAACGGTGATTCACTCACAGCGGGAATGCCAATCCAATGAGGGCTGCAGGATTCAAATGAGTTCTGAGCGAGGTCTATAACGGACTGAACGTACCCCAAAGGAGAATCAGAAGTGACGTGGACCATGCCAATCGTCGAGAGGCAAAGAGCGCCTTCAAATGGTGGGCGTCAAACTTTGAAAGATGCCGCTTGATGACTGAAGCAGTGGTGTGACGATTGGACGCTGGCCCATTTTCCTCCTTCTCGGAGACTGGGGACGCAGCTACGCGTGCGAGGTCCTCCACGCTGATTCTCGAACTGGTCCCGTTATGGCGAGCTAAGTTATGAATCACGTCCACCGCCTTATCGTGTTTCCCCTGACCCATCAGAAACTTGGGGCTTTCATATAGCTTGAATACGAAGAACCGAATCCCCCAAAGTAACATTAAACCACCCATCGCGAACATGAAGTACCTCCACCCCATGTTTGACGATCGGGGACAATTCTCTCCTGGGGTTTCCGTTTCACAAGAGTAGTGCTTGATCAGGGGCCATGCTACCTGAAACACGGAGACTTCAGCAGGCCTCACACTGCCAGAAATTGGTCGAACATACCAGGCTTCCGATAAGCTGGCCGAAGGCCCACCAGATGGATAAGATAGTCAGTAAGTACTGATGGGAGGCGGGAATGAATTCTGTCAAATCCTGTCAGAATCAGACCGACATAGTGGCTGGTAAACGGACCCAAGAAAAGGGCTGAATCGACCGGTAGATTACCTCCCACGCCAATCGACCAAACAGCTGCGAGGGATGTGAGCGTCACGAAGTCATGGGACCCTCCAGCCGCCAACGCGAAGATGCCAACGATCAATAAGGTAATGTTGAACGAGATCCTGGCCAGAGGCGGGTAAGATTGCATATGAGAGAGGGAAATCGCGGCTTACTTCCTACCCCATACATCTGCAGCGACGCCCCAAAACGCAGCCCCTAGCAGCAGTCCGATGTTTTGCCCAAGTTTTAAGAAGGGGGGTTCATAGTTGAACTCGTTGACAGTGGGTGGGATGATAAGGCCAGTGACGATCTTGGAACGACGGGTGAGCGGAGGGGTCTAAACGTCAGATTCAGCGCCTTACCGGCCAGAGATTATCGCTGAGTTTTAACGAATGAATGGCTGTCAAACACATCTCTAGTACCAACCAATCGTTCCTACTCACGCGAACCAGCCGAACCCGGTCACAATAAACAATCCCCTAGAAAAGCAGTTAATACAATCATCGGCGATTCGATCTATGTTTAGGGCGCACCATTGATACCTTCCCATGCCAATATCCTGAATGGCGTCGTTCAGGATGCGCGCCTTGGTCAGGTACCTCAAATCGATGGTCCCCTCGTCATAGATCGTTTCGTACCGTCTTCCTTCAGCTCCACCAGGGACTGACGCGCTATCGTGAGAGATTGTCGACAAGTCCTTCCGTTCTTTATCGTTGTGGTGTTCGTTCTCGACCATTATGAGCAATAGGTGATGCCGATCCTAGAGAAAAAGGAGAGAGGGTCGAAGAAGGCGGGTCAGTATTAAATGTTGACGGCGAAGGTAGATAAAGAATCGAACCAGAAGGACCCCGCTCTCAGGGCGATGGCGTGCTTCTTCGACCAATCACAGTACCACGAGGTCCTTCCCGCTATAAGTAACTTTCAGATGCCTATCCACGCCTACGTGGAGCACATCATGGGTTGCATCCTCCACTGTCGACGTCAATAGCTAAAATAACCCTTCAAGGTCGGCGCTAGCTTGGGGGCGATGGCGGCAGTGTATCCTACCACGCGATCGACGTCTCTGCGAACCAGAGGAGATTAGACAATAACGAGCGCCATACCTTTTTGTCTAGGGTTTGAAGCGACAAGATGAACAGCGAGCGCTAGCGTGCAAGTGTCGTCGACGAAATGGCTGTTTGACAGTTTGTCGAAAGGAGAAAGTGCATTGATCCCGGAACTCACGAAACAGGACTGGTTTTCCAACACGCACGGACCAGTGATCTGGAAGGCTTCCAACAGCAACTCGATCTCGCACCGACCTTGAAGCGATGAACGTATGAGGAAGATTCTGGCATCCGTCAGTCAATGTGATGACGAGTAAACATGGTGGCGATGGATGGACCATTGAAATTCCGAGGCTATGGATTACTAGCAATGGAGACCGGCGCTTAGGCCCTGAGCGCCTATCAAAATCGGTTGATAACGACCAAGACAGGGGTGACATGGCTGAGGTGATAAAAAAAACATCGAAATAAGTTATCGACATCTACAGCACTTTAACATCGTAGCTATCAGTCCCCTCCACCTGCTGGTACTTCTCAAAAAGCGCCAAATACCTCGCAAAGCGGCCATTATGCCCTCCGATGAGGTTGCTCCACATCTGACTCTGTGCCCCCCAAACCGTCCTACACCAATTAAAGAACGCCACAAGCGCAAGGTCGGCGAACGAAAGGTGCTTCCCCATGACATAAGGACCATCATCGTTCCTCCTCAGCCATCCCTCTATCGTATGCAAAGCAACCACGACTTTGGTCCAAGCCTTCTTCCCCTCCTCTCCAACCAAATCGCCGTTGATCTTCCCAAGGTCGCTTGTGCCGAAATGAGACATGAGTCTGTTCTGTGCGAACCACTCCCGACTTCGATCATTGAGGATCGCCATGGTAGGAGGATAGGTGAAGGTTTTGAGAGGGAGCATCGTCTGCGTAATGGCGTCCGCGAAAGCGGCGTGGAGTGTTTCGGCGCCTCGAGGAATGGTACGTTGAGACGATGGATAGTGCTTGTCGAGGTACATTGCGATGTCGAAGGAGTCTGCCACGGCCAATCCAGTAGCATCGTCGTAGATAACCGGGAGCGTGCATTTGCTAGTCCCATCAGGAAGTTTGTACTTCCCCTCAATCTTAAGCTCGCGATAGAGTTCAGCGATGTCGGGGTACTCGATGTAGATAGTTTTGTAAGGGAGCCCGGCGACGTTCAAGTTGAGTCGAGTCTTCCATGTGTTTGGGGACCATGCTTGGGGACTGAGATTGGAAGCGAGATCGTAGAGCGTGATCATTGTGGATGGATTGGTATGGAGATTGTCAGAGAGCGAAGCTTGCTGTGGGCATAGGCAGAAAGTCTATAGGAGATGTGCCGACCCATAGCTGATTCAGTTTTACAATCGGTTCTTGTCCGCCTTGATCGATGATAAAACAACTTGTGTGATGTCTTTATTCAAAAGACAGCGCCCAGTCTTAAACGCGATGACGACGGAAGGTTGTGGAAGAACCACAGCGCCTATAGACTCCAGGAAGACATTGTGGGGCCAACAGTACGAAGGGTAACACACTGGCAATTGTAACGGGTTTCGAGTCTGACACGCCCCCAAGATGTGAATCCTTGTATAGTCAAGCCTCCCGTCACTATCGAAAAACGTAGCTTGCCGAGAAGAAAATGCTGTCATGACAACCTTTCTCTAAGGGATATGTCAGCTTTATACCTTTGTAGTCGATAGGTATAAATACCCTCCAGCCTGAGGTCAAGAGAACTCACAGCACAAATCTCTATTTTCCCCCGTGAAAGCATCGAACGATAACCTGGTATCTACCACCGCACTGCACAAGCCAAAGCCTCTCCAGAATGAGCCGTTTCAACAGTCTCAACTATCCTCCCCGATGGCAATCCGGGGCGTTCTTCGACCGCGAACTGCAAGTTATGCACCGTAGAGACTCGGATTCGCGTGAGCCTCCTCACCAACTTGACCTGCGCTCAAGCGATAATCTCCCACCTTGGCGGTCGTATTCCCAAGTGAGCGCGCCACGCAATCCTCCATACAGCGCTCCGCACAGACGGGCTGTTCACCCTGGCTGCCCAACCTGCACCTGCTCGTCACCAGATTCCCCCACTTCTCGAAATTCTCGAGATCCGTGTCGAAGACGTAGGAGGCAAACCCGTTTCGACAGGAAATCGAGGAACCACGAGGATACCAGTGCCAGACAAGGACAGTCAGACGGGAATGGTGGGTCCATCTCCATGACCGGTATTACTGCTTCGGAGAGGCCTCAACTCGGAGATCGAGAGTCATCCCTTGCTAGACGGGCGAGGCAGGAAATAGAATGGGCGAGACCCGGAGAGACTAACACAGAGGATGGAGTGATTCTCGAGAAGAAACAAGAAGGTTCTTCCCCTCGTCAAAATCCTCAACTCATTTGCGGCGGCCCTTCGCACGCGAACCCAGCAGCACCGTCTTGATTCGATGGAGTAGCTACTTTCACCGCACTTGAAGCGACCATGTGATTTTATCTTTCAAACAAGCAGCCTCCATCTGTTAGTAAGAATTAGGAATGTCCCAAGACGGACCTGTCGTTAGTGTGGCGCTGGCCGGCACCTACTTATGTGTGCTTACACCAATATGACAAATGTCCGAACGACGAGGTGCCGTAGTCACAACTCGTTGCTCCTTTCTAGTTGGATCTTTGAACTGCGTGTGAATTGGATCGGGAATGCATGCAAGAAGTGAAGAGGTGTAGACTGCAATATAGTACAGGAGAGAGCAGGACACAGGCTGAATACTTTTAATTGAGCACAGTTGGCTCCTGATTGGGACGGAAGGCGATAGCACTGAGTCCTTCATGCAGGCTGTTCATTCGATTCTCCCTCTCCTTCAACTCCTCTTCCGTGTACTGACCCGGCACTACCATCGGCGCCTTGTCATAAAACGCAGGGAATAAACCTTCCCATCCGCCGGTTCTACATAAATCATATGAGCAAGCAAATGATAGTGCAACATAAGTGAAAGACTCACACCAATCTCGGGATGCTATCGCATACCTTCCACATATCCCAAATCCTATCACCCTCGACGCCTTCGGGTCCAATCCGTTCCAAACGCAGAAGTAGAGCGATCGTGGTCTTCGAAGAATGAAGGAAACCGGCCTCGATCAACATCGAGGGCTTTCTAGAGGCGATAAAATCGTCGACGATACCATCGACCCGTGCTTCGATCGCAGGGTATGGGGTCCGCAGGCGGTATGCGCGGTAGTGGGCTAGGGGGAGGCAAACACTTCTATAGGTCGTATCGTTCCGAGTATTGTCGACTATCAAGACTGGGGACTCATCGAGATCATCAATTACTGGTGGTGGACCGGACATGATACATTGGGTTTGAAAGTAGCGCATCGTGAACGTATAGCGTGCGCCCCCAAGCTTGTCGTCTGGACGTTTCGTTATGAATATCGGAGGATAGGATAGATGAAAATTCGACTAACCAATGTAACATCGGCGCATTGAAGCACACTCTGTCCTGTGTCTTCGATCCCAGTCTGCACGCTGACATGCCTGCGAGCAGTAATTCACCCAATGACAGGCCGAACACGTTTTCCCTCTCGATGTGGCTGGATTGCTTTTATCACGCTGAGGCGTCATTTCATGCTTGGAAGCAAACTCGATGAGGGTCTGCTACTCGAAGCCGAGGGATGGGACTCACCAGCATGTTATCGCACACACGAACATGGGACTCAGATCCACAGCCACCCACGTCGGCTGCGCGCACAACCGCCCTAACCAGATGGTCCCAATTTTCTCGTATGGGCGACCTCCTGGCGAGTGGTGCCAGCGAGGGTAGGTTGGGGTTGAGGGCCTCCCAAAACGGGACCACTAGCCAGGGATGGAAGACGATATTGGCTAGCCTCTCCGCCAGGAATTGGGCTTTGAATAAGGCGACGCGATTATCTCCTCGACGAAACCTCGCCAAGGACTCGAAGACAACGTGAAGTAGAGGTGTGCAGAGTACTTCTCGGAGCGCGATTCCTCTGTTCACCGTGGTTGCGAACATAAAAAGGTCGAGGAAATGATCCAACACAAGATGCGATCTGGAACAACCGACGGAGACCAGAAGTGAACGAGCCCATGCCTGGATTAATCCCTCCTTCGCCAGGTACGGAAAAATCGCAGGCTGTAACATCAGCGTTTTCGCCCCACTCCTGAAATTAAGCCACGGTCTCTCCGTACCAGGCGCCGGGAATTCGGTTGAATCGGTTTCGACCGCGTATTCTCCGATATGCTTGACGCGAAGGACGAGGGCCCGCGTAAAGCTGCGAATTACTGGGCGAGGGGATGAGAGTAGATAGTGGAGCAAGACATCCTGTCCATGATCATCGGAAAGATAGAGGTTGAGAACGTCGTTCGGGTCAATCGCATCGCTGAAAGACACGTAGACTCCTCCATTGTGCACCCTGGCGGACCAAAGGCGCAAGACGAGCCTGATCGCGCTTGGGGAAGAGTAAGCGGCTTGTTCGAGCGCATCGTCCGTGATCATCAGGACGCATAAGACTTTGCAAGCTCGCCCGATGGCCGCGTCGGGATAGAACAAGAAGGGGATATTCGAAGGCAGATTCAAGCAGCATTCCACGAAGGCTGACAGAACGGATATCAGAGCATCAAACCTTGGAAGCAACGTCGTTACTGTGGACTGTTTGAGTGATTTGGTCCGTTTACCATGGGCAAGACACGCGAGGAGAAGATCGAGCGAAATCCCAACGCGCTCGACTTGGTCCATGAAGTCGGGAGACGCTGATCTCTCTGTCGATATTGGGGCCTCGAGATGTGCCAACGCCGCTTCCAAGGCCGACACCACGAAATTCTTTGCTGTTATCGATTTGAACAGCAACTTTAGGCTGGGAACATCTCCCATCCGGGCTTGTTCTATCAGCTTTTTGGGGGTTTTGTTACAAGGTAGCAATGAAGGAGTAAACCATTGACACAAACCTTGGGACTGAGTCGGTTCATAGTGTCGTCGTTATCGGGAAAGATGGATGGCTCAATCAACCTAAGCCTGAGCCAGCTCGAACACCCCTATCGCTGCGATCTCTGTGATCTCTGGTCTGATGCCAGTGATGGCCGCTGTCCTTTGTTCGGCAGTCTCCCTAGCCGAGCGCTCGGACACTACGTGCCCTATGGTGAAGACGTCCATAGTACATACATAAAGCGTTGTTAAGCAAATGAGCATCAGTACCTATGTAACAGTACAGACATATAAAAAGAAGTACATCGATCTCAATAAGCAGCTATAAGAACCTTCGCGACCCGAGAGGGAACAACAAGCGCCCACAAATACCCCACTACTCCGGGCTTTGTTATTAGAAAAATAAAAATAAAAAATTAAGCGGTTAGGCTTACCGAGATGAGACGCTGAAAACGGACTGCGTTCGCTCAATTCATGAGTGTCGACGAAGGTCATTGGTCGAAGCTGTCCATGATAGGGGTATAAATTGCCCTTTTCGTTGTGCTAAGCCGAAGTTAAAGGTCTCGAGTTCGAACCCGCATAAGGTTACCCGTTAGAATACAACCATTGGGTGGAGAACAAAGGATTGAATTGCCTGGTTGGTGGGCTATTTATCTCTTTTCAGCCAAGTAACCCCATTGGCGAGTTGTGTTGTCTCAATTCCTGGCAGTGATAATTGACGTCGGTGCTATAAAATGGGCTGTACTCCAACACCTTGTTGACAGCTTAAACAACCTAACTCCTCATACGGCTTCGCAAACCATCCAAATCTTCCACCTTCCCGCCAACGCGCAACTCTTACCTGGTGACATGTCAACATCTGCCTTTCATTTCGTAACTCCTATGCCCACCACCACGAAACAATCAAACCCGCCTGCTCAGAGCGACGCACACCTCCCAGACCAACCAACAGTCTCCAACCATTCCACCACCTCAGATAATATGAATCACGCCGTCGCCCTAGGGCTGTGGATAGCGGCTCGAAGAAGCCACGAGGAATCTAAGAAAGAGGGAGACGGTCATATCCAACATAGTTCGTGGAGGAAGGTACACCCCATGTTATGGCGTCTCGGAGTAATCTCAGCCGTACCACTAGCCATTCTCGGCGCTGCCTCTAGGCGGGACTGGTGGATTTTCGTCGTGCTGTTGGTTGCTGCGATGTGATTTGACTTGTTTTAATGGTATTGCTTAGCAGACCTTCGGATGTGGACTATAGAACACTGGTACTTGGCAGCGAACAGAATGTAATTAGAATTAGATAAATCGAACCTAACCCGTTGGTGCGCAGGTAGACAACAAGCATTTCGTTGTCAACGATGGGCACTTGCACGTTTCAAATGATTACCTTTCTTATCTGAAGTGCCTGTCTAGACGAGGTTTTCGATTAGTGTGGCGCAGCGCTAGCGCTTGTGTGGGCGCTTGACCGTGACCGAATCCAGCGGTCTATCCGAATAAATACACCTATTGGATACCAAATGCTGCCTGGGCTTAAGAAAAGGGCCATAGTAACTACGTGTGGGTCCACGCAGTTTCAGAATCAGTGTTCAGGTGCACACCACTTCGACTTGTTCAGAGCTACACTGCACTGCAGTCAGTGTAATCGACAAACGCTGAACACTAGTCCATTTCCTCGACGAGGCGAGAAAAGGATGACTACGACGACCTTACGACACTTCAAGTTCTCATATCATGACGAACCCTCTAACTGCGTATAAAACCACGGCCTTGCAACATAAACGAGTCAATATCCAACATTCTTCATCCCACTTCAACATCTATCTCAACATCCACTTTTCTACGAATCACTCACCAACTTAAAGTCTTGAACGCCCAACCTACCATGTCCCGATCACACCACAATACCCATTTCAAACCTGAGCAGCGCAGCCCGCTCGCACTACCCATTATGACCTTCTTCATCCCAAACGAAGTAAAGACTCTCCGCATCACGGCTCATTCTCATAAAATATGCTACACTCGGCAGACGCCTTCTCCAGCTGATTTGGAAAAGGGCGTTCGAGTCGTACTCGTAGAGCAGTTTCCCAATGATGGTCAGGATTGTCGTCAATGCCCATCCTACACCCACGTGTTCTACGTCTCGGATTTAGGGCTTGGAGGCGGAGGCGGAGGCGGAGGAGGGGGAGGAGGAGGAAGAGAAGGAAGAGGGGCCAACTGGAAGCTTCACATTGCGCCTCTTATAACCCCCTTGTTGGTCAGTGCCGAGCGTCTGTTAAACGTGAAGCCTCCACCCGGCGTTTTTGAACTATGGGAGTTTCATACCAGGCCATGGGAGTTGGACAAGAAGACTGCCAATGTAACTCAGGGACGTAAGGGTGATAGGGAGAGTTCTACTAGTAGGGTCCATCGGGAGGATGGATTTAAAGGTAGTCGGACTGGTGAACTCCAGCATGGAAGGAGGGGTGTTTCGCAGGTGCACTACCCTGCCCAATCGCACAACCTTACGCAGTCGCGTTACCCCACCCAGTCTCACCACCCCTCCCAGTCCCACTACTCTACTCCCAGTCATTCCCGTGATACGCGGTTGCATCATACCGGGCGAAGTACGACAGTCTACCACGAGTCTAGATCTTTATATTATTCAACGGGCCACCCGGCATCTTATCAGTCTAGCGTCGTCAATGACAACCGAACCCGGCATCTCAATCCACCGAGCAACTCGAAAATACCCAGTAGCTCGAATTTAAAGGTCCCCGTGCGTGCGATCTACAGTGTCAAGCAGCCCCTCAGTACACCGACACCAACTTCACCCCCTGTTTCTCGAAGCCTGTGTAGGGTCTTTGACTGGGTGAAGTCAAAGTCGCTCTCTCAGCCGAACTTGTCTCAAAGTCGTAAGGCCAAAAGCAAGGACAAGGAATCATCAGACACAAAAGGCTATAAATTCGGCCCAACGCGACTGAATCCCTTCGAAGTGGATGGTCTCCCGCCTGCGTATGGGGAGTATACGGGTGTGGAGATCCAAGAGTATCGATATCCTCATCTTGCTTGGCCGGATCCGACTTGGGGCCATGTGTATAGGAACCAATGAATTACGAGGGTGTGTGTGTGAAGATTATTAGTACACTGTGAGGACCTGATATAATAGAAGTTTTGTCCACGTATTTTAGAGCTTTATAATTGCGAATTTTGGCACGCTTTAGGGAGATTTGTGCAGCGAGAATGATTGTTTGGTTGAAAGCTCGAGTCGAACTACTGCGCGAGTCGTTACAATAGGTAGGTGCGATGGGTTACCACTCGATGAGTGCCTACAGTAGCTTGTATCAGGCTTGAGCCTCAGGTGACGACGGTCGTTACTAGTTCTCAAACCCGATAACCTTATTGTATTCCAACTGTGTATAAAATAATAAACGTGAAAGTTGAGTTGCAGGTCCGAACCGCAAGCTTTACTTACCACCGTGGCATTTAAACCTGCGTCTCCTACCTTCGACCGCAATACGGTTCATTTCCCATCTCCCAACACACGCCCACAAATGCCCAACCTCCAAGTAGCTCAATTACTCCGTAATCCTCGAGTCACCTGCCTAAGTTGTCGCACGTACACCTTCGACGTCCTGGCGACACACACAATCGACGCACATATGTCATACGCAGTCGAGGTCCCAATCCCTCCCGGAGTGCACACCCTCCGCATCAAGACTCTCTCGCCTAAACTGTACCTTTCTGCCCCGTCTGAGGATGTGGGACAGATTGAGGTTGTAGAGTGGAAGCCTGAGGCTGAGGCATTTGGTGGATGCGAGGCTGCTGGGTACTATGAGGGTGGTTCGCACAAGGCTGTTGGAACCAGGACTGCTACTAGGCCTAGGTACGATGATAATACTGGCGACGACGCTCAGACGTGGAGAGGCCAACGACGCTGCTGGACTGGTCCCATCACTCATAATGTCGACCTTCAAGACCAAGACAGCTTCGCAAGCTCATCCTCTTCATCCCGTTCAGCGCACAACGGTCATACCATCCATCCGTCTTCCGAAGCGCAAGGACTTGCGTCCTCGTCGTACCAGACACCGGTATTGAATCACGGCTGTGATCTGCGTCGATCCAACCGGGTCTCCAAGTCCGATCATATGCAGGGTGTGCGCCGGGTCTCAGCTTCACCCCCGTATCTACCTCATAATGAGCCATCTTCCACTATACCCAAATGCCATAACGACGACTCGGACAACACCTATGAAGTCCTGCCAAGCAAATTCAACTTGAACAGCTCATTTAAGAGTCCACTGTTCAAGAGCGACAAGCATGAACCCAATACCTCGTCAAAGCGCTACAAGTTTGGAGCGACAGACCTACATCCCTTTGAGGTACGCCTCCCAGATGCGAATACCGAGTTTGCGTCTGTAGATATTCAGGAGGCTCTCCGTGCTGAAGTTGGTAGGAGGGAACGGATATAGAGGATGACGCGTTGTGAGGGTGTGCTGTGGGCACCGGGTTGCCTAGTATTATTAATGTATTGTAGAGCATTATAATCGAAAGTGTGGCGTGTCTTTGAGGCAATCCGAGTGAGAGTTGAGGGTTTAGACTCCATCTTAGCGCTCGGCCTCGGCATCACGGCAAGGTCACGCCCAAGTCACGTCTCTTTCCCACAGCACCTTGAGCTGAGTCTTAGCGCCAAGCCCAAGTTGACCCCTTTCCACCTTTCCACTCGTTCACGCCCAAGATGGCGGCCAAATACGAGCGTCTACCCACCTCCGACCGCTCAGCACGCTCGCGCTCCTCATCGCCCCTATCCTCTACATACACGCTCACCAACGAAGACGCCGACGTCGAATACGACGCACCCCTCAGCCCACGAAACAGGGAAACCCGCGAATGCATCAGGGCCTTCCACGCCGACCCGCGCTTCCACCAGCCAACACCCTCGCCATGGGCCCGCGCTGCCCTCCTATTCACCCTGTTCTTCCTGTTCTGGCTGGCGTGGAAGATGAGGCTGGCTATCTTTGTTGATTTCGGGTTGGGGTCGGACGCTCAGACGACGGAGCAGGTGGATCTGAGTTATTGAGCTGTGGGCGGTGTGTTTGTTGCTCAGGTGCGTCGTTGGTCGTTCTTGCGGACTTGAAGAGGAAGCTGAGGCTCGTGTAGAAAAGCGTTCTTTTGATTTTATAGATTTACACTCGTTTGAAACCAATCTCTGTCGCATGTATCACTCGCTATACCCTAATATCGCCATTCCTTCAAGTCGCATCTCAGATTGCAACTCTCAACCTGCTGAACCCGGCCCACCCATTGACTCAGCGCTGTCGCGGCGAATTGGATCCTATGAACCATGTCGGCTACGGCCACCTGGACTGTCTACTGGACTATTTACCGCCGTCATCATCACCGCGATTACGGAAGAATTCACGGCGTCCCTGCTCCCAATCAGCCTTGGCGATACTCCCCTTTCATGCTTGGCGTGTCTCTGCGTGTCTACTCCTCTCTGAACAGTGCATCCTGTCTTATTGTCGCCAGCGTCTGCAGCAGTCCGCGTGTCCCACCACGGGATAGTTTCGCGCCGTACTCGAGGATTACCAGACCGATCCTCACTGCAGTCTGGCTCTTCACCCACACCGTCAGGGCACGAGGGAGAGGGGGACTCGTCGGCGGGCCTGGTCCGTGAATGGCTAGATGTAGCAGTCTCTCCGCTTCGTGGAAAGCGTTCAGCATCAGGGATGGCAGCAGCTTGTTGCTTGAACTTCGCCCTCCCCTCAAATCCGTCATGGCTCCACAGTGTGGTGGGACGGGCGGATCCATTGTTGAAGTCGGGGTCTCTTTCACTGGATGGATGACCACCATATCTTGGGGGAGCTCCGTCGTTTTGTTGACGCTGAGCGTCGCAGTCACTGACATTGACGCTCGTAGACTGGTAAATTGACCCATCTGGCCCGACGCCAGTCAAGCTTGTCATATTGACATGGGTGCCTCGTCCAAAGGGGCGCGTGAAATGTGCCATATCGCTTTTTTCTTTCAAATCTGTATCAGGGAAGGGTGGACGGGGAAGGAGTGCGTTGGATTCTATCGGTGTTTAAACTGTGTTTACACTAGGTCAATGAAGAACAGCATGCGTACGAGGAGACTCCCGATTCCTGCCCACGAGCGGAATTGATCTCGCGGCCATTTCTGTCTACGGACGAAACGCAGCGCCGCACACCCTCTGTCTACGGACGAAACGCAGCGCCGCACGCTTGCGGCCTTTCGTGTACGGACGGAGCGCAGCGCCACAGGTGATGACCAATCAGGCGCCCCTCAGAGGGACCAGGTCTCACCACACTCTCTCTGGATCGGCCGTCGCCACGCTTGGTCGACGAGCCCTGATCCTCGCACCGTCACCACGCTTGGTCGACGAGTGCTCATCCTCCATCGTCACCACGCCTGGCTGACGAGGATTCATCCTTCATCGTCGCCGCATCTGGCCGACGAGGATTCTTCGTTACCCACCCACCCTTGCCCATGTAAAGTACCTTACGTGTAGCACGCTGTAAACCTAGCCCTACCACCGCTAAATCCATCCGGTTCGTGTATGGGGGATAGGCTGACTACGGTCGCCTATTCCCTAACCCGCTACTAATCCTCCTCAGTCAAGTGTGATTCATTGGAGGTAAGCTAATTCGATATCCTCCTCTTTTATATATATTCATCTACCATCAAATTTCCGTACTTACCCTCTGGTGACCATACTGCATCCCCAAAGCTGTGCTCTCGGGCCACCTCCAATTTAGTCTCTAGTAAACTGCGGCACTTTTCCAATTCGTAGACTTGATGGGAGGTCCTCGTCGGGCGCTCTGTTTGTGAGGTATTCCCCCGCTGTGGAGGTGATAGTTCACCTGGCCTGGAACTCGTTCTCCGTAAGTCTCGATGTGGTTGCTTACTTGACAGGCTGTTTGACGATGGTCGCAATGAGGACTCGAACTCACGACTTCCACCTTGGTGCCTTCACTCACCTGGGGAGGTAGTCGAAGCCCCTATCACGACTGACGCTGTCAAAAGCACTGCTGCCTTCGACTCGGGCTCACCGTGACAAGAGTTACAGCGCAACGCTAACTGTTCACAGACTTGAAGAATCCTCAGAGATCACAGCTCTATTCTATGATAGGACCTTGCACACTGACGTCGGCCGCTTGAAGCTACTTAACAGCACACCTCGTCGTAATCGCCTTGGACCGCGAAGTTACATAATAGGCGCTCATACCACCACCATCTGGATGACCCTCGACTCGGATCCACCTGGTTTACCTTCTTGATTCTCGAGTAGCTTCGACGAAAGTTATCCCACGAACGACACGATGATGCTAAGGAAGTTTGAATCATATCCAACAAACGACTACGGACATATCCATGTATGCTGTTCTTGCTATACTAGAGGCCCCACCATTGGTGTTGGAACTGCACACTCTGAGCGATATACCCACGACGGACGTCGCCCGTATTCATGTTTCCGTAATTGTTCAAGGTCCAGCCTGGTCTCCCACCACTCTCAGCGAAATACGCGCTGCCGTGTGGACGGTGGTCTGGCCATGGGCATGGGCGCGGATGAGGCGGCGGTGGTGGTGGCGGTGGCGGACAATATTCCTGGGAGAAGTAGTACTCTTCTTCCCGCTGAGACTCCTCCACTGGATAGTCATCGGCTACTACAACACTATTTTGTGTTAAGTTGCCGAACACAGGTTTCGTATTCATGCAGGCATAATTCCGGACTTGAGGCGTATTATCTTGGTTGACTTGATGGTGTGCGTCATATGTATCTCCTCGAGGGGGATGCCTTCCGCCACGTCCACCTCCAGAGGACGAGGACCCCGCACATGGAGCGCCGCCACGACTCCCGGCATCCTTCACAGTCGCGTAATTGACGAACGGGTTATTGTTTGTTCTGCTCCCAGTCGTCGTATACGTACCAGGATCATTTCTGAAGGGATTGTTGCTACCACTACTACTACTACTACCAGTAGTGGATCCGTCGGACGGGACCCCGACCCCCAGTGTGGCACTGCTTACAGGACGCCCATTGAAATGAACGGGGTCACCTTCCCGTGTACTATGGATGGTCACATTCTGGGCACCGATGAAGAACGACCCAAAACCATGGAACGCTGTCGCTGCGGTAGGATTCAGAGTCGGGTTGGCCTGAGCTGGTGCAGAGCGTGAGCTGGTCTGGGCCTGTGCTTGCCTAGATGCGTTAGTCGACGGACGGTTGGATCCTGGATCGTTTGAGAAGCCGCTGTGGTGAGGAGTGAACGTGTTTGGGGATCTATGACTCGCTCCGGTGCGAGGAGGGGGACCCGAGTCAGTCATAGTGCTGGAGGGATAAGCGCCCGGTATGCTGAACAGTGAAGACATCGCTGAATAACGTTCGGACAATAGTGGTAAGGAATATACTGTGGTGGATAGCGAGAGGAAGCATAAGAACGAAGACTTCACTCCTTTTATGTCTACCATCAAAGCGCCACTAAGCCACAAGACCATCCAAAATCCAACCACATCGAGTCCAAGCGCACATCGTGGATACAGTTTTGCGCAGGCTATCGACTGGTCAAGCTTCTAGGTTCGTTTACTCCTTCTCCGAGCCTATCAATCGGTATGAATTTACACCCCGAAACAGTAATTGTGGCCCCTATCATCACGCACAGCACTTCGTCGTCGAATAGTGGCATTGAATGGAACGCTGTTCTCTAACGAGCTCTTCAAAGATATACAGCTGATCTTTCAAAAATACGATCCTTTGGTAAGTAAGCTGTGGAAGTTGCACATGAAAAATACGCTCGTCGTCGACTTGTCGCTGGGGTTACCAGGTCGCCTTTATTGATGACAGTATCGAGTGCGTGCTTAGCGCTTAGCGCTTAGCGCTTAGCGCTTATTGTTTGATCCCAAAGCACGACGCGGAGGTTCTCGATGTGAGCCGCGATGGGCTCACAATGTAGATCCCGAGCGGATTGTACTACCTACGAGTACCGCACAGCTTTCTGAAATTCAGTGCGCATTTACCTAGCAACGAAACGCTTTGACCGAGTCCTCCAACCACCGACTGGGCGTGGCATCCCCACCGCAATGGCGCGTGGGCCACTTACCGTACAATGGAAATTTATTTCTTGTATAAATAGCATCGCCGCTCTTCTGTGCGCTCCTCCATTCCATTTCCTTGAGACTTGATCTTTGTCGCTATCTCGATCGCTACGACCTCATAACCCCACGAAAGCGTGAACGCGTCTCCCATCTACAATTGACTCTTTCTGCACAGACCATATCCAGCCCACTTCAGGATGTTTGAGAATGCCCACAATGTCGACATTCACGGCGGGACATTTACCATGAACTTCGGTGATGGCCAAAGGTCAGTCACCAAGGTAAATCCTGACGGGAAGGTATCGACCACACTTTATACACGACAACATTGGACAACTGGGGCATCGCAGTCGTGCACGCCAGCAGGCCCTAGCCTTTACGACTCGTACGACCCCTGCAGTGGAGCCTACCAGCAAGCGCCACCCTGGACTAGCCCTGCAAACGCTTTCTCTGCCCAAGCGCCAACGAACGACGTCAGGATTTATGGAGACGGATCTAACGGTAGACGCAGTGGAGTCGACGAGAAGACCATAAAGAGCAAGAACCCTTTTCAGCGATACAGCGACGTAGACTCCAGCCGCCCCAGGTCCCCGCCGCCTACATTCGAAGAAGCCTTCGGCGATGACGAGCCTGAGTCTCCCGTCGACCAGCAAGGAGCGTCTAGCAACGATGCAGCAGGGCACAATCAAGACTTCACCAAGTCACGTTTTACGTTCGAAGATGCCTACGGTCCGGGAGTTTCTGACAGTGAGGTCCCTCTCCACCAACAATGGTCATCTTCAAGTTCAACGGCCCCGTCGGTGCCAACGGATCGCTGGGAAAACACAGGCACCAACTTCCCCCCAGACCGTGCTGGTTGGGAGGGACCATCGAGAACATCGGTCAAGGTCCTTGGATCCAATGGGAGGCTACTATACTCGGGAAGTGTCCCACCTGGGAGCGAGTTTGACCCGCTGACAGTCCAAGGCGGCAACTGGACTAGTGAGGAGAGACGTCATTTTTCTCAAATTATGCATAATGCGCGGGAGGTTACCCAGAGGGCTAATGAAGTAAGCGAGATGGCTATTGCAGTAAGTGAGAGGGCAATGGCAATACATGGGCATTGGCATTGAGGTGGAGGTGATATGCGGCGACGCTAGTTTTGGATGATTTGATATGCGAACTTGGCGTGTCTAAACTACTACTTATGTACACTAATAATCAAATCTATGACCATCCTTTTGACATTGTTTGAAAATTGAAGGATAGTCGGAAATTCGGACCTTATCTTCTCCGACTAGAGTCTGGTTCACGAGACTATAGACAGCCACCTTAAGCTTTCGCGGACTGATGCAGGTTCGATTCTCGAACTTGCGGTAGTCTTCAGTTGTACATTTATTGTACTTACTACGTATCTCTATCCTACATCTTCCCTAATCAAATGACATGAAGGTTGTTGAATTAGATCGCTCTAGCGATTGGGACCGTGCGAGGTTCGAACTCGCGACAGAACAGAAATGGAAGTCGGAACCCTATCGCGACGCATTTAGCCTGAGGCTTCGCGGCTCACGACGCTCGTTGGTCGAAGCTTGTTGGGACGCGTTGAAGGAGCTTTATGGTATTCTCTTGCATCCCTAACCTTGTCCAGTGCCTAGCGTCCCCTAGAACTGATCCTGCGATGAATGAATGCTTTGAAGATTATGCCCTGAGCAATGAACATCTGGTCGGATTGCTCAGAATTGTTACAGCGTGGATTCTGTGCACACTCACCGCAACACAATTGTGAACCAAGGATGTTATTGCGTGGCCAACCGCTGCCTTGGCCCAAATCTCCACTTTAACTGCCTGGAAAGGGTTGAGGGACTCGACATAAAACGCGAAAGACAATCGTATGGCAGCTACCATTGCCAATGGCACTTCAGATGTGCGCATCCTACGAAACATGGCTTGCATTTTGAACGGCCCTTCTTTACGTTGTTCTCGCAGAAGGACACACTGAGAGGGATAGGTTCGTCGCGAGGATAAAGGAAAGGAACGCAAGGTGTGTATGAGGATTGAATGCTCTCCTCTGTGTCCAAGAAGCGAGGTGAGCGACGAGAGATGCTGGGAGAAAGAACGCCAGTAAGTTATACACAAATTCGTTGGTTTGGGAACTGAGTCTTACCTATAGAGCTCAGACCCATCATGACAGGTACAAACGCGGATCTAGGGCGATCACGGGGGGAAAGCCTGCCGTACAGCTGGTGCGCGGCCGTTAGTTGTCAAGAAATGCATGGAACACTTCGATGACGGGTTCCTACTCACCACAGTTAGATTAGAAAGGACAAGGCATAAGTCAAACAAAACTCCGGCGCCAATCGTCCTGTAATCCCTCCCATAAGCAACTAGCCCCATGTAGTCATCGTACAAATCCCCCAGATTCTTGCCTTCTTCAAATTCCGGATGGAAGTACCTGAAGTGCACGTTTGCCTGCAGAGCGGTCGCGACAGTGAAGGAGGCAAGACTTAGACCGCCCACGCAGAGAAGAAAGAGGTGGGTATAATCGTTGCGAAATCGCCCTTTATTTTGGCAGGCAGCTCCCAGGGCGCACGAGAGCATAACAAACTGCAGCCCTACAATAGGTTCAAGTTGAGTGAAAATGAATAAAGGCCACGAGAGGAAGACCGTCTTCCGTACCAATGGTGATGGCATTAAGAGCAGAAATTGGTAGGGATAACAGACCTCGCCAGGCGATGATCACCGATATGCTGCGATCCTTGTAGAACACAAATTCGGGATTTCGAAGGATTTCGAGGGTTTCCGGTGTTTGTGTCATGTTCGTGAATGATCAGTCGATGCTGAGGGGAGGAGGGGCATCTGTGCAGGCTGACTGGGGTTCCAAAAAGCAGGAAGAGACGGTTCAAAAGGCCGGTCGCCGCTTAACGGCGTCAACGACTGACATGATTCCCAGTGGAAGGCGGTGCAGCGTGACGATCAACCTTGTGCGACGCTCCCCGACAACCATAAAAACCACCGCTAACGTTTCAACGACGGCGATCCGAGGTTCTCTCGCGCCACCATGTCAACCACAATGGCAGAGGCAGCGCCGCCAATGGCCTCCCCAGCTGGTTGGGTGAACTACAAGGTCGACTCAACGGCGAGAGGAGAGACCATGTACGCGACATCACTCCTCGCGATGGCAGCCATAGGTGCGTCGTCTGACAAATATGGATATCATCAGCGCGCTCACGAAGATAGTTTCATAGGAGCGCAGCTATTTCTGTGCGGATATTCCCTCTTCGTCTTCTCCGAGACGCCGAAAGGACTATGACGAGGACGATTACCGTATCTTGGTGTCGCATCTGCTTTGTTCCTTCTTTCACTGGTCGCTGAATGCCTCGATATCTGGGTGAAGCTTCGCCAGGGCATATACTCCCAAACTTCTGTGGGATTAATCAATGCGAATGTGATGAGGCAGTCGGGAACCAGCATGGACACCTTGACTGGAGCTTTATTCGATGGAATTGTCGTGGTTGCTGATACCCTTCTGGTAAACGGTCATCCTCAAGCTGTGGTACGAGGCTCTGCTCACAGAGAACTTTCCAGCTCTATCGTGTATATCTCATTTGGAAAGATGTTCTGTGGGTCTGTCTGTTTCCCGCTGCCCTTCACCTATCTTCCATTGGTGAGGGATCATTCAACTACACCTAGTCCTCGAGTCTGATTATGCTTCGCCGGGTTTCGTCTCAGCTATCCTGGTCGCCCATGTCATCAAAATAGAGCGCTATCTTGATGTTCGTGCACCGCAATACCACGCTATTTTCATCTTCCTGAGTGTCGCGTTCAACACCATCGTGACGGCGTCGATCGTTTACCGTCTGCTTCGCGCCAGCTCAGCACTTCGAAAGTCACTTCCAGGGTGGAAGGACTCGGCTTACAAGGGGTTTGTGGCTATCCTCGTCGAATCTGCTCTTCCCCTTGCTGCATGTGGTCTTGCACGCGCCTCAATGGAAGTCTTCGACATCCGGGCATCCAGATCGATGAACCTCCTGGTGAGCACGGAAACATGGTTCAGGCTCACAATTTTTGGAGTCTTTGTCGACAAACTCTACCTTATTGTCGCTGTGAGTCGAGCCTACCTTGCTACTAGTTACCACGGGTCAGCTCACCTGTCAACAAGGCAATCTCTCCCCAGTTGATCATCTTTCGCGTAACGGCTGGCCGTTCGTGGATGACACATGAGGAAACTACTATTCCCCTTTCCAGTCCGATCGCATTCGCCGGTGGAACGAGCCACTTGTCCACAATAACAATTCCATCTCTCTCTACTGACCCTAAGGTCGAGGACTCATGTAGCGAGTACATGTAATGAATAAATGTATGCTTGAAAACCAATAAACCCACAATCGCTGTGATGTCTCCGCCTTCAGGTCCACATCGAAGAGTAAAATTCCGAGTCAGGGGGCCGGCATTCGTGAACTTCAAAGGGGTTTACATTTCAACAAGTTCGTACAGAGTCCGTGTGTACACCAACTAGCTAACTAACTAATTATTTAAGAACAACATGACGGTAGGTCGTACAGGTCATACAACGCATTAGCATTATAAACGATTATGATTCAATGTCGAGCGATTACGAAGTGAAGCGGTTGAACCAGCCGGCGATGCTCTTGGCGGAGGTGTTCTTGGCCCAGGCTGCAGAGAAGAGACGTGAGTGATACTCCAGAAAATCGTCAGTTCAAGAAATGGAATGGGACTCACCAGCATTCTCGTCCTCAAGGTCAGCACGAGTGGCGAAGCCGTGCTCGGTACCAGAGAAGACTTGCAAGTGGTGCATGGCGTTGATCTCGGAGAGGATTTCCATCATGCGGTTGCGGGAGCTGGTGGGGAAGGTCATGTCGGTTTCGGCGCAGGAGGCGAAGAGGGGTTCTAGAGAGTACGGGTTAGGCATGAGAAGAACGCAGGAGCATCGTCTCGTGACTTACGGGTGACGTTGTAGAAGTGCCCCTCGGTCAACATGGCGGGTTGGGCAAAAGCGGAAGCCAAGATGTCGGGCGCGGCGGCGGCTTCGAGGGCGTAGGGTGCACCGAAGCAGTAGCCGACGGCGACGAATTTGGTGTTGGAGGCTAGAGGGGGTCGGTAAGTCTTTGACCGAGGCGAAAGATGGTGCACGACTTACGGAAGATGGCTCGAACGGCGGCGTTCCAGGCAGGCACGTATGGGTCAGCACGGTCCTTGGCCCAGTAGACCCAATCCTCAATCTCCTGAGGCGTGGTGAGGTTCTGGTTCTGAGCTGGGTCGCCGAAGAAGTAGTCGAGACCGAGAACATGGTAACCTTTACAAATCCACATTAGACACGACGCATATGGACGCGAATACGGCTTGGAACTCACCCTGATCAGCGTACCAATCCTGGAGGATAAAGTTGTTGGGGAAGAACGCGCTGTACACGTCCGAGTAGAAGAGCAGGACCTTGCGGGGACCGGGCTTCGGGGGACCGGAGGGCCTGACGTAGTAGGTGTGGACGCCGGCAATGGTCACGTTCCAACCCTTGGCGATACCCTCATATTCGGTGCCTTCGAGACAGTCCTTGTCGACAGCAGAAGCCAGGACGGGGTCGTGAGGGTCGTGGGGTTGGTGGTCGTGTCCGTGATGTCCACCACCGGGTCCGCCATGGCCAGGTCCACCATGTCCAGGGCCACCGTGGCCTGGTCCACCATGTCCACCACCGTGTCCACCGCCGCCGCCGTGTTGACGAACCTCGAGAAGCTTGTCAACAGAGAGCGTGGGGATGCTAGGGATCGTCGCCGCAAAGGTCGAGAGGGGAGAGGAGACAGCCAATAAGGCAACAAAGAGCTTCGTAATCGTGAACTTGGCCATCGTAACAAAGAAAACGGGTTGAGAGAGGTATGTGGGAGAGGAACAGGCGACGAGGGGGAGAGGTGGGGAAGGAAGTCCGAGGAAGACCTGAGGATTGTTCGTTGAACTCGAAGGGTATTTAAACGCGCCTGACGCGTCTTGGATTGGTCTTGGATTGGTCCCCATACACCCACAGTTCCTGGGCCTACATCAGCGGCCCATTGGACATGTACGGCAAATTCTGATGATTCTAGAAGGTTGTTGGCAGGCTTCAGCAGTCTTCGCGTACACACATACGATGGTCGGCTGCAGGAAATTACCATTTTTAGTTTAGCGTCTATGGACTGAATTGGGGTGGTTAGGGATGGATCAATCTCTTTGGCAGTTGCGCCACCATCGTACGTACCTGATTGGTGTAGCGGAACGCGCACTAAACTCCGCGCACGTCCAGCAGCCAACTTCGAGCTCAACTCCTCCCTCCAAGGAAACTCCGTGATCCACTGAGCAGCGAAACGGTTAATCCATTTTTCCTAACGACCGTTATGTTCGACCAATTATGCACCTGCTGTCCGACACTGAATACCCAACCGTGCCCCAAGGCACTGTGCACCACAGGGCGCGCACCCTCGGATACTTTCTCGTGGCTTTCAGGAACCAGGACAACCCATTGACATCAATCGCTTGGTGAGGCCCACCACTCCCCGATTTTCCCGCACCGTCGGTGTTTGGTAAACCGAGGCACGGCATACCACGGAAGGGTTTGCGCTTGTTAACAGCAATCCAAAAGCGGAAGCTCGCTAAGCTGTCACTTTAGAGGTTTTGGCGCATTAGTCGATGTCAAAGGTCACTTTTCGATACTCAATGCGCAGAAGCATGGTCATACTGTGATGAGTTCAAACAAGCAGCTAAACGTTCAAGTCATACCAGAATCGTGCAGCAACGTCGCCTAACCGAGCCTTGGTATCTATGTACCCAAAGCGCGGCATGGCCCTCTTGCATAGGTTCGGCAACCCCTTCGAAAGGCACAATCGCAAGGAACACATACTGTGGGGGATAAAGTGAAATAAGCGTGAGCCTGCCCAGGCCAAGGGCGCTCGGCCTTTACTCCCATCCCGCGCCCTGGGCGTCGACTGGCGGCTGGACTTTGCCGAGAGCTAAACCCGACCGCAATTCAGGAACGGATAACAGCGTGCAGGACTACTCCAGGTGCTGCCAGTGCGACTGTCGGCGGATTGAGTGAGAAGGGATTACGCTGAAACCAGTGTAGTAAGTATTTACAGCACGGAAATGCGTGATTGGTGAAGCAGTAGCATGACATACACTAGGAGAGATTGTGTATTGAGTGTAAGTAATATATTGCAGTGGTCTAGCTCGGAATTGCGTTGAGCGCGTTGCGGTCACGGTGGTGGTGGCAGGAGCCAAGAGGCGTATTGGCGCCGAGCTGCTACACTGTAGTGCATGATCTAATCTGATCTAATCTAATCTATTCTAGCCATCTGGCCTACCACAATAGAGGAAAGGTAATCGACTTTCAACCCTGCAGACATTATCGACCAGAGTCCAGCTAAGTGCGGGCCTAACTACTCTTCACAACCCATTCCTTAAACAAAAACCGGATCCCTCCACTTCCCACTGTCCTCATCCCATCCATGATCCACCTTCAGGCCTCTCACCAACCTCTCCAACACATGTACCACCTCTCTCTCCCACTCCACTTCCCGTCCGCACTCCTTCATCAACATATCGCATTTATACATCAGCTCGAAATTCTTCTTCAAATACCCCTTCAACCTTTCGTACTCTTCGTGTACCTCCGGAAGATCTTCGTTCTTCACGCAATAGGAATAGGATTTTCCAAAGAACAGGCGATGAGGAATCTGTTGAGCAGGAAAGTCCATGGATGCGGTGGAGTTCACGACTAGGTGACGATACGCGTCCATCTCTGTGTACTTTGCCCTCGCCTTCTCCTTTGTACCACCGATCCCAGTCCCAATCCCAATCCCAATCGCACCAGCGCCACGCCCACCCTCCCCTCCAATAACCAACAGCCCCTTCGCAGCCACAAGGTTGAAAAACAAATACCCCTCAAGCGCACTTTCCATCACCCTCGACCACCCAAAATGGTGTCCCCAACTCAACCAATAAAGTTGGTGGAGGGGTACGTCGGGGTGGTTGGCCAGCATCAAGAGGGCTTCCATCTGATTCTCGATGATGAGGACTTTGACGGCATCCGCGAGGTCTCCGTGCGAGGTCGCGTACTCTCTTCGTATCTCCTTCTTCTTCACCTTCTTCTTTCCCTCCCCAACGTCCACCTCGACCTCCCATTCATGCCTCCTCTCGATCCAGTACTCCACCCTCTGATTCTTTTCATTAAGGAACTCGGGGTACCTCGCCTTCAATTCGTCCGAGTACAGCAACTTCCCTCCAGTCCCCGCACCCTGTCCGGTACCCTCCCCTTGGAATTCGTCGGAGCTGGGATACTTTCTCCTCTCCGTCTCGCTAAAAGTCCTGATCGTCGCCACAAAAACCCGCACAAAATGGTTAAGCTCATTCGCTTGCTTGGGCCGGTCAGTCACAGCGAAGAACCCCGTCGTGCGCGGTGTGTACCCCGGATGCTCGTGCACGAATTTGACGTTTTGCGCGAGGAGGTTCCAGGGGATGTTGTGTTCTTGGTGCATGTTATCGAAACTAGGATCGAGATTATTTTTAGACTCATAACGACAAATTCAAAAAATGGGCGACGTACCGCGGAGGAGGAAGGACCGTTAGATAAAGAAAAACGGGAATCTGGGTTCTAACGGACTAAGTATATACTTGCGACGGCACCGAAGCATGAGGATACCCGTTTCACCATCATTCGCGACAAGTGACTCGACTCCCCGCAAAGGACCGTATCAAGAAACTCCGAAGTCCGACTTGGGGTATAAACTCATGAACATTAACGAGTCAACTCATCTCGTACATGAAGCGCATTAAGGTATCTCAAAAGTCCAAGAGTTAGAGCAAAGCTGAAGTCCGTAAACGAATGTGGTGAGAAAAAAGAGTGGCGTCGATGAACGCTCGTCAGAACCAACCAAACCCACGAAGGAGTACTCAACTCAACCGCTGAAACCAAGCACATCGACCGAAGCCAACTCACACCTGAGGTCTGAACTCCCCAAACCCCCCACATCTGACCCTCTAGACCAACCAAACAGCCACATCATCCACAAAAGTCCACGCAGGCGCCTTCCCACCTCTAATCCCAAGCACATCCCCGCCCTTCGCTCTAACCCTAACACTAACAAACTTCCAGTCACTAAAGCCCGGTTTCTCACTATACACAACCTCCCCATTCCACACAACCTCAAACCACGCATCCTTCTGATAGGTGGGTCCACTATACGCACTATTCTGCCAGAAGGTAACCTCGTACTCTTTCCCTGCTCTCGTCTCAAGGGGTTTCGCTGGACTGAGCGTTCCAGGAAGCGGGTCGGAGCCTACAGCGCTTCCAAGAAGGCCGACAGTCTCCCCGGAACGAGCGTAAGTGGGGTGGTGGAAGATACTGGCATCCGCATATCCACCAGGTGAGGACGTCCCGACCCAGTGCGCGTACGACTCGGCGAAGCAGAACGGTCCACACGAAACGGCTGCGTACTCTTCGAAGCCGCCGTCAATGACAAAGTTGGTGCGCTTGTACCCACGGGAGAAGGTTACAGCGAGGTCGTCCGTGCCGGGGAAAGTCGCAGTGGATTCGTCTGTGGGGAGGTAGTACTGGGTGGGACTAGTAAGGAAGAGGAAGAGGGGGAGAGGAAGGACGAGGACGTACCAATGCGCATGTATAGGTACTCGGAACACCGTTCACGACCGCCCGCCAGATATTGAAGTACTGGCACGACCCTCCATCGGGGTGAGGCGCATGCTCATTACACTGCTTCGCGCACGCATGGACATCATACTTATCCAACAGCGTGAAACCAAGATACTTCAATTCCCAACGCAAACAGAATCGATCAGCAATCAGGATTTGATTCCCGAGCACTAAAGAATAAACCTACCCCAGGAGCCTCATTAGCCTTCTCCCCCTCGAACACCAACTCGTAGCCATCAGGCACACCGGGGTCTTCAAGCGTCTTCAACGCGTACCCCGAACTATGCTGGATATAAATCAAAGGCGCCGGAGCAGGATAACTCTGCTGCCTCCCCCAATTCGTTTTCTCCTGGGCAGTATGCACGTCTCCATACGCCGTACACTTGAGGTTAGACTTCTCACGCGCCTCAAAGTCCAATCCATAGTTGTTGAACTCGTAGAAGAGGTTGACGAAGACTGTCACGCGAGCGCGAGTGGGAGGAGGATATCGTAAGTGCCTGACTAGTGGACCAAGGAGAACTGGGCACTCACCACACCCCTCAACGCGCGAACAAAAGTCCAAACAAGCCTCGACGTTATACGTAGCATTTGAAACGAGTGTATGCGTCAAATACGCCGTACCCTGGATCGAAGCATCACGATCCGCCCTGCCCGTTCCCGTCCCCTCAAAAACAGTCCAATAATCCTCCACACCCCTCTTTCCAAACGATCTAGGCCGCCTCCCTCCACCTCCGCCAACACCGTGACCTCCATGCCGAGTCCGGGTCCTTCGAGACCCCCGTTTCAAACCGGTAACCTTCCCATCCACAGCAGTTACAACAGTTTCAGGAACAGGTTGGTCAGGCAGCTCGTCAACGTCTGCGCCGGTCTTCTGGTCGACGACTGTGGCGAGGGAAGTGATGCCGCTCGTATCGGTCGAGGCGAGCGCTGGGACACGGCGCTGGAGGTACGGTGTTCCGCCCTCGGCTGGGGGGACGATTCTCTCCACCGCCGCACCTGGAGTAGTTACCAAAACACTGATCAGCGTACGAAGGCACGAAGTAGAATCCAGAAATTCCGCACCCGAGACAGATAGTACGGACAACCCAAGCACAAGCGCTCGTAAAGTCTGTGACAACATTAGGCTGCCAATTAGGATAGGTAAAGAGCGTACTGGTTAGGGTGATTAGGAACCAGAATTAGCACCCCGACTGTGAATTATATACCCATGAGAAAAGTGCCAATGACATGGAAGAGAAGTCACCGAGGAACTGAGGTTTACGACTGATCGTTACCCGTCTCTCCCACCGTCAGAACTTAGAAGCGACTCGAGTGGATGGACGGCGTGCAAGATCATTGATATGTCGAAGAAGACGTATAGGTTGGTTGGTGTCCGGCACCCACGTTGGATGGTTAGGCCTTAACCCTTCGTTGGACGCAGAGTGTATTAGTGAGTCCGGTCGGCCTCTGCCAAGGGGGGAGCCTGAACAATGAGCTTCAGAGTAGTCTCGCGCTGGTAAACCAGTCGCGAGAGCACCAGAAAACCACAGCCTCCCCGCGGTGCAGTTTGAGTGGACAATCGGATACAAATATCCACACAGTCGGCAAACCCTGATAACAATCTCGCATGAGCACGAGTTCTTCGACTGCATATGGGGAAGGTAAAAAAAGAAACAGACGTACTGTGATAGTTGGGATCTAGTCGAGAAGTCTGAACGTCAAGTCTTCTCAACAAATAAGTGTGAAGCTTAAAGTCTTCCCAGCAAATGAGCAGTCTCCGTTGCAGTAGTCGGTCACCAACCAGCGACAAATTTCTCCGCACAGATCCGTCACGTTACAGTGTACACATGTCGCTGTCGCCCACTCGACTGGCGGATTGTGGTCTTTACGTGGTGTCAACAAGGCGGTATATCGAGAACCAGTTTTCATTTCTTTGAAAGGTCGACGCTTTGAGTTCAACAAGGTCGTATGTAGAGTTCAGAGCGTTCGTGTACATGATGATGGTCACGGTGGAAAGAGGAAGAGTCTGCCTGCCAAACTTTTCTGCATTGCCGAAACGCGGATCAATCAATCATTGGTATGAGTGATGATCTTATCTTATCTTTTTAGAGACCCAGGCCTCGTCAGGGCATCGTGATCAATGCCATCTCGAGGACTTCAATCTATCCAGCCGCATACCAGTCTATAAAAATAACAGTCACATATCTAGGGATAGTAATTCTAACTTAACACACGCCCCAACCATCCCATCCCCCCTGTGTCGCCCTATCTCATCTCCTTCCCCTACCGCCTCCCTACCCAAAAACCCTACACCCACACCCCTTGCACCCCTCCACCCCCATCCCACTCCCAACACACACACCCCTGCTTTGCCCAAACTGACTCACCCACCCCACACTCGGCACACACAGCCCACCCGCTTTAGCACACGCGCCCGTGTCGCACTCGTCGCCTATCATCATGCATCGGTGCGCTGGTTGCTGTCGTTGGGGTTGTTGGGGTTGGCTTTGTTGGGTTGATTGCATGCTCTGCCCCAGTTTTGGAGCTTTACGCGCAGCTGGGATGGTCTTCCGGGCAGTTTGGCGGTTTCCTCTAGCTTTCAGATCTTCAAAAGTACCACCTTCGAACGGATCGCGCCGGTATAAACCATCCTCCCCAAGTACATCGCGGGGATACCCGTCTCCTCCACGTCCCTCCCGAGAATACAAATCATCATCATAATAATAACCTCGCGCTTCGAGATCAAGGTCGCGCAACTCGAGACTCCGCCTATACACCTCCCGAACGAGATCATACAGCTCGCCCCGGGACACGACGAACGTCTCGTCATCGCGCAAGTCCCTCTCGACGAGATCGTCGCGAATCCCGTAGACGAGGTATGTTTTCAAAGCCACGACGCCGAGGAAAAGAATAGACAGATGCGGGATTTTCATCTTGGCTGTGGTATGATATTTGAAGTAATCGTACTCTGGAAACACGGCGAAGTCAGCTCTCAAGATAATCTGAGAAGAAAAGAAAGGCAGACTCACAGTATCGCTTCTCTAGCTCAGTAACTTGGTGGCAGTCGAAGGGATGAGTCGAATATGATGCTACTCCCCAAAGAAACTCGCAGTATTTATACCACCAAATCGCTCTGGATCAAGAGAGACGCAACCGCACTCCAGCCTCCAGACGTCCCAACAAGCAACCGCACACACTGCACTAAGCTAGCGCCCAAAGCACAGGATCATCGATCATCGATGAACGAAGCAACGGCGACCTTCTAAAGTAAACAGATCAGAAGTTCATCCCAGAGAATACATCGTGATCATGTGACGAAGGAGGAAAGTCTGAACCTGGGGAGTCCTGCTGTCGGCGCCCAAAAAACTTGAATGAACGGAACGTCCTGAGGCCGTTACGAATCACGTAGCAGAGCTCGAGGAAGGCTAAAAAGAATTCGAGGAGCTAGACTGTAGTCTCTCGACCGACGATCAGACAGAAGATCAGAAAAAGTAGCGCCGACATCGTCGTCCATCTGCAGTGCCGATCTAGGCGTCGATCCACAGATGAAAACAATGAGCACACAATGATAACAAAAAGGATGATACTCTGACGAACGTGTCCGACGATTGGAAGCCCACAATAAAAGACGAGAAATAGTGGGCACACCTCGTCAATGGTGGTGAGACCATCACGTCGTTGCACACCTTCTATCATCGTCTGATTCTTCTTTGTCGATCCACAACGAAACCAGTCTGGGAAAAGAACAAAGGCTGCGTGCTCCCAGTCTCGCTGGCCCAGTACGAAAGAAGAGCACGCCCTGCATCCTGATTTGGCGTAAGATGCACTGGATTCCTCCTCACCACCGAGACTTGTTCGACTCGCTGCAAGCACCAGGATAAGCGGGCCCATGACACTGATAGGGTGATAGAGGATCAACATAGAGAAACAGTGTACGCACGCGCCGACGCCCAAGATCACACCCACAGAGACAAAACCCATCGTGTCAACAAACTATGCTCCACGCTGAAAATGAGTGTTCGTCTCGTGGAGTGTGTGTGCCCTGGCCCACCAAAGAACGCTTCCTTTAGTCCATCCAGGCTTCATACGCCCACCACGAGAGAAAGCTAATGTCATTCCAAGATCCTTCCATCATGCTGACTCCTGAACTGCAAGCCGGTCTCCGCTTGGCTGAGAGAGGTGCTGTCTGTAGGACCGTTTCGATGGGAATATCCAGGCCCATGCTCATGATTCGTTGGTTTCGATACAGTACACGTCGCAGATCCATTTTCATATTGGCTCATCAGCAGAGATATACAGCACTATACAAAAGAGAAAAAAGAAAAAGAAAAACCACAATCAGCACAAAGAACGAAGAGATATCAAAACCCGAACACACCATTGTTCCCTCGAATGAAGGCATCCCCATACCGATTCACAACTTTGCCATTCACACTCTCCTCCGTCTGCTCCATCGCAATATTCATATACCCATCCAAACACGATAAGATGCCTATTCATCCACCCATTCAGTCAGTATTTCACTTCCACCAACCAACCACAACCACAATTCGGACGCGAACGCAAACACGAACCTCGATAATCAACACCAGAAAGCAGGCGCACGACGACGCGTTTGCCGACGACGCCCTTGAGGAAGTCGGTGGGCGAGCCTGTGTGCGTCGTGGGCGCAGGAGGCTGGGGAGGCTGCGGTGCTGGAGATGGGGAATCTGCCATGATTTGGGATGAGCGTCCAAGCCAAAGACGAGAACCATCGCGCTGAGGCTGGGTTTGATGTTTGATGATCAGCGGCTTTGGAAACAAACAATGCCAATGTGGGCATCGAGCCCCTGTTGCCACATGATCGGGCGCTTCTGTGCTCGACGCCCAAGCGAGTGGTTCAAATGCACGCTGCATTGTGTTCAAGCCAAAGAGTACAATCATTGAGAGTTGGTATATAGCGAACTACTAAACCGAAAGTCCACTATCCAATTGAGACAAGCAAGAGAACATATACACCAAACTGGTCCGTCCACGCTGTCCATGTACTATGTAGCGAGAGCTAACTATCCACCTGAGGTAAATAATCCTCCGGTAAGAAGGATCTAGAGCGGGATACTGCGGTACGTTGCCAACTGAAGCCTAAGCCGATCAACCTGACCAGGCGTAAAGTTGTTCATGCACGCATCATCGGTGTAATCCATAAAGTTGTCTATCCCCACCACCAATCAGCCCATCACATCCCAAAATCTCAACGAAGGGCGGGCACTCACGGATAGGATCAACGCCAGTAGAAGCACACGAATCCCTTCCAACGGGGCACCCATACGCAGGGGACGCCTCGGCGGGCGTATCATTGACGAAATCACCGTCCCCACCACACCCTCCTTGGAAGGTATGATACAACCCGACCCAATGCCCGACTTCGTGCGTGACTGTTTGGCCGAGGTTGTATGGCTCGGCTTCGCCGCCTGGGACTGAGGCGTAAAGGATGACTGGAGGACCAATCAAGCACGATTCGGAATTTGAAACGAGGGCGAAGGAGGAGGAGGAGGAGGGAGGGAGGGAGTGGAATGTTGGATTAGGTTATCGTCAGAACGAGTTTCAGGAGGGGAGTAGATTGAGCGAGATCACGCACCGACACCGTCGTCCTGGGGGTTAGCTTCATAATCCACAGGGAACGTCGCATAGCCCAAAAGCCTCGTAGTTGAAAGACTATCATCCAATACCAGTCCCCAAGGTCAGTTAGTACCCATCCCATCCAACGATGCAACCAAACCGTAGTGTCGATATCAATAATCAAGTACCCACCTGACAGTATAAACATTCAGAGCCTCCGGCCCGCCAACCCTCAGCGCCTCCTTCATCTCATTCTGCTCATCCGTATCGGGCCCCGCGTTCCTGAACCACCACCGATTACTCGTACGAGGCACCTCCTTCAAGTTGAAGAACAGCCCACTCGACGCATAGGCCTCGTTCAGAACCGCAATCTGCGCCGCGATCTTCTCGTCTCTACCAATTCAAATATTCAAGTTAACATGGAGTCATCATCCGGAGGCATCAGCAAGAGTCATCATCAGTAGTCATCATCAGCAGCAGCCATTAACACCTCAGCGGGGTGTTGGCTTTGAAATCAAAAGAGACTTGAAAAACGCACGGTATATTCCCCTGCTCCTCCTTCTTACCCTCATGGACAACGTGGAAGTACACGTCAATCGTCTGTGGCGTGTACGGACGGAGCGCCTCGAGCTCCTCAACAGTGCCAGCCGCTACGCCCTCAGGACTGTTCTGCCTAAAGTGCTCTTCAGCTGAGGAGAGCTCTTGGCCGGACTTCTCTGGGGCACCGCAGGCGCGGCGGGGGAGGCGTCTTCTCCGTCACGAACGGTGCGAGTGAGAATGCACGAATGCAGGTGTGTGTGCGTGGGTACGAGTTGGTGGACGTTAGCGACGGATTAAAGAACGTGGTTAGATACCAACGCGATAAAGGGATACTAGTCGGACGTACTGAGCGCCAGCCAGCGTACTCAACGCAGCGAGGACGGTTGTGGTCAAGAGAGCGAAGCGCATCGTTGACTTCCTTTCACTAGGCGAGAGGAGAGAGGAGTAGATGTAGAAGGTAGAATGGATAAATCCACTTGCTGAAGAATCGTTCACAAGTCCTCAATCTGGCTTTTATAGCTAGTATCCATACCTCCACATCTGACATTATACCTCTCCATATCTGACATTATACCTCTCCATCTGACATTCAGGTTATACCTCGCCATCCTTCATGACCTAGCCATCCTTCATACCCCACCATCCATCTTCCATGCCACACGTACTCTCATCCATTCCATATCACCCCTAGTCGACCTTTCGCGAACAATCCCAACCCCATACCATACCATACCGATATCATACCACACCATACCGATATCATACCATACCACGCCGCCGCCCATCCCACCACGCGGGCGCCTTGCACAAAGAAACCCCAGAATAGGTATCAAATGCTAGTAAGTAGCACCAAAGTTTGACATTACATACTAGGAATCCTAAGAATAGCTATTAGACGCTAGTCTTCCAGTGGTATCACGAATACTAATAAGCGCCATTCCAAGTGTCCTACCAGAGCGGGAAGCGATATCCAACTGGTGCGAGTCTATAGGTACTAAAAGTATACGACTTTCTTCAGTTCAGTTCACGCCCGGGAATACCCTCGAATAAGAAGTCCAGAATTTTTCAATGCACGAATACTATATACTGTACCTCGTAGCACGAACGGCATAGCACTTGTACAATGGAGTCTCCAATCCACCACCCACTCGTGCATCGAGCGCCACTCATCGCATCCCCACACCATTCGCACTCTCGATCGTACCAATCTAGAACTCAGAAGCACCTATAGCCCCGAGCTTGAACGGTATACGTATTCGCTATCGCTTCAGTCGAACTTCCGGACGTCGATAAGGATCTACGTGACATATGTCCACCCGAGCGCTGTGACAAGTGGTGAAGTCATCTCATCCCGCAGTGCCTCATCATGATAAAAATACCCTGGGCGCTTATTCCATTTGGGACTTCCCTTTTCCCGTTCAAGGCTAGGAGGATGCGCCGCCAGCTTGTAACAAGCTCGTAATACCTCACCACAAGACCTGCGAGCAAATAAATTGCGAAATGATCATTGTATTGCGTTTTCAACGGTCCAGGAGGAAATTTCATCGCTTGCACTGGCTCAGTACATAAGTATGGAGCGTGAGTCTCGTTGGTTTCAGGGTGGTGAACACGGCAGTAACTATCTAGTAGGCCTAACATTGCCTACGATCGCAATACGAAGAAAGATCCAAGGATTGTGATCACCATGGGATAAAGGAAGTAGGACGACTTGTATTTCTGTACGAACGAAAGGTGAACCGAAATAGCCCAACCGATTCAAAAGAAATAGTCCTTTAGGTGCCAGCTTATCACGATTTGAAAAAGCCATCTGCGTGTCTTGCTAACATGCCGATATCAAAAAATACACCATGAAAAACAAGCAGCATACCTACCTACCTTCGGAACAAAAGTGTAACCAAATGAACCTGAATTCCTTCTAGCCGACTCGAACGACTGACCTCGTCATTACTAGTGACGCGCTCTACCAACTGAGCTAAGAAGGATATAATCTGGGGTCCGTGTCGGACATTGATTCACCGTGACCATATCAATAGCGGACACTGAACGTTTCCCTCGAGGATTTGCGTGGATAATCAGAAGGCCAGCAAGCCTTCGTTTCATTCATTCTGAAGGAAAGCAGAAAGAAAAAATATATTTTCGCAACAGAACGTACTTATGTATACATGGATGAAATGTATGAAGAAGAGAATTTAAGACCGTTCGCGGACAACGAGATCGAGTACGGCGCAAACCCAGACGAAGCCGATTCCTTAGATGCACTGCGAGTACCATTGGTTCGAAACCTGGCAAGCATATGGAGGCTGGCACTGAGTGGGTCCAGTCCATCCTTGACTAAAAGCGTAACACATGATCAGCACCCACCCTAAAGAATACGAAAAAGCAGATGAGTAGACTTACCCTCCGCACTGGCCGAAGCGAGTCTGGAGAGGAGCGCCGGGCTGGGTGACGGGAGGGTTGACGACGGGCGGGTTGGTGACGACAGGAGGGTTAGTGACAACGGGTCCTCCGATACCAGTGGTCGAAATAGCGTTGCAGTTCCTGATCATGGTCGCGGGCTCAGGTCCGTTCTGGATGGGGTTGCATCCAGGGAGAGCGGAGAGGTCTGCAGGGGTTTGTTCAGTGGCCCATCGACGCAGTAAGATACGTGAGTAAACGCCTACATTCTCCTTCAGTTCGCTCGTTGACGGATGGTTGCATAACACATCGGTTCATCTCAGCATCGGATTGGGTCTGGAGGGCTCGGCATTGCTCAGGGACACCGTTGATATCAGTGCACGTATCCATCGCGCGCTGGAGAACACCATCTTCCCATCCGAAGACATAGTCACCGTGATGTCCGTAGCCGGTACTATGTACAACCAATGTCAGTAAGACAACTTAGTACGGAAGAAGGAAATGGTACGTACGGGTCACCTTGACTGAGAACGAATGGCTGGGAGCCGTCGCTTGGCCACATATTGTTGAATGGGCGGGTATCCCAGGCAGTCTCGAAGAGGATCATGGGGATTCTGACAGGGTGGGATGCAGGGCAAGTTCCGCCGAACAAGATGATACCCTGAGCAGGGTTGACACGACCTTGCATGAAGGCGACGTGGCTCTGTAAGAAGGAGCGAAACAATGAGGTGCTTATTGTGGACATGAGTAGCGCAATCGATGTACCTTGTGGTCTGGAGAGTCAAGGTTCTTACCGTCCCAGCATCTGGAGACAATGTGAGCACCCGAGGTTGGTAAAACCGGGTCGAAACACTCACGAAGGGAAGAAAATATTGGCACGAATACCACCATTGCACTTCTTCTTCGGTAGCTCGACAGTATCGTAGTTACCACCACCAGGGGGAGACATGTTCGAAGGGTCCATAAAGCTCTGACTTTCCCAGCATCGGAAAGTCAAGGCGTAGGCCTCGGGGGAGGTGGGGTCGATCCTGGTGTTGCGAGAGCGAAGCATAGGGTCACCGGTGATCATGCGGAAGCCCTAAGAGTATCGGGAAGGGGGGTAGAAAAAACCACATTAAAATCACCGACTACAGCGTGAAGCAGAGCACTGACCTTGGGGAAAGCGGTAACTTTGCTGTTATCAGGGGGCTGGATGTAGTAGACGGTCATACCGCCGTTGGGGCTACCAGTGGCGTGGTTGGCGAATTGAGGAACCTACACCACGTCCGTAAGTCGTGAACTCGTAATCTAAGGTTATCAGCGAATGTATACGCACGCGGATGAAGCTACCGTTCTGGTGCCTGAAGTACATGACGGCAGTCCAGTAGTTCGATCGGTTCTGCTTGAACTTGCAAGTGGTACAAGTCGACATCTTGAAGAGGTCGAGGCTTGGGTCCATGGTCAAGTTGAAGCTGACGAAACGTTAGATGGGAAAGCCGGTCGACAAATCTATGATATAACTTACGCATTCTATAGGAGTACCAAGTCGCCCATCAGAATGAATTCTCGAAAGTGGCAGCGTAAATCCAGTACTCACTCCTCCGATGATCTGGTGAAGATGGGGAGAGACTTGACCAGGAGTGACCAGCCTATGTGACGGGGGAGTCGGTGAGTGAACAGAGGAGCCAAGGGCAAAGGGGCTCACGGGTCAAAGCGCTGCGTCACCAACTGGGAGCAAGCGAAGCGAAGAAGAGCATGCGCATGTTGCGCGAGGACGAGAGTAGCTACCAAGGATTGCCACAGCATGGTTCTACGAGGGGATGGTCGAGACGATCCGCAACGAAAGGAATGGCTGTCATTATGCACTCTTTTTATACTCTGGAGTCAGAAATTCTCGACAGGGTGCACATCTTCTTCCTATCGGAAGCAACCTGGATTATTTCGAAGACCTTCAGTTTCCAATTCGAGCAGGAAAGGTGAAGGCCCTAAGTTCAAAATACTCCATTAAGATGTCTGGGGAAATGTTCGACGCGTAAAAGGGGAACGGAAGGTGATAGAACACGAGAGAAGTGGAGGAGAAGGAGTGAACTGTCGCGTGGGTGGAGGCATTTTTAGAGACGTCTTTCCGAGGTTCAGGAGAAATGTCGAAAACGTGGTGAGGCGTTAGGCGTTGGACGTAAAGAAGCAGATACGAAAGATACAAATCGTTGGAACGTGTCATCCTGGGGTAGTAACTTCGTTTTGGTAGAACGGTTAGAAGGATAGGGCGGTGTAGATCCATGTGGCTGGTCTCCAATGAACGAGTTCCTAGCGTCTGGATGAGTAAGTCCCTTCGCGACGGAAGAAATGAAAGTCCTTACCGGTTAACAAAAGGCACCTTGCATCTGGTGGTGTAGATGGGGGATGGAGGGAAAGAATGGACGCTTTTGTAAACATGGTCAGCAGCAATTTTACCGAGGGAGAGTAGGTATCATTCCTCGCAACCTTACAATCACCCAAGCCGAGCGAGATTATGCATACCGCGAGAATTCAACTAGATGCAGCAGCGGCTGAGATGTTGAGGTCGCGCTCTCGAGCAGAAGTCCCGCGTGAGCGTCACGTTACGCGTGAAGTACAAGCACAAGAAGTTGAACCGGATAAATGGAAAACCCGTTTAAGAACCAGGCGACACAAACTCCAGGAAGGGCAAGAAGTTTGAAGGCGCTAAAGTCATCGATGATCGTGGTTGGCTGAGAAGCGTTCGTCTGAGATAGAGCCAACACCCCAGATGGACGGCGGGAGTTTCGAAGTTTCGATCGTCAGTCAGGCAATTGAATATCCGAACCCAAAGAAGGGCACGAAAGTTTATCAAATCAAGACAATCGTGGAAGGGATAGGCGAGTCACAGGTCAACTCCAGTTTGATGGCTTTGAGCGCTCTTGGCTGCCTCAAAAGCTCCCTTAGAACCTCTGGGTGAGCTTAAGAAGATATTCCAAGGGGTAGGATGCGGCGAATGAAAAGGAAAGAAACGCTCCGTCCAAAAATCTTAATGGCGAAGTTCTGTTTGCGGTGGTTTGGACTGAAGCGCGTTGCCAAACAAAGACGCCACAAACTAAGGCAGGTGGAAAGAGTCAACATGAATTTCCCCATCCTGGGATTATTCTAGTATACGCTTCGTCCCTGCGGCATTCCTTTATGCGGTCTTCTGGTCCGCGCTGATCGACCCACCAGCCTGAAATGTTGTCACTAGCCCAGTTTTACCAAACCTTTACCGACTTAGCCTCGCCAGGTCCTCGATACCCCACTGAGCACTCGAGTTTTGTTACTTTGGGCTACCGTTTAGATAAATCAGCCTGAACTGTGTCTCCGTCCCACCTGGTGTCGAGCATTTCTGGATCTCAGCTACAAACATGTTTCGACGGCACTTGAATACACTGCTCGGCTGTCAACGTTTCGCGTCACCTCGAACCTTCTGCAATGATCGACTGCCGTTCACGTCAGTCGGGCTGCATAGTGAGACAGACTAGAAGGCTTTCTTTCTGTTAGCGTCCTCTCCATCCATCGTCATGAACGATGGTCCTGTGCAATAAAAGTCGCTGGAGAGCGCTCTCTCGACACCCTCACCAACCCTCTCGATCCATTATCAGCAGCTCTTTGCGTTCTTCATCTTCTATTTTCCTAAACAACCTTACTTCACCAAAACGACATGTTCGCTAAGACCCTCTTCGCTCTCACCTCCATCTCTGCCATCTTTGTCTCGGTAGCAGCTATTCCAAGCGGTGCTCCCACCTGCGCCACCGGTCCCATTCAATGTTGTACGTACATATGGCTTATTCTTTCGAACGAGTCGTCGTGCGCTAACTCAGTGACGGCTTTCATCTAGGCGAACGCGTTTATGAATCCCAAACCACCGAAACCTCGCTCCTCACTGACCTCTTGGGCCTCAACCTCGACGGCCTCTTGGGGGGAATCGCGACTGGCTGCAGCCCCCTTAGCGTTGTAGGCATTGGTGGCGGTAACAAGTGGTACGTGCGTCTCTGTAGGAATACATAGCAGCGCTAACAGAACTGTTCTTTAGCGCCCATCGCCCCGTTTGCTGCACCGACAACAAATTCAGTGAGTACCTTCCCGACTGTGAGATTCATCTCTAACAGGTCTTCCCCAGATGGTCTCGTGAATGTCGGCTGTGTCCCCGTTAACGTCAACCTTTGAGATTCTGCACACCACCACTGCCTCTCCCATACCATTTTACCATTATCCCATGCCGTATACGTACACATTCTGAAGCTACTCTCATTTGGTACTATCTGAGACGCCGTCTCGGCTCATACTATGATATTCTGCACACGAGGGAATAAACTTCGCCTATGTAATGAGCTTGATTCTATCAATCCCAACGGCTGGTGAGACAAACACAAGGACAGCAGCACGGGGGACGCTCTAGAGCCGACTCGCAGCTGCTGTGGACTACAGGCGCTGTAGAGCCCACACATGAGATAATCAGGCATGTATCCCGCAATACGACCGACCTTTCATAAGCCAGGGACTCCAAAGGCTGTCCACGACAGTAGCGCTTATAAGTGAAGACATTGCTGGGACAGTGCTTCCTGGTATCCCCTACCGCTCCCTGGGCCGCTTCTGCCAAGATCACATCTTCCTCCAACGCTCGAAAGGGGCGTCGTCGACTCATCGTCTTATTTAATCATGGAAACAGAGACAGGAGTCCACTCCCAACATCCAGTCGGCATACCGTTACCTGTGAAAAAAATTGTCATAGACGTTTTCGGAGCGGATAAAATCGGAAAGTCAAATCTCTGTGAAGGGGTGAGTACTAGTACTGAATCGCGCTTAAATTCACAAGAGTCGATCATATCACTCGTGGACGAGCGAACTAACACATGGGATCTATACACTAGATTGCTTGTGGGCCGCCTTTCGATTATGGTGAGGCACCGGTCAGCGTCTCTCATACCCCAATCCAAGTGTATTCTGAATAAAAGATACTTTATCTGCTTTAAAGATTGGGACTATGATCCCACGATTGACGTTAATCCACATGGATGGCGGAGATATTTGAAGGTTCAAAACCCCCCTACCGAGCCAGGCAACGACGCCGAGACAAGTGTCGAAGCCGAATGGTTATGCTTGGAGCTCAACCCCATAAGTTCCCGCGAGTTGGTGTCAGCCCTCGAACGTATCTCGTGAGTTTCTTCCGCACTTTGTTTAGCCAATGCCAATGGGTTCCCATTCAACTAATACTAAATCCACGGATAGTCTATACGCAAATGACGACTGGAACCGCAACGCTATCATCATCCTATACTCTGTACAGTCGAGGGAATCTTTCGACGCGATCCCATGACTGCACGAACGAATAATTGCAACACTATCCAAATCCAGATCTCTCCGGAACGAGTCTCCTAGTGGCAAAGTCTTTAGGACGAAGACGAAGCAAGATATGGCCCAGCGGCCATCAGTGCCAATCGCTATTATCGGGAACTATATCTCTCGTCGTCGACAAGTCTCTCTGGAAGAGGCCGAAGCTCTAGCCCAAGGCTTAAAATGCAGATTTCTTGGAGAAGTACATGCTATTCGCGATGGACCTTACTCATACGCCGATGGAACTTTAGAATCCATCCTGAATCTCTATAGGGACGCGTTTTTTGGCGACTTCGACAGCGAAACTGGCGAACATCGAAAGGAGAAGGAATTCAAAGGTTCGCACCCAATGCAGTATGTGGAGGGAACATGTGGGTGTGTTCTTAGCTGACCAGCGAGGTCCATCATGCGCCCCCAGGAGATTTTTGGATATTCTTAGAGCAGAAATTCTCCCCTGCTGACTTTTTCCTACCGTTTATGCTCTCCCATGCTTTCAATCCCCCTTCCTAATGACTAATCGAACTTGCTGCACTTTTCAATACGAAGCCATAATTGAACCAACCGGAATCTCCAACTGCAGAACTCAGATGCGGCGAAATGAAAAGGAAAGAAACACTCCGTCCAAAACTCCACAAGGCGAAGTTAGTCTCCGTTGCTGACCTAATCGTCAGGGATGATAGTCGATCTCTAAGGCGAAGTTCTGTCATCTGGACTGAAGGACATAGCCAAACAGAAACGCCACAAACTGGTAAGAGTCGAGATGACGTTCCCAATCCTGGGATTATTCTATACGTTTCGTTCCTGCGGCATTCTTCTTTTGAACGAGTCCTCGTGGGCTAATTTCTCAGCAAATTCAATGGCCTTCAACTAGGCGAACATCTTTATGAATCCCAAACCACCGAAATATCGCTCCTCAACGAGCTTGGGGGGAATCGCGACTGGCTGCAGCCCTCGTAGCGTTGTCGGCGTTGGTGGGGGTAACAGGTGGTAAGTGCATTCTCTGGGGGAATGCATATCGGCGCTAACAGACCACAACTTGAACTATCTTTTAGCGCCCATCGCCCCGTTTGCTGCACCGATAACAAGTTCAGCGAGTGCCTCCCCCTGTGAGACTCACCTCTAACAGGCCTGTTCAGATGGTCTCGTGAATGTCGGCTATGTCCCCGTCAACGTCAACCTTTGACAAGATTCGACCACGACTTCCTCCGCCATCCTATTTCCTCTTCTCATATTCCTACTCCTATTTGGTATTATCTGCGACGGTGTCTCGACACTCGCGTAGAACTCCTGGCCCAATATTACGATATTCTGCACACCTTTCCTCGGCGTGCGACGTCGAGGGAATAAATGCCCCCCTTGTATTGCGCTTGGAGCTGTCAATCAAGGGCTGGTGAGAAAAACCAAGGACAACAGCGCTTAAGAAGCAGCTCTGGGGCCGGCTCGCAGCTGCTGTGGATTTCAGGCCCTGCATAGGCCACATGAGATAGTCGGGCTAAATTCTCGGAATCCGACCGATCTTTCGGGAGCCAGACAGGCCACCGGCGACATAGCACTTATCTTTAAGTAATGGGACCGTTCCGGGACAGCGTTTCGTGGTATCTCTTACCGCCTCCCTCCCGGCTTCAGCCTGAATAGGCCCTCAGAGCCGATACAAATCTTGCCCTCAACGTGCGTCGCCGACTCACCGTCACATTTAATCATGGAATCAGAGACAGAAATCCACTCTCAACGTCCAGTCGATACACCGTTAGCGAGAAAACTTGTGATAGACGTTTTCGGAGCGGATAACGTTGGAAAAACAGAACTCTGTGAAGGGGTGAGTACCGGGTCGATCATATACATCATGGCTGCGCGAACTAACACATGGCATATTCACATTAGATTTTTAGCGGCCCCCCTTGGCTTCCAAATTATGCACCGGTCAGGGTCTCTCATACCCCAATGCAAGTATGTATTCTGACTCAGATATTTATCCCATTTTAAAGGCCGCTTGGACTGCTTATGACCCAACAAGTGAGGGGATTCAGAGGTATTTCGAAGTTCAAGGCCGCCCTACAGAGCTAGGCAACGACGCTGAGCCAAGCGAAGCCGAATGGTTAAACTTGCATCTCAACCTCATAAGTTCACACGAGTTCGTGACAGTCCTCGAACGTATCCCGTGAGTTTCTTCTGTACATTAATCAATGCCAATGTGCGTTCAACTAAAAACATGGATAGTCTATATGTAAATGACGACTGGAACCGCAACGTTATCATCGTTATGTACTCCGTGCAATCCAGGGAATCTTTCGACGCGATCCCACAGTTCCACCAACGAATAATCGCAGCATTATCCAAATCCAGATTTCCCAAGAACGTGTCTCCCAGCGGCAAAGTCTATAGGAAGAAGATGAAGCAAGGTTCGGCCAAGCGGCCATCAGCGCCAATCGCAATTATTGGGAACTGCCCCTTTGGTCGTCGACAAGTCTCTCTGGAAGAGGCCGAAGCTCTAGCCCAGAGTTTGGGATGCGAGTTTCTTGGGGAAGTACGTGCAATTCGTGATGGAGGTCAGTACTCGTGCAGCGATGGAACTTTTGAGCTCATCCTGAAGCTCTATAGAGACGTGTTTTACGGGGATTCCGACGGTGAAGTGAGCGAACAACGAAGTAAAGAAGAAGAGAAAGGCACGAACCCCATGGATAATTTGAAGGGAATATGTGGATGTGTCATTGGTTAACCCGTGGTGGAGGACAGTAAAGCGCTCGTGCCTTGTTCGAAAATTCGCGATTTCCCATTCCACCTCTTCCACAGCCCCACTCCGTTTATGTGTATTCATTCGTAACCGCTGACCCGGATTATCTCTTGTATCTACCTCCCTTCTCAGCAATCATCTCTGAGGTGGCTGTTATTCTCCCTTATCTCGAGCGACGGGCGCCTAAACTACGCAACCTAAGTTCGAGAGTCTAGACTCCGCCGGAGATTAGAGTTGATCCGTACCTTAGTCCAACAGAATAAGCACCACAAGCTTGGAGCCAAGGTGTTCTCCCTCCCACCGCGAATGTTCTACAAGGTAGCCAACTTGTCGCCTTGCATGATTTTCGCAAGGCCAAGGGGCTTAGTATGTATGACGTTGACGTTGATTCTCTCGATTGCCAATGCAACGTTTCGTCCACAAACGCCCAAGAACTAATTTTCTTCCTCCTACGTCACCATAGGCAATTGCCCCCGAGCTGCGAAGTTCTCGGCGGTACCATATATCAACACTTAATTAACAGTTTGTCGCCTCTCTTCACGCCATCATGTCCAACCCAATAATCCAACTCGACCTCTCGAAGCAGAGACTGTTCATGTAAGTTTTCGAAGCATACTTGTATTCGTAGCGCACGACTAACCTGCTCTGTTCTTCTCTGATGTGATAGCCATCCAGATGCTCCTTTACCCAGGTGCGAGGGAGATAAAGATGCGACGAGCTCTATGCTCATCTAAGAGCATCTAGGTTCAACCCCAAACCGAAAGCCGTCATGGTAACGCCTATTTACGACTATGACGGCCCCCTTCCTCCTCCCCCCCTGGGGACTTCATCGAGATCAGGATCGCGAGACGCACGAGACGACGTGTATACTTATGCTTTTAACGCTGCGCAAGGTCAGTCCAGACGTCTTTCTAATTTCAATATCTGCTTATAGTATAAAACTAGATGCCTTAAATCGTCGCACACACGGCAGAACCGGCAGGAGATACTCGTCACATTCTCCCGGTTCGTATCGTCGGGACTCTGTCTCCCCCGTTTCGTACTCGGTACCCTACGGCAAAGATGGGAGATACAGCTACAGTGGTCCTAGCGGCTACGCCCCCTCCGGTCAAAGCGGTTACAGTCAATCATATGCTGAGGACAGAGCACGCCCTCCAGACGATCCAATCGCCCAGAATCCACCGGACTACCAAATCCAAGCAACTCAAGGATATAGCCCCTCCCAAAGCCATCAATCCTACTCAGGAAGACCCTACTCAGATGACAGGGCACGACCTTCTCACGATCCTATCGCCCAGAATCCACCAGACTACCAAGTCCAAGCGACTCAAGGCCACGGAGGTTACTCCCCATCCCAAGGGCGCCCAGCCTCTGGCCGTCCTGCGCCTCCGTCCACACCGGGGTCTCTCGCTTCTATCCCTATCGTCTCTTCTCCACCTGAAAAGTACCGCCCAAGCCGACAGTCAAAGTTCTTCGAAAAGTTAATCCAAGATTATCTCAAGGTTATCCCCCTCAATCCAGAGTATACGTCGTCAAGGTGTACTCGGAGGAAACGAGCCCTATGCGTATGTCTATCCCATCGTTCTTCCGTTCGTTTTACTGCAGCTGAAGCTCAATTCTCATAGATTGGAATCAACTATGTCGGCCAGAAAGATGAACTACGTGGATGTGCAAACGACGCTCGACATATGAGAGACTTCCTTATCCGTGAGTTCGGTCTAGCGCTTAGCACAGCACCATTCACCCTCGTTCATCTAGAACAATACAATTTCCCACCCAGTGAGATCCTAGTTATGACGGACGATGATCCTCGCAATCCACTCCCTACCCGGAAAGAAATGTTCCAGGCTTTCATGTGGTTAGTGAGAGACGCGGGACGAGATGATTCCCTGTTCTTCCACTGTACGCGCAGACCTCTACGTTCCGACTCTGACTAACTCTTGGCCTCTTAGACTCCGGTCACGGTGGACAAACCCCAGATGCTAGTGGAAGAGAGGCTGATGGAATGGACGAAGGTGCGTCGAAGTATTTTTCAAGAACGCGTACCACAACCTTACGCTTACCACAGTAATATACCCTGTGGACTACCATGAAATTCCAAGTGGGCACATCATCGACGATGTAAGTCGCGTGCAGTCATCTGTTCTAGGACTGGCGTGACATCTCTGCGATTAGGAGCTGCACGATGCACTAGTCAAGCCTCTACCAGCGGGATGTCGATTAACGGTCAGTTGCTTATTGTTGCTCGGGTCTGAGAAGCCAAACGTTAACCCCGGTGAGATAGGCAGTCTTCGATGTGAGTTCAAAGTTGTCTTGCGATCGAGCCCTCGTCGCTGAGCGCGAGCTAGTCATGTCACTCCGGAACAGTCCTAGGTATGTATGTAGCCCAAAAAGACCCCGTTCGGGATCCACTAATCCTCGTCTAGATTTACCATATGTGCACTCATCTCATGGCCGTCTTCGAAGCTTAAAACATATTTCTAAGCGAGCGAGAATGAGAGGAATGGCTCCTAAGGGCGACGTCGTGCGTGTTCTCTGACCTGAAGGGAAGCATGTATCCATTAACACTCCTCCAGATCTGCTTCGCCGCATGCAGAGACGACGAAAAAGCCGCTGATACCTTCCGAGGTGGCGTTGCAGTTGGAGCGATGAGCTACGTATGTCATTCCGTCGACCTCCGCCAGCTGATCATCCAACTAACCCTCTTCAGGCACTAATAAAAAGCTTGGGTACGTGGATAGTACGACCCCTTACTACGACTCACGCTGACTTGACCGCAGAAAACAACACTAACCAAACCTATGACGAACTCCTGACCCACCTTCGAGAGATTTTGGTGCCCAAATATGGCCAAAAAGCCCAAATAAGCGGGTCCCACCCCTTGGTACGTGCTCCCTTGACCCCATCCCACAAAGGTTGACATCTCGCACCTCAGAACCTCGACGAGAAATTCTCGCTTTGCGACTAACCGACCAATGTACATTACGAAGTACTAGCCGGCAACAGCGATCCTATCTGTTTCCGTTCAACTGCTGGGGCCAATTGCCCGGACACGGCCCATCGCACCTGAGCCCCATCGTCGCCTGGTTCGCAATATTCGAGCAAAAGTTCTTCACCGGACCTCCCCCATTGAACTGCCTAATATCAATGCCCGTAAACGTCAAGTTCTGGCACGGAGACGAAGCACTACAATGCATCCCCGCGCCAACGTTATACCTCGACGTCCCGGTGATGTTCTCCCACCTCACATTCCTGATATTCAACCTCGAGCTATCGCAGTTCTGGCCGGAGTAGATGCACGAGGTGATGTAGATAGGCTGGTTCACGTCGCTGAACTGGATGTTGCGGAAGGTGACGTTGTTGACGTAGCCTTGGCCGGGGTAGGTCTTGATCCAGGCGGCATTGCTGCTGTGGTTGAGGCGCACGTTTTCGAAGAGGACGTGCTCGACAAAGTCGGGTTGGGAGGCGACGGAACCGATGCTGCCCACGACCATTCCACCAGACTCGTAACAGGTGATGTCCTTGACGTGCATGTTGGTGGTGTTGCCTTTGGCGCAGATGCAATCCTACCCACAGAAGGCAATGAAATAATGAGCCAATCGGACGGCGTGAAGGGAAGGACTTACGTCGCCACTGTAGACGGTCCAGTTAGATATGTAGATGTCGCGAGAGTTCCAGATGTTGGTGCCGTCGGTATTGACCGTGGTCCACTGAGAGTTGGACTTGGCCTCCATATCGAGGTTGGTCATGGTCACATTCTGCGAGTAAGCAACGAATGTGTTCCTAATTTTCAACATGAGCCCAGCCCACAGGAACGCGCTTGAAGAAACCACTCACCAGAACTGTGGCTGCCTCCAGGTCAACCCATCAATGAAGACGTTGTTCGCCCTCCAAATGGTGAGCGAAATAGGCCTTCCCATTTGGTTACCCTGGTTCCGATTCTGGTCGTACCACGTCTGGCCATTTCCGAACAATAAACCCTTGCCATGGCCCCTAATCGCGATGTTCGTACCACTGATCCTCCACGCCGTGTGCCTCTGGGCGTAGGTGACCGCGATGCTGTTTCGGAGCCAGTACTGAATGTCGGTGCTCCAGGTGATGGTGCCGAGGATGTTGATTTCGCAGTTTTGGAGGGTGACGTCCATGACTTGGCCGATGTAGAAGTTGCCTTCGGTGAACGTGATGGAGCCGTTACGGCCGCAGCGGCTGTAGGCGTCGCGGAATTGAGGGGTGTCGTCCGGTGGACGACCGCCCGGCGGAACGGGGGTTGGGGAGAGGGGTGTGACGGTACATGCAGTCCCGATTTGAGTAACAGCAGCGAGGACGGGGTGTAGCCCGGCCAAAAGGCAGAGACTAGCGAAGAACGAGGCGGCCAGCTTCATTACTCTGTAACCTCGAGATGAGATTCAGTCGAGCTTGGGAGAGAGGAGTGGTTCGGGGTTGTACTTTAAATAGAGCGCTAAACGGTTAAACCTCGTTATGATTTTCGTTCCGGATTTGGATGATGCGAGTGCGACAACTCTAAATCTGATAGAGAAAAGAAGGCTTTCATGCGATGAAAATCATGGAGCCTGCGAGGTTGGGATTGGCGGTCCGTCTGTATACTTCAAGAACCGCCGTGCATTGGAGCGCCTGGAGAGGGGGAGATCATGAGACAGCGTCAGTTGTAGAAAAGAAGGCTGCTGGGAGGGCCGAAATGGGTCTCGTATCCAATGTCGGAATGGTCTCGTCCCGAGAGAAGAAAAGAGTCAAGATTAGCGGCCCGTTGAGAAGCAATATCCTAGCCCTTCGACGACAAAATCGTCTTTTTCTCGAGAATCCGATGAAATTGGGCTGGCGATGGGAAGCACCAAAAGAGGTCTAATGACCTCCGGAAAAACGTGTTCCGCTGGCCGTTTCTTCCGCTTGCCAGCGAGAACGGTTACGGCTAGATAGATGGGTAAAAGGCTACAGATTAGAATGCCCAAGCGACTTCCTAGTAGCAAGGCCGGTCACGAAGAGCCAAGCGATAGCCAAGAAACATTCCAGTCGAACGATGCTGGCGATTTTGGAGCGTTCCCGAGTCGTATTTTCCTGATGAACCGGTATTGTTAGTTTAATCGACGGAATTTTTTGACATAAGAAGAGAAATAGAGTAGAGACCAAGTCAGTCCAAAGCAAATTCAGTGTCGACATGGAGGAGCGAAGTCAAGATGAAAGCTGAGGTCGCATGGCTGCCATCCAACAGATTGCCGCTCGATGCCGTTTGATCACTTCTCCCACGGGCAGTGATGGTCCCAATTGATCAATGTTCGTCGTCTTCTTAGTTGTCGAATTGGAACTGCCCAGCGTCTTGTTCAGGAGACGATTACACTTTCCACTAATAGATACCTTCCCCGGAAATGTGTTCAACCGGGCGATTGAAGTAGAAGTTTAATAACGTTCCATTAGACCGTTATACCCTCTTCGGTTCTGCCGGTAATAATCCACCAAAATAATGTACTTGCATAAAGAGTGCTGTTAGTCTCATTATGGAACACCGATAGCAAAGCACATCTGATTCTGTTATCGCCCAGTACCTTTGCCATGCATAATCCGCTTCCATCCGTTGGCTTAGCACTCGCCCTCACGTCCCTCGCTCTGGCGCAGTGCACCTACTCCTCCCTCCAGTCGCTCACATCAACCTACTTAACTTCACAAACCCGTGGAGACCCCTCAGTCCTGGTACCCAACTCAGCTGTCCCGTCTATCACGTACACAGAGAACTTCAAACCCACCAGCCTCTCCTCCTCCATCCTCCGAACTCCTCTCAGAATCGACTACAACCGCTCTCTACATGATACAACCCAATGCGCAACATACACCGAAGTCGTCGTCGCCAATGGTCGAAACCACTACGTTATCGGGACTCAAATATGGTTGAAGGAGGACGGATCTAACATCGACAAAATCGAGTCGATTGTTACCTCGAACGGGGACTGGGCGTTTAACGCGACTGGGACACTCTACTACGCCTCCCGCAAGAACTGGTTCACCATCCCAGAGGCGGAGAGGGATACGAGGGAGGTCATCCAAGCAGGAGGGGACGCCTACCTGGATCTCTTCAACGATCCTACTGTGAAGGTTCCGTGGGGCACGCCATGCGCCCGACTTGAAGGTGGTTTCTACACTGGAAGAGGATTGCCCACCGACTCCTGCAATATGGGAGTTCCGGCGGGAGTTCCTTTGGTGAATAGGCGATATGTGATTGACGAAACGCTCGGTGCGGTGGATGTGTTTTTGGACTTCAACGGCCCGGGAGGGAGGCCTGATAGTCATGAGTTTAGGTTGGAGAAGGGGAAGTTGAGGTTCGTTCATACCATGACGTATATGAGGGGGTAGTATCATAAACTCTGGGTTCGAAGGAGGTCCTTTCTGTCTCTGTCTTCGAAGCGTCTCTTCATACGGCTGGTGCTGAAATGTATTTCGTCTAGCTACAAATGGATACTTCTTTAGCGGACGATCCAAGGGAGAATTGTCACACCTTCGAACCTTTACGTTTATACGCCCCTCAGTTCTACCGGGAAGAACCATCGAAGGAATATTTATGCATCACCCTCCAACAGTGTATTCATCATAGTGTCATTGACCATGGCGAACATGCTACCCCTCATCGCGCTAGCTCTGACACTCGGTGATCACACCCTCGCACAAGCCTCGTGCACTTACGCCTCTCTCCAGTCTCTCACCTCAACCTACGTCGACTCCCAAACTCAGGGCGACCCCACGCTCCTCATATCCAACTCCCTCCTCCCATCCATCACATACACCGAAAACTTCAAACCAAGCAGCCTCAGCACATCGATCCTCTCCACCCCTCTCAAAATAGACCACACCCGTTCTCTGCACGACACAACCCAATGCGCAACCTACACCGAAATCATCGTCGCAAACGGTGAGGCTCACTACGTCATCGGGACCCAAATCCGACTGGGCGAAGACGGGGAGAGCGTGGAGAAGATCGAGACTATTGTCACGACCGAGGGCGACTGGTTGTTCAACGCCACAGCCACGCTCTACTACGCCTCTCGCGAGGACTGGTTCACCATCCCCGAGGAAGAAAGGGACACTCGGGAGGCCATTCAAGCAGGAGGAGATGCGTACCTCGACCTCTTCAACGATCCTACCGTCCAGGTGCCGTGGGGGCAACCATGCGCCCGCCTCGAAGGCGGGATTTACTCTGGGACTATCCCCCCGAGTCCAGATGATACGTGCAACGTAGGTGTTCCTGAGGGCATGCCAATCGTAGATAGGCGGTATGTGATTGACGAGACGGTTGGTGCGGTGGATGTGTTTGTGGATTTCAATGGCCCTGGTGGGAGACCAGATAGTCACGAGTTCAGGCTTGAGAAGGGGAAGCTGCGGTTTGTGCACACCCTGACTTACATGAGGGGGTAAGGGTATCGTCCTCTCAGCTGCGCATAGCTAGTAGCATGGAAGCTTTTCTTTGTCCACTGGTAGAGCGCGTTTCGAAATCCCCCTCTTGATATCTTTTTCCGATTTACCACAGACGCCCCCATTAAAACATAAATAGCTTTTCTTTCACTCGTGTAACTTCTCGCATGACATCCCGTGCTGTAACTCCAGTAAATGTGGTTACAAATAACTTCCATTGTGATCCACCAATGATCTTCGACGAAGGGGGTGGTGATCAAAGCGGGACTTCGGATATTCCGAGGTATTGGAAAGGACGCTGTAGGGGATGTTCTTTCTTTACCTAGGTGGTATATCTTGTCGCGAACTTGAGCGTCAGAATAGAGGACGGCAAGAAATATTTATACTTCGCCAACTTCTGAGCATGGATTCTACCTAGTTCAAGTGAATAGGCTGGGGTATCGGGTGAATAGTATTCTCGAATCCCAATATATATAAATCCTCTCCTTCCTCGAAACATCTTTTCTATTCAAGCACATCCTTAGCACGTGAAGCAACCCTCCAAAATGCTCCTCCCACCCTTCATCCTCTTATCCCTCTTCACTCTTCCCCTTCCAACTTCAGCACAATCACCCTGCAACTACGCCTTCCTCCAAAACATAACCGCTTCCTACATCTCCGCACAAACCTCCGGCCAGCCCTCCCAGCTCTCCTCAAGCGCAACCTACACCGAAAACTTCAGACCCTCCACTCTCGCCTCCGGCATCCTCTCCCAGCCGCTCAAAATCGACCACTCACGCAGCCTGCACGACACAACCCAATGCGCGACATACACCGAGATCGTCGTCACAGACCCCAGGCACCCCTACGTCATCGGGACCCAAATCCGCCTCTCCACCACCACCAACGGAGACTCGCCAGTGGTAAACCAAATCGACACCATCGTCACAGACCAAGGCGACTGGCTCTTCAACGCTACCGGAACCTACTACTACGCCTCGCGCGAGGACTGGTTCACCATCCCCGTCGAGCAGCGCGACACGCGCGAAGCGATCCAAGCGGGCGGGGACGCGTACCTTGACCTCTTCAACGACCCCACCGTGCAAGTCCCCTGGGGCCAGCCCTGCGCCCGCCTCGAAGGCGGCATCTACACCGGCCGCGGGCTCCCCACCGACTCGTGCAACGTCGGCGTGCCTAGTGGCGTGCGCTTGGTTAATCGCCGGTACGTGATTGACGAGACTGTGGGTGCCGTTGATATTTTTTTGGACTTTGGAGGCGAGGGTGGGTTGCCGGATAGTCATGAGTTTAGGTTGGAGAAGGGAAAGTTGAGGTTTGTGCATACTATGACTGTTATGCCTTGAGTCCTGCAATCTCGTTGGTGGATACGGTCTTTGGTTTCGTTTTACATGCTGTCTTTGTTGCCTCTGTACCACATACCTATTTCTCTACTTCCTCACTGTATCTACTTAGTTGCCGGCCTGTGCCTAATATTGGCATTATTTACCTCCGCATGACATCCAGGCACAACAGCAAGCGCACCTCCACTCCAGTCGGGATTCGACCCAATTGGCACTCAAAGCGCTTACCCAAGCGCCCCACTCCAAGTCTTCCTCCTACCGACCAGGTACGCGAGGGGCGCAACTGTCAAATCGATTGATCCCTCCTGAGGCCAATTCACTTAAGCGACGAATCCAACGGCAGGTACGCGACCGATTCGATATCCATCCGAGCATCGCACACATCTATTTTTAAATTCTCTACGCGGCGAGACGGCAAGCGACTGGTGAGAAACTGCAAGGCCCACTGCTGAGAACAGCAAGCGAAGCTCTGCAACACACCACATTGCCGTAACGCTTCAATGTGCGGTTGATGCATCTACAGGCCCAGGAACGACGGCGGGCGTCGGAGTGTGCAATTCAAAGGGGGAGTGGAGACGCGTTTCTGACGCGTTTAAATACGACTCGAACTTGTCCAGTTGTTCCTCAGGTCTTCCTCGGACTTCCTTCTCCCCCCTCCACCAGTCTCCTACTCCTCCTCTTTCACTCTCCTCGTATTCCACAATGGCCAAACTCACATTCACAAAGCTCTTCGTCGCCCTCCTGGCCTTCTCCTCCCCTCTCTCCTCTCTCTCCGCCACAATTCCCGACATCCGCCCTCTCTCAGTCGAGAACCTGCTCGAGGTCCGTCAACACGGCGGGCACCACGGCCACGACCACCAACCGCACGACCCCTCCGACCCCGTCCTCGCCTCTGCGGTCGACCAAGACTGCCTTGAGGGCACCGAGTACGAGGGTATGGCCAAGGGGTGGAACGTCACCATCGCTGGCGTGCATACGTACTATGCGAGGCCGTCTGGTCCGCCCCCCACCGGGCCCCGGAAAGTGTTGCTCTTCTACTCGGACGTGTATAGCGCGTTCTTCCCCAACAACTTTATCCTCCAGGATTGGTTCGCTGACCAGGGTGAGTTCCAATCCATTTCAACGTGTATCTGAGTTGTATCTGATGTGGCTTTGAATAGGATACTACGTCCTTGGACTGGATTACTTCTTCGGCGACCCCGCGCAGAATCAGAACCTCACCACTCCTCAAGAAATCGAGGATTGGGTCTACTGGGCTAAAGATCGTGCTGACCCATATGTCCCAGCTTGGAACGCTGCCGTTCGAGCCATCTTCCGTACGTTCTTCCCTCCCTTCTTTGTGTGTTATCACGGGCTGACTGAATAATAATAACTTTTCAGCCAATGATACCAAGTACGTTGCGGTAGGCTACTGCTTCGGCGCACCCTACGCCCTCGAAGCCGCTGCTACACCGGACATCTTGGCTTCTGCCTTTGCCCAACCTGCGATGTTGACCGAGGGGCACTTCTACAACGTCACCCGTAAGTCGCGAGACAATGCTCCTGTGTTCTTCTCATGCCTAACCCCTACCCTTCATAGAACCCCTCTTCGCATCCTGCGCCGAAACCGACATGACCTTCCCCACCAGCTCCCGCAACCGCATGATGGAAATCTTCTCCGAGATCAGCGCCATGCACCACTTGCAAGTCTTCTCTGGTACCGAGCACGGCTTTGCTACTCGTGCTGATTTGGAGGACGAGAATGCCGGTACGTCTTCTATGCCTTCGTTATCTTGACCTTTCCTGGAGTATCGTGGCTGACGTCTCTTCTCTGTAGCTTGGGCCAAGAACACCTCCGCTAACAGCATCGTCGGGTGGTTCGACCGCTTCACTCAGGACTAATCGACCTTTAATACTTAAATAATACCCTTCAACTTCCTCATATCCTTCAACTTCCCCAACCAATTGTAATGTTTGTAGTTGGTGTAACGAACGAATCCTTAAATGGATGGATGGTTTGCATTGTAATGGAATAGAACAGACTTCTGAAGCGCTGAGAGTTGTGCCCTCGTCCTCTTCACGTCCCTTCAAGTTATCCTCTTCAATAGTGTGTGTCTTCAGTATCCTCTAGATCCTCAGTACTCCACAGTCCAGATTTAAATTACACCCACATTCCTTATCTTATCAGCCGTCCTGCCGCTTCCTCCACTGATCATCGATCATTGATGTCATCACGGCACCCTCCGCCCTCCAATCCTATAAAGCTCCCTTCCCAAAAAATTTCCGTTTCCTCGATTCTTCCACAATCAAAAACGCCAATGACGATAAACCCGTGGGTTGCAAAGAGTCGAGTTTCCGCAGCCTAACCAACTAGTCCTTTAAACCATATTCAATTCCTTGAATGTGTGCAGCGATGGGCTAGGCGGTAACCCTGCGTTTTTTCGAAACACTGATATCGCCCGTTCGGCACCCAACCTTTACCTTGTTTTAATAACATTAAAGGGACGGGCTTGGTACAATCTGATGGCGTCCTCCTCTTCCTCCTCTTCCTCCTTTTTCCTCGCTACATCTTTTCCCCTCGCTTTTTCACATCGTTTTCACCCTTCCCTGGGTTTCTTACCTCTCTGTCATCGTCTCTATCTACCCATCTTTCCCTTCACCCTCGCTACCCGTCTTTCTCTTCACCCTCGACGGAATCGACCACTCAAGGTCCCTGCCCCCTTGCACAAACATCGCTTCGTCAATCGAGGTTCGATATGGAGGGAAAGGCGCGAGGATCGCGGAGTCGAGAGACAGGAAGTGGGGGAGTCGGTTTTCGAGATCCAGGATGAAAAAATTCGGTCAGTTTCTTCCATCGGCACCACCATCTCTTGTCGTTGTGGGTATCTTTGCGGCCCTTCCACCAGTCTCGTCGTATCTCTCATCTATTCCACCGACCTTGTCGTATCGTATCCTATCCCCGGGCTCGTATGTACCCATAAATAGCCTTAAGCTCAAGACCCCAGACCCAATCTGACCCAATGTACATATCTTCCAATCACAATATCACAATGCACACACACACGACCTTGAGGCTTGTGTGATGAAATATTTCAGTGTGAATCTACGGCCTTTGCAGCCCGCCGCACGAGCTTCCCCATCCCCGTCCGCAACCCCCCATCCCCATGCTCGTCCTCATTGTTCCGTTCCCATCGTTCCCTTCCTTCTACCACCCAATTCTCTTTCACCTCCTCGATCGAAAAAACATATACATTACTGCGAACACCGAAATGGTATGTAAACATCGAAGGGTGGTTGTGGGTAATTAGACAGAACAGATAATATCTACGTACTATGTTACTATGCGGGTACCGTTCGTCCGATGGAAAGATGGGTACTTATTAGACCGAGGTAGTGGTGACAACAAATGAAAGATGAGTTGAAACATTGAAGGAAGATTATGGGTATGGATATGATGATGGATGGTGGAAGGCAGGTGGGGCGATTGGCGGGGATGCAAATATCACGCTGGAAACTTGGCACCTGCATGCAAAAGAAGGAAAAGGAAAAAGGAAAGAAAAAGAGTCCACGTCGTTATGTCGTTGAAATCGAGAAAAAAAAGTGTCCATGCAAACGTGCAAAAATGGGGTTGCGCACGCACGCTACCGCACCCATTCAAAACGAGAAAAAGAAAAAAGAAAGAAAAAATGCATAGAAACGAACCCAGTCCTTCAATTTGAAATCTATCCAAAGCCCATTACACCTTCTCTCCCCTTACTCCCGTCCACCCCATCCACTTTTTACACCAGCGTCCAAACCGCCGCGCCAACGACCCCCGCAACGGTCGCCAACACACCGACCCCACCCTCTCCCCACCCCATCCCCATCCTCACCGACGTCGACCCGGAATACGGCACCGGCGGTAAAGTCGTAGCCCAAAACGCCGTCGGGTTGGGCCCCTGCGTCACAGTGACCGTCACGGCCTTCTTGTCGAGCGGCGGCTGGGTGGTGGTGGGTGTTGCGCCGGAGGGCAGGATGGTGAAGCGCTGCGAGGTGCCGTGGAGGACGCCGTGTGTCGAGTTTATGCAGATGACGACGTAGTCGTCGCCTGGTGGGATGTTTTCGATGTAGATCCCTAGCGAGTGGGGTTTGCTGAGGACTGGTTGTGTTGATTCCCCGAGTACCGAGTCGTGAAACGCATTGTCGAATGGAAATGAGAATTAGAATTAGAATGAGGTGGGTGGTTAGTTAGCCAGTCGGACGAGGAGGAAGGAGGGAGGTAGACGCACCATTCCTAGCAACAAGGATCAACCCGTCCGCACTCATCCTCGCCATCTCCACATCGAACCCATTTATCCCGTCCATAAGCCCCTTCTCCCACGTAACAACGTTCACCTGCCCGTTCACCCATTGTGCGTCTCGTGCCGGGTTCGTCACCACAAAGTACGCTGTCCATTTGTAAAACATAGCACCAATTAGTCGATTGTGTTGGATGTATTGAATAGATAATGCCTGAGGGCAGGGGAGGGGTAACACGAACCTGATACCGAAGAGAGAAAGAACACGAATTGGAGGGAGAGGGAGATGAGGAACGAACAGCGCATATTCGACAAGCGAGGTCGTGGTTGTCGGAATCGTTTTAGGTTCAAGGGGGCGTTGGCGTCGTGTCCAAGTCGTGCGTTTTTTGAAGGTTATCAGAAATCAAGTCCAGGTTTTGAGGATTTTCAGGAATCGAGTCCGGGTTTTGAGTGTTATCAGAAGGAATCAGGCCAGTCAGCTCTCTGGCTCTGGCACTGGTGGTGGTGGTCGTGGTCGTGGTCCGAGTCGTTCCCCCGGCGTGTTTGATTAGGACTCGTCGTGCTTGATTAGGATTAGGGATTAGGACTGGTCGCCTCACGCCTAGGCCAGCGAGGATCGAGATCACGAGGTTATGTAGAAGAGCGAAGGACCAAAAAGGAGGAACGAAGGCGTCTAGTGTGGTCTACTTGGAGAGAAAGATAAGAAGGGAGGCAGGAAGGAAGGAAGGACCGCGCTGGTGGTGGTTGTGGTTAACGAAGGAAAAGACGACGGCGGCCGTCCAGGACCCGAATCGAATTAGGCACGGAGGACGGAGAAAGGAAACGGTGATGATGGATGATGGGGCTGGCACGTGCGCGAGGTCGCGAGGTGGGGTGTTTTCCTTGGGGCTTTTTTGATCCGGCGCCTGTTTGCCCCGTCATCCGCCCGCTGAGAATAGTGGACTAATAATAAGCCTCAGCGAGGGCTTCGCTTGCAAAGTTACTTAGTATAGTACATAGACTGCATAGGCACCTGCGTTGAATTTTCCACGGAAGAGACCCTTGTTTAATTCATTCAGACGCTCTCGTAGTGAGCCGAGCCATTCATCGAGTCAAAAATACTGAGAATTAGTTATTATGATAGCAAAGCTAGGTAAACCAGACGAGAGATGTACAACCCGCCTACAGGAAAGTTCCTTACTCCTTCGGATTCGTAGTACATACGTCCATCCTAATGGAAGCCAAAAGTGCATTAAAGTGTTTGTTGAATCATCACACAGATCGGAATGCGCTTGAATTCATCTACCCGGTCCAGGAAAGCAGAATCCAGAAATATATATATATCAAAAACGACGTCAATCCATATCCTACGACACATCTTACTGTATGGTAGCCTTCGTAAAGGAGTCGTAAAGGAGTAATAGTAAAGACGTCAACACTTGAGAAACACGAACGCGAACGAGGTGGAGAGGGAGGGAGGGAAGGCTCATCATGAAAGTACAACGGGTTGGAACACCGTGAAAAGCAAGGGAGAAGGGTGGGGAGGGAACCACAGTACGACGAGACGACTACTGTGGTGGGAGAGGGACGAAAGGGGGGAAGTGAAGGAAAGCAAGGAAAAGACAACGAGAAGGAAAAGAATGAGAACGTTGAGACTCGGATCCATACTACTACTACGTAAGGACAGTACGACAATTATCATCGATTATCAAGGTCCATTGCAATGAGAATGAATATCCGTGGTTTGAGAGTGTCCATGCGTGTGTGCCACGTGTGGTGGGTATCGGGGGGAGGGCATGACGAAGCCATGCGATGCGATGCGAATGCTGGAATGTGGAATGCTGATGCGAAGAGAAGAAATGCGATGGGACGACGATGACGATGAGGGTGAAATGCAGAATGAGCGCGGAATCGCAATCATTAAAAGACAACGATCCGGTCTTGGGAATAATCCAGAAGGGCAGGGGTATCGCATTACGTTCAGGCATTATTACGACGTTGACGAATCTTGATGGAAGGAGAAATCGTAAATTGAGTTTGGGAGGGTTGAGGAGGGGGGATTCCCAGAGAGGGAAGGGGAGGCGTGTGTTTCACGCAAGGGATGACGAAGGGGAAGTCGCAAAGGGATGATGAAGGGGGAAGTCGCAATGGATGATGAAGGGGGGAAGTCGCAAAGGATGAAGGAATTTGGAGAAGTGGATTCGAAACGGTTGTGGATATGGAGCACCCATGAGTCTAAAGTCTCCAGGACCCTCGACAAATACAGAGGATGATCCACATAACAAATTACGGGAAACTCGGAGACTCGTCATCGAAAAACGGTGCTGCTGCCAACCAGAAAACAGAAAGAATGATTATCTGGGACGCGGTATGGGCTTGGGGGTGCATGGCTGTTATCGCTTTGGGATGGTTATCGCTTTGTGGTAAGGGATGGGTATTACTTCGGGATATAGATCGCACGTCAATCACTAAAGTCCTCCTCAATCATCTTCACACGACGCGAAGACACAGAGAGAGAGAGAGAGAGAACTTAAGCAATAGTGCACATCATCTTCCCGCCCCAAATTCCAGCCCACGGGTTGCGCTCCTCGTCAACGGGGATCTCGATGACGGGTGCAGCAGCAGCAACGACGGGCACACCAGCACCGGTCGTGCTAGAGTCGACGTTGGCGCTGGCGTTGGGGGCAGCAGCAATCTCGGATGAAAAGCAGATGGTCTGGAAGGAGTCCATTATTGCTGCGGATGTGCGCGTGTGTGTGGGTTTGTGGGTGCGTATGTGGGTGGTTGGAGAGTTGGGTTGAACGCTAAGTGATCGGAGGTTGGTTGGAGAGAGGGATAAGGAGAGGGAGAAGTGCTCGAGAGTTGGATAGATGACCCGAGTACCTTAAGGAAAGGAAGGAAAGTAGGAGGGTGATGGGGAAGACCAGCCAAGGGACGTTCCAGTCCCTTATATACTCCTCCTCGAAAACAATTATCAAACTCGACGGACATACGAAAAGCGTAACCCTCCCATAACGGTCAGCATAGCTCCGTTACCATCCCATAACGGTCAACATACCTCCGTTAACCCTCCCATAACGGTCAACACAACTCCGTCAACCCTCCCCCCACGTTGCAACATAGATCACCCACCACACCCTCCCAATTGTCTCAAACCGAATGGAAGCCTATCGTCGATAAGCAACCAGTGCGGAACAGGACCATGCACATACGTTCACCCGTCGCGAAGCGAACACGAACGGTCAGACCAGCTCCACGGTCGCCAAGAAGACGCGCGTTTTGACAATTAACAGATGCCAGAATCGTATTCACCAGATGCCGGAATCGTATGAAGCAGTCTGCTAGCGGTTGGTACGTAGTCACCCCAAAGACAATTACGCTCCTCCAGCCCTTGGACACCGCCCAAACGAACTAACGGAACTTGAGGACATCAAAGTGTTGTGTATTTCGTCATGTCGTCGAGGGATGACTACGGCATGCGTGGGTTCGCTCGTATGGAAGTGTTGAATGTTGGTGTCCATAGGTGGGCATGGAAGTCGACTCGCCTCTATGCGATGCACACACAAGTCACAGTGACAGACCAAGAGCCCAACGTCCAATTGTGTTTCCAACCCCTCTTATTGTGATCGACAGGGGCTGTGCCTACCGCTTTAGGAAGGAGGTCGGTTGCTCCGCTCCGGTTACTCCGGCGTTCAAACACACACACCAGATCTCTCCTCCAGCGCTCTCGTTCACGCTTTTGTCTCTCGATGATGTACGTATTATTAGCAAAAAGTAAGGAAAGCAACATTCCAGTGTATTCACAAACATTGACAAGTAACAACTCGGATCTAGGCATACCACCAACCAGGTCTAGATACACTGCGAATACCATGTGTTAGTCGGTCGACAAGTCGAGCCCTCCGCGCAATTAGTGCACCCGGTCCACCCCTGTCCACCACACTGCCCATACTTACTGACCGTGCAAGTCGACTGGGTAGGAGCAGGCGGCGTAGTCGTCGGCGGCAGCGTCGGGGTCGTAGGCTCCGGATTAGGATTCGGCGCAGGCCCAGCGACCTTGTTAATATGCACCGTCACCACCGACCGCGGCGGAACAGCAACAGTCACCTGCCCACCCGACAGCGTCACATTCAGCGGCGCAACAGCCCTCGAGTTGTCCGTCACAAACGCCACAGCCGACGTCGCAGTATAACTCTGGAACGCCACACGCACGTTCTGCGTACCACCATTGTTGCTCGTGAACACGATCGCGATGGACTCGTCGGTATTCTTGAACGCGCCGATACCGACGTTGCCGACCGAGCCTGAGGTTGCGACGCGCCGTGCGCCCGGGCGGACGAAGCGGGACCACTGCGCAAACGCCCAGAGTCGGCCGGAGGGGAAGACGTCCCTGTTATCGCTCGCGACGAGGTACGACGCCGCCTGGAACTGGTTGACTTCAAACCCCTGCCAGTAGATATACGCCGACAAATTCGCGTTGACCATCCCAGTGTGGAGTTTGTTCGCCCAGGTCATGCCCTCGCAGAGCCCGCCGTTGGCGTACCACGTGGTGCACCACCGGGACTGCAGGTCGCACCCCTCGGTCTGCCAGGTCTTGAGCCGCGTGTTCATAGGCGAGTTGGGGTCCCCGGTGTACATGTGCGAGGTGATCGTGGAGAGGTAGCGCTCCATGCCTTGGGCGACGAGCTGAGAGGTCATCGTGCGCTGTCCGGGCCAGCCGATGGAGTCGCAGCAGGTGATGCCGACGTGGCCTAGGTCAGCATCGGCGAGGGCTTTGTGGAGGATGGGGATGAACGAAGCAGCTTGGTTGCCATCTGACTGCATGGACGAGTAGCTCACGCTGAATGTATATCAGTACATCTGCACCTCGAGAATAAGAGAAAAGACGTACACATAGTCAGGCTCGTTCAAGAACCCGACGTGGGTGACAGGGATCCCTTCCTGCGCGTAAAACTTGACATACTGGACGATCAGATTGGCGTACGCCTGCCTCCAGTCGCCAGACTGGCAGCTACGACCAGTGACGCCACACAGCCAACCACCATTGGCTTCGTTGTTGTTGGTCTTCATATACCCGGGTGCGCTCCAAGCGTTGCCGTAGATCGTCTTGACGCCATACTTCATAGCCTGCTTCGAGAACCACACCTGGTACGAGTCGCTCGAGTCGCCTCCATCCCAGACGTAGTTGGGCGTGCCGTTCGGCGATCCAGGGCTTCTGGGGAGGATACTATCGTTGGCGGTGGAACCAATGCGGTTACGGATGATGGTGAGACCAGCGCCCGTCTCGGTGTTGAAGAGATAGTCGAGACCGCGCTGCCGAGGGCCTTCAGCGGCCTCGTAAAACTCTTTGGCGCGCGTGAAGGCCTGGGATACACCGAAGCCGTCGATTTCCTGGAGGAGAGAGGTGGCGTTGACGGTGATCTGTGTTTGCGCGAGCGTTGAGGAGAGGAGGGAGAAGAGGAAGATCGCTGTGCTACCGAGTGCGCGCATCACGGCGTATTTGTTGGCGGTGCCAGTCGGTCAGGTTGAGGTGAGGAGCGACGAGTGAGGGTTTTAAATCCTCTCGGATAAATGCCCAGGCGACATGTCCTCGTTCAGGTCATGCGAACAGTGCAAAGAAGGCTCTGTGCATCCACCTTCGGAAGTGTGAGGCATCCGGGGAAGGTCCGAGAGCGATATTCTGTTGCAGACCTGTGGAGGAGGAACGGAAAGGCAATGGAAGGGTGGCAACCAAGCCAAGTCCCCAAGACCGTAGAAGCAGTCAAATTAGGTTCTATGACAAAATTTAGCCTTCAGAGAACGGAGGTATATCAGATCGACGTGCCCCACCCTGTAGGAAGACGGTCATGCGACGCATCAAAGATACTTCTAAACCCTGATTTTTGCGTATGTTTGTGAGGAAGAACCTTGGAAAGAGTGTACATTGCTTCTCAGGAGCAGATTCTACAATCTCCGCGACGGTCCGCTCGCGAGCAGCGGTCCGCGCTATCCTTTTGTCACTTGTGAAGGACAATTCCCAAGTAGTAGAACGTTCAGCGCCTTGAGGCTCCTGCGCTCTCAATAAGGCTGTCTGTGTCAGAAAGCCGGACCGTCATCGCAATCTATGGGCTCAAAATTCAAAATTATGGAACTGATAGAAGCAACAGGACGACGTACGAATGGCACCGTGGCCGGTTTGAAACTTTACCAAGTGTTCATTCGCAGAGCCTAGCTATTGTGTAGAATCTTCGCCTTCGAATGGGCCAGGATGAGCTAGCGTAGCAGTCATGGTGGAAGGAACGAAAACTAAGTAGTGGAAGAGCCGCTCGTGGGTTGCCAGCTGTGATCCCTGATCTGCCGGGAGACTCCGCCCTTCGGCCATCAGATAAGATAAAGTTGGGCTAAATAAGATCGCTGATCCAACGCCCCACCTCCACCCGGTAGCGCCTGCGGTATCGCACCGTTTATTTGGCCATAATCTCGTCGACTCCCGTGCTCCTTTGCCGCTCCGGGGTTATCTAATGCAATGGAAGGATCTGACAGAGCCTGGCGATCCACATATTGCAACCGAGCCTACTGTACATGTACACTGTACAGCGCTACAGCACTTGCGCCGAAAAGCTGCAAACTCGCGTCTCCATTCCTCTCATCTCTCCCTTGTCCAATTCAATTCGACGGTGAAATGTGTACTCCGTAAGTAATAGCCGTCAATTAGATTAAGGAACGCGTTACGCAAGGAGGTAGGTACCATCTTCGCCGCAAGGCACATGAGCGATCCGTCTAACGGGGGAAGCTCCAGCTGAGGCCCACATACCATAATCGCAAATCCTCCTTAAAGCAAGACACGCACCTCCATTCTCGTCAGGCTGCTACCTACCGCTCCTCCTCTATCATCACTCTCATCTACGTCCCAACGACCCAATCACGACTTGTACGACCTACTCCACCATGTTCTCCCTCTCCCGTCCCATCTTCTTCACCACCCTCCTGACCCTCCTCTCCTTTCTCTTTCTGAGCACCCAAGCGCTCGTGTTGGGTAACCAACCTCAAGCCGACACATTCACAAAGCGCGGTCCTCCGGGACCAGGCCCCTGGCCTCCCACCGTCTGCAACCCGACCGACGCAGGGCCAGGCCTCCAAGCACGGCAACAAGCCGCGCTCGCCGACTTTGCGTACCTCTTCTTCGACCTACACGACGTACAAACCGCGTTTGATCGCTGGGTTCCCGGGTAAGCTATCCTCTCCCTCCTTTAAATCTACATAAACTCTTCTAAGCCACTCATCCTTCGCTTCTACCACCCCACTCAGACAATACATCAACCACAACCCGTTCGCTACCCAAGGCCGCACAGACGCCATCGACATCCTCACCGACCTCTTCGCCGACGGAACCGTGACGACCGACGTGCAGCGCATATTCGCAGGCCAAGGGTACGGCGCCGTCCACCAGAGGATGGAGTTCCCCGGCGTCGTGACATTCTCCGTCATCGATTATTTCAGATTCGAAGGAACCTGTATCGTCGAGCACTGGGATGTCGCGCAGGAGGTCACTGGAACTGAGACCAACCCTATCGCTTTCTTCTAGAATCGCGCTAGACAAGGCTCACAGCTGCTCTTCACGATTGAAGCCCTCAGCGATGAAATTTAACGATGTACCATAGCTGTAACGAGTTGCAATGTACAAACTCCTCACAAACTAAAGATCCCAAATAAATAACTGTATCTAAGTCCAACTTGACGAACGATATCGACGAAGAGAAACAGGGGATAGGAAATACATAGCATACGAGTGTCCAAAAGTACAAAAGAAAGAGAGTACTAAAGTACATCGGCTAATTTTTTTTTTGGGATGCCGAAACGCGAGAGAGTGGGGAGAAAAAGACAAGTCTAGGACAGAAGCATGGGAGTTGGAAGGTGGAAAAGGAACTGATAACAAACTAAAAAGAAACGAGAAAGAGAAGATAAAACAATGAAAGTCTACCAAAGAAATCCACCCCACCCTACATACACATAGTCCAAGCAGGATACGCACTCGGATCTCTAACAAGCGCATCCTCACATCCAAGCCACTCCAGCCACTCAGCAGCATGATAAACAATCCTCCTCCTCGGCCACATCTCCAACTCCGTCATCCCCGCACCTCCCACTCCCACACCAACCCCAACACCCACACCAACACCCCCACCATGCCCATGTCCAGATCCACCACCCGCACCACCACCAACACCAACACCCCGATGCCCACTAGGCGCCGAAATCAAATTCGACACCGAGCCAGGCGTACCAGAGGTCGAAGAAGCACCACTATGCAAGGACGAAGACCCCGAAGACGGATGGTGCAAAATACCAGCACTCATAATCCCCGAACCAGAAGCATACGATCCAGACGTATGATGCCCACTCGCACCCGCCGACGACGACCCCGAGCCAGACGAGCCGTAATGCCCCGCACCCCCCGCCGAAGACGACGAGGAGCCAGGTACAGGGTTAAGCAAAATCGCATGTGGGGGATGAGGATTACTTGACCCCGGATGTCCATGCGTATGCCCACTATGTGGGTGCCCCACATGCGTCGCAGGCCGCATCAAGCTCATCAACCGTTCATGCGACGTGCCTTTTGAAGAGGAGGCATTGCCCCCACTCGAACCCGAAGGTGGCGAACTACGACGATTCGAGGATGCACCGATGGAAGCATACGGGTTGCTCGAAGCCGAATGCGACGCAGCCGATGTGCGAGGTGAGGACGCGCTCAAACTGGGTGGGATGTGGCCGTGTCCAGCTGGGATATGGTGAGCAACCATCGACCGAGCATCGTGCGCCGCCGAAGCTGGGTGTGTAGGTGGTGTACCTGTAAACGAATCCTAATTAACGCACTCCCCAAATAAGAGAACGAGGTCATACCATAACTCGACGACCCAACCTTGCGTCTATGCACAGTCCAATAATTCTGGCCAACCCTCATAACACGAACCATCGGGAACCCCCGATCCACAATCTCCGACGGATGTCGAATATTCAGCTCAGAGAGCCCAATAAACCTCAAATCAGGAGGGATACCATGTCTCAACGACTACAAACCAACAACACCCGGCATGATCAGCTCTAATCCCAATTCACAAAAACCAACTAGTGGAGTACTCACATTCAACCAATTAACCGGATCCCTCATACACGGACTCCCATAATCCACCGAAAGCATCAACGCCCTCACACTCCTCGGAATCAACCAACTCGCCAACCCAGCACTCAAATCCACAGGATACGTAATCCCCAACGCCCTCAACCCCTCCAAACTAGGAAGCACACCCCACACAGCAGCCTCAAACCCAACAGCACTCTGTATCGCCTGCGCATCGCTCACACTGTGCTGCATCTGCTGCTCGTCACAGCTCGCGATGAGCCGGAGACTCCGCAGCTGCCGCCGCCCGCGTAGAAACTCGGCGATGGACGGGAAGAGGTCCCGGTCGGTCGTCCGCCGTCCGATGGAGGCGACCGTGAAGGCAAAGTTGCGGAGGAAGGGGAGGGAGACGGGGGTACCATTGTCGTTGAGCGAGGGTGAGCTCACACTACCCGGTCCTCCCATCCCGATCCCAAACGGATTGATCGCGAGAACACCACCTCCAGGTCCAGCTCCGACCCCAGCACCCAGCGGCCCACTCCAACCCACACTAGCACTCCTAAACTCCCTCGAAAGGTTCCCGCTCTCCAACGCGGCACACACAATGCTCAGCGTCTCGAGCTGCCTACCCTCCCGCAATATCTCGCCCAAAACAGCCGCGCCATGCTCCTTGTTGAAGTGGCCCGTAAAGTTGAGCGAGACGAGGTTGCGGACGGAGACGTGCGCGACGGGGAACGTCCAGTGTGGTGATGGCGAGAGGTTTTCGAGCGAGAGGGAAGAAATGGTGCTCCGATTTGAGGCGAAGAAGGGCGTGAGCGAATTGAGCGTGCCGCCGCTCGTCGTATACGAGAAGTGGTTCAGGCCGCGGATGTCGAGGAAGGATAGATCAGCAGGTGAATCGGGCGAACTACACAGAGAGTTAACGGGGCTATACGAAAGAGCGAAAAGAACCAAAACGCACTGCAACGACAACCCATGCAACTTGGTCCCCGTAACCTGCAATATCCTCAACACAGGTATAATACTCTCACTCGTCGCCGAAATATACATATTCTTCAAATTCACCAACTTGGGCAACACATTCGTGAGCATCCCTACCAAAAACCCTCTCGTCAGCACCCCATCCACCACCACTTTCAAATTAAACCAAACACGTAGAAAGACAACTCACCAGTCTGAAAAGCCATAGACCCATCTCGATCCCTCCTCGAACTACAATAAATCTTCAACGTCCTAACCGCATTCGCAAACTTCTGGTCCACAATCAACCTCGTCAAGATATCCGCAGTACGTTGCGCATGCCGACCTTCATCCCTCTCCCTCTCTTCATACATCGCTTCTCTATCCCTATAACCTCCCGAGTCCCGGGCTGTCATCGCCATCGTCGAACTACTGTAGCCCCCTCCTCCTCCTACGATCCCACCAGCCCCTCCCATACCCATCCCCATCGAGCTTAAACCTATAAGTCCACCCGCGATGAGCCCGCCACCTCCACCCTCCCGACCTCCACCACCACCACCACCACCCCCATTCCCCTCATCATCACTCTCGCCCACGCCCGAATCACCACTACTAAAATGCAGATCCAACTCTCGGAACAACAGCTGAGAAGCAACGCGGGAAAGGATATGCGGCACAAAAAGCAAGGTTTTGAGATCTCGTTTAGGCAAGAAGAGCGCGATTTCTCGCCATATTTCGATCGATATGCGTTCGAGTTGGCGAGGGGCGGGAGAGGCACCGGAGAATCCGCCGTTGGTTGATGTCGGTGAGAGGAGCTACACGACGCGACGGGATGCACAGGTGAGTATCGATAGGCGAGACACATATACGAGGATAAGAACCGCACCTTATCAATAGTCAACGACCGAGACTGAAGCAACGCCTTTGCTTCTGCGTTATCAGGGTCATGCATGAGCACAGCTTGCAAATCTAGAATGCAATCCCAACAATTCCAGTTCATCGTTAGCTTTGTCATTTTCGGCGGTGAATGGTGGAAAAGAAGGTAAATCTTTCGGTAGATGGTGGAGAAGAAAGTAAATTTTTCGGGCGATGGTGGATGAAAAGGTGATTCGTTCCGGGGAGATGGTGAAGAAAAAACCCAAGAGAATCCGAACGTCGCTTGCGAGAAGTGCGTAGCGTAAACTCGTAGCAGGGTTTGCCTACGGCTCGGCGGCCACACCCCCAAAGTCAAGGAGGAAAGAATAACAGAATAACAAGACAGGCATGCAGAGAGGGGAGTATGATGAAACCGCGATGAGCGTTGTAAACGGCGGGCGGCGGTGGCGATGACGAGGGGGGCGGGACCGATATGGTCAGAAGAAAAGAGCAGAGAGAACAGAGAGACAAAGCGTAACACAAGGGACGATGGGTGGGGAGCACAACGATGACCACGTCAAGCACTGTAGTACGACCCCACCTCGAACTCGAACGTCGTCGTCAACCACAGCGATGACCAAACAAAAAAAAAAAGCTCCCCAACCCCCACGCCCCTCTCTCCCACTCGGCAGCATCCCAAACAAACCACCACCCCAACACCAAAAACATTCCAGAATCACGCCGAAAAAACAAACGGAATGACGAGAAAGGGTCTAAAACGAGAAGCACAAGCACCCGGAGTTGATGAACAGCGACGGGCATGTGGAAGGACCACGGGGACTGGAGGAGTCTAGAGTCGGGGCGACGGGGGTATAGACGAATCTAGAAGTCGGGTGCCAGACCGCAGACCGCGCCCATTCCTCCGTCCACGTTCCACCTTTGCGCCGCCTATTCATTCGTTCGAAAAGGGAAAGAAGGAGAAGGGATGGAAGGAAGGAAGGAAGGAAGGAAAGAGAAAAAAAGTGCCGCTTTTGGATCTCTTCTTCACCGTGTCACCACGGGCTACCGCCGCAGACACCGTTAAATTTGAACTGGCCGTCGGTGAGAAAAGAGAGGCATCGCGCCTCGAAGTAGGTGCAAGCAAGAGCAGGGGAACCAAAACCACCCCAAAAGCACCAAAAGCCCACCAAAACCCCCACCCAAACCCAGTTCAAAAGAAAATCACAAAATCACAAAAACTCACCATCCTGAGCACTCAACAAATTCCCATTCGCAATCCTCGATTTAGCTCTTAACACACGTGCTTTGGCCCGGTTATCCTCCGTGAGGGTCGAGAGTTGCAGGATGGACTGGGTCGCGTTCTCGATTAACGTTCTGGTTCGGCTGTTTTTGAGTGGGTTGGGGGTTCCGTTGTGGAGTGGTTGAGGTTTGTTTGAGGGAAAAAAGAGCGACGTTAGTGACAGTTCGGGAAGGCAAAATGAGGAGAAGAAGAAGCAAGGGGGACGAAAGGCGGAGACGAAGATTTAGGGGGATTGGACGACAATCCGCTCAAAACAGAAACAACAGAACACCGCTCAAAGCAGAATAACAGAACAGAGAAGAAACGCGGAGCAACGCAGCGATAGAATTAGAAAACCGAACGTAAGAGTATACGCCCAAAAGATTGAGGAAAGTGCGCACGTAGCCATCCATCCATCCATCCATCCAGGTGCACCGCACCGTATCCATCCCACCACACAGAACCAACCAGGCCCAATCGCACCATCTAGAACCAATCCAGTCCAAAATCCAGCGCCTCTGCATGCACTAACCCCATCCAGGGTGCGCACGCATATACCCACCGACACCCCCACCGTCATCCGTCCAATCTCACCACCGTCATCTAGTCATCCTATCACCAAGACGCTGGATCTACGCGCAGATCTCATCATCCAACGGAACCAGTCCTAGTCCAGCCACACCAAGTCGAGCCCACTCTCGCCCCTCCACCGTCAACCAATAGGAAAGCAGCGTTTTGCGCCGCGGGGGAAGACGACCCAGGCTCGAAGGTGCCCAAGATGATACCCGGTTTCGCGGTAGTGAGAGGAGCGATGGCGCCCGGGTTTGGTAGTACGAGGAGGAGACGGGGGGCAGAAGAGCAGATGGGGGACGGGAATACGAGGGGAAGAAAAGGTAGACCAAAGAGACAGAAAAACGAGAAATAATCGAAAACGCGACCGCCCTCCGCCGAATCCAAATCCAAAACGCCCTCCCGAACCATCCCCACCACCAAAACCCCCAATCCAATCCAACCAAAACAAAAACGCCCCCAAACCACAAAAAAACCAAAAGTACTCACCCCTCAGGCGACATATGCCTCATCGCATACAACAACAACTCGGCTTTCTCATTATTCGATAAACAAGAGGCGATATCGCGTACTGAGGCGTCGAGGATATTGGGGTTGAAAACTTCTGGCGAGGGGCCACCGCTGCTGCTTGGCATCTTGGGAGAATTTTCGAGTTCGTATGAGCAGGTGTTGAGATTTCGTTTTTCGCAGTAGGGGCTGTTTCCAGTCGGGTGGTTGTGTTTCAGAGTTTCGGTGAAGGTGCTCGAGTTTTGGTGTCTGTCGTTTAGATCGGCGCTGTGGTTGCCCTACTGGGCGTTGTTATGCGTTATGCGCGTGCGCGTCTCTCCAGTCGAATCGTCGCAGCTCCAAACGTCCAATAACCGAAATCTCCTCGTCGTCGTCAGTGGAATATATATCTCCAAAGACCTAGAACCAGGCGTATAGCGTATAGCGTAGGCCGTTCTTGATGATTTCCCGTAACGTCCTGATCCTCGAATCCAAGCGCGAATCGGTATCCTGGTTTCGCTTGATGGATGTAGCCTTCTGTAGCCGTAACCGTATTCGCGATGTAGCGGCCGTGGTCGTACTTGTGAAGAACCTGGTTGTAGGTGTGATGTAGCCGTGTTGCTGATGCCGTATCCGTTTTGCGACGTAAATCCAGTAGTGGTGGTTGCGACGTAAATCAAGCAGTAGTGGTTGCGACGTTGCGATGCTGTTGAGACGCTTCGTAGCTCTGTACGTGTGCTCTGCTATGCTTCCCCGCGTCGCCGAGTTCTGGTCTCGAGTCTGGAACCTACAGAACGCGCGCACACGCGAGAGTGATCAGCACTCCAGAAACGAAGACGAAGACGAAGAGTAAACGACGGGAAACGAAAGCTTGAAGCGGTTCAAGAATATTTAGTAGGGGAGAACTGAAGAAGTAATATCCCGGTAGTAGGAAAGATGAAGAAGTAATAGCGTGGTAGTAGGTAGGAGAACTGAAGAAGTAATAACACAGCGGTATCAAAAAAACACTTGAAGTAGAAGCGCCGAAGCGACTCGGAGGAAGGTAGCTCCCAAACGGGTATCGGGAGAAGAAACACCTCGGAATTTAGAGAATGGGATGGGGTAAACCAGAACCAAAACCAAGGGCCCGAACCAGAACCAAAACCAAAACCAAGGGAAAGGGACCGTCCGAACACACGAACACCTAAGCACCCACGAACGCGCGAAGGGATACACGGAAGAAGAGCGAGCGATCCAGCCACCGAACGAGCAAGCGCCGGATGATCCAGGATCTAGCCACCAAAAAGCGAACGGACGGAACCAACCAACCAGCCCTAGGAACGAGCAGCTGAAAACAACAACCACGTCGCCAAAGAAGTAAAGACAAGACAAGAAAGGATCGATAGCCAGCAGTAAGCAAATGCCTCAAGTTCACTTCGCAAAACCTCCGCACGGGATAAACGGAGAAACAAGGGGGAAAAAAGAGCTAAACGGCAAAGTGCGAGAACAGACAAGAAAACGAGGGCAAAGGATGGAAAAAGGAAATTTGCGATCCGATTACGGGTCGTGGTGGAATGAGGAAGGAGGGGCGGCAGGAGGGGTGGAAAGGTGGACAAGAAACGAGGGGATGTGTTTATGCAACCCTATACGTTCGTGCCTCCCAGTGTGACGAAGACACTGCCCAAAACAAGAACAAGAACAAGACCACCAAAAAAACCCCAACACAAAAAAGCCCAAAAAATCGAAGAAAAGAAATAACACCGCGGGGGTACTCACCCTACTCCCAACAAAATCTATTTATCCAGGTAGATCTCTATCCTGCCTTCAAGACTCTCGAGTGTCGAGTGTCGAGTCTAGTCTCTTCGCTCCTCCTACGATGCACCGAGAGTATCCTTCAACTATTCTTCTTCTTTCTCCTTTGAATGCCCCCGGTCCCGTCCACCGGACTGATGTGTACGTAGATCCTTGTTGAAAGAGACGTCCGTGCGCGCGGAGACGTGGTATGTATAACCTCCTCGTTCCAAAGGCACCGAGGGACCGAGAGGTTGGGGCGAGTTGCCAGTCGTCTGTAGAGTAACCCGTTTGCTTGTGCGTGTGCCTGCGGGGGCTGGCCGTTTGTCGAGAGTAAGGCGGGGTGATGTGAGGTCGAGCGAGGTAGTAATTGTGGATGTGGTGAGAGTCGCAGCCCTGTACTGTGTGTAGGTAGACCCAAGCAGTCGGCCCGCGTCTCTAACTCTCTGGCTGGCAGCCTGCGAGAAAAAGAAGCTGTCGAGTGGTGTAATAGAGGATGGTGGTGGTCCAGACCAGCCTTGGTGTTACGCCTTGCTGCACGTATCTCCTTGGCCTTATCACAACGACCGAAACGCTGTAAGAAAGAACAAGATTAGAAAAAAGTCCAGCGTATCCAAACTCGGGTCTTGTGTACCTAGTAGACGGACGGACGTGCCTAGCTTCAAAGTCTGTCCCCCAATCCTGAAGCGATGCGTTGTCCAAGTCCAAACGAGAGCTTGAAACCGTTGTCGAGGATGAAACGTTGTTAACCAGTCTGTCGATCCCGCTACTCGCTTCCCCCTCGGGTTCCTAGCTATTTCTCTTCCTATTCGCCTCTCCCTATTCGCCTACTCCTGTTCGTTCCTGTAGTTCGCCTCCGCGTTCCTGTCCCTGGAACAGTGACCAACAATCCCTACAGACAAGAGATGTTGTCGAAGTTTTGTCGAAGCGTCGTCCAAGTACGGATGAACGTCGAAAGCGTCGTCGAAGAACGGATGAACGAGTGCGAAGAATGGACGACTCGAATGAATGAATGAACGTGCAGCTACGCGAGTCCGGTGACGACACGCAGAACGCAAAAGTGATGATGGTAACGAACCAAGCCGTTCAGGGCACACACACTCCTCAGCTCAGTGCAAGTGAGGCTGGCCAATGACAATGCTGCACACAAAATCCGTCGCCGCGCCGCACCATCACTCACTCCCATCAAATCCCCATCAAATCGTTCCCGCGCACCTTCCATCAACCTTCCATCGTGAATCCTCTCTCCTCCTGCTCAATTGCCAAGCGAATCTATCCACTGCTCTTCGACACCCCATGGGAGTCTCAGAACTGTTTGGAGTCCCATCCGAGCGTGCCGCGACGCTGCCGTCAGACCCAACGACAGCTGTCCAATGTCAATCCACGAACGCGTTCCAGCCCACGTTCTCGTCCGACCTAGTGCCCTGACTTCACTGATACCTCGAGTCTATTTTTGATGCTGGATGCCCTTTCCTGTCATTGGATGGGAAACATGAGGAGGAGGAGGGTGAGTCATGCTTCACGTGGAAGGGGATCTCAGATCTTCAGTGAAGGGACGAGATAAGATTAGATGAGTTCTGCAGATGCGATGGACGAATCGGAGGACGGGATTGGCTGTACGGGTCAGTACCGCCTGAGGCCGGTGGGCGCTTGTTTCGCCTTTCGAGCGGCGAGCGCTGATCATGTCGTCTAATGCGCGGGCCTTTAGCGAGTGTGTGGAAGTTGGGAGATAAAGCATGACTGTGAGGAAAGTCCGTTGTATGTCTGTGCGCTCACGAAGCAAGCTGCTACGAAGTTGGAGTTGGGATTCACAGGCGCTAGGACTCCCAAGACATCACGCAGTGAGGTAAGGTAAGCAAGTATGGGTATGGGTATGAAGATGAGTGGTACGATGGCAATTGTTTTCGCCGAGCCGACCGACTGGTTTCCGGCGGTACGTATCCACCACTGCTGAGCGTTAAATCCTTCTGATCGTTGCATGTCCCTGAACTTCAGTTAACTTCATTAAATCCCTCCGAGTACTAACACTACCAGCGGCCTCCCACCCAGTGTGCACGAGTGACGCGATTGAAAACCGTGAAGCTTAAAATCCTCGGATTGTCCCTCAGGTTGAGTCCAGGCCTTATCACCACGATCCCCACTCCTCGTTGCAGCCTCCTTTACGAACGACACACTACAGAACACTACTACCAACTCGTTCTAGACAAAAGAGGACTAGTAGCTCAGTCCGGACCCTGATAGACTTGGGATAAAGTTAAGATAGAGTTCTCGATTTCTCATGTGTCAGCTCTGAAGGCCTGAGAATTCACGTTACACGTTACAGTTAGAACTTAGATTGGGGGTCTACTGTGAATATGTAGTACTACTGTACACTCATGATAGCCCTGACTACTCGTGATACATCTGAGGGTTCAAACGTCCACTCTGCGCGAGGCGCGTTGATTAAGGCGATGAAAAACGCCTACGAATTCCACCTCAAGACTCGTACAAATTAGCCTTCGGGCTCCGGGACGAACAGTAGTACATAAGTAAATACGCTCCCAACCCACACCGTGCCTGTCACGCCGTCTCACCAAGATAAGGGCAAGGTACGCCAAAGAAAGACAAAACAAGCACTAGTGACACGCGCTCCATAGTGAGAGATTACCAGATCTCTTCTGCTTCAAGGCATTACTCGAAAGTCGAAGAGTGGAAGGTCGACTTGGCAAAACATTCCAGATGTACGACGTACCCACCTACCCATTGGCAATTTTTCCAATGACCATGGGCCGTAGCGCATATATATATTATCTACTTCCGGAAATAGCACTTCTCAGCAAAGCGACTCGATCTGCCACTCGATATTCGAGGGGTGTGCTACTAGTACTGTAACCAGCGTCGCAACTTGAACATGAGCAATGACAACAGCAACCCCTTCGTGCTAAAAGCCAGGACATAGTAGCTATTCAAGATCCCAAAAAACCAGCCTTTCCTCGATCCACAGCGACCCAAAGTCGTTCAATCCACCACAAACGAACGCCCAAACCCTAAAGCAAAAGAAGCGCCCAGAGTTCCAAAATCCGCGCACTCCGACTGGCCCAAGCCCCCACCTGCCTCTTATAGAAATTCGAGCCCACGAAGGCAATTCTCCCGGAAGGACCCGTGATCGCGTCCCTTCGTCCGCCACGCAAAACCGTCCCTCGTCAACGTCGTTCCCCTCGCTCTCCAAAAGCCCTTCGTCGTCGTCGTGCGTACCCTCAGCCCAACGTTCACCCAAGCCTACGCAAAGACTTACTGACGAAAACCTTTCGTTGTTGTTCCTGCTAATAGAAAGACCAGAAAAGCAAGCAACCATGAGCGGCCTCGCATCGTTCTTCTCCTCCCTCGTTTCGTCCAGCACCAGCGCCCCGGTCGTCCACAACGACTCTGACAAGGAGGTCGACGCTGAGGTTGAGGTTGTCGAGCAGGAGGAAGAGGAGGAGGAGCCTGAGGATGTACGTCGTCTTCCCGTCCCAAATTGTTTTACGTTGTCGCCTTTTCCGCCTCGCCATTCCGTTCCCTCTTCCTCCCTCAACTAACATTCAATACCCGTACAGGTCCACCCTGCCATCCGCGAAGAGTGCAAGGAACAAAAATGTGCTCAGCTGGCCAAGCATTTTGAGGCGTGCCAGGAGAAGGTGAACGCTGGTGAGGGTTTCAAGGGCGAGGACTGTGTTGAGGAGATGTACGTTTTACTCCTGTTTTGCTTTTTGCTTCATTACACGTTGACTGACTGACTGTCCGACTACCTACTACTCTCTAGGTGTACGTACCCATTATGATGGTGTTTACCCGAAGCCTCGTGTCTCACTGACCTGCCTTGACCGGTTACCCCTTCGTCCGTTGGGTTGATTTCGGGTTATAGTCCAGTACGTTTCTTAATGGTCTTCGTTTGTCGTAACCAGAATGCTAATCCTCGCTCGCAGCATGATGCACTGCATAGATGTATGTCAACGTTCCCTTCCTCGATGTACCCCATCGCCTGCTCCTCTATTCCGGCCCGCCTTCCTTCCTTTTCCTCCTATCCAGCCCTCCTTTTCCCGCCCTTCCCTCGCCCTACCTCGAACCCTGTACTGACCCACCCCTTCCCTACAGGAATGCGCCGCCCCCAAGCTCTTCGCCAAGCTCCGCTAAACAGCCCTCCACCACGGGCCTCTCTGGGAGCTCCTCGGTTCTTTCGTACGTCCTTCCTCTTTCCTTCGCTCCTCTGACGCATCCCTTCTAATCTCTACCCCTTGTTGCATACATATCCTTATGTAGGTAGAACATTGGACCAACCTCTCGCGCGTACACTCTACACCCGGCCCGACATCTAGGCTACAACCCACTACTTACACCTAGTCGTTTGCTTGTGTGGATGTATGCACACCCCCCTCTCTAATTAGAAGAAACCTGGTTTTTTTAATTATACATCTTTTTTCTTTCGTTCTTTCCTTGTTTTCCCCTTTCGTGCTCTGCGTGTGCTCAGTGATCTCCGACTTCCGGGCAGCCTCATCCTCCTGCATACCACCGGTACCCCCAACCTCCCTCCCACCCTGGTGCCCATGTTCGATACGGAGGATGGAGATAGGGACGACAAATCGGAGATGGCCTCAGTTGAGTTGCACATATAATCAGGAGGGTGTACGCCTCAACGGTACCGTTACCACCGACCTCCCAAGTCCCTCTGGTAGGTATCATACGTACATGTGGCTGTCTGGGTCAGAGTCGATACTACCAGAGGAGTCAGTGTCTGTGTCGAAGCATCATGCATCAACCACCATGTTCCAATCGTCGTCTTCGCCACGCACACCGAGGTACGACCCGCTGAGGAACGGCAGGTTTCGAAGGAGGGGGGTGGGACGTTGAGGGGGAGATTGGGGTGTCCTTACTATAGCTAGCCGTTGACTTGGACCTCGGTTCTGAGAGGTGTCGAGCAGGAGGACTGCATCGGGAGACGGGTGGTGCCATTGCATCAATCCGAGTCGAGATCTGGAGAATTCTCCCCAGGGAAACTCGATCTTCTGAATTCTGGGGGCCATTGAGGGTCTTCGCGATTTGTGGGCGTTCTAGCGTGTAGAGAGGGAACAGTCACGCGGTGTAGCTATAGTCTTATGCAGTTCCTTGGTAGGATATAGCAGAAAATAAATCAATGAAGAGGTTTGTACATTCCGTTCCATACTAGGGTTCATTACATGCAATGTATCCATCCATCCAAGGGTTCGTACGTACACTAAACCTCGTACAAGGTCATACACAAAGTATTACACCGACGAGTCATTACACTGTGACGTTCCACGTGGGGTATCGATATCGGTGGAGGAAACAGCAAGGGTATAAGTAGATGAGGAATTAATAATAGTTAATCCTGAGTGAAGCGGTTGAACCATCCGACGATGCTGTTAGCGGAGGTGTTCTTGGCCCAGGCTACAGAGAAGAGACGTCAGCCACGATACTCCAGGAAAGGTCAAAGATAACGAAGGCATAGAAGACGTACCGGCATTCTCGTCCTCCAAATCAGCACGAGTAGCAAAGCCGTGCTCGGTACCAGAGAAGACTTGCAAGTGGTGCATGGCGCTGATATCGGAGAGGATTTCCATCATGCGGTTGCGCGAGCTGGTGGGGAAGGTCATGTCGGTTTCGGCGCAGGATGCGAAGAGGGGTTCTATGAAGGGTAGGGGTTAGGTATGAGAAGAACACAGGAGCATTGTCTTGCGACTTACGAGTAACGTTGTAGAAGTGCCCCTCGGTCAACATCGCAGGTTGGGCAAAGGCGGAAGCCAAGATGTCGGGTGTAGCAGCGGCTTCGAGGGCGTAGGGGGCACCGAAGCAGTAGCCCACGGCGACGTATTTGGTGTCGTTGGCTACAAGCAAATCGAAGTAAGCCTTTGAACTACGAAATGTCAGGTGACATAGGGCGTACGGAAGATAGCTCGAACGGCAGCGTTCCAAGCTGGGACATATGGGTCAGCACGGTCCTTAGCCCAGTAGACCCAATCCTCGATCTCCTGAGGGGTGGTGAGGTTCTGATTCTGCGCGGGGTCACCGAAGAAGTAATCCAGTCCAAGGACGTAGTATCCTATCAAAATGTCCACATCAGATACAACTCAGATACACGTTGAAATGGATTGAAACTCACCCTGGTCAGCGAACCAATCCTGGAGGATAAAGTTGTTGGGGAAGAACGCGCTATACACGTCCGAGTAGAAGAGCAACACCTTCCGGGGGCCGGTGGGGGGCGGACCAGACGGCCTAGCATAGTACGTATGCACGCCGGCGATGGTGACGTTCCACCCCTTGGCCATACCCTCGTACTCGGTGCCCTCGAGGCAGTCCTTGTCCACGGTGGAGGCGAGGACGGGGTCGTTCGGGTCGTGCGGCTGGTGGTCGTGCCCGTGGTGCCCGTGCCCGTGTCCACCGTGGCCTCCTCCACCGCCGCCGTGTTGACGGACTTCGAGGAGGTTCTCGATTGAGAGAGGGCGGATGTCGGGGATTGAGGCGGAGAGGGAGGAGAGAGGGGAGGAGAAGGCCAGGAGGGCGACGAAGAGTTTTGTGAATGTGAGTTTGGCCATTGTGGAATACGGTGAGAGAGGAAGAGGGAGAGGAAGAGGAGGAGAAGAGGGAACTGGAGGAGTAGGAGGAGTAGGAAGTCCGAGAGAGACCTGGGGAATAACTCAACGAGTTCGAGTCGTATTTAAACGCGCCAAACACACAGTTACGCGCGCCGCGCGCGTCTCGTCGGCCTCCCCACTCCACATTGAAGGTACACAGGCGTACACTGACACCCACCGTTCCTGGGCCTCCATCAACGGCACATTGCGTTTTACGGCAGCGCGCGTTGGGTGGGTGCGGAGTTCCAGACCAACCTTGGTCCTTGGACCAAGCGCCGCCAACCGCCTGCAGCCAGCCGACATGCTGCTCTTGGTTCTCAGCAGTCTCAGCACTGCAGTCCCAGCGCCAAGGGCTACATATCGTCTCGCTTAGAGAGAATTTAAAAATAGACGTGGAAGTGTGCGACGCTCGGGTGGATGTGTGGGCTCCTTTTTGAGACTAGCTCGCGATGCCCAGACTCCACATATCCGTCGGTCGGGTACATACTACTATTTGCTAGCCCACATAACTTATAAGTTGAGTCGTGTACCAGTGTGTCGCCAGGATGACCCTTCTTCTCGATACGTTTCCTCCTAAGTACATAACTTCTGGAAATGATCCTACAACTTGAACTTACTAGGCGACGTTTGAAGGATCGAGAGGGTTGAGTTGCTTGATTGCCGGTATATTTGCCGCAGGAGGGGAGGGGGAGGGATCAGTCGGTTTGACAGTTGCGCCACCCTCGCGTACCTTGTAGGTAGGTGGGTAACTTAGGCGAGAAACGACCTGGAGTTGATCGGTTGAGTACGAAGCGCTAAGCGCTTGTGTGCGAAATTCGCGACTGGAGTGGACTGTGGAGGCACGTGCGCGCTTGCTGTCCGGTGCCTAGAGATCAGGATCGCATGCGGTATGTACTTGGCGGAGTAAGTCAATTGAATAGGGTAAGCAAGAGTGATTGACTGTCTTTCTTATCTTCTGCCTGGGTCGCGAGGCTAAGGGCTAAGTATGTACTACTAGTATATGGCGTAGGGTCTCAGGTGCATACAAGATACATATACGTACTCCACCAGCACCTTATAGAAGTCTTCCAGGGTCGAGCCGCTGGGCATTGACATGCCTCCTCGAACTGACTGAAATAAGCACTACCACAGCAAACCCTTCCTCGGTTCACCCTCTGAGCTGTAGAACCTGGCACTACGAAGCAAAGATTGGGAAGTCACCCACCGGACCATTCAACAATCCAGCACGGAGTGCCTATGTATCTCTATGTCCTCACGTCCACCGCTAACACCTCCTTTCGTCTCTTAATTGCTATCGATATGAAAATTCCACAACGAGTGGTCTACGCAAAGTCGTAGACGGTAGGAGCTCGACTTCAAGATCGCGCCACCAATTATCCATATATGTGCATCGGTAAGGCTGGAGCACCGGAGGTGAATATATATGCCTCGCCTTTGCTTTTCTCAACATTGAAGAGATGCTCGACGAGAGGACTACATAACATGGACCGCTTGCCACGAAGTTCCCCTGAAGAGGTAGTTTGCTCGCATTCACTCCTCTGAATACTTGTATCGCCCGTCCACCACTTCTACTCTACAGACCATATATATAGTATATATATAGTACTTACCCAGGACTGGTCACCTTCCCCATTGAATTCACCCCACGAGGCCTCCCCACCACACCTATTTGGATGAGACAAAAATAAGCGCCCGGGCCTTGGCTCAAATTCGAAGGGTTGCGGTAAATGAAATCCGCGGTCTTCGCTTCATGAAGGTAGTACATATTCGAACGCGGGGGGTTGAGGTCCTTCAAGTCCAGCCTTTCTCTCTCACACACCATTTCTGCTATCTAGCCACATTTCACAATAACAATCGTATAATTGTAATGAACCTCCTCGCTTTCCTCTCAACATCACTTCTCCTACTCCCTCTCCACACCCTCGCCTCTCAGAGCGCCCAAGTCCCTATACCTGGTGCAACGCAGGCCGAGAACACTTACGTCTCTCGTATCCACCCATCCGCAGCAGTCTGGAAGAAGTGCATCGACGTGCGCGGAGGGGAGTTGGAATTGCGGACTCCAATTCAGGTGTACGTGTAACGTTGTTCCATCCGGCGCTCTCAATGTTTAACATATATACCAGATACGATTGCAACGGCACTCCCGCGCAAGCATGGGTTTACGACGGTCGTACCTTACACGGGACTCTCCTGAGGGTTTCTGGAACGCCTTACTGCCTCGATGCTGGTGATCGTAAGTCACTTTCTCAGCCTTTGCTCACCTCTCATTTCGGACCAATATTCTACTTACTGACTCCCCTTTAACGATCCGCTCAGCCCCTTTCACCAACGGGAAGAAAGTCCACCTCTGGGAGTGTATTCACGGTATCCCAGCGCAGATCTGGAGGTATGACTACACCGGCCGCTGGTATCTCGGAGACTCTGGTACGTTTCCTTCAGCGTGCTACTCTGAATCGTCGGACTATCGGATGGGAGGGTTGAATCTGATACTTTGGTTTTGTGTATATAGGGTACTGCCTTGACCTTACAGATGGCAAACTTGATAACGGAAACCAACTCCAAATCTGGGAGTGCAATGACGGGCCTAACCAGAAGTGGATTATCGACTTGTGAACAAACTCGGGCTCAGATCCAGAATCGGTTTGGAATGAATTTCGAATTGTACATCCATCTTGTCATTTCATCTTGTATTTCCATCTAGCGTTACTTCATCCGATGTTTAACACGAGCTTTACACACATATCTACTCAGAAGAACGCAATAGGGTTCGTCTCATCACCCGTAATCTCTTGCAACACATCCCAGTGCTCAACAATACACGTCCCCTCAAACCTAAAGTAATCCATAACGGCATACGTGATATCCGGCAGCGTCAACTTGTAGTGCAAAAAGCCGTATCCCTGACCAGCGAATGCGGTTGTGTGCGTAGTCGTAATTGACGGGTCGGAATCGAAGCTTCCCTGGAGGAAGTCGATCGCGGCTTGACGGCCCTGTCCGGAGTAGGGGTTGTGTTGGATGTATTGTCTGGGACCAGGTGCATCGTGGTCAGAATAAGGGAGGGAGGGAGTTGATGACCGTGTAAACGTGCACTCACCCTGGTACCCAACGATCAAACGCGGCCTGGACGTCGTGCTCGACGAGGTAGAGGTGCGCGAAATCGGCGACAGCGGCTTGCTGCATAGCTTGGAGGTGGGGTCCGCTTGCGTTGGGATTGCAGACGGTTGGAGGCCAGTTGCCGTGACCGTGGCCATTGCCATTGCCATTGCCGTTGCCGTTCCCGTTACCGCGCCCTGGCAGGGCAAAGGCAGCAGCGGCGAGCGTAAGGGTCGTGAAAGCAGAGAGCAATCGCATGATGTACCGGAGTGGATCTCTTGGAGGCTCTGGGAGGAAGTCGTATGTAGAAGACGATCAGGTGTCTTAACCGTCCTAGCACCCAACGCGGAGACCTTTTATACCCCTCTTTACATCGCCCACAGCCGTAAACGCGCCCTGAATACCAATATCCAGCGAACCCATCGGAAAGTGGGCTCCAACGAATCAAACGAGGCACAGCTGTAATGACTCCAAAACAAGCATGAAGTGCCATTAACCAGTACCGGCAGAGTTCACCCCGCACAACCCGTGTCAGGAACTTTGCATATAGAGACATATCACTGGCCGAGGGTACAAGCAGATTCTGTAAGAGATGCTGTAATATGGGGTTCCCAGGCAAAGAAACTGCGGTGATGAAGCGCCTCGAGGAAGGCGTGAGGTTATTGTAGTGCGGGGAGCCCATGTAATCGGAGCGCCCGTTGTCAAATGGTTGTAGGTCCAGTTATGGTCCAAAGGTGTCATGCGTCAGGATAAATGAGAGCTTGTGGGTGAGGGGTGCAAGGAACGAGGGGATTGCGTGTTCCTATCGGAAGAATGGTTGCGAAAATCCCGGAAGTCGGATCTCAGACTCGAGGAATACGTTCTGACCCCAAGTTTCTCCCAAGTGTGCGTTCACGAGTCGAGGACAGAGTCGATGCTTGAAACTTGAAAGGAGAGGGAACGCGCTCTGTTTGCCAATGGCTTTGATGCCTAATTCGGCAATTGCCGAGTCGCAACAATGACGCTGGGCTTGGTCATCCACGGCGGCAAGCGCACCACCATGCGTTGTATCAGAATTGCGAATCCAAACGATATATAAACCTCACCAGCCTGATTTTCGAAGCCATGCTAGGCCGCCTGAAGTCTCTTCTCAGTCTCTCTGGCCCCGTCATCGACCCATCCAAATTCCGTGCATCCATGTCGACCGGTATGATTTCTGGAATGCTCAGCGGACAGTCGTACTGATCCAGCCATACCTTTTAGCGTCTGGACAACCTGAAATTGCGACGTTTGCCTCTGGGTGCTTCTGGGGTGTCGAACACATCTTCTTGAAGCACTTCCCTCCCTCTGAGAATAAGGGAATTCTCAAAACCGCTGTCGGTTACACGGGAGGAAAGGAAACTGCTTCGAATCCGGACTACAAGAGCGTTTGCTCGGGGTCAACTGGACATGCTGAAGCTGTCCGGATAGAATTCGACCCCTCTATCGTTTCTTATGACCAGCTCGTTGGTATGTGTCTCTTCTTCCCTCTGTCTTCCAGGACCTGACTGTCCGTGTAGAGTTCTTCTACCGAACGCACGACCCAACGACCCTAAACCGCCAGGGAGCTGATACAGGCACCCGTACGTATCCATCTACCCCGGGTACTCCCTCCGCGCACTGACCACCTCCCCATACGCAGAGTACCGCTCCGCCATCTTCACACATTCGCAAACGCAAGAGGAGATTGCGAAACGCGTGACGGAGGAAGTCCAGCAGAAGCACTTTACGCCGATAGGGAAGAAGATCGTCACCGAGATTCTCCCCGCGGGCAAGTGGTGGGATGCGGAGGATTACCACCAGCTCTACCTCTTCAAGAACCCGAGCGGCTATCAGTGCCCAACCCACCGACTGCATTGGTGACCACCATCCTAATCGTTGTATGTATATTAGTGTATTATTAGTTCATTTTTCGGGGAATCCAACTATCCAAAAGGAAAAGACGTCATTAAGCTAACGAACTGCGATTATACAGGAATGATTTATCTTCGCAGAGCAGCTAGGACCTTGTCTCGCACGATATCCTCCAACTTGACCGCGTCCGCACTGAACTTTTCCAGTCCCTCAGAAACTTTGTCCAAGACAATCCTCTCGGTTTTGCTGTTCTTCAACGTGCTCTCGTAAAGGCTGGTCGTCGATCCCAGGCGCGCCTCGAAATATATGGGTTCCGTATCTTCATCGACCTCCGTTTCTTGTGATCGCATCTTCGGCACCGTCGGGGATTTGGCAGGGAAGGTCCACGACCTCAATCCAGCGAGCAGCTCCGGAGGGATAGTGACGAGGTCCGCAGCCAGGAAAGTCCCCCGCTTCCAGCCCTTCATCGAATCGGGTACCACCTCAAACGCCTCGTCCGGTCGTCCCAAACCAGCCGCCATCGCCAACACTTCTTCAGGCTTCCTGAACCCAGCTGCCATCACCTCCGTCTTCCCCTTGTACCCATACCTTGCATAGGCGCGTTGGATCGAAGAAACGAGCGCCATACCCGGGTGAGGGTCGCGTTCGGTCAGAGAGAAGCCCTGTGCATCCCACCAGTCCTTCACTCGACCGACGAAAGGAGAGATCACGCTGAGGCCCGCCTGGGCACACGCGAGAGCCTGAGCACGGCCAAAGATGAGTGTGATATTGGTGTATATCGGTTCTGAGCCGTCCGTTGGGTGTTCGAGGGTATGAGCAGCCGAGATGCCTTCTGGCGTTCCGGGGATTTTGACGAGGATCCGAGAGCGGGGGATGGAGTTCTCCTCGAAGAGGGAGATGATGGTGCGGGCTTGGGAGAGGATGGCGGGGATCGAGTAGCCCGTTCGTGGGTCGACGGAAGCGGAGACGCGGCCTGGGATGATAGACAATATCTGCACGCCTACAAGGACGAGCTACGTTTTGTCTCGGTATTAGCCACAGAGTGTGCAACTGAAAATTTGATTCAGACGTACCAGTTTGAGCAATGCCAGCGTAGTCCTCTCTTCCTCGTTCAGGTCTCCGCCTTTCTTGACCGAGTAATCCACAGCTTCGTCAATGAGATGCGCATATTCAGGTTTGCTGACCGCAGCGAGAACGAGAGAAGGGTTGGAGGTCGCGTCGAGAGGATCGAATTCAGCGATTCGGTTGTATTCCGCTCCATCGGAGGCAATGAGAATGCCGGATCGCCGAACGTAATCGAGACCAGTAGTTATCGAGTCTGGGGCATTGTTCAAGGACGGTGTGAGGAGAGCGGGCATCGTTGCAGTGTTGCCTGGAAGTCAATACGTGTAGCAGTGGAAGATTCGGAAATGGACTATGTATATCCTTAGGGAACGAAAATCAACGGCTGGGGTAACGGAATATGACCAATCGAATGAGGTGGCGTGACGGAAGACCGCTGTTCTGATCAAGCAGGCGAGTCACGGCGCGTGGAGCAGGACAAAGTTTGAGGGGAAGAGGTTATACTAAAGTGAAAAGCGGGCGAAAGGAGATCTTATATACTAAGCTTACACTCCGATGCACGTTTCTCTCCCTCGCAATCTGATCGACATTCTGTGATGTCTGGGGTTATGGAACCCTATCCGATATCTACCGTTAGGAGGTGACCAGTCACGCAAGGGAAGGTCTGCTTCCAGCCCCAGGCCATGCATGAATGACAGATTCTTTACTCAAAAAGGCGTAATGGAAAGTCACAAGTCGGAGGTGGTCGGTAAAGGAGAATCAGGCAATTGATATAGAAGTTACTGCATAAGTATTGTCATCTACAATCATGAGCTGATAATGGCGAGTACCAGTTGATTGCGCCATATGTTCGAATGTCCAAAGCAAAGTCCAAGCCGGAAACGATGCGGAAAGTCTGATGTACAAAGGGAGTGCCCAAAGATCCGGGCGGGCGGTCAAAAACTCAATCAAGAACTTGGAACAGAGTTCTTTCGAAGTTTTCGCTTCCAAGGAGGGACTCCAGTTTGCGTCATAGAGTGAAGATAGCCTTATTTAAACAACGATATTTTGATGTTTGGCTGAAGGAATTCTGCGGGCCACCGTCGAGGAACCATCCAACGCGTTGATCGCACCGGATTCAGACCCGATCGCGATTCGATGCTTCGACTTTGATTGGCGCCCAAGGAGCATGATCCTCTATGCGCGCCTATGCAAGAACCACACCGTGACTCTGGTCCCTGCAGGGCAAAAGTCCGATTATCATTACGTCTTTACACCTAGTAGCAACCCGAGTCCAACCGGCTGGGATCACGTGTCCTCAGGTTCAGAACCAAAGGTGACGACCTCTAAGGTTGTCTTGTACTAGTTAAGTACTTAATAGTCAACTACGTATCGCAACAACCTGCGAAGAGCACCCTTCGCTCACACCATGGAAATCAAGTTAACACGAAAGAAATTCATATATCGCAAGTACCGCACAGAGTAAGTGAACCACGGCATACAGGCATAGCTCGTTAACTGGCGCCTTACATGTACAGATGTGACAAGGCGTATCCAGCGACGTTTGAACTGGGCGAGGAGGACAAGATGACAAGTCTGCGGCCGATTGTTGTACCAGGCTTAACCATCCCAGTTCCGCTTTACCACGCCGGCTTTCCCGTTTCCCGACAGTACATTTTCAAACGCCAGTTGCGTGAGGACGACAAGATTGAGGACTTCCAGGGGATTGTTAATCAAGCGACGGATAGGTGGCTAGCCCAGGGGAAACCGTGAGTGTTTTACCTATTCGATTGCCGGCGAATTCAGTGCTGAATACTGTTTGCTTTACTTTTGTCGTGACACACGCTGACTGCCCTACCCATAGGCGACCATTTTACTCCGCCCGCCTGTGCTTCCTGCCCACATGTGACTACTTGATTACGTTTGCCTCCTCCCTATCTGCACCTAGCGACTTGGAGATGTTTGTTAAACATCCACATGAGATCCTAGATCGCTACTTGGGGCTTATGAAATTCACCGAGGAAGAGAAGGAGTTTATTAAGACGAGGGGGCTGTTCAAGTGGTATAGGGACCTTTGCACGGGGGAGGAAGAGTCTCCGCTGCCTGAAGACGCTTGTCTGCGCACTGGATCACTCAATCCTGACGACCGGGACGAGTATGACTAGATATCCATGTACTTGACGTTACCAGCCGGGGTGCTCGACTTTCACTCACGTACTACACTAGTGGGCTGCGGGCCGTTAAACGGCATACAACCGAGGCCTGTTGGGACAAAATGCCCCAAAACCAACAAAAGAAAAATCCGCAACACCGAGAGTCGAACCCTCGACCTCACCGGACATCACGTGGCCTTAAGGTTGTCGAGAATGGCGCGAAACCCCGCGCAAAAGAACCCGAGTCCCAACAGGCCTCGGAATCTGATTCTCTGTTCGCGCGTTTTGGAGTTTGGCACCGCGTGAAGAACGCGAAAAAACATTTGCCGCAGAGCATCGTTGTTTAATGCATTGTTACTGATGAATAGGCGACGTCCTGATTGCGTTCGCCTCATCCGTGCCCGCACAAAGCGACTTTGAGATGCTTGCTAAACATCCGCATGAGATCCTCAATCGCTATCTGGAACTTATGAAGTTCATAGAGAAGGAGGAGCTTATTAAGGCGAAGGGGGCTGTTCAAGTGGTACAAGGACCTTGTCTCGGGGAAGGACTACCTTACCTGCCTGAAACCGCTTGTCTGCGCGCACTGGATCACTCAATCCTGACGACCGGGAAGAGCAGTCGTGTATGTACTTGACGTTACCAGCTGGGCGAGAACAAGGACGTACTGCACGCAGCACAGGTGAGTCGTGACAGGTGTTAGCGGATGGGAATACTTATATTCCGAATTATGGCATGGGCCGGTGGACTTCGCGCGATGGGCGCTGTACACGAACACCTGCTTGAGCTCCAGGCAGACACGCTGCCTCCGAATCAGACTTAATTGAGACTTCAAGTTTTCCATTGTTCGTCGGAAAAGGATACAGATCCGTGGGGGGACTGTTAAAGAAGACTTCAAAAGAACAATGGAGTTAAACCCGAGCGGTTTTCGCTTCATTTGGTCCAGTTCACGTCATAACAGTAAAGATATATAGCAACAACCTCAGTATTTTGATGTTTGCTTGAAGGAATTCTGCAGGCCACCGTTGAGGAAACGGAACTGCCATTGCGATTAGATGTTTTGACTTTGAATGGCGCCCGACAGAACCTCAGCGCTCAGCTTCGGTGCGCCTAACCACACCAATCAATTCCTGCAGGGCAAAAAGTCCGATTATGTGCCTACACCTAGTAGCGCTGCTAAAAGATAATAGAATACAGTAGTGATACAACATGTGCAGTGAGAACCGGTAATGCGAATTAAAAGTACAAATGATCGTAGTGCGTGGCTGGGACGTCGTGGTGCAGTGGATATATAGTCAAGGAAGGGGGGTATACTGATGAGTGATGAAGGAAATCGCCTGCGATAGGCTAGCTCAGATGCGGAAAGGCGAATGAGTGGAGGAATAGATAACGAATTCGAAGTGTAGTGGGGTGGTAAACCTTAGACAGCGATTCCAACCTTGGTTTCTTCTGAAGGTGAATAGACATGCCACTTCTATATTAATAGACGGACTGTCAGCTGCTGCAAGTACGGTTCACCTAAGGATGTCAACTCACGATAGGAGCTCGGATGGGCATCGGCTCTGAGATCTGAGGTACCGGGCTGAGAGGTGGAGGGCTCCAGAAGCTGGACGTGTATTTCTTCCTAAAAGTGGGCATGCTGGTCAAGTGGCTGTCTTTCTCGCTTGTAGGACTTGTGAGCTCGTTCTGAGTTCGCTCTCGGGCGTTTAGCATTGCGAGGAAGGAGCCGACGTAGACTGTAGCGGAGGTGAGCGTTAGAACGCCTGTAGATCAGGGAATATATAACGTACATTTCGTCAACAGGAACTCCAGACCGAGGAAAACGAAGGTGTTCGGAAGAAGGATGTAGCAGAACATCGTGGATAGGGAGCAGGCGCTACGACAGTGTCAATTGTGATGTGATGTGATGAGCAATACCAAAGGACGTACCTCGTCAAGAGACCAGAGCTCAAGGTGTACTGAGTGACCACCGAGATACGCGAGTTGAGGCTGTTGTAAGCGTAACTTGGATCAGCGTTCAAGAAATCATCCCTCAGTTAGAGGCACCGACTCACCGAGGTCCATTTCCAAGGCTCTTCCTCAGGTAGTAGCACATGGCAGCGGTGATAAAGAAGTCGATTGCTGTTGAAGTGCCGAGTCCCGCTGTGATGATCCACTGCAACCGTAACATTAGAGGTGAGCTTCTCCCTACTATTGGACCGGAAGGAAGCCCAGGCTTACCGCGATCCCATCCAATTCCGAGTACAGTTTCACAGTGAATCTGTTGGATTCGGGTGTATGTCAGAACCGATTTTGAGGAACAAACGTGGCTGTTTACGAACACTTTATAAGCAAGGACTAAAAATGAGATTAGAACCATTCGTGCTATTTGGAACTTGGGTGATACTTACCAATGCCTATTCCCGCAGCGCCTGCGACCACAAGTATCTGGATATTGGGAATGCCGTTAGATAGTGACTGGAATGACGAAAGGAAAGCTTCGCACCGTTATGTAGCCAAGGACACCACGATGGTAACCACTGACTGGAAGACGCTGAGAATGCGATAAACGAAGGACAAGGCTGCGACTTACGCTTCCAAACACGATGTGCGTAAAGTCTAGAGGCATCGATTAGTCGCTGCATTGGATGAACGCGTGATTTGGACGACTCACGAATGGACCATGACAATTATGATGACATTAATAGCGACTTGGAGTTGAATTGACCTTTTAGCCTCGTGTTAGTTTTAGTGCTGAGGTGTGTCGATGAAAGGGCACACCATTGAATCTTCATCAGGCCAAGACGATTGCCAAATCCCGTCACCGCGTACATATAGACCGAATGTATCGCCAATGCAAAGTGAAAAGCATCGAGCGTCCTAGAAGACATAAGCCCCGTGTTTCCGACAGCGAAACCAGTGACACACCATAGCACACCAACAGAAACTTTGTGCAACCGCGTATCATTGGGGTATGAGGTATAGTAGCGGACAAGCTGAAGGGTCGTGCCTCCAAACAAGCTTTTGACCCCAGGAACATATCAGCACGTGTATCAAACTCGACAGCCTGCAGGAAGGAACTTACAACCCCGCCCCTACCACGCCCAGAAAAGCAGCTCCGACAGTGTTGTCCAACGTCGGTTCCACTAGACTCTTGAGTGCTGGTGCCATGTCTGTCGCGTCGTCGAAGGGAACAAGAGGACGAGTGCGAGTTGGAGGGGAGGGGGGATGAAGGACGAGAGGAGAAAGCTAACGCTCGGAACTCGTTGAAGGCAAGGGAAGGAATGGAGCATCCTCAATCCGCGATTTATTGTCTTTTAAGTAGTCGTTCGGCTTCAACCCCACCCTAAACCACATCTCGGTGTTCGTGAAAGACAATACTCGATGAATTCAGGGAACCTACTCTATTTGGGGATAGGTGGCGTACGCGATAAGATGGCGCCGTTGGAACTTGGAAAACGAACATAGCCCCCGGTCCCCCAAGAGACCGCAAGGCATTCAGTTCGACGGCTGCTGTGGCGGTCCTTTGGACTCATTTCCCGGACGGTACCTAAGTATTCCAAAGTTTGTTGACAGGAACGCCGAAGTGGGAGATGAAAGTGCTTTCAAGGTAGTCAGTCAGCCGTGTTTGACAGAATCAATACTTTAAGCTCGTACTCACTCCAACCTATCCCAGGCCAGACCCGTTAATGTTATGGAGAGTCTTGAGCGAAGATTGTTACAGTGTGGTGACCAAAGTGAGCACGAGGCTTGGGGCGGGACTCCCTTACTACCTCCCGAGGGGCCCTTGCAGCAAAATGACGGTGAAAAGATAATGCCGCCCCATCCTTCGAGTGACCCATCACCGCAAAATCCCTGAAATCCGAATATTCGACGTCAATGGGAAGAAAAGCGGTGACGGAACTCGAGGTAACATTGCAGCCAGGGCGGCCACTGCCTTCGAGTCGTCGGTCGTAGCCGACGGCTCCGTAGACGAGACGGAGGCACGTTGCATTGGGCGTGGGCAGCCTCGTGCATGGTCAACGTCATAGCGGGAAGTCCCTGGACCTCCCGCTTCGAGAACAAGAACATACTGCGCAAATATGAACGGATGAGGATATATTCCGAATTACTTGGACTGTTGATTGTATAGCGGTGTTCCAGTCAACTTGGCCATTCGCGAAAGTGAGGTGGATGAGAGGGTGCACCGGGCGCTGTACTCGAGTGAATACTGACTTGAGAGCCGGATACACATGGTGCTTCAGGCTCTTTCGGATCCATGCCGCTTACCTTTTCCCATTGTTCTTCTGAAAAGGAATCATCAAACAATATGCTCTTAACGAGGCGGACATGTGAGGACTCGATGTACCGGCCGACCTGATCACGTCGTTCAGAGACCGTATCCTTTGACCAAAATAACTTCTTTGACTAGATAAATGGCTCGCCGTTAGTTACTATCTAGCCACCAGAATGCAGGATAACGTTTGGGACTTTACGATGTCGCTGTGGTTCGCGATAGACCTCTCGATTCATGCCAACATCCATCCCTTCACGGATGGTGGGCGCTGCTTGGGATGATTTCGTACCTTGATGTAGAGTCTGTTATTTACTTGGACAGGATGATAGCAAGAGATAAGCACCAAAAGATTACAAGGGAATCGAATCGATGTACATGGTTGCCGGTGTTGGTGAGAGAAAAGGAAGAGAGTTGGGGTTGAGCGCGTTCGGCCATATGTCCGTGATCGGATATCTCCCTGACTTGCACTTTGAAGTTCGAGTCTATCAGCCAACGTTTGTCAATGTGATTGCAGCAGGCTAATGGGTACATAGACTGAGGAACGGAAAACCAACGGCGTCAGGGTCGGTGTAGATTATCCGTTTGACCTCATTCCTCGGCGCCTGGTCGGTCTTTCAAGATGTAACCAGGGATGGAAAGCAAATGTTTCCGCGAGCCAGCTAATTTATGGATGGACTTTTATCCCAGCCCACTACGCTCTGTGGATCGATAGATTTCGAAAGCACAGAATTAGCAGTCGCGTAGGACGAGTCCTCGACGCGTCGTGGCCCCTATCGAGTGCGCGCACAGCCACACCGGAACGCGGGCGCGATCGAGCGAGGCCTAATTTGGAAGGAGGGCTATGGGGCAGGTTGAGTTTGGAAATCGGAGGTTTGCTTGCAACAGCGACGACTACGACGGGCGCCTATACTCCTTTTCCTTGCCACGCACAACGAAAACACCACGGGGATATTATAGGGAGGGCTGGACTCTATCTACAGGCAGCCACGTCCACAAGGCAACTAGGAGGCGAGAAACTCCTCGTTGGATCACTTTGACAAGGTTGGGACGCAACGCTGGGTTTTCGGACAACTCGACGACGCTAGGGGACCACGAAAGAACCACAAGGTTATCCAAAAACTAGTGAAACGTACCACCATAGGCTACGCTACCCGGACGACACGCTACGACTCTGTATCACCGACCAACGAATTCTATCACGAACAGTCTTCAGGAATTCTGGATATCCTGGACCACATCTGCGAACCCACAAAACTAAACTTGGGTAACGAATACTTGAAAGCAAGTCCAAATGGAACCCGGAGTCCTCTACGAAGATTTCGCTTCTAACCAAAGGTCCGTATTTATTCCCTGCTCTAATTGTTTAGCGCCAGCCTCTTGGGTTGACGAGATCAGACTCGAACCAACAAGCTTTGCTGATGCATCCTCATAGCTATCGACCACCGTCTCCTGACTCGTTCTACGCACAGAACGTTATCCAACACTACAACCGTTACGGTGGTGCAAAGGCCACCTCAGCGTCGAGCACAGCGCACCCACCGACACAGAGTGCCGCCTCGCAGTACCAGGCGCAGTTTCGAACGAGGGTGATATCCCCAACACACCGCGGTCCCTCGATAGCGCAGTCTTTGAGCCAGGCACAGAATGGCGTCGGCTTGGGGTTAGGCTTTCCATCCAAACGGCCCCAGGACTCGTCAACGCCAATTGACGCCGTTGGAAGCGGTGCGCAGCGTGGGGATGAAGTGAAGGAGAGGAGGGAAAGGAGGGAGAAGGATAGGGAGAAGAGAGATAGGGAGAAGGACAGGGACAAGAAGGAGAAGGAGAAGGACAGGGAGCGACGGCATCGTTCCAAAGACCGTTCGAGCACGCGAGACAAGGAGCGAGACAAGGACAAGAAGGAACGGAGGAAGGACAGGGAGAGGTCCACGACTCGAAACCGGTCGAAGGAACGCAAGGATCGCCATCGTTCGAAGGAGCGGAAGGATAGGTCAGACAAGAAAGACCGCTCCAAGTCCGACAGGAAGCACGAATCCACGAAGAAACCGCCAGCACCACCTCCGCCACCGCCAGAAGCGCCCGACACACCAATCACCGATAGCACGGGTTCAGAAGAATCAAGCTACGGTCAGCCCCTTCAGCGCCACCAGAACCACCCTTACTTCCACCACGGCTATTCTGAGCAATACGATCAGTCCCAATCCCACGACGACGTCCCGCCGCACGCTCGACCAGACCTCGGAAAGCTCTCACTAGGTTCTGGTCCTCTTCATCCAGGCCTTAACCCCAACTCGCCCCACAACTACCCAGAAGTCAACGGTGGTGCTCTGCAAACGCCCGATCAGCTCCCTCCATTACCCAATGGCGTAGACGCGGCACAGGACGGCGAGAAGACACCCACGAGCGCCTTGCCGCCTTCAGCTGCTGTGGGAATGAGTCAGACGCAGTACGAGTGGGAGCAGCAGCAAGAGCGTGAAGGGAGACACCTACGGGAACCAGCACAGATGAATCCCTCGTTCACAGCTTCGTTTGTTGGTTCTGGGGTAAATAGTGCAGCACATCCAGGTGACCAAACAGCCGACTCGTTTGGCAGCTTGGAGAGTTTGGGTATACCCCTAGGAGGACCGGTCGTCGTTGGAGGAGGAGGGGCTAATAGACCACACCTCACCGTGGATACGAGTGGTGCGACTGGAGGACCGCGAGGATCGAACGTAATGCCCAAGAATAGCATGGCCAGTTTCTACGTTGACTCTCCGGCCGACATGACAGGCGGGCCTGCAGATACGACGGCTCAATCACATCCCCACCACCCCTCGCACGAATCTTCACGCACACTTGCTTCGGAGAACCAGCCATCACGACTGGTCAACCAATCGCAGGAAAAGAATGGACGACCAGAACCACGGCGCCACCCTACCCTCCCCGAGTACGAGACGCTGTATCCCGAAGCGGCTGACTACTTTGGGGCTGCAGCAATCCCTTCTCAAGGTCCGAGTGAGAATGGGGATGGTATCAATGGCGGGCAGGCTTCGAATGGGGCAGCTGGTGTGGGTGGGTTCGTGACGGACATGAAAGCTGCGATTGGAGAAGGGGAGCCTAGCACCGCGACGAACGGCATGGCGCACGAAGGAACACCCCGACCTGTCTCCACACTGGACATCCCGCGCTCGAACCTCAATGTAGATGTCGAGTCGATGGGGAGGTATAACACGCCACTCGACCCACCGAATGCTGGGCAGTCTCCTCGCCCACCTGGGACTCCGGGATGGCCGTCTTCAAGGCTTTCGGCGTTGCTGAAGGTCCCGAGCGAGACGTTGGTGCAGTTGTTGGTTAGAGCGGAGGAGGAAGCCGAGGCTTACAAGCGGAACTACGAGGTCGTGGTGAGGAACGTCCAAGAGGGAGGGACAGCATCCGCTCAATCGCTGGGTACGTCTATCCATCCATTCTCATCCCCTACAGATGTACTAACTACATGCAGCCAAAGCACAGGAGAAGATCGACTCCCTCAAATCCCGACTCAAATCCAAAGAACGCGAGTACGAAGTCCGGCTGAAAGAAGCCGAACGACGCGCTGAGGAACGGTACATGCAACGGCTCAAAGACTACGAAAGACGGATATCCAGCCTCTCAGCACAGCACTCGGCCTCCCTCTCCTCCCTCACCTCCAAATACACATCCCAAATCGCCGCCCTCGAAAAAGCCAAGCGTGAACAAAGCCTCACTCTGTCGTCTAAAATCCTCGACCTGCAGAGCGAACTGAGCAAGCTAAACTCGACGCTGAGTTCGTACAATTTGAAGTTGGAGCATAAGGAGCGGGAAGTCGAAAGGGCGCGGGAGGTGGTGCGCAAGTTGGAGGAGGAGAAGGATGAGATGAGTCGGGAGGTGGTTAAGGCGAAGGGGCAGGTGCGGAGGGTGAGGGAGGAGGCGTTCGTGCGCGTGGCGATGGAAGAGGGAAGACGCGAAGGCTTTGAGGAAGGTGTACGCAAGGGTCGCGTCGGCATGGCGCTCGCCCGCGGTACCAGCCTACCAACCCCAGCCGCACCCCCAGCCGTCGAGGCCAGCGGAAGCAAAGACGGCGACAAGAAGAAGAGCGGCAGTGCCAGCGCGAGCGGGAGCAAATCCAGTAGCAAAGGAAAAGGAAAAGCCAAGGCGGCGGATATCGACTCGGAAACTGCGATCGAGCTGCTTGAGATTGAAAAGGCGGAGAAGGATCGACTTGCGGCGAGGATTAAGGATTTGGAGGAGTTGGTAAAGAGTTCGCACTCTCAATTGAGACAGCTCGAGTCGCAGAATACTAGCCTGATTGAAGCACAGCGGCAGACTGAGTATGAGGAGAGGAGGAGGTTGGAGGATATGGAGAGGAGAAACCAGGAGAGGCTGGATGATATCCAGAGGAGGAACGAGGAGAGGTTGATGCAGATGCAGCATATGAACGAGTTGAGGCTGGCCGAGTTGGAGAGAGGAAGAGCGAGTGAAGTTGGGAGTGTTGTTTCGAGGATGAGGGAACTGGAGGACGAGGTTGAGAGGGAGCGTGGAGAGCGGGAGCGGCTGCGTCGTCAAGAAGAGGACAGGCGACGCAGAGAGGAAGAGGAGAAACGCCGCAGGGACGAGGAGGAGAGGGAGAAAGAGCGAAAACGGGCCGAAGAGGTCGAGAGGCTAAAGAAGGAGCAGAAAGAACTCGAAGAACGACTGAAGAAGGAAAAAGAGGAGCGGGAGCGGGAAGAGCGAGAGAGGAAGGAGAGGGAAAAGAAAGAGAAGAAAGAAAGGGAGGAGAAAGAGAAGAAGGAGAAAGAAGAGAGGGAGAGGAAGAAGAAGGAACCTACCCTGCCCTACCTCGCTATGCCACCGCCGCCTCAGCCCCAGCCCCAGCCTCAGCCATTCCAAGGTGTTCCGCGACCACCATCCACGTCTGCTTCACGCCGCGACCACCGTCGACGCGACTCGGGCTCCGACACGAGCGAGATTCACGGATTCGATATCCTCACATTCCCTAGTGTACCCGACTACGTCAGTGGGGGATACCCTTCAAGCTCGTACACAGCTGCAACTGGCGCCCCAGTTGGCGCACCCGTCATCCCTGGCTTCCCCACCGTTTCGACAGGCTATACTGGATACCCCGGGGATGACCGCCGTGGTCTCAGTACCATTCACGAGAACCGGACCCCCAGTCCGCTTAATATCCGACCCTTCTCTGGGAGGGAGGCGTACATGGAGAATGGAGGCAGGAGAGAATGGATGGGGAACGCGCCACCGATCCAAAACGGTTCTGGGCCGTATGGTAACCCGACGGGGTCGTATACGGGTGGAGATGGGTTGCTGGTTCCCCCTCCCAATGGCGGCAATCCACAAGGGAGAGGGTTGAGACACGAGCACAGTTCGAGTACGGTGAACATCGATGTCGTTCCACCTGTGAGTGTTGCCTTGTTCTCGGTCCAAACTGACGCTAATGATTCGTTTGATATAGTCCCGACCCCCATCAAGCCTCCAGCACCATCCCTACACGCCTTCACATCCTCAGTACCTCTCGCCCAATGCCCAACCGGCACCACTCCCCGTTCCAGCACCTGCACCGCACGACCGCCGATCGCCCGATCCAAGTACTTATGTGCCCGTCATTCCAGCTGGCTTCCGCGGCGCCGTCCCTGCACCTACTGGGTCGCCATACGGACCGTACGACAACCCCACGATGCCCGTCGTGCCTCCGCCCCAACCTCGACCCCCCGGGTGGACCGATACACGACCGAACAGCCCCTACGACCAGTCCACCGGGCTACCCGTCGGGTTCCACCCGCAGAGTGTGACGCCCGCTCCGCCCAATGCGATGCCTGAGCCTAGTGTAGACGGGCTCCCAGTCGAGATACGGAAGAAGAAGAAGAAGGGGAGGGATGCGTATGGGAACCCTACTGCTGACCAGGTGGGGACGAGCAAGATGGGCCCCGCTGCGATGCGTATGCCTGAGCCGGCCAGTTCGATTGGGCCCGCCAATATGTCGATGCCTGCACCGAGCAGCGCGCTGGGTCCGGCGAGCATGGCGATGCCTGAGCCTGGTGTCCCCGTCGTCCCACCGCCTAGGCCGCCAACATCGAATTCGGCTGCGGGTGGTGGCACCAGTTCGAATGCGTGGACGCCGGCGTCGAAGGCGTTGGGGAGTGCGACGCCTGGAGGAACGATGGTGTCGATGCCGGAGCCGGGTGTGCCGAATATTGTGCCCAGTGCTGGGACGAGGACGCCCGCTGTGGGTGCTGCTACGCCGCTGGGAGGGAGTACGATGGGGCCTGGTAGTATGGCTATGCCTGAGCCTACCGTTGGAGGTGGTGCCGGTGCTGGAGCTGGCGGTTCGTCGCCTTACGTCGGAGCAACTGCGCAGATGCCTGAACCTACAGTTCCTAACATCGTCACCACGAAGAAGGGGAAGAAAGGGAGGAAGGCATCCATGGGAGGAGCAGGGGGAGCAGGAGGGTCGTCGATGGCGCCGAACGCGGGAAGCGGGATGCCAGATCCTGTCATTCCCTCCTTTGCACCTACGCCGAGCGCACCGAGTCCGAACCGACTACCGTCGTCGATGCCTGAACCTAGTGTTACGGACTATACGGGCGGAACTGGGATTACGAGGACGCCGAATCCTGGGCCCTCCCCTGCTTTGCCTGCGGCTAGTGCTGTTACGCCGCACCTTGCGACTGCGGCTATGCCTGAACCTGAGGTTGTGGATTTCACTGGTGGAGGTAGAGGAGGGAGTGGGAGTGGAGGTGGACCCTCCTCGATGCCGGAACCGACGGTTGTTGATTACACGGGTACGGGGAAGAAGAAAGGCAAGAAGTCCAAGTCGATGTCTGGGCCTGTCATACCCCCCGTTCAACCTGACGAAGAGGAAGAGGAGGAAGAAGAGGGGTTCATACCGCCGTTATCCGCTTTGTCGGCGTCGAACGAGTCTCAACGCGGTAACGAGAACAACGGGAATGGGAATGGGGGTGGAGGTGGGAAGGGTGGATGGGGCTGGGGAAGCTCGTGGGGCATCCCGAGCGTATTCGGGGGAGGGAACAGTAGTTCGTCGCCACAAACCGGTGGCGGCGGTGGTGCGGGTGCGGGTGAGGGTGGGATATTCGGAGGCGCGTCGACCTCGCCGCACGTAGGCGGTGGTGGCATGACGATGCCGTCGCCTCATATGGGGACTGGAGGGGGACTTGGGGGCCCAACGTTCGAGTGGGACACGGCGGGTGGGCAGGGCCCGCCTATGCCCGGGGGTGTCACGGCCTCGCCGCACATGGGGCCATACGGGAACCCTACTGCCACTGCGGCTACGGCGCCTGTTATCCCGCCGCCGGTTGACAATGGGGATGATGAGGATGCGATTGACCCGCAGACTGCGATGAATACTGCGATGAATTCGGCGAGTGAGTTCCTTGGTGTGCCCGGGTTTGTACCGGATACGGGGAAGAAGAAGAAGAAGAAGGGGAAGAAGGGGTAGGTGCGTGTGGGAGGTTGATGGGGAGGAGGGGTGTGGGAGGTGGGTGCTGGGGTCGGAAGGGATTTTCGAGTCGGTTTTGCGCAGTGGTGACGTTACGCCGTGGTCTTCTTGAACTTTTTACCTCTGATTCTTTCGGATTTGTCCACTTTCGCTTCCTTTCTTTTTTTTTTGAAGGGGTTTTTGTTCGTTTAGTTCTCTCTTCTTGTATTTCGGAAGTACCTTGGGGTTGTACAGTTCATTCTATTCCATTCTATTCTTCTCCTCACGATCAACTCACGATTATACCGTATACCTCTTCCTATGGTATCGATGAATTTGTATGCTTGTTCAACTTTTTTTCTAGTGCTCTTGCTTTCAGCTCGCTTTCGGCTTTCGATATTTCACGTTTTGGCTATGACTCTATGCTATGACTTACTGAACTATGTTCTCCCTCTTGTTCCTCGGCATGCGCACCCTCGTGTACACACGCGCCACTAGGTACCACTACTACTAACGCTCAATGGGATTATCTTGCTCTGGAATTATTGACCTCGTTGAGGACGACAGACGGACTGAACACACGGAGAACCAGACCCACCCGTTGGGCACCTACAGTATAGACAGCGGTGTGGGTGTACAATGGCTTCGAATTTGTTATGCAACAGCGGCTGCTGCACCACAGGTGACAGTGTAGAACAGTGTAGAACATGGCGGGGAAACCGGGGAGCCAACTTCCCAGTTACAAACCATGCACGCACCGACTAAGTACATTTTTCGAGACGCCAAGAAGCCCCTGTAGTGGCCTTATGGTCTAGTCGTATGATTCCTCGTTTGGGTTGACAATTATGTCTATGTCTCATATCGAGGAGGTCCTGGGTTCAATTCCCAGTGAGGCCCCTTTTTTGGTTTTTTGGTTTTTTCGAAGTTGCGTCCGTGGCAGAGATTCGGCTACGTTGCGAGATGAAGGGCGACGATGGAGTAGACGATGTTGTCTCAGGCTGGCACGAGGGTGTTTATGGGTGCTTAATTTTTTTAGTCTGGTCATTCATAGTCTGGTCATTCATAGTCTGGTCATTCATGAAGAAACTTTGCTCAATGTCGATTGCAGATGGACTCGGACTCGCAGTAAACGAAAGACATCGAAGCGGTGTCCCCCATTAGACTATGACTACGTACACAGGCCTGGTCATGGCGTTTCCCAATGCCACAACTTGATCGACGAATCTCGGGTGACGATTTTGCTAATACTATTTCGAGTCTCCCCTTGGTCGTTGCTGTCTTCCGAGCCTTCGTCTTCGTCGTCGTCGTCCACCCAGTGCCGTGAGCCAGAAACAGAAAGTAGTAGAGGTTGTAAGGGGTGGAAAGAGACTGAGCCGATTGCATCTTGATTTCCCAGTCAGTTTGGATAGTGATAGTGGTGAAGGTCAGTTGGATGAAGGTATGGTTAGAGGACGGATGGGTATGCACCTTTGTGAGCGTCGAACCTGAAGTCGGGGAAAGAGGTGGAGGTTTCTTGAATGGATGCCTCCTCGTCTTGACTGTCTTGAGCATCGCCTTCGGCTTTCTGCAGGTCGAATACCGCGATTTCACCATTCTGTCGTCGACATAGCAGTTATAAGTTAGAATATCTCGTCCACGCGCAACGCAACGTAACGAAAAAAAGGAAGGAAGACACATACGGAATTACCGACTCCCATATACCTCCCAACCACATCTAATCCAAAATGCATCTTCTGATTACGCATTGAGATTGGAACGGGTGTTGGGTTCCCTGAGGAATCCAATGGGCGGGCATCGAAGATTCTGAGAGGGGAGTGGACGTTGGAGCGGATGTCCCAGCTGTAGATGAGGTTGTTTGCGATGCCTCGGTAGGTGGCGTAGAGGATGTGTGGGCGGTATGGGTTGAATTGCATCTAAACATGACAACAGTTTTTCGGTTACACTCTCATTCCACTCACTCGAGAATGGGACAGAAAGAATTAACGCACCTGGACGACCCCGGCTCTAGGCCCCCCTCCAACGCTCATAACCATCGCCTCCTGCGACTCGACCCATAAGCCGATGTTGTCTGGTCTCGGGGTTAGGGTGCCAGCTGCGAAGAGTGTGTCGTCTGCGCCGTAGAGGGTGGAGAATGCCAAGGAGGAGATGATGCCTTTTAGACCGTCTTTGCTTTTTTTGGAGGGTGTGGTGGGGAGGCGGGTGCCTTCGGAGCCTGGGCGGTTAACGTCGAAGATTTCGATGGTGTCTTCGAAGCCGCAGTAGAGTCTGGGGGGAGGTGGTGGGGTGAGGAAAGGGAGGGGGAAAAGAGTTCTGAGGCTTACCGTTCGCCGGTAAAGTTGAAGGAGAGGCTGTGAGGTGCTATTTGGCGTTCCCTGTGGTCGACGATTGGGTAGGAGGCTCGTAGCTTGTCGATAGTCAGTCAGTCATGTCTGTTAGATATGTGGATTGAAATGAACTCACCCTTCCGTCCCTGGCATCCAATAGCTTCACAGGGCATTCCCTGACAGACGCGACGAAGCAGAACCCAGCTAGTGCTTCTGGTCTACAACTGGCCGTCGGAAACCACTCTGTTGCGACTAACGGCGAGGCTTGGGGAAGTGTGAGTTTTAGCTGGGGTTTGGAAGGAGGGTCTTCTTGTTCTCCTAGCAGAAGGGATGCCTTGTGAGTCTTGGTACTTTGGAAAGAAGTCCGCTTGAGGATGAGTCATCTACCTGTAATTCTTGAATTAGCGATTTTACATTTCGAGACTGCGTTTGAGTTTTTGGAAAGAATGGGACATACGAGTCGAATTCGAAGATTTGGATAGTGTGGTTTTCGAGGTGTGTTAGGAAGGCTGATCCGTCTGGTGTACTTAAAAGTCTATTCAGTACGCTATGTAACTCCAAGTTGAAGCTTTGAGATTCGAGAGCAGACATACAATTTGGCGTAGCGAGAGAAATTCCCGGTGGTGCTACCTTCATGATCGTCGTCTTGGGTTTCTTGGACAGTGGTGAAGGATGGACGCTTGCTGAACTCGTAATTCGGTGGTTCCCAGGTGTATTGGAGATCGTGGGTTGGGTCGGAGGACATACTGCGACTGCAGAGGATGGCGTTGACGGTTGGAAGCGGGAGGAGATGAGATGATGCACTGGTCGCTCGACGCTATCGCGGGCGTGGGAGGGGAAGGTGATGCCATCATTTTCGGCCGAGAACGGCGCATGGGCGCTTGTTTGGGAGTCAGGGGCGGGGTTCCACTTCGTTTGGGATTCGGAGGTTGAGAGAACAGGATGCTGGACGCAGTAGAAGTAGAGTGAGAGCTCTCTTGCACGTTGGGCAAGGCGCTGCGAAGCAAATTGCATGAAGAAACCGTGCGATCGCGAGTCCGAGCTCGTTTCTATGATTGGTAGTTGCACGAGTGGGCCGAGTGGTCTTCTGATTGTTAGGAATAGACAGGACGTATTGTTATCACATTGTCCATTACCCCAGACGCCTATTTCTGTCCTTCTTTCGCTCTGTTGCATTCTATTTTTGCCTGCGAAGCGCGTCCGTGACGGCCTGGAGGAGCTCCATGCTCAGGTGGTCCCCCGCCAGAGGCGGAGTCCCTGCTTTGCGCATGAATTACCCAGAGCCAGGCCAATGCTCTACCCAGAGGGACCTTTGAAAGTCTATCTACGCTCTTTTCAACCCCCAAGCCGACCTCCTGGCCTCTACGTTACAGTACAGTCTTCCCAGGTCCAGGAACCTGCCAGTTCTGGAACATTTGCTTCCGGTTTTGTTACCCCGCACGCCAAGCCATCACATACCCTTGGCAACTTCTAAACTCCGCCTTACCTTCCCAGGGCGGTCGCAAGTCGTAATCGCCTGCCTTTCCTGACCGTCTCTTCCAACCCACCACCATGTCCTGCCACCATCGTTCAGGATATTCACCAGCTTACCCGCCGCCGCCGTCGTCTGCGACGACGACGACGAGCGGGGACTACCCAGAACTCAATTACAGCCCTGGTGCTAAATGGATCAAGCACCTTACCCAGTCGAGGTTGAACAACTTCCAGGGCGGGCATTTCAACGACTACAATCTCTCGTCTGTTCTCTTTACACAGAGGAAGGATAGTCCTGAATATGTCAAGCTCAAGGTGTAAGTCATATCTACAGCCTTCTCGAGAGAAATGGCTAAAGGCAGACTGCACAATCTAGTTGGAGCGCGCCTGGGCAGACCAAACCGACGTTCGAGGAGGCCATGCAACAGAAGTTCAGGACTGCTCGGAAGGTACGCGACATGGCTTTAGTTTATCTATGTATCTGACCCCCCGACAGGGAGAATCGTTTGGACCGTCTTGTAAGGTTTCTCGTTACTGATGCTCGCGTGCGGGTCGCTTATTGTTCAATTAGGGGTAAGCTATTCGAGTTCGACTTTCATTTTATGCAAAGGTCTCAGTCATGTGCCTAGACAAACCACTGGTGGCAAGTCACCGTCCATATTCCCCAAGACTGGGATCAGTATGAACGTGTTCAGTGTGCGTTCTGTTCATCGTTCAGCGAGGGACCGTTTCCTAAACCCCAGACAGTCGAATTTGACCCAGGATGCGAAGCGATGATTTACAGTATGGATGGAACACCTCTTCAAGGTAAGCATGCCTTCTCGTTGCGCGTCCTTCTCCATACTCATGGGAATCGTATAGGCATCACAGGTGGATTCGGCGGTGACCGCCGTGTTGACTACATCATCCCACCTGAAGCCCGTGCCCGAGGTGTTCACGAGTTCGTCATCGAATCAAGCTGCAATGGCATGTTCGGCGTCCCATGGAGCGGCGATATCATCGCTCCTCCTGACATGAACCGGTACTTCCGCCTCGCTTCAGCTGACCTTGTCGTCCCGAATCAGGAAGCATGGCGGTTGCTGTGGGACTGGGAGGCATTGAAGCAAATCATTAGCAACGTTCCAGGGAACACTATGTCCGTGCTCGGTTGAAGCTTGGCAGACTGTATGATGCTAATCGTGATTGACAGCCTTCAGAACAAAGCCTTGACGGCGGCCAACGAGATTATGAACGTCTTCGACAAGGGCGATTTGGCGGCCATTCTCAGAGCACGCAAGTTGGCCGATGAAGTCTTTGGTGAAGGATGGGAGGAGAAGGGCGCGGACATCTACAAGGAAGGGCCCGAAAGACCCACAATCTGGGGTATTGGACAGTGCGTGAATTTTACTACACTTGTAACCGTGTCGTTGACATGGTTTTCTTAGCTGCCATATCGACTCTGCTTGGCTGTGGCCTTACCGCGTCACCCAGCAAAAGGTCGCTCGTTCATGGTCCACTCAGATAGATTTGATGGAGCGCTACCCCGAACATCGCTTTGCATGCTCGTCCGCCCAGCAGTACAAGTGGCTCGAACTTCTCTACCCTGCACTCTTCCTCAACGTCAAGCAAAAGATCGCTGAAGGAAAGTTCCACCCCATTGGAGGCTCGTGGGTCGAAAACGATGGAAATATGCCTAGCGGAGAAGCGCTGGCCAGGCAACTTGTAGCTGGACAGCGATACTTTGAGACTAGGTTTGGTATCCGATGTGAAGTCGGCTGGCTCCCTGACAGTTTTGGTTTGACTGGTGCATATCCTCAGATTATGAGGAAAGCGGGTGAGTTTAGCCTCCGATGCTCCGTGGAATGTTTGACATGCTAATCGACTTGTAGGGATGAAGTACTTTTTCACGCAGAAGCTTTCGTGGAACAATATGTGCGTCGTTCTCTCGCGTCCATCCGGCTTTCCTGCTAATTAATGGTCGACTTGCTTCTGCCGCCTGTTTTAATTTTTGGTATACAGCAACAAGTTCCCGCATAGTACTTTCAACTGGGTTGGTATCGATGGCACTCAGGTCCTGTGTCATATGACGCCGGTCGAGACGTATACCGCGCAAGCCACGGTTCATGACATCAAGAAGGGGTTGGAGAACCACAAGGTTGGTCGATCTACTCACTCATGGTGCTCATTTTAACCTGTTGGATAGAATCTTGAATCCTCGGATACTGCGCTACTTGTTTTCGGAAACGGTGATGGAGGAGGCGGACCATTGTCGAAGATGTTGGAGAACGTAAGTCCCACCCATCTTTTGCCGCAACGACATCCATAGTATACTCATCGATTGTGTACTTAGCTTCGTCGAATTCGAGCGGTCACTAACAAGCATCGTGAACTTCCTCCTGTTGATATGGGACATAGTGTTGATGATTTCTTCCATGATCTTGAGAAGACGTCCGGGGAGGGGAAGAGGTTGCCGAATTGGCATGGGGAGTTGTACCTCGAGGTGAGTGGGTTGTTTTTGGTTTGTGTCCGTGGGCGGGTGTCGTCCTGTTTAGTATTTATGGGCGGGTGTTGTCCTGTTTAGTGTCCAGGGAAAAGTGCCGTCCAGGATCAATGGGCTGACTTCTTTCATTCTAGTTCCATCGTGGCACGTATACGTCGCACGGATCTATCAAGAAGGGAAATAGGCACTCGGAGATTCTGTTGAGGGATGTTGAGGTGCGTTATTTGCATTGTCGCATAGATCATGTATTTGACTAGTCATTATAGCTGGTCGCGTCTCTGGCTTCCCTCTACAAGTATCACAAGAACAGCTATATCTATCCCAAGAAAGACATTGACGAAGCATGGGAGAAGGTTTTGTTGAATCAATGTAAGTGGCTTTCCGTGATCTCCTGGCGTTCTGGCTGACGTCGCGGTTCTCTTAGTCCATGATGGTAAGAAAAGTCCAAATGTCATAGCGCTAACGTGCTCATCTCAACCCGCCTGCAGTCCTTCCTGGATCATCGATGCGAGTATCCATCATCCGTGCTTGGATTTTGAGCCCTGCTGACTTTGGTATTTCAGTGGCATGGTTTACGAAGACGCCGAGCAGTTGTACGCTGAAGTGAAGCGTGACGGAGAAGCGATCCTTGAAGAAGCGCTCTCCGTCCTCTTCCCCAACTCTATGCCTCTGACATCCAACACGCAGTCCAAGGCCCTCACCGGTGGCGCCAAGGTTGTCGCCCTGAACACGACTTTCTTCCCTCGCCTGGATGTCGTCCAGGTTCCTTTGGGCAGCTCTCCTGGAGGCAATGGTTGGGGTTGGAGCACTCCTGGCGGCTCCACGCAATCTATTCGTTCTCAGGTTCATCAAGTGAGCGAGGATGGCAAGGTTGGGTGGGGGATTATGCAGTGTGCGCGAGGTGGTGGAGCGATTGGCGAGTTGGTCACTGGTAGTAATGAGTTGAGGGCTAGGTTGAAGCCTGTTTCTGGTTGGTCTTTTTTTTCTGGTCGTATAGGAGGATGGCGCTGATATAGCTTTGGTTTGACAGTTTATACGAATGGAAGCGATCACTTTGTACTGCGCAATTCGACTGTGCAGTTGACGATTTCTGAGGGCAGGATTACCAGTTTGCTTGATGTTCAACTTGAGTACGTGTTTCTTGACCTGCGTGAATTTGACTTAACGTTGATCGCCTTGGCAGTCGTGAGTTGATCCAGGAAGGCCAAACTGGTGGATTGGTCATCTTCGAGGATAGGCCTAACTACTGGGATGCCTGGGGTATGTCTTCTCGTACCTCCGACTCTTCTAACGCTAAGCCTGACGTGTGTTTGCAATGCAGATGTTGAAATCCACCATCTTGAAGTGAAGAAATCGCTCAAGTTTTCGAATGTTTCTGTCGTTGCTCAGGGTCCTCTCTATGCTGCTGTTCGTGCGGAGGTCAAGTATGGGCAGAGTACGATCGTGCTTACGGTACGTATGGTTTCTCCACCTGATCTGTCTATTCTCATTAGGTGGGCATTTCGCAGATATCCTTGGGTGCTACAACTGCCACTGTTCGCGAGAACTCCCGCTCGTTCTTCAACTTTGAAGCTGTGGTTGACTGGCGTCAGCGACACGAGTTCCTCAAATGTAAGTGTCCACCTTTTGCTTTCCGTACCAGAGCCTGATATACGTTCTTCCAGTTGAACTGCCCTTGAGCATTCACAGCCCCAATGCCACCTACGAAACCCAGTTTGGCCATGTTCAGCGTCCAACGCACAAGAATACCACTTGGGACATGGCCAAGTTTGAGGTTTGCGGTCACAAGTATGCCGACCTCAGTGAGTTCGGATATGGTGTTGCGTACCTTTCGGAATCCAAGTATGGATTCTCGTGCTTGGGTAATTTGTTGTCCATTAGTTTGTTGCGAGCTGCTACTGCTCCGGATGCTGAACAGGATCAAGGTGAGTCGCCGTGTTCTATCGATGATGTGCTTGTGCTAACCTGGGTACAGGCGAACACAAGTTCTCGTGGGCTGTTTATCCCCACGAAGGGCATTTCCTGGAGTCGGACGTTCCCGTTGCTGGATACCTCTACAACTCCCCTCTCCGCGTTCGAGTTGTTCCTCCAGGCACCGAAGACCTTCTCTCGACCCATCGTCCCCTGTTCGCCATCGACGGTGCGCGCAATGTCTTCCTCGAGACTGTCAAGCGTGGCGAGTACGACTCGTACGATGCGCCTTTCACTCTCGAGTCTGCGGACTCGGACTCGGAGGGTGACGAGCCGGCTGCGACTAGGACGACGCTCGTGTTGAGGTTGTACGAGGCGTATGGTGGGCATGCTTCCGGCAACCTGCTCATCTCGAACCGTCTCCCCGTCGTTGAGGCCTATGAGACCAATCTCCTCGAGGACGATCAGGATGCAGTTGGACTTCGTCTTCTGTCCGTTCAGTCTGCCAACAACAACGAGGATGGTGTCAAGTCGCATTCGTGGGGCAAGAGTATTCCGTTGAAGTTCAGAGGATTTGAGGTCAAGACGATTAAACTTGTTCTTGGTGCGCCTCCGAGTCCTCCTCCTCGGTCGCAGAAAACTGGGTATGTGTTTGTTGGTTGATGGTTTTTTTTGGGTTGTGGGTGGTTAGCTCATGGGTGATTTTTTGTTTTTGTAGGGAGAAGAGGTCTAGTTGGGTGAATGTTGATGAGGATAGGTTTATGGATCTTTGATCCTTTTTCGACCCTGACGGGCTCGGAGGATGTACGCCGTGCGTGCCGGGATTGCTGTTCGTCCGCCCCTACTTATGCTTCTCGTTGCTTCTATCTCTCTCTTCGTGTGTACCATAGTGCTCGCTCTCTCACACACTTTGCTCTGCGTTGTGTCCCTCCCTGTACCATTTACTTTGTATGTGTTTCGTGTGTGTGTTTGTACCAACAGTGTTGATTCATCGTTCATCTTCGGCACGTTCGTCCCGTGGTTCCAAGTTCTCGACTTCCTTGTTGATGGGCGTAAGTCTTTAGATCCTGAATCACGTCAAGCCGTCAGTGAGGCGAGGTGAGGTTTCCCGAATTCGCGTTATTGCCTTCGGGTCTACTACGGCTTTGCTGGCAGGCAAGAGTAAGAGGTGTTCGTGATGCACCGAGGATACCTACAAAGGTGATGAATATACTTGAGCGCTAGCTTTGGTGTCATCGATAAATGAATGGCAACGTAAATACGATAGATGGATGGATAGATGGATGGATTCGCTGCTCCTTGCTTTCTTCAAGTGAGTTGCGGTATTTGACGGTCGATCGTCGACGTGAGCGCTCACAGTGTGCCGCCCCCTTGCAGCCCCCGTTCGGCACGGTGATTAAACCCTGTTAATGTTCTTCGGGAGCTATATTCACTTTGGTCTTCTTAGTCTGCTACCACCACCACCACCACCACCATCGTCCCGTCAGCCCACCTGCAGTCCTCTCGCTGTCAGCCCACCTGAAGGCTCTTTCGTTGTCAGCGCTCAGCCCACCCATGTCTCCACAAGCTTCAAGTTCCACTCTCCAAATCGACGTGACCTCTGCCACCAGGCCCGGGATGCGGTCCAGGGCAGGCAGCATGATGGCGGTGGCATCGACGCCGACCGAGCTGCGCGATCACTCCGTCGACAGCAGCGCATGGGTCGTCCCCGACCACATCGTCGTCAACGACTTTATGTTTTGTGCGGAGCATGGGGACGAGTACTGCCATGCGTGCTGTTGTGACCATCGGCTTACGAATAATATAAGGATCGAGGATGAGCTGGAGGGTGTGGAGAAGTTTGATTTTGAGTTGGATTGGGAGGTGAGTTTCTTCTAATTACTAGTTACAGGTCACGGTGCTGGAAGGAGGGTGGGTGCTTAAGACGAGTGGATTTTCAGGACCGACAATCTATAAACGTTTATGCGTTGGGTGCAGTGGCGGATATCACTACCGAGGATTCCTTCCAATGCGAGAAACACGAGACGGTCGATTGCAAGGAGTGTTTCAATTGGGTGGAGGTTGTGAAGAAGCATGCGGAGGCTGTGGAAGAGTTTGGGAGGTGGAATTTGGGGAGTGCGCATAAGGAGGGGTCGGTGTTGCAGGAGGCGATGGAGAGGCTGGCTGTGGAGAAGAAGCGGGGGGAATGAGGAAGGGTGTTTTTGTTGGTTTTTCGCTGGGTCGACAGGCTTTGGGATGCTCCGTGGCGGAAAATAGGGGTAAACGCGTCGCGTCGGGGATCATACAAGTTACAATACAAACTGGTAGTACAACAGATAGGGAACTACATAATTAATATCTGATTATACACGATTTAAACGCTCATTTTCATAGCAATAGGTCCATGGGGGTTGTATCCCTCGACAACGAAATCCTCATACTTGAAGTCCTCGATATCCACAATCCCTTCCCGTGCCCATCTGATCTTGGGGAACGGTCTCGGTTCCCGTTTGAGCTGCTCCTCGAGCGCCTCGACGTGGTCCCTGTAAACGTGAGCGTCGCCGAGCTGGATGATGAGTTCGTGCGCCTCCGTTCCGGTGACGTGTGCGATCATGTGGGTTAATAGCGCGTAGGATGCGATGTTGAAGGGGATTCCGAGTCCGAGGTCGGCTGAGCGTTGGTACATGAGGCAGGAGAGGCGGGGTTTGCGGGTAGGGTCCGATTGGGGAGGGAGTTGAACGTAGAATTGGCACATCATGTGACATGGTGGAAGCGCCATTTGGGGTATATCTGTAGACATGGGATGAAATGAAACACGCGTTACTTTGTGGACGCCGGGTGTTGAGGGGGAAGTGAAGCGCACCTTTGGGGTTCCAAGCGCTCAGGATTATACGCCGATCGGTAGGGTTTTCCTTGATTTTCTTGATGCATTCTCGGAGCTGGTCGACGCCCTGACCTGTATAGTCCGCGTCGCAATCGACGTATTCTGCTCCGAAATGCCTCCATTGGAATCCATACACGGGACCCAAATCCCCTTCGCGTCGGTGTCCAAGCCCTCTACTCTCCAAAAACTCCTTCGAGCCATTGCCGTCCCAAATCTTGATCCCCTTCTCGGAAAGGAGCTTGGAATCCGTGCATCCGTGGACGAACCACAGCAGTTCTTCGATGATACCGCGTAAGAAGGTGCGTTTTGTGGTTAATAGCGGTAGTGTCGCGTCTAAAAGTGAGAATCTGAATGAAGGAGGCGCGAAAAGCGCGATTGTGCCGGTTCCAGTCCGGTCTGGTCGAATGTCTCCAGTGTCAAGGACGCGTCGGATGAGGGAGAGGTATTGGTATTCTTCGTGATCTCCCTTCTTCGCAGTAGCCGATGATCCGTTTTGGCAAGTTGGAGATGTCTCGATGGTCATTTCGATGAGCGGGGTGAAGGTAAGAAGGAAGGATTGGTGAAGGGAAACGTTGACACGCGTTGAAGGAGAACAAATTAGTGTGCGGCGATCGCCGAGAATATACGGGGTTAGCGGGCTTCAGATAAGATAAGATTCGTGCATCATACGCGAGATACCAAAGGACTTGCTTAGGCGATAGCAATGGCTCGGGAGCGATATTGCTACCCTATGGAGGTTGGCTTATTCCAGTACAATAGTCAGTATTTTACCGACCGAACACGAGGAAAATGTAATTCTTGCCCAAGGCTGGAATCGAACTCGCGGCCTTCCCTCCGTCCATCAACGAAACGCAGCTGCACGTCTCCTATAGGGGATGGCGAACTTGGTCCAGGATTCATTTTTCCCCTCCCTATGTACATAGTCTCAATTTTCCCTCGTCTCCTCAACATCAGTTGATGGGAATTCGGTTATACCGTCTCAGCCCATCCACACAACCCATGGAATATCTCCATTTCAATCCACCAAAGCCATGGAGGATAGAGTAACATTAATCCAGGTTGTCGACACCCTGATTCGTTGAAAAGATGCCAACCGTTGGGGCGATCCATTGGCATATTGGAATAAGATGTAGTGCAATTTGTTCTGTTCTAAAACAGGCTCACATACACTCAGTGTTAATGTGCGTGGTGGAACTGTAGGCTACAGAGGTAAATCGACTAAACTAGCTACGTAGCCGTAATATTTTCGTGTTCTTTTCCCTCCAACGCGGGCCCCAATGTCCAATAGGTGCGCAGTCGGGGAGATGGCGTGAGTGAACGCATATGTAATGTCACGGGATACTGGATTCCTACACCATTCCGCCGTTCGCCCTCCCAGATCGTCCCTTGCCATTTCATTAGTAGTGTCTGGAACTTTAACTCAGACTTGGCCGCCTTCGACGTTCCATTGCGGGGCGACAGCATGTAAGATTTAGATACTGTGAGTATTTGGCCCAGAATCTCTATCCTCTATGCCTCGCACACAAACTAATTCGGATATGTAGCTTAATTCCCGCATATCGAATAGTCCCCAGTCACTACTGTAACTCCTCCGTGGTTCCCTGGAGCATCGGCATTGCAGCAACTCATCCTCGTTCCGGGCGCACACAATGCACCATATTCAGATCCTTCCACGGACTGGATACCCCTGTATACCATCAACCCACAGGTTAAAGCAAAGGAAAACATCGATCTCGGTGTATCCATCCACACGCGGCACACCCACAACTTATGATGGATTTCCACAATGGAATGCCCGAATCGCAGGAATGTGACGGGAAAATAGTATCAGAGGGCTGGATACCCAGGAGCGCCCATCGCATTGATTCCGTATTCCTTCTCATTTTCACGCCTCGCAGGGCCTTGTTGGGCGGGTTCCAAGAAACGAACCTGTGGGGAAACGCGTCCGAAAGATTTCCGAGTCGGCTCGTGGTAAACGTCGGCATCTCAGCGGCGGTTACCGGCGTTCAACGCAGCTCTTGGCGAAAATCGTTGGCCCATTTTACACTTGCCTCAATGTACGGGCTTGTACTTGCTGTGGATTGGATTGTGTGTCTCCAAGACGTGAACATAGATATTTGCAAGTATCTTTGCTCAATCTGTCCCTGATACGTTTTCTGATAATCATGTCCAATGTTTCTTACCGATGTTGGTTTCAGCTAGACAATATAGGTCCTACTGTGGGCGACCGTCGCCTGTATGGCTGGGTTCTCTGTTTCCTTTGTGCATAGGGCCACAGCCGAATCGCAATGTTCGTCGAGATCGAGCCAGCCTATCTAGCACCCTGCCAGACTGGGCACTAACCCAGTAGGGCTACCGGTTACCCCCATATCCCAAGGACAGCAGATCCATCTTGCGCCGCAAGCGGGTGTTCGAGTCGGGGCACGTTTCGCGAATGTTGGCATGCGAAGCCTCAATCTTCATTCCTATATCATTAGAAGCAATGTTCGGTGACTGTCCAGGCGGTAAACTGGCATTCCGAGATGGCGGAAGCCACGCTGGGGACGGTGTACCTACCCTCCACCGAATCGGCTGCGACCATGATCGGTCGAAGCCTTTGGGGCTCTTCGATTTGGTATGTAGGCGATATCATATAAAGCTCTGCTCGTGTTTCAAGAGGTCTCAATTCTCTCGTTCCTCACAGCCATACCATGGGGCTTGAGAACCGCATTCCCGTCGAGAATCTGCCCCAAAGCCAGGCTCTCGATTCAGCAACCTTTCGTCCACCGCCATTGGACGGATCTCTCGAAGCAGCAGAACTGTATGACTGGCATCGCAGCAACAACACCGAACACACCTTATTCGTGTACAGTCAACAGGATGGTAACATTCGGACGATTCGTTGGCCAGAGGCAGTCGACGCAATTCATGTCGGGGCGAAGTTCGTCAGGAAAGTGACGAATTGGGTGCCTGGAATGACTGAGACTCCGGTTGTTGGAATGGTAGTTGCTTCAGGTGAGTATTAATCTATTCGATTTCAGACCGCCTCTGACGCTAGTTTCAGATTCTATCTCATACTGGACTATGTTTTCGGCGATCTACCGAGCAGGTTGCGTCGCCTTTCCGATATCTCCTCGAAACTCGCCATCCGCCGTAGCTCACCTGATCACCAGCGTCAATGTTACGCACCTCTTTGTCGGCAGAGAGCCGGCTATGGGCGCACTCACAAATGCTGCGCTGGATCTCATTTCAGCACCCGAAGAACGACCACGACTTGTGCAAATGCCGCTCTTTGAAGAACTCTATGGGCAACCACCCGTTGATCCCCAGGACGTTGTCTACGAGAAGCGTGGCTTGGATAGCAGGATTGCTTATTTGCATTCTTCTGGTGAGCGTCGATCCGAGAGCTGTAGAACTGCTCGGAAGCCGTCAGAAAAGTACCGCTGACATCGATCCCGTTTTCAGGTTCCACTTCTTTCCCGAAACCCATTCCTTTCAGCAGTCGGCGCTTCATCGAAATTGCATGTGCGTTTTATTTCGGGAGTAGGGATGTCACGGGTATGGTGTTGTCGATGCACACAGTCCCGATGTTCCATGCCTTGGGATTCATCCTCATGAGTTGTGTTGTACGTGGAAATCGCCTTTTACCAAATGAGTCTATCTGACACCTTCCATGCGACAGACATCGACGGGAATGATTACGTCGATGTTCGAACCTCGATTCCCAGCACAACCTCCGACTCCGCAAGCTCACTTTGACGCATCAGTGGCGACGGAATGCGACGTCGTGGTTTCCGTCCCCTCGGTCATTGAGGTAACGCTCCGGATACCGTGGCTTCCTGGTAGACATCTAACCGAACACCTTTTTTTTCGATAGGCGTGGTCCTCAAACTCAGAATACGTTGAATGGCTAGCCACTCGGACTGGCGTGGTACGTCCATCGTGCCCTGCTCTCGATGGTCACATTCCTGACGCCTGGTAGATGTTTGCTGGTGGTGCGCTGAGCAAAAGTGCAGGCGACTACCTTGTCTCCAAAGGTGTGAGAACGATGAATTTGTACGGAACGTAAGTCTTTGACATCGGTATCTCTGTCCATTGGTTCACATTGTCTTTTGCATCTAGCACCGAAACGGGCGGAATATCGAAGGTAGTTCCAGGTAAGGTCCCTTGCGACCCGTTCATCGTTCTGATATACTGAACCTGAACCTTCGCCTAGACGACGATACGGAATGGGAATACTTTCGCTTGTCGGAGGCTGTCGTGCCAGAACTTGACCCCCAGGGCGATGGGACGTATGAGCTCATACTGATGGTCAGTTACCTTTGAAGCTGAGCTCGGTACGGCGGTGTAGCTGATATCATTGGCGCTACGACTTAGCCTGGGCCAGTCAGCAACCTCATTCTTTCCAACACTACAGTTCGAGGCATCCCAGCGTATGCCACTTCCGATCTCCTCATTCCCCACCCAACGAAACCCCACCTCTACAAGATATACGGCAGGAAGGACGACCAGATTATCCACAGCACAGGCGAAAAAACCAACCCTACGCCTCTTGGTACGCATGACTTTGATAGGATGTAGTTTTTGTGAACTAACGCGATTCCTTACCAGAGGCCATCCTCAATCACGATACGCGAATCAAATCTGCTGTGCTCTTCGGAACTGGGCGCTTCCAAGTGGGCGTCCTGATCGACCCGGAACCTGGGTTGCTACCTGCAGGGGATGAGCGAGCGTTGGAAGAGTTCAAGTCTGCGATATGGCCTTCGATCCAGAAGATGAACGAGTATGCCCCTCAGCATTCTCGGCTATTCAAGGAGGTGCGTGTTGAATTCTGGTTTTCTCAGAGGTACAGCTAACCGCTTGTATAGATGATCATTCTTTCGAAGCCTTCGAAACCGTTCACCTACACCGCCAAGGGCACCGCTCGACGACAGGCGGTCATCCGAGACTACCAAGAAGAGATCGATGAGCTCTACGAAGCCACAGGATCTTCGTCTCTACTCTCTGTGGAGGTGGAGTTGCCCGTCGTTTGGAGCTACGGCAACACTCTCGAGTTCGTCAGAGAGGTCGTCAATTCCACTTTAACCAAGACCGTTGGCGACCAGGACGACATCTTCCACCATGGCTGTGATAGGTGCCGCTTATTATCGCATGGCATTGATTCAAAAGCTCATAAATCTACAGCTTGCAGGCCACGAACATCCGGAACGTCCTATTACGAGGCTTGAGGGATGGCGCAAAGGTCGATACTCTGTCGCTCGGGAAGGGAAACCTCGTCTACACCGCGCCCACAATCTCATCTTTAGCAGACCTCATGATGCGCACCATCGATCACAAGCCTTTGCCGCCCTCCGTCAATTCCTCACTCTCCACACGTGTCGAAAAGATGATGCAGATGGCCGACCACTATTCCCACTTCTCCCCTTCAGAGTCTGTGGCCGCTTTACCTTTGCACCTAACCCAGCCGAGGGGTCAAACTGCTGGACGTGTTGTCCTCTTGACAGGAACAACTGGCGCGTTGGGATCGTACATTTTGGAGGTGTTGTTGAAAGACAAGAGCGTTGGGAAGGTATACGCCCTGAACAGAAGGAGAAGGTCGTCATCGGCGACAACTATCTTGGATCGTCAGAAGAAAGTTTTCCAGGAGAAGGGTCTCGATGTTGCAATACTCGACGCTGCGTCCGGTCGACTTGAGCTCTTGGAAGGCGAACTCTCGAGGCCAGATTTTGGCCTCTCGAAGGATGTTCTTGGCGAGGTCGTGTCATCTGTGACCACGATTATACACAACGGTACGCCCCATTCACCTCTCTCCCAGGCTGACGTCGCTAAGCCTTCATTCAGCGTGGCCCGTGGATTTCAAGTTCTCACTCAAGTCATTCGAACCAATGATCAAAGGTCTCGGCAATTTGATTTCCTTCTCACTGGCATCACCGCTTCGTCCCACCGTACTTTTCGCCAGCACTTTCGCTGTCCTACAGAGTACGCCTTCCTCTTTTTTCAAGAATTGGCGGTTTATTGATCTATCAATTACCACAGATGCCACTCCATCGCCTACACCCTATCAGGAAGTCGAAATTCCGCCCGAGTATGCAATTGGCACTGGGTACACTGAATCCAAATGGGTCGCCGAAGAATTGTTGAGCCGAGCTTCGCGTGACATGGGCCTTCGTTCCCTGGTCGTTCGCGTTGGCCAGATCACTGGTGGTAATAACGGAACATGGAAACCGGAGGAGTGGTTCCCTTCATTGGTCATGAGCTCCCCCGACGTCGGTTCATTTCCAGACTGCGATAAGGTGAGCCTGTCTGCATTATGTGGCTGTATTTCTCGCTAAGTAATCTGCCAGTTGGTCGGCTGGATTCCACTCTCCACGGCAGCGAAAGCGTTCGTGGACTTCTCTCGGCACCCCATCTCTGGGCATCGAATCGCCCATCTCGTTCACCCGCGTCCAATTTCTTGGAATAAGGTCGCTTCAACGATCGCACAGGAGCTAGGCATCCCTTTGAGTCCCTTTGAAGATTGGCTTAGAACTGTTCGAACACTTTCTGAATCCTCTTCTTCAAAACTCGAAGACAACAAACTCAAGCATCTGCCGGTTCTCAAGCTTCTGACCTTCATGGAAACGTCGATCGCCGCTTCTCTCGCTGAACCCAATTGCGATGCAATGGGGATCCCTTTTGTCGACGTCTCGAATGCGCTCGAGTTCTCATCCACCCTTCGCGATCCTAAACTCGCTTCTCTCGACGCCAACGATGTCCGCGCCTGGCTTCGTTATTGGCGGAATGCGAGCAAGATGCCTTTGACGACTGGACGAAGCCAACATGGTAGCTATCTCACTCATTCCGCCATTTGACTCGTCGTCAACTCCTGACTCTAGCTCCCAGGCTCCCATAGACGTCTCTTTACCTCTCTTTGGTCTTCGGTCTTGCATTTCTGTACCATGCTCATTGGATTTTCACGCTGACTGTTGTAATACTCATAATTTGTAAACCACTTCTAGACGAGAACATTGTTGTACATCCTTTGCTGTACATGTAGTAACTTTATGCGCTGTAAATCACACCTGAAGTGACTTCATTCCATCCCTTAAACGGGAGTGATAATGGCGGCTGGGACTTCAGTCGGTGCGTCACCTGGAGCCTTGGTGGGGATGGAATCACAGTTCGGGGCCAAGGGGTGAGTTCCTGGGCCATCGTGGCAGACAGGCCAAGGGGGAGTGACGACGGCAGGGGGAGTAGTCGGCGATGGGGCTGCAACCCATGTCGACAAGGCGCCGCAGCTGGCGGGCATCGTGGCTGATTGTGGTCCCTCCTGGATGGGATTGCATCCCGGAAGTTCGTTGAGATCTGCAATCCGTTCAGTAATTGGTCTTTTCATAATGAACTTGTGTGTACTTACAAGCGTCCTCGACAACCTCTTCGACCTTGTTGGCTTGTCGGCATTTGTTCATGCTGTCGGTATCTTGGACTGTGAGAACAGGGCAGTTGGTCGGGATACCGTCGAATCCAGTGCAGACGTCCATGGCTCGCTGGAGGGAGTCGCCTTCCCATCCGAAGACGTAATCGGCGTGCTGCCCGTAGCCAGTGGGGTCACCCATGCTGAACACGAATGGCTGGCTACCATCCTCCGGCCAAAGGGAGAGGTCATTGAAGGCACGAGTGTCCCAGTTAATCTCGATGAAGAGAAGGGGAAGCCTGACGGGGTGTGAGGCGGGGCAATCAGTTCCGAAGAATTGCAATCCTTCGGGGCTGATGGTTCCAACTGGGTGAGCAACGTGGCTCTGTATAGCTTTTCAGAGACGTGTGGAACGTGTGAGTGTGTTGAGAGGACGTACCGAGTGGTCGGGTGTGTCGAGATTGACTCCGTCCCAGCATCTGAAGTAGATCAGTGCCATGCAATGAAATAAATGAGAATGATCCTTACTGGGGGAAATAGATGTTCGAACGAATACCCTCTTCGCAAGGCTCGTTCGGGAGGTGGAAGGTATCCCCAGGGTAGCCAGGAGTTCCGGAGTTTCCGGGGTCGTTCTTCTTAAAGCAACGGAATGAGGTGGCCCTGTAACCTGGGTCGGTCGGGTCGATATCGTCTGCACGACGCAGAGGGTGGCCGACTATCATTCGGAAACCCTACAAGGTGATCAACTAAAGGTTCTATGATATTCATGGTTACCGTCTGTACCTTAGCAAAGGCCGTGACCTTAAGGTCCTTGGTAGGCGGGTTGGGTTGGAAGTAGTAAACAGTCATGCCACCTGCTGCGATCCCAGGGCCTGTGTTATGGTTGGCCATTTGAGGGACCTAAAGTTGCCATTCCCAGGTCAGGCAGTCGAAGGGATAACCAAAGTACGTACTTACACGAATGAAAGTTCCGTTTCGGGCTTTGAAATACAGAACGGCTGTCCAGTAATTCGATTTATCCTCGACGAATCGACAAGTGGTGCAAGTAGCCGTCTCGGCGATATCGATGCTCGGGTCCATTGTGAAGTTGAAGCTATAGGCAGTCCGCTATCTCAGCACCCGGTCGAAATCGAGTAAAGGGATCTACGTACGCATTCTAGAACGATCACCAACGATTGCCAGGATCGGAAATGGTAAGTTGATGTATCATTTGGAGATAAGCAGTTGACCTACTCCTCCAACAATCTGGTGTAGATGGGGCGAGACCTCCCCAGGCGTTACCAGCCTAGGAGAATACAGTGAGAAGATTATCAAGAAGCGGAGGCCGCACATACGGATCGGATCGCTCGGTAACAAGTTGCGAGCAGGGGAAACGAATGAGTGCATTAGCCAATGGCGCGACGAGCACGCTTGCGACCAGGGCCTTCCAGTGCATCTTGGGACAAAAGGCAGTTTTCTTGGCCGACCGACATTGCAACGCTAGCCGTTAAGTACCAGGGGAGAAGTGGCTGTGAGTAGGAAAATGCATGATCTAAGAAGACCGGCTTGGAACCTCGGAGAGGGTTCAAGGGAGCGAGATTCATCCGTCAACCTATGAGGGTAGTTTGAGTGGTATTAATTGAGGGAAGGACCATATATTAATGTGCACAGGTGCCACCAAGCACGGTCTTGCATCTTCTCTTTCCGAGCAGGGTTCTGAGTGGTTGAGGCAGTTACGGTCCTTATCGAAGCGCCTGACCACTCTGCATACTTCCTAGGTCTCCGCAATTCTACCGATTGGCATAAGAAGCTGATTATCCAAATACGACGGGGTATCATGGAAGTACTTCTCGTAAACGTGGCCAATGTGTTCTGCCGCTGGTATCTTGGTATTGAATTGAAACATGAGATCGACTTCCACGCAGAAGGCAGCGGAAAGCCACGCGAGAGAGCAGGTAGCGCTTGAATGTCGTTGAGCTTCTACGAAGCTCCTCTAAATATCGCATCCAAAGACAAATTTCTGACATCACCCATGTGTAGAGGTTCGAATAGTAGAGTGGGCGTCCGTTACTTTACGAGATGTTCACGAGGCCAGACTCTGAGGTGCACACAAGTACCGGGGAAACACTATGCGGAGCTTTGAAGGACTAGCGGCGACATGGATTCAGGCTCTGGCGAATCACAAGAGGCCTCGAGCTACGTCGAATCTATGGCCTTCTAAATCTAATATTCCACTTTCCACTCGGATAACATGTGGACATGATCGACCCGCCTGTTTCTACGTATTCGGGAATCTCCGCAGAAATGGAGGCGAAAGATGGGGCGTGCGAGAGGCATGGATGCACCATAAAATGGACAGGACGAATCCCTTGGGAGTGCCGTAGGCGCCCAACGCAGACATGTAAAATTGGGGCGGTTGCCACTCCGCCCAGGCTGCCATGTTGAGCCCCAATCAGGCACCTTTCCATGCCGATGATCCGGCGGGCCTGAGGCCAATACCGGCGCTTAATTGCCTGGAAAATACCCACGACCCCTATTTCGAAACGGGAAGGTGTTGTTTTTTCGCCACGCCCATGCTCGTCCTTGCTTCGCCCTTGCTATCGCACCTGTAGTGGTACACATGATATATCATCTACCTGTAATTAGTGATTAGCGGTGTTATATCCTATCTCTAAGTTAGAGGAGAGTCTATTGCTGATGTAAGGACCCGAGGAGATATATCTCCTCCCTGAGGGTACGAAAACGGATAGTTCCGCGCCTATTTCTTTGCAGGCGGGGTATTCCCGATTGGGAAATGAGCGCGCAGCCGCCCCGCCCTCTCGCTCGGAGATGCTGGCTGTGCGGTTTTTCTCGTCTTTTCCGTCCCTCTTCTTGTGATTCTGGCGACACATAATCTCCAACTTGGTATCACAGCTTGCTAGAAAGCTTTTGATAGGGCCACGCCGTGTTCAAGAACACTTCTTTTGACCTTTTAGGTTGATGCTTGGTCGGATAATGGTTCGACCTCCTCAGACACGGTGCTATTGGTATTTATAATAAACTTAACGATAGTCAATGAAGACCAAATACAGTCCCTGACACCCGCAAGTCCCGTCCTTGAACAAATACCGCTATGGCTCCATGGGTTCTGTTTCATTCCACCCATCGTTGCAACTTTCATAACCTTCCGACCCCAGCTGGCTGGCATGGCTACCCATGGCACGACCCATGGCAGGGACTTCAAAGCGTCCTGGTGAATCAGTTGAAAGCATTAAGCCAGCAGGGAGCCATAGTGAGACCACGGGACAGCGAGTCGCGGGATGTTGTGTGGTCATATGAGTGTAAATCATGTTAACAATGGCCAACCTAATGGCTTTTGTCTGACCTTTACTCCCCAGGCCCCTGAGACCTAGGATACCTATCTCATTAGAATCAGGTATATCTTTCCGCATTTCTGATTATTTTTTCGGAAATTTAGAGTCGGTGAATGAGAAGATCCAAGCCAGGACATTTTGCGGCTTTGGGCGCTTGTACCGGGTTACGACTAGCGCTCAGGTGTCGTCCCTGTATGTCACAAGCGGTAGATATATCGAGAATCGGGCCGCCTTCAGAACGCTCGGTTCACAGAAGCCAGATATATCGAGCTTTTAAATACATAGGCCCAGAAATGGGCATGAATGGCGTTCGGCACTGATACCGCGGAACAAGCAGTACAGGGCCCGGATATATCTAAAGTGCCCATCTGTAACTTACAGATAGGATATATCACCTCTAATTTGTGATCATAGGCACTTGATATATCAAAACGACCGCTACGACTGGCTATCGAGAACGGCACACACTCTCTTACAGTCCAGATATCAGGACGAAATAACCAAGATCATCCTCTGGACCGGTTTTGTAGATCTCAAATCCAAACCTGCGTTAAGACACGGATACAGAGACACCTTCCCGGCAAAGGCTGTCGCTGATTCTCTGGGAGGACTCGTTGGCCTTTTTACTTTCCTCCGTCATTTGTCTGTGCAAGCGGAGTAACACCATTATTGCCCTCAGGAACAGGACACTCCGAAGCAACGGTCAACAAAGCGCCTTCCCTGCTCGGTCCCTTCGTTGACGTGTCTCTCTGAGTCCTCGAGCCTTAGGCAAGCTTCCCATCGACCCCTCTCGCTCTCCCATAACCCTTTCGTCCACTCCAACCATGCATACTGTACATTCTGCATCAGCCAACCCGCACGCACCAGATGGATCTTGCCCAACTGTGATAATATGTCAATGAGACATGCTGACTCTTCCATCCACCGCTGACTCTCTTAACATCGTCGTCGACTAGGACTGTTGTAACTTCATGATACATAGTGCGTAGAAGTACATAAGTGGTTTCGGCGAGCTCGTGGGCCCAAGCTGTTGAACGGCAGAGGCCGGCAGGCTGCTCAATTTCATGATGGCTCGGCGTCTGTTCTGAGCAATGCAATTGGACCAAATTGGCAGGGCTTGTATTTCTGACCCTGCCATTTCCTTGGACTGTGCCTTGGGAGAGCTTGGGAGATTACCGTTCCCGAAGTACAGGTCTATATTGGTCTTTACGGGTTTAAACGTTTATGACCTGACAGGTCTGCGATACGTTTACAATGTAGGCACCCGGAAAACAAGGGCGTCGATGCAGCATATATCTCACGCGGAAAGGTGAGGAGGCGAGACGGAAGTTCTTCTCGATGTCCAGAACATGGTGAGCAGAAACGTATACGTATTCTTCGACGACGACGACGACTCTTTCAATTTTCAGACATCAGAAGAAGCTAGCGACTGGGTTGTCGAGAAGGATTCGTCAAACCGATGGGCAGGGGGTGGGCGTACACTCCTTACGGGAAGCAGTGGGGAGTTTACGTTTACATTTAACGGTGAGGAAGGCTACTTGATATTATTAGAAACGAACACGCAATCTCACAGGACGTTAGGGACGGACGTTGAAATTATGGGTGATGTGCCTTTGTCTGCAGAGTCACAAACTGTGCTGGTTCAACTCGACGGTGAAGCCCCTCGTGAATTATTTCTCCAAGACTCTTCCCAGTTTCGCAATGGCTCCTATCGACGATGGCTTCATCTACGTGATTTGGACGACGGCACTCATACACTGCATCTCAGTCGCCTCCCTCTCGGACTCTCCGTTGACTTTGCGGTCGTGGCACCGGGACTGGACCATGTTGTGCAGGGAAGGCAGCTGATGGTGGACGATCTGAATTCCGATCTGAGGTTCCAAGGAAACTGGAGCACCGTACAACCAGTGGTGGGGAGGGATTCTGAAGCCGAACGATTGCCACTTCCCTGCGGGCTCTCGTCACACCAGACCGCAACTGAGGGATCTACGGCAATGCTCTCCTTTTTTGGTATGTCCGACGCCGCTCTTGTCGTGGATGCAACCTGACCGCGTTTTAGGGTCTAGCGTGTCCGTTGTTGGCCATAATAGCCTCACAGCACCAATCGTTGTCAACTTCACCATTGACGATGGCGTCCCAGAACGAGTCACCTTGGGTCCTCACATCTCTGACGGAATCTCCACCCAATTCCCTTGGTTCACTCGAGGTGACTTAGGCGCCTCCTCGCACTTGCTCAAAATCGAGCTCATAGAAACCAGAGACCAGCCGTTTAGCATCGACTACATCCTCTACAAGTCAGAATTTCAGCGGCCTAGGATGAAACCGCGGACCAAATCCTCAGTTCCAATGGCAGTAGCGGCTGGTACTCTCGGTGGCATCATTGGATTCACCCTCCTAATCGTCCTTATTATCTGCCTCTGTAAGCGCAGTAGTACCGTCATTGCTTTACGGAAACGCACCCTTCGAAGCAATGGTTCGTATCTCCCTCGACTTCCACGACACCAACTAATGTTGCCCTTTCACAGGTAAACTCCCCATCGATCTCGACCTTGAACTCTCTCGCGGGAACGGCGGGCCACGTCTCGGAAAAGCAGGACCGAACGCTTTCGCTTGGGTACCAACAGCGTCTAGATCAAGACCAACGCTCAAGCCCGAACCCTTTATTATCCCCTTATCCGAGTGGACACCACCTCCTTCTGCCACCAGCACCCGAGATCGCAAGCATCCCGTCCCACTGGACAACATCCACGATAGACGTCCCAGTCAAACCGCACGGGAGATCGGAGAACTGTACCGCGTTGTGCATATGCTGACTCTGGAGACTGAAAGGCTACGACAAAGCCACTCGAGCAACGCCAGCCCCGTGGATCGAGAAGTCGAGCCACCGCCGTATCAGGAAACGAGCTCTCTCGATGAAGACCTTAGCCCTGCTCGGTCACCATTGGTACAAGGCACTCTCCATGGTTCCCGAACCCTAACGCCTTCTCCCATAACATCGACCGGACCTCCTCTACCCAGATCCCTCCCCCACCCGGCACCCTGAATGCCGACACCATCCCCTCGAAACCTGCGAGAGCGTGATAACGAGGGATTCTCCGTTTCAACTTTGCCTGCCTCCCTTTTCCGCTCATTTTTCGCTGTTCTATCCCCTTTCCCTTTTGATGCATATGGCACCAATCACTCCATTCCTTTCACATTCTCTGTGTTCTGGCCCATCTCCTCATATTGCGCGTTTACCATCACAATCATTTTGGTTCCCTCATTAAGACATGGATATATTGTAGCCATAGTTTTCTTTCCTTTCCTCACAACTCTTCTGTTACATAGACATCACAGTTTTTAACGACCCTGTAATGTGACGGGATGGTTCCTCTGGGCAACCTTTCCGTCTGCTTTATCATCCAATTGTAGTATACTGACATTCTGAAGCATGTACTGTAGCATATAGCGCTTGGTATCAGTTAACGCCATCGCGTATTAGCATTAGAAAAACGCGATGGGATTTGTCTCCGTTCCCGTAATCTCCTGCAATACATCCCAGTGCTCAACAATGCACGTCCCTTCGAACCTAAAATAGTCGATGACCGCGAACGTAACGGTGGGAAGGGTCAATTTGAAATGGGTTGCGCCATATCCCTGTCCGCCAAACACTGTGATGTTGGTGGTCGTAACTGATGGATCGGAGAAGCTGTTGCTCAGAAAGTCGATCGCAAACTGTCGCCCCTGCTCTGCAAACGGGTTGTGTTGGATATATTGTCTAGAGTCGGTAGATAGTCAGCGGTACGTAATGTAGATTGGGTACTTTGTGCACGTGCACTTACCCCGGCACCCAGCGATCGAACGCAGTTTGAACGTCGTGCTCGATGAGATACAGGCAGCCAAAGCTGCTTGCTGTCTTGCTTCAAGGTGTGGTCCCCGAGCATTAGGGTCGCAGACCACTGGTGGTCAGTTGCCGTGCCCATTCCCATTTCCCTCTTCCTCCGCCCTTTGGACCTTGAGGGATGGCACAGGCCATGCCAGGTGAAGAGAGTGAGCGCGACCCAGGACGTGCTAAGCAGATACAGGCGCATGGCAGGCAATATCTCTGTCAAACCTGTCTAGCCTGTTATCGTCCTCCTGTAGACCTAGCGATACGCCCAGGGCGATACGTGGATCTATGGTCTGAAAAATCTAGGGTAGCATAACTTATTTGGGCGAAAGGCATGGCCTAACGTGAATCGCATTTGAGGGTCACAATGCCGTGAAGAATGACCGCCTCTCCTGTCAGATACTTGGTACCTCGATTGGGCGTCTATGGCACCGACCCCATCGACCACATCGCATGACTGATGGTCTTCCTGAGCGGTTCAAGAAACAGAGATTGAAGCGAGTCTTCTTGCGTGACCTGGACTCTGGATTTCCCCCTCCTACACGCTGAGCAATAGAAAAGAACACATCAAGTTCCAAATATTATTCGCGTCCCTATGATACGCAGGTATACCGTTTCACGTTCACGCCTCACTGACCAACCCTCCCGATTTCCTCCAACACGCAATCCAACCAGCCACATCTTCGCTGGACAAGACCTGTACCTCTCGATTCCGCAGCTTCGAAGACAACTTCGCCGCATTTGCCAGAGAAATCAAAGGAAACGTCGTGGGAGAGCAGAGCATCCTGCCATGTTTGAAAAATGGAGCAAGCGAGCTGACCCTAGCCATGGCCTTCGAAGGCATCGTCCCATCGGCGTGGCATCGGCTTTCAAGTGTCTCCAATCGAGCAAGCCAGTCTTGGTATTGTGCGACGGGCAGGTTCAGTTGGTGAGACAGCGCCGATTCGATGACCTCCCATGAAATAGGAGTCGGGTGGACAAGGTGGACTATTGGATCCTGCCACGGATGATCCATATACTCTTTGATAACCTGAGCGGCGTCTTTCGCGGGCAGCCAAGAAATAGTCTGGGCGTTGGTTAGGATGTAGAAGAGAGGGCATATCCAGCGCAGTACTTACCCCGACAAGCTGTGGCAAACAGCCCAGCAAGACCGATCCTTGAACAAGGGTGGGGAACCATTCGCCGACTTTCCAAATGTTCCCGTTGCTACTCGTTAACTGCCCAACGCGAACAACTAGCGCAGGAAGATTTGCGGTGCGTACAGCTTCGAGGATTATCTCTTCTGCTACCCATTTGGATTCGGTGTATCCCATGCCCACCGCAACTTGCGGTGGAATCGACTCCTCGAGGAATTCGCCGTGGGTCGACGAACCTTTACAACGTCATTAACTTAGTCTACATCCAATGCTCACGAGTGCATGACTAAAAGCGACTCACCACGGAAGACTCCGATAGTGCTCGTAAATATGAACTTGGGCTTGTCCACCCTTGGAGATGCGAGCACAAAGTCGATCAAGCATCGCAAATCACGGATGCTCGGTTCGAACGACTCCAGCGACAAATTGAAATGGACGGGCCACGCTATCATCCAGCCACTCAATTCATTGGATCTGATTCAACACGTGGATTAATCCTTACCGTTATGTACGATGTGCGTCACACTTCTTTTCATCTAGAAAACGGTATTAGTACCGCCAGTGGCCTTTGGGTTAGAAGTAAAACGCACCTGTTCAAACGTTTCCGGACTCAATCCAAACCGAGTGGCAGATAGGTCAGCTTCTAGAAGGACAATCCGCTCTGAGGTAAGTAGCGCTTGACCATCAATGTCCATATCACTGAGGACAGCAATCTGTTGCGCAACGAGTGCCGCCTTTCCGCCCCGTCTTCCACGATTAAGCGCGTAGATGGTTTGAATTCGTGGATCTTGGTTGAGCTCGAGCAGAAGATGAGATCCCAGGGTTCCCGTCGTCCCGGTGATTAAGACGACCCTAGCTTCATCATCGAGCATTTGTGACGACGAGACGCAACTGCAAACTTTTGCCGGAGCGAGGAAGTCGCGTCCGTGAACTTTGACCATGGCCTTCATGGCGCCAACCTTAGACTCGACTGATGCTGCCGACATGGGGGTGTCCGACCCCGAAATCGAGTGAGCAAGGAAAACCGCCAGCTTCGTGATCGTTGGATATCGATACACGAAATTCTCGATAGCGTGGTCGTGTTCAATCTGCTCGAGAGAAGGGAGATTGTGTAGCAGAGCATGTCGGACGCAGGTTGCATGGAAGCTATGGAGATAAAAGTCGTCAGCGAACATCGACGGCCTTCCAAAAACCACTTACCTATCCAATCCGTGTTGGAACAAGTCGCTGTCATCATTTAATATCTCCGCATCCACTGCCTTTCGTACCACAAAGCGAACGAGTTCCAGAATCGACTGGAAGTCCCATGTTTCCGCGGGTTCTCGATCGAAGTTGGGGGATGACTTTTGGCCCTTGTACAAAGAAGCAACCTCCGCTTGGTAGTCTTTCAATATGATTTGCCTTCTCGGCGTGCCTTTCGCCGTGTATTGAAACGGCTTTCCGGGATCTGATACGAGGATCATCTAGAAGCTGACGGTGAGGCTCTGCCAATTCACCTGTTCGACTGAAACTCACGTCACGGAGAATGCGTGAATGTCTGGGGACCACCGCGTTGACTCTTTGAACTGTTGGTCTGTATGGACGATCCCGTTAGCAAGGTGTTCACTCAGAGGTGGCACTACGCACGCTACTGAATCGAGAAACCCTGTGAGTTCCTCACCATTCTTTGGGTCAAAAGGCGTTATCGGGTCTATGAGGACACCGGCTTGTAGCTGTCCGCAACCGAAAACGACTGCTGATCTAATAAGGGGATCGGCGCCAAGCAGACTCTCTGAAGCGTATCGGTGTTGAGCGATAACAGCAACGGCAACAAGTGCAAGTGATTACCTATTGGCCCGGGATTAGTCTGAGGTCTCGTTAGCTCATGGCTAATACGGTGACTAGAGGTAGGGAATGACCTTTTCACCACTGCTATGCATAATCTGATCGTCCTTACGGCCGTAAACCTTCCAGTAGCCAGGTTTTGAAGGATGTTTCTCGAAGAGGTCGGAAGTGGCGTAAGCTGGCCGACCTCGGATGGTAGTGTTCGTGACGCGTAGACTGTTGTAGGAGTTGCACTATACCCAAACATCAGGAATGGGCCGAAGAAGCCAAGGTTATCGTACACACCAACATCACGAATTCAAAGTACCCGTCTCCCGAAGGTACCATTTCCACTGTGGTATTGCTTGCAAAACGGAAATACTCCCAGTCCGAGTTCCTGTCAGCTTCAACGGGGGTCAGTTGACGGGGACTCTCGAGTACCACAAGGGAAAGTCGTCGTGCCTGGGATGATGACGTTGACAGTTCCACACTCAGAGCTGCCCCATGCAAATCTCAACTTCACTCTGAAAAACAGGTACGAAAGTTGGATACCTTCCGTAAAGTGGATAGACAGCGATACCCTCAGAGACGAGCGAATCACCGACTTCCTTATTCAATGGCCCTCCTCCGTATATCTAGAATGGTGATACAGATGGCGAATAGTCAATGGCGCGGTCCACTCGGATTCGAAGTAGTAGGTGGGACGTACAACCCCCATCAATTCGCGGAGCTGCCTCACTTTGGAAGCATCCCTGGACCATGCCTGTTGCATAGAGTCAATCGCCATTCATACTGCTGAATGAATCAAAATGGTACTTCTATCATTGATGGGACAGCAAGAACGAGATCGCTTCTCGTGATAGACAGGGCGTCAAAGTGATTTTCAGGTGTTGGATAAATGGCCGGTGAGCGTGGTTCAAACACCGACAAGACGATACCCGTGGTCGCCTAAGACAGTCAGGTTAGAACCATTGAATAGCGCAGGCTCTGAAGGGGCACATACCGCCCAGCCAATTTGCATCATACCCAACCCATGGTACACGGGAACTCCGTGAATCGCCAAAACCTTTCCTGTCAAATCGCGTTCTCCGAAATGACATACATACCCAAGTTGCAGGATCTGTCGGTAAGTCCAGGGAATTGGCTTCGGAAACCCAGTCGAACCTGGCCACCAGGGCTTAGTTTGACGCTTTCGTTCGGATGGTGACTGCTATGATCTAGACTCACCCGATGAATGAACGTAAAGTTGCACTTCGTTAATAGACCTTCTCTGATAGGGCAAATCGGTCGCTGATACTAGGTCGCGCGGGTGCGTGAACGGAGGAAGCTCCGAGACCGAGGGAAGCGAGATTGTCGTGGAAGACGCCTTGAGGAGCTCCACAGCTTCTGAAACGAGAGAAACGAGACCTGGCTCTGAGCCTCGAATGACGTGTGTAACCCCTACTTTATTGCACAGATGAGCAATGGCGGCAGGTGAGTTTCGAGGAGACATAGGAAAGCCTGTGAACCCGGCACGAGCAAGGCCAATTAATGTCCTGAAGTAAGTTACGGTATCTTCGAATATAACGGTCATCACGCGGCGTCTTTCAAAAGTATTGAGACATGCTCACCGCAGTTTATAACCAATGCAACAATATGGAACCCTTGTGTTACTGCCTTGGACTCTAGCAGTGTCCGGAGACGTCTCGCTTCGTGTCGAACCAAAAGGGCCACCTCGAACCATCGCAATACTTCGACGTGTCCGCCAGAGACAGGGTATGCGAAGACAGGATGCAGCGCACTATGCGTTTCGTGCCATTCGACAAGCTCGGGGAGGTTCAATGACATATCCAACGGGGGGCGAGAGAACGTGGCAGATGAGAGGCTCCGCGTCGGGGGAGGCACTACGTTCTGGCAGTCAGCACACATATTGACTGGCAATGGGTGGGGAGGTGTCCGCGAATTCGCGACTGCCAGTGCTGGAATGGCTCGAGTGAACCACCTTCGGAATTTAAGCTCGCGGGTATAGGCGTTGCCGTGGATCAAGCCGCTAAATCACCATAATGCTGGTGCAAATCGTTAGTGGTGCGGAAAGCACATGGGCAGCAAGAACTCACGCCATCGAAGGGTGCAGAGCGGCAATGATTGGAGATCCTGTGCGACCATGAACGGAACCGAATCGCCCAGTTGGAGATGTGGTCTGATCCGCTCGAAAAGACTCACCGGAGGGTCCAGACTACGTTTTTCCTCACCGAAGCTTGCAGTATAGAGCGAATGATCTCCGGAAACCAAATAGTGCAATAGGTTAGTTAAACGCTATCCCCAACGCTATTGACCTTCTCAGCTCCCCACCGAAGGAAGCCGTAAGCCAGAGCAGCCAAAAGGAAAGACCAATCGAACAGGGAACCAAAAAGTTCATACTCCGGTATGGTCGAGAAAAGATTGACGGCCGAGGGGTTGTCGGTGTCGGTCTGGGGTGGTGGAAACGATGCCCGCATCTGAACCACTGTGGACAATAGGTAGATTCCCTGCGTGTTTGGTTGGATCATGACAAAGTAGTAGATATGGTGAACCAAACTCACCATAATCTGAGCGAGGAATAGCAGCATCAGCGACGCGCCTAAATTTCGACTGGAAACACGCAGGAGCTGGCGCTATCAGTCAGATGGACATAGCATGGACGCTACTGTCAACTTACCCGTGAAACGCCACGAAGAATGTACCGGACACTGGTAAGGATGATGATACCAACAAAGATTAGGCTCAGCTGTCGCGAGAAAGAAGCAATGTCATCCGTTTGGATCGAAATGGAGGGGATGCGGGAGATGCCGTATGCCAGAGCGTTCGAGAGGAGGTCGGAATAGTGGAGATTGGAGGTTGAGCGCTGTGAAGGGAGGAACAATACATTATATGTGCACTGATGGACGGTCAATCGCATTTTCTATACCTTGGGATACACTCACGCTGACGACTCTTGTGACACAATAGATAGCAAAAAACCGTCCAGCGATGGTCAGGAGGCGGCCTCTCCATGTTTCCGAATATATGGCTCCTTCTCTGCGACTCTTGAGTTCTTCGACATTGCGGGCCATCTGGTACTCGAGAGATTCCAGACCGCGGAGTATTTGTGATCCTATCCAGAACGTTACGAAGGCCGCTGAGATATAGTGGTGATTGCTTACGATCATCGCCTCCGCGAAACGAGGCTCCCACACGGGAGAACCAAGACTCTTGGGTCTCTGCACTCGAAGACCGGTTCAATTCCTGTCGCCTCTGGTACAGGTCGCTGCGAATGTTGGATAGGGTATATTCTGCCGCTTGTATCTCGGCTTCCGTGGGAACCGATCTGGGGAATAAGTGAGACAACAAAACATGCGGACGACATGAATGCGCACGTCTGACGGTTAGATAACGAAGGTAGAAATTGCCACGAATTGTTGACGGCACCAAAGCCAGACAGAACTCCAAGTATAACTGTGCCAAGTACAATCAAGCGAGCGAGAATGCTGCTAGAGATGTTTTTGGATGCCAGGCCAGTTGGGAGCGGGATATGGGAAAGAGCAAAAAGAAAAAGAGCGACAGGAATAAGGTATGCCAGCGCTCGTGGTCCACAGAAACTGCGCAATGAGATTCCACCTGAGGCGACTGTGTGAGCACATGTTCAAAGAGGAGTGAGTAAGGCCTCACCGGCTCTCCCAGCACTCAGAGTGAGGCTGACACACGCAGGAATGAAGAGGAGGATCATGGTCACGACGAAGAACAACGAGAAGTACCAGTTGAGGAGCCTCGTTCTGAACATGTGAAGCGAGTTTGATCTGCCATTCAACAGGGACGGCTTACCGAGAACCGAGAAGATTTAACGCTTGAAAAACCAACAACACGAACATCATGGAAGATTCGGCAAAGGTCCAGGAGAATACACCTTGCGCAATGACAGAATGCGCCGACTGTGGCTGTCCATGCGTTCGGGATGCGTGAGTGGACGGTGTAGGCAGCTCGTCGAGTTCAATGTCGTCCTTGGAGGCATCAGACAAGGACCTTAAGTTTGCGTATACGGTTCTCAAGAGATATTTCCTACACCCCCAAAACAGCCCTAGCCTGACCAAATGAGTCAGCTGTCCCAATGAGAAGCACAAACTACACACCTAACGCCAAAAAGGAGTCCAGTCTCGAGAACTACCAACGTTGATGACATGACGGCCCAATTATGATGAAACGATCCTAAATCGTACTGAGCTTGCGCTGTGCCGTCGAACTCGTTAGGCGTGCGCGTCGTCGAATTGCTAGAGGGGCCCCTAAATCGTTGGGCAGGGTCTCTACCCGTCAGGTGGCCGGTGAACTGCTGGGTGGGGACGCCCGAAGCTCAGAAGATATAGTTTCAAGCTAGAGATAACTGCCTTGCGATAATCGGCGTCCTCTCCAACGACTTCGAACGCGTTGAAGGCTAGGCGGGGCCGTAAACGCGAGCTCGTCGTCAGAGACAAACTGGAGACCGCGACGAACCTGGTAGTTACACAGAGCTCGTTAGACGGTGTTTCAGGGGCTGTTGTAAGGCCCAGATCTCCTTAAAAGCGCGTAAATTGGCTTGGTCGTCGTCGTGGACAGCGATCAAGAAGGTCATAAATCGGTATCTGCTCATGAGGTTGCGACGGGATTGGCCGATTGTTCAAACTCCGCATTCTGATGCGACTCCGTCGACTTGGTGCGACTCGGACTTTCCGTCGGCCAACAGCACCTGCTCCTAAACATCGAGTCTCCAGATAGATATATTGCAAATAGTCGAATGTATACCTCAGTCCTCAATACATCTCCACAAACCACATGTATAAGACCTTTTTCTAAAAGCTCGTCTCATCCTCGGTGATTTTATACAGGGATTTAGAGGACGAGGCGACGGGATCGGTCGAGAAGTCCTCGAGTCCGCGAGGTTTATGCGGCAGTAGAAATACGCTTAAGTCCGTCTGAAGTTCGTCTCTCTGCAGAGCTGCCACACCGAGCCATCAAAAGATGTCGAAACTGAGAGCTCTACGCTTCGCCCTTTTGACCGCTGTATCTGTTCATGCAGCAGTCCATCAAGGACTCGACGAATTAGATGCAGAGCAGGACTTCGATTTCATCGTCGTAGGCGGTAAGTTGCATCTTCACCTTTAAAGGTAGCTACTTACATCATAGCTCAGGTGGAATTGGCGGTTCTGTCGTCGCGAGTCGCTTGAGCGAAAATCCGGATTTCAATGTTCTCCTTGTGGAGGCGGGGCCTGAGTACGTCCACCAACACCCCAGCACCCTCTGAGAGCCTGACCACTATTTTCAGTAACGATGGTGTCCTCGATATTGCCGTTCCAGGGTACACAGACCGAATTAACAGTACCTACGATTGGAGATTTAGGACGGAGCCGCAAATTGGTTTAAACAATCGCACTTTCTCCTACGACAGGGGACATGTCCTTGGAGGAAGTAGCTCTGTTAGTAAGTCATTTCGTTCCAATCTTGCCAATCTCTTAGTCACAGTCTGTAGACAGCATGATTTACACCAGAGGTGCCGCCGAGGACTATGATCGGTGGGCAGAGGTCACCGGTGATAGCGGATGGACTTGGGACGCGTTGTTCCCCTTGATTAAACGGGTGAGTAGCCCATGCATCCGTACTATTTCTCCTCCTTCACTCATAGTCGATTGTAGCACGAGAAGTTTGTCCCTCCGCCTGGAGGTCGCAACGTGACAGGACAGTACAACCCAGACGTACATGGATACGAAGGAAACTCCTTGGTCAGCCTCCCATGGAGTGAGCCTACCGAGTTCGACAAACTTTGCTTGAAGAACGCAGAGGCTCAGAAGGATGAGTTCCCCTTCAACATTGATCAGAACTCCGGCTCCCCAGTTGGTCTCAGTATGTCTACCGAATTTTCGTATGCTTCCTTTCAGTAGCTTATGGAATCGTAGCGTGGATGCAGTCGACTATTGGCAACGGCGAAAGAAGCAGCGCGGCGACCGCTTACCTCGGCAACGACGTCAGAGCGAGGCCTAACCTCTCTATTCTCCTTAACACGTACGCAACACGGGCCATTCCTGTCGCACACTCGGGTGAAGGGCTAGACATACGAACAATCGAGTTAGCCCCGAGACGTGGAGGTACGGTTATTGCGTTTCATCATTATGTACCTCTGTTGACTGGCTTCGTGTAGCAGGATCCTCGGTAACCCTGACAGCACGCAAAGAGCTCATTCTCACAGCTGGTGCCTTCGGTACTCCTCACATCCTGCTTAACTCGGGTATCGGTGACCGCGAAGAGCTCGCGGACGTCGGTGTTGAAACAATCCACCATCTACCTGATGTCGGGAAAGACCTGCATGACCACGTCTTTGCATCTGTGATGTGGACAAATCGTATTCCAGCTCCACGACCGTCAGTTCTATCGACTGCTGTTGTATAGGGTTCAGAGACTTAGGTCATTTATAGGGTTTCTCCCGCCCAGGCACTTGCGGAATGGCAAGCGAACAGGACGGGTCCTCTCACCGAGGCTGCCGGGGCTGGTCACCAGGTCCTCTGGTCACGCATTCCATCAGACTCACCCATTTTCGAAGAGCATGACGATCCAGCCTCCGGTGTTAACGCACCCCATATCGAGACTTTCCTCGCGGTAAGCGTCCATCTTTGCCTTTTCAAAGACCTGGACTAAAGTTGGCACAAGCCTTCTGCCAATTTCCTCATGAGTGGAGTGGTTCTCTTGACCCCATACTCACGTACGTCGATCTGTCACCACCCTCCCATACTATACTCACTCACTCGGTCTGACATCGTCTACAGGAGGGACCATCAAGCTAAGGTCGAACGATCCTTTCGATCCTCCCCGCATCGACCTCGCACTGTTGACCCACCCATTCGACGTGCTCGCGCTGAAGGAAGGTATCCGGAACACCCGTCGATTCTTCAGTGGTCCCGTTTGGGAGGGCTACAGTCTCAGTACATTCACTCCCAATCCTGACACGGTTCCTGCCGATGAGTATGAGAGGTATCTCCGGGGTGCTGCAGGAACATTCGGGCACGCAGTTGGCACAGCGTCCATGTCTGCGAAGGGCTCGGACAAGGGTGTACTGGATCCTGACCTTCTTGTCAAAGGTGTCTCTGGACTGCGTGTGGTCGACGCTTCTGCGATCGTAAGTACTCAAATGATCATCCTCGACCCTCGTCCTGACTCGTCCCTAGCCCTTTGTACCAGCGGCGCACAGCCAGGCTGCCGTTTACATTCTAGCTGAGCGAGCAGTAGATCTTATTCGGGAGGCTTGGAACTGAGTATCGCCCATCCAATAAGCGCATTCCTTGTAACATATATGTACAATCATATCTCTATCTCTTCTCAGAAGTTGGAGTCTCAGAACCATTCGAGATCTGTTCTTCTTCGTCTCTCTGAGGACGCACTGAAGCCAAGAACGATTGCTCCGTTGGTCCATGATCGAAAACGAGGGGCTTGGACATCGCGGTGGCAGTTGCTGCATTCAGAGGCGTTAGCCAAGATCTTCCAGTTGTCACTCGGAAGATAATCATCTGGGGCGAAAGCGCCTGAAGGAGGTACAGTAAGCTCTCTATAGGAGCGGGCATTAGTTACACAGCTCACCGTGAAGGAATAATACAACAACGAGAATGTCGACAGGGCGATTTGCCAATTCGAGGCTGACTCGGTCGTCGATCCGGGGGTAATGATCAAAGCAACCGCATGTCCGATGCCAAACAGGGCGAGAGGCAAGGCAGACTCGATAAGAATGGCGACGATCCCGTTGTAGAGATTCAGATTTCTCTCCGGGATGACCTGTGCGAAGTGCTTTCGGGCTCGAATAAGGCGGAATGAGATGAGGCCGGTGACCATGATGTTGAGAGCGATGGCGAGGAAGGCGAAAACACTTCCACTAAGTCTACTTCCCTGGATCGGAGCTGGAACAATCATACGCATCCCCATACCTGCGGTACGTAGCACAGACGCGTTAACTATGGATACTCAATCATCGAGCTTCACGACGTACCGATGGATCCCAGATAGGTCAGACCGGGAAGGATGAGGAACCACCACTGGTCTGCCCACATGATGTAACAGCGGTACAACTACAAAGAGTCAGTTCGTATAATGAGGAGGAGGAGCTGATTTTGGTCTCACCATTAGTCCATCCGCCACCCAAATGAAGACGGACAGTGATGCAAGACTGAGAACTCGCAGGTAGCTGTCGGCATACTTGTCCCAGACAAGGTAAAAATCCCTCGGAGACGTCGCTTCAAAAAGGCATCGGAATATATCATACATGTCGACCACAGCCGTGAGTGCAGAGAGCGCGAAGATCACGAAGCTGACGACGATATAGGGGATACGGCCACTTCGTAGATCCTTTGGAGTTTCCAAAAAGACAGAGAGCCCGTATAAGCACATAAACAGTTGGATACCTACGATAAGGAGGGTGAGTGTTAGGCGACAAAATGCTTTCCAGCGTTGAAGTCTGCTACACCTACCGACGTCCATAAAGGTGACTGTAGAGTTGGCAAAGAAGGTCCTCGCCATAACTCCTCCGAAAATGTCCAGGTCGACCGCCATTTCTCTCCCTGAGCCTGAGATCCTGTGTGTTCACGTTATGCCCGGTGGGGAAGGAAGAGTGCTTGCTAGTCGAACAGATCCCTCTCGCTTTTTATATCCCTACAGACTCCATAGAGATTTAAACTCTATTCATAGACCGGGTTGGGCGCTGCAGCGTAAATCTTATCAAGTGCACCGAGGAGACCGTCAGCGGCGCGCAAGTCATTAGAACGTTGAAAGATTGTTGATGGAAACTGTATTGAACACTTGTCACAACCTCACTCTACACCTACACATCCGGAGACTAGGGCTATCTCGTGACTGAGCTGACTACCTGTAGCGAATAAAGAGAGCAAACAGTTCTCTTTGTATTGTAAGGTCTACGGTCAGCGGTCAGACATCGCCCGGAAGCTCCGTCATGGCAGCCTTCAAGCATGGTACTAGTACGACTTCACTGCGACAAGACGCTCGGGATCGGGGCTCCATAGGACCTGAGGTGATACGACTAGCTATACAGAGCGCGTTTCTATCGTAGACAGGCTATTATCAACCTTTCGACACATATAGAATAGCGGGCTACAATGGAATGATGGTAGGTGATGGACTAGAGGATTTTCTTCACAGTCAATTCAGTACAGACTACTTAATAATACTTACGTTCTCGTCAAGGCCTGCGGGATAATTGATAGTGGTTGTCTGCGGGTGCTTCTCAACATGTCACATCATATCTACACGCCTGTTTCAAGTACAGTAATTAAGTAGATGAATGAATTCAGAGATTTGCAATGCCGTGGAGGGCTGCTATTCCCGATTCCGTATGGGCGCTTCACCTACAAGTCATCTGTCCATACGTGCCACTGTCTACCGAAAACCAATCAAGTGACAAACAATGGTAAGGTGGTAGTTTGGGACTGGAGATGGCGCTACTCATAATATGCATCACGTAGGGAAACTCGCCTTTGTACCGATGAAATCTTCGAAAACTTGCCGGCAAGTCAGGGACAGCCTGAAGCCTGAAGGCCCTAGAACTCGAAAATACCGACCCCTGAAGGCCAAGTCGTCTAGCCACGAGAGTGTGTGCGCATGTCCTGAAAATTGCGGGGTTCGTTCTAGGCTCGTGAACCAGCTCGGTTCTGACGAAAGAGGGTGATGAGATCACGTATCCACTGATGGTGGATAGGTTCGTCAGAACCGGCTGGGCAAAACGGTCGCGGTTTTGGCAGGAGGGGTACCGTGTGAACGAGCACTTAGAAAAATATCGCGCTTCAGCGTTTGGCTGAAATACAAAATCGAATCCCTATTCACCGTATGTCTGCCAATCGACCTCAAAATTTGGGAAAATGTTCGCATAGACGTCTACATTCATTTGACATAGGATATATCCGAATAGAAGCGAACGGGTGAACGACATTGAACATTTTCAGAGTGAAGATGCCGAAAAACAGGGAAAAACTGAGGCTTACAGGGAGAAACGACGGGTAAATCCTTGAAAAGGGGAACAACAGTCCAGGGTACATCTGCGACTCATTCTGTGTCAGAATAGAGCCTCATACACATCGATATCTGCAAAAAAGGCTGAAATTCAGAATCTGCTTCTCAGGAGCCTTTGGCAAGCACGTACAAATAAAGCCACTGCGCCAGGACATCCTCGAGCGTGAACTCTGCGTAGTGGTTGAGGTTGAACGGAGTCGTGTGCGACGATGCTGCTGTCAACGATGAGGTAAACGCTGATGCATCCCCGCCATCAGTTCTTCGTCTTCGACTTGGACCACCATCACGACTGTGTACGTCGCCTTCGCCCTTGTCGCCGACTGTCCCCACCTCAAAGAGGTCGTTTGCCCGCCGTTTCCTGGTCATCAAAGTAGGAGGTGACGCTGCTGCAATCGACTTTGACCCAGTCAAGCTGACAGAAGATGGTCGAGAAGGAATAGGAATTGGCGCTGGATGTGACCCTTCTGGGACGGTCGAGTGACGCGCCACTCGTCCGGTTTAAACCAGACATCGGACGCGATCTCTGCGCGCTTCTTGACCGCTTTTCGACGCTCCGTTGCAGGTGGTTTTCCTGGGTGGCCTAGAAGACGTCGATTTCGACATAGACACTGTGGATATGGAGGAAGCGGAGGAGCAGGACGAGGAGGATACGGACGAATTCACGCTCGAGGATGTCCTGGCGTAGAGCCAGCGGCGTTATTTGTAGGTGTTTGCCTAAGGCTCCCGAGAAGCAGATTCTGAATTTCGAGCTTTTTTGCAGATACCGATGCGTATGAGCCTCTATTTTGATACAGAACGAGTCGCAGGTGTACCCTGGACTATTGTTCCATTTTTCAAGGATTTACCTATCGTTTCTCCCTGTGAGCCTCAGTTTTTCCCTGTTTTTAGGCATCTTCACTCTGAAATCATTCAATATCGTCCACCCGTTCGCTTTCATTCGGATTTATACTGTGTCAAATGAATGTAGAAGTCTATGCGAGCATTTTCCCAAAGTTTCAGGGCGATTGGTAGAGATATGATGAATAGGGATTCGATTTTGTATTTCAGCCAAACGCTGAGGCGCGATATTTTCTAAGTGCTCGTTCACACGGTACCCCTCCTGCCAAAACCGCGACCGCCCAGTCGGTTCGGTACCCTCACCTTTTTGGTTCTCCGCCATCACCATCAACGCCTTCATCAACAGTTCATCATTTTTCTATTCGAACTGAGGGGACCGAACCGACTGGTTCACGAGTCTAGGTTCGTTCCTTGAAGTGGAGTCTTGGACTGCCGTTCTGGCTACGGCCATACGAACGGCCTGGTCCTGGACGAGCTCTTGATGTCGCTTGCAATGGAGCTCATGGTGAGCAGCATATCAACAAATTGCTCCAGTGTTTGATCGAATCTGCCGTACTGATCCCCACCATTTGATTGAATGGTGCTGGAAATCCTTTGGAGACTCGAGAGGTGACATTCCATGAGAACCTCAATGCTCTCCGGAGTCCTGGCTCGCGAAACGGTAGGAAACGGTACAGCATTTTTCGAGAAATATTGTAGACGTTGAGGGAACAATGCATTGGACGAATTCGATGCCTCGATACTGATATCTTTCTATTTCCATCCTCGAAGGAAGGCAAAAGCAAAGCCGCGCGAAGAAGAGAACCACTTCGGTTCGATGTTAGAGCGCCCTTACGATCCGCTCGGATACCAACAGAATCGTGAGAATATCAAACGGCAAGGCGGCTGCCGTGTTCCGGTCGGAGTGATTCGTGCTTCGTGGTCGCTCTTCCCTTTCCTTTTTGCCCGCTTAGTAGCAGGACGAAGGAAGAAAACAAGGTCGCCATTGAATGATTTGCATTCCAAACTCTCTTCCTCTGAAGTTCCTCTTCGACTAGGGGCGGAAACCTCTTTTCGCCCTCTGTTTCTGACGTCTCAAATAGAAGCCTAATAGAATTCTACGGAGTTTCCCAAGGCCCCAAAGCGCTTCCGAACCTCTCTCTCATCTGGATCTACATCTTTGGTTATACAAACGGCTACCCAGACCACGCGACCATCGCAACATTGCGTCCCAGGTGACGCCGCTTCGTTCACATCCTGGATCCACTATTCGCGGCGTCCGCTGTCTTTGGCAATGAAAAGTTTCGGCATCTCACTCTGGCTCTGTGGGTGCCGTCGCAAGTTCTCAAGGTCCAGGAACGACTTTCTGATTTCTTGCGTCTCTTGGGCACTTGGCTGGTGTATAAAATATAGACCGCGCAAGTAGGAGACGACAGCAACGAGCTTCCCCCAACTCCAACTGTTCTACTGTCTTTCTCTAAATTATGAAGCTCCTAGCCCTCTCAGCTCTCATTTCCCTTGCCGTTCACCTCGTCGAAGGTCGCGTTATCCACGACGCCAGCGAGCTTCCAGCTAGGGCCGATTACGACTTCATCGTCGTTGGAGGTACGTTCTAATCATTTCTAGAAGCCTGCTCTCGCTCATCCCGCTCTAGGTGGAACTGCAGGTTCTGTTCTTGCGAGTCGACTTTCGGAGGACCGCAGACGCAGCGTCTTGCTCATTGAAGCTGGCCCTGAGTAAGTCCCACATTGTTGTGTTCCCCGCTTTCATACTTATCTCCTTTAATTCTAGCAATGAGGGCGTTGAGGAGCTTGTAATTCCCGCTAGCTGGATGGGAGGTATTCCAGCGACATACAACTGGAACTATACCACCACCCCTCAGCCCGGGTTCCTCGATCGAGTCCAACCCTACGATCGAGGCCACGTTCTCGGTGGCAGCAGCGCTCTCAGTAAGCTTTTGTTCGTCCATTCCGACTACCGGTTTATTGACTCGTCTCCTTTAGACGCAATGGTTTACACTCGAGGAGCGTCGGAAGACTATGATGAGTGGGCCAGGCTCACTGGCGACTCCGGCTGGAGGTGGAACAATCTCTTCCCCCTCATCAAGCGCGTACGTCTATTGATAATGATCTGTCCGTAGCGCGCGTGCTAAACCAACCGTTACAGCATGAGAAATGGGTCCCACCCGCTGGAGGTCGCGATGTCTCTGGTCAATATGACCCCAATGCTCACGGTTACGACGGAAACACCCAAGTTTCGCTGCCATGGAGTGGACCGAACGCATTCGACGCCAAGGCAATCGCCGCCGCCGAGAGCTCTTCCGAGCACTCTTTCAATCTGGATGGGAACTCTGGATCTCCTCTGGGACTCAGTGAGTTGAACCCCCCTCTCGCACTCTGCAACTGTCTAAATTCGGTTTGATAGCATGGATTCAGTCCACCATAGGCAACGGAGAGCGCAGCAGCGCGGCAACTGCCTACCTCAGCCAATCTGTTCGTGACAGACCCAATTTGACTATCCTCACGAACACGTATACCACCCGTGTTCTCCCAACTGGATTGAGCATACTCAAGGACTTCCGCACGGTCGAATTCGCATCGAGAAATGGAGGTTCGTCGCTGCTTATGTCCTGTGAACACGATTCTCATTTGCTGCAGGTCCACTAAGGAAACTCACCGCCAAAAAGGAAGTTATCCTTTCGGCGGGTGCCTTTGGCTCGCCGCAGATCCTCCAGAACTCCGGTATTGGTGATCGACGAGACCTTTCTCGAGTCGGCGTCAGGACTGTCCACGACCTCCCCGACGTTGGAAAGGGACTTTCTGATCACGTTACTTCCACCGCCCTCTGGTTCACCACCGACACCTCAGCTCCACCGATGGATCCCGCCGATGCGATGGCTATGTGGCAGAACAACCGCACCGGACCCCTCACCGAGGCTGTTGGTCACCAAATTCTGTGGGCAAGAATCCCAGAGAGCTCTGGCATCTTTGCCAACCACCCTGACCCTGCTCCGAGCCCTAACACTCCTCACCTCGAGGTCGCACTCACCACCTACGGCGAAGTTGCTGGCGCTTTCATTGTTTTGATGACTCCTCATTCGCGCGGAACTGTCAAGATCGCCTCCAATAACCCATTCGATGCCCCCATCATCGATCCTGGTTGGCTCTCGCACGAATGGGACGTCCAGGCTCTCACTGAGGGCATCCGTCTCGTCAAGAGATTCTATAACGAGCCTGCTTGGGATGGCTACTTCACTGCTCCCCTCACCCCGGACCCAGACCTCACTCCCATCGCCGAATTCCACCAGCACATCAGGAACACCTCTGGCGCAACTTCGCATGCCTCAGGAACAGCAGCCATGTCGGCTAGGGGTGCGAGGAATGGCGTCGTTGACCCAGATTTGAAGGTGAAGGGCCTCAGGGGCCTCCGCGTCGTCGACGCATCTGTTTTCGTAAGTGATGGAGTTTATTTCAGTATGCTATATGATACTCATCTGTTTCTTCCTAGCCCATCATTCCTAGCGCGACCACGCAAGGTCCCGTCTACTTCGTCGCCGAGAGGGCCGCTGATTTGATCAAGAGGTCATGGATGTTCTGGCCTTTCTAAAACAATCCTGTACTGTGTCCTTCCGACTCCACGCTCTTTTGTGTTTTGGTTTGTCTTGTTGTATACCTTAAAGTCCTCTGATCGTTTGTTTCATAATCTACTTGTATTCACTACTCTGAATGCAACTTCTGTTTTGCTAGTACACCAACATGCTGCTCTCAGGCTGTGGATAAAGCGCCCACCACGGGTTTCCTCGCGCCATTTTCTCACGCAACGCTTCAGCGTCCTCTCCCGCGTCGATCCTGGTTTGCGACATCCTCACATCATCGACTTTGCATGCTTCCTCCCGTCCGCGGCGACGAGCCATATGGTCGATTATCCGGACTTCTCAGGTTCATCACTTTGGTTGGAGAACCGATAACGTTGCCAATGTAAGTACCGTGCGTGTGGTTCTGACAAGGAGCGCAGAACCCCCGCACTCGACATGGTCGTATGGTGTATTGAACATATGACCACCGCTGTACAAACGGAAATCTATCGCCCATGAGCTACAAGTATCGGGTACGTTAGGTTACGTTCCGGCTGGTGAACTAGAGGAGCCAGGCTTGTTGACGATGTTATCTTCCACAGATACCAGCGCCAGGCAACCTCCCACCCTTGGGTTCCATGTGCCAACTGATAATTCCGGTGAAACATCGCGCCATGATTGAAATTCGCTCACCATCCTCTCAGAGGAAACTGCAATTCCCCTGATGGGCTTGCTGACTTGGCGGCCCTATCCGCACATGCTCTATACGAGCCCCACATGCGGAAGCAGGTGGGTATTCGCCTAGTGCGTGTCCTGACATTGTGCATTATGCTTAACAAACCCCGAGAAAGGCCAATTTAGGTATTCGCGCAAGGGAGCCTGTCATGCGTTACGACTAGTCCGTATGGGTTACACCTTGCGGGATTCAATAATCATGGCATTACCGTAATCACGCATTTTCCGGAGCCTTACTCTGCCCCGAGCAACAAAAAGCTATATAAGAAGATATGTGACTTGAGAAAAAACCCATTGGCATCCCACCGTCAACATGAAGCTCTCTCCCAAGTTCCTCGCTCTTGCGGTTGCCATCTCCCCCGTTGTTGCTCAAGAGGCTTCAACCACCGGCATCGGCGGTCTCATTTGGGATGCCCTTACTCCTCTTAAGCCTCTCGTCCAGACCGACTTGCTCCAGCTCTTGATCAGCGACCGCGCTCTCTTCAACCACGCTAAGCAGTTCGCCAAGTTCGCTGCTGACGAGGGACACCGCGCGTTCGGTTCGCCTGGCCACAACGCGACCGTTCAGTACATCAAGAGGGAACTCGAGAAGACTGGCTACTACGACGTCGAGCTCCAGACCTTCCCTTACCTCTACTCTGAGGGCAGCGCCAAATTCTCCGCCAATGGCACCGATTACTCCACCGGCTGGTTCACTTATGGTCCCGCTGGTGATGTCGAGAAGCCTCTCGTTCCCGTGGACAACCTTGGCTGCACCTTGGTTAGTCTCATCTTCTCTCTTATCCCCTCCCTATCTTCGTGTTTCTGACTGCATTTCTCCGTGTACAGGGTGACTACCCCGCCGAAGTCTCGGGCAACATCGCGCTCATCAAGCGTGGTGAGTGCGAGTTCGGTTTGAAGACCTCCCTTGCCGGTGCCGCGGGTGCTGCTGGCGCCATCATCTACAACAACGCTGAGGGCGATGTTTCTGGTGGTACTCTTGGCCAGATCAACCGTCCTGAAGGCCCCTACATCACTGTCGGCTCCATCTCCGGCGCTGCTGGCGAAGCACTTGTGGCTGACATCAAGAACGGCGTTGAGATCGTCGGTCACCTCAAGGTCGATGCTGTGACTGAGGATCGCTGGTCGAGCAACGTTATTGCCACCACCAAGAACGGAGACAGGAACAACATCGTCTTCGCTGGTGGTCACACCGACTCCGTCCCTGCTGGTCCTGTATGTCTGCCATACGCTCGATTGCTTCGAATTTGCCACTAATTACTTTCACCACAAGGGTATCAACGATGACGGATCTGGTACCATTACCGTCCTCGAGATTGCCCTCAAGCTTCCCTTCTTCAAGGTCAAGAACGCCGTTCGTTTCGGATTCTGGACTGCTGAGGAATTCGGTCTCGTCGGTTCCGAGCACTACATCACCAACCTCTCCGAGGAAGAGCGACAGAAGATTGCCCTCTACCTCAACTTCGACATGGTTGCCTCTCCCAACTTTGGCTACTTTGTCTACAACGGTGACGGCACCCACTTCCCCAACATCCCCCCTGGCCCCCCTGGAAGCGACCACATCGAGGACACCTTCAACAACTGGTTCGCCAAGAAGAAGTTGCCCAGCGCTCCTACCGAGTTCAGCGGTCGCTCCGACTACGGACCCTTCTTGGACGTCGGTATCCCTGCTGGTGGTCTCTTCACCGGTGCTGAGGGTATCAAGACTGAGGAGCAAGCTGCATTGTACGTTTCTTCTCCCTTTCCATTCCTGCGAAACGATGCTTATCGACACCTGTAGGTTCGGTGGTGAGGCTGGTGTTGCCTACGACGCTTGCTACCATCTTGCTTGCGATGGTCTCGACAACCTCAACCGTGAGGCTTGGCTCCAGAACAGCCGCGCTGCTGCCCACTCTGTTGCCACCTACGCTCGCTCGCTCGAGGGCATTCCTCGTGGACCTCGTGCCCTCAACGCCAGGTCGCCGTCCATTGCTTCCCTCGGTCATGAAGCGAGGAGGCATCAATCTTGCGGCCATGAGATTGCTGTGTTGTAAAAATTTAATGCGTTTATTTATTCCCTAACCATCATCTGTAGCAGTAGTGTTTGTGCATTTTGTAGTGTAGTAGGTCGAGGCATTGAATCCATCGCATCTTCAATATTCATATTGGCTCTCATGATTTGTATACGAAGCTTCGTGCTACAGTGCTACAGCTTCCTACCACGACGCCTTGATGAGATCCGATGCGCGTTCCGCAATAACATAGACTGAAGCTTGGGTGTGTGACGTGGGCACATAGGGCTGGAAGTCGACGTGAGTTTGCTAACCCGTTAACCAGCACCTGGGTAATACTCACAATGATACCCGCATCTACAACTCGCAACCCCTTAACTCCCTTCACCCTCAGGTCGGGGTCCAACACACCCTTCTTCGATCCCTTGGGCGAGATCTTAGTCACGCCAGCCGGGTGGTAGAATGATCCAGTGCTCTCTTGCACCCTCTTCAAGAACTCTTCGTCGGAGAGAGTGTCGGGATCTGGGCCGTTGAATCCAGTGATGTAGCCTTCCCAAGCCGGCCCACTGTAGAATCGCTTGGCGAGGCGGATGGACTCCTTGAAGGCGAGTATGTCGAAGGGGTGCGTGAGGAAACCAAGATCGATGAGGGGTTCCTCAGTCGGGTTATTCGATCGGATTTTGATCGTGCCACCTGCGATAAAACCATTTTAGCGAGGCTGGGAGAGGGCTAAGAGAGAGGGCTTACGAGAATGGGGGGTAAGGAGAACGATGAATGCGCCGACACCAGCGCCACTTCCCTGCACTTGGCATTAGACAAGGCGGACAGATAGGAAATGTTCGACATACCGAAAGGGTAAGTTCAACATGAGGTGAGGTGGGACCTGAAGCAGGGTCCTTGTATTGTTTAAAGATCGGAGAATCGGAGGGGAGTCGAGCCCATAGGACTTGCTGTCCAACCAAATCCACCAGAGGGCCAGTCCTGTGTTTCTTCCATTCTTCGTAAGCAGCGTCGGGGTCGACTGGAGGCGGGATAGCCCCTGTTGCGTTCCAGCTCAATGCCACAGTCATATGCTCCGACAGGTCCTTGCCGACATCGGGGAGATGGTGAATTGTCTTCACTCCCACTTCATCCAAGTCCTTCCTGTCTCCGATACCAGAGTTCAAAAGGAGGTGGGAAGAACCGATCGCACCAGCTGAGAGGATGAGTTCCTTGGCAGCTGTGATTGTCGTGCGTCTGATTTGTTCGATTGGGAGAGTGTTTCCGCGTCGTCTGGGGATGAGCTCGACAGTTCGAATGTCGGGCGTCCGGCTAATGCTATTAGAGACTGGGAGAACTCTGGTTGCGTACGTGTTGACAAGAATGTCGAGGTTGGGGCGCTGTCGCGTCTTGGGGTCCAGGTAGGAGACAGACGCACTGCTGCGTTCTCCGTGACCAATAGTAGATTGTAGCCAGGCTTTCCAGGAGTCAACAAGGGCTGCGCATCATGAACGTCAAGCACCTACTAAGACCAACGGGCTTCCCATTGTTCACATCAATGTTGTAAGCGAATTCAGGTTGGATTTTGCTGTTCTTCAAAGCGCGGTCATAGAACTCAGTCGAGTTTGCCCAGGGGAGAGTGACAAGTGTACGTCCTCTGTATCCGTGAGTTGTCGGATCGTACTGCCCTTCGACGCTCCGGTGAGTGTGGGGAATGAATTTCTCGTTCTTGTCACATATTAGTCAAGGCGTAGGACGTAGACGACGCTGTCACACCTTCTTGAAATATGGCAGCATGGCTTTCCAGCTCCATCCCGGGTCACCAGATTCGCGTTCCCAGAGATCGTAATCGTCCTGGGAACCTCGAGTGTAGACCATACCATCTATTACAGCAGTTAGCATTCGTAGCTGTCAAACTGGAAGGCCCCACATACTGATAGAACTTCCACCACCAAGGACGTGACCACGAGTGAACTCGATGGTGCGACCGCCAAGGCCTTTCTGGGGAGTGGAGACAGAGCCCCAATAGTAGGTCGAGTTGATCTTGCCGCTGTAGGTGTAGCCTGGGACTCTAAGTTCCTCGACGCCTTCGTCGCTGAGCATAGACTGTCAGAGAAAGGTCCCTGGGCCAAGGTAACACTTCTTACTTTGGTCCAGCTTCAATAAGGAGGACATTGGACCGACGATCCTCGGAGAGTCGGTTTGCTAAGACAGAGCCAGCGACACCGCCTAGGCTTCTCGTCAGCCGCAAGTAATGTTCAGAGAAGCATGTCTAGACTCACCTCCTACGATGACGAAGTCATATTTCTTGGCCCTGGAAGTCAACAGTTCGTCAAGGCTATTGTAGACCTTGGCCTCGGCGAGGTGGACGCCGAGCGCCACGAAAGCAGATAGCGTAGCAAGCCGCATTGTTCAAGGAGGACGAGGAAGTATCAAGGTAGGACACCAGGACAAAGATATACACCATTTCGCAAATCCTTTAAGCGAACTAGGAAGAAAGGATTTTCCCTGAATTTGACCGCTTTAGCAATGGAAGATGACTACGAGTTGGTGTAGAGAATGGTCAGTTATGGTGTCAGGAGGGAACCGTGCCGGTGTGCGTCCCCAGCGAGCTTCGAAGGCCGAAAATAATGCGTAGTGGTTACCACCAGAGAAAGATCCTCACTTCTGCGAACGCCCGCCGCCGCAACCTGGTATCCCATGAGAATACATACATTTCGGTCTGAATGCTGGGAGAAGGCCAAAGCCTTCGCTGTGACAGCCACGGCTTCGAGGAAGGTTTATCTTCCCCGCGTAGGCCACGTGGATCGAGGATGTGAACACGGTGATATGTAGTCCTATGGACGATGATCAAAGAAGGTCAGAATTCGAAGAATTACAGATCTTTTGAACTGCTTACCGGTGTCCCCAAGATCCATTGAAGGACCGATATTCAACCGTCGCTCTCGCTTGAATTCAAGGATACTCCATAGTGTTTCTTGGGGATTTTGAAGCTTCTCTCGAATCCAGAAATGGGATTTATGTGGAATACCACAGCCAGCCAACTGCAAGCAGCAAACGTTTCAGGTCGTTGCAGCAGCATAGACCGGCGTTAGCCGGGTCGCGCGATGCGTGGGAGCATCAACCTGATGGCGGATCGAACGCGCCCCAGATTCGCGCGCCTGTCCGCCCCCTTTGCCCAGAACCACCACCGCCGTCGTGGTCGACGCCCAACGACCCTTTGTCGCTGTTCGGAACGCCAAGAATGATTCTAAAAGCGCTCTTCCTGACTTTTCTCTTGATTCTAGGCGCTCTGGCCCTCCCGCAGGACGGTCAACCGCAGACTGACGGCCCAGGGTGCACCTTTTCTTGTCCGACAGTCGATAGCGCAGGCAACGAGCTCGTGCGGTCGCCTTTGGCGATATCACCATCGTCTGACTGGTATACAATATTTGATTGTGTGTGAGTGCGCAATTTCACGCTAAGCGAGCGTCGCTGAGGCGAACGGCGTGTAGATATGCACCACCACAGCAGCAGGTATTGGCTCATACCTGTCATTACGACAAGGCGAGTTCGCGTTTATTGCCTTAATCTACACTAACTGATTTCAGAGGCGTCGTTCAGAGCTCTGGAGTCCAGATGATGAGGTCAGACGAAGATAACTGCCCGCCCGTCGCAGTATGCCACCCCAAGGACTCCAGTTCCAAGCCGCTCTATTCCAGCCAGGACGACAGTGGGGAGGAGCTGAAATATGAAGTTCCCCCATGGGTAGATTTTGGGCGCTATCAGTTGTGGTTGAAGGAACACCACACGTAGCCAAGTAGAAGGCGGTGCGCCTCAAAGCCAGAATTTTCTGACGTTCGCTGACCTTTCGTCTGTCAGGATGATGTATCTAGGTCGGGTAGCCGGAAAATATATTTCTGTTTGCGTTGAAGAAGCATCGCGGAGAGTAGAGAACGCCTCCCTGAAGAAGGGAAGCCAATTCCAACACAGTGCGCTTCTCGTTTTTTCCCGGATATAAATTGGAATCTATTGCAATAAGACGTCCCAAACATGGCCCTCCTTTCATTTATTGTGATCTCCCTCGGGATACTGATTGCGTCGACACAGGCCAGAGTATATCAAGGTATCGATGAATTACCTGCCACGTCGCGCTTTGACTTCATCATCGCTGGAGGTGCGTACGCCCACTCTATCTGCCTACTTGTCGTTCACCAACAAATCTCTGTGTACAGGCGGCAACGCGGGCTCTGTCTTAGCTGGCCGGCTAACTGAAGACCCAAAATTCACTGTCCTCCTTGTCGAGGCTGGGGAAGAGTAAGACCAGTGCTGTGGTCGACCATCCCTTCTGACCAGCTTTCAGCAACGATGGCGTTTTGCCGATTCGTGTCCCGGGAGGGCGCATACCACTATCGTATACCTGGAATTACACCGTCACGCCACAGATTGGCCTCAACAATCGAACATTTTATTTCATGAGAGGCAGGGTCCTTGGTGGAAGCTCCTCTATCAGTATGTATTGGATTTCGTGAGACCCATTCCGATTCCCATTTGACGCGTTTTGAATTTCAGACGGCATGATTTACACTCGTGGCGCGGCTGACGATTACGACTTATGGGCCAGAGTCACGGGAGACCGTGGCTGGAGCTGGAAGAGTCTCTTCCCGTATGCGCTCAAGGTTAGCTCTGCCCTGTCCTTGTCATTCTTTCTCACTTTCGTCTCCGCAGCACGAAGAGTTCACAGGCGGTGTCGGTGGCCGTGATGTGACGGGCCAGTACGACCCTCGTGCTCATGGGACCAAGGGCCCAGTCAAAGTCGGATTGCCTTGGCGTGAACCGATTGAGTTTGACAATGTCTGTGTCGAAGCAGCGAAATCCAGCCGCGAGTTCGGGTTCAACTTAGATGTCAATGATGGTGGAGTACTGGGCCTTAGTGAGTCACTCCACCACTGCTCCCCGAGCACTTTCTGATTTCCGGGTAGCCTGGATCCACAATACCTTCGGCGGAGGTGAACGAAGCAGCTCCGCCACTGCCTATTTAACTAAAGAAGTTCGCGCTCGACCAAATCTCAGCATTCTAGTGAACACATATGTCACTCGTGTCCTTCCTACGGGCGACGACCTCGATTTCAGAACGATCGAATTAGTCCCCGTCTCCGGAGGTGCGTACATACAAACTTCACTCTCCACTTGACTTAATTCTCCTCAGGTAATACCACCACGCTTACAGCAAAGAAAGAGGTCATCCTGTCCGGCGGTACCGTTGGCTCTGCCCATATCCTTTTGAATTCCGGTATAGGTGACAGGGAGCACCTTTCTGAAGTCGGTGTTGAAACGATCCATCACCTCCCCGACGTTGGAAAAGGCTTGACTGACCATGGTGTCACGCCTTTCATGGCGCCGTCTAATTTCCCCGTCGAACCGCCGCCGTGAGTTCCATGCATTCGCTACGGACCGAGACTCATATTTGCTTAGTTTCGACTACGAGGAGGCCCTCCAGGAATGGCAGCAGAACAAGACTGGCCCTCTCAGCGAGAGTGGGTTCCAGAATCTAATTCTCTGGTCTCGCATCCCGCGCCGGTCACCTCTCTTCAAGAAATACGAGGATCCAGAATCTGGTCCTGGCGCACCCCATATCGAGTACGCTCTGACTGTAAGTGCTACTATCACTGGGATTCCGTCTATTCACTCACCGCAGTGGATAGACCACAGGTGCCATAACTGGAGCCCAGGTTTTCCTGATGACCCCGCATTCACGTATGTCCTTCACCGGTCTCTTATCCCAATTCTAAACAAGGCTGTCGTAGGTGGTTCGATTCGGCTACGATCTAACAACACGCTCGACACCCCCTTGATTGATCTGGGGCTGCTATCGCATCCATTCGACATTCTCGCCTACAAGGAGGGGTACCGCATCATCAAGAAATTCTACAACCTGCCCGCATGGAAGGATCACATCACTGGTCCCTTTGAGATAGACCCAGACATACTGTCTGATGAAGAGTTTGAGCAACGCATCCGGAATGGGCTGCAATCAGCCCTGCACCCCGTTGGAACAGCTGCGATGTCATCCAAGCGGTCTAAGAAGGGAGTCGTTGACCCGGAGTTGCGCGTCAAGGGCGTCAAAGGCCTGCGCGTTGTCGATGCGTCGGTGATCGTAAGTTCTTTTCGTTCTCTAGTAGGGACCCAGATCTGACTGGATGTCATTATTAGCCCTACGTCCCAACTGCTCATACACAGGCGCCTGTCTACATTCTGGCAGAACGTGCAGTCGATATCATTCGTTCAGTTTGGCTGTAAATTACTGAAAGCGCCTTTCAAACTCCTTCCGAACTTCGTTTTCTTTCGACTGGAGTCTGCGTAAACTAATTACCAAACAATCGATCCATTTTGCAGGTGTGAAGAAAACGTATGCGTGTCGGGGTCATAGGAACACCTATGCCAGCATATGTGAAGCTAGATGCTCCCAAGATGCGGATGAGATCGCGATGTTCGCGGAGAGCTTTCTACAGGTATAAATTCCGCTTCTTGGATCGGTTAAACCGTGGTGAATAAGCATGCCTCCTTTCAGACTAACTGCGACTGCGCTATGGCTAACTCTCTTTGCGCTTGTACACGCGAAAGTGTACAAGAGCATTGACGAGCTTCCCGCTGGCTTGGAGGAATCCTTTGACTTCATCATTGCTGGGGGAGGTAATGCAGGCTCAGTTTTAGCTGGTCGACTATCGGAAGATCCCAAGTTCAGTGTCTTGCTCGTTGAGGCTGGGCCAGAGTGCGTATAACCTATCCTGGACGGAGTCTTGTTTCTTACATTTTTCTCAGTAATGACGGGGCTTTGGAACTTCGAATCCCTAAGAACTCGCCATGGGGCATTCCCAGGACCTTCAGCTGGAACTACACTGTGGTCCCCCAGAGTGGATTGAATAATCGAACGTTTTTCTTGAACAGAGGACGGGTGCTTGGAGGGAGTAGCTCGATCAGTAAGTGGCTTCCCTACATCGCTGCGGCCCAATCCGACCGTCCCATGTAGATGCAATGATCTACACTCGAGGATCCGCGGAGGACTACGATCTTTGGGCGAAGATCACTGGCGATCGTGGCTGGAGCTGGAAATCATTGTTCCCCTATGCTCTCAAGGTGTGACATTCATTATCAATGCCTCTTCTTTGAGCATATGTTAACTCGGGTTCGATTAGCATGAAGGATGGACTGGTGGAGTTGGAGGACGCAACGTATCGGGTCAGTATAATCCGCGCGTTCATGGGTTGAAAGGGCCCGTCAAAGTCGGAATGCCATGGCGCGAACCTATTGAATTTGACAAAATATGTGTCGAGGCTGGAAAGAGTAGTAAAGAAATTCCGTACAACGGGGACGCTAATGATGGAGATTTACATGGGATCAGTACGTGGGCTACCTCATTCCACCGCTCTTGAGTTGACCGGGTGAACTTGTATAGCTTGGGTGCACTCGACTTTTGGCGAAGGAGAGCGGAGCAGCTCTGCTACTGCGTATCTCACCAAGGAAGTTCGAGCGCGCCCGAATCTCAGCATCTTGGTCAATACATATGTTACCCGTGTTCTTCCATCCAACAGTGGACGAGACTTGGATATCCGCACGATTGAACTGGGCCCACTCGGTGGAGGTCAGTGTGTCTTTTATCTGTTATTTCTCGCGTGCTGTGTCTGAATTGCTGTGTTAGGCTCGACCGTGACCTTGACTGCGAAGAAGGAAATCATTCTCTCTGGCGGTACGATTGGTACCGCTCATATTCTGCTGAATTCGGGAATAGGGGATCGAAAGCATCTCGCAGAAGTTGGTGTCAAAACCATTCACCACCTTCCGGATGTTGGAAAAGGGATGTCCGACCATGGTACCACGGGCTTTAGAGCGTCTTCGAATTTCGCCTTGGAACCTCCTCCGTGAGTGGCTCCTTGATCATGGATTCGCCCTATTGAGATGAGCATTAGGTATGATAACGACGAGGCGATGGCTCAGTGGGAACAACATAAAACGGGTCCGCTGAGCCAAAGTGGTATTTCAAATCTCATTGCCTGGGCGCGGATCCCCTCAAATTCGACGATTTTCAAACGCTTCAAGGATCCTTCTCCAGGTCCTGGCACTCCTCATATTGAGTACTCTCTGTCTGTGAGTGATTCATAGTGATTTTTTTTCTTTGAACACATGTTTACCATTCCGCAGACTTCAGGGAATCAAACAGGCGCCCAATTGTTCCTGATGAGCCCGTACTCCCGTGAGTCACTTCGTGCTACGATTGGCACTTGCCAACTGATAGAAACCTACCAAAGGCGGTTCCGTTCGTCTCAACTCCAGCAACCCATTCGACAACCCTCTGATTGATTCTGGATTCCTTACCCATCCGTACGACATCGAAGCTTACAAGGAAGGGTACCGTATGATCAAACGGTTCTATGAACTGCCTATCTGGAAAGATCGAATTACGGGTCCGTTTACAATCGATCCTGACGTGCTCTCCGATGGGGAGTTCGAGAGGCGGGTTAGGGATGAACTGGCGTCTGCGTTGCATCCTGTTGGGACGGCGGCGATGTCGTCTGGGAGGTCTAGGACGGGTGTTGTTGACCCTGAGTTGCGTGTTAAAGGTGTGAGGGGGTTGAGAGTGGTTGATGCTTCGGCTATTGTGAGTTTTTACTTTGTGGGACCTTTCGTTCGTGTGCTGATGTTGTTGTACAGCCCTATGTTCCAGCTGCGCATACTCAAGCACCTGTGTATATCTTGGCTGAAAGGGCTGTGGATATCATTCGTTCGGCTTGGGCTTAGTCTGATCAGAGGGACTGTGTCGGCGGTACTGGTTCCAAGGAACGGGCCTTGTATGTACCATTCTTAGAAAATGTATTTAGTGAGTGCTACTGTCTCGAATAAGGTCTGCCTCAGAAAATGTTTTGGTCTTTTCACCGACGCGAAGCTTCCTGGCTGTCGAGGTTAAGCCCGATTCGAAGGCTGTACGAGATAATTGTGACCGAATCGCCTGAAGGAGTGAGGAAAAGTGCGCCAGGAAAGACTTCGACTTCTGTGACAACTTTGTGCTAACTCTTGTTCTAGTTGGTCGACTACAGACCTAACCCTTGTTTTTCAAACCTTGCGTTGCGCTGCCGACTGCCTGTACATAAGCGCCCGTGCATATCTTGACCTGGTCGAGATTCGAACCCGAGGCTTCGCAGTGCTCCTCTGGGGTGCTCACGGCAACTTCCACTAGTTTCCCACTCATCTTCAAACTCCGCTCAGGACGCTTACTCAGGAAAATTTCCGTGCCTCCTCTTGTCCTCGTCTTCCACCTTCCCGTCTGTCTTATTTTGGCTGGTTCAAACCCCGTTCTTTTTAGTTCGTCCAAGGGTTAAAGTCGTCGGTCAATAGGTGTGTATCATTCCCTTCTTCTATCATCATTCTCCAGTTGCCTCTTTCAAAAGATGAGATTATCTATTCAGTTATCCCTGACTTAACGCGATCGCGATATGTCGAGAACTTAATTCACACTCTGATCCTTTCTTCTTTCGTTGATTCGATTTGGAAGCTTTGAATCTTGTTGCTGACTGTCTTTCCCTTCTCAGGTATACGTCGTTTTTTGAAAATTTTCGTTGAAGGAAGAGCTGCATTTGGGGTTGGAGATTCAAGAAGTTTTGGCGTCTATCGTGGTGTTTATACGTCGTTACTCGGTCGTGCCGGTGCCTGTGTGAATGGTTTTGGCCAATGAGTAGATTGGTCATGAATACATGCATTCTTTCGGCACATCCTGCACCACACCCGCCTCCCAATCGTGAATGAATTCCGTTGGTCGATTTGGTAGGGGAGTAGATCTTTGATCTTACCGCTTTGCTTCACCTTTTGAATACTCTGGAATACTCACTTGGTTCACGAATCCGAACGCGGAAACGCTAACGAACGGTGGCACTGGAAAGCCAGATGTGAGTCGAATGAGTGCTTGAGCTGGAGCGGAACGACGGATCAAAGAGGGCCAATACATCCATGCTGGGAGGAAAGGCCAAGGAAAGGGCATCCCAATAGTCTGTGCGGCTGCCTTCTCGTACCCGTGAGCGATCTACCATGCCCCTTCATGTATTCATTTGTGTTCTTTTCGACGTGTCTCGACTATCCAGGGAATGTTCCGACAATGAACGAGGTTTGAGAAACAGGGATTTCTGACCATCCTTCCAGGGTCTTTACACCGCCTACCTACTTTCCTCCATCTTATCCATTCCCATGTACTTGTTCCAAATCACTCGAGATGTGCAGAATGTCCCTTCGAAAGGCGTTTACAATTTCGTGCGAATAGAAAAGAAGCGCCCGCGCGACCTCCATCAGAGCTGGATTTGTGTCGCAATCTGATCCCTCTGGTCTGCTGCCGCCCATGCAGGCTCCTAAGTATAATGAATTCACCCCCTCTGTCATAATTCAAGCCATTCCCGTCTCCTCTTGGAGCTCCAGTCCAGCACCCTCAGTTCCTCACCATCATTTGAGCTCCGCGTGAAACGACGGAAGATGGAAATGCAGCTGCCCCGTGCACCCCTTCCAAGACGAAATTCTCACACATGATTCAGAGCCTCGACGCTTTCTTGTGGACCCTCTTGCCGATAGGCTCGTAGGAACAGAAATAAAAATCATGGCTCCCCATGGAGAGACTGGGACAATAACCCAGAATGGGGGATTGAGTGGCAGAGGGAGGTGGAGGAGGGGAGCAGCTTGGAATGTGCTATTCTCAGAGAGTGTCTCCCGTCAAAGTTCGGAAATTCCTTGTGACTTGATACGTATGCTAAGCCCGATGCAGCTGAGAATTTTCATTCCTGAATCTTCCTTCGACGTGGAGCTGTCCTCCATCCCCCCTTCCCCTCCCCACTTTCTGCCCAAATTTTCTTTTTCTCTATTTTATCCTTTTGCTAATCGCCTGAATACCTGACCCCATCGTCTCAGACATCGTCGAGGGCCCCTTGTCGCCATCAACAACCCCCGCGCCGTCGTTGCCAACAGTGACGACGCCCTTTTTTTCCCAGACACCCGCCAATTATCTCCATCCACGGTTCGTTCTGGTGCGCTCATCATTCTGCCTCTCATGCTCATCACTGATCACGACGTCGACACGTCCTTGCTCGTCGCCATCAACAGCGAGCTCATTATCAATATACATCAGGCACACCGCCGTTCCTGCCACATTTCTGTTGGGCCCCAACCGCGTTCATCGCCAAACGCCGTTTAATTTCCTTTGACGACGCCGACTACATCGGCGTGTCCGCTACACAATTCGAACCGTCCAGACGACACACGACCCAACATTTTTTGAAATTTCTTAGGCTCCGGGCTGCTGTAAACAAGCGCTCGAAGCACTACTACCCAACTCGCCCAAAACGACTTCCAACAATCTGCACAGATTCTTTCCGTCGCCTTCAACGTTCGGCTTCCAACGTCTGAAGAAGCAGCTCAGCGGTATGGCGGGAGACCAGGACACTGAGATGGCGGATGACACACGCGGGTCGTCGGTGAGCGAGCTGAGGAGGGCGTCGGGGACCTCGACTGTGTCGTCGGTGTCGGCACCGTCGTCGGCGGCCTCGTACCAGAGCACCGTGACCCACCAGCAGCCGGGGAGTGCTAACACGTCCCGGAGATCGTCACTTGCCAACCTAGTTCACGATATGGGCGTTTCTTCCGGCACGGAACACCCTGAGCCGGAGGGGATCCCCGTGGAGTTGGATGACGATGACGACGACGACGAAGAGGATGAAGAGGGTGAAGAAGGGTACGAAGGGGAAGGTGTTGAAGGTGAAGGACAATATGCTGAAGAGGCGGAGGAAGCTGAGGACGATGAAGAAGATGACGACGATGAAGAAGACTCGGAGGACGATGATGAGGACGACGAAGACGAAGACGACACCGACGTCCCTACTGCCACACCCACAGCGTCCACAGCAGGCCCGCAACCCAATAATCGGGACTCGGCGACACCCAGCGCGACCGCCAGCAACAGTATACCACAAAGCAGAAGTGCGATTTCTATTAGCGACCTGACCGAGAACGGAGTGCAGGGTCCGTTACCACCAAACCAACCGACACCGGGTAGCTCTGGCATTTCAATACCTGTTCTGCTTCACCCAAACGCCTCAGATGGGGCATCTGGCTCAGGGGTCCCCGTGCCCGTCGCAGACGCCTCAACCAGCGCCAATCCACCCAACTCCTCCACCTCGACGCTGACAACACCTCCAACATCCCTCCCAGCACCCGCACCAACCACCAACGGCAAACCCGACACGACTAGCCAGCCCTCAGCCTCAGCACCACCCTCCAAGAAAGGCAAATCGCGCAAGCGGACGCCGTCACCCTCACCGCCTCCACCACCGCCACCACAGCCGCTGCAAACGATTAGATTGGAGATCAAGTTGGGAGGGCCGAGTAATTATGAGGTGGATATTGCGCAGATGGCGAAGGATACGGGGCAGAGGCCTGCGACTCCGCCGCTGCCGATGGCGCTAAGACCAGAGAGTGAGGAGGAGGAGCCGCCACCTGAGGAGACTGGAAAGAAGAGGAAGCGGAAGGTGTGTAGCTTGTTCTTTTTTTGGACTTCTGTCCAAGAGGATTGTGAGGAAGGGGCCTTACTGGAAACGCGGTGCAATTGCCGATCCTGTTGTCTGAAAACTGAGGCACCTTCAGACGGGATCATTTGGTACTGCCGCTGCTGGTCCTCGAGAAACAGATCGATTCACCGAGTTGTTTGTATCACTGTCTAGCACACAGTTCTGACATCCATCTCTCACACAGAAAAAGAACGCTGGCCAGGAATACTACGACACCACTGATCCTTTTATCGACGACTCGGAGCTCGCTGTAGACCAGCGCACTTATTTTGCCCAAACGAAACAACAAGGATTCTATGTCTCGAGTGGAGAAGTGGCCCTTTTGAAAGACAAGTGCGTATTTCTTCCTTCCATTCTTTCTATATATTTCTTCTGTTACGCTCGCTTTCTTGTTCTTCGAGCCCTCTCTCTTGGTCCTTGTCCTTGACTGCCCTCGATCTCCTCCGTTCTGCATGGGCACGCACCGCAGGGGAGGTAGATGATCTTATCTCAAGGAATCATCTTATCTTATCGTGATCTCTTGATCACCGTTGCCAAGATGCCGGGGACGTCATTAATTTGCTGCACGTGGCACATTTAGGTTGATGATGCCATCATCAATCTATTTTTAGAGTTGTTGACAGATTCCATCTCCCTACGTATCGTTGATTGAGTTGACACTGACCCAACCCTCTCGAAATCCAGGTCTCCGAAAAAACCAAAGTCGAAGAAACCGACGCTGTCATCCGTCCTCCATTCGAGCGTCTCTCAAGCTGTATCGGCTGGTGTTCTACACAAGGAAGCATCGGCAGATGGGTCGCATTCACCGTCTGGCGCGCATTTCGGTGGAAGCCAAGGTATCAAGGGTGTCGGTATCGTCAATGGTCAGAATCAAGGCGGTGACAAGGGGAAGAAGCCTGCTGATACGGGTGCCGCCGCTGGTTGGGTCACGGGTGCGGACGAAGGAGAGGGAGATGAGAAGACTGGTCAGAAGAGGAAGCGGTACATCACGGTTGTCGATAATGGGAAGAAGCGGAAGATTGTTAACATCGTATGTGTTTTCTATTTTGCTGACGGAAATAGCGATTGCTGACTACGAGGGTAGAATTCGTTCCATCCTGACCTGCAAGTCGCTATCGAGGAGCTCAAGAAGGCTATCGCCAAAGAGAGCTGGGAGCAGAAAGGGAAATTCCCTCAGGCTCTCAAGCCGGCGTTGTCGTCGTTGGCTCTGCTTGCTATTCGGCTAGACGAGTACGACGATCACTTTTTCAACCTCATGCCCGTCCTCTTCCCATATAACAAGTTCACCATGACGGTTTGTCATCTCTAATGAAGGAGGAAGGCTCCGAGCACTGACCGATCCGATAGAAACTCATCAAACGCACCGTGTACAATGATCACGTCGCGCTTCTCCAAGAGCGACAAGATGAGCTTCTCAAGCAGCTCGAAGAGCTAGCCAAGGCTGGGTTCGCCCAGGCCGAAGCTGAATGGGAGAAGAGCGTCGCAGCTTGGGATAAACGACAAGAGAAGATCCGGTTGGAGGCTGCGAATGCCGGTGGTACAGCTAGCGGCGACGGCGGAAGCGGGACGAACTCGGCTGCACCAACCCGGCATCCGACTGAAGAGAAGGATGGGATGGACGTCGACCATCCGGGGAGTGTTAGTGCGCCTCCTGGGGGTGCTGCTACGGCGGCTGGTGGCCATGCCCCTCATCCACCCGGGAAGAAGTACCGCCTGACGGAGCAGATGAAGGCGATCATCTGGGATTTGGTGTTGCTGAGCAACGAGTGCTGTCGGTTGGAGAACGAGAAGAATCAGTATGAGGGGAGTGTGATTCAGGTTAGTGAGCAGGGGTTGCGGAAGGTGCTGTATCAGAAAATTGTGGCTGCTTTCCCGGAGGGGTGGATGTCGAGTGGTCAGATCTCGAGGGATGGTGAGTGTTTCCTCTGTTTGTTGGTCGTTTTCGATTATGGATTGCTAATGTTGGGATCTAGTGAGTGCGATGAAGAAGAGGTTGGAGAAGGAGCAGTTGGAGAATGATTGATTTCGCTGGTCTTTCTTCCTTTCTTTTATTTCTTTCTGTGTGCCTCGGACGCTGCTCGATTCGATTCCGCTCTTTGCATTATACGTCGTGTCTGGTATTGTTATTCATTCTCTATCTCTTTTTAGCGTTCCTTTTTGTGTTGCTATCGTTATTTGATTTTTGGTCCCTTGGCGGAGTGCATATACTCTGATGCGTTGTTTTTATATCCCTGTCGTTCTTACCTAGTACTTGGTGCGCTTCGCTCGATGAATATGGTGGTGATGGCCACGCTGAGCTGTGTAAGTTTTAGTTCCTTTTGGCGGTCATCGCAGGTCTGGTTGTACTATTATGTACTGTACCGTATACATTAATGACTGGGGCGTTTATGTTCCCGGTAACTGCAGTGTTGTATGTGTGGGTGTCAGTGGGGAGATGTGCTGACTCTTCCGCCCGTGAAACCAAGGGTGCCCTCGACATCGCGTTTGGCTCTTCAGAGGTACGTTTGAATAGGTGACATGGGAGGTTACGATTGGATGATAAGAATCCTCCACAGGTCGCGACGGTTGCAACATTTTCTCGTCATCAGAATACAAATGTAATGGAAGAATCAGATCCAACCCAGCGGGTACAGACCCCAGACTACCCCAAGGTCCGGGGCCGCAAAGGTTCCGGCAAAGCCACGAGAGAGCCATGAGAGAGCCACGAGTTCGCACGATTCGTAATGGAATGGGTCGGCAAATCCTCGTTGAAAGCCAACGACGCTTCTTTGCTTGCTCTTTGCTGTTAAATCCGCCCAACCCGCCAATTCTCTTCGATTCCAATGACGAATGAGCCAGCCAAGACGTCTGCTTGAACTGATGTTCTGCTCCAGACTCTGCTGAGACCGCCCTAGTTTTTCTAGTCACTTCTAGAGGGTTGGTTCTGGTGTTTCGATGATGGCGACTTCTGACGTTTCTCAAGGGTCTCTACAAGCATGGACTTGTCCTTGTGGGGTCTTTTCTGGGCGCTCGGCCGATTTGCGTCTCGTGGTTTTGGGACCTTTTATGTCCATCCCTGCCGATATCCTCCGAGCTATAAAGTCCACTGTTCGATAAGGGCCAATGGGACTCTTTCGTCTCGTTTTTCTGCTGTACTACTTGCTGAGCGGCTGTCTTTCATGAAAACTCCTTGCTACGAAGTCCCCGGTAGTGCGGATGTAGCATTATTTTTGGACGCCTCGCTGTCGTAAACCGATGTCTACGAGCACCCTTCGTCTTCTGAGGAGCACATCGAAGCTTCAACCACGCCGCCCACTTCTTCCACGTCGGCTTCGAAACGGACTTTACGCCATCGACTTTGCCGCGTTCACACTGCCCCACCCCCTCCTGGGACGTGCTTCTTTCAAGTTTCAGTTGGCCCCCCCCCCGGGGCCCTTGCCTTCGGAGATGTACCAAATCTAGTCCGTGACGCGGTTTACACGGTTTCTTCTATTGGTTTCCACTACATCTGTTTGTATTGGCGCCCTTTCGTCCGGTCCTCGCTTCTCAGCTGAGTCGCCCTTTGGCTTGCCCGTCCTGGTCGAGCTATACCAATTATCCGGGCTTTTACACATATTATCCGAGATTCTTTCTGCTTGAGGAACGTCATGTGTATGGTCATTCGTGCTTTTTGGCATCTAACATAATGGGCGCCAAGGGGTAACGGAACGCGTGAAACGGGACCGGTGGGCCAAGTAGGCACACCGTGAGGGAACGGTTTGGAGCAGGTATAAAAAGAGTGGGAGGGATGGGAGTGTGGGGTTGATCTCTCAAGTCCTCTACCTTGGAAACCATGGGTGTCTTTAGCAGAATCGCCCTCTCTGGCCTGTACATCAACTTGGCCCTCGGCGCTGTCTATAACAGCGTCGCGGAGCTCCCGACGGACGTCGAGTTCGACTTTATCGTTGCCGGAGGTGAGTGATGTCTACGTTTACACCTTGGCAGGCGTCGTGCTCATCGTGTCTGTGTCTGTGTAGGTGGCACTGCTGGTCCTGTGATTGCCAGCCGACTGGCTGAGAACCCCGACTTCCAGGTCCTCCTCGTTGAGGCCGGTGGAGAGTGAGTTTATGTGTTCACATGCTTTTGCCGTGCGGTGGCTGATAGACGGTACCCCCTCAGCAACGAAGGCGATATCAACTTTGTGGTTCCCGGGTTCCAGCGCCGACTCTCCAGCAGCTACAACTGGGGCTTCCAGACCATCGGCCAAACAGGACTCAATGGACGAACCTTGAACTACGCCCGGGGCAAGGTTCTCGGTGGTAGCAGCTCTACTAGTAGGTTTCTTGATTCATTCGCTCGAATGATGTCTGACATTGTATGTTGTAGATGGTATGGTTTACAACCGTGGTTCTGCTCAGGACTACAACCGATGGGCCAACGTTACCGGTGATGACGGATGGAAGTGGGAGAACCTCCTTCCAAGTATCAAGCGGGTATGAATACTTGTTCAAGCCCACGTCTTATGTTAAGCTGACTCTCTTACCAGGGAGAGAAATGGGTCCTCCCTGCTGACGGCCGCAGCGTCGATGGCGCCTACAACCCCGATGCCCACGGCTACGACGGAGAACTGCTCATCACCAACTTCAACACTCCACCTACCGACTTCGACAGGCGCGTCCAGGATAACTTCAATGAGGAGTTCCCCTTCTGCCTCGACGTCAATGATGGTAACAACATCGGAGCTTGTGAGTTTGCTTTCCTTTCAGCAGCCTGTCAAATATTCTCATTTGTCCATTAAGGCCCAACCCAGTACACCATTGGTTATGGCGAGCGAAGCAGTGCTGCGACTGCCTTCGTCTCGACTGAGCACCGCAACCGCCCCAACTTCCATGTTCTGCTGAACACCTATGTCACCCGAGTCCTCGGTACTGGCGACAACGCGCTTGACTTCAGGACTATCGAAGTCGCTGCCGACAGCGCATGTGAGTACTGGCTCTTAAGAACCGCTTGGGCGTCGATTTGACAAACACGCTCTCAGCTCCTCGTCAGACCATCGTTGCTTCCAAGGAAGTCGTCCTGTCTGCTGGAGCTTTCGGCTCCCCTCAAATCCTTCTCAACTCTGGTATTGGACCCAGGGAAGAACTCGAGGAAGTTGGCGTCGAGAGCGTTCTTGATATCCCCGACGTTGGAAAGAACCTCCAAGACCACCCCGCTTCCTTCGCCATGTGGCTCGCCAACGGCCAGCCATCGCCAGCGTGAGTGCCTTTATAGCAGTATACACACTCTGTAAACCAACTGAGCTCCATGGCAGTGTTGACGAAGCTGAGGCCTTTGCCCAATGGCAGCAGAACCGCTCTGGTCCTTTGACTGATCCCGGATCACACTACATCGTCTGGAGCCGAATTCCCGCCAATGCTTCCATCTTCCAGGAATACCCTGATGACCAGACCGCCCCCGGCGCACCTCATATTGAGCTCGCTATCTCTGTAAGTTACATTCCTGATTCTTGAGTGTATGTGTCCCGTTGGCTAACAAGTTGCCATAGGGAAGCGGACCTACCGTCGCTGCCTCTGTCCTTCTCTTGAACCCCGCCTCCCGCGGAAGCGTCAAGATCAGGTCCAACAACCCCTTCGACCCCCCCGTTATCGACCTCGGCTTCCTCACCCACCGCTACGACATCCTCGCCTTCGTTGAGGGTATCCGATCTGCCTGGAGATACTTCGCTGGTGATGGATTCAAGGACCATGTCGTCGCCCCCATCACTGCCAACCCCGACACCACTCCTCTCGAGGAAATCGAGCAGCAGCTCCGAAACGGTGTTGGTACCACCCTCCATGTGTCTGGCTCTGTCGCCATGTCTGCACGAGGTGCTTCCAATGGTGTGCTGGATCCGGACTTGAAGGTCAAGGGTGCTACTGGCTTGCGTGTTGCTGATGCATCCATCATGGTGAGTGGAGACTTCTCGGTATTTCTGCTTACATGGATGTTGACGATTGTGTGTAGCCTTATATCACCACCGGCCACACTGTGGGCGCTGTCTACGTTATTGGCGAGCGTGCTGCCGATATCATCAAGGCCGACTGGTCATGAGCGCACTGCACTATTCATTTAGCAGGGTACCGTGACTGTTTAGTGTATGAATCAGCTATCTATTTCACAGTTCTTCTATAATGGTGTCCCAGGACTGTGGACAGTGTTCCTTCCGATGGATCGCCGCTGACACTGGCCGCGTGCTTACACTGCTTGGTATGTATGTTCGCCCACCCAAGTAAACGCCCACAGTCGCGGCCTGTAGTAAGGGAATCTGAACCCGCAGCCCTTCTCTTTCTCCCCCACCAACCACTGACCCAATTCTGCCCCTTTCGTCATGGATCAGAACGTTTGTCCCCCCTCCACGAAGGATGAAATACGTGAAACCCCACAAGGGGTGGATAGCGAGGTGGTTACATCCACAGTCCCATAACCAGAGCTGATTTACACCGATAGGGGATATGTAGTTGTGGATGAGAATTGGACCAGAAGTTCTCTGTCACATCTTCTCCTGGTTCAGCCCTACTCTCCAACTCTACTCGTCAGTTCCCTACATCTACACGACCGAATGGAAGCCTATACGGCTCGTGTGCCGCCAGTGGCATGACGTGCTTCACAGCATCCCGCAAATATTCAGTTACTTACCGAAGATAGGTCTTCACGGCGGATGTGCCACGGAGGAATATATCGATATGTTGAAGCGCTACCTCGGCTGGTCCGCAAACGCGCCCCTCAAGATCCAGTTGGACGGCCTCGGCATCTACCACGATAGAATCACCCAGAACGGAATGCACCCTGCTCTAGCGCTGTTGATGGAACATGCTTCACGCTGGTCGGTCGTGAAGTTCCGAGATGTGCCTTTCCAAACGATCAATTCTCTTCGTGCAGTCAAAGGCCAATTTGGAGAGCTCCGATCCTTGAACTTTTCGGCTCTAGCCTCTGATTACAGCCACATCCCTTTCGCCGACCAACTCGATGCTTTTGAAGATGCAGGAAGATTGGAGGTCGTCAAAATTAGCGCTGTAATCCCTGGTGGGGGTATCTTAATCCCTTGGGACAATCTCAAGTCGTTCGCATGCGTGGTGGATAGGCGGGGTTTGGCGATCCCAGTCGAGGAGTTGAGCAGCCTGGAAGAACTCGAAATTGTACAAGGCGGGGACGATGATTCGTTCGGGAGGCCAAAGAAGGTTATACCGGGTCTGAAAGTCCTCCGCTACAGCTACAACACTGTGGGAGGTCGAGGAGACACTTCGAGCAGGTCTATCAGTCGCCTCCGCCTTCCGACACTGGAGGACGTTCAGATGAAGAATTGCAAGATCAGCGACCTCTCACTCCTTATAACTGCTTCGAAATGCGGACATCATTTGCGTAGAATTGCATTCCGGACCCAACAGTCCCTCATACCTGGCGAACTCACCGGTCTATTGGAAGCTACACCGTACCTGGCCGAGCTCGATATCTCTCAACCGCCTGACCAAGATGCAAAAATGCTGGTATACGTCCCTCAAAACTCGTCTCCTGGCGCTCCCACATTCCTCCCTCATCTGGAACGGCTTCACATACACTGCACGAGCACAGGAAGCAGGAACACCCATCGCATTTATTGCGAGATTGGCCGGACGCGATGCGACATTGACCTGGACTCCTCTTTGATTCGTCAACTCAAGGAGTTCCGGTTGGTCTTCGAAACCAAGGGTCTTCGCTCGTTGGCTATATCCCAGGGTCTTGGACTATCGGAGCTGGTGAGCGAGCCTGAACTCCTTGAAGGATCGAGAATCCTGAGGGCCCAGGGATTGATTTCCGGATGGACGGAAGTCATACTCCGAAACATTCGCAACGCCGAGAGGATCAAGCCATCCGTAGCCAAAGCACCGACCAAGAAACATTTGTCAACTTTCAAAAAAATCTCCTCACAACTTTGCTCTGTCTTGGACGAGATTGAACATTTTACATCTCGGGAAGTGACAGAGCAGGAGCTCACAGCCGTTCAGGTTAGTCTATTCTACCCATTTGACCATTTTAATCGTTTGATTTCGCAAGAAGAGCTCTAGGTTCTATAATACAGTTGAGAAGGTCATCAAACTTGGCGATAACTCCTCTCATAACGCTTACTCCAATGCTGCGGCGCAAGCTAGGAAAATCTTGGACAGATGGGAACACCTGTTCTCCAACGCGATCGACAGGATACACTGGGCAGAATTCGGACAGAATTCTTTGGTGTACATTCCCAATCACAGCGGTTCGTTAACTATTATTTTCCAGTGTGCTGACCGACCATCAGACTGGAGGGCGCAGGGGGACCCATTGAGAAAATTCTTTTATGGGGTGGAGGATACAATGCACGATGCGCAGTTATTGTGGCATCGAAACTGATCTACAGTTCTAATACAAGTTGAGAATTCTATACTAATATGCTGTCAAGTGTTCCTCTACCGTTTGTACCCCTTGGCAATGTAGTAAGCAGGGCCTTTGCTAATCAGCGCGCAGGGCAAGTGACGGGCGCTTAATTAAAGGTAACCGGTACCTAAGCAGCGCCTAATCATACCCTTTCCGAAGATTATGAGTCAGTTCCATTCAAGTAAACGACACCCCAAGGAGCATTGTCAATTTCACTGAGATTCGGAGTGCACAGATTTACTATCGCTCACCACAGTCCGAAACGCGCCCGTGTAGAGTCTAGATTGTCTAATGAAGACTCCGAACCATTGGTCGAGTCCACCCCGGTGCAACATGATATACCCCTCCCGAGAGACCGAGGTGGCCCTGTTCAAGATATGTGATCCCCTTTTTGTATCGCTTTGTCACGGTATCGCTTTCGCTTTTCCATTACCGCTATCGCTGTCACTTGATGTATATTTCAGATCCAATGCCAGTTTCATTTGCACTGCATAGCATTGACCTGTTCAGTGTCCCCAAGTCGCCCCCTCGTGAGCCTGAGGCTCAGTGATTGTCTTCGGTCTCTGGTAGTAGGTACCTAGCTCTATCTATATCTTTACATAGCAACGACGGATGCATAGCCAAACGATGAGCCTTCCAACCCACGGGCGACAAGGGCGAACTGCTGCGCCGCATCCCTCGTCTTCTTCAACGACCGCGACGCAATGACCGCCTTGATAAACTTGTCCTTCGTCTCAGCACCTGCCTTTGTCTGGACAAAGTCACCCTGTCGAGCGGCGTCAGTCATTGCTACCCCGATACATGCATGGGAGGCGCCACGTACCGAGAACAGGATCTCTTGCATCCACCGACCAACAATGGCAGGGCCGCCTTCCAGGCCACTCGAGCGGTTCATCAGGGTACCCAACATCTCGATGAGGTTGGGGACGACACTTCTCGGCGCGACACCCGCAATGCCATGCAGGACAGCACTGGTAATGGCACGCCCGTGCGCCATCAGGAGGTTGTTCTTGTGCGTGCTGAGCTCTGATGTTAACGAACTCCGGTGGATGAGGTTGGACTAAGAAGAAGAGAGCGTCAGTGGAGAAACTACAGGCATAGCGGTCAACGCACCATAAAGTTGCATGCGGAAACAAGAGAGTATCGTTCTTGCAACGCTAGAGCCGAGATCGCGCACTGCATCAGGAGATCCAGCATTCCCGGAGGAAGAGCGTAGAACGATTTCGTGAAATCTTGCGCGACCTGGACAAAACTGGTAAGCCGGCCGAAACCTTCAAGGAGGAGGGGAGAAAAGCGTACTCTATCCATGCACGAGAAAAACTCTTGCACGATATCAGGGTTCTAAACTGCAATCAGTTTCACCATCCCACGCGAAAAGGAAAAATAAAAAAGGACGTACACTCTCCATCGCCCCAGGACCACCAAGCATCGTCAGCCCACACTGCAACAAGATCGGCAGCACGTTGGCCACAGTCGTTTCTGCATCTTTGCCTGGCACGGCCTTTGTCAACAGCGAGTAAGACGGTGGGTTGAGCTGGGCGATGAGGATGGTCGAAAGTGACAGCCACGTGGCAGTCAGTTGTCTCTGCGCTGCTACAGAGATCAACTGAAGCAGTGGACCGGCGGTGAGCGACAGAAGTGTCATATCACTTGGAAGACTCGTTATCGATTTGAAGAGGTCGCTCAGAGCCTATCGAATGGTTAATAAACCCATCAAACAAATGTGATGAAGGACGAACATGGCTGATTTCGGCGTCCGTAGACCAAATTTCAACGATCTTCCCAATACTCAAGAAAATGTCTTCCCGCAGCTTGTGCATCCTGGGATCCTCCCTTGCGGCTTTGATCTTGTCCAGCTCAGCCTTGATAGCGGGATCGTCCTCGTCTTCCGAGTAGAGGCCTTCGTTCGCGCGTGTGAGACCCTTGGCGACGCCGGAAAGAATCTCAAGTTGGAGAATGACCACGGATCGTGCTTCCTCTGGGAGGGTTGCAGAGTTTTGGATTGCTGCGACGAGCTTCTGCACGATAGGGCTCACGATGACCTCGACAGGAGGAATCATCTCGGCAGGAGGAAGAGCTTGGATGACGCTCGCGATCGACTGCAACACCTTGCTTCGCTCCGAGTCCTGTGAGAATGTCAGCTCGCATTCACGAGTGAGCAGTACCAATACCCACAGGGATGTTGTCGAGGTTGTCATGCAGCTGACCAAAGGCAGAGATGTGTGGTGCAAGAGCCTTCCTGTTCGCGTCGCAAATGTTTCTGAACGCAGTCGCCGCCTGCAGACAGAGGGCTTGGTCGGACAGTGCGGTGACGACATAGTTGAGCACGTTCATGAGGAGATTGGAATCGACGGGGATAGAGGTGCTCTTCATGTAACTTGGGAACCATGTTGAGTACGAGCCTGCGCGAAAGGTGAGAGACAAAGACAGCGGGCTGAAGGCTGAAGGGCGAACCGATGAGGCTGAGCGTTGTCCTGCGCAGTCGATTGTGGCCGGTGGTGGGAAGTCGTCCCAGAACGTCAGAACTGAACAACCGGGCGAGTTGGGGAGCATTGTCGAGGTCCACTGCTTCTTGGACAGACATGATACAGTGGAGATTAGATTCAATATCCTGTTCCATGTTGTCAGTTCAGACCCAGAGGCTGCGTTGGTTGAGCTGACGTACCTGCCAGTTTGGTGATTCGACAGCCATTCGCTGGACCATGTCGTCGATGTAATAACTAAGCATGTTGTCTTTTAGGACATAATACCTGTGTTTTCGATGTTAGAATTGTAGCAGAGGGTGGCTGCTCATTACTCACGCATTGATTAATGTATCGCCGATATCACGACGGTAACTGTCACGTCGATGTCAGTACACAGAAACCAACCGGGAACCACCAAGGGCATACACATTGAATTTCTCCAGTTGATCTATGCGAGCCAAATCAGAACAAATCCGGTGACATGGAAATTGACATAACTGCATACCTTTAGACCATCCGCTGGGTGGCGTAGGGAACGCGGCTTTGCGCCTCAACACCTGAACCAACTCGCTATACACCGCGTTCGCCATCTCGACTTGTACGGGATCCTTCCTCGAGGGCGGTTGAATGCTGTCATCATCCCCGTTTTCCTCGAAATAATAGTCCGTGGACCATAAGGCTTCCTGGAAGAGATACCAAAACCCAAGAGTGAGCTCGCTCTCCTCTTCGTCCACCCCGTAGTACCCTGGTAGTCCTGTGTAGGCAAGCATCAGTCGTAGGAAAGTCTGCACGAGCTGAGCTCGCGACCGATCTGGGGTGACAGGAGCGGGGGAGGCAATGTTGGCGGCGATGTAAGGCGCGGAGTGATCCCCAAGTGCAACCAAGAGTTTACACACAGAGTGCGCGAATTCATCCACCTCGCCTTTGTCGATCATCGTCTTCACCACCGAACTTCCAACCGAATCCATCCAGAGTAGCAAAGGTTCCGTCAGAGCTTTACTCCCCGCGCCTTCCGACAATGGTGATTTCGAAAGAACCTCTTGTAACGTCTCTGAAGCGACGCAAAATGCTTGCTCGTTGTCTTCCGAAGGATCGAGGAGGGAGATCAAGATCGGGATGAAAGGAACCAAATCATTGGCCGGGAAGATGGTCATCCACGCTTGAAGGGTCTGGAGTGATGATTGGACCTGGGAGATCGGAACCGCGCCTTTAGGTTGGCTGATTGACGCGGTGATGGCTTGCACGACCATGGGCGTCGCGTCGAGGAGGGATTGCTGCATCTGCATCCTAAACTATGAATTAGCGGATACGGTTAATATGATCTGCAAAATGTGACTTACTTACTAGGTCCTAGGAGATCAGCACCTCCCACTTCTTCCGCGACGATGGTCAGGAACTGGTGTATTCGCTCTGGGGCGACACCAACAGCAGAGAATTGATTGACACAGGAAATAATCCATGACGGCCACCTCGAAGGATGCCCGGGTGCAAGTTTGAGAGCAAGAGATGTGACCTGAGCGCGTGTTAGGAGCCTTTATTTCGACGATTAATGAAGCATACCGCAACAAACAGCTTTCTGAGGATGAAATTAGGCCTTCCAGCAGCTGCCGAATGGGCTGTGAGCTGGACCAAAAGGTCCTTCAGTCCTTCCGCATGCTCATTGGGAAACATATCCCTAATCAATACAGTCAGAATGAGAAACCATCACAAAGCAAAGTGATAGTCACCAATCCCTAGCAATCTTCACCTGCGCCGTGTGGGCCCCAAAGAACTGAACGTTCTGGTCATCGTGATTGAGGAACGGAATGACCAGTCCCCAAGCCTCAGGTCGTTTCTGCATTTCGAACAGCTCCTGCTGCAGCCTTTTAAGGTCCTCCGGCGACGTGGTCGATGTCGATGGGCCGTGTGCATGCTGAATCAACTGTTTTTCGAGCTCGATGAGAGGTTTGGCGAACGACGGCGTCAAGGACTGACTTGGGCAGCTCTCTCAACGTCAAGTGCTGATAAAGAAGGCAGAAAGTCGATATTTGCCATTCTGGCAGAGAAAACGCGAATCCGAGACGAAACTTTGAACCAGATCGGAACCGAACGTGACGGTAGGAAGAAAGCGCTGCTGTGGCCCATTCATTATCCGATCTTCCGCTTCAAGCGGAGATCGAATGAAACAAGGCTAACCGTTAGGGGGAACCACCTTGGCGCCTAATGGCCACCATGGCGTCTATTGCTCTCAACTGCCTTGTTTCTGGTGATGACTCGGACAGAATATTCATCCTCAAGGTCGCTCCCAGCGACAATGTTTACAACCTCAAGGAAAGAGTCAAGGAGAAGTGGCCTCACCGTCTCGCGAATATCGACGCACCTGAAATCGACCTTTTCAAAGTTTCGCTACCCATCGACGATGAGTTGGATGACAAGTTAAAATCTTTCAATGTCGAGCAAGAAAAGCTAAGGTCGTCTGTCAAGAAGATGTCGGCACTCTTTCAAAGCGTACCCGAGGAGCACCTCCATGTTATTGCAGGTAACGAGTGTAACCCGACTCTAGTTAAATTGTTATCCAGCTTACATTGTCTTCAGTCCTTCCCCATGCTGGACGCAAACGATCTGCTCCCGAACCTGCCTTTCAAACTGATACGTTCAAACGAACCAAAGTGGCGACCGAATCCCCATCTCGAATCGCAACCAAGTCCGCATATGAATCTTTACAAGGTAGATCCACCGAGCGACTCCTGGATGACCGTCCGAAAGCCGACTATGGAGTCCCTCCTCTTCCACTTCTATATCCCGGATTTGGCAACTTCAAGGATGACTTCATGAACGGAATTTCGGCCAGGTGCTTCGTGAACTCCGTCCCTGACTTTCCCAATGTCAGGGAACTCGTCGATGCTGTGGATGAATTGGCGTTTGAGATGTCAAAGTTTCACAAGGACGAGGCCCTCCAGGCGGGATGCTGGAATTGCCCTACTGAACAAGATACTGACCATGGAAAATGGTGGAGATCAATTTCGTCTCACCCCGGCAGTCATTGGCACCGTCTGTAGCGATGGTCATGCCACATCCCCCGACGGTTTCCCGTACCATGTTGTCCAGTTCAAAAACGAGGTAGTTCACGTCGTGTCCCACCCTGGTGTTGAAGGTGTAGGCTACACAGCACATCTTCATGCCAATTTGAGAGGACCCTGTGGTGCTATCCCCCAACGGTGGAGAGCACCTTGCATTGTTACCACCATCGTTGGTAAGTAGTATCAGGATTCTTACTTCTAGTCTGGTTGAATTTGATCAAACTCGTGTAGGACACGAAATACGATTCTACGGGGTCATCTTGCTCGGTCGTCAATACCGGCAAATCAGCCTTACTCCAGCGCTATCCTGCCTTCAAGGAGCCAGCGACGGGGCAGAACGACAGATGCTATACGCTGCGTTCTACGCCATCCTCCGACTACAAAACCGCATTGCGGCAGATCTTCAGCATCACCTCAGCAATCCACAAACCCACCCCATCCCATCCGATTCTGTCCTCTTTCCCGCCATCTTGAAGCTCGCCAAACGCGACGGCTCTGGCGACTTTGAATTCACAATCACTGGCCATCGCCAACCTCAAATGGAGTATCGTTTGCTCTACATCGCGCTCGCTAGCGATAATTCGACCCGTGTCCTCGTCAAGTTTTCTCAGACCTACTGTCGCGAACTTCACGAGTACTGCTCTCAGAGGGGCCATGCACCTAAACTGCTCGGCTTCGAGCGACTCCCTGGTGGATGGTACGGCATTGCGATGGAGTACGATCCCAAGATGACTTTCATTCAGACAAAGGATGACTGTGTGCTCAAGCCCACGGTTGAGCGATTGATGAGAGGGTTCCATGAGGAAGGCTGGGTGCATGGAGACCTTCGACATTGCAACATCCTCGCGAGTGAGGATCGGAAGCGGGTCTGGGTTGTGGACTTTGATTGGGGAGGGAAAGATGGCGAGGTTTCTTATCCGACTCCGCGGTTGAACCCAATGCTGGCTGATGGGAGGAACTGTACTCATTGGAAGATCCGGAAGCAGGACGACGAGAGGGTTTTGGAGGCGACGTTTAAGGAGCTGGAGAAAATGCAGTTAACTCCCTTGTGCATTCCTCCGATTACATACACTTAGTCTTTTTATGAACGGACTGGTGGTCTAAGGTCTAGGTGGCTTGTTCGAAACGAGGCTGATCCTGCACGCCTTGTCAAAAGACCAGTGTTCAATGAACAGTGCCTCCAAGGATAAATAAATATCAAACGCTGAATTTGAGGCGAAGTGGGTCTATCGTTTTAGAAGGGGCTATAGTACGCGACGGACAAACGTTGCGTTCAAGTATTTATGAATGCACTAACACTTACGACGAACGAGAAAACGAACGAGTGTCAACAAATTTGGTACCAGGTCAGGGCTCCGAGTCTACATATACATGATGAAAGAACGACGACGACGACGATGCTAGCGAAAGCGATGCAAAGCGATACAAAGCGGGGAAAGCAAATCAACGAGTGGCATAGCAAAAAAGGAATCATGTCTGAACGAAGGGATCGTCCCCTTTATCCTGAGGGAGGGGCACGTCTGGCCGGATCGGGGTAGACTCGGTGAAGGTTTCACCAGACGGTTCAGAAGGCTACGCCGAAAAGACCAAGAAATGAACATCAGTGTGATTGAGACAAAAAGGCAAGGTTACACACCCCAGGCGCAATAGTGAACGTCGACCGAGGGCTCCCCATAACTGGCGATCGAGGAGATAGCCTCGGCGACTCCAATAGCTCAGCCGCATCAGACGATACCGACTCTACACGCGCACGCTTCGGTTCCGAGGGCTACATCGACGAGAGCAGGAGATAGATGTCAGCGTGCGTTGAAAACGTCACAGGCGGAGGGCAGCAGATACGCACTTCGGAGTCAACACTAAATGTCGATCCATAACTCCTCTTTAGCGGTGTTCCAGGTTGAGTTGGGGCTGACGACAACGGCCTAGAGGAACGGGATGGAATCAAAGACGTATTATAGACGCTCCGAGGGTTGACGGATTTCTTCAGGCTCATGAACGGTTGGTCCCAGTTGTTTTGGAGGAAGTTAAGGATGATGCGCTGGAAACATTCGTGGATGTAGTCGGGCTGTGCTCTCGGAGAGCTTTGCGGCAGCCAGTGTGGGTCGAACTTCATGTAAGAGTACATATCTTTGAGAAGAGGGAATAGATCACGATAGCTCGGGTGGAACACAGATCGGTCATCAGGGAGCCTTTTCCGAGCCGTAAGCAGCCCCGTCCAGACGTCGTTGGGGATGCATATATCTTCATCCCTCATTGAGCGTTTTGGATAGGCATTGGTCGACGGCATAGCCATCAGCGCCCAGTAGTGGACAAGCCAAAAGATTGATTCAGCGTCATGATATAGCTGGTGTCTCCAGGGGGCGACGTCGTGCGGGGGGTTTCCCTTTTCGTCTGCCTCGAAGGACTCGTCCGTGTCACAAAGGCTGAACCGGGCGAGGCGTCCTGGAAACAGGTTCTTGTATGTCTCTGGGGGATTTGGGATGGCTATAAATTCAAAAGTAAAGCGGGGATCAAGATGGAGTGGCTCTCCTCGGTGGACAGCCCTGGCCATGAACCCAGGAGTTCCCTGCAAGAGCAACGATTAACGGCCGCTACAACTCGACAGAACCATATAACCCACCGTTCGTTCTCCTCGAACAGGCTTACGAGGTAAGCTCAAGACTTCACTGTGATTGAAATCGATTAGCAGTGTCGATGTTTCCTTGGGGTCGTCGCTGAAATGTAGGGTCAGCATCGTCAGGACAGGGAAAAGGCCTGACAAACTGCACGGACCTCTTGCCAAGCAGACGTCTTACGAAGCAGTAACGGTGCTTGTTCTTGTTCTGCTCTCCGGTCTCATCCTTTTCCCCGCCCTCTCCAGCCTGCCGTTCATCTGGGGTTTCGTCTCGTTGTGTCCGCCGCTCTGCAACCCTTGGTCGCCGAAGGTACATGACGTTCCCCGTGCTAATGTCGCGATGGAGAACGCGGCGCTCGGCATTCAGAATTCGGGTGACTCGCGTAGCCAGTCAGCATCTGGGGTAGTCTGTGACAGGTAAATACTCACTTTCCAGCGCGTCGTAGGCCACCATGAGCATCTCCCGAGGGGTCTCAATCGACATAAACGGCGCGCCCTCCTGACCCATCCCGATCCATACTTCTTCTCTACCTCCAAACAGATGTGTCAGGGCTCGAGACCGGAGCATATCGACCACCCCCGGGACTCCTTTGACATGTCTGAGCACCTCGATTTCGTCGAAACGAGATTTATGGCAGAGTTGTATCTTGACCACTCTGAGTCTGTGACCGTCGACAACGGGAGGATCGGGGCCACCATGAAACACGTGCGTCCGAGTACCGAAGGAGTTGGCGCCATATCGACAGATGAAGTCGCGACACACCACCTGTGGTTCGGAATCCGTTGGCTGAAAAGTGAGGTTGTAGACACACGTCGGTATGCTGTCACCCGAAGCTGGCTGATAGACCATTTCGATGTCGGGATGCGCCCACTGCCCAGGGTCATAGAGTCGGTACACCATCGCAAGCATCGCCCGCTTCAGCGTCTGGGTGCCCCAAGCAAACGAGAATTCGTAGATCCTTGAACCTGTTTGTCCAACCAACAGCTGCAGATGTTTCTCGCCCACCAACAGGCCGAAGGCGGCCTTGAAATCGGGTCGTGCATCAAGCAGGAGGTCAAGGTATGTGCGAGCATCCTGTCTCTGGTCCTCCTCGTTTTTACCCTTCGAAGTGATCTCCCCGGCAAGCCTCATTGCGGGCCATGGAATTCGGGATTTCGAATGTTCCTTTCCGTCCGTGTCACCGCTGCCGTACCAATGTCCTTCAAGACCTGCCACAAAGCTAGGTCTGGCTTTGGTACCGGTATCGGATACATTCCCGGCCTGGACATGATTCGAGGTATCTCTGAAGACCAACAATTCGTGGAAATCTGGATTTAGGAGTTGAGTGGAATTCCTCGAGAATCGTAGAGTACGCACGGGAATTCCTCTGCCGGATTAGCTGGCACGTAGCATTCACGTCAGCCAAAAAGTCGTCTCGTGTCTCGAACTCTGGTGATCCCGCTAGGCTCAGAGAATGGTCGTCGCTCTCGAGCGTCAAGTGCTTCAGCAACTCCTCCAAGAGAAAATCGTCAGGCCCATCCAGGACAAACGTCGGATAGCGACCATGCTCCATGTATCCGACTGCGACACCGCACCGACGTGGTGGTCAAGACACAACTTTGAACTTTCAATTCCGACGCGCGCATCTGCCGTCTGATGGCCGGGCATCGCCACCCTCATCGTCCGCCTGGCGAAAATGGTGGATAATGCCAGCGAGGATGATATATCAGTACAGATAAATACTACATACATACAGATATACATACATACACCCATCGAGGCCCAATGAACTACAACTTGGCCCTGTCAACCTTCACACCAGCCTGCCTCTGACCCCTCTGCAGAATCGGCTTGATGCTCTTCTCATATGCCTCAGGGACCTCCATCTGGTTCAGCGGTTCCTGTTGTGCCCTCTTCCAAAGCGCCTCATAAACCTTGCCATCGTACACCCCAAGCGCACTGTCCAGTTCCCAGTCCGTGAATCCAAACGCGTCCGTGAGACCGATCGCTTCAGGCAGGAGGGCCTGGCAGACACGCTGGATCGCGAGGCGGAGCGAACGCGTCGCGTCCGACCCAGTAGTGGAAGAGAGAAGGCCAAAGGAAAGCACGTCGGTGATACCCGCTTCGAGAGTTGTGAGCAGGTAAAGCAGGAACACCTGGCCCAAGACCAGCGCCTCCTTCTGCCGCTTGTTACCCAGCTTGGTCTGAGCCTCATTGATCATGTCTCCCACTTGCCGAGCGACGAACGCCTCTGTGACTGCTTTCGACACGCGCTGGTTCACACTGGCATCGGGTTCCTTGAGGTTGCGCGCCATTTCCTGAACGACGAGTGCCGCCCGCCATTCGAGGAGTAGGACAGGATTGGCGGGATCGAGCCATTGATCCGGGGTAAGCTTGAAGTTCGGGACCGAGACGGGTGGGATGAGGAGGCGGAGGTAGTATGACGAAGGCGAGAGGTTGGTTGAAGATGAGAGGCCCTTGAGCGACTTGAGCGCCGCACGAACGACTTGCTGGTCAAGCGCAAAGTTGTCGCCTTCGTAAGTCACGCTAGGAAGATAGTCGTTGTAGATTCTGCCCAGGCCTGAAAATGCGCTGTACCCATGCCCGCCCATGGATCGACGTGCAACCTCGATGTCTTGAACACCCGTGGAGGAGACAAGGACCTTGAGACCGCTCGTCGTGGCGTGCATTTCGGCAAGGAGGGAGGTGTCTCCTTTGGCGAGACGGCCGGCCATCGTGTCGAAGGCTTTAGTCTAGACACACAATGTCAGCCAATGTCGCGACTAGATGAATGGGACCATACCAATTGCTTCCCGAGTTGAATGAAGACATAAGCATGGGAGAGTATGGGAAGGAGGCGGTAGTAGGTCGAAGGGTACGAGATGACTGCTTGTTCGAGACCGTCAGGGCCCACCGCACCCTGACGCCGAACGGTGCCGTAGCGAATGGCCACAGTCGCAGCCTTGGCCATGAGCCAACCACCACCGGTGACCATGCTAGAATACGATCAGTTGATGTTAAACTACCAGCCACATGGAGCCAGCCTACTTTGCACGAATGTACAACATCTGCACGATACGGTTAGCGAAAACAGATGGTAGAAAGCGATTCACATACCCCACCGTAGCTCAGCTTTGCATGAGGAGGTTGAATGTACTTGCCGTCATCGGTCACTTGGGCAAACTTGGAGAGCATATGCTCCTTCGGAATCCGAACATGGTCAAATCTGGCAAAGCCGTTGTCTGTCGGTGCAAATCCCCCACCAGACTTGGGACCAATATCGCCAATGATGATACCAGGAAGGGGTTTATGGTCCTCTACAACTAATCAGCAACCCGCTCGCGACAGAAACGAAGGAAACACACCCATGCTCCTCAATTGGACGAAGAATAAATGCGGTCCGTAATCCTTGCCCTCGATGATGAGCTTGGCTTGCACGACGCCATGGGTGGCCGTCTTGCCCAAAGCTCCAATCCACCACTTGCTGCTCGTAACCGTCGGTGAGTTGATCTCGAACTCTCTCGTTTCGGGGATGTACGTTGCAGTGGTCTCGAGACGCGACACGTTGGTTCCATGGCCAAGTTCAGTCTGTAGGTAACACCCAAAGATACCACGAGTTGCGATCAGGCGACCGTACTTCTTCACGAGTTCTGGCGAGCCCTGAAGGTTGAACACTGGTTGGAAAGCTAGAACGGGGAGGTCAGACGCGGCCCCTTGTCAATCAGAACGTCTGAATACGCACCAATATTGTGTAAAGCGATAGGGAGTTGCTCGTCGAGAATGGCAGTTGCTGTGCTGGTCTGCTGCTGGTTCCAGCCCAGCTTCTCCTGGAGTTCGTAGATACGATTCGTCAAGGCCATCCCTCGTGTATAGCGCTCTGTTCTTGACATAAAGTCTCTGGAAACCACGGTTATATCCCTCGAGTTGACTTGGGAGTCATATAGAGCCATCTACCTCTGACTTTTGTCGAAGACTGGATCATTCTGGAGGACTTCAACGATGTTGTGCCGAGTCTGAAACTCTTCGGCGCCGTCTGTGCTCATCGTCAGTGCCATATCGAGCGAGGAACGCGGGGTAAACTCACTGTACAGGTAATTTCTCACTTCTTCCACCGCTATCGTCGTTGCAGCCCTGGCTGCAGTCATATCCTTCCCAGTCTGTTCATTGACGTCGTAGGGCTTCGCCATGAGGTCTTCTTTAACTATCGTCGTCGTCGCCGTCGTGGTGGTCCTGCAGATACCCCGCATTCGGCTGAAATACCACAACCGGTCCCGGTTGCACGGAAAGCCGTGGCAAGACCAGATCGCATGACGGTCATGACGGCCGCCGTGTAGCCCCTATCGTTCTGGCGCTTGTGTCACCTGAACAGACCTTAGTTAAGGCAAAAGTCTTCGCCAACATCGTGAACGATGAAGAGAAGAAAGACGAGGCAGGCTGAACCTGAAGCCGGGTTCGAACGCCAAGTCCGACTCTTTCAAACTCAGGCTCATCACGTGTCACATAGTATGAGCGCTTAAATGAGCTGGACAGTAGCGAGGTGGTGGTTTTAGTCGTTGCGCTCTGGGTCAGAGCTTGGCGCAATGTTGAAATGAAAGCTCCGTACTCCCGTGGTGTAATACAAGGGTTCCCACACCTTGTGAGTTGATGCAGGGATCAAAATCGCCCATTCTCATCCTTTGCAACATTCCTCTTCGATGTCGTGGAGGAAGATAGGGCTGAGAAAGGCGGTCTGCTGAAGACCCGCATCCTTGGTTCCAGATAACTTGAAAGATACTCTGTGCTATCGTGAAACCAGACGTCAATAGATGTTGAAATCTCGCTTTTATTCGTCGGCTGTTGGGATCCTCCGTATAGGCGTTAAACGAGTGAAATGTGCAATGAAAGCTTTCGACGAGGAACATACAAAAAAAAAAACCGGCGGTGCGTCACCCGTGAGCTACGGACTGGCTGATTCGGTTGTACGGAATGAAACCACCAATAAGTAGTAATCCGTTACATACATAAAACCCGAAAAAAGAGAAAACAGAACGAGAAGATTGTGAAGTTGGTACTGTCAGTGATTGAAAACAGTGGTCTCGAGTGGGTACTCGCTTGAGTTGAACAATAGAAAGCGTAATCGACTCGCTCCCCGGGGTGATATGAAGTCCCCACCCTAATTTCTCCAGCCTGGAGTGTGAGTGTAGCTATTGCCCACGGGTGGGGCGGCGTAATATTGCTGCTGGCTGGCATAGCTATTCGCATTCCCGGAATTGGCGTCGAGAGAGCGGTTATGGGCGTGGCCAGACACACTGGTGCTGTTTGTCGGTGATGTGTATGGCGCGGCATGAGAGCCAGTCACCGGGCTACCTGAATACCCTATTCTCCATTAGCACATCAGCACTCAAAAACTCCCCCCCAATGAACGTGCGGCTTACATGACGGCTGCTGGCCCAGATACTGAGATTCAGACGCTGCTTTCTTCCTATGCCTTCTTTTCAAAAAGAGAATCGCAAAACCGGTCAGGAGAAGGAGAACCAATGCTCCCAAAACACCTCCCACAATCGGGCCGACCGGTGTCCCTTTGGACGAAGCACCCACAACCTCTCCTTGGGAACTGTCTTCGATGCTACCAGACGGAGTTGGCTCTCGGGATTTGACCAGGATTCTCGTGACGCTGGCATCATACGTGGTTTCTGGGTTGTGCGCATGCGAGATTTGGGATGGCAACTCAGATGCTTGGCCGCTGCGAGGACTCGGAGACGGAGCCGGGTCCGGGTTACTACTCCCAACTGGCGGAGGCCTGTCGGATCCTGGTAATGGGCTGGGATCAGGTCGAATACCTTCTTGCGGGCTTGGTGCTGGCTGAGTGACAGGAGGATCTGCCTGGGGTGGCGATGCTGGCGGCGGTGCGGGGTTCGGCGTGATAACGAAAGAGTCCAGCCAGAAAAATGCTCCTTCTCGTTGGTTGGAGACGATGAGGGTGTGGGTACCAGGAGAAAGTGGTCCAGAGTCGAAGAATAAAACTTGACTCTGCGTTTGCGAGTTGGGTGCTGCCGTGTACATCACAGTGGGGAGATTGTCGATGGCGTAGTTCGATATCGGAACCTCTCCCGTTCCAGAAGGGGAGATAAGACCGTATACCTGAATGGACGTCCCTGGAAAGACGTAGTGTGAGGGGTGGAAACGAGGTACACATGCCGGATAGATCGTACCCTCAAAGGTAACCCTCGCATTGGCATTTCGCGTTCGCGTCAACCGTAGGGTGCCACCATAGGACGTGCTAGACCCCTGGTCAGTCCAGTGATGACCTTGTGCGGGCTGCGAATAAGCTATAGATGGGTCGCGGTCGTCAATCCGCCTGGCAGCCATGTTTTGCCGTCAAGATTACAAATAAATTAGATGAGGGAAAAGGTGAGGGAGCCAGAAAGGAATGTCGAGGAGAAGAGATTGGGGGGAAGAAACAGGATGGGGGTTGAGATAAAGCAGCGCCTGCTACATAAGTACTTGCAATTTTTGTTTCAAGGGAGCTGCCAACATCAAACACAACTCGGTTATTGTGGCGCCGAACACAGATACCAAGTGCCCGCCCATCGTGATGGGGCAGCCCGAGTTGCCCCTTGGACCTAACTTGTCTATCACAGATCTTCCCAACCATGCTTACCACAGGGACAGTATTGTGTGCAAGCCTTCTGATTTACCCAAAGCGACACTCTGCCAATGTGCAGTCTTTTATCCAGTCACCGCACGCAGCGGTCAGGGCCAAGGAGGACACCGACGCTCAGGCTGGCGTGGTGATGGCAAGCCATCTAGCCACGAGCGAGCGGCGGTCGATGAAAGCCCTTTGATGGATATCCGACAATGACGAGATGCATCTGCCCAAAGGATACAAAGGATCGTCGGTTACTGAGTCAGGTATTGGTCAATTGGATTCTGCTCTTACCATCAGACAAGTTGTCCAGGGACCACTACAGCACCAGGGTATGGCCACGCTAACGTAACGAAATCGTGTTGTAGTGAAGTGTCCCATTCATGAGGCTGACATTCCAGTTGACAATTCGTGGAGCGACCTCGTTCGATGGACGATCTCCAAAGCTGACACGGTGGGGAAAGTCATCATGGAGAGCAAAGCTGTACAATGGGCTTGGGGCGTGTGAATCGATCATGATCCGTGATTACGGCAGGCACGAGCGCTTAGTCCTTTTGTTCGAGAAGAGTCAACTATTTTGGACTTGAGTAGATGGGGAAAGCACCCTTAAATTCAATGATAATGCGCATAACTTAGACTGGAGTCTATATAAACCGCCTCACCCGCCATGCCTCAGCGTATCATCATCAACACTGTGCTCACGTGAAGCATGCCATGCTTCACCAGCTTCACAAAGTCGTTCAACTCAGGCTCGATTGCAAGGTGACGGCAAGTCTAATTTTCATGGGGATCAGCCAATTTCATACAGTACGTTTTGAATATAGTAAGTACTTTACTGCTGCAGAAAAGAATCGCCCACTTGTTTACACACGTGGATTTCCCCGAGCCAGTATTTCATCCTCCGACAGCCTTGGGATCCGATTCGGTTGAAATGAGGTGGTAGGACCCACCTACAACGCCTCTTTCCCAGTCTGAGCTACTGGTGCATAGCTAAGATCGAGCTCTAAGTGATGGTTTATGTATGTTGACTGTAGATAATCAGTAGCGATGAGAGTCGATGAACCGTCCCTTGCTGTGGAGGCGAGAAACTCAAGTTCTCTGAAACTGGGACTCTGCTTTGATTCCTGCATTTTTCCAGCTCACAGGGACCCTGACTTAAAACCCTGATTCCCGAGTGAAAACGTGTTATTCTCTACTTACCTCAAGGCAGCAACGTAGGCCTATCTTTCGGGGCTCACGTCCGCTCTGCACGCGCCTCTTTGTAGGTTTTCAAAAACTCGGCTTAAGTCCACATGTGTGCTGCAATGACAGAACAAACTATGCACGACGAAAACTTGTTATCGGAAGAGGAACCCGAACTACGACTCCTGCACTTCCATCACTTCTGCTTCTTCCATCGGAGATTTCCAAGCCGTCATGTTTCCAATAGAAAAAAAAAAAATCTCCTCTATGTCCTGGCCAACGGATGGCTCGGGACAATGAGCTACCAACTTGAAAGACTCAAAGACACCAGTCGTTTCTCTTGTTTTCATATGACGTTACATTAACCCTCAAGTCAGAGGAACACAAAGCCTCACCAACTTAAGAGTGTCTGGCGTACAACGCCAGTGTCCAAACAAACCATCCTGAATACAAAACCCCGAAGCGCCCAAACCGGTGTTCAATTCGACCCATACAATGACGTCAGTTCTATCCGCGTGATCTGAGTTTGTTCAAGTTGGCGCTCAAACTTTTGGGCAGATCAAGGGGCAGATTAGGGGAAACAACCAACATGCTCATTCTCATTCACCCTTTTCCTCTTTCTTCTCGCCGTTCTTTTCTCCCCCAAACAATCCGGGATTGGATATACACCCTTTGCCCCTCCCCATGATATCGAGTTAACAGCATTTCTGCGCGCGCTAGTATAGTACCTATTAGGACCTTAGTTCGATCCCGAGTCTGATTCAACTTGGATCTTCCCCTATATCTCTTCTTGCTATGACCGACCACCCGATTTTGGTATGGATTCTCTCGTTGAATCGAGATTATACCGTCACAGTGAGTCCCGTCTCCTCCTCCTCTATCATCCGTACCTAAGCCTGAGACCCATCTCTCAACCACAGGAATACGACCAATGCCACAAAGTAGTTCAAGAATGCATTCAACACACCTCTTTCCCTTACCAACCCAAAAACCCCGACAGCTTTCGTACGCCGTCTATTCCATGCTCCCAAATCCAAGTCTGACCAAAGAATCCTGTCCCTTTTTGAATCCAGGAAAAATCGTAACCACCCTTCTACCATTGCTCATGATGCGCCACAGAAGGATCCCTCGCGCCAAATGGAAAGATTATACAAACAACCAAGGGAAACACTGGATCGAACAGGTTCGTACTGCGGATCGTTATTGAATGGTATCAGAGTCTAATTTTCATTGCGTTTCGCGATCCAGTCGCCAGACGGTCTCCCTCCAGAGAAATACCCATATTCAATGATCGGATACCACCTCACCTTCTCAAACTCGGTATGTGGTATGGCCATGACCCAAGGCGAACGTTCCAAAGTCGTAAATATCGGCTTTGGAGTCAACCAATACGCCGTCCCCTCGCAAGGGACCTCGGTGGAAACCTACGTCGAATCAATGTCACATAAAGTCAGTCGACTCGTTACCCACCCTCCGAGATTATCTGCAGATCTAACCCAGCTCAAGCTCACCGCACTAGAGCTCCAATCTCTCCAAGGTCAACCCGAGGAGGTCACACTTCGTCGACTGTGTATCCTACTTGCCCTCAAAGACTCGTACATCCGTGCTCTCGGTCAGCCTCTAGGCTTCGACTACGCCCGTCTCGAGTTCGACGTTTCGAACCACAAGGCCTGGGGTGACGGTAAACCCCTCACAGGCTGGGAGTTCCGCATTTTCACAGCCAGTCTCGGAGTCGCACGAGGCTCGCAGCTGGTTTCCGAGCTGTACGAATGCGCATGTGCTTTCTTCCGAGGCACGAACGAGATTAAATTCGTCTGGCATCAAACTGCAAGGGAGCTCGAGGGTTGGGTTCAGTTCATTAACCTGGATCAGATGGTGAAGGTCCTTCCCAAGCTTTCAGCTTGACAATCATAGTCCATTCCGTTTCTTAATTCCAGTCGTTTTCTGAGAGAACTCAAGCTACCCAAGTCTCATTGCAGTTCTAATCTCCACATGTATTTTCAGCGCAACAGTATCGCTTCCCCAAGTCAGCTATCCCAAAACCAACCCGGGGGCCCTCGGCCTAAATGACCTCTGAAATTGATCCGCCATCACACCATCACGGGCGCTTGATCATACGTACATGATACCCTCAGACCGCCGAATGCACCCCCGCCATCTCTGAGGGCGATGAGCTCTCTATACGAGTATCCTTGCCCGTCGCACGTCACTGCAACAACTTCCTTTCACCTATCCACCTATCCCGTCGCTCCTTTTCATCCGAACATCCAATTAGCTACTAGAAGGGGAATAAATTTTTGAGTACTCTATCAACACCAAACGAAAACTCTCCAATGCGAGGGTGATATTATGCTATGTAGATGCTCTAGAGACCCAACTCATCGGCATAAGGAAGCGAAGCGTCACCAACAGCGACATAGGTAGGCTTGGCAGCAAGGAGCGCAGACGCAGCCTTGGTGAAGCCAGAAGCATTCACGGCATCAAACGCAGACACCACAGACGCAGCAGAGGCATCCCCACCAGCAAGAACCTTGGGCCCAAGGGTAGCAGTCAACCCCTGTCTGGAGTCGACAGCACTGGCAGCAGCAAAGCGCGCCTTGGCAACAGCCGAAGCCAACTGTTCCTGCTCAACACCAGCAGCCGCGCTCTTCAACGCCTGCACAGCAGCCTTGCCAGCCTCCTTGACGCCGGCAGCCGTGGGGGCCTGCACGAGCAGACCGACCAGCGACGCGTCCGTGTAGGGCAGGTACACGGACTGCACGGAGGCGCCTTCGGGGATGGCAGCGGCGAGAGGGGAGACACCCTTGCTCCACTTCACGGAGGGCGAGGGCGAGAGGTGGGCAGCGAGGGTGGCGAGCTCGGCAGAGGGGGCACCGGACTGGCCGAAACCGATGAACACGGTCTGGGGTCCGCCAGAGACTTGAGCACGGTTCTCGCCGCCGTAGTAGGTGGTAGCGGGGGTGGAGGGTGCAGGTGCGTTGGCAGCGTTGGCGAAAGCCTTCTCGACGAGGGCAGAGAGGGTGCCTTGCTCGATACCGGTACCGATGACGGCGACGTTGCCCTTGGTGAAGACGGACGAAGCGAAATCCTTGACGTCTTCAACGTAGAGGTCGGGGTGCGAGGGGGCGTACAGGGAGGAGCCGAGACCGTTTCGGAAGGCGACGGCGTGAGCGAGCTCGATAGCACGGATGGCAGGGTTGGCATTGGCGGCAGCGGTGTCGCTCTCAATCAATGGTGCAACGTATTCCTGGAACTCATGGCGGGTGAACTTGGCAGAGGTGATGTACGAAGTCAAAACGTCGAGGAAGAAGGCTCTGTTCTGCGTCAGAAACGTTCTCGAATTATATTAGTTATTACTCACTCGTCGCCCCTCAAGAATTCCGCAGTCAAAGCCAGGTGCTCACGACCCAGAGACGAGGTGAGGACACCACCGTACAGGTCGCTCTCCCGAACAGTACCGAGAGCAGAACGTTTTGAGGTGCTCTACACAACCCTTCAGCATCCAAATATCTCCAAAACATCGTCGACCACATACCTTGAACGCAAAGTTCTTCAAAGCATTGGCAACACCCTGCTTGGACTCGTACCGACTGCCAGCTTTCACGAGGACAGTCAACGACGACGTCGGGGTTCCATTGTCGACGGCTGCAACCTTGACACCGTTGCTCTCAACGACGGTGGCAAAGTTTCTGCGTGCTGCACGCACACTGCTGCGCGCTGCCGACAATCGAGCTGCGTACATTGGGAAGGAGATTTCACAGAGATTTTTGGGTAGCGAGTTGTGAAAAGGATTTTGGCGACGATGACGGCGCGTTTTTCGGAGTCGAAACTCCCCGGGTCTGTCCGGAGCGCCAAGACATTCCTCTTTAGGAATGGCCTTCGTCAAACAGCGCGAACGGCATTGGTCGAGACTCGCTCATATTGGATTTACATCTTTAAATTGCATTAATGGACTAGATCAATGACAGTGACTACACAATTGAAGGAGGGGGAAACACGATGCTTATTGTAAGATGATAAAACAGACGATAGCGTGCGATGGGAGAGGAATAGGGGATGTGAGTGTCAAATGCATCGTGTACGGAAAGGAAAGGAAACAGCTCCAAGAGGACGGAGAACGACATGAGAGAGAGTCAGGGGAGGAAAGCGATCGGACGGTCGTAGAACTAATGACATTGGATATCTAAACGAGAGAGAGATAAAGAAAAAAAAGAACAGAGAAAAAAACGCACACAATGTAAGAATGAAAAACGGTTCAGTTGAAGGATGGACAGCCACGACGTTATTACCGACGAAGCAAAAACAAATGGAATGGGTGGGACGTAAGCTAAACACTAACAGAAATGAAAAACAAACAAAAAGAAACTCGATAAGAAAAGAAACGGAATGTCCAAGCGAGAGAACAAGGTACAACTAAACAGCACAAGCCTCCGCATTTAACTCGACGACTGGTTTCCAGAACCCGCAGCCGCACCATGCTGAGCCGCCAAGTACTGTACACCAGGAGGGAAGAAACCAGGATTGCTTCCAATCGGCGGAGGTAATCCGTGCTGAGGCCATTCCGGTGCAGTGTTACCCGACGGGGTACCCCACATCGGTCCAGTCCCATGGCCATGGCCATGAAGTTGGTTCAAGAAATGGGACTGGTGAGGCGCACCAATAGGCGTGGTGGGATTATTAACACCCACACCCACGCCCGCTCCTATAGGTCGAACAGGGCTTCCAAACGCAGATGATGCGGAGGAAGGAGGGGGCACAGAAGCAGTAGGGAGACCCCACGGTCCACTCCCGCCAACACCCAACACACCACTCCCCACAGGCGCAACAGTCCTAGGACTCGAAGGAGGAGGGCCCCAAACGCTGCTCCCGCCCAAACCTGCACCAATAGGAGCAGTAGTAGGCGCACGACGAGCAGGCGTCGCAACCACCTCATCATCATCCGCTGCCAGCGCCGACGATCCCAGCACCTTCGGACTCGGCGACCGGCGCACAGGCGATCCAGAGCTCGTACTTGCTCCTTCACCAGCAATGGAACTCGCACTGGCCGTCGTAGGTCGAGCAATAGGAGCAATTGGCGTAGGTCGTGTGATCGGTCCTGGGTTGGGAGTGGGCGTCGTGCTCGGGTTGATGCTACCACCAGGGCTGCTGTCGCTAATCAAAGCGGAACCACGACGGGCCATGCCTGGAGCAAGCATAGGCGTGCCGGGGGCGACGTTCGAAGGAGGGGCGATCGGAGTCTTGGGCTTGGGAGGTCCGATGGGGGAAGGCGCTGATCCAGGTTGAGGAACGTTGCCAAGGTTGACGCCCATACCGAGAGGAGGCATGTTTCCGAACGGTGTGCCTGCACCAAACCCTCGAGGCAGCCCTGACGGGCCGATGGGTCCAGTCGGAGGATGTTGAGGAAGGTTGGGGTTGTTGAAGGGATAGGGTGCAGGGATGGCTCCAAAGTTGCCCACACGCGGCGACAATGCAGGAGGGATCATCATGTTCGGTCCTTGCTGAGCGAACAACAGGGGATTCTGCTGCTGAGGGGGCAAATGAGGCGGCATCATAGGCATATGACCACCAGGATGCCCGAGACCAGGCTGAGGTCGAAGCGGCTGTTGCTGAGGATGTTGATGGTTATTCTGAGAGTGCTGTTGTTGGCGAGGACCCGAGCCAGAACTTCCGGGAGCAAGCGAAAGAGGAGGCTTGTTCAGAATCTTCTTCTGAGCACCGTTCACATTGTTTCCCCCCGCGTTGTTCAAGCGCTGGTTGTTGGAACCAGATTGACCCTTGCCTTGGTTGGAGCTGGATGAGGACGCAGAAGCATTCCCTCGTTGCTTGCCGTTGGTTTGAGCAGCGCGCTCCCGCTGAGCAGCCAACCTGGCCTCCTTCTCCTTGGCCTCCTTCTCCTCCCTAGCTTTGCGCTCACGTTCCTCCTTTTCACGACGTTCCTTCTCTTCCTTCTCCTTCCTTTCTCTTTCCAATCGCTCCCGCTCAAGGCGTTCTTCACGTTCCTTGGCAAGTCGAGCCTCCTTCTCCTCCCTGGCCTTGCGTTCCCGCTCTTCCCGTTCACGTCGAGCCTTCTCCTCCTTCTCCTTTCGCTTGCGCTCCCGTTCCTGTTCCCTCTCCCGCTCTTCCTGCTGGCGCCTACGCTTCTCCTCCTCCTTGCGAAGTCGCTCCTCTTCAGCGGCTTTACGAGCAGCCTCCCGCTTGGCTCGCTCCTCCTCTCGGCGCTTCCGAGCTTCCTCTTCCGCTTTGGCCTGGGCCGCCTTCTGTGCCGCCTCCTCCGCAGCCTTCTCGGCTGCTCGGGCAGCCCTTTCCTCCTCCTTTGCCTGCTTCTGCTGCCTGTGCCCGCCGGTGTCAATTTCGATTGTCTACATGAAGGCGAAGAGGATACACACTTTCGCTTGTCCTTCTTCCTCTGGTTCTGGGTCTGCTTCTTCGCCTCCCGCTCCTTGGAGAGCTTATCCTCGTCCTCGAGTTCACGCAGCAGCTGGAGTTGACGTTCTTGAGCGACCTTTTCGCGGTAAGCTTGCAGGACACGTTGTTCGAACATCCGAGCAGCGAAGATGGAGAACATCCTCTTGCCTTCCTCCATCTTCTCTTCTTCCGTCAACGGGTGCTAAAGCCAAGCGTGAGTGTGATTCGTGATGGACGGATGGGGCAATGCACACGGACCTCGTCTGCGTCGTCTGGATCATCGTCCTCGTCGTCCTCGTCGCTGATATCGTCTGCGTCGTCGTCATCGTCGTCAGCTCCGTCGTCGCTGGCATCGTCTCCATCGAGATCACTCTGCTCGTCCTCGCTATCGTCCTCAATATCTGCCGCTGCTTCTTCTTCTCGCTGCATTCGGCGTTCCGCCAACTGTTCCATCATCTCAAGGAACTTCTGGCCGTCGTTCTTCAACAAATCGTCGGCAACGGTAAGAATATTACCTGGTCCTAAAATCTGAGTTAACGAAAAAACAGGTCGAGTGCGATAGTTGGGCTCACCGGTGGTGGTCAGACTGTTGCCAATGTTGAAGAGACCGTCTCGGGCCTTGGTGCGCTGGGCTTTAGATTGAGTACGACGTGCGACGGCAGGTGTTTGGCGAGGGCCTTTCTTGGCATTCCTTTGATCTTCGAGCTCGTCTTCCTCATCGTCGTCCTCGTCGTCCTCATCATCTTCCTCCTCTTCCTCCTCCTCTTCGTATTCGTCGTCGTCATACTCGTCCTCGTCGACATCGTCGTCGTCATAGTCTGCCTCCTTCGGGTGAGGATGTGGGTGGGTATGATTTGGCTTGCGACCATTGAGCATCGTCGTCGGAGGCGGTGCTGTCCTGGGCTGTTGATGATGGTGGTGGTTGTGCTGGGGCGGGGTGCGGACTGGCTGCTTTGCATTCCTTGAGCGTTGCTTGATGGACGGGGAGACGACGGCGCCGTTCTTGTCGAGCTCGACGCTGCCTGGAAAGGGCCCTGGGCCTGGTGGAGGAGGGATTGTGCCGCCGGACATAACATAGCGCTGCTGGTAATTTGCGTACTGTTCTAGCTCTTCGTAATAAGCATCGTACAGTACCTCGAGTTCTTCTTCAATAGCGTTTCTAATAGTGTATAGATTGATAAATGAATAGTTTAGTAAAATAAAAACGAGTAACATACCGCTTTCTGCCACAAACGGCGCAACTGCAACTGTGCTTTTGCTGCTCCTTCATCTTGCGCAAGACTGTGTCCTTTTCGATCTTGACAAGGTTCCGTCGCTCTTCCTCGCTGAGTCCAAGCCAAAACTCTTTGATTCGCTCACGCTCCTCGGTGGTGCTCGTGCTCCAGATCTTGTTGTTCGTTTGCTTCCCCTTTGCATTCGCTGCAGCCTGTTTGTTCTTCTGGTTGCCACTAGCATTCGACGACGGAGGCGATGGATGTCGATGCTGGGGCTGCTGCTGGGGCTGAGCTGGGGGCGGGGCATAGGCAACCGGTGCCTTGGACGCTGCTCTGGCGCTCTTGGGCTGGTTCTGCTGCACCGCCGTCGCTGTCTGCGTCGGCTGCGCCGTGTACGACATTGGTTTTTTGCCAATTGAAACGGACGATGGCGGATTTTGTTTACTGACGGGCATGGCAGGAGGTCAACCTTGGAAGAATTGGTCAGCCCGGGCCAGATCTCAAATTTGCACTGCACACAACGGCCCGTCACCTTACCCGAAATGGAAATCCCTGTCCGATCCTCTTTGTTTTTTGGCCCTCTTTTTGTCTCTCTTGGACCTTTCCTCTTCTCTAATCTTGCACGGATTATCCTGCTCTATTGCTCATCGATAGTCCTGTATCAATTGCGTTGCAGTGGGATATTCTTCGGCGCTAGACCGCCCGGCATCTCGGGCGGCATCTCGGCACGGCCAAACATCTACCTCGCCTCACCCCAGAGACCTCACACACGACCTTGTACTTTGCTTTCAGAGTGCCTTTACAACGCAATACAAAGGCGAATAAAGCACCTTTGTAACCCCAGAGACTCCCTTTCGTCCTTTGGATACGAACTCTGATAATCCGAGTCGGAGTTGTCACGATGTTTTCCAGAAATTCATGGAACGCACTTCGACGTGTTCGTCCAAGTCCGACCACAGAGTGAATTAACCCTGAATTTACACGTGTAACCCAGGCGTTTCATGATCAGCTGCCTGTCCGAACAGTGCTCAATCTGGAGGTAGCCGTACACGTTGGTCGACCATTGCGGTATCCATCTTGTTCAAGCATCAGGACGGGGTGGTACTCGCAGGGTGACCGCTGAGGCAACATGACCTGCGCAGTGTTCAGTCTCACTATGCATCGACAAGGACACGAAGAGCAAGAGCGTGCTCCCGTGATTAATCAGTTCGTGCAAGTCGGGCAATGCTTGCAGGGGAAAGAGAATTGTCAATTAAGCGCCCAACTCCGAACATACAAGGTCTGTACTTCCCGGAATGTCATGTACTCCGGTCAAAGACTTCTCAGCTTTCTAAGAGAGCGATTTTATAGTGGTTCCTGTATTCATAAGTCGAGCGTAGGGTCTAAGAATCTAAAAAGGATGTCGAACAGTGTTGAAGGATTTCGCGAGGCTAAACCATGCAAGGCAGCCGTTGCCTTTCTCTTCCATGGAGTTCGAGACTCACTGAGAATCCTTGGCTGAACGCCTTTAGACTTCCAGCTGCGCAATCCACGTCGGATGTCTTCTGCTTCATGTTGCCTTTGGGGATTCGACCGCTCCTACTCAACAGGCTGAGAGTCGGTCGTCTTGATGCAACGGCAGGAAAGGGCTTCTTCCGCGTATTCGTTTCTTAGAACTAATCCATTTACGACCATTACATCATTCAGAACTTGAACTGCATTACTTGTGACACGAGCATTCAATGTGTAGGGATTCGGGTATGAAGGGATATAGCAAAGGCACCAGGCGGGTCGACCGAACAGCCAAGACACCGGGCTCATCGCAACCTTCTGCACACGAAGAGTAGCCGCGTACTTGGTGGTCAATACACGGCCTACTGGTGTACAATTCAACGCCAAGAACGCCAGCCTTGCTGCATAGTACCTTTGTCGACCTCGCCTTTGCTCAAATCTCGCATACAGCCCACCGCCGTCCATATCGCAAATCCTAAGGGCACGCGGCGTTGCCTAGGTCGTCAGAGCGTACCACTTGATGCTGGTTAATACAGGGGAGAAGAACAGGGGGAAGATGGGGGAAGGGAGGAAAGGATTCCTCGGACAGACAGTTGGGACGCGTCGCGTCTACTTATTAACCCAAGTGTGATGGCGGGATCAGAACTTGAACTCCGCTCACGCACGGACCAGCAACTCCCCACGATACAAGACTTTATGGAGTGAGGTTAAGGTGATAAGTACTGGGGCAAGGAATCCAGAGCTGGATCATTGCGACAGAGACTCGCAGCAAGGCCAACCTGATGGAAGCTGATCACGAACTGGCAGATGACGTCATCCCGCTTAAGCGCTCAGAACCTTTCCATGGCACGGTCCCCTCGATCGAACATCGCCCGGTCCACCTATCTGACATATTACTACTGTCCACTACCCTGTCCAATGCATTCATTAGTGGTCGAGTGCGATGACTAGACCGGTGTTCTCTTCGAGAACGAGCATTGGCTCTATGACGGTCAATCCTGGGCCGTGAAACGAAGGTTGAAAGATAGAGAGTGGGGAGGGAGATATCTGTATTTTGCGCCCCTGGCTCGCCTTCGCACATTAAATGTTAAGGGGGCTGGCCTCTCGAATCTCCCTTTTTACAATCCCCCATCCTACCTTGGAATCCCACCAATGTAATGACATATACGTACTCCGATCCACCGGCTGCTCTGAGCCTGAGCCATTCAAGCTCAAACCCCCTTCGAGGACCTTCATCCCACGTCAATATGCCCAGATTCTCAGGCTTATGGAAGTAATTTGAAACCACTTAAAAGTTAATTAGCTTTCAGGTACGACAGACCGGAGGCTTTCTCCACAAATGATCGTACATTGCAACGATTCCACGTCCCCACCAAGTCCATAAACCTTCCTTGACCTCCTTACCACCGATTCCTCGCCTCCCATTTCTCCAACCACTCGATAAACTTGTCTGCAATGTTCGCCATACCAGGGACGTTCGGATGGACGTTATCGTGGAAGACGTCGTCCCAGGTTACCCAACCTGTAGTATCGACCAAGTGGATGTTTCGATCGCCCTTGGCTCGCCTGCAAACGTCGTGTTAGAGTGGTGGTGCTGAAAGACAGGCGTGGGTCGTACCTGGACTTGACGATAGCCTCGTAAACACCTTCGTAATAGTAGTAGGTGTTTCCGTCGGCGTTTGGCCAGCCCCACTGCCAGAGCGCGGTGTGAATGCAGAGCTACGAGCGAGATGAGAAGACGTACCGGCGTGAAGATGAAGATATGAGCATGAGGACCGTTGATCTTCCTCAGCTTGTCAAGGAACTCTTGATACACCTAATGTCGTCCGGGTTAGTGCGGAGGAGAACGAGTGAGGGCAACGAAACTACCTTGGTGAAGTCCTCCCCGCTAATGTCATGCGATGCATCATTGGCGCCGACATGGATAACGATATGCGTCGCTCGGGGAACATCGCGTTTGAAGTCCCATGGGGTGGTGTAGTTGTGGTCCGAAGTCCAGATGAAGCCTGTATCTTCGGTCTGGCGACAGAGTCGGTAAGTAGAAAACAAACGTGAAGATGAAGGCATACTCGGAAATACTGATACGAGATGCCGTGAACGTTTCCGTAAGATTCTCGATCAGTCAGAGTTGCACCAGGCTGGGCGTTGATCCTGTGTTCTGCTTTGAAGTGCTCGCCAACGAGGAAAGGCCAGGCTTGGTTCACGCCTTGAGGGAGGAATTGGCCCTAGGCGATGGTGTCAGCGACAGAACGCCAAAGGATAGCCCGACACTTACAGCGGACAGTGAATCACCAATGAACTGGAAAGCACGCTTCGCAGGCTTGTACGGTTCCAGCTGCGCATCCTGCAACATCCTTCATCAACAGAGCTCCTCGCGAAACATGGACAAGGACGCACAATGTTCAGATCCAAACTCTGGAACTGAATCCTATTCTGCTGCCACCCTTGAACGTTCACCCTCAAAAGGGTGGTCTTCCCTCTTTCCGCCTTCGCGATATGCTCAGGGATGGCGATGTGGTTTGTCCCGCTGGCGAGCTCGACGGTCTCGAATTTCCCGTTGTCGAACGAAATAGCGGTGGGTGCAGAGGGCCAAGAAGAGTTAGTGCCCAGGTTGATGGACAGCCTTCTGAGGTTCTGGATGTTCACTTTGAAGCCGGTGCCGGCCCTAGAGGAGGATGAGTGAGTTGGGAGTATGGGGAAGGAGGGGATGAAGAACGCGTACCACCAGCTGCCGTTATTTTCATCCCATCGACCATGGTAAAAGATGTTACGATCGTTACTGGGAATCGTCTTGAAAGCTGGGAGGATTGGTCCGCCTTGGGGTGCTCCTAGAACCGGAGACGCGACCGCGAGTGCGGCGACGACGATAGAGAAGAGCCTCATGTCTCGCAATTCGGAGAGAACCTCGAGTACGTCGAGTCGTTCTCATGCTCGCCATCGTTTATACGTGTGCGGGGTGCGGGACCAAAAGGACCTGCAATAAAGAAGCAGGATTTTTAATAGAGGCAAACCGAATTTTACCCGCAGTGGGTCCTTGTTGGTCCACTGCGCCTAGGACTTGGATATTGGACGATAGACGCCGTTCCTACCCTCAGTAACGCTGCTCGGCTATGAGGATCTCTCCCGTTGTGCAGCGACGAGCGCGTGTTTACGAAGCCCGACGTGGATAATCGGGTTGCATAGCCCCGACCCGTCATACACCGGTATGTAATGTGGATTCATGCGGTGCAGAGTGAAGAGCTGTGAAGTGGGACGTCAAGTATGATGAGATAAGTAAGTGTTACAGAACGAAAGAAGTGACCGACCTTTCACCGATTCTCGACCTTGTGGTCTAAACCGGCGAGATATCTCGCCCCTTCTACCAACTCGATTAGCCGTTTAAACGACTCTCAGCGATCCTAGCTGCCGGTACACCTTCTAAGCTAGCTCTTCAAGTGTCATCAAACTCGGGATTTGCAGTCGTCGAAGCTCGAAAGAAGTGCGGGGTAAGGCAGCTCCACCATTGCGTTGACCGTTGAGGTGGAAGGAAAAGGAAATTTCAGGCACAAATCCGGAGTGAGCCGGCGGCGCTACGGCTCGCTACGGACACGGACAAATTGCGGCACCACTTGTTGTGGCTCCTTGGAACAGCCGTCATGATGCAAGATTACTTTCATCCACGCGCAGGCCACGGGTTGGCTCCCTTGATAATCACGGACGCCTCTCTTGGTTCTTAACCACAACCATCGCAGTTTCCTATGCGAACTCTGGTCATCTCGGTGAGTCCGCCCCTGTGTCCTGGTCTAATATCGTGTTTCTGATCAAGATGCAGTTCTCCCTCTAGATGCTTTTTGTTGTCTTGAATTTGTGAAGTACCCACAGATCAACAACCTGTGTCTTCTTTTTTATAAACCGCGAGGAAACGGGGATTATAATAACAACAGCATTGAGAAGGCCAAACCACTAGAAGCACCCCAACCGACACCATTCATCCCTACATTCATCACCGCTTGGTCGGCCTCCTATACCACAATGCCAATCAGCGACTCCTGGCCAGACCTCGAAGCTTCCCTCGAGCAGCTGGACGAACCCACCGCTAAACGCATCACCTCTCTCCACGACCACCTGCTACCCCACTCCACCGAGGTCTCAGCCTACGCAACCTCTCTCCACCCCCAAAACCTACCCTCTCGTCTCATTACGTCAACTTACACCTGGGGACAAAGTTTCCTCGTCTACGAAATCGTATTCGAGCGTCCAGATGACGAGTCCACAGTCGACGAGAGCTGGGTGGCTCGATTCGGCCTGCCACCGTACGAGGGGGACGAGTTCTTCAACACCCCTGAACAGCTCGAGCGCAAGATCCTGAATGAAGTCGGCGCCCTAAAAGTGGTGAAGGAACGAACGACTGTCCCTGTACCAACCATCTACGGTTACTGCGCACGCCACGGGGACGGATTCCAGCGCAAGTTTGGCGGTGGCGTCACAGTAGACTCAGCAACACGCAAGCCACATCCTCTCGGAGAGGCCTTCCCAGCCTTCATTCTAATGTCAGCCCTGCGCGGCAAGACGATCGAAGAGTGTGGGATCCCTATCCATGAGTTGGGTGGACACTGGGACGTGGAGCCAGCCTCGCCGGACGAATGCCCCCATTTCACGTCTCCTATCCTCAAGAACTATTTGACATCCCTGGCCAACATCCACATGCAGCTCTCACAGATCACCTTTCCCCAAATCGGATCGTTTACCATGGACGATGTCACGGGGGAGGTCCGGATTGGACCGATGGCCGAATTTGGTTTGGGTCCATTTGATACGGCGGAGGAGTATTATGGGACCCTTGCCGAGGCATTCAAGAGGATTGCCGAAGCTAGTGAGGAAGAGGAAGACGAGGAAGAGGGCGATGTAGCTCTCACGATGGAGGAGGATGAATCGAAGACGGTCACGCTCTCGAGCGCCCAAGTCAAGTCCCTCCGTCGTATGTTCACGGCTGCCATCTTCCCTCTCGCTCTCGGTCCGCACGTTTCGTCTTCCAACGATCGCGGCCCTTTCCCTTTACGTCACGGAGATTTGCACAGCGAGAATATTCTAGTCGATGAAGAGACAGGAAACATCGTTGGCGTTATCGACTGGGAAGGTGCGGGAACCGTCCCCTGGGAGGTTGCCGGTGGCTTGAATTGGGAGGTTCAGGGGGATGGGAATGCCGAACTCACGAAATGCGCATCGAACGCTCCTTCCATCCGGCGTCCAGAAATACACGCCGCCTTCAATCGGACCCTGAAGCAAATCGAACAGGGATTGGACTCGGACGAGAAACTGCAGGCCACCACCACCACTTTCGACCAAGGCCAGAAGAAACTTGAGTCTCCCGTTTCAAGGCCTAAGCATCTTAGCATGGACCGAAGAACGGAAGAGCCTCCCCCCAAAATCCCTGTTCCTGGGTCGCCGGCGAACGTGGTTTCCCCCTACGCATCTGCAATCTCATTGTCGTCCTCTTCGTCATCATCGTCGTCGTCCTCGGATCACGACTTCGACTCGATGAAATCCCACTCTCGCTCCAGCTCGAGCTCGAAGTCCAACCTGACGGCATTCACCTCGCCCCCGACGTCGCCGTCGTCCTCCATATTCGATCTATCTGCTCGGAAGGAACAGGAGGTGCACAAGGAGGCTGACACACATCTGGTCGCCCCTGCTCCTCGTCTTCCTTCCATCTCGATCCTCAACACGCCGCCTTCACCTCCGTCTAGTAAAACTGCCAACGGCTTGTCGACTGTGGACAATGTCAACGAGCAAACATCCCCCACCACGAAGTTCTCGCACGCTGCATCTGAGCCCGGCAACGCTGCTGGACCCTGTGGTACCACCAAGGGATTCACAGACCCACCCCATTCGCAGCACACCCGATCGGTTAGTCTGAGCCCTGTCATCGTTGAAGCAATCCGTGAACCACTGCCGGCTGATTATCAAAAGCAGATGGTCAACAAGTCCGAGTTGTCTTTGTCGATGGCTGCCATGAGCATCCGGTCTCATTCCCCCACTCTCAACGTGTCTGGGAATCCGAAAAGAAACTCGTTGACTCTTACACCAACATGGGGCCAGTCAAGCGTAATTCGTTCGCCCCCTACGCCTTCATCGTTCCCTCGGCATCGAAATTCGCTTCATCGACGAAAGCAGTCCTCCATCGTGCTGAGCTCGCTGCCGCCTTTGACACCAGTTTCGCCGTCGCCTGGACAGCATTCGCCCGCGATTCCGTTTAACCTTTATGGGCCACCGTTACATGCCCCTCCCCCGCTTTTGGCTGGTAGCCTGTCCCTGCCTCCTCTCCCCATTCGAAGACATGGTTCCCCATCGCCCTCCCCCTCACCCACACCGGGGAAGTCGAGATCTCCGTCACCATTGGCCACCCCACAGGGAACACCCTCGATTACATCCCACCACTCGCACCACTTCCGGGAGCACTCGTTTGGCGGGTTCCCTAGGACACCTCCAGCCAATTTCCACCATGGATTTGGTCACGGCCATGTCAGATCGGTTTCGACCTCGCATGGGACCACGCAGCACGGTTCGTACTTCCTACCGCCTTCCCTCTCGAGAAGTGTTTCTGCGAGCCACAGTAGTCGGGGGACGATCACCCCTAGCACGTCGGTACCTTCAACGCCTTCGACTGCTGTTGGCCCAAGCGCTCCTCCGCCTGTGCTTTCACCGCCAACACTGTCCTCTTCGCCGCAGCCAATGGATGAAGCTCCCCCAGCCCCGCCTCCGTCCACCGAAAAGGCATCCAAACAAGCGGAACCCCCTTCGCCAGTCGTCCAAGCGACCAAGCTCAAACCCGTCACCTCTCCAGCCGGGTCTACCCTCTCCGACCTACACGGCAGCGTCGGTGCCTATGTCGCCTCCTACCTTGCCCACTGGATGTTCGTATTCGGATGTGACTACCAAACTGTGGGAAAGGCGTTGTGGGACGTTGTTCTGTACGCCAATCTCAAGGATGATGAGGAAGGAGCAGTCGACGTCGAGGATGCGTTCTGGGTCTGGGTTAAACAGACACTTGGCAATAATGCTGATGAAGACGATGCTATCCAAGAGGAGGAAGAGGAAGTTACGAAGGAGGTGTCCCCGGCCAAGGAGGTCCAGGCCCCAGCGAAGGAGACAACGTTCGTTCTCGAGGCCAAGACTCAGGCAGCTCAAGACTCCGCCCCACCTGGTAATCGAGTGCTGACTGACGGAATCGTTGGCAAGAAAGAAATAGATGCTTTGGATTAAATCTCACCCTTATCTGTATTTTTATCTCACCTTCTATGCTTATTTCTTCTAGATACGATTTTCTTCATTACTGACCTTTCCCCGTTCTCGACCATGGACATTCGGTACTGCGTGCCTTCTCGATCATCTACTCGCTCACTTCCTTCGCTCTAGATTGATTCTAAGGTTCTTTGCTCAACGACCTAGTTATCGTGTCTTTTGTATCAGCTAGTAGCATTTCCGTTCTTCCTTCCTCATAGTACTGATTGCCAGTTGTATCATACTCGATTCGGACTTTCCATATCGCTTTTGCAAGATAGAGTAGAACTCGTCTTGGATACAAAAATTAACTGTATTTATATACGCTTTCATCCAATGCAAGCCCTTTGTTTGCGCCAAAGTACACGTACTCGGGGAAGGCCAGTTAGCAGGTCGATGTTGTCTGAATGGAACTCGACCGGTGTAGCCTCACGCACCAGATCTTCCAACGGCTTCTCCCCGATGCAGGGTTCACCTACGTGTTGGCGGTGCGTGTTGATAGTGGAGCTATAAATTCAAGCGAGGTCTGAGGTATTAGCGATATCATATATCATCATCCATCACCCCCTTTGAAACGCGTCTATTTGGCCTCTATTCAGTCCACTCGCCCTGTAAGTACGGCCCTTTGCGTACGTTTCGCCGATTTGGATCCCTGACATCTCGCAAGTACGTGTCCGACGCCAAGGGAGAGCACAGATACAAAGGAAGCTGTTTACGTGCTAGCGTTCCCGACCATTCTTTCCTTCCCTTACATCAATCCTCTCTCGCCTCTGCCTCCTTCTCACTCTCCCCTTCCTGCAACTCACTTGGAATTTGTGGAATAGAGTGGTTAGACTTTTAGTCCGTCCTCACCGTTTGTACTCAAGCCGTGGAGGTACCCTTTAACCCCGCATTATTATGTTTTGCCAAGGCAGTGCTGATCTCCAAAATAGAAAATATGAGGCCTTTGACCTTCTTCTCCAAAGCCGTGGCGTTTCTGTCCTACACAGGGCGTCAAGGCTCATCCAGCAAAATCAATGCTGCAAGTAAAGCCAACCTGCAGAGCCGTCTGTTGGACCTCCCTCCAGAGGTGGTGCTCACGATTGTTGAGCACTGCAGCGTGCGTTTAATTCACGTTATCCGGAAGAAAGCTCCTATTGATATTCATTTTACCATCTCAGTTGGATTCCTTAAAGGCTTTGCGATTGACATGTCGTCGAATGAACGCTATGCTCGAGGAGCTCACTCTGCGAACCGTCACAATCAACATTTCCTACGACACCCTCGATACCGGTATAGGACAGCTGCAATCGCTTGCACAGGGATGGGAGAAGAGTTGGATGACGAAGAAGCTTAGGATAGTCAGCCTTCGACCTACATACTCGTCTGCGCTCAACAGTCGAGGCTTTCCTGCACCAGAGCGGCGGAAGTCCGACTTCGACAAACGGACAGTCAGGGCTACCAGTGAGCTCATGAGGTTTCTACCTTTGGCTTTGGGTACTTTTAGGAGGGTCAACACCATCGAGTAAGCGCTTCTACTCTTTTGTTGACAGTATACTAAGCTGATTCCTCTCGCCTTAGGATCACATTGCACCACCAGGATGTGCCAGGGTCGTGGCAAGTCGTCATGGACTGGCTTCCTACCTTGCGGCATCTACACACATTCACGTTCAACGCACTAGAAGCGTCCAGTGGAACCCTGCGGCAGCTTCAGTTTGGAGGACTACCTTACCTGAAGACGGCTACTCTGAATTTGAAATGGCCCTACGCGAACCACGCAAGCGGGACTGAAACCCTCAACCTCAATCTCTCTCGACTCGTCCTGCGATCCCCTCGCCTCTCCTCCCTGTCCATCAACATCCGTCATTCGTCTCTACGTTTTCTTACGTCGTTCAAGAAGACTTTCCTTGCGGCCATCGAGGAGGTTTCCCCCGGACCTGGTCCTTCTAGTTTGACGTCACTCAGATTGGAAGGGCAGATCGTCATCCGGCCTTCCTCTCTCCTCCAATTGACTGGTCTCAAAACGTTGCATCTGGATAATTGGCAATCACGAGGCCTGATGGAACATGTGCACCCTGTGGACTACGAGCTCGTCTCACCTGCGAAACTCTGGCGCGCATTAGAGAAGCATGGTGTGTACTTGGAAGAAATCACGGCGGGGATGGTCCCAGAACTCGCAGAGTATCTGAGATCTTATCGAGAGCTGCGAGCACTCTCGGTAACAGTCGACCAGACGCAGACGCCTCCCCAGCCTCTCGACCTTACCTTCTCCAACCTCCTCAAGAGTATAGCGCGGCATTGGGAGACCTTGACGTCGTTCGAGGTTGTGGGTGTTTATCATGCTGAGCTGCCAGGATGGCAGTTCGTGCATGAGCATGCTGTAGAGCTATCCAGGTGTCGCAGTCTCAGAACACTGCGAATACCTCTTCCAAGTAGTAGCGAGGAAGACTTGAATTCGTGTATGGTACGTCTCCGCTTTCCTACCGTCAGGAAGGGGTGCTGACTTGGTGCGACAGGCGTCGCTTCTTAAAGTTGTGATACCATCACTGGGAAGGCTACGGTCCATTGTATTGGACCATCACTCCTCCCCGGACGAGACAGAGAGAAAAAACTGGACGAAGCAGTCCGTGTCACGGTGGCTGGAGGACTTCAGCTTGAGCGCCGAACACCCTCCACCACCAAGCATTGAAGTGTGTATCCCGCCTTTGGATAAGCTTTTTTTCTTGCCTCGAGTGGAATTTTCTGACCTCGACTCGTGTTATCGTTATTCTATGACCACCCTTTCCCCTTCCCATTTCGATTCTGACGCCAATGTTTAGCGCACAGCGGTATGCCGTCTGTGCCGGGGATTTTTGATCCATTTCGTTTCCCACCCTGTAACGAGCCCCAAATTTGTCGTCATTCCATCTTCCTCTGGTACCATTCTATCCTTATCTCTCTTCACCTTGATGTCCTGAAGGATGCCGATGTATCTTGTCCCAAATCGATTACAGTTTCGGTGATAACGCCTTCTGCCCTTCATCGCCAATGATGAGTCTGCTTTTCACCTACAAGTGCTCCGATGGCGCAATACTTGACGCGGTGCGCCTCATACCCCTACCGCGTTCAGCTTATAAAGGGGCTCCGCTACATGAACGAGGAATGCCTACGCTTATAGGCCCCTCATTTCCTCATTTCCTCCCTTCACCTCGGACGCCACTCGAGCATGTCGGCGCTACCAGAAAAACGCGGCAGCTTGCGGGACGTCGACGAGACGACCCTCCTCCTAGAGGATAGAACACAAAGAGGATCTTCCTACAAAGCAACCTCGGGCGGGCTCGACAGCTTCTACGAAGAAGACCTTCGATACTCCAAGACCGAAGAAGAGGAAGTCGTCCGCGTCCTCGACAGGCGCCTATTTCCAGCCATCCTGCTCACGACATTCGTTTTGAACATGGATCGAACGAACATTTCGAATGCGATATCGGACAACCTCGCGGATGACCTTGGGTTCGGGATGGAGACTATTAACGCTGCCACGGCGGTCTATTCTGTGCTTTTTGCAACGTTCTGCCTCACAGGGGCCGTTGCTTGCAAGATTACGGGTCCAGCACGATGTACGTAACTCTCTGTCACCGGTGGTTTTCTCCCTCTAATTACCGTGGACGATTAATTAGGGATACCGATCCTCATGTTCTCATGGGGTGTTGTCACTTTGGGACACGCTCTCGTTTATGATAAAGCTAGCTACATTACTGGTGAGCTGGAAAGAGAACGCTGATGTCGACCAAGTCTGACATGAATTGCAGCTCGATGCTTAATTGCCATCACCGAAGGAGGTGAGTTCCTCGAGTTTAGTGTACGGTACCCGTCTGACTTGGCTTTAGGAGTAAACCCTACTACGCTTGTGTATCTGGGAAGTTTCTACACGGGAACAGAGCTTGCTACCAGACTGGCATGGTTTTGGGCAAGTCAGGGAGTCGCTAGTGCTACGAGTGGTTTAATGGCTAGTGGGCTGCTGCGGTTGCGTGGTCTATGTGGGCTCCCAGGATGGAAGTGGCTCTTTCTGGTGGACGGTGTGATTACCGTCGCTGCGGCTGCCTTTACATGGTGCGTCCTACACTGCTTCTACTTCGCTCTTCTCTCACGTTCGAGTCAGGCACTATCTCCCGAAGGACGCTGCCCACACGCAAGGCGGACTTCGTGGCGAAAAATCGTGGTTCACGGAGAAGCAAATCTGTATTGCTGCGACAAGGCTTATTCGCGACGATCCATCAAAGAGAGGATACGAGTGAGTATTGATGTTTTTTTCTTTCACTCGGTCTCTCGTTTATTGAGGACGTCGTGATCAGAAAACGGGTGACTTGGGCTGACGTCAAAGACACCCTGAGCGACATTGGCATTTGGGGCCACCTTCTTATCACTTCCATCGGCCACACACCCAACACTCCACTTCATACATGTACGTCAGCCGGGCCCCTCTTCTCTCTCTCGTTCCGTCACTAACGTCGAATTCAGATTTCCCAACCATCATCAAATCGTTCAACTTCAACACCTACGTCTCGAATGCTCTTACGGCACCGCCCCACCTCCTACACGGGATTATAATGATCTACTTCGTACATCGTTCCGATCGAAAGCGAGAACGCGGGTTCCACGGTGCTCATTCAGCTGCATGGCAACTCGGTGGATGGATCTGGCTCCGGAGTCTGGGCCCTGAATCGAGCAGGACTCTCAAGTACTTGGCGGCTGTCATCGTATCTGCCTGGCCGTACACACATCCTCTGAACATCGCTTGGATGTCGGAGAACACTGGGCAAGCAACTAATATCAATCCCCAAAGGTTACTGTTGGCTAATGGCTTCTTAACAGGAGTGCCGGAAAGCGTACTGTCGCATCTGGGTTGATCATTGGTGCTTGTAAGTACCTAAGATGACCTAACAGGGTTTAAAGCGTGCTTACATCTGTCTAGCCAATATCTATGGTGTCTGGGGCTCGCAGATCTACCGCGCTGACGACGCACCGGACTTTAAACGTGGAAACCTCATCAACATCGCCTTTTCTGCGGTGGCCTTTGCCTTGTGGTTCTACCAAAAGGGTCTTTATGTCTACCTGAACAGACGGAATGCCGCAATCCTTGCTCGCATGACTGAGGAAGAGAAGAGAGAGGAGGAGAGGCTGAGAGAGCAGAAGGGCAATCGGAGTGTCCTCTTCAAGTTCACCACTTGAGCGGTCAGGGACGTCTATTATACGACTCGAACGATCTTAACGATATTTACGAAACATTTGTACCATACCATACCACCATCTTGTTGTACTATAGTCCATTAAATCTTGGCATATTTCCGGGAAACTGTGAACTTCTCTGGGCTGTTCTAGCTGTAGGCTCAGATACTATGGCTCACCAGTACATCGAATCCACCACTGAATCGAATTTTGATTGCAAAATCGTAACCATTCATCAATTCGATCACTAATTTCGCCGATGGCACTACAAATTACTGATGCCCCCGCCTTCCTTCAAACCATCCTACCTCCAAATCCCATCCGTTTTCTTCAAAAAAAAGTGCACCATCTTCATTTAGTAGTCATCTGGAATCGTCGTTCCAATTTTCAGGTCGATTGGGCCAGTGGAAGACGAGATTCAATTCAGTGGTGGATTCGATGTACTGGTGAGCCATAGTAGTAGTGATAGTGAAACCCCTAGATCAGTGATGGCGGATCACGTTGGTTCCCGCGGCTCACCTGAGTACCGTTTCCCATCCAACTCCAATCTTCTTCCCAACTTGCATCTGCTGCAGTTTCGGGCTCAGTGCTAGGTCTTCTCGCTGCAGTAATTTCGGCGGTTCGAACCACTACTCTCTCCGAAAAGCCATTCTCCCACTGATAACGGATCCAACTTGAAGGCATGATACTTCGTAACTGTTTGCGGGCGCGCTGAATCAGAAGTCACGGACACTACGAGATCTAGTGGCTGACGGTCTACAATCTGTAGCCTGTGGGTATAGGTGGGCCCACTACGGTCTTATCGGATACGCCGGGCGGCTTGCGTTTCGGTGGTCTCAGGTCATTCCGGCAACATGCTCAGCAGCGAGTAGAAGCAGCTCTGGACAAAGCATCTTTTTACCCATAGCCCATCCAAGCAACTTCTTTCCTAGAAACCGCCATCTCAAGATCAGCTGTACAGATCAACGGTTTGAAGGAGCATCGAAGGATGCTTTGTCTGGAGGTCCTGCCTTCGAATGATGCTATGCACTATTGATCACGACGATGTTGTGGGCAATGAAAGGCCCTACTTGGGTGACTAGAACAAACTCTCTCCCCTCTTTTTCCTCGTTCTCCCATTCCTTTTTGCGGATTCCCATTCAGTCTTTCCCTCCCCTCTTTGAAGTTCACGTTTCCTTCAATCACATTCCTTACACTATCGCAGGCTCGCTTTACATCCCCAGTCATGCCCGCCCCTGTTAGAGTTGACGACATCGGCCCCGCCGTCGTGAAGTCTAGTGAATGGGCCACCATGGATAATGAAGCGGATGCATTTAAGAACACCCTTACCGTTGGGGGACTTCAAGGAGATCGAGTCAGCCTTCGGTTTACCGGTACGCGCCCGCCGATTTCTCTCCTGCCCCGAATTTCACTGAACGGGTCGACCCAGGCACTTCAATCGCCGTGTTTGGATGGCTTCCACCAGTGACCGACGACCCTGTCATTTTGTCATTCTCGATCGACGGTCGTCTCGTGTCGGATAGAGTCCAGATTCCGCTTGGGGAACGGGAACGACCGCAAGCTGAAATCTGGCGCTCATCGGCACTGCCTCCTGGGGACCACGAATTTGCATTAGAGGTCATGGAGCGCACGGTCCTTGGTGTAGATTTCTTCGAGTACGAGCCGCTACCGCCGGCCACGAGAGTTGAAACTCGCCCGCCTTCGTCCCCATCTCCGTCCTCAGACTCCAATGTTTCCTCCACACCTACCCCGGCTCCCTCGGCCTCTGAAACGGAAAACTCGAACTCAAACTTAGCGGATACAGCGAGCGTTATGCCGACGGCTTCGAGCGGGGTCCATCTATCTATTCCTACGTCGATAACATCGGTTCAGTTAGTCAATGACGACGTCGACATAGTTTCAATCTTATCTGGGGTTGCGACGTTGAGGAAGGGGACGCGCACGGAAACAGGGGTCAATCCCAGCGAGTCGTCCAACGACATGGCAGGGAGGTTTGGTACGGACAAGGGCTATAAAGCTCCGACCGCGGCAATTGTTGGTGCTGGCTTGGGTGCCCTAGTCCTGGTTGGAGCTATCATCCTCGGCCTTTTGTACCTTCGAAGGCGACGTCGAGATAAAGTCAACATGGGCATGCAAGCTTTGAGCGTGACTGCTCCGTTTGGTATGTTGGTCTCCAGAGGCCGTGCGATGTGCAGCTGATAATTTGTTCCTATTTTTTAAAAGATGCAATGAATGCAACCATGTCCCGAACACCGCCCAAGATGATATCGACGCTGTTTTCCGGCTCCTCGAAAGGTCATCTTAACAGGGTGGAGAATCGTCCTTGCTATAATCCCTTGGAGAGCCAGTCTTCTCTGGCTGCTATTATTAATTCGACGTCACCAGATGAACCCCCTCCCGAGTACCAGCACTGCGTAACTCGTTCTCCTACTAGCACCGCCGCCGTCGGCCATGCTCATGGTACGGCATGGTCAACAGTGGGGGCCTCAGAGAAGAGTTGTTAGGTACAAAGTATCCCTCTTTAAAGCCTACGTATCGTTCTCATGAACATTTTTATCGTGTATCGTTCATGTAGAACTTCACATTGAAGGGGCACCAGCTCTGAGTTCCCGACAGGGGAACGGGGAAAGCCGTGATCTCATCAGGCGCATCAAATCATTGTTCCCAGCGCTCCGCGACGCGTCGGAGGTCGCAACATCTTGACCTCGAACCACGACCTAACCCGGAAAACTAGCGTTTCCCGTTCTGAAACCTCATTTTTGGCGCGTGCGACCCGATATATTGATATCTGAGTATATACCGTAGAAGGCGTGATGAAAACTGCGGTCAGAATGTCGATCTATTATAGCAAGGTGAGCGATTCATAGTATTGGTTTCATGACGGTTTCTTCCATCTATCGCAGCGTGGACCAGTGTCGTTCTCGCTTTCGGGTCATGACGGTGTATTGCGATTGAGTCTGATCAGGCCCGTAATGCACCCAGTTTAGGGACCAGTAGGCGCTCGAGAGGCGCTGAGCCCTTCCTCATTGGCAATTTCTCAGGCAAGCGCATGTCGATGACATGTTCGTGCATGGTGGGAACTTGGTACCCTCTGGGCGCCAATCTGTCACCAGAAACTTCCCGTGGTGTCTTGGGAAGCAGCGAGAACCTTATCGCGTCCTGTTTCCACCACTCAAGCCGAACAAGCCATACGCGTGGCACCGGCATTCCCTTCATAACCCATTGCGCTTCCATTCGGAGATTGACAGTTTCATACTTATTACTTGCTAATGACAGGATGCTGCTTGTGGGTACGTCAATGCCAGGCATGTCCGACAGATTGGTTCCTTGCCAGAGCTGACATGCCAGCGCCTATTCAAAGCCATTTATCCAGACGTCTTTGTTCCGACACGATCGGTAAACGATGGCCACCCCCCACAACGAGTTACGGAAACCGCACGCTGTATGTCATTCACCTCTATCTCGCCCATCGACACCCTGACGAGTGAATCATGGATTGACCAGCAGGCAGCCCCACGGGCACAGGACCACAGAGTCGATGTGGGGCAAGGTGATCATGACCGCTCTACCAAAGCGGACGACACTGTCTATCAAACAGACGGCAAAGTCTGGTCTCTATATCTCACCGAAGCGACGGACCAGGCAAAGGAACAGGTTGAATTGTGGAAAACCGAAATGGAATCTCTCCTGCTTTTCGTAAGCTCTTTTCTGAAACCGCTTTCATCCCGTTTACCTCGATACAGGCTGGTTTGTTTGCCGGAGTGGTGGCTTCTTTCCTGGTGGAAGCTCGTTCGAAGCTTAGAGAGGACGAACAGGAAGCCTTGCTCGCGGATATACGGAACGGCGTTCGTTCACTACCACCACCCACCCAGGAGTTTCGTCCCAATACGAGCCTCGTCTGGGTTAACGGGCTTTGGTTCTCCAGTCTGCTGATTACCCTATTCAGCGCGATCATGGCCGGACTGGCTCGCGGCTGGATAGTCAAGCTCATTCCGAATTCCACAAGTCATCAATCGACGGAAGCAGTGAAACGATGGAATCTGGACCAAACTGCGACATCATGGGGGCTACAGGACCTAATCGCAGTAGTCCCGTTCCTGGTCCAACTCGCCTTCTTCCTATTCGCCTTAGGGCTGGCACTTCACGTTCTCCGAGACCACCCTAAGTTGGGCGGATTCGTTCTCGCCGCCGTCCTTTTAAGTTTTGCCGTGTATCTGGTTCTCTCGTTCCTCCCACTTTGGCGCGGTGGAGAGTTCTGTCCCCTCCAGACTCCTTTGTCGACCATTCTACTAGGCAACCGAGAAAAGCTTCGCAGGCTCTACGCCAAGATCACGAAAGGTAGATTGTCGATCTTCATGCTTGTGGATTCTCTGACCACAGATCTACTAGGACCGCAAGATTCGAAGCCTGAAACATCGGAACCCCTCGTACCGGACGTCCTGACGAAAATTCTGTACCAAAGATTGATCCTATCGAAGAAGGGAGCTCATGTGGACGAGGCTTTTGCTGAGCTCTCGCTCTGGAAGAATCCTTCGCGCGATCATATGACATTCCTGGCCAATTCACAAGCACCAGCTATCTGCCTTCACCGGCTGCAAAAGATTGTGCATGTGGAGCGCCTTGATACAACTCAGCAACACGTCTTGCGAAACTACCTGGAGGTTTTCGCCCTGTTCGTCAAGCATTCGCAGGATCAGGAAGCCAGTTCGGAAAGCGATTTGGACGAATTGCTCAAGAGCTCAATTAGGCCGAGTTATCCTTTTCATCGGTGGGATATTTTCCCGGAGTCTTTGCGCCCTCTGGCCTTTACTATCAGGGCTGCGATCCTCATGAACTACCACCTCGGAGATCTTTCTCTGGAGGAGCTCAACGAACAGCCTTGGGTTAATCTCGTACGGAATCTCCCGACTCGAGATCGCCGCAATTTCGTCATGGTGGCCTGCAGAGGCATCGCCACGAGGGGACATCGATTGGAGGGCGAACTTCCAAATCTCCGTACGGCCTGCACCATGGCCATCGGGCTGCACTTGGCTAGAAGTAAGTACCCTTGCACATTATGCGCATTACAGTAATTGATGGATTCCCCAGCTATGGCCAACGGCAGGAAAAGTGAATGGTGGTCGGTTGCAGACGACGACAGGCAGAGGGTCCGTAAACTTTGTCATCGATACCTGGAACAGCTTTTGGAACGGAATGGTGTGTGGACTGTCCTCTTATGTTTCCTCCCACTTATGGCCGACTCAGCCTCGCAATGGGTATCCAAGGCATCACAACAATTGGATAATCCACTCGAGGCAGCGTTGGAGGCCCGGGGACTGCCCTGCGATATTCACACAGCTATCTCCCATCCCAATCTAAGTATTCGAAAGCCGGCATTCGCATTCGCTCTGTCCCTCCGTGAAGAAGGTTAGGCTATTCAAACCCCTTTTCATTGTGCTGCCCCGCTCATCACCCCATAGGTCGCTTAATTGAAGGACAAGGAATCAAAGCTTTACTTCAAATCATCAATGAAAATAGATCGACTGGTGCCCAGAATAGCATGTCGGATGCCTTAGAATTTCTTGTATGCTATTGTGAGTTCTGCGCAAATTCCCAACCCCGTCACCTTCCTCCCGCTAAACCTATCTAGTCGAAGGGCTCCAGTTCAGCGATACATTTTCAGAGTTATTCGTTGAACTGCTGGAGTTTGTCCTTGGCTGCACCGTTGCTACCGTCCACGCCAGAGTCATACCCGTCGTGGCTAGGATCATTTCAAAGTTCTCCAGCGAGCAAAATCATTTTCTGGATCGTATATTTGGGAAAAGAGACGACTTGGACGAAAGATGTCAAGAAATCATGGCCATTACCTTCACGACCCCGTGTATGGACGTTCGCCGTTCCTTATTTGACGTTCTGCGACTGCTCAACCAAGCTGGTGCGTCATCGTATCTACCCAAACCTCCGACTACTTGCCAATAGTAACGGGACAGGAAAATTTTCTGGCGAATCTTTCCCGACTACTTGGAATCTGAGCCGTATCTTTTGGAAGCAAATATCGCACCCGTCCTCTACAGTCACCACCCGCTTATGTGCCGTGGAGACACTGTTCCGCTATGGTCTGTCGCCTTGTATTGTATTCAACTGCTCTACTCACTTACAGGCGGATAGCTGATTTCGGATTCGACATCACGGGGTGCTATTTACTCAGTTGGCAGTACATAGCCCGCGAAAGCGATATCAAGGGCTTGATTGCTGGATTTGGCGAAGCGGACCCTCGAGAGTCAGCCTCTGAACTCCACAACCAAGACGCTAAAGCCTTTCTGGAAGACCCGATGATTGATCGTGCTATTGAAGGCCTCGTCCTCTTGGCAGTCAACGATGACGATGACGACGTCCAAAAAGCTGGCGCGAAATTGCTCTCGATACTAGTAAACAAAGCCGGTAGGTGTTATCGAAGTACCTATAAAATTCCCTTGCTTCTGCTCACGATGGTCTGATTTCTTAGACACTTACCGGGAAATTATTGTTTTCCACCTCCCTCCGCAGGTTGACATACCTTCGGCCACAAACCACGCACAGTGGTACCGTGCATGCGGATGGGTCAGGATTCTCGTGCTTCTCAGTGGCAATGGTGCGTTCAATAATGAACTGTATTGGAATTGGCGATCGGTTATTTACTCAGTGTTGCTATAGATGAGACTAGAGACACTGTGCACGAGATAATCTCAAGAAGCTTCGACCAAGAAAGCAATGAAGAAACTCTTACAGTGGTTGAACTTCCACTGCTCGCTCTCATGACAGCCATGGCGTTCCGTACGCCCTGGTATATCTGCCGCGCTTGTACATCAATCCTTACGAAGGTATCGCAAAAACGTGAGTATTCGGGTGACTGCCTCTCGTGCTCCAAGTGTTTAACCAATTGCCTGGAGCCCTTGCAGCCGGCTGGAACGAGGTTTTTCATCTCCTCGCCGCTGAAGCATTGAACACTGGAAATGAAGAGGACATTAGGGAGCACGCCTTGCTATGTATCCTCGAGCTGATTCGCATCCCTCCGAAGGATTGTGGCCCCCAGTCCAAGTTCCGACAGGTTGATATCACCAACGCCGATGTTGCGCTTACCATCGCCGACCTTGGTCTTGATTCCCTGTCTTGTGATCCCGTTACGAAAGTTCGGGAACGATGGGCCCAACTGCTGGAAATATTCGCGCAAGGCTCTGGTGGCTCTTTTTACTGCTCACCACCCCGCTCCTACCCCTAACATATTCTCCTAGATGACCTCGCACATAAGTCGGTTGGAAAGCTTCTTGAACTGGCTACCAACGACCAGAACGGTGCTGTTCGTCGGAGGGCACTAGAAAGTCTTGCCTCTCTGGTGGATAAGCAATGTATTAGCGTTGGTCATGAGCCACCTTGGATTTCTGTTGCGCGCAATGCGGTTCTGAAAAGAATTGTTCACGACACAGATGATATACTTTCCAAGGACGACTCGTGGGGAGCACGCGAAGCCTGGATGGTGATTTTGGGAAAGCTCGCAACGGAACTAGGTTGGTGCCACGATCCGACAGTTGAAATTGCCCATTGACATACGAACTCCGATAGGTTTTGCTGAGAACCGGATCGCTATATCGAAGGCATTCGAGGTAGCTCTAAAGGACGAGGACTCAGATGTTCGCCGGGCGGCCGTTGAGTCTCTGACATTGATCTGCAATGACTTGGATCAAGGTAACTGACCGTGTCCCCATCTATGGGACGACATCATGGCTAATTTAAACAAAACTAACAGCGCAGAGCAAAGAAGAAATCAGAGAACTACTTGGTCTAACCCGTCATTTGGAGGCAATACTTGAAGTGTCTGATCCGGGTATACCTTGGCCTAAGCTGGCCCATGCCCTCTACGTCGATAACGGTTTGGACATTTTGTTGACAGTATCACTTCTTTCTCTCACATGCCTTCCGTCACAGGAATTCCAGACGCGACCTTTGTCGACGAGCTCATTGAGATTGCTTTCGGGCCAAATAACCAGAGCCACATGGCAGCTGCAGATTTCCTAGGGGGAATTCTGAATGCTACAAAGGGTAGGCGTCCACCTTCTAGTTGCCAGTCGTGGATAACCCTCCATTGAAGGGAACGGGTCCTCCTTCGGGGACGAGTTCTTAAAGAAGACCTTGGACAAAGGCGGCGCCTTACGAACCGTTGATAGTGATGGCGGGATGATTCGAAAAGCATGGGCGAAAGCCATAGCCAGCGGGTTATCACATTCTAAGAACGGTTGGCCCTGTCGTGCTTATACATCGTGGCTATTGACTGATCCTTTGAGCCTGCGCATAGACACACCTCATCGAGCTTCCGGCTTGGAAAGGCTCGCCGACCTGGCTTTTCACGACCCACAAGAATCAGTTCGTTTCACAGCCATCCACTCACTCTCAGACCTTGTAGAGCAGCACGAGTTCGGTAGGCATCTCTAGCCCATGCGCTATCCACTGTCTCACTGCGATCCCATTTCCAGCAATGCAATTCTTCGTAAAGCTATTCGAGTCCCCTCGATATGGTTTGCAAGTATCAAACGACAAATCTTTGGTAGTTCGTCTGGCTTGGATCAAGGCACTTTCGACGTTGCCGATCGATCTTCGTGCGTTCGATCGAGGCTCTGACTAAAGGCAGAGATGCTGAACGGCGGTTCCGTGGTCTAGATTCACCTTTTGCCATCGGAATAGTATACAATCTTCACGACGCCTTGGGTAACGCACGGTCAACTCTAGTCGGTCTGTTCACTGGGGATGACGACGAAGATGTTCGCCTGGCGGCAGCCGAGGCCTTGCAGAAGTTACTGGAGGTTGATAAGGGCAACGGTACGTTGCTATTGCGTTCCGTGGAGGCCTTACTAAATGATTGGAAGTCTGGAAGACATTGTCCGACATCCTGTCGAAGGCTTTTGAAGCTTCCCTCAACGGCCCCAATCATCTTTGCCGTCTCCGCGTCATCGATACAATGCGCGCAGGTCTCTCGATACAGAATTCGCGATGTTCGTGTCGGAATCTTACTCAGCGCACAGGAGGCCCTAACATTGAAAGCAGTTAGATTTCCCAACCTTCTGAAAGGCCTTGCATCATCACTACTCCAAGCTGCCATGAGAAACGAAGGGACCCCCGTGCAAAGAGCAGCCGAGCATTTTTTGCTTGACCTCATCAACGCCAAAGCGCTTCCAGGTGCTTAATAGCCAGTAGCTGCCTGACATAGCACTAATCGGGGATCTCTTTCAGCTGACACCACCATCGATCTACTGTACAAGATGCAGGAGTGTGCTACAGGGCCGATCATTGACGGTGGATCCACTATTGTCTTCAAGGTCATCGAAAACTGTGCGTCCTTGTCCACTTGTGATCTGCCCTGTGCTTGACCAGACGCCCAGTATCCAACGTCCTACATGACAATGGCGCCCTGCTGAATACGGCGAGATCTCTAACGCCAAAATTGATGCATTCACTAGGTCATATACGCAAAGCAGCCGTCGTTTCATTGACGAAGGTTCAGCGAAGAGGTTGGTAACGACTTATACCTCCTTATGTGGGTCGGTCTGACCGTTTATTTGCATAACACAGCCGATTGGTCTGTCGACCAAGAGAGCTACAGGTCCCTGGCCTCGATCGCCGCTGAGCTTCAGACAGTCGCGTTGAAAGACCCGTATGACGACAACCGCTTGGCCGCTCTGGAGCTGCTGGTCGAACTTTGTCAAGAAGGTGAGTGCCATTCAAAAACGGTCGTCTCCGTTGACTCAGATAAAACGACGCTCTTCAGTGACCTTCGAACAAATTCCTGCGGTAGTGAAGGCGGGAAGTCCGCAGTTTTTGGCGTTGCTTCAAAGGAGGGACCTTCGAACTCCAGCAGTGGAATTGATCTCGTTATTGTCGCAAGACGATCGATGTGAGTGGGACTTATCGTCCGAACCCTGTGTATCTCCCGCACCACAATATTGAACAAGCTCTTGGTGGGATTCCATCCAGTTCGTGAGAAGGTCGCGTCCTGGGTTGTATCATCTCTGGTACAGAACGAGCACCCTCCGTATGATGCTGCAGAGCTTCTGGCAAACCTCGTCATATGCGGTAAGATCACCTACGATATATGAAACGTTAGAGTGGACCTAATCCCCTCCCCCCAATCCGCAGGTCGATTGAGAGATTCCAATCACAACCAGAGACACTTCGACTACATCCTGCTACTGCTCGCGTCTGTTCTAACCTCAAACCCGGAGGCGAGCATGGAAAGGTTCCAGTTTTCCCTCGCCACTGGCCTACATTATTACTTTGGTCATGGCGCGAGTTCGGCTACTGGCCTTCGATGTCTAAAGACAAGCTCGGAAGATGCGGAGAAAAACGGAGGAGGGGTTGTGCAGGAGGTCGCAGGGCCCTTCCCAGATGACTTGGTTGATTGGTTTATGGCTGCCCTTTTTGGTCCGCATACCACACAGAACGAGGTTGACGACTGGCTTGAGACCGAGAGGTATCTTTGATCAGTGCGATGGGCGCCTAGTAGTATACTTTGTGTTTACATGTCCTTGATTTTCAATTTCGATTGGTAAACAATTCCTGTTGGAAGCCCAAGATCAAAGACGTTGGGCTCCTGAGCCAGTCCCTTCCGCATCGCAGTATGTCTGTTATTCTGCTGTTCAGCTGGACGAGGGTCACTAGAGGAGATGAATGTTGGAGGAAGAGATATTTTTGTTGCAAGGTTAGCGTAGGCCAGTTTTACATGAAACTACACAAAAATAACCCTCCGCATCCGTGAAACCAGCATTATATCCAGAAATCAAGCCTATTGATAAGTCAGTAATTAGTTACAAATGTCAGTGTCAGTAATCTACTTAAAAAAAGTCCAATTCAAAAGAACGATCGTAACGAATTTATACCAATAACCAAGCTCCAGCAGCGAGAGCAATAGCACTCAACAACCCACTCTTCCCCAAGCTCGCACGTCCACTAGCAGCGCCATGCTTCCTAAAGCCCAAACTCGTTCCACCCATCTTCTCCGCTCTCTGTTTACCGCTGTGTCCATTGGACGTGGCGAGCGCAGCAGCATCCACAGTCGCGGTGTTGTGCGACTTCAAGTGCACAGTCGTAGCGAACGTCGTCGAGGCTTGGGCGACGCGGACCGCCTCGTCTTCGCCATTGAAGAACACCAATGCGAAGCCTGGAGCAGGTACACGGACGCGGCACACGTTTTCGCCTTGGTCGCATGGTACTTCGGTGACGTTGAGTTCGCCTCGGAGACGGCCGTCCACTTCGAATTGGTTGCCGAAAGTCTTTGGGGGAGGGGGGAAGAAGGTTAGCAAGGGGACATGTCAGAGATATTGGCTGTGACGTACCTGGCCAGCCCAAGTGATGTTGTCCCTGCTTGTGACGGTTTCGGCCAACAAATACTTGACGCGCACAGACGAAGGGACACCTCCGTCGACGGTAAGCGCAACGTTGATGTCATGGGCACCAGTAGGATCCGACAAGTAGTTGAACAGCGCAACCTTGTTGACCTGGTCGTTCTCGTAGATGGCGTAGGCGGGGGTGCTGACGCTGCCGCTGTTAGCGAACAGGTCGACGACTCGGGCGGTGTCGCTCTTGCCGAAGGCTTCGGCCATGATCAATGCAGAGTAGAAGATGGGGCCCAAAGTCCATTGGTTGAAGGCGGCGTACTCGGTTGGGGGTGCGGTGAAGGGCTGGAAGACGGGGTCAGCCTACGAGGTGCTTGGCACGAGGAGAGTACGTACGTTATAGAAAACGTTCTGACCACCAACGTGCAACATGGCATGGGTGAAGTTGGCATACGCCATTTGGAAGCCGTAGTCCAATCCCCAAATGGCCGCGACGTATGAGTTGGAGATACCGGGGAAACCACCGCAAGAAGCGGTGTTAGTTTCGAACATCATCAGTGGCTTGCCGGCGCCGATAGCAAGGTTACCGGTGTTGTAGTAGGGCGCAACGAGTTCGATGACGTTCTGGTGGTTCAGGTAGTAGGGAAGCATCGCTTGAGGGTCCCGCAAGTTGTTGGGATTTCCGCCGTACATGGCTACACAGTTGTCGTGTGGGTAGCTGCATAGCGTGTTAGTGTGGTGTTTGAAGCGCGGTTTTTGGAAACATACTGTTCGACGGTGATACCATACAAATGGTCCTGGAACTCCTCAAGGAAACCAGTCTCGAAAACGTCTTCCGCCTGCCAAACTTGACCAGAGGTACTTGGGCCGAGCAAGATGTTCTTGCGAGGGATACGATCGTTCGTGGCGATGACTTCAATGAGGTTGCCAACTTCATCATGGTACATTTGTGGGGTGTAGCCGGGCGGTCGACGATTGAAGCTGGCAACATGTTCGGCATACCAGAATTGCACCAATCAAACAATAACGTACCGTTCATAGAAATCAGGTTCGTTTCCAGCTTGCAGCGCCCGAAGACGGTCACCGAGAATTTCTTGGCCAAGCTCGGCGATATCCAGCCTCCAGTTGACGGGGTCCTCGAACGGGATACCCAAGAACCAATCGACGTTGAGCTTTTCAGAGATGTTACCGCAGGAGTAGATCATTTCAATAGTATAGAGGACGGCTGGCGTAAGCGTCTGTTCAAAGCAGCTTTAGCAAACAAGCACAAGTGGGGCGCTGGGTGTGACGTACGGTTCCCGTCGATGTTGACTCGGTCTTGCCGTAACTGAGGCCTGGTCCAAGTCTTGGGTCGTCTTGCTCCACGTAGGTAGCGTATTCTTGAGTGTTTCCTCCCAGTCGAACAACCACACTTCCTGCTCGCTCTTCGAGGTTGGCGAGGAGGTTCAGGAATGGCACATTCAAGAAAGAGCTTGGAGAACGTCGTCATCGCTAGTCGTAGAATCTTCGGAATTGTACTTACGAGTTCCTGCCAACTGAAAGACAGTCTATTGAGACTCAGGCAAAGCGTAATCGAGGAAAACGCACTCACGGACTTGGTTAATGACTGACATTTCAATCGAGAATCCATAGAAAGCCGATCCCACATGAGGGATGGAGATGCCTGGCACGGCGCTGGCATCTCGTGTTAGTTGGAGGGTGAAATCGTTGGTGATTCCTTCTGCTGGGATTTCTGGGACTTGGAGGAGCGTATTGTTGTAGGCTGCTCGTACCGTCGTCATTGGCAGTTCCGCGGTTGTCGATTGCGTCTGCATCTGGCCGAGGGGCAGCTGGCCGTAAACGGTGACCTGAGCCAGTGTCAGCGAGGCACAGCTCAGGACGGAAAGCGCCTTGCGGGTGATCATAAAGAAAGAACGGGCAAAACGAATGTGAGGTGAAGGGAAAGCGTGAAGAGAAAGAAAGGAGAGACAGCAACGACAGAGCACAAGGGCATCACCGCCACCTTGGAATATACAAAAACGGTGGCTGGGCGGACTCGGCTTAATCGGCAAAGGCTCCGCGTGGGACCCTGAGGCGAAGACCAGCTTCAGTCCATTAATATTCAGGCTTTACCAGCGAAATTTCCTGGATGTCAGTAAGTTTTGGCAGGATATTATAGCAAGGGAGGTAGCCAGATGGACATAATTGTTGCCATTGCAAAGCGGGAAACATTGCCAGAGATCGCCGGAAATACACAGCCGGACAATGCCCCTACACAGGGATGATGTCACTATCAATATTTCCGACTCGCCCAAGTGAACAGCAAGGAGACTGACATTTGTAGAGCTTTATCTGGTAAGACAAAGGAAAGTTTGATACCAGGAACATGGTAATTGAAAACCTTGTTCTTGAAACCTATTTATGCCCAGTGAGATTGTAGCGGGATTCAAGATCGAAATTGAAATCCTTCCGACGCGACACCCAGAAAGAGGATGGTCTCTTTGACAGAGAAAACGCCTCTAGAGCCAGTAGCAGCCTACCCTAAGAAGACCCAAGGGGCCGGGTTTCATCTGGATATCAGCCGCTTGCATGCTCTCAAAAGCAGAACACGCTTCGCCACCTAGTAAGATCGGGACCTAAATGTAGCATCACTTGAAAGAGGCGCGCTTTGCCCAGGTACGCACCAAGGTTGAGACTTAGAGCATATGAACTTCTCTGGTTGGGATAAGGGGAAAAAAGGAGGAGAGAATGAATAGTGGACAGATAACAGAGGCCTATATGCGTCCGCGACCGTGGAAAATGATCTGACACTTCTAACTTTAGAACGCAGGCACCGAGACTGCTTCTAATATCTTGCTTGCTTAGTAGCCTGTGTTTCTGACGGAGTCCAGAAAGTATTTACGGTCATGGTGAGCGAAACTTGACCTGCGCGCGCTACACCGTATTTTTTTTCTTTCTTCTCATCTTGATACAAACCTTGGCATGTCATGCAGTGATGGGCGCTAATGTCGTAGTTTACGGATGTAACAGCTTCGTCGCAGCGCTGGCCGCCGAATCGAGATTTGTAGATTAAGAATATAAGTATATTACAGTACAAACACATTACTTGCAGGAAGATCAGATGGAATTGGGGCGTGGCTAAAGGAGCGTTAACCGCTCGCGTTGCAATTCGTTGTTCAACTGGATCAGGAGGTCTGAGGAAGGCGCATGGCTCTATATAATAAGTATTATGATTCAGTCAACGATGCTCCAGTAGGTCATACCAGTTGGACTCACCCGTTGGTGCGGCTTACGAAGGATACAGGCAAGTGCACTCTATCACAACGCCAGGAATCTCTAGGTCGGTGAACAGAGGGAAACATTTATCCAAGATGTCTGAATCCAATTTCATCTTGAAGTTCGCGTATCGCAAGGTAGCGTCGTTGATACCTTTCGTTCGGCTCAGAAGTAACTCGCATATCGCCTCGTCTGTGTCTTCCATGGGGTATGGAAAGCCCAATTCCAAATCGAGTGTTTCGAGTTGAGGCATAGGCTTGAAGGTGTCCCGGAAAGTGAGGGCGCTTAAGCTCTCAACAGGTGTCCGTGATGCACCTTCTCCGTGATGGCGAAAGGTTGTCAGGTGGGCGAATGCTGGTGATGCCGCCCATGTCCCGATGTTGTGGCTGGAGGATTCATTTCGGCGAGTGATGCAATGGAAGTCGAGGACGGTCAATTTCCACTCTGATCGTTCTCCCAGCTGTGCAATACGCTGCCATAGACCAGCCCGGGGTGGTACCTGCACCCCATAGTACTCGTAAAATGGGGATGGGACTTCTAAAGTCAATTTGACCAGCGCAGGTAAACTGAGGTGGTCCAAGAAATAGGGGCACCCTTCAGTGAACCGTAGTTCGAGTTCCTGGAGGGAGGGTGCCACGATCACCCCAAAGTTCTGCTTGCGTGCTGCCGATGTGAGAAAGAGTCTCTTGATCGAGCATTTTCGAATCGATGAGGCCAGTTTGAACATCTTCAATAACTTGTTTGAGGATATGCTTTCGTCAATATTGACAGTCGTGATGCTGCTCCAATGGATGCCGGGTATCCAGGAGGGCCGAAAACATTGGCCGGAGAATTTGACGGTCTGCAGTGTCGGGGCCGAACAGATTCTGGAGTAGAGTTCGCGGTGTAGGCGCAATTTGAAATTTCGCTCGATAAAAATGGCAACGTCGAGGGATTTGAGGTTGGGCATAGACATCCACTTTGGGATGTTTAGTTCTCTCTCCGGAGCCAAAATTTTTATATTCCTCCACCGGAACGATTGGGTCAATGCGGCAGTGACGATCTGTCCAAGTGGGCTATTGGGGCCATAAAGGTGACGCGAACGGTTGCAGAAATTTTGGATGATAGTAAGATCCAGGGGGAGTCCCTGGGAGCGTTCGAGCCATAGCTGGAATATGAACACAGTGTTCTCCGAAGGGTTGTCGACAGCTATATTGGCCCAGAGGGCTGGTGTGCCGTTAGCAACGGTACGCCAGCGCGAGTAGACGGAGGAGAGTAAGAGGGGCGAGTTCTGGTTAAATTTGTCCGCCGCCGCGATAGGGTGGGACGCTGTCTCGTTTGCCGGCTCGTCCAAATGGTATACATAGTATAAGAAGATTCTTCCAAGCACCTCGTAAGGGACTGAGTCGATTGGAGCAGCGGTGACGTTCCTGCACGGGGACATGGTCTTTCTGGCCGTGTTCACTACATGACGATTTCAGAATGTAGTTGGGGAACAGTAGTAGAGGTTGACTACGTACGTAGTGAGCCTATTTCGCAAGGGGTCTTGGGAGCAATGATTGAGTCCAGCTGGCACGGCGCGAATCATTGACATTTTGTGCCGGCGGCAATCAAGGCAATCAGATCTGGCATCGAGCCGTCGGAGGCCGTCGTCCCAACTGTGTACACAGGGGGGAATTGCCAATTTAATCCCCGAAAACAATCGTTTCCACTGACCGTTTGTGTGTGCTAAGTCTGACACATGTTTTCCACGTGAACATCGGTTGCACAAATTGTGCTTAAGTTTCCTTTGTTATCTTAGAGGTATATAATTTGCTCTTTCAATGTTTTCGCCCAACGTTAGGGTGCAGGCAGAGCGTGGACAAACGGTCTGTCGAAACGATGTGTCAGCAATGTTTTCGGGGATTACATAGGCAATTCCTGCCTGTGGTACATACATCTGATTCAAGAACCTAATCTCACTCAGGCTCAAAAGAATTTAAGAAGTCACAATAAATTTAATATCAGATGAGGGCTCTACGTGTACATAAAGACAACGGCAATGCCAGCAAAAGCGATAAAAAGCGGGGAAAGCAAGTGGACGAGCGTAGCAAAAGGAATCATGTCTGAACGAAGGGATCGTCCCCTTTATCCTGAGGGAGGGGCACGTCTGGCCGGATCGGGGTAGACTCGGTGAAGGTTTCACCAGACGGTTCAGAAGGCTACGCCGAAAAGACCAAGAAATGAACATCAGTGTGATTGAGACAAAAAGGCAAGGTTACACACCCCAGGCGCAATAGTGAACGTCGACCGAGGGCTCCCCATAACTGGCGATCGAGGAGGAGATAGCCTCGGCGACTCCAATAGCTCAGCCGCATCAGACGATACCGACTCTACACGCGCACGCTTCGGTTCCGAGGGCTACATCGACGAGAGCAGGAGATAGATGTCAGCGTGCGTTGAAAACGTCACAGGCGGAGGGCAGCAGATACGCACTTCGGAAGTCAACACTAAATGTCGATCCATAACTCCGCTTTAGCGGTGTTCCAGGTTGAGCTGGGGCTGATGACAACAGCCTAGATGACCGGGATGGAATCAAAGACGTATTATAGACGCTCCGAGGGTTGACGGATTTCTTCAGGCTCATGAACGGTTGGTCCCAATTGTTTTGGAGGAATGAAAGGATGAGCCGCTGGAAACATTCGTGGATGTAGTCGGGCTGGGCTCGGGGTGAGCTTTGCGGGAGCCAATGTGGGTCAGTTTCCAAGTGATATGACATGTCCGTGAGAAGAGGGAAAAGATCACGATAGCTCGGGTGGAACACAGATCGGTCATCAGGGAGCCTTTTCCGAGCCGTAAGCAGCCCCGTCCAGACGTCGTTGGGGATGCATATATCTTCATCCCTCATTGAGCGTTTTGGATAGGCATTGGTCGACGGCATAGCCATCAGCGCCCAGTAGTGGACAAGCCAAAAGATTGATTCAGCGTCATGATATAGCTGGTGTCTCCAGGGGGCGACGTCGTGCGGGGGGTTTCCCTTTTCGTCTGCCTCGAAGATCTCCTTCGTGTCGCAAAGGCTGAACCGGGCGAGGCGTCCTGGAAACAGGTTCTTGTATGTCTCTGGGGGATTTGGGATGGCTATAAATTCAAAAGTAAAGCGGGGATCAAGATGGAGTGGCTCTCCTCGGTGGACAGCCCTGGCCATGAACCCAGGAGTTCCCTGCAAGAGCAACGATTAACGGCCGCTACAACTCGACAGAACCATATAACCCACCGTTCGTTCTCCTCGAACAGGCTTACGAGGTAAGCTCAAGACTTCACTGTGATTGAAATCGATTAGCAGCGTCGATGTTTCCTTGGGGTCGTCGCTGAAATGTAGGGTCAGCATCGTCAGGACAGGGAAAAGGCCTGACAAACTGCACGGACCTCTTGCCAAGCAGACGTCTTACGAAGCAGTAACGGTGCTTGTTCTTGTTCTGCTCTCCGGTCTCATCCTTTTCCCCGCCCTCTCCAGCCTGCCGTTCATCTGGGGTTTCGTCTCGTTGTGTCCGCCGCTCTGCAACCCTTGGTCGCCGAAGGTACATGACGTTCCCCGTGCTAATGTCGCGATGGAGAACGCGGCGCTCGGCATTCAGAATTCGGGTGACTCGCGTAGCCAGTCAGCATCTGGGGTAGTCTGTGACAGGTAAATACTCACTTTCCAGCGCGTCGTAGGCCACCATGAGCATCTCCCGAGGGGTCTCAATCGACATAAACGGCGCGCCCTCCTGACCCATCCCGATCCATACTTCTTCCCTACCTCCAAACAGATGTGTCAGGGCTCGAGACCGGAGCATATCGACCACCCCCGGGACTCCTTTGACATGTCTGAGCACCTCGATTTCGTCGAAACGAGATTTATGGCAGAGTTGTATCTTGACCACTCTGAGTCTGTGACCGTCGACAACGGGAGGATCGGGGCCACCATGAAACACGTCCGTCCGAGTACCGAAGGAGTTGGCGCCATATCGACAGATGAAGTCGCGACACACCACCTGTGGTTCGGAATCCGTTGGCTGAAAAGTGAGGTCGTAGACACACGTCGGTATGCTGTCACCCGAAGCTGGCTGATAGACCATTTCGATGTCGGGATGCGCCCACTGGCCAGGGTCATAGAGTCGGTACACCATCGCGAGCATCGCCCGCTTCAGCGTCTGGGTGCCCCAAGCAAACGAGAATTCGTAGATCCTTGAACCTGTTTGTCCAACCAACAGCTGCAGATGTTTCTCGCCCACCAACAGGCCAAAGGCGGCCTTGAAATCGGGTCGTGCATCAAGCAGGAGGTCAAGGTATGTGCGAGCATCCTGTCTCTGGTCCTCCTCGTTTTTACCCCTTCGAAGTGATCTCCCCGGCAAGCCTCATTGCGGGCCATGGAATTCGGGATTTCGAATGTTCCTTTCCGTCCGTGTCACCGCTGCCGTACCAATGTCCTTCAAGACCTGCCACAAAGCTAGGTCTGGCTTTGGTACCGGTATCGGATACATTCCCGGCCTGGACATGATTCGAGGTATCTCTGAAGACCAACAATTCGTGGAAATCTGGATTTAGGAGTTGAGTGGAATTCCTCGAGAATCGTAGAGTACGCACGGGAATTCCTCTGCCGGATTAGCTGGCACGTAGCATTCACGTCAGCCAAAAAGTCGTCTCGTGTCTCGAACTCTGGTGATCCCGCTAGGCTCAGAGAATGGTCGTCGCTCTCGAGCGTCAAGTGCTTCAGCAACTCCTCCAAGAGAAAATCGTCAGGCCCATCCAGGACAAACGTCGGATAGCGACCATGCTCCATGTATCCGACTGCGACACCGCACCGACGTGGTGGTCAAGACACAACTTTGAACTTTCAATTCCGACGCGCGCATCTGCCGTCTGATGGCCGGGCATCGCCACCCTCATCGTCCGCCTGGCGAAAATGCTCGGATACCCGTTGAGCTGCATGTTGGTACAAGTCACCCTTACTGGTGTCTTGGGAGCAATGATTGAGTCCAGCTGGCACGGCGTGAATCATTGATATTTTGTGCCGACGGCAATCAAGGTAATCAGATCTTACATCGAGCCGCTGGAGGCCGTCGCTCAACGTTCAACCTCCAAACATCTTCAAGAAGAAGTAATGGTAAGTAACCCCACTCGTGCTCAAAAGAGTGGAAGCACTGGCCGCAATATGGACGATACACCGTAATACATGCATAAATCCATGGGATACATGAGGATGTGCCTAACTTGAACTTGAAGAAGCCTTCTCGGAGACCCCCACTGTTGACTGACCTACACAACGACGGGGGTACTCGGGAGGGGGATCATCCGGTGAAGTAGAGTTCATAACCGCAGGGGAAGATTGGCTCTCAAAGGCATCATCACAATGACGGTTCTCCGCTTTCACCTCGAATCATCATGATTGCTGGCCTTCGCGATTCTGGGGCGTTGACCTCCTGGTCGGGAGACCTAACGAAGGCGAGAAAAGCCCAGTGCTGCTGTACGCCGTTCGCTTCGGGTGAGTCTTTTAGGCCTCAGCCTCAGCCTGAGCTTCTCGACACTGTGGTTGAACTAAGGAATCTGTTCCAAAGGTTTCTGACAGGGATCATTGGCCTATCGGCGCTTACAGTCCCAGTTCTGGGCGACTTCTCAGCACCTGACTGGGTTATCTTCTTTATATTAGCGACTACGGTGCATTGGAGCTGGACGCACTTTACAGCAAAGAACATGAAGAGCTTCGTCCCTTTCATCTTGTCAGTGCTTTTGTTCACGAGTAACACTCGTAGTCGTGTAGGAGCAGCGGTTATCCGACGGGCACTTACTATTCCTCCACGAACTCGCTAGACAGCGAAAGCAACCGTAATTCCTGTCCTGACGGGAGATCCGTGCGGAAGAAATAAAAGTAATGTCATGGGCAGTGTCGTACAAAAAACACGAATACAACATGGGACGATGTAATACAGTCAAGATGAAATACATAGAAATAGAAACTCAGAACCCTAAACAAAATAGCCGCTCAGTGTTTATACACAGCCTACACAGCACACCTAGTCAGTACCCTGTACTAGAAATCGAATCGCGAGACCCACCTCAATCTGCTCATGGAACGTCTTCGCAATCTTCACCCTCTGAATCTTCTGCGCAGCCGTAACAAGGCCATTCTCCGGAGTCCACTCCTCCGCCGTCAGCACCACATCCTGCAGCAGCTCCACCGGCTTAAACCCATTCCTCCTCCCCACCGCATTACACTCCTTCAAAATCAGCTTGCGCACTTCGTCTTTTGCGCAAAGGACTGACAGGTCGGATGTGGAATCGAGGTTGAGGGAAGCAAGGGTGTTGCGGAGGTGGACTTCTTGCGGGATGATGATCCCCATCGGTTGGTTCGCGGCGGGAACGGCGTGCACGCAGATGTTTGCCACGAGGTTGCAGGATTTGTAGATTGATTCTAGGCGCTCGAGGGCGATGTACTGGTGAAAACATAATCGTGATTAGATTTCGTCCCTGTCATGATAGATAGGCAGATGGATCCATACCTCGCCCTGAGCAAGCTTGATTAAATTCTTGATCCTATCATATCGTCGTCAATAACAGTTTCAGAGAGGTGGCGACGTTCCAGCTTACCGGTCGATCAATGTGAGAGTACCATCCGGATTCCATTGACCAACGTCGCCAGTGCGCAGCCACCCGCCCTTGAATATACTCTCGTCGTTGTTGAGATCAGGCCGCTTGTAGTAGCCCGATGTGACTGACGGGCCTCGAACGCAGACTTCACCCTGGGGCGGGTCGTTGGTCGAAAAGTACCCAGCATCAGGAACGTCGAGGAGCTTGATCTCGACGGATGGGAAGGGGATGCCAACAGACTTGTATCTCATCAGCTCTGGTGGTACAAGGGAGATCATGCCGCAAGTCTCCGTCATGCCATAACCTGAGATATGTTTGATAAGTAACGAACACTGTGAGAGAAGAATCGACCAAACGCACCTTGCGAGATGTCCACCAACGCAGTCGACAGGAACTCGTGCGTCTCAGGACTAATCGCCGCACCTCCGCTCAAAGCGAACGCGATCCGTCCACCAGTGGCAGCCCGCACACCTCCAAATACAACCTTATCCGCAATCGTAGAAAGGATGGGAATCTTGTTGCTCTTCGCCCAATAGGCTCCATTGAAGATCACCTTCTTCAATCCTCCAGCCGTGTCCACTTTGGCGAGGATACCCTTGCGGATGTTCTCCCAGACAGCTGGTACACCGACGAACCGTGTAGGTTTGAATTCGCTGATGTCGCCCTTGCAATGACGCACCGAGGCATCGGTAAGGGTCTTGACGCGCCCGTAGCCAATGGTCATCCCGGCGAAGAGCGAGCAGAGCTCAACCATGTACTCGAGGACGTGGGCGAGTGGGAGGTAGGCGAGGATACTGTCTTCCCGACCGAGATGATGGCCAATGAGGACCTTGAATGCTCCTACACCGGCGATGAGGTTCGAGTGCTTGAGTACGACACCCTTGGGGTTTCCTGTGCTACCGGAAGTGTACATGATGCAAGCGATAGTTTCGGGTTTGGGTCGACGGGCTTCGAGTGGTTCGACGGGTTTGTCGCGTCCTAGTTCGCGTAATTGTGTGAGACTGTAGACTTGGATGGTGTCGCGCACGGAACGGAGGTTATCGAGGAGGGCGGATGACGGTTCGCCATCGTAGATGATGTATTTGACGGTCGGTGTCTTTGCGAGGACGCGGTTGAGGGTGGGGAGGAGCTCGGCGTTGGTGAACACACCAATACATTCAGGCTCGTTGAGAGAGTGGATAAGGCCCTCCTCGCCAAGCGTATCGTACGCAGTAGCGATGGGAATCGAGATTGATCCACAACCATGGGACATGTATTGCCAAGTGGGACTGTCGAGAACACCATCAGTACCACGAACGTAACGCGGGGTTAGATACCAATTCCCTGGGTACGACCCGGAATGCAAGTGGAAAGGGCTCGAACGAACCTTGTCTGCGCGTAGATGTTGAAGATATCGTTCTCCGTAATCCCCAAATGATGCAACCCCCTCGCAATCTCTGACACGATTTCTTGCAGCTCGATGTAGTTGATGTACTGGTACTCGCTCAACTGGAAGTACTTCCACTTTTTCTTCTCTTTCACTTGTTCACCTCCGACCACCTTGGTGACTTCCTTCTCCTCCTCGATGGTGTCGACGATGTTGCGCCAGCCCATGGCTTTGTGGCCACCGTGTGTTCGTGTGGCATAGGTGAGGACGTCATAGACCGTGTTGATACCGTCTATTGGTCGTTCGGGAAGACCGTCTTTGGATAGGGCACACCGGAGCACGGGTCCTTGACCAGGACCAGCAGCGGGTGCAACCTGCACGCTGCCTTCACCGTAGTATCCAGGCTTGAGGGTCGAAAGCGTCGCCATGACGGTTAAGGGTGTGGAGAGGGAAAGGGGAAGGGAAAAGAGATGATTGCGTTGAATGGGAACATCGCCTTGGTTGTACTTTTATAAGTGGCGGGATTGTTGTGACAGTTGGCTTGTGACGGGATTGGGACGGTGATGCCGTCACTATTGAGATCCCTCCCACAAAGGAAGGATCAAGGGCGGCTATTTGGACAAACCTTCGTCCTGCGTCCACGGTCCCTGAACGTGGGCGTCGACGTCAAACTTCGAACATCGAAGACGGCTGGGTCGCAAGACATGAATTGGCAGCAGCCTTGTATTCACTTCTCATTGAGCTTGGCCCGGGATCCATGAGAGGGGATGCTGAACATACCTGCTACGATTGCCCCGCAGGCGAGTCACCTCGAGGCGCCATGCGATCGAGAGGGGATAAATCCAGTCGTTGACGGTTAAGTTAGAGTTTGTGTGTGACGGCGCCAAGAGACAGTCGATATTGCCCAAGTGTCGATTGGCGTCCAACAGCGGCGTTCACGGTGTACATAGAACCAATTGAGTTCGGCGGTCATTGTCTGCTTCATGGACCGAAGTTGCCTTCAAGGGCGTATACAGCAATATACAGCTGTCTGATCATGTCAGGGTCTGCCAGAACTCCGCCGAAAGCCAAATAGTTGGCTCTGAACGGCAGAACAGCTGGGTAGTTGAATTGCCAGCATCCCGGTGGTGGAACTGGCAAAGTGGCGCTAGGCGCGGTCGCGTCGGTGCAAGACGATGACCCACGGAGCTACCTGGGAGACTTTCGAACGACTGAGAACTTGGACAAGAGACACTGGGAACAGGCTATGAATCGATATCATATATGCGACCAAGCCCTCTGACTGCCCGCACTGGCACGTTGCCGGTCGATCTTAAACCCTTGGAAATGAGCCCCAAGGGATAGCACCTAACAGTTATTAATGACCTGGGACCGTTGGTGGATCCACAGACAGCAGTTCTGGAGATTTCGCGAGAGGAACATGTAGAAATTCGATGTCGCTCATACTGAAATTCGGATGATGGCTGGTGGCGTGGTGGAGGATCAAGATTCAAGAAGAGCATGCGTGAGAAAGTCCCGCCCTAAGCCCGTCACTTTAGGATCAGACGAATTTGATGCGCCTGCGCGGGTCTTCCCAAGTGGGCGTTGAGCATCTTTTCGAAGCTTGTGAATCGAAATGTTCTCAGCAGAAGATGCAGTAGAAATGTGGAACATATTCTCATGAGAAAAGTCATAAACACCTTAAGTTCCACCTCGAGTGCTTAGTTTTACATAGTTTGGTCGGTCGCGCGCCAACCGGCTGGCGCCCGATTGTGGCCCTGGGAACAAATCAATCGAGCAGTTTGCCTGCCAGTGTCCGATGCTCGCTTCCTCTGCCACTGTCTACACGACTCAATCTTTGACTCTAACGTTTTGACATCTTTTCGTTCTATCCTGGTCCACCTCTCGTTGGAAAGCCTATTGAAATCAAGACACTAGGGTCAGCTTCCGAGGCTACGAATGTTTTCCAACACCACGATACCAGACGAACTCACCTCAACGGTCTGTAATGCGATTCAGTCCTTGACGCAGTCGAGGAAAGCAAACTTCCTGTTGGACACTGCTCTGGCATTGATTGACGCTGGGAAGTGAGTATTTCTCGACGACTACAAATGCGACTGTGACTGTAGACGTCGGATGTAGTCCTGGAGCTGGCTTCGGAGGCGGCGACGTTGCTAACGGCATTTATTCCTTGCAGGTATGGATCTGAAGTCGAAAATTACTTTGATGTCTACCTGAAGACACCCAATCTTCCACCGGGCGAGGTTGTGAGGGCGCTGTTGGCACGCGCATCAGCCAGGAGGGCTGCTGGGGAGAGGTTACTGGCTCAGGCTAACCAAGGTGCGTTCTATTACAAGATCTACCAAAACAATGACTGAATGAAAATCAGACTTTCATACAGTTCTGAAATACGACCCCAATAACCACATAGCGAAACAGCATTTCCAGAAGAAGAGCCTGGTGCGTGCCCTGCACCACGTTGAAAGCAACATCTTAATCTCAACATTCACAGCAAATCCACTTTAAAAACGAACCAGCTTATCAACGGGCACCACTAGAAGTCTGGGAACGGATAGCGTCGTTTATCCCGCGATACCACCTCCGCACATGGCTCTTCATTTCGTCGTTCTACCGCGATATCGCCTCTCGCCACATTTTCCATACCCTAGATCTTTATTTTGGATCGGACGACCAGGAGAACCTCAACCGCGGCCTCGACATCTTCGATAGGGCAAAGAACGACCCCATCTTTGCAAACAGGGTGAAATGCTTGCGGCTGCATTGGGCGTACGAAGAGGGCGACATGCTCGATTTGATGATAAGGATATTCAAGACTGCTTTACCCGAATTCAGGTCTCTCAAAGATTTTGAATGGATCGGATATCCAGAGCTGAGAGCAGAGGTGGTGAAAGCTGTTTTGGCCAGCCATCCCAATTTGCAGCATCTGGGATTAGTGTGAGTCCTAGCCTCTCCTTACAACCAATATATCCTGATATCATCCTTCAGTGGCTGGCATTTCGACGCAGTCGGCGTCTCAGCGTTCAAGAACCTTCGCAAATTCACGCTGCGGGCAGAGGACGACGACGGGTTCGCCGACATGGGCGAAGTGCGTACCGTGCTCGACCAGAACGTGTCGACGCTCAAACACCTCATCCTCGGCGCCTACCTCGAGCGGCAGCACAGCTGGGACTCGGTCTTCCAATCCACCACCATCAAAAACCTCACCCACCTCGACCTCGTCGATACGCGCATCTCCCACGTTGTCCTCGCCCGTATTGCGCATGCAAATAACCTGCAGAGTCTCACCCTGCATGGGACGTTCGAGGAGCCAGCGTCGGCTACGGTGATTTTCAAATCTGACCAGGTTATCGATGGGGAGCATACGTTTTTGCCGCACCTCGAGTCGTTCAGGTTTGTGCTGGTAGGGCAGGACGACCACCCTGGGCTCTACGAATCGGTGACTGCCTTCCTCAAAGGGCGGAAGAGGCTGAGGAAGATGGATTTGGGTGGGTGTCCGTGGGAGATGGTGAGGGGGATTTTGCCCGGATTGACGGGCCTGCGGGTGGTTGGTGTGAGGATAGGCAGCTTGACGGAGGAGGTGGTGAGAGCGTTTGTGGAGTGCTTGCCGAGGAATGTTGGCGCGCTTAGTCTGGCAACGGCGGTCTCACAGCAGCCTATGGTACGTCCCCAATCCACATTTCTTTTTTTTTTTTTCTCGCGTCAGCTGACCACCTCTGCAGCACGAATACGCACACCACTTCAAGAAATTCACCTCGCTCTCGTTCTTGCACCTCCAGTCTGCGAACAAGCGGAGACCCAAGCCTAATATGATGTCGGAGAAGGATTTCCAGGTTCAGTCGGATTTGTGGTTGAGGAATGCGAGGAGTATAGCTGAGCAGGTGCCCAGTTTGGACTTTTTGGGGTGGCATGGGGAGCACTTTGTGATCGTGAGGACTGAGGCGTCGTCGGGTTCGACGAATGCGGTCGCTGGAGGGTCACGGTCGCCGACTCCGGCATCATCGCCCTCGAAAGTGGAGGTGAAGGACCTTCCGACGAGGCGGAGACTGGATTGTGGGACTGGTGTGGATCTTGGAGGGGAGGATGCGGCGTGGTTGGAGAGGAAGGATGTGCCGATGGACTATGAGATGCCGGGGTTGGAGTGAAGGGTGGGGTTGGTGGGGGCTATGGTTTTCTTTGCGATCATTGTTTTTTATGGACCGAATACACGCATCGGTCATTCCGTCGATTATCGACTCGGAATAGGCTGTCGGTCATCCTTAAAGAGGGTTACCTACTGCTCAAGTGACGTTGATCGAATGGAACTCGCGCTCGCGTGACGATGGCCATGGTCCAAGCACAGGCCAGCGGAGGTGACGAGAAGCCCTACTACCCATGGACGCAACCTCGGAATCCCCCATCGCTCTGACTCACTTGGGCTCACTGCATTACAGTACTGCTTTCAATGGCGAAGGGCGTCGAACATGACCTCAGCCATCCGATTCCTTACCCTCGTCCTCCCCTTCCAAGTCCATTTCTTTTATCTTTCTTTATCGTGGCTAATGCCAGACCAACACGGTCGATTACTGGCCGATCCATAGCTCTAGGGCTACACACATGTCAACTTGACATCCTGAATAGACATTGTCGTCGACCCCCAGTTCATTCCCACTGTTCCCATAACCGACCTGTTCCAGACTTCTACTCGGGGGAAGGTGTTCGCATGAGTGGCCAGAGCGTCTAAGCAGACTCGCTGCTCACTGCTTTACTGGCGAAAAACGCAGAATGCCCACCGCCATTACCGTAATTTCCAGATTCTTCCCTCGACGTCCATTGCTCGGTGAATTAGGTGTCTGTGGCTGAGTTCCATAGCAGTTGTCGTCCAAGGATATAGCCTGAACTATTAGACGCGTCCTCGGCGATCGTGAAGTCAAATTGGCGATTTTGGGGGTGGTCGTGTGCGCGCCAGAGGTGGAGAGGCGGTCCATTGCTCCGAGCCTTGAAAACTGGAGGGAAACGAGAACTGACCAGTCGGTTTCGATTGAAGATGGCATGGTGGTAGTTGATGAGGGCTCAGTTGAGTTGAGACTTTGAGAAACTGTGAAGGGACCATGCACAGAGGTGATCGTGGGGACGCCATCGACGTCAGTGACGATGCTGTCTTGGCACGATGCTTGGATGTTCACTCCGTTTTGAGTGGTTTGATTCCATTTCCGGGTCGCGGAGAGTATGTAGAAAGGAGGTATGTATGTGTGTATTTGAACTTCGGAGGAAGGTCTTCGGAGGAGGTGAGGTGCTGAATGTACAGGAGCTCGCCTGAGCTCGAAGGGTACGACGAGGAGAGGTGTTTGCACGGGGTACCACTACGACGATATTAGATAGGGGCTTCGCATTGTTTAACGTACGGGAGCCCTTGGCAGGGCCTTCAATCTGACCGTTGGGAGCAATTCCAGGTGATGCTGAGAGAGAGATGGGTATCTTCTGTGTGTCAGGACTTGGCTGGGCGCTTCTTCTTGCGCGAGTCGGTGCATATGGTTACTCTTCGAATTCCAAGTGCTGGGGAGTACTGGAGGACTTGTGCCAATACAAGCGGCTCATTGACCGGACTCAGGAACATTGATACTTGATACCGGTCAGACCGAGCAGCGTCTTCCATTGAAGCTGTTTTAGCGGAACCGCTAAACAGGGGCTGGAGTCGAGGACCCTGCCTTGGCATGGCGGGGAAGGAAGATCCGGGGTAGTAGGGAGACGCTTGGATAGGCTCACAGGATAAGTCTCAGGTTCTAAAAATGGACTCAGAACAGATAGCCTGTCTAAATGTCTGACGCACAGTTCTTGTTCTGGACATGTCAAGCATTTAAATTCCAACAACAGAAGGGCCAGGAAGACCCTGCGACTCCCAAGATGGGAGTCTGAGAATGACTTGGCGTGCGGAAAGTTCCGATCACGTGCCAAGTAGGTACGGAAGAGTAAAGGAGGTCGCCGGTGAGGAGCGTTTCCCATATTTCTTTCTCTTTCTCTTTCTCCATCGACTCGTTTTCTTCTTCCCCACCGTCCACAATGTCCAAGGTCAAGACGCTGAAGCCAGGATACTACGGCGAGGGTTCCTACGAGGTCTCACCACCGGCAGGCCCAGGTGAGGGCGGCGTTCGTCGCTGCACCCTGGCCAAAGACGGCCTCGTCGAGCGACCGCTGGAGGGGATTAACACCGTGTACGACATTGTCGACTATGCGGCACGCACACATGGCTCCAAGAAGGCTCTCGGCTGGCGCGAGGTCGTCAAGATTGTGGAGGAGGAGAAGGAAGTGACCAAGGTCGTCGAGGGCAAGGAGGTCAAGGAGAAGAAGGTCTGGAAGTACTTTGAGCTCAGCGACTACAAGTTCCACAGCTATATCGAGGTCAAGGAGATCGTCTCCGAGATCGCACGCGCCCTTGTTCACCTTGGTGTCTCTGATAAGGACATCTTCAACGTCTATGCACAGACCAGGTGAGTTCTCCGCAACTAGCATCGCCACGTAGCACTGACAGTATCGCAGTCCCAATTGGCAGTTGATGGCGCACGCCTGCGCATCCATTTCCACCACGATTGCAACCGCGTACGATACCTTGGGTGTCGAGGGATTGACCCATTCTCTCAATGAACCCGAATGTGTCGGTCTCTTCACCAACGCTGAACTCCTCCCAACACTCTACCGCGTTCTCCCCAACACTCCCACCGTCAAATACATCGTTTTCGACGGTGAACCCACCCAGAAGCTCATTGACGATATCCACGCCGTTCGCGAGTCCATCCAGGTCTTCAGCATCAGCCAGCTCAGGGAACTCGGAAAGGACAAGCCCGTCGAGCCTCTCGAGGCCCGCCGTCCGAAGCCCGACACTATTGCTTGCATCATGTACACTTCCGGTAGCACTGGCAACCCCAAGGGCGTGATCATCAAGCATTCCAATCTCGTCGCTTCCGTCGGTGCCGTCCGTTCCCTCCTCGGTCACCATCTCTCCTATGACGATGCCTTCCTCGCTTATCTCCCTCTCGCACACGTTCTCGAGTACATTGTCGAGCTTATCATGCTCTTCGTTGGTGTTCCAGCCGGTTACGGACGCGTCAAGACCTTGACCGATGCATCGGTCAGGAATTGCCAAGGTGACATCAGCGCGTTTAAGCCGACGATCATGGTCGGCGTCCCCGCCGTGTGGGAGACGATCCGCAAGGGAATTCTCGCCAAGGTCCACGCTGGCGGTGCCCTCAAGAAGAGCGTCTTCAACGGCGCCATGAACGCCAAGAAGAAGAACATCCCTGTTCTTGCTTCGCTCGCTGATAGCGTCGTTCTCTCTGGCGTCCGCGCCGCTACCGGAGGTCGGCTCCGTCTTGCTCTTTCTGGCGGTGCCGCTATCTCTCGCGAGACCCAAGAGTTCCTGACTACTGCTTTGGTGACTGTCCTGCAAGGTACGTTCGATGCTGTTCATTCGCGTATCAGGATTCTCATTCCCTTTAGGATATGGTATGACCGAAACCTGCGGCATGTGCGCTATCCTTCCCCCCGAATTGATGAGATACGACTCTGTCGGTCTCCCCGTTCCCTCGGCTGAAGTCAAGCTCCTCGACGCTCCCGATGCCGGCTACCTTTCCACCAACAACCCACCTCAGGGTGAAGTTTGCATCCGCGGTCCATCTGTAACTCCCGGTTACTACAAGCGTCCCGACCTCAACAGCGACGAGACCGTCTTCAAGGATGGATGGTTGCGAACTGGCGATATCGGTCAATGGAACCCTGATGGAACGCTCTCGTTGATCGACCGTCTCAAGAACTTGATCAAATTGGCCAGCGGCGAGGTGAGTCGCTTCTGTAAATCGTCTTGACCATTTCTTAATATACAACCCACAGTACATCGCCCTCGAGCGCTTGGAGGCCATTTACAAGTCTTGCAACCTCGTTGCCAACATTTGTGTGCACGCTGTGCCTGCTGCTCAGCAACCGATGGCGATCATTATCCCCCACGAAGCCCATCTCCGAAACACGCTTTCCGCAAAGGGTCTTGATTCAACCGCTGAGCTTGGTGTTTTGTGTGCACGGGATGAGGTTCGGGATCTCATCTTGAAGGAGTGCAATGCTGTGGGCAAGAAGAATGGGTTCAAGCAGCCCGAACTTCTCCAGGCTGTGGTGTTGACGCCTGATGAGTGGACACCCGAGAGTGGGCTCGTTACGGCTGCACAGAAGATCCAGCGCGCGAAGATCTCGAAGCACTTCCGCGAGGAGATCAGCGTATGTTCTTACTTATCTCCTTCCTCTCCGTTCCTTTACTGACGCGTTTGCGTGCCAGGCTGTGTACAAGGTCTAATCTCACTTTGCTCGCGCTCGCTCCTTCGCTCTTCGTCTCTCTTCCCGCTTTTGCTTCATGTTTGGGACTGTAGTTTTATAAGTATTCCCACTCCATACCATCTTTTTGATGATTTCCTGTCTCTCTGTTTATTGTGCTTCAGTTATCTCTTGGGATTTTCACGCCTGTGTTTCACGTAGCCAGTCACTTCATTTTCCTTTTCCACACCCAGTCACAGTTTCCATTATTTTCTTTCAACGCGTTTCGACGAATGTTTTGTGTAATCTTACCCTGCTGTATATTTTTTGCGTGTTTCGCTATGCAATGGATGTGTAACTGACTAGCGTTGGGTTGGGGTATCATGCCTCTCCCATTGTGCGCCCTCGTGTATGAATTGTCCTTGACTATGCCCGTTGCATAATGACGTCCCTCGGCGACGCGTCGAACGCGACGCTGCTACCCTCCGAAATAACCAGGTACGTCGTCACGTATAAATGGTACATGCGTTGCTCTTGGGTAGTATTATAACTCTCTCGTATTAGAGCTTTGAATCAACTTTAGAGCTGCAGGAAAACGCGAATGAACCAGGAGGTTGAAACCGAGAATAGGTTGAAGCTCGGGAGATGAGTCAGAAGACTAGAATTGGGCCTGCGGGGAGAAGGTTGATACGGTGAGAAGAGGCGTTTATCGAATCGAGAGAAGAACATGAGGATGAGGAACGAGAAGTCCCAATTCCGATGATCATAACATCGTCAGGTTCTGTCCGCGGATTTGCATGTTCCTGTTCGGGGAATAGTCTACTTAACATAGAAGTACCAGTAGTAGGATTTGAGAGAGTTGTTGCATGTGCTCACCCGGTCCTGGCATGCGGACTTCCCGCTGAGCGAGTGACCCTTCTGGGCGCCTTCAGTCCGATGGTCACCGGAAGTCAATGGGATCGAATCGAATTCCTCCTGAGAGCCCGAGGTCACTGGCCAATGATTAGCTATTACAGTCTCCGACAATTCAAATAGGCAGTGGTACATAAGGCAATAAATGAAGGAATGAATGAAACGAGTCCGAGCCAGAAGCGACGACTCAGAGGACGAGCTATTTACGCATTCTCTCACTGCAAGGTAATTGGATTGTCACTTACAAGGGGGCCCTTGGGAATACACCGATTGTGTCGTACCACGAGTGACGACGGGCGCTTCTTCCTAATTGAACCGTGACGCTGCCTGGGAAGAAAAGCTAAAGTCAAAGGTGACTGGCTGCAACATAGTATCACTAGTACAAGGTGAGGAAGCACCGATCGTACGTATACTCGTGTATCAATGAATGAATGAGGGATAGGTTTTCACCCCTCGTTGCAGAGAACTTCCGGACAAGGTTCGCAGTACTTGTTTAGCTAGAGAGCGTCTTTCGAGCGTTTGGAGCTTCGCGAGATGGGTATCGCTGGACCAGGCCAGAGAGGGGTCGCCGTCCGTAGAAAAAACTAACTTTAGCGCTCGCTGGGTCGACGTCCATGGGGTCCTGCCATGAGACGGGGTGCTTCTGAGCGTAATTTTCCACGCGGAGATAGGCCAGACTGCCAGTTGTATTTTTAGATATTGGACAATGATCGTCGAGCAGGGTATGTATGTAAGATTCAGAACGTCGAGTGGTGATGGAACGGAGGCTGGCATTAGTGCCGCAGCATTATGTTCGAAAGTGTCGAGTGGCGTCAGTTGCAGACGGTGAAGTCGGTTGACAGCGGGAATGGACACGAGGAGGGGTATTTGTGATAATATTGGATGTGGGCGCTGACTTGCAGTTCAACGGCAGGGCGACGTTATTCGACCCAAGGTAGAGGACGGGCGCTTATTTTGTCGACAAACCAGAAATGCGCTTCCTGGGAAAGCATAGTCGTTGCACTTGGACGCGGGGCACCCGATATGGATGTAAGAGAGCCTAAAGAAGGGCGAGTATGGGACGAAAATACGAGAGGGGGAGGGTGGGTCAATTCGACTCGAAGGGTTTTGAATTGGCCGCCGGGTTGGATGTGAGTTGTGAAGGGAGAAAAGAGCGAGGTGCGATTGTTGAATAATCTTGACAAGGGTTTTCCGAGTCAACCGTGTCCCTTTCACAGAGTATGCCGGCAGTAGCAGCTTGAAGATTCACCATTACGCCCGTGTGATATGGAGTCGACTCGGAAGTGTCGTTGGATTCTGGCTCGGGGAAACAGAGTTTCAGGAGATAAGAGTCCTGTGATATCCTCGAGTGAAGGTATTCCAAGAGCAGTTACCTTACGATATGAGGTGGACCGGCTGGTTGTTGCTCAGAGCGGCTCCTGGGACACAGAAAAGAGTGCACATGCGAATCCTAGCGAGACCGCTGCTACTATGCGCAGGAGCCCCCAGTTGTGCGCTCGATGCGAGGCCCCAGGGCTCGTCGTAGCCTGACCAGATAAGTGGACGGGTGCAGCACCAAGATCCGAATGATAGAGGGTTATCTCCTTGATAGAAAGTCCCTATCAATGTTCAAAACCTGTCGCAGAGTCCCTCGAAATGAGCCAAGATCATAACACAGTGTCGATTATGTAGGCATCTATAGCTCACCTGAACACAAGGCGATTTAACAACAATGTCACAAGGATTATTGAGCAATAGGTGAGGACATTGAAATGACCTGCGTACGATTCAGAGTGTTCTGGTGGCGCTCCAGATTGCTGGGTCGGGATCCATAAGGTCCACTTTTATCCGAGTTGGTTTGCCGCCCCCGATGGTACAGGAGGAAACGTGATCGTTGTGCGCCCACACAAGCAAGTCAAGCGCAGATAGTGAGGGCGAGTATGGATCTGGAGAGCACGGCTTCAGCCTGAAGAGTACATACGTCCAAAGTCCAGTCTATTTCTGTGCGACGGCCGCTGGGTACACGATGCGAACCAGAAGACTTCAGCTGAATGGAATATTTTCATAATCATTACCCACCGTTGATAGACCTCGTATTAGCTGCCGTGTAACAGGGTGGGTCGTCGACGAACGAAAGAAAGGGGGAACAAGCCCAGTCGAGGATCGAGACTGCAACGGACCAAAAACGGACCGCCCGGCGCGGGCGCTTAAACTGATGAACGTGACGTGCACGTGGCCGCGTTCACCGCGTCGCTTGAACATGAACTTCCAAGTCGAGGGACGCCTTGCTTGGTTCTTCTTCCATTCCTCCTCTTTCACAACGTCTATTTATACTTCATGCCTTAACGCCCAAAGCTAAAACAGTGCAGACAGTAACTGGGTAACTTCGTGCCACCTGCCCTACAAAGTGGCAGTCCACCTTCGACCTTCCAACTCCTGAGTTGGGTTGAACTGTCAAGCAATTCAGTTCTCGAAAAGGTCATATTCGATTGGGAGTGACCAATATACGAGGTGCGAGCATCGATACAGTCCGCGTCTACAATATGACGTTGGCCCAAAGTATTGACATCCCATTTAGGCTCTCGGAGATTGCCACCTCACCAGACACCAGACCGCCCATCGTCCAGTTCAGGAATAACGTGTTTAATCCTTCTTTTCATCTTTTCATCTGCAACGCTCTGGGTTATCTCATCTATATCCTGATAATGGTCAAGAGTTAATGTGGTTCTCGACTTCCGGGTGCTGGTCTGTCTGGTCTTTGGCGACACGTATTCGCGAATGCACAGCGAAAACACGAGTTCTCTCACCATGGCCAGCGAGTGAACATTTGCTCGCAACTTCTCCGTCGACCCGTCTTTCTAGAAACTCTGAGTCTCTCCGATACAGGGTCCAACATCTCGCCAATCAACACTTTGCCACTCGCAAGAACCATCCTCTTGCGACATTTCATTTCCACCCGGAATAATCTCACCTGAAAAGAGTAGAGAGTGTTCATGCTTCTGATAGCTGTTTCTCCTCTGCGAAGGCCCAGACTCAACTTGAAGAGGTTGACTGATTCCCTCATCAGAACGATACGGCTCCACGAAGCCTTCCAGGCGCTCTGCAAACCTTCGGATCGCTTCTCTGTGGAGATTAACTGTCAACATCTCAGCACAGAATACACTGGAGTATTGTCTTCCAGGCGACACAGCCCTTCCTCTACCTCTCTGTTGGACTTTACCTTCCTCTTCGCCACTGCGAAGCAGCGCCTGTACAAACACCTCCGTCGAGACCCTAGTCAAAACGCATCCCATGAAGCAGTTTAAACGCTGTTATCATCGAACACGTTGCATTGTCCATTAACATCCGTGTGATCTAATCTCCGAACGGTCCAGGAGCGGAAGTGATCAACAACGAGGCAGCCATCTACCCATGTTCTACACGGCATCGTTAGATCCCTCCACTGCGATCGGTAGCTTCCGATGCCACGGTGAAGGTACCATCTGGACATTCACAGCAGTCCTCTTCACCCGTCGCTGTTGCTCCGGACGATGGCCTCTGGAGTGGCTCTCCAAAGTATCCAGCAATCACCAATTTACTGCAAACCCTGTTTCTCGTTGGTGCGCATAGTCTGAGGTGGGGGTGACCGATCGTGCTCCTCCTTTCCCCGTTGGAAAATCCCTCGCTTTGCGAAGTCGGTATTGGGTGTTTCCGTGGTGCTTCCTTGGAGTTTGGCTGTGCCTCTAGCCTCGTTTCTAACTGTCAATGAACTCGAATCAAATCTTTCTTCCGTTCTGGTGACCGCGAACCTTGCTTTGCATCGTGTGTTCAGATCCGACTACTGGCGAAAGCTGCACTCGTCGAAGGCGAATGACGTCGATACACGTTTTGCGCTCCTCGATCACCCGCTACTCTCGCCTTCACCCAAAGAACCGCTCCTCTACTTCCTGTTACAGTCTTCACAGAGTCAAAGCTGGCCTCATGTCCTCTTCACAGTTGGAAACTAGTCGGTGTACCAACTGGCTCACACAAGGAGAGTCATCGCTGTGGACATGAGGCGTCCGTGTTCCAGCCGAAAACGTGTTCATGCTCCCCTCTGAATGCTGGACTCCAGCTTTTCGTAGCCGACTGTTTTCTGCGCCTTATCTTTTTTCAGAAAAGCATATCGCACCCCTTTCTTGCGGCTAGACTGACCGAATCTGGTGTTGAAGATACGCCAATGGTCTTCTGTCGCAAAGCTTCCTTTGTCGAGTGTACTTCCTAGGGCAAAGGGTCGACAATCTTCAACGGCGGCCGAAACGCTACACCTTCGTTCTTTTCTTCTCGGTTATTGCCATACGCGACGCTCTGTATTCACTCGAGAACGATCGAAAGTATATTTTTCGTCCTATCTCACCAAAACCTTGGAGGAGCCTTTCGAGCCTTTCGAGCCACACTTTACGATCCTCCTTCGACAAACCTCCGTTTATGCCGCCACCGTCTAAATTTGTTTATTAAAACCACCAATCATTGGGCATACTATTCTTGCGCTTGCCCACCTCCCCCAATTTGGTCCTCGACTACCTTAAGAGGCGCATATCCGTCTAAAGCGCCTATCTTCACCAAGGAGCAGATCGGCGGCTTTGGGCCCTGTCTTTCTTTCTCTGCCTAATTCAATTATCCAAAAGGCAAGTGTATGGAAGTGAGTATAAAGCTCGATAGGTCCCATCAAACTGAAAAGAGTACCAGATGATCGTCTCGCAAGTCTCGCCAGGGAAGGGGAAGTGTAACTCTCGATCACCCGTCCAACCTTTCCCCGGATTTACAGAAACTAAGCCGTGGAAGCGGACGAGCGCAGAGAAGAAGACGTCAGCTATACAGTCCCAACGCGAGAATGGCTAAAGACGACTGTGCGTAGTTGTCATCATTCCGCTGGAAGAACTTCTCACTCGTGCTGAACACGTTTTCTCGACCAGAATTAGGATGCGTATTGCGTAGGTCAAGCGCTTGGAACACGTTGTTCGCTGTCGAGTATCCAATACAGCACATTTACTTCCGTGCGGTTGCTTGTACCAGAAACGGAAAAACGGGCGCAACCAGACGGTCATGCTGAACCCTAGCTGTGGACTGTTCACGCATTGGCTGCTTGAGGCGATCGAGAATCCCAAAAAAGCCTACCACTCTATCGAAACAGGGAAATTAAGCCCCAGGTCGGGTCTCGTACCAACTATCCCCGCCACCATCAACGTCAATGGCTGATGTCGCCATCGCAATCTGGGGTAAAAGTGCATGAATCGAGTAATAAAGGCGATTTGACGAGGGTCGCTTGACCTCTCGGATACTTTTCATTTGTCAGTTGTCACCTATCGGGTTCATGCGAGTGGGGATGAGGGATGTGATTATCAAGGGGGTTGAGCTCTTCTTGTGCTCTGTGTGTGGCACGGTGGAGGACATCGCTTAGATACTGGGTGATTTAATGACATCGTACTTGCTCAGTGACCCATGTCTATCAAGAGACCTTGTTCTTGGATTGAATATGAAGTGTCAGATGAGGTGGTGGCACTGTTTGTTGGCGTGTTCTGGATTCTGAGAGACGGTATTCCATGCTGTACTGATAGCCAGTTGCTCGCTCTGTCGTCGGCTATTGTGATCTTGTTTTATTGAACGCAGTATATGATACCCCGCATGATCAACGAGGAGGTGGCAAACCACGCCTTGGCGGGAGAGAAGTTCGCTATGTCGGGTCGCGTACGTACACCGTGCTGAGCATCGCACGAATAGATGAGTTCTATAAAGTCTTCTCAGACATTTGTGACCAGTTATACGCCGAACAAGAAGTTATCAAAAGCAAAGGTAACGGGAAACCCGACACTGCGAATTCACAATTTCCGCCTCTCATTTCATTTCGCTCATCCTTTCTGAAGTACGTTTTGCCGTACAAACCTCTTAGTAATAATGGGCGTGAGGTATTCTTGGCTGGGCGTTCGCCAAATGAAACCTCGGGTCTGACTCCAAACTCTCTTCACCAGCAACTCGACACATAAACCTACTCTACACTCCCACCCCAAAGGTAAATAGACATCCTTGAGAGATAAGTTCAAGTGAAAGTGAGAGCATGTCCGGTGAATTAGCAAAAGGGTTTCCCTTCCTCCTACGGGATTATCGGCATCTGTAAATAACACGAAGCCACTCCGCGACTCTCGTATGTACCTCCCGGGATTTACGACAGCCTCTACAAACTGCGCACCAAGCAACGCCGCAGTTTGACTGCGGGGAACTCGCTAATGAGTCAGGGTCCCCATCACCGCCGACTTTTTGTCCTCCATTACCAAACAACCCTTCCTGCATCCTGTTCGACCCTGGGTGGATCACAGCACAACTAACTTTGGTGTAGACCCCGGTAGCGGATTCGAGCTCGAGAAAACAGCATCTGTGAAGGGCGCGCAACGCAGTCCACAACCTCGGAAATTAATCACACTCTACCTTTCCCCTTCATTAAAACCTTTTAATTTCGCGTCGACGACTCCATCATCGCGTTTTTGTGCTTTTATTGAGTGGGCGGCAAAGCCGCTGATGCCGCCGCTGCCGATCTGTGATTCGGGCGCTTAATGTCTGAACTTGAATATTGCCGACGGCAAGAATCTTGGGTCGGAAAGTTCCCCCAGAATGGTAGGGGTTCGATCCCGTATTTGGACCCTGAGATCCTGGGAGGTTTCGCGGATTGGCCGTTGCTCTCTTGGGAGGGTTATAGGGATAGCGCGAAGGAGCGATGATCGACGCTAGACCTTAACTTGAAGGGGTGTCTGGACTCTGAGCGGCTGGTCACATTGTTCTCTGTGCTCCACAGACAAGCTTGCAGAAGAGCTTCCGCGAGTGCCACCATCTACTCTACTGGAGAGGGAGAAGCATGCGCAGGCTACCCGCGAGCGCTGAAATGTGGCACCTTGGGCCTCAAGGCGCTCGAGATGCCTATCCATAATCCAACGCTCTCGCCAACCTCCTATGTATCATTTCCCCGTGAAACCCACCCGCACAACTGCCTACATGCATGAATACAACACGCATGCAGGCAAGGTTTCTGATGGCTCTTCTGACGCGAAGCATTTCTGTAAATACAAAACTGAATGGGTCGCGGGTTCAGAGCCAGCGCCCTGTGACATCACCTATATGTATGTACCTCCTGAGCACATAATGATACCCTCACGTGTCATCCTCGGGATCACTACTCATTGCTCTCCATACGGCAGGAGAGGAACGACCGGGAGGGTCCGTCCAAACCCAAAAACCAGGTTGACGCGCTCTACATACAGCTGAATGAAAGTTGATTCCTTTTGCAGGAAAACCAGTCCGGTCCCGCCCTCTCGGGTTTACCTCGCTCGTCGGGGCACCGTATTCTGGGTTCAGTCCGAGCGCCGACAGAGCAGTGAGGAAAAGAACAAATCTGTCGGACTCGCTGGAAAGAAAAAAAGAACCCGTCTTCTGTCGTTGGGTTGAACTCCAAGAGTCCAACTCGGGTTTTCTGAATTCTCAGTTTGTTCTCAGTTCTGGGAGTTTTGATGGGTGATTATCGATGACGCATTTCGCACCTTTTTCGACCGGACGATTTACTTCCTTTTTGGGCGTTGGCGTTTAGAAAAGTGGAGGGGTTGGATATATTTGGAAGGTGACCCCTGGGCGCCTGTTTTTCTGACTTGCACGTTTTCTGTGGGGTCGCCGATTGTGGGTGATTTGGTCGTCGTGAATCAGAATAGAAGTATGTATATAGTGTGGTGGGTGGCCGGTGTGGCGGTATGGGGATGGGATGGGAACGGGCGGGCGTAGTAGGCTATAGGAAGTCGTCTGTAGGTGCTCTTGTGGGTGATCGGAGGTGCTTTGCTCGTCGTAAAACGTGTTCCCACATCTGCATCAGTGCATTCGGGAAAGGTAAAAAGGAAGCTCAGCTGCGTCTCCTCCCGTCTGATTAACGTTGTTCGAACTGGTTGTGGGAGGTGGGTGAGGCATTTATGGGTATATTGAGAAGGTATCTATGTACTGACATTGTTCTCTGGGAATAGTAGGCGCGATTGACGTGCGGAGGAATGTGTGATTGACGACTTTTGGAGTGGGTGTTGTTGCGTTGTGGATTTCAGGCGCTTTGGAGGTGCGGGAGAAGCTGGATAATAGAAGCGAGTAGAAGCGCTCGTGGGGGTACTATTACTCTTGTCGTACGTGACTGCCGGCGGCGCCAGGTAGGACAGGTGTGACTCAGGTGTATGTTCGGGGCTGTGGAATTCGAATAAGCGCTCGTTGGCTTGAATCTTGAAAGTGGCCACCCACGGCCAGTACGGAGCTCGTTCATAAGCTATTGGTTCGTTTGGAAGTTCATTAATACTTGGTCTATTAATGAACTTGATTCGTGGATTCGGATTCCCCGCACTTTTCATCTTGTGAATGTTGCCCACCAGTAGTTCCGTGGAGCAACGCGGTCTGGTGACTGTGATCATCAATTGGATTGAAGCCTTTGTATTGTATTGCATAGAATTGTATTGAATCTGGGCCTGAGGGCCTGACGACCGGTTTACTCACCTGAACGAAATACACTGCTTACTTGCTCTATAATTACTTGAATGGATGTCTGTGGTGAGAGAGCGCTGGAAGGAGGGGACCGTGCTCCGATGTCCGTGGAGTCGAAGCTCAGCTCAGTCGAAGCGAAGCGAAACGCTGGGCAAATTCACTGCTTTTCATGAGCGTTTCTGATTGCCGGTGTGTGGGTGGAATATTTTTGTACTGGCCCATGAGGAGAGAGCTTCGGGGATGAGAGCTTCGGGGTTGGGAGCTTCTTGTTTGAGGAGCTTCATGTTTGGGGAGCTTCGTGTTTGGGGAGCTTCGGGTGGTTAAGAGCTTCGGGTTCGTGTTCGAAGAGACCGGTGTTCACACTCCCCGCCAGTTTCCCCTTCAACTTTGCCATCCTTATACGCTCGAAGTGGAATTGAAAATTCCGGGTTCTTCATCCTCGTTGCTCTTGTTCCACTCCCGGCGTCTATGCATATGGTTGACTCGGGTGCTTATTCCCATCGCTTAGAGTCCTTGTAGTACCATGCGTGATCCCTAGCATTGGGAGGTAAATGTTTATCTACTGTCTGAGACTACGTTTGTGCATTGTCTAATGGGAGGAAGGTTCCTTTGTTCCACTGTCCACAGGCCTAGCAAAGGAGATGGAGAGGCGAATAGGCGTATGTCTAGAACATGGAGAGACCTTTGGGACTTGCCTCGAGGTTTTAATTTACGGTTGAGCGGTGCGCTTGGGATAGTTTGTAGGTAGCCTATCGTTATGATATATAGATTCTGGAGACCTATCGCTACGATATATAGATTCTGGAGACCTATCCTTACGATATATAGATTCTGGAGACATATCGTTACGATATAGATAGATCACGGAACGCTATCGGTATGATAATGAATGAATGGAATATCCCAGATCTATATACCTCCACGGGCGCGAAGCCCCGCGTGATGTCTTTCTGCCTGTTGGCAGTCTCTCTCAACCACTCTTTGATTATTCAAGATTTCATTCGGTCGAGTTTTGTATACACCAGGGGTACTATGTAAGAGACCTGAAGCGCTCTGGAACTATCTAAAAAACCATCTAATCTGCGTAACTTGAGCTTGTAGGTATTGTTTATCTCAACGCCTCGTTGCGATGCGATAATTTCAGAGACGGTGATTTGTATGTTTGAACAGGGATTGAAACATAGGTTTTCGTATTCATAGGCCCAAGTTTGTATTGGAGTGTAAGTCTAAGGCACGCTTGCTGGGTTATGGGCATCCTCCAAAGAAGAAGAAGACAAAGGAGAGGAGCTTCTTCTTCCTTCTCCTTTCTTCTTCACGCGTACGTTACATATGTCATCGTTCTTGTATTTAATATCATACAGGGCTCCCGTGTCCCGTGGCCAATAGTGACTGGTGCTTTCAACTACTAGTACTAGTGCCTCCTGCGTCGCGTTGGGTTATGTGCTGGAGTCAGACGACGTCGGTTAAGCGATAGAACGAATCCAGAACGTTTAACGCGTCTTTTTGGTGGAGCGAGTACATATGTATGCCGTTTTCTGAGGGGTACCAAGTTCTGAATTTACGTAGACTCTACTTACAGTATGACTTGGATGATCATGAGGCGTGTATGGTATCTGGAGAAATAGGAATTTGAGGGTCGCGTGTTTGGCTCGAGCTCCCATTCGTCGCGCCAGTGACTGGTCCTGGCCGTGGGATCTGGGAGCTCTGGTGTTCTTTTCGTATGTGGTGGAGTGGAGAGGGATATAGTATGAACGTGTTATTAGTATGTTTTTTCTCATTGTCAGTTCATGGTGATTGATTCAAGAAACAAGTCGGTCATGCAATTGATCCAAGAAGCGCGCGTCCGGCTGTGGTTCCAAATTCCTTCGGTTGTTGCGACCTTTCGGATATGATTGGAGTATAACATTTCGAACTGGTTATAAGTACCAGGCAAAGAGTACAAAGGAGTGCGTGTCGGGCCCGGGGGGTCGTACGCTGTCGGAAGCATGCATTACATGCCATACAACGATCTACTTATTTAAGTACTCCTTTTTATATGTCGTGATGCTGTCGGATCGAGAACAAAAAGTCGGTGGATAAAAGAAATTTCCATCCCATCCGCGAGTCGCGACGCGACGACGTGGAGGTTTGCTGTTCGTTGGGGCAAGGAGAGAAGAGAGGGGTACAACAAAATGATCTCCATTGACATACATATGGACGTTCTCGCCGGTCGGTCAAGCTCGGGGCTGTCGGGTCGGGAAGTTGGGGTTGGAATATTCGACTTCTGGATTAGGTTGCCTAGCCCCAGAGGTCTTAACAGCAGTATGCCAAGTCGGAAGAAAAGAATCAAATAATCAAGAAATCAATTTATTTGGCAGAACGGTTTTTGACACCACCAAACCGCTGCGTGAGCATGAGCGCATCGCCTTTTTCGCCCTGTGCCCTTCAACCTCCTGTCAATGTTAGGTCCCGAGCGGCGAAATGATGGCGACGAACACGTCGAATCGGTATTATGCGCAGGCAGAGAGAGAGAAACGGACAACGTTGCTGCCCAATGGCAAATGAGGAATACAGCATTCAGTTTGACAGTCCAGCCAACGTTTCTACAGCATGTTTTTTCGAGTTCGTGGAGAGGGAACGATGTTGCCGCTCTGGGCAGTTGTGGACCTGTGGATTAGATGGAACGGCAGAAGGTCGGTGGAAAGAAAGAAGGAAGGAAGGAAGGACTCGGATGCCCAGGGGGGATGAGGATGATGATGATGATGGAACGAATTGGACAATCCAGCGAGGTCTCGCATCAAACCTGGAATGGGATGGCTCTGGGATGTGGTGGTGTGGTGTGGCTCTCCTGTCGACAGACACGAGGCAGGGACAGAGACAATGTGGGTTCGGTAACTGACCGAAATCCGAAACAAGACAGAGATTCTGATCAACTTTCTGCTTGCATCGGTTCTCTCGGTGCGAAAAACCCAAGTCATATGGTGTGTTTGGTGGTTGTTCGTCCGTACGGACGAGCTGAAAGCGGAGTTTGATTGCGGAGTTTGGTTTATTGGAAGCGACTGTAATTTAGATTCTGGGCCATTTTTTCGGTTGCCCAATCTGGATCTGTGTGCTTTTAGCTATAACGAGGGCTTGTATCCAACAACTTTGCTCTTTTCAAACCCGGTCTCCCTTCTCCCTCTTCTCCTCTCTCTCTTTTTACGACCTTTTACGTTCGTAAATGCCCGCCATCCTCAATCTCAAGTTCAAGGTGAGCTCGCTGTTTGGGCTGATGTTGACCAACCACCGCTCATCCATACTGTGCACAGGGCAACAAGTCGTTCGTCCCATTCAGCAACCTCAATGACACCGAAGCTTTGACGAAGACTTGGAAGGTAGAGAGAGAGACGTCCCGCTCCCCCCACCAGCCCGTCTGATCGCGTTTCTGCAGGTCTGCACCAAGGTCGCGAGTTTCCTGGAGCAGGGCCAGCGCCTGGAGAACCTCAGCTGGCGGCTGTGGCACCTGCAGAACCTCATCGTCGACACGGACAACGCCAAATCCAAGCGCGAGTTTAGGAAACTCTCGAAATGCATGGGCGACAAGCTCGACAAGGAGAAAGGAAGGTGAGCCCCTCTTCTTCTAGATCTCCCGCCGCCGCTTTCTCCGATCCGGAGCGGCAACCAAAACCCTGAACCCTGGCGCGCGCTCACCCAACGTCGTCGTCGTAGGAGTATCGAGGAGCTCGAGGCCCCCGATTTCAAACGCAACTCGTCCGTCGAGCTCATCCAGCAACGAGCAGCAGAGAAGGAGCGTCTCAGAGATGCCAAGCCCGGCACTATCAAGCGCATGCAGTTCACCTTCAGCATCGACCAGCCCACCCCGGCACCGACCACCATCCAAGTCAGAAAACCCAACGCCGCCGACGCGAGCAAGAGGAAGCAGGCGACGTCGAGGGGGGCGTCGCAGGACAACAACCAGCAGAACGCGCAGCAAGACGCCACCATGTCCGACGCGACTGCGCACAATTCGGGATCGGTCTCTCTCAAGTTCCCCTCGATTTTCTCGAGCGATTTTGGGCCTCATGCGCTGCTCTACCCCACACCGACGCTCACCAACACCTTGAACTATGGCGAGGGGCTCAACCCCCCGACTGCCAACCGCGACTCGTTCTCGATCGCGCGGCCGACGATCGAGCTCCCTCTGGACGAGCTCCTCCACCATGTCGATGGTGGTGAGACCAACGAGATGTGGTCCCAGCAACAGTCCGCCAGCAACACCCAGCAGACGTCTGAGGACGTCACGATGGCGCCCCCGTCGACTTCCGCACTTGGCCCACCCACCACCACCGTCCCCCTCGTCTCAAACAACAAGCGATCGGCAGCCTCGATGGAGGCCGAGGAGGCTCAACCCGAGACACCCGCCGAGCCCGAGACCACCATCACCATCCCAGCTCGCCCAACCAAAAAACACACCCGCTCGGCCAGCAGATCCTTCAGCCAAGGAAATGCTGTCGCCTCCACTTCCTCCGCAGTCCCTCCTCTCTCGCAGACAGTCAGAGAAGTCCTTCCCGAAACGGTAGCACCCTCAAAAGTCAACGAGCTTTTCAGCAACCCCGCTCCTGCACCCAGATCCAGCGGCCGCCCGTCTCTCACTGTTCGAACCCAGAGCAGCACGACGACACGTTCCTCTGGACCCGGAGCCACGGCTACCAACCTCAATACCACTACCACCAATCTCCGCAACACTGGTAACTCTGCTCCCGGTGGGGTCAAGGCTGAATGCTCCAACTGCGGAGCCACCCACACCCCTCTTTGGCGCCGAGGGCTCAACGATGAGCTCAACTGCAACGCTTGTGGTCTCTACTGCAAGTTGCACAAGCGTCCTCGCCCCAAGAGCATGCGCAACAACCATGGAGAGGGTCGGCAACAGGTTCAGCCCCGTCAAGAGACTGTCGACGTCATGGCCCAGTGCTACAACTGCCATACCACCGCTACCCCGCTTTGGAGGAAGGATGACGAGGGCAAGACCGTTTGCAACGCGTGAGTTTGTTTTGGTATTCGTTCTTTCGAAGCTGTCGCTTAGACTTTATGGTTTCTTCTAGATGCGGCCTTTATTACAAGCTTCATGGTTCCGCTCGCCCCATCTCCATGAAGTCGGATGTGATTCGCAAACGTTCGAGACACGATGCCCGCCGTGGCAACAGTGTTGAGGACACTGCTTCGACGAGCCCTGGCACCAACAGCCGGCGTAACTCTCCTGTCCCCGAGCAAACTCAACCAACGCTCGCTCCTGACACTTCGACTGCACCCGCCGCCTATGATTACACCGAGGATATGGACTACCGGCACAACACTTCCGAGCTCATGAATGCTCTTGGAACCCATGACCCCGCCACCACCTCCGCCATGTTCTCTTCCGCCTTCTCCTTCCAGTACCCTGGACCCTACCACCCCGACTACCTCGTCCAGATGTACACCGCTCCCCAGGACCCCCTTCCCTTTGCCCACGTCGACACCTCATCGTCCTCCTCGGAGCACGATCCTTCTTTGAGCCCGCGAAGCTCCAAGAGGCGGCGGATGAGCACCGACTCTACCTCTGAGCCTCCCCAGTCCGCGGTCTCGTACAACTCGTACAACGAGGGCTTCTCGTCGGCGTCGTCGACGAGTTCGCACTCTCAACGGGGCTCGATGGACTTCCCTTATAGTGCCGGCAGCTCGACGGGTCCTGCTCTCCGTGGATCTGGGAATACCTTCTGGCACCCGCCCATGCTCCCTCAGGGCGACGAGCACTCGCAGCTGTTCCACCCGCCGATGGTGACGCCCGGTATGGTGCAGCACACCAGCGGCGGCGAGGGCCACTCGAGTGATTCGAGCGGGAGCGGCACTGGCACCACCAACAACAGCAGCAACAACAACGGCAGGGGGAGCAGCAACAGTAACGGCAGCGGCAGCGAGCGGTCGGGAAGTAACGATGATTCGCCTATGGACTATCTTCATCCGCCGATGATGAGCCAGGAGGAGGAGTTGTTTTCTGCGTATTTGCATCCGCCTATGGCTATTCCTGAGGATGGGCCTGGTTCGACTGGTGTGCATGGGGGGTTGCATTTTGATTATGGGCATACGTTTGAGCATGATGCTAGTATGCGGGTGTATTAGTTGGTCTTCGTCTTCGCCGCCGCCGTCGTCGACATCCGCTTCGCCACCCTCGTCGTCGTCGACGTCTGTGGCATCGGTATTCGTCATCGTCATCGGCATTCGTCCTCGGCATACTCTTTTCCCTTTCACGACTTCGACACGACCCATCACGACCCTCTCCACATTTTCCACATTCTTATCTGCAAGCTTTCTTTGCTATCCCCTGCATGCATAGAAAATGGCCCTCCTCTTCCTTTGCATCGATTTGTTGTTCCTTCTTTCTTTGCCTGGCAGCATCCCACTCTCGTCGCACGCACATACCATTTTTTTTTCTACTCGCATCAAGGTTCGAGCGCAAAACCATCTTCCGACTCTTCGAAAAATCGACAAAAACCCGAAAACTCATCGCATTTTTTCTTTCCGCTTCCGACTCCAGCAAGCAAGCAAGCATGAAGATTGGCCGATAACTACAACAACATGGTTTCCGACCTTCCAGCATCCAGCATAACCTTTCACATGTTCAAGTCTTATCACTAGCATTTTTTCTTTTTCTTCGAGACATATCGACATCGGCATCCGACTTCGACTTGGCTTTTTTTTCTTTTTTTTCAAACATCAACATCGACATCGACATGGCGTCTATCCTTTATCTTCAAGCTTCAACACATTGGCATGGCCTCTTTTCAACTATCCACATCGACATCAACATCGGCATCCGAGTTTTATTCAACATTATGAGCATCAACATTCAACATGTGCCCCTCTTCCTCCTCCTGGATTGATTGTACCTCGTTTCTCTTCATCGTCCGTTTCCTCTTTCTTCATCGTCATGGTCCTCTTCATCCTTTCTCCACATCCTCGTTTCTCTACATCCTCGTTCCTCTTCATCATCGTCCTCGTTCTTCTCCATCATGGTCCCTTTTATCCTCTTTCCTCCTCATTGTCTCTCATCGCATACTATCTTTATCGCGAAGGGCTTGCGCGTTTCCAAGATCCCCACCAAAGTAACACGAAAAGCGGTTTTATATCTTATATTATCATCCCATCCCAAACCCATTGTATTGTACTATAACTTTACCCAGTCAAGTGTTTGTTTTTTTCTTGTCATCATGTGCGCCCTCTCGTCATCGTCATCTTCGTGCACCTCCTCGTCCGTCGTCGTCGTCGTCGTCGGTGGTGGTGGTGGTGGTGGTGGTGGTGGTGTGTATCGCCGTCCGAGGCGTCGTCGTCATGCCCTCATCCGAGTCGTTGGTGGCATCCGAATCGTGCCCCTCGTCGTCGTCGTTGGTGGCGTTGAAAAAAGAAGAGAAAACCCCCTCTTCGCAATCATGGCCTCCTCGCAATCATGTACATATTCAAGCTCCTTTCTTCATCTTGACATGTATTCCTTTCCTCATCACTACATGTATTCCCTTCCTTCGCTTGCCAACTTGTAATTTCTTTCCTCGTCGTTACCTGCATTCATTTCTTCATCTTGACGTGTAATTCCTTTCATCATCGACATCCATTCCACCTCATACCTCGCGTTCAAACGTTCAAGCGTGTTATTTATTTAACCCCTATCGCTGCTTACGACGCGTCGAGTCAGCCGCCGCTTGTCGGACGTCTGTTCTTCCTCTTCTCTGCATACACTTCCACCTCCGCGTACATCACCTCCATGTATTTCGAAAAAAGAATGGATAACTTTTTTGGGTTTCACTTGGATGTTTTAAATTTCTTTTCGAGTGGTTCGAAGCTCTTGGACATTGCTTTCGATCGAGTGGTTCGATGTGCCGTGCGATGAAGAGAGTCAAGTGTTGGGTTGATTAATGATTACAGGAGGGAAGGAGGGTTCATGGGCTGGTGGTGTAATAATGAGGTGCGTCGTTGTGGGTTGGGCTAATATTATTGGTGGTGTATGTTTCTGACGTGTATACCTTTTCTCTGTCTGTCCAGTGTGTCTACAGCGGGGTCTAGATAGATGGTCTGTCTAGCGCGATGAGCTTGTCTAGCGCGACGGACGCGCATATAGGTGACTACCCCGGTTTTCGCGCGTCGTTCCGTGCTTGGACATTAATTTATTACCCGCCCAGTCGCAGGAAGCATCTCAACCCCCAGGAAGCACCATCAGAATACGAAGAGAATATTCCCCTCTATCTATCCGCTCGCTCGCTCGCTCCACACATCCCATGGCCAAACGTCGCGGCCTCGTTGCAAATGCGAACCGCGATGGCAGCTTGAAGCCCAACGTGACCACCGCTGACAAAAAAGTTCCCCTCAATCTCAACAAAAATGACAAGAAAACGCGATCGGAGAGCTCACATGAGCTCTCCCTATTTCTGGCGCGGTTTCCACAGCCTGAAAAGAAGGCAGGCGATGGATATGTAGATTGCGGTGGTGTAGTTTGAGCGGCGGGGGGTCGATCATGAAGGATGATGAAGGGGTGGGTGACCCGGTGATTCGAACTGAACTCTTTGTGATGTTCTGACACTTGTGAACTTGGCTCAAAGACGCCTGAGGTTCTGATGTTTGAGGCTTGATGTTTGAAGCTGACGTTTGGACAGGCAGGCCACGTTTTTTAATGAGCGGTTGCGCGACGAGGTGAGTAGTGTTCTCCGTCGTTGCTTCTTCTAGCTCGGTATTCGATAATACTCATTCTCGTAGCGCAGACTCTAATGTCGCCTGAAACGGCGAGTCGGAATGGGGCCTGGCGGGCTCTCGCACCCCCCAGCGCGGTGGCTACGGCTGGTGACTGTGACCACGCTCCACCCTGACCGGTCATCCGGTCTCCATAACATCCCAAGGTCATACATGGGCCCATGGCACGGCGGCTCGCCTCTTCTTACCCGTTTTGTCGTTTCGCCGTCGGGAGTCGGGGCGTGATGCCTGTTTGGAGCCCCTGCGGATGCCCGCCGGGGTAATTCCTTCGGTTAAGGGAAGGCTCTTTCGGTTAGGGGCAGGAATCTTTCGGTTACTAGGGGAAGGAATTTGAAGGACTGGGGTATAATTCCCCTGCTCAGTGCTCAGGGGAAAGAGAAGGATAGGATTACCGTTACCTGGCCCGGTCAACCGAATGTGATTGGGAGTTGGAATTTGCGAATGCTTATCGTCACCCTCCCTATTTCTTGGGAGGATCTGGGGTAGTGAAGGCTCAGGAGAGCGGGGGTTATCTTGCCTGTATTTTTGAAGAGGTAAAGTTGGTGGACCACCTCCACTGGATGGGTTCTTTAGGGACCAAAGGTAGGAGGGTTCGAACGCGAATGAGATATTGCGTTTCGTTCCCCACTGACGAGCCGTATCTTCCACCACCACCACCTCCCTCGTTCTGTGCTATCCAATCCAATTCTAACGAGATAACGACCACTCAAAAGAACCACTCACAACCTTTCCTAAATAGCTTTCTTCCGACCAACGTTCCAGGCTCAAATGCCCATAACCCAGGCGCCTCTACACACCATCAACCAAGCACAGAACTTCTCGAATCCATTATCCGTGCCGACTCCTCTGAATCACCCAACGCCATCAAAGGAGACAAATCGCCACAACTCCATACCGCCCTAATGGCTGCTTCTTTCTAGCTTCTTTGTACTCAGCTGGTCTTGTGGAAAACGGCCCTTACGCAGCCGAGAGTATGTACGTACCGTATGTATGTCTAACTGGCTGTCTGTTCTGGCCGTCCGTACGGCTGTCAATGTCAAAAGAATCGAAGATTCAAGATTCAAGAATCAAGAAGCAGGGATTCTATGTACATGTCTTGCGAGAGACTCGAGGAACCTTGACAGGGCCGAGAAGCCAGTTTGATTCGGGAATCGGGAGTGGTGGAAAGGGGAATTTTTCGAAGGTCTTGGGGTGTGTGTGCCGGTTGACAAAAAAAAAGGGAGACGGGCGTGATATGTGCATATGTACATAGACAGACTACCTGGACGGTGGCGTCGCCCTAATAGGGTGGGTGGGATGAGACCTTTGCTGATCCTCCGAGTTAATCCCTAAATTAAAAAGAGACGTTTCTGAAGGAGTGTTCTCTTGATGGGTGTGGACTTGTTCTGTTGTCTATGCGGAGACGGTTGCAACGTGTCTTTGGTAGTATGGACTAGCGTAAGCTCAAGTCTAGAGACAAGGGGCGCGTTCTCCTTTTTTCCTTTGTGTTTGGGTTCTGACAAGCTCTTCTAAATTTGAGACTTGAACGGGATCTGTCGGTAGTGTTGTAGTCATTGGTGGAGATGAAGGGGACGGTGGGTGCCCGAAAGTAGATATGTTGATTCAACTTCTGGGCCTGGAAGGAGAAAGGAAGGGCATTCCGTTTGAATACGAGTGTCTATCAGCCTCTCGTTGAACATCGGAACGAAGTTCGAACAAGCAAGTCTGTCTTCCTTTCTTCCAGTGTGAAATATAATTGGTGTGATTGGCGTCGATCACAGAGACTTCCAATAGAACGGCTTGTAGGGTACAAGGCTGTTCGAGATAAAGGCTGACACGCTGGCGGAAAATGCTAAGACCTCTTTCTAGTCTTTTTGGGACTCTTTTTCTGCCTCGTGTTGGTGTGTTTCGCGGGAAATGCCATCTGGGATGATCATGAAGCTTCTTCTGTGTTCAGATTGGTGGTAGAATGGCTTAAGATCCGACGACTAAGCTCGCAGAGAGCGTCCCTTCGACGGGGTATTGGCCTTCGTGGTGAAGGGTAGGAGAAACAGTTGAAGCTCGAACTTGAAGTTCAATTGCGGATTCATCCTTTGGAGTGAATGCCCCGAAATACCTGGTATCAGAGGCTGTTGGATTTTTGGGCACGAGTTGGCGATAAAGGAACACCTGGGATGACGTAGTTTTGGAGGGGGAAGAGCATGGTCGGAGAACCAGGAGATCCATATCCACGGTTGAGTCTGTGAGTCACACGGCAGACGGAGTACCGCCCTGTAAGGTTTGCGGTTAGCATCCCACATGGAACTGAACAACGGGGTGGAAACTCTGAAACTGTTAAATTTGTGGTAGGGAGCGAAGTACAAGGAACGAAACGGTTGGATTTGCTCCGGTCTATTATAATTATGTACTTAGTGATACCTCCGACTCGCAACGATCTAGTCCGGGTGGTTCGTGTACTGGCGCAGTTGCGCTGTACCATGTGCGCAACGCGCCTCGTGTAGATGCCAATGGATAGAGCGGCTTCGAGGTCTATTTATAGCGTCAGCTGGCGGCTGGGCGCTTGCCGTGCGCACTGCCTGATCAATTTTTTGATGCGATACATGCCATCTTATCTATATCCCGACACAGCCCCTCTCCGTCATTTTAGCCCATCATAATTGCTATGTTCACCTCCTAGTCCTTGAATCCCGTCGCTTCGCGACAGAAGATTTTCGTTCAGTCTATTGCTGTTCGTGGAGTGGGATTACGACGGCTTACTAGGATACGGGCACAGCGCAGAAGATTTTCGCGGAAACGATGTTCAGACGAGAATCGGGCGCTCAGCGAGGGTTCGTAGTGCCATCATTCTTCGGCGATTTCTACTCTGAGTAAAGCAATGGAGTAGTCGCGTGGTCCTATTCTCGGGACACTATTCTGGGGAAATCTCAAATGGGTTGGGGAAGTATGACCACCCAACGAGTGAAGACAGCAGCAATGTTTGGTACGAGGGTTCTACTATTCCAGTCTCTGCCTATTCTTACCTTTGTGGTCTCGAATGGGATGAGGCGTCGACAGACTGATCTCCGCTTTGTTCTCTCTTTCTCATTCATGCACGGCGTGACGTATGTACTTCCAAGGACGCGCGCCTAAAACGCGCTCAGGCTAGTGGCTTCCAGCGGGGGTGTTTCGTGTGTTTTCCGGCTCACTAGCTTCTAATCTGGCGTGTATCCAAAGAGTAAAGATAGATAAATCCTATCGAGTATCTACTAGTCACACTATTGATTTTCGAGGAGATCCTTCAATGACTCAATTGCTTGGTCAATGACCATTGAGTACTTGGTGTACCATCCGAAATCCGAAAAATCCCGCTCAAGTCGCTTTCGACGCCACCCTCGAATGCGGTCTGCTCGGACTTTGGAAAGTGAGCGCTGACTGGTAGGCACCATTGGTGAAGAGGGAGGTAGTCCTTGAGATGACTTCTCGGCGCTGTTTAGGTTGCGAGTGGGAGAGGGTGCGTCCGACCCGAACATCACGGATTCAAGTTAGGACTTGGGGAACTTGGGTTCTTTGAGCCTTTTCTCTGGACCAACGCAACGATGGTACGAGTTAATAATAATGCCCTGGCGGAATTAGAGAGTGTAAGCCATCCGTATATGAAAAACGAATGAATCACCGGCGATAATCGGATTGGTCTTGTCCATGTCACGTTCAGGACTATCTTACACCACAACCTACTTGTACCGCTCCAAAGGATATTGGAGTCCAAACCAATGTGACTGCGTAGACGAGAAGGCAAACTCTACGAACCCAAATAATCTGTGAGCCCTTGAGATGCCTATAAAGGGTAGGTAAGTACCCATCTAGGACAGCGTATTAAGACCAACGACCTGCTGAACGAATTGGTATCAATTTCGCTTATACAGCAGGAAAGCGTTTACGACTATGTATATTGGTCAGTACCCACGCCCGCTTCAGAGTCTAGGCAGAGCAAAGCGCACTCACAGTACAAATACGCAAGGTATGATTCATCCAACGAAGAGAGGCTCCATACTCTGTTTCCTCGCACACTCTTCTTCCGCCGGGACTTCAATGGTTCTCCGGTCGTAACCTTGAGTGGCATATCCGTACAGACCCACCAAGCATGTATGCACAAGTGTTGCATGCAACGAAGTGTGCGATGTCCAGCCCCTCGGTCAATTATCGAGAAATGGAAGCGTCGGTTGGGAGATAAGGCCGAGTTAAAGCGGGCACGTAAGGAGAGAGATGTCCCACTATATCTTGGCATATTTCGGTACATAATCGTGTTTTTTGGAGCATCTCTTTTGGTAATACGAGACCTAGATGAGGCCAACAACACGATCGTGTGCGCCGGAAGCAAGCCATTTGGGACAATCACACGTGGCGATCGTGATCCCGCATCAATCCCAAATTGGCAGTCCTCCCGCCCCTCGGAGGCTTGGCGTCGTACTAGCCAAATAGACTCGATTTCGTCTCTTCGTCGAAAAAGGGACGAATATGGGCAAGAACCACAAGGGCAGGGTGGATTGAAGTGTTGCAGACTGTACCGATCTCGGACTGCATTTGTATATTCTCCTCCATCATGATAATTTGCATTTCACCCCCATAACTTCCAACAGTGCTGTTTCGCGGTTCTATTCATTGAGGCGCTGACTTCCAGCTTGTTCATTTGGGGAAGACAATTGATAAGATGTTACGCCGAGGGCGACATTGAGTTGATAGCTTGCTTGGGCGTTCCTCCTTGGAGCTAATTTGTATAGCTGCTAGGTAATGGGATGATTGTGTCAGAAATCAGGATTGAAGCGCCCACTGTCAACTGTTCGACGAACATGTTTTGATAAGTCGATTCAGCGAAAGTCACCGAATACAAATTGTAAAGTTGAGGATACATGCGGTCAAACGCTGAGTGCTGTGTGCAAGTATGTGGGTTTTTTCACGGCGGTCCCGAAGTCGCTCGTCCACATCCGCGTCGGATGATGTAAAGGTGAAAACAATAAGGAATAGCCTCGAGACTATCCACAGAGCTCTCAGCCGGGCAATTCAAAGTGGTCAAAAATAGATCTAGTTATAGACTTCCAATCCCTCGGAGTCCCTATCGTTAGCCTTGGATTCTCGTAAACGAGGAAAATAGAACTGTACATACCGTTGCCAACACGATTGCGGTCAGCGTTTGAAACCGTCCATTGAGATAAACCGCTTGCCCCAAACCCTTAGGCAATTGGACCTCTCCGAAGGTAAAGACATGGATTTCTAAATTTCTTTACAGAAAATCAACAAAAACCGATGAGGATATCAGACATGTGGCTGAACTAAACTGGTCAATACATAAAACGCCGAGTAACCATTCCTGTTCGAAGTGTTTACAGACCGAAAGTAGGATTCTAACGAGGTGGTGTAGTCAAATCTTGAGAATAAGTTCTTCTTGTCCGTAACGCCTCGGCTACTTGATTACTATCCCTAGATGACGAGAAAGAGTCCCATGATGAGGCTGAGGACGTCCAAGAAGAAGCTCTTCGAGTAGGAGACAAACCGGGACGAACATTCAATCCCGTTTTTCCAAGGTTGGCTGACTTTATGTAGGTTGCGGTAGAATCGGAATAGATAGAACTGGCGATGGAAAGGTGGTGATTAGGGAATGGGTTCGTGGGTTCACTCCCAAGTGAGTTTCCGTTTGGGGAGGATGCAGAGAAGTTGGAGACAGCAGGAATCTGGAGGTCATTTATGGAGTTGCCGACAGAACTGCCGGGTTTCCGGCTAGTTGAAGACCTATGTAGACGTACAACGCCTGCTCCATTCCCAGTCTCTTCGAGTGTCCATGAGAGCTCCGAGACCTCGGTAGCCTGACTATCGTCCCGTTCAATGTGTCCACCAGATCGAGATGAGAGAACGCCCACGGACTTCCGGCTCGATGAATGTGCCAAGGGTTTCGCCGCTAGAGCGTCGGATTTCGCGGTAGACTCCACTGTACCAAAAGCAGGAATATTGGCAGCCACCGCGTTAAACGCGTTAACCAAGTTTGTCGACAGTGTCCTGGTCCAGCCCTCTTGATCATCCCTTTCCTGTAAGGTAAGGTTTGGTGCCTTGTTGTCGACAGTTTCGAGTTCCTGCCTTCCATTGGAGGGCTCATCCACCCGTCTCAACCGCTTCGCTAGGGACCGAGGAGGAGTATTGCTGGGGCTCCATGGCGTATCCATAACGTCGCCGTTAGCCTCTAGGTTTCGATATCGCGGGGCGACCACGCCGCTTCTGGGCGTTCCTCGAGAACTCCCCCCAGAAACCTGAAAACTTCCATCCAACCGATCAGTTCCAAAGTTTTGACCCGCCAGTGTTTCGTCAACAAGGTGAGATGGAAGGTATCGAATAGCTGGCTTATGCGCAGGCGAATAAGGACTAATTGGGTGGTTATAACTGCGAAGTCCGGTTCCGTCGGGAAAGGTTGAGTCGTGAAAGCCCCGAGGCCAGTAGTGAATGTCGTGAGTATCGTGAGCGTCGTGTGAGTGAACATGTTCGCTAGGATGCTTCGACTTAGAGACATCACGATCACTTTCCAGGTTCCAAAGATGTGTCGACGGCATAAGGTGATGGGGGAGATCATTGTGTTTCGGTGTGCCTATCCGTGCGCGTAAATCGGCCTCCGGATCACCTTCTCGAGACCAGGGAGGTTGGGGCGCATTTCGTCGTTTCGATTGCCGCAAACGGATGATGCAAGCCACCATGGCAGATGCTATCGCAGTACCGACAATGCATCCCAAAACGATGGCAATATACAAAGGGGCCTTCTCTGTCGCCAACGCAGCTTCTGATTGGGATGTTGCAGGAGTGGGCACCCCAAGAACGCCGGACGTAGGCGCCGAAAAGATCGATGGTAAACTCTCTAGTATCGACGAAGGGCTTTCCGAGGAAGATGCGGACTCGGATGTAGGCGCAGAGACAGAAGAGCCTGGGTCGCTGAAGCTAATGGTGCCAGCGAAGCTAGACATGGCACTGTTTATTTCGAAGGAGGAAATTAGACGTGATCGGCAGAGGGAATGAAAGAGATGCTCACGAAGGGGATTGTGCGCCATGTGCCATGGTTGACAAGTCGCCATTGGGGTAAGACACGACCGTAACTGTAAGGGTGGGCATGATTGGCCCTGGTTGTGGCTCAGCGTTGATATCAAGATCCAGTGATTGAGTTGCGACAACGCCCTGACCAACGACTCCATCGCTATTTCCGTAGCCGGGTTCATCATGAAAAGATTCGAACCCGTGGATGTGCTCCATAGCCCAGCATCGGCACTGGCTTGAGGTTGTTGAGGAGACGAGGCGCTGAATGAATCGCGGTCGGCTAGCGGTGAGGGGCTGGGACAGGAATGCAGCTTGAAATCTCCTATGTTACATTTCAATCCGTCCTGGCAGCGTGGAGTCGAATGATGTGGGGAATTTGTCGGTGAAGTAGATCAGGAGGATTTACGATTTTGGTACGTTGAGACAAAGTGCTGCGGGGAAGAAACCCGCAGTGAGAATCAAGCGCAGCGTTTCCACATTAGTTTGACGCTTCTCCTTGCAGTTTGATGTTGAACAGAAATTTCAAACACTGTAGTCGCAATGCAACCGTCACGCTCGGCGATGTCGGCGCCCTCCAGGGAAGCGTGTTACTCCCAGGCTTTCCCAGGCCAAGCGGGGCCAAACATGGTGCACAGCAGTTTAGCGCCGGCGCCCATAAAGCGCCCATGGTGACGGCGGCATCGACAATCACGACGCATTGCGACTCGTTTCCAGTCAATGAGAAGCGCTTTGAAGATTCATCATAGCTACCAACTGTATGTGTGCCCATCGGAGAACAACCTCAGCCCTTACATAGTAGATCCAAACCGACTACGAGGAATCCTTGAGAGCATACCCACGGTTTAGATTACATCAAGTCAATTTTCTAGTTAAAAAGGATGTTGGAAGTGGGGTTAAGTTACGTCGATAACTCAGACGACTCTTTCCGGTGCCGTTTGCAATGACCAAGACCATACGCGTGATGAACGAAGATCGGGTAGATTCCGCCTATCTTTTTGCTCCAGGGCATCAAAACTCGAGGGCTATCATCAGCTACATGAAACAGCGTCGACTATCCTCAATTCAACCAGGAGCTAGGTATTGGAATTGAATGGAGATACATATGTAGTGCAGACCGACGCGGAAAGCTCTACTACAGGACATGATGTCATCGAAATATATATCGCTTTTCCACTTCACACCACGCAGCTGCTTGGGCGAGAGCACGAGCAGAAGCGACACATATGGTCTGTTCAGACAGTAGATTGTGCTTGTAGGCTGAAAGTCGGCGAATGGACTACAGCATTATGCTGAAGCCATTTCAGGAGAAAGCGCGTTCATACATAGTGACCGGAATCCTAGGATTTGATCGGCCCAATCCAGGTGCCGGTGAGAGCCGTATCCTGGAAATCCATTTCATTTCTGTTTCTGCGTATTTGCATGCGCTAGGTGGACTTTCTACGGGGCTCTTTTACAGCACCGACTGTGTTTTGCCGAAATGACTCGTACAGAGCGTCGCTGAACCCTCAAAAGCTGTTGAAGGAATTGCGAGAGACAAGGAATGAGAAGGAGCTGATGGCGGGAAAAACATTTCATCAATCACGTGGGGATTACCCAAACTCCCAACATATCGGCGCGCTGTCCATTTTGGTTTCTACCACCACCAATTCAGGTCATTCAGTGATAACGACCTCTGGGAGGCTGTGGACCGCACACAAGCGCTAGAGGTCATCAGCATCTTTCCGTGGCTGTTCTCGCGTCCAGAACAGAGCATGGTTTCAAGGTGGGCATCCCCGGTTCAATCGTAACAGCAGTGACTTATCTCCTTGGAAAGACTGGCTTGCCCATTTCCAGTGCCGAAGAACAAACAAGAAATCAATCCAGCGGAGATGTAGGTAGTTGTAACAAGAGAGATGTGATGGTCTCCGTCTTACTGATACTAGCCCGCAATTAGGAAGCCCATGACTCAGATGCAGCTCGAAGACTTGCTATTCCTGCTCGAATCTCCGATCGAGTCAGAATGCGTCCGCATCCCATTAATGATCCACGGGCGCGTAAGCCATGACCTTGTTTGCCGATAGGCGTTTACTGGACAGAGGCTATCCACCAACGCCAGAATTGTCAAATCCAGACAGCGCAAGATCTACCACTTCCGAATCTGACTCGGGAGAGATATGCATCTTTTGAGTTTTGGGTCGCTCTATATAACAGTAAGTGTATTTGGTCAACATCTACCCAATCTTCTCCTCTAACCAATCTCCCCATTCCATCATGGTCAGGTCTCATCTCGACGTCTTCCAAGAGAGCACGTCACGGTATTCTTCTGCGACTCTCTTCAGGCTTCCCCAAGTGTGTCCATCGACTGGAAGCGTCCTCGCCTGGAAGCCAGTCACCTACGAACAATTCCGCCTTGACGTTGAAGCCTATGCGCGCTACTGGACGCGCATTCTCCGCACCGACGGGGTCCCCAAGCGATCTGTCGTTGGTCTATGGTGCGTACTATACCGACATAGCCTGACCCAACTGTTCCTAACCATCATTGTTTCAGGCTGAGCGGCATCACCTATATCGACTGTCTACATATTTACGGCATCTCGAGGGCAGGATACATTCCCCAGCTTTTCAGCCTAAGGCTACCCAACCCCGACGTCGTCTATGAACTACTACGGAAGGCCGACGCCAAGGCTCTCATCCATGATGCTTGCTTCGCATCTGTTCTGGAAAGCTGCCCTCTCCCGATACACTGCTCCCTTACCAGCTCCGACATCGAACAGGTTGATGAAGAATTGGACGAGATTGCACCGGTACAAAACGAAGAAGACACGGCCTTCATCTTCCATACCAGCGGTTCAACTTCTGGAAGTCCCAAATTGGTTCCATGCAGCTATCGGTGGTTCAATAGCGTCGTGGAGAAATCAAATTACATTTCAAGACCTCGGAATGCCGACCGTCAGGATGTCACTGTCTTCATGTACGTACCACCTTTTCATTTCCTTGATTAGGTTTAGCTGAACTATGTCTTACAGTGGAAGCATGAGCCACATTGCCCAGACATTCAGTGCGTATCCTGAGCTTTTGATTGCCGCGTCCAGCTTACTGACGATCATCCCAGTGTTCCTTGGAACCCTTCAGCATGGAGCCTGCGTTATTCAGCCCACACGACTGGACTACTCCTCCGAGGAATTGATCGACATGATCACCCGATGCGGACTCAATCGCCTGAACGCCTTCGGTTCTTGGCTAGCAATGCACCTCAGGAACTCACGTCAGGATGCTAAACTGCTCTCCCTGCTGGTTAGCCTTGACGATGTGCTCTATAGCGGTCTTGCTCTGTCTCGAGATGAAGAGCAATGGGCTTACAAGAACGGGATCAAATTGAGGGTCAGTCGAGTTGTTCTAGCCCCGTCCTCTCCATGGCACTAATTTTGACTTCCTTTCCACAGAACTTGTTCGGCAGCACCGAAGTAGGGGGTATGCTCCTCTCCGGAGGTCATGAGAAGAACGACGCCCTCTTGCGCCCGCTACCTGGTACCTCATACCGCTTTGTCCCCATCTCCAACAACGATGCCGTCCATCAAACCAATGCGGCACTCTTCGAACTCGTCATCCTCTCCGACTCGCCCGATTGCCCTCACTCCTCGCTTCTGGGTAGTGATGGCCACCTCCATACTGGCGACCTTTTCCAGGAGGTTTCCCCTGGCTGGTATGTCTCCCGTGGTCGCGACGACGATTGGATCAAGTCGGAAACCAGCCTTCGCTGCGACACCAAGGCCATCGAGGACAACGCACGTGCAATGTGCGGCTCCCTTATCGCAGAGTGTGTTGTGGTTGGCTCTGGTCGACCCTCCCCTGTCATGTTCATCGAACCGGCCGTCGACATGCCCCATGATAAGCTCAAGAAGGAGATTATCCGCAAGACTCGGCACTTCCACAGTCGACGATACCTTCATGAACGCATCACCTGCCCTGATATGATCGTCGTCGTTCCCCCCAAAACTCTCCCCAGGACGGCTACCAAAGGAAACATCCGACGGAAGGCTGTCGAAGAAGCGTTCGTTGCCGAAATCGACCGCATTTTCAACCGCACAAGATGAACTCCTACAACCTCGATCCAATAACTTATTCATATTCAAGTAGTTTACTTGCTTACTATAATTTTTTCCTTCACTCACTGGTAATCGTACCTCACAACACCCACAACCACCATTTAATAGCATTCTTGATCATTAAGTTATTCTATGTAGCATTGGACAACTGCATCATCACTTGTAGCCATACGTACGCGTTCCTGTAGCATTTTTCGTATAAAATTAGACTGCTGGCAGATTCCTGATACAATCTCGATCGCATTACGTCCAAGTAGGCGAAAATACCGGCCTGACGCGATACTTAAGCACATGAGAATTAACGGCAAGGTCACAAAGCCTAATTAGCCGCTCATCTGCGGTCTAACAGCAAGATTCGAAACACAGGAACGCGGGAATGCAGCGGTGGTATGTAAAGGCACAGCTCGGCGTGTCAAGGGCAAAGGCGTATGACTTCAGATTTCTCAGCTGCGAAATCAAACAAGTTGCGTTTGATGATGAACAGACTCTTCTTGAATCTGTAACATATTAATCAGCTTGTTATGGCACAGATGAATCTCGACTCGCTTACCCAGGGTTCATCTTTGCCTGCGACGTATTTCTTCGGTGGCCTTTGGAAACATGCCACCTTCTCGACTTCGGCATCATCTTTTAACGGGAAGACAACTCCCACTTCGTAGTTGGTGATCTGGGGAATGGAAAAGTCAGCTGAAGCTGAAACACGTCTAGGGATTATGGAGTACATACATTGAGCGTTGGATTGAACGAAGAGCCCGAGAGGGTTCCCCACGCAGATGGGGTGAAGTTGTGAGATCCAATGTAGGCCCATCCCACGGCAGGTTGGATTATCTGGATTTCGTCGTCAGAGTCCTCGGTTTCGCTACCGTCTTGGCTCGTCGAAGCGTGTGTGCTGTCACGGAGTGTCCCTATGATCATCTGTAAAGACATTAGCATCCGCTCTGGTTCCACAAAGGAGTCCCACCTTTGAATGCATCAGCGAACGTCCTGCTTTACTCTTCGAATCATGGAAGAGTTCCCGGGGAAAGTTTTTCCCGTCCCATTGCCTTCTTCTACAGAAAATAGTGCCGCCACCCTGCGATGTCCATTAGCCTCTGTCTAGAAGTAGGCATATTACTACTGACCTGCTCGCCAAAGGTGGACTCTTGAACGGTTTTCTTGGTTGGAAAGATGATTTTGACGGGCGGATAAGGCTGCTTCTCGCGCTGTTTCTTTGACCTATCCAGCCAATCCTCGGCGGATTCCCCCCGAGCGGAATAATAAAACTCGTTCAACCATTGGGTAGTGTAGTTGCCCAGACTAGACCCCTGAAATACCTCAGGATTAGACTACTTGCTGTTTTAAGACCAACTTTACCTGGCATTCGAGGGTCAGCTTCTTGGCTTGGGACCCTGTCCCGGTTCTCATGGCCATCTTACGGACAACCGCCATTAACCGAGGATGACCGGTTCTGAGTAAGTAAACGGGAAATCAGGTGCTGTTGATCATTCAAAGAACAATACCCACTTTATCACGCTGGGCCAGCCTTCGTGTTTTCCAGCGATAGACGGGACCAGGTGGGCTTTGACCTTGCTCCAGTCCCATCGTTCTCGCAACTCTTCGATGGTCTTAATGGGCAGGTTGGGGTGCTATTCGACACTGAGTGGGGTAGGTACGAGATAAGCACATAGCAACCTACTTCGTTGATCATGATCTTCAGGGCAGGGACGACGTTAAGTGCCGCCAACATGTATAGGAGGGTGCCAGGAAAGTCATCCGTCGCCCGCACAGGCGCCGTTGAAGACGAAGAGCGCAGAGGGACGTCCTGGAGCCAGACAGTCTAGAGGGGATCAACTAACGACTCGGTTGTGAGGAGTCAATGGGCTTACGTTTTCCATCTCGCGCCAATCATACGAGATCAAGTTCGCTGTCGAGACGACCACGCGAAGGCGACCCGTTTTGTGGAAAAGCTGATGGGGAAAAATCAAGCTCAAATGCGCCGCTCAGGAAAGAAGGACATACGAGCATAAACTAGAGCCAGAGCGGGGATAGGTGAGCTTATTGAAGTGGAGAATCTCGACTCCGAAAGACCTACCTTCATATGTTGGCAGCCATATCCGCCGCGCAGAGGTGGCGTAGTCTTAATCCAGTTGGGAAGCACGTTCTTCATACTCGCCTGTCCAGTAGCGTCTGGCTGAGCGACGACAATAACAGGCACTGAGCGGTCGAAAAACTCGTATATCCATGGGAGATCCAAGGCAAAGGAGGATATGATTGCGAATGTCAGATCCTTCTTCTAATGGATTAGTGAGTAAAGCCACTTGATGATCCTTTCGTCATTTAGAGGAACGCTTACCTCCCCTAGGACTTGGGTTAAGCGAAAGGTGGGTTTGCCATCTGCACGAGGATCAACACCTCTGGTAGCAGTTTGGCGGAACTCTCCGTTCCAGAAAAGCTCGCCCTCAGCCCCAGAGGCAGCAGGTCTGGAGCTGCTTGAAGCTTTCGAATTAGACTGCCCAAAGCTTGTGGTAGACCCAAGATTAGGCCGTTTATGCGGCCTCGAATCCTCGTCGTCACTGCTACTATCATCTGGGCTGCTTCTGCGTGTGCTACTGGAAGTAGAAATGCCCCTTTGTTCCTGTAGCTTTCTTACCCTCTCCAACCGTTCCCGTTCGAGCTTGGCCCTCTCTGATAAGAACGATGAAGAGGCAACCACCTGAGGAGGTTCAGCTTCTTGGGTCTTCGGCTCCTCTTGGACCTCGGCTGATTTCCCCCTCTTCTTCGCCCTTTCCTCTGCCTTGGAAGCTTCAAGGGCGAGCTGAAGCTGCCGTTGAAACTCGGCCTCTTGATCATCCTCGGGGTCGCTGTCAAGGTTAATCACCTCTCTCGGCGGAGGTCCCTGGTCCTGTAAACTCAGGGCGATAGCTCTGGCACGGTCGTTAGCATCTGGAACCTCTGTGGCGTCGAAAGACTTGATCGGAGAAAGGCGTACCTGGCGAGGTCGTCGTCCTCCATGACAGATTCGTGGTCGTCGTCGTGGTCCAAGTTCAAGCTTTCGTGGGCGTACACTAATGATGCCACCGCGCCGTGACGGCGCGTAAGCGCCTTGTCACGTGTCGTGTGACAAAACGTGGGCACTGTCACGCTGGGACGGGCGCTTAATTTTAAGGCAACTATCCAGGGCCCCTGTCACACTCTCGATGGCATCCGACTCAAGAACAACGGCGGCTGAAATCCCGTTACTCCCTGCTCTCTCCCTATTATCTCATCATCCAAAGGCCAAGCCAAGGGCACGCGGGGTCATGCAGTCTGACTCGAAAACAAATGGACCATGATAGAAGCAGTTCAGGGTAATCCGTGCTTCTGGAATTCACGTTTCCACATTCAGAGTCCCGAATCGTAACATAGTAACGCCCCTTACCAGAAAGGCTGCGGTTGGCTATTGAATCCATTCTAGTACATTGCCATTGGTAGCTATCACGTACGTGGTGTTTACCCCAGCCAGTCGGTAACACCTTTAGCGATGAACGTATCCAATCCATCCTTGATTGGGGTGTCGCCTCCCACGAAATCAATAGCCAAACCACTGGCATCCTCTCGGTTCAGCAGATGGAACAAGGCTAGAGCGACGTCATCCCGCTAGGTCCCCAGGTGAGAACTTTATCACTGCGTAGTAGAGATATTATTAGGCGCTTACCGATATGACTTGCCCGAGGTGAGTTCTTCCGATCGACGCAGTTCCGGTCCCTGGATTATCGGTAAGCCCGCCAGGTCGCAGAATTGTCCACTTGAACGCAGTCCGTTGCACGAGGTTCTTGTCTGCTTCGTATTTCCAATGCATATAAGCCGGAATCACTTTCCTAATCCTCTCCGATTGACGAATATCATCCTCATTCTGCGCAATGCGTGAGTCAACTGACAAGGAGAAATTATGTATGGTGATACGACGTACGTAGTGCTCGGGTATCTTATCAGGGTTCCGGATGTCCACCGCAGAGACGAGGATCAATCGTGGGGTCTGGTCTCCTCCCTGCGATTTCACCCCTTCAATGGCATCAAAGATCTTGACTGCTCCCTCGTAGTCGACTTTCTTAGTCCTCTCCTCGCCACCTTTGCCACCAGCACCAGCAGAGAAGTACACCACGTCAGCTTTGGTCTCCGCAAACAGCTTGGAGAAATCAGAGACAGGCGCATCCTCCAAGGATATAACATGAGGTTTAGCCCCGACCTCCTCGATGGCCTTGTTCTGAGAAGCGTCTCTGATCACCGAAGTGACCTTATTGCCTGCGTTCGAGAGAAGTCTCGCGAGGCGTAGCGAAACCTATAAAATTAGTCGTGGTTGACCGAGGAAGTTCTGACAAACCTACCTTTCCATGTCCACCAATAATAACTACGTTTGTCGCCATGATGTTGTTGAGGATCTGGATAGTGTTGTCAGGGAGGGTAGAAGGCAAGCCGCTTCGCTTTCCCCCTGAAATAGCTGACTGATCCAAGCACGTCATCGTTGATGGCGATCACTAAGATAATTAGGGGCCAACATTTCTGAATTTGAAAGTCGGCTTGTTCTCGACCTTCTACAATCTTGTACAGTCTACAAAATTTACATACGTCGGGCTTCTTCACAGATGAGACTTGAAGATTGAGAAGCAGTATACCTTAAAAGAGAAAGAAGGAGTGGTGTCGCCAAAATGTCCTTGATCACTGTTCTTGAGACGAATTCCGGATTACCGACACCACCTTCGCAAGAGGTCAGGCTATGTGCATGGTAATCAAAAGGATAAAGGATTGGTAGCATCTTGTTATTACCACATCATAGGCCTTTTTTCCTTGCCTGCAAGTGTGGGTTTTTCGACCAACCTGCGATTGTGAGTGGAGGGCAAATACTTCATCCTCCACGCGCGTCGACGTCACTTCTGACCCGGTAACCCAGAATGCGGTTCCTATTGAATCACATCCTGGCCTGAATCCAAAGAATCCTTGCTACGCGAATCCTAGAAGTGCACACCTTATATGTCAGTTCTCCGAGACATTTGCCATAATTAACATTCTAATGGAGAGAAAGTAACCGGATGATCGAAGTGACTGACTTCGCGTCGAAACCGCATCCAGTGAACTTGAATTGCCCCAATCTGAGGCCCGATCTCGTCCTTTAAGCTGTGTTTGCTGTGAGTTTGATTTCTCGAGAAGCACACCGTTATGAAAGCTGTATGGTCGAGGCATGTTCATTCCTCTTATTCGGGGACCGGAGGTCAAGTAAGAACGATGCCTGTATCTTTTACTGAATTCAAAAGCGTCGGCTGGGTGCTGAACGCTGCGATGTGGAATGCGGGGCACACGATCTCCCATCGAAAGTGTGCAGATATCGAACTTCAAGTGGATAGCGACGATTTAGAGACCATATGACTGTCTGGGGTGAGGTGCATAGCCTTTATCCTTCTGACGAGACTTGGTGAAATCATTCGATGCGGTACGCTTTCTCCATGGTTTTTCTCTTTTTGTTCTCGCGTTTGAGGGCGTTATTAAATCTCCAAATTTGGCATAATTCCGCCGAACGAATTTCTTGATGATGTCAATGCTTGGCATCGGGAAGTCCGGAATATGCCATCAACAGGCGGCCGCGAGGTCTGGCGAGCCTCTTGAGTAGTAGGCTCGTCTTGTTCGCCCATGTGTTCTCGTCAGCTTTCTCTGACCATCCGCAGCCAATTGTTTCCAATGCTTAGCACGACCTTGAACATTCGACCAGTCTCGTCATTGACATGCGAACTCTATTAACAAAACGTGGAACAGGGTAGGTTTAGTACCATGTCAACATATTTGATGAGGTTTGCTGGTTCCTGGTTCGGACCCTGAACGTGGTCTCGACGAAGTTCGAAGAATTCAATGTGGACCTTTTCCCGCTCCATCCACCTCCTACCCCCACTTACACCTCTCTTCTCGCGTTCCCTCCCTCCTAGAAGACGATAGGTCTTCCCCGAGGAGCCAAGTCCAGTTCTGGTCGTTATCTTCGCCAAGAACGAGTATTCAAACTTACGGCAGCACGTTGCAAGTCCAAGCCACACAATTCCCCCGCGACTATCTTACGACTATTCAAGACTTAATTTGACGAGACGAAGGCGAACGGTGGCCTCCAGTAACGAAAGTAACGAGCGGTTGACGATTTCGGAGGGAAATATGGACCAAGAACCGATAGGACTGACTTTGGGGGCCGCGTTTTATGGATACACAATTGGAGCAGCGTATGTTCCTTCGCCTGGTCGTTCCTAGCCTTGGGCCCCCTTACTCTACTTCAGGCTGTTCGGTATCACGATAACGCAGGCCTATCATTACTTCATGACAACAACGAAATATGGAGCTGCTTGGCAGCTGTACATTGTACGTCCACCTCCCCGTATGAAACTCGGAAAGTGCTCCAATGAGGTTGATTCTGGATAGGTTATCATGATCCTGTGCGTTCATTACATCCCCCAAATCGGAAAATACCATCCTGACGCCGTCGCAAACTCTCCAAGAGTCCTCGACACTCTTCATTTCCTCTTTGCAGTGCATATGATGTACACCTATCTGCTTGTACAACTAGGTGACACCGAGGTAATGTCGAAAGTAGTGGGGTGCGTCCAATTCAGTCTGGCCTCGCATAGCCAACTCCGGTCCTGATAACTGTACCTCCGCTGCAGGAGTTTGAAGGTCGGTTCTATTCCCGGTACATGGCTCCGATGCGAAGGAATGTATTGAATCAATGCGGTTCTAGAGCATGGGTTCTGTTCAGGTACGTTCCTTTTCATCGTATTCGAGGACTCGAATTAATGAATCCCCTCAGGTGTTCTTCACAATCTTCGTGCAAGCGTGCGTAATTTTGAATTGGGTTCGCCTCGTGGGTCCCTTCTCCACTTCTATTAACACCGTTCTTCAGCCTCTACCTACACAAGATCTGGACTTGTAAGCTTCATCGTTTTCAGGCGCCGTCTTGGACCAAAGCAAGCATCTAACTCCGCCATGTCGCATGGTTCGCCAGTTTCAAGAAACCAGCTGTTGTCAAAACGGTTTGGACGTGCGCTACGGGTGCGCCTTTCTCTCCTTCAGGAAAATCGACCGAAACCTAAGATCTATAGGCGATTGTTGCAAGTCTGAGCCTCATGGCCATCGGTGAGTTCACCGTCAGTTGTTTTCGAAATAAGCGCCCGTTGACAGATCGAAACAGGGGTCGGAATTTGTGAGCGCTATAGATATACGAGACGCTTTATAGCCCTTTCTAACTATAGTTGCCTCTCCTCCGGTCCAATGCATTGAATCCAGTATTCTTGATCGAATTGTGAGTGAACCGCGCTTCTCTTCCTCCGTGTATCGTCTTCTCTTCTTCTATACTCGCCAAAACTCCGACTTCCATCCAGCTGTGACAGATAAACAGCATGCTGTCCATCTCACGCTGTGGTAGAGTCTACCCGCGCATCTTGGCTTTGTAGATGGATGGAAGCCGGCCTTTCGGTCTACCGAGACAGCCATGCTAATCTCGATGCTCGCGTAGGCAGAAGATCGACGATATCAAGAACTTTAGTCTCCGTTTCGAAGTGCGTCTCTCCCAGCAGCGCCTGTCGCAACGTGGTTAACTGTTTTTCTGCACAGTATGTCATTTATGTCGGATTTGGTGCCACAGCATTCATCGACATGGGAATCGCCGCTGCAATGTGCTTGATGCTGCACAAGAGCAGTCCAGGGACGAAACGGTAAGTGTGTTTCCTCGTCTTGGCGGCAGAATGACAGTGAAACTTTGTTCTAGGAGTAGTCAGATTATTGTCACCTTGATTCAGTACATCGTTGGGACAGGGCTACTGACGAGGTACGTGGGGATCCAGCATCTACGAAGAACCAACCTGCTGATGGGGTCTCGCCATGCTTAGTCTTGGTGCCCTCTTGATCATGGTATTGGTAAGTATAAACTATATCATTGAAAGCTAGCTTTTTTCCTGAAGGCGGAGCCTTGTGCAGTATATTGCATGGCCTAACTCGCTGCTATATCTCGGCATTGAATATTCAATGACTCGGCGTGAGTACTCATAACATTCCCAACTGCCCGCTGGTTCTTACACCTAACATAAAGTCTACGCAATCTCCGTCCTCGCCTTGTAAGCTGATGCTTTCGTTTGTCTTGCGTTGCTCGAGCTAACCCCATCGGACAGGTACAATTCGCAAGCACGGTTACGAGACAAGCTCAACCAAACCCGAGATCTCAACGGAGCAAGTATGCTCTACTTTGCAGAGCCCGACAAGATCATCACACATCATGGAGGGACCGAATCTCCAGTCGATATGAATGGACACGCGCATGACCCTCAACCCCGGCGGGGCGATACCCTCGATACCTTTGCAACGCCCAGCTCTGGGAGACACCTTACGAGGCTGTTCGAGAACTTGGATGCCGAGGATACCTTGGTGGAGAGGTCACCGCAGACGTATGTTACGAGTGGAGCAGCGTTGACCGCCACAGCAAGTGAGATTCTCTACTTCTTGGGCGTCTATTACATATGCTGACCGTCGATGTGATCAGGTCGGAGTGGAAGAAATGGAAGACACTATACCGCCTGATGGACCCCCTGCATAGACTGTTACTCATAATATGAGACTATGTCGGTACTGTACAATCTAATCGACGTCATGAAGAGGAGAATGCTACTCAAAACTGAAGATTCGATGGCTAGATTTGGAGACCCTTCCTAGGCTACGTACGACCTGGACCTCTCTTTGTTTCGTACAACAACCCTAAACTTCGCGACGCTGACGTTTCTCCGCCGAGTTTGGCCCCGACTACGCATTTCGGGGACCTTCAACGCCGTACGGATAATCATTGGAGGCTTCGCTTTCGACGACGCGCCCCAAACTTGACTCTACTAAACAATCAGGTGGTGAAGGGGACCTCGCTTTTCTCGCCACTTTTATCATTTTAATTGTGTCGATCCCGAAATTGGATCACTTCGCCGAGAAGAGAAGCTTGGTTGCTATTCTCAAATGGCCGAGGATACGGAGAATGTCCTACTAGCGTTTGACTCTCGTATAAAGGTGGGTGCTTCTGGCTATTGTCCAGAATATTCGCCAATTTCGGTCGCATTTCCATGAAGCTCTCTCGCGCGTTAACTCTCGCTGCTGTTGCGACAGCTGCAACTTCGACAGTCGTTGACTCGGAGGACTCCGTTGCCCTCTGGGGCCAATGCGGTGGTGTGAGTAGTACCTTCTTGTTACATCTAGCAAGGGAAGCTCACATCTCTTTTGACTGGAAGGCTGGTCACAGGTATGCGTAATGTCAAGTCGCAGTAGAATGGGAACTAATGTGTTGGTACTCTGCAGCGGTCCTACTCAGTGTGCTGACGGCAGTCACTGTGTAACTGTTAATGGTGGGTGCTTCGTTTACTCCTCCCTCTTCGCTCCTTGAAGGATGACGGCTTTGAAACAGCGGCTTATCACCAATGTGTTCCACTTCCCAGCATTTTGAACTGGGTCTCTACTGGCCCCTTGGTCGGTCCTAAGAACGACTCCCGCCAAGTCGCAGGAATTAAGGACCCCTCTGTGGTCTACCACGAGGGTACTTGGCACGTCTTTGCTACCAGCGCGAAGAGCGGAAACTGGAGCATGCTATACTTCAACTTCACCGACTGGTCTGAAGCCAACGACGCCGAATTCTTCTACCTCGACCAGTCAGGGATAGGGCCTGGCTACCGTGCGGCACCCCAGATTCTCTACTTCGCTCCTCAGAAGCTCTGGTATTTGGTCTACCAGGACAACAACGCCGGCTACTCCACCAACCCCGACATCAGCAACCCCGCTGGATGGTCCACCACGAAGCACTTCTACGACGAAGTCCCGCAGATCGTCAGGGACAACATCGGTGATGGGTATTGGTTGGACTTTTGGGTGATCTGCGACGCTGCCAAATGCCATCTGTTCTCCTCCGACGACAATGGTCAGCTCTACCGCTCCGAGACCGCCATCGCCGACTTCCCTGACGGCTTTAACGAGCCTGTCATTGCGATGCAAGAGGCTAACAGGTTCGACCTGTTCGAGGGGTCTTGTGTTTACCGGATCGACGGCTCGGATAAATATCTCCTGCTCGTCGAGGCAATTGGCAGTGATAACCGCAGATGGTACCGTTCCTGGACGTCGTCCGATATTGCAGGGCCGTGGGAGGCCCTCGCAGATACCGAGTCCAACCCCTTCGCTCGAGCAAACAACGTCGATTTTGAGGATGGCAAGGCTTGGACGAAGGATATCAGCCATGGAGAACTGATTCGCAGTGGGTATGATCAGAGTATTTCTATCGACCCTTGCAAGCTCCAGTTTGCTTACCAAGGACTCGACCCCGAGGCGGAGGCCAACGTTCCCCTCTATGGAAACCTTCCTTACCGGGTTGCACTCCTCACTCAGACGAACTCCTCCTGCTGAAGGAAACCGCTGCCCCAAATGTATATCTCGATGTATAATCTGAATCTATTGAATGCTGAGTAGTCTCCTGCGCCGGTGAATTATAACACCCATCATGTTGAAGTACCACCGGCCTTTGAACGAGATATCTCCTTGTTCTGACGTCGAGAGTGTGGTTCAAGGCGCCCGTGTACTCAGCTGACCAGCGAAATCGCGTAAGAGTACATGGTACGACGACGACGAAACGGAAACGGTTACCCCAAAAGCGTATATTATGGAAGAAGAGAACTGCCAAGGAAAACCCGAATGACAGCATCGGAAGAATTACCATGATCCTCCTGGAAGCAATACGCGTTCTCCTCCTTCTAGTCGCCGACTACAACTCACGGTACGGCGATGGAGCCAATGGAGCACAGGCGAATTGGCTCGAATACTCAGTGAGTGACTGCTCTTGCGAAAGAAGCCGGATCAGTTGGCTTCGCAAAGCTCAATACCCATTGTCGGATAGAGCGGAAATGGTAAAATCGCAGTTTGGAGACGCGCCGGCTGTCGATCCTGCAAGACGCGTAAGTCGGTAGTGCAGAGAAATTAGCCACAACTGTTGCTCCTGCTGGTACCTTCGTCAGTGGTGATGTTTCCGTTGCCGTCGCGTCCTATCTCAGGGCCTTTTCCGGATGCAATTTGGGGGTGTCGACCATCTGTAGCTTCAGCTCAAGAGAGTCCAAACGCGGCCACAAACTGACTTCTTAACAAGTTTCTTCGCGTCAATCCTACCGTTCCGGAAGCCGTGGGGTCAGATTAAGTTTTAAGTTCCCAAACCATATGCTTTCGTCCGGGCCTGATTCTACTGACTCTTTCTTCGAAACAGTACTCGTGATTACTCGGAGTCCAATCCACACACCGCCCGCCTTTCTGAAAATTCCGAGCATTAATCCGTAGACACTGTTCGTGGACTATAAAAGAGTCCTGTTCGACGAAAGATGTTTCGAAAAAACAACGCATAGTCGTCGTTCAACAATGGGCGTTCTACGTGCTCTTCTCGCAGCCAGTCTCCTGGCCGTCACTGTTGTGAAGGCTCAAACCGCTGACCACTGGGCCCAGTGCGGTGGGGTGGGTGACTCTTTCCTGGCAAGCTCGAAATCGTTACTAACCCGACTTCCTTTCGCAGAGAGGATTCAGGTACCACACCTCACTAATTCGTCTAGGTTCTTTGTCTGACTCTCCTGTTACAGTGGCCCCACCACCTGTGCAAGTGGCGCCGTCTGCACTGTCGTGAATGGTACACTTTCTTGACTGACTGAATACGCGTCAGGAAGCTGATCGATTTAAAATTTTCTAGAGTGGTACTCCCAATGCATTCCCGGGTCCAACGCCCCTGCTCCTGCTCCTACCACCACTCAGCCTGCCCCTGCTCCCGCCCCAAGCGGGAAGCTCCCATCCAGCTTCAGGTGGAGCTCCAGCGGACCCTTGATTGGACCCAAGTCCGACTCTAGGAGGATTCAGGGGATCAAGGATCCATCCGTGGTCTACCACGATGGTCGCTGGCACGTTTTTGCCAGCACGGCGAAGACTGAGGGCTACAACCTCGTCTACATCAGCTTCACTGATTGGGCCCAAGCCGGTTCCGCATCATTCTACTACCTTGACCAAGCTCCACTTGGGACCGGGTACCGCGCCGCACCCCAGGTGTTCTACTTCGCTCCCCAGCGCCTCTGGTATCTTGTGTACCAAAACGGCAATGCCGCCTACTCTACCAATCCCGACATCAACAACCCGGCCGGATGGACTGCACCCCGCACGTTCTACAGTGGCATGCCCGCTATTATTCGCAACAACATCGGCAATGGACACTGGGTCGACATGTGGGTCATTTGCGACTCTTCGTTGTGCCACTTGTTCTCGTCGGACGACAACGGTCATCTGTATCGCTCCCAAACTTCCCTCTCCAACTTCCCTAACGGCTTCAACGAGCCCGTCATCGCCATGCAGGACTCCAATAAGAATCGACTCTTCGAGGCCGCCAACGTATATCGCATCGACGGTAGCAATGAATACCTCCTCCTCCATGAAGCCATCGGCAGCGACGGCAGGAGGTGGTTCAGGTCTTGGACTTCGACCAGCATTGCAGGCCCTTGGCGTGCACTTGCTGACCAAGAGTCGAACCCCTTCGCGAGGGCAAACAACGTGGCGTTCACCGGTAATGCGTGGACCAGAGACATCAGCCACGGTGAGCTGATCCGCAGTGGAAACGACCAGACCCTCCCAATCAGCCCATGCAATCTTCGCTACCTCTACCAGGGTCTTGACCCCAACTCTGGCGGCGATTACAACAGCCTTCCCTGGAAGCTCGGTCTTCTTACTCAAACCAACTCTGCTTGTTAAACGTCGTAAATACTACGGACTCATTGAACATGTACTTTCCACCTTATGTAGTCGTCGAATTTGAAGTCGTCTTTTCCTCCTCAAATTTCTATGCTGAAGCTCTGTGCGCTGTGTAGCCGAAAATCGACTGGGGTTGAGGGCGCTTGAACGATTTCCGTCGATTTAGCGCCCATGCGGTGTCAACGGACCGCGATCAATCCCATCAATGGTCCGATGAGTCGGCAGCGTTGCTCGGGATCCTTCCCACGAGGCTAAGAGACTCTTCGTGGATTTGCGCCACCAAACCCCACGTCGCAACGGTTCGCAACTGCAACCATGTCCTCTTCTTTTCAGCTTTGTAGCTTCGAAACTCTCGGTTTATTCCATGATGTAAAAAGAAGCCCTCGACTTCTCGCCAAACAGCTTTCACACCCAATGGACCTAGGTGAAAGTGCGAGGATCGCGTAAGTCGTGCCGATGGGCACGGTCGAAAGAGAACATTGGTTTCTTGGGTGGCCCAGTCGACTCTGTCGATCCATGCTCGATGAGACTTGACAATGGCAAGAAGCCAGCCGCGGTCTCCAAATGTCCGAGAATTCATCGACGAGCGAGTACAAAAGGTCGAACAGTCTCCACCAACGATGTCCTGCATCCTCCTAGAGGTTTCCGACCGCGAAGAGGCATTCCAGCATGAAGATCCTGTCAGTGCTCGTCGGCGCTCTGTCCGCTGTTTCAGCGATGGCAGCCGCCGTCCGTCGAAGTACGTCGAAAACTCCTCGCTAGTATCTACAGACGTCTGACCATTCCACAGCGGACAATCCTTTGCCCAGCACCTTCACATGGCGCTCGACAAACGAATTGATCGTCCCCAAGGACGATGAGCGCCAGATTGCTGCAATCAAGGACCCCACCATCGTATATCACGAAGGTGTATACCACGTCTTTGCCAGCACGGCCAAACTCGAGGGGTACAACCTTGTCTACCTCAACTTCACCGACTGGTCTGAGGCAAGCTCTGCCGAGTTTTACTACCTCGACCAGGCTCCTCTGGGTCCGGGCTACCGGGCAGCACCCCAGGTCTTCTACTTCGAACCTCAGAAGTTGTGGTACCTCGTCTACCAGAACGACAACGCCGCCTATTCCACCAACCCCGACATCAGCGACCCCTCCGGCTGGACTGCGCCCGAAACCTTCTATTCTGAGATGCCACAGATCATCAAGGACCACATTGGGCCCTACTACTGGGTGGATATGTGGGTTGTCTGCGACGACACCCTCTGCCACCTCTTCTCCTCCGACGACAACGGCCAGCTCTACCGCTCCGAAACCTCCATCTCCGACTTCCCCTACGGCTTCAACGACCCCGTCATTGCCATGCAAGACCCCGACAGGTTCCGCCTCTTCGAAGCCGCCTGCATCTACAAGATCGACCGCTCCGACAAGTACCTGTTGTTGATCGAGGCCATTGGCACTGACGGTCGCCGATGGTTCCGCTCCTGGACCTCGACCGACATCGCTGGTCCTTGGGAAGCCCTCGCTGCCGAGGAGGATAACCCATTCGCCCGAGCTCTCAACGTCGAATTCCCGGAAGGCGCAGAGCCCTGGACCCAAGATATCAGCCACGGAGAGTTGGTCCGTAGCGGCATCGACCAGACCCTCACTATCGACCCCTGCAACTTGCAGTTCATCTACCAGGGTCTTGCCCCCGATGCTGATGGAGAGTATAACGGCCTCCCATGGCGTCTCGCCCTGCTCACTCAGACCAACTCTGCGTGCTAGGTTCACCAAAATGTTTCGTTGGTTTGAACGGCCGTACAATGGACTTGTTAAAACTGTCGTGTATTGAATGCAATTTATGATGTTTGTCCCCAATATTCACGAAGCCTGAGGCCAGTCCCACAATCGTGCCAGCCACGCCTCCATCTCATTCTCCTGAGCGATAACACTCTTGATCCATGAGTGCTCTAACAGTTCCATGGCAGTCTTTCTGCCAGACGGTGCATTCACGAGCCTTTGGTTTAGGGAACGTGAGTGAGTCTTTAGACTGTGACGGCAAGAAGCGAACTTTGTGCCTTACATCTGCTTGAGAAAGTCCTTCAAGTCATTGCTCCAGACAGCGTCATCTGTAGTTTTATCTGCAAGAGTCGGGGGCTACCATGGGGTTCAGGAATGAAGTTTAATGAAGCGGAACGAGGCTGGAGGAAGAGCACTTACTTCACCATGAACAATGTTCATCATGATCTCTACCGGGGAGAGGTCGCTCCCCCAAGGGAACTCCTTCTGTACAAATTCGAGAAGGACAACCCCCGCAGACCAAATATCGGATGGACCCCTCGACGTTGCCAGACCTTGGATTTGCTCTGGCTGAATGGGGAATGGCAAAATCGTCAGGTTATCTCCCTGGCGTGGAGCAAGGAGACGTAAGAGATACTCAACGCTCATGTAGTAGAGTCTACGGCTTGTGTGCGCCCCCTGGTGGACTATTTCAGCCCAGGGATGCCCTGAAAGCTTAACCAGGCCTCCTTTACTGAAAAGGATGTTTGCTGGCTCTAGGCTGTTATGAATTAAATCTTGTGAAAATAGATATGAAAGGCCTTGCAGGATCTTCGAGAACGAGGTGTGAGGACATCTGGCCGTCGAACAGACAAGTCATGGCGTGCTCACCCCTTCAGCTACTTGGCCTGCAATCCGCTCTTCCACAGTGACGTTCTTCTCTATGATCCGTTCGTTAATGGACTCCAGCGATCCTCCTTCGCAGTACTCCATCAAGACTCTCGGGAGTCCCCATCGCGACAGATACCACCCATGGATGATAATAATATTGGTGTGGCGAAGGTGTGTGAATCTCTTCAGCTCGTCAATCACGTCTCCAGGACCTGAAGCGGCGTTCCCTGGCTCGTACGACAAGCTCTTTCGAACGACGATAGCTCCAGTCTCTTTATCCCTGACCTTTTCGACACGGCGGTTTCTACTGGCGATTATCTCTACTTCCTCGAACCTGTCGTCGGACCATTCTGTGGTTTGAATGGCCAGGGGCGGCGGATTAATCTGGGCGCTCCTCGTCGACGATGTTATGGGGGGATCGAGGTGGGTCATGGCGAGGGAAGCGAGAAGCGTACCCGGGAAAGCTGTAAGGTTTAGTGAATACAGGGCTGTGCCCGCCGGCTGCAATCAAAGCCAAAAATACGCGTGCACGCAAGGAGAGATTACTCTGAACACCTGAACATGCTGTCCTACCGAGTGATAGCACAGCGAGACCGGCGCCAATCAGAAACACTAGAACTTCGATGGGCGGTCCCGCAGTCTCCGACAAAGTGGAACGAAAGACGTAGCAATATGTATTGATCCTTCGTCTTAGAACCCTCTCCATTTATCAAAACCTGCACGTTTCATAGGACCGCGCTGACACCCCTGACCGAGTAGAAGCGCGAGTCATCCCGGTGTTTCTGTGATATTCAAAGAACACCGAGCCTGGGGGGCAGTAGCACGACTCCCGTCAGGAACGGGAATTAACAGCAAACAAATCTATTGAACTATCACAAGAACATGCCGAGTCATACAGGAATCATCAAGGCTGCGCAAGGGATAGACGCGAAGTCTCATATAAAACCTGCGTGATGCTTGGAAGGCTTACCCAAAGTTCAAACGTTCAAAACGCGCCTACCCAGCTAGCATTAGCCCCGCCTGACGCACATCCACATCTACATCCACTAGCCCAGCCTCCAGCCCTCCCTTGTCAATGAAGTTCAACCTCCTCTCATCCAGATCATCCACTGGCAGATCATCCACCTATGCAAATAGCATCTCATCGCAGGCACCACTCAACCCATCCGAGTCCGTCACGAATCAACCTGCCAGTGCCAAGAATTACGAAGCCGCATTCGGTCAACTAGTTTCCCAATACGGACTCTCCAGGATGCCTGTCGTCCCTTCAAAGAAGTCATTATCCCCGTCTGTGAACAAGGAATCATCGAGAGTCCAGCACCCTGGAACTCCTTCACCACAAGCGAAGAACTGGGAGAATGCATTCGGGCAGCTGAGCGCCAGCCATGGATTTGGCGGCTTCGTCCGCAGTTTGCCTGGGAAGCGGTAGATGGCAAAGATCTTCCATCCATGGTGCTGATCATTTGGAGGTGGGTTCCTCGTAGTTAATCTTCTAAATGGTGCAGTGAAGCTGATAAGAGCATGATGCATCTGAAAAATTTCCAGTACCTCCACGAGGAAACATTCTTGAAAGCCGATTGTTACCATTTATTTTTACATACCATCAGCCCACCCACCACCTGTATCCCGAAAATTAGATTTCAAATATGACAGAGGGCCGTTCAAAACGCGATTAAACATCGATTTCAAAGCTAAGTACGTGTTGAGTATTGAAGTGTCCAAGAGAGCCCGAAAGTGTCCAAGAGAAAAGCGTAAGAATCATCGTGTCAAGCGGAGAATTAGACCAAGCTCGGCTCGGGAGTGGCAGAAGGGGGAGTAGCGGGAACCGTGACCGTGACAAAGTTCGTCACAGTGACGGTGGAAGGGCTAGGGGCAGGGCAGTCATCCAATTTCGAGTCGCTCAGGTCGGTGGGCGAGACAGGTGCGGAGGTGGGAGCTGGCTCGGGTTGAACAGACTCGGGGACGGGGATTGGCTCGGGCTGGATACTAGCCTCGGGAGCGGGAACTGGCTCGGGTTGAACTGGTTCAGGTGCGGCGATTGGCTCGGGTTGAGCAGAGGGAGCGGGAGCCGGCTCGGATTGGACAGGTGCGGCAATGGCGGACTCGCTGGTACCAGAGGTCGGTGGTTGAAGGATCGGAGGAAGGGGGATGGAGGGGAATGTGGGCTTGGTGGGAACCTTGGGCGAGTTGTCCCGTGGAAGGCGATAAGTGGTGAGCTGATCGCGCATACGCGTGACTTGACCGGGGGTGAAGCGGGCCATGCAGCTATCGAAGGAATAGTCCATGAAGTTGTCTGGTAGAATGTACGTCAGCTATTCAGCGTGGGGTGAACTGGACGACGGCCAAGACATACCGATGGGATCCAAGCCACCACCTGGGCAAGAGTCACGTCCAACGGGGCATCCGGTGGAAGGGCTTGACTGAGCAGGGGTGTCGTCTACTTCATCTCCGGGTCCAGTGCAACCTCCTTGGAAGGTGTGATACAAGCCAACCCAGTGGCCGACCTCGTGAGTCAGAGTCTATAAAGCGGTCAATAAACATTACGTCCCAGCGGAAGGCCATCCCTTACATGGCCGAGGTTGTAATTCTGGGTGGTACCACCGGGCAGAGTGCTATGAAGAACGACAACACCATCATCGTTGGGGAAGGCTTTGTATTCATGAGGGAAGGTTGCATAGCCAAGCAAGCCAATGTCGCCAACTTCGAAACTATCATTGGCTTTAGTCATAATGCTGGCATGAAAGGCATGAATCGAGCAACGTACCCGACAGTGTAGACGTTGAGAGCGTCTGCGCCTCCCTCTCGCAACGTGTCCTTCATCTCCGCCTCTATCTCAGCGTTGCTGGGTCCAACTTGTCTGAACCAACGTTCGTTGCTGGTCCTGGTGATCTTGGTCAAGTTGAAGGTGATTTCACTTGACCTGTACGCAGTATTGAGGGTGCGCATCTGCCTGTCGATGGCCTCGTCGCTGATGTTTCCTCCAGCTTCCGTGTCGTCCTTGGAAATGACATGGAAATAGGTTTGGATGGTGATAGGACCCGTACGCGATGACGAGACGATTCGGTGGGAGCGGAAATCTTGTTCGAACAGCGCTTGTTTGGCCGCACTGAGGATTGAACCACATCCTCTTGCCAGCGGACGAGTGATGTCAATAGCCCGTGCATCTCCCAAAGGTGCTGTTGATGCAAAAAGAGTAATGGCGAATACGAGATATTTCCTGTAAAGCATCGTGAAGAATCTAAAAGTCCACGTTCATAAAAGATAGCGGTGAGGCCTGAAAGGAGCGAGTTTGAACGGTTTAAAGGAAAGGACGGCTCTGATGAGCCTCGTCGGTGGGGCAGGTAAAGGGAAGAAGGTTGATTTAGCGTGCACATCGTCCCATCTCCAGCTTATATGGACCAGCCGATGGCTTGACACGTAACCGAAGAAGACCCCGACGTAGGCACGGCTGCCTTCCAAACCTTGATCCCGCTCCACTAGCGAATGAATATGCCATAACTTTGCTCCCGTCGTCAAGGGGGCCTCCAGATTCATTTCCGTTACACTGGTAAAGAGGGAAATACACCTCGATTCCACCTATCAGCTATAAAACAAGTCAATCGGCGTTCCAAGGTATGGGGCAGGCACACACTCACAATTCCCTGAAAGACCGTCGGGCAATGTGGGTTGTTTAGATCGGGTTCAATCAGTCAGCGGTGGTTGCTAAAATACCACGATACCCACTAGCATGTGGACATCAACTTCTCCTCGAGCCCACATAGCACCAGGCCTTAGGGATTCTCTAACGCCATGGTCAAAGTGGAAGACAAGCCTTGGACAAGCCGCGAATCAAAGCCAGAAGGAACATGCCGGCCATCAAAAGGGGCTCACTGGAGTAATGCGAAATGAGTCAGAGTTAGGGGGACTTGGTCTTCATTTGGGAAGTTTACTCCTAACTGACCAACCACTCGCCAGCGAGTGCTGGTGTAAAGTACAGGTGCGGATTGGGTGTCGAAGGATATCTCCAGACGGGATATCTCGATAGCTTTTTCATTCATTTCTGCGACAAGTTTCTTTCATCTTCAACACCATTTCGCAGGTTTACTATTCTACCGCTGACGCTTCCTAAACAAAATCTCAGCAGTCCGGTTCGGGCTCCTCGACTGACCAAACCAATGAGGGGCAGGAGGTTCAGTACTGTCTCCCGGAAGCTTGAAGTCGTAATTCAAAAGAATGTACGCGAGCATGGCCTTGATCTCGTTAACAGCGAAGAAGCGGCCAGGGCTACCAACGCACGCGCAATTAATGCTTTAGTAAGATATCCCGAGAGCATAACATTTATTTAACTCGAAGACATACCAGGCAGGGCGACCGTAGCCGAAGAACAGGAAGTTTGGTTCCAGAGAGACCATTTGGTGCTTGAGATGCTCAAGGTTTCCTTCGCCTTCACGCATCTCTGCGAATCGGAATCCTTTGAACGTGTTGGCATCCTCGTAGATAGCCTTGATAAAGGTTACGACCATTCTGAGTGTTCAAGGCGGAGTTGGAGGACGTACTGGATCGAAGTGGGTGGGAGCAGAGGCTATGGCAATTCGAACTCCACGAGGTAGGACCGTCCCATCAGACAGTTTGTATTCGGTCCTCGTCTTCCTCGACATTGAGACTGGAGGGGGTTGTTCAGTACACTGAAATATAGACTCGAAGAACTGAGCCTTGAACGCACTTGCAGAGAGTCCAGTCACCCGACTCGTTTCCTTCATGAAGCTGTCAAGTCTCCTCATCTTGCCCATCGACTCCTTCGTCCATCCGAATTCCTCAATAGTGGTCTCGATCTCTTCTCGGAGAGGTTCAAAGTACTCTTGGCGCGCCGCGAGTTCGAATAGGATGTTGCTGAGGGTCTAGAAAAAAAAAAGATTAGATGAGAACGTGGAGATTCGCGCAGCGTGACTTACGATCGATGTGGTGTGGATAGCGGCAATGTTGATTGAAATAACTCGCGACGCGAATTCGTCAAGAGTCTTGTATCCTTCGGGGGCGGTATCCAGCAACCAAGAAATCAAGTCGTTCTTCACGACCTTGGTCAGTATCGAATTTGGAATGATGGCCAAGAAAACGTACAGGGCGTCCTTCCCATTTGTTCGTCCCATGCTTCTCATCCATCTCCACCCTGTCTTGAACCAAGGGGGCAATGTATCGTTCCACCTTCTTGAGCTCGGCTGGGAATTTGGAGAGAAGCTTCCCGAGGATTCTGTGAGGGCAAATTAAATAAAAGGGGGCTGGAAGTCTACCAGGAGTGGGCACTTACGGCCTGACGATTTCCGGGAACAAGTTCAAGAAGTTCGCTGTAGCAAAGATATGAATCGTCATATTCTCTTGGATGCGACGGTAGTCAGGATTCCGACCTGAGTAATTGTTTAGTATGAGATAAAGGTGAAATTCGCTTGGAACTCACAAAGTGGCAGTCCAACGAAAAGCCTATTCGTCGTTCGACACACGATGGGAATCAATGTCTTGTGAACTTGGTAAGGGGTCCACTCTGTTGACCACAATCAGCCATCTTTCGAAAACGCGCAACTTGAACATGAGATTACGTACCGTTCGTCGCCGGCATAATATCCTTGAACGATTCCGCGATTTCCTCCTTCAAATCCCCAAATCTCGAAGGGAATCCCCGCGTCAAAGGCCCTCGCACAACGTCGATATGGTATGGCGCTTCATGGCTGGTATGCGAGTACTTTCCCATGATATACTTTCCTTGAAGAAGCTGATACACATACACGAATGTGAGTTAGTATCAAAGACGTACAGGAACCCAGGAGAACACTTACATCACCCGCAGCGTCAATGAAAGAGAGCTGATCCTCGGTCGCCTTCCTAAAGTCCTCCACGAGCTGAGTACCGTTCGCCACAATCATCCAGCGTCCCGATGCGAGGAGGTTGGGAACTTTGAAGACTCTCCCGGGATACTAGGTAGCATCGCAGAGCTTGTGAGTGAGTATCATATCCGCAACCTGAATTAAAGAAACGTATAATGCACATACCTTCTCATATCCTTCCTGAATTAATTGTCGTCCATTACGCACAAACTTCCAAGCTGCAATGTACGACGAAATGAATCCATCTGGACCCAGCGTCGGAATATGGCGAAGCTATTCAACCGTTCAGACGTCGACCCCCTAGACTTCGTAAAGCTGACCATCAACAAACAACTCACCTTTCGCGCCGTAATCGTAAACAGAATCCATTGATACACTATCCAAGCCACCGCACCCACACCAAGATAAGTAAGATAGCCCATCGTCTCTCCCAGACACAGGTTGGTTGGTTGGTGGGGGAAACCTTCGCCTAGCAGTACTTACCCCAAGGCCGCGATTTATATATATACCCCAGGATCATTTATCGGAAGCCGATCCATGAATTGGCCAATCCTAATGACAGCAATAGTGAATCGCAGTGCAGTGTGGGATATTCGAAGCAGGACATGTGTACGCAGAGAAGCAGATTTGGAGCCCTGGCGGCCGGGCAAGTTTAGCTTGTTCGTACGAACTGCATAACGAGAACCTCGCCTTCGAAGTTGATCCGAGGTCGGTGACTGCCGTCAAGACTCGCTACGAGCGATGTAGAGTGAGCGATGGTGCCGTCCGATGGGTGCGTCGAGGGCCTAAAGACCCAGAAACCCCGGGGATATGTGCTGTGGGAGCGAGAGGAGCAGTAGCGCTGTTGAGGTGGATCAAAAAAAGCCTTCATTTGTCTTTGGCAAAGCCTCGAGGCGACGGTACTGGGAATTGTCTAACTTTACACCATCTGGTTTCCCAGTTGGCTCCATCGTGCTTCAAGGGCCCAGGACAAGTGGGAGACTGGGAGTCTGGGACAACTGACAAATGGAAGTCACTGGGCGGCCAAGCAGGCTGATGCCATCACATAGATATTCTCAGGACACGCGGGCCGGCGGTAGGGCGCTTAGTACGGTGACAAGAAATCCTCGAAAGAAACCATTCCAGACGCCACGCATAGCCACTGGCAAAGAACAGAACTACGTTATCTTTGTCCTCTTCTCCCGCCGTCAAGTTAAATGAAACGCTTCTCCCAGTGGATCTACATGAAACTAGTACTATTACTCAATTTGACGCTTCCGGAACAAGAGCTCCGCCATCGTATTCGGGGCGCGAGCATGTCCAAACCACCTCGGCTCAGGAGGCTTATCACCGGCCAGCTTGAAGTCATAGTTCATGAGCATGTAGCACAACATCGCCTTGATCTCGTTCACGGCGAACCATCGACCAGGGCTAATACATAGAGAAATCTTTCAGTTTCCACCAAGCCGAGTTGGACCCACGACTCGGACACTCACCAAGCAAAACGTCCGCCACCGAATAGAACATAGTTAGGATCCAGTGCGACCATACTGGGGTTTCTCAGTTTGTGCGTAGGTCCCGATTTGTCTTCCCCCGATTGGACGAACCGGAAGGGATGGAAGCCTTGAGGGTCCTCGTAGAGATTCTGGAGAGTCGTGTCAGCGGTGAGGCAGTGAGAATGAAACCGTCTGCGACGTACAGGATCAGAATGAGTGGGACCGGAAGCAACAACCATTCTGAAGCCTTTCGGAATCACCACCCCATTCGAGAGCTTAAAATCGACCTTGGTCTTTCTGTGCATGATTGCTAAAGGGGAGGTGGTCAGAGTCATTGCCCACCGAAGTGGTTCAGAAACGCACCTGCTCCCAATCCAGCTCTTCGACTATTCTCCTTGATGGTGCTGTCCAGCTTATGCATCCTGACCATAGACTCCTTTGTCCAACCATATCGATTAATTGTTTCTTCAATCTCCTCTCGTAGTGGGCCAATGTACTCTGGGTGTGCGGCGAGGTCAAATAGTACGTTGGACACAGTCTGGCAGCAGAAAGTAGAAACATTAGCCCGCGAACGCTTCTTGATCCGAGTCGACATACGATAGTGGTAGTATGGATGGATGCAGTGTTGATTGTGAGAATCCGCAAGACCAAGTCGTCCAAGTGCCCATAGCCATCCTCCTCTGGCGCAACGTCTATGAGCCACGAGATCAGGTCGTTCTACAGTCGCGTTTAGAAATGGTTCCAGATGATTGGGGCATCTACGTACCGGTCTTCCTTCCCATTTGGGACCAAACTTCGCATCCAGTTCCTTCCTTTCATTGATGAGCGGTTCGAGGTACTTCTTCGCCCGTTCGGTCTCCGCTGGGAACTTTGAGAGCAAAGGCGCAACGATTCTGAGAGGGGAAGGTCAGTTACGGTCTCCAATCATGGAATACTAGTGAAGCGTACGGGCGCAAGAAGCTCGGGATAAGGTTCAGTATGCCGCCCACAGTGAACAGGTGAATGGTGAGGGTTTCGTTGATTCGAAGATAATCAGGTTCTCGGCCTACATTCACGTTAGCAGTTGGCGTAAGTCCACAGTCAAACAGTGCTTACAAAGAGGAATTCCGACGAACAGACGATTTGTGGTGCGACATACGACAGAAAGGAATGATTTATGAACCGGGTAACCTGTCCAATCTGAAACGCAATCCATGAGACTATTGACCAGTGCGACAGTAAAGCCTGTGTCGAACCTTTTGTAGCTGGCATTAGGTCCCGCAAAGATGCTTCAATTTCCTCCTTGATGTCATCGAATCTCCCGGGGAAGCCTTTCGTTAAAGGCCCTCGAATGACCTCTACGTGATAGTGTTTTGATCTGGGGTGACCCGTGTCCTTGGGAAACAGGTATTTGTTGTGAAAGATCTTGTTGAAGCCGGGTGTCAGCTCAAAATCGGAGAGAAGGAATTGCCAGAGCACACTTCGTTAGCAGCTTCGTGGAAAGACAGCTCTTCTTCGTTGGATTTGCGAATGTCGTCGACGATATTGGCTCCATTTGCGACAATCATCCACCGGTTTGGCGTTGCGAGAGTAGCGACTTTGAACACTGTCCCGGGGTACTAGGTCGACTACATTAGCACGTTTCAAATGAAACCCGAGCGCGACGAAACAGGGCTTACCTTTTCGTATCCTTCTTGAATGATCTCTCTTCCATGCTTCAGATACCTCCATGCTGAAAGATACGAGGAGATGAATCCATCCCCGCCTACAGTTGGTATGTGCCTAAGCTATCGCAATAAACGCAGTATGAATTAGCCTGGCAAATCCCATCTGTCGTCACGCTACTCACTTTCTTCTCTGAAATCCGAAAGAGCGCCCATTGATACGCCAACCAGGCAGAAAAGCCCATCCCAAGGAGGGTTAGAAGCGACATGGTGCTCGTTGGAACTGAGGGCTGTCGGTCACGAAGAGGAACGAGGGGAATCCCAACATGTTTGACTTTGAGCGCTATATGTGAAATCAGGCGATTCTGATTGACTCCGGGTACCGTGCTTCCAATGAACCCATGAGAGCGTATTGATTACACACGATGCTGTGTTCGAAGAAGCCATGGATCAAGGTTTTGGTGAGGTCGATAACAAGAGACGCGGTTGCCCCTCGATGGGCGCTGATTCGCTGATGATCAATTCTCACGGAATTGATGCTTAATTTTGGGTACGCTCCCTGGATGTGGACGGTTCCAACCCAACTAACCACATTCAAGGCTGCTGAGTAGTCGATAATCCATATGATACACACAGTAACTCTAGTTACATGACGATGGTCCATCTTCGTTAGGAGATAAATGTCAAATATTCTAAGCGCTCAGTTCCATAACGGGCGGGCCTCGGCGCCTATCAATCACTAGCACATTCAAACCGTAGGCCTTCCTTGCCGCTTTCTAAAGAGGATTTCGGCCTTGGGATTTGGTACGCGGAACGGTCCAACCCATTTCGTTCCTTCTTGAGCGCCCTCCTTAGGCAGCTCCATATCATAATTGAGCAGGATGTTAGCGAGAATTGCTTTGACCTCGTTGACGGCGAAGAATCGTCCAGGGCTACGAGGAAACAGTTATGCGACGAAACGGGCGTAGACATGAGATCACTTACCAGGCATTGCGTCCGATACCGAATAGAAGGAAATCGCGGGAAAGCGTTACAAGGCTCTGGCTACGGGGATCACCTCCTTGTGCAAACCGGAACCCGTCGAAGGTTTTCGCATCCTCGTAGAGTTCCTGTGCAGAAGAGGAAGGTGAGTATCTAAGGCAGCTAGAAATTTAGATAGACTCTTACAGAATCCGAGTTCATGGGCGAAGCTGCAGCAGTAACCCTGAATCCCTTCGGGATGACGGTCCCATCAGAGAGTTTGTAATCGGTTTTCGATTGACGTTCAACAAAGGCTATGTACGAGATCCAGATCAATATATCAGCGAGCGTTTCAAAGGCGCCTTATAAGACGTACCAGCAGCTACCCCAGCAAATCGTACGCTTTCCTTCATGAAACTGTCCAGCTTTTGCATGCGAGTCATAGACTCCTTCGACCACCCATGTTCCTCCACAACTTCTTCTACTTCGGCGCGCAGTGGTTCCATGTATTCTTGCCTAGAGACGAGCTCGAATAGGCAGAGAGTGAGAGTCTGGGTCAAGGGGTGAGGTTCAACGACCAGTCCTAGTGAGAAGCTCGAAACGTACAAGCGAAGTGGTATGAATAGCCGCCATGTTGATGAACATGATGCCCAACGCAAGGCTTTCAAGTGTCTTGTTCTCTTCTTCCGAAGTCACGTCCAAGAACCAAGATATCAGATCGTCCTGTGTTAATTCCAGTTAGCAGCATGTCCTAGCCGTTACCCGTATAAGATAAAACACCTACCGGCTTCCCCTCCCAATCCTTTCCATGCGTCTTCTCCATCTCAAGTCTTTCACGGATCACCGAGGCCAGTCGTTTTGCGGTCTCCTCGTGACTTCTGTGGACCTTTGTGAACAATCTTCCTCCAAACCTGCGGGGATCATTCAGTAACTTGTTTGAAAATAACAGCGAGGCCCATGACATACGGTCTTAGGAACGCCGGTAGCATGTTCAGCGATTGAGTTCCAGTAAAGAACGCGATAGTCGTATCCTTGTGAATTTGACAATAATCCGAATCCCGGCCTGGATTTGTTCAACACTGTTCGGAAAGAAAGGGACTAACAAGAGTACTCACAAAGAGGCAGTCCGACAAACAAGCGATTCGAGGTTTGGGCGACTATCGAAAGTGCTTTTGGATAGAAAGGTACGGTGGACCATTCTGAACCGATCAAAATAAGCCCAAGGTCGAGTCAGATGTAGCTTAAATTGGTAACTTACCTTCCGTCGGGGGAATGTTGGCGCCGAGGGACAGCCCAATCTCCTCTTTGAGCTCCTCAAACCGCAACGGGAAGCTTTTAGTCAGGGGCCCGCGCACGACTCTGACAATGTTATGGCCCATGTTGCGAAGCATAGGTCCCTTGTCCCGCAAAATGTAATCTCGTTGGAAGCTCTGCAAGTGGAAGAGGGGGTGTTAATGTGGCACCTCTCGCATCAATTAGTGAACGCCCTTACTTCGAAGCTAGCATCGTGTTGCGATAGCTCGTCTTCAGTGGCCTTTCGAATTTCCTCAATCATGTTGGGACCACTCGCAACGATAAGCCAGCGATTGGCAGTCGAGAGTGTGGGGACTTTGAAGACGGAGCCCCGATACTGCGAATAGGCGCGAACACAGTGAGGTCTTTGATTGCACCCTTCGATTCAGACGCCTACCTTCTCGTATCCCTCATGGATAGCATCCTTCCCGGAAAACATATATTTCCACGCCGCGATGTAAGAAGAAATAAAACCATCTGGCCCAACAGTTGGGATATGCCGAACCTGTCCAAAAACGAAGGATCACAGAGTGAGCGCAGCGAATGGAAAATATAATCGGCATATCACTTTACCTTTCGCTCGGTGATGGTGAACAGTACCCACTGGTATGCTATCCATGTGGCAAGGGCCGTCCCAGCGATTGCAGCGAAAGTCATCGCTGTTCGTGGAAGAAATAAAGAAGTGGGAAATGAACCACCAAACGAGACTTCGCGAGGGCATATATAGAGTCTGAGGCAATCCAGGGAGCACTTCCATTGGTACTGTCATTACTTACTCGAGGCCGACTTTACGCTGTAATGCTGGCTGCAGGTTCCGAATAGTCAGACTCCCTGTAGTCGACGAACAATATGCATCGTGCCGAAGGTTGAGCGGGTCTAATCTGGTACCTGCTGGTCGAAAGCCATCCGCAGAGACGCAAACCTCGATAACCGAGGATCGTCTTACCCTGAGCCCATTCCTCTAGCCGAAAGGGCGGTCGGACACACGGCGAGAAACCCAAGAACCACGGTGTTCAACCGCGAAGCTGCCGGTCAAATCTCAATCCCGAGGTGGGGCTAGTATCGGCTCCTCGCTGCATCCAACGTGCTGATTGTCCATTGTATGAAAATAGCGCAGCCACAAGTCGGTATGTCAATTGAATTTCACAAATAGTTTCAACTCAGATTCCTTGCACGAAGTGCATTCCACCAATATTCCGTTCTGTGCAAGGCGTGTCTGCCCACCCTGAGCGCTGAGCAGAACCTGCGCCTTCACATCTGGTGAGCGTGTCACGCTCCGCGTACGTGCTGTATAAGAGTACATTAGCCATGTCACAAGTCCTAGTGCGTGGCAAAGGCAGTCTATTAATAGTTCATTCCGTGCAATGCGCATCTGCTCAATTCACCCGACGCTCCCTGAAGAGAACCTGCGCCTTGATATCTGGCGAGCGCGTCTCGCCGAACCAGAACGGCGTGGGTGGAGCAGTCTGCCCATCTGGAAGCCGAATATCGTATGTCACCAGGATGTACGCCAGTATCGCTTTCGCTTCATTGACGGCAAAGAAGCGTCCGGGGCTGCGCAGTATGTAGTAGTAGCGGGTGAGCACGCTGGCCAAACCCCAATCACGGCCCAATGTGAACATATACTACTCACCATGCCGACCTTCCTCCTCCAAAAATAAGAAAGTTAGGATCGAGCGAGGATATACTTCTTCTCGGGCCGTTTCCCTTTTGCTCCTCCGATTCGATAAATCGGAACCCGTTGAACGCGGCTGCATCTTCATAGATGTCCTACAAGGGGGGGAATTCATACTAAGAATACTTCGAAAATGACCGTGTGCCGATAGATACACGTACAGAGTCTCCATGGGTCGCCACAGCGGCGACTGCCACCCTGAAGCCTTTCGGGACCGTGACCCCGTTCGAAAACCGGAAGTCCTCTTTGGTGGTCCGTTGCATCGAGACTTCATTACCCTATGAGTGTGCCTATCTCAGAGAAATAAGAACGTTTCAACGCACGAGCAAGGATTCCGGCAAGCCTGCTGCTCTCCTTGATGACGCTGTCAACTTTGACTAGCTGATCCAGCGCTTCCTTGGTCCACCCCAGCTCGCCGACGACTTTGGCAATTTCTGCCCGAAGCGGAGTGATGTACTCAGGCCTGGCTGCCAAGTCGAACAGGCAATTGCTCAAGGTCTGGTGAAGGCGAGGATCGTTATCAGGGAAAGTCTCCTTGACAGAAAGATGGCACTTGCAATGGATGTTGTGTGGATAGCACCCATATTGGCTAGGATGATCCGCATGGATATATCCTCTGCCGATTTGAACCCTTCGTTGTCCGGGGCGGAGTCCAACAGCCATGAAATCATATCATTCTGCGACGGTTAGTCTGGTCAATCCCCAAGGAGGCGAGAGGAGACTTACAGGTCTTCCTTCCCACTTGGAACCATACCTCTCGTCCATATTCATTCGCTCCGTGATGACTGGAGAGAGTAACTTGGTTACTCTGGCATGTTCTAACGGGAACTTGGTGAGCATCCGGCCGACCATGCTGTATCGAGATGGCTAGTTTAAATAATCAACCTAGGAAAACGGAGCTCGGCACGTACGATCGTAGGGCGACTGGCACCAGGCTAAGGACATTCGTCATTGTGAAAAAATGGACTGTCAAGGTTTCTTGAATGCGGCAATACTCTGCGTCTCGACCTACACATTTCTCCACTCGTTAGAGCAGTGGGCCGGGCAGGAAAACAATTTAGTGGAGACTCACAGAGTGGCAATCCCACAAAAACGCGATTCGTCGCTCGACAAACTATGGGGATCATAGTCTTGTAGACTTGCACTGGAGCCCAGTCTAACGATAGCTCCGCATTAGTACAGCAATCGAGGAGGGTAGATAACGGGCCAAGACCCTCACCATCGGTCTTAGGTATCGTCTCGTCGAACGACACTTCCACTTCATCTCGAAAGTCATCCAGTCGAGCAGCAAAGTTCCTTGTCAATGGGCCTCGCACAACACCAATCAGATATGGATTCTCCCAAGTCTTATCTGCGAGTCGGCGAGTCAAGCTATCACCCTGCCACATCTGAGGCATTGTTAGCGCCTGACTAGTCCTGAAGGCAAGCTCACGCAGGTATGCTCACCTGGAACAAGGCGTCATGAAACGAGAGTTCTCGCTCGGCAGCTCTCTGCATATCTTTGACCATAGTCTCGCCGCTTGCGATGATCAACCACCGGTTTGGCGTCATAAGGGAAGGAACCTTGAATGGTGTTCCTCGATACTGTACGTGGATTGGTTATAACAGCAGTGGAGGGGTGAGCCAGTATTTGGGGACCGACCTTCGCGTATCCCTCCTGCACGATGTCCTTCCCCCTCCACATAAACATCCATGCCGCGATGTACGATGAAATGAAGCCATCAGGGCCTACGGTTGGGATATGCCGGATCTGAAGGTTGGCATTGAAATCGACAAGTTAGAATCACCAGTACAAACAAAACGCAGCTCAGTGGCCACGCACTAAGCGCTCAAGCTCTCAGATCTCACCTTTCGCTCTGTGATCCTAAATAGCACCCACTGGTATAAGATCCATGCTACAACGACAGAGATGGCACACAATGAGTGAGACATGACGGACTAATGGTGAAAAATACGAAGGACATCACCATTCGCCAACTCGCCGTACTTTAAGGAAACGAATTGGAGGCTGTTCCAAGTCCAAGGTAAAAGCGACGAGGAAGTGCTGCCATAACGAAGAAGCACAGAAATGCATCATTAAAAATCATCGCACTCGAGTTGCGATGCTAGTAACTCTCTCCCAGAACCTCACCCCAAGCTTCGTGATATTCTTAGTGCTGATGGCAATGGAAGAATACGGGGTACTTCGCCCATGGCCATACCTTGCCGTCACACCATGGGAGGAAATTCGCTAATTTCTTGATACCGGTAACAGGTCTTTACGATTCTCCTGGTATCATACTTGGGGGTATCATGGCCTAAAGCGAGGGAGTGGTGAAACGATTAGAAGACATGAAACAAAACTAGAACTCCACTGCAATCAGCGCCCAGGCTGGGCTGAGAACGCCGCGGAACCTATTGCGTCATGGGCGCTTAGCTTCGGAGGCAATCCTTTTCCTCATGGCACGCGATTTTTCACAAATGGGCTTACTTGGGCCAGTCATCTGCAAACATGATTTACAGAATTGTACTGTATTCCATGGGTTTACTAGAACGTGGCAGTAATATAATAAATAACAGTCGTGAGAATCCGTTTCGTAAAGGGCAGTCTATAGCCCGAACAAAGAACTATGTACATAAAATGAACGAGTGGGGAATTTGGGGAGAGACGGTTGGGTGGGTAGGTATCGCACGAGGTCGTATACATGATCAGTAATAAGGGATATCTGATCAATATAGTTCTAGAGTTCATACAATAAATAAGGTGCCGTTGGGAAAACGGAAACGTAACCGAGGACGAGGCCAATAACGAGATTAGGAAAAGCATAATTGCCAAGCCCGATTCAGGCGTGCTTTCTTCACTTTCCCAAAGCCTTCCTAACTACGTTCTGTAACGACATGCCGTCGTCCTGATCCAAGGACCAGCTGAAGCAGCCAGCCATGCCGCTATCGCGCGCAAGCTTGGCTTTATCGTTCAACGACCACGTATCTGCCAAATATCAAGTCAGTCACCGTCAGCACAACGAAATAATTCTAACATACCATCGTAAGAGATGACAGTCTGCTGCGCAGTGTTGAACAGGTAGGGCGTGTTACTGCAGTTATCCCAGCCCATCGTGAATCCACCACCCTGGCCGTACGTGCCGTCCGACTTCTTGACGAGGGCACCGGACGAGACGATCGTCTTGAACGGAATCTGCTGGCCCCACCACCGCCTCAAATCAGCCGCCTGAACCGTAACCAGACCGTCAGCCTTCTTCTTGCCCTCATCGCCGTCCTTGGAAGCAGCAGCAATGGATCCTTCACCGTCTGCGTTCTCGACAGCGACGCTCTGGGCGATGGCGCCGTCCTTGGGTCGGGGATGGGCGCCGTTGAGGAAGGTGATCTCGCCGTTACCGTCCAAGGAACTGGTCTCGCTTTTGGTGAGCAAGACCATGTCGTCGGTAGGCATGAACGCGCCGGTGAGGACGTTCTTGGTGCTCTTTGAAACCCAGCCATAGAGTGCGAGACCGAGGAGTTGCTAAAAATGAGGTGTAAGAACGAGGACTACGGAGGGCCACAACGGATTAACTAACCTTGTTGGCAGGGAACCCGGCAGCCTTCCATTGCGCCAAGGCAGCTTGGGCACTAGCATGAGGTTGTTTGGACGTCCCACAGAGGTTGCCATAAGGTGCATTCGGGCCAGGCGTCCCAGAAGCGCCCCAAACGTCGTAGTTCCTGCAGAAACAAAAACAGGTTAGTCGATTGATCAAGTGAACACCGGACGGCTACGACGTACATGATGCAGATATAGTTCATGATTGCGGCAAACTCTGACACGTTGGTGAGAGGCCTGCCATTCGATCCGAGCCAGGGGAGGTGGGCGACCGCGGAGGAAAGGATCTTGCAAGGACCTAGCGGAGCGTTAATTGTGACCCTTAAACGAAAAGCCGCTGTACTCACCCATAGCATTGCGCAGCAACTTCATGAGCGAGAGATAGTTGGCAGTGTCATTGGCACTGTAGGGGTTGCCCGCGCCAGGCGAGTTGGGATATTCCTGTCGCAGGTGTTAATCCAAGTGCTGCGGTCGATGCAACAATACGTACCCAATCCAAGTCAATACCGTCCAATCCGTATTGATTAACCACCTCCATCAAGGCGTTGCAGAACTTGGTTCGGTTGTTCGCAGTCGAACACGCTTGGCTAAACCAGTAGCAGCCGCCCCATCCACCCACCGACAAGACGATCTTGGTTCCATATCCGCTCTTGCGCGCAGCAGCGACGAGACGTCGAAGAATATCCTTGTCACCTCCATCCCAGGTGATGCCAGAGGACGAGTTGGGCATAACGAAAGCTGGAATGGCAACGTCAGATAGACATTGATGATAGAAGCAGAACCAACGCACCATAGAACAATATGTCAAACTTGCTGAAATCCAACTTCTCCGGGGGATGGGTTCCAGCGCTCCATGCAGGGTAGTAGGCCGCGTAGATCATCGTGCTCGACACCTTTGCAATCGTTTCGGCGTTCGTCATGGCCCTCTCGCTAGTCTTTGGGCTTCCATCGACCTCCTCGGCAAAGGCAGCAACAGCGGCAGCGGTAGGCCTAGTCGCTGCCAAACTCAATGCGGCCTTGCGAGGGAGGGTGGATGGTAGGGCGTCTTCCAGATCAAAGTTGATGTTGAACCGGCTGGGATCGAGGAGTGGAGACGAGGTTTCTTCGCCCAACAAGAACTGGGTAAGCGCCGAATGGTTCTTGAAATCGGGCGAAGCGAGAAGGTTGTTGAGGTAATTGGTAAGACCGGATTTGCGCTCGGAGATGAGAGCATCGTCGACCCAGGCGGAAGGGATGAAGTAGGTCACCAGGAGCCGCTTGGGAGGCAATTTGAACGGGTCTTTCAGGATGTCTGCAGACGGTGTGAGAGCAGCCCTCTGAAGTCAGACTGAAACTAACCATGCAAAGTCACGAACTAAGGCGAACGTTAGTAAATAGTGATTCGTAAAACTGAACTCGCACGCACCTCTGAGTACCGACGATGGCTGACATACTCCTTTCCACCACTATTGACCTTGACGGTATAGAGAATGTGAGGGCGGGGACTAGAAGCTGTGGTGTGCCCAGCAATCGCAACTGTGGTAGGCGAAGTCATGGTCGTACACGGGGTAGGATGAGGCTGGTGGGAAGGAAAGAAAAGGGAAGAAGAACGACCTGAACCTTGGAACAAGACAAGATGTCGGTTTATGTAGCCAGCCTCCACCCACACGCATCCGGAGCCAAGAGCTAGAGCGACACGACAGCATCGCTCAAATAAGGACAACACCTTCCCAAGTTTCAGATAACGGGTTGTTCGTGCCCAAAGGTGCCTTGGAGTCTCCTGGGCTCCCTCTGCCAGGAAGCTAGCTTCTGCCGTAGCCTGAACGCTTGGCTACGTCGAGGAACAAGGGCGGGAACGTCCAACAACGCCGCTCCGAGACACAGAGGAACGAGCCAGACCGCCAATTCCAACCACCACACTAACAAAGCGCGATATGCGCGGCAACATTCATAAACCCATCCACGGGTGAGACAGCTCGCTCGTCAACGACTACCGACGCCACTGCTTGTGCTCGACTTCAGTCCAAATATGCCTCCCTGTAGGCTGTGAGCTGCGATGCTGTTTACGGCTTCGCATTGCCGATTTCGCAGAGAAGAAGCCACCCAGCGCGGTCAGGGTGGAATCGCGTGAGTGATTTGACTGGACGATCCTCGGGTTTGCTCGTCGAAGTCGGTGGACACGTGTCGTGGTTTTTCTTGACCTTGATTATCAGAAAATGGCGGATTTCCTGGGATATAAGACGGAATTCGAGTTTTTCGAGATCAAGAGATGGGAAACTGGACCTCCAGCGTCGGGGGACATTCCATTCGCCTGATTTGCTCGGTGCTTGTCTCCGACTTTGGAAAGCAACAACACCAAAGCTGGGCCAAACAGAGATGGCCTCAGCCGGGCCCGGAAGCAATGGGGAGCGCGATGAAGCTAGTCAGTAGAACGCTCCAAGGAGGCTGGAGAAGTTATGTACAGTCCTGAGTACACAGCAAACAGAGGGACAGTCTTCAACCTGGATCCGAAATGGTCCAGCGAGACACCTGCGGCAGTAGTGAGCATAGCGTCGGTGACGAAAGAGATTAGCATGGGCTCTAACGTCCGTAGCAGCTTACGGAGGCTGGAGAACGATTGGCACTGGACTTCATGAAGCAGCGGCGCCGAGCAGACTCTAGAGGTTCCAGACCCTCGTCATCCCAGTTGTAGATTACCAGCCTAAGCCTATAGTCGCGCTAAGGTTGTACCTTCCCTTTGTGGAGGCTGGTCCAGGGACGGAGCCGTTGACCAACAAGGACCTCTTACTGCGTGGTCCCGTCCCAAAATACGAGGCATACAGTAGCGATGGTCGATAGTCGGCGACCAGTTGGGAGAGAAAAGGGACGAAAGAAAGAAGGATCACCCACCAGGCGACTAGCAAATCCAAACCAAACGATCAGCCATGGCTCCAGGCTCGCTGTTGATTGACACATTGTATAGTACACCGCCCGGGGCCGGGACGTGGTCAAAATAGGCGCGTGCATGAATCTCTGGTGGACGATGCTTCGACAAATTCGGTCGATATTCGCAAGATACTAATAGAAGCTGATACGTCCCCTGCTATGCTATTCCATGGGAATCTTTCCTCGTTAGGTGTGTGTCGTTGACATGACAATCACCACAAACGACGTTCACCTCCGAGTCGGATAACGCCCACCTCCACCACCGCCAGCTCCACCGACTTGACTGCAGTCTGCAGTCGATCGAACCAAGGCGAAGACAGTGCAAAAGACGACAATGCCCAGCTAGGTAGCATCAGAGCAACAGCAAGTATCATTCGACAACAAGATTGTGTCCGTACACAAGGTTACAGAAGACATGTACATGTATGTATGGGTTTTCTGGTTACATGGAGACTGGAACAGGATCATCGCGAACACGAACTACATCAGGAGTCGAGGGGGGTGCATCATGATAGAGGGGTACAGACGTGGGAAATTGGAGGGGCGACACGTTGAGTTCAACACACCACTACACCCCTCCAACCGGACTCGGATGCCTTGGAACGTTTAAGAGGGAGGTCCAACCCTGGTGAATCCAAACCTGAGGTTTCCGTCGCTGGAGAGGGTCAAGTACTGTCCTCCAGAGTCAGAGGCGTACGCCATCGGGGTGAGATTGTCATAAATGGTCATCGACATCTTCCTACTCCCATCACTCTCGTCCTCGATGTAGAACGCCTGCCAGGACCCCTGCTCGCTCGGGGGGTCCTCGCACTTGACGTTCTCGTATCGGTTGCGCCCCATACGCTTGTTGGTGCCGACGCAGACAAAGCCGAGGCGGTTCTCGGCGTCGCGGGTGGCGTAGAAGATCTGGTGCTGGTCGCCTTCGTTGTAGTCGCGCAGGTAGATGTCGTTATTGACATTGGTAAGGACCCTGGTGGTGTCCTGCCAGATGTTGATAACATACCACCCGCCAACGTCGATTGGTGTCGGTTCCTGGAAGGCTGAATGGTGATATACGGTCAGCAATCCTGGTCTTGAATAGGGAGACGCGAGGTACGTACGATATTGTGTTTGAAATGAGCTGAGGAGTTGGGTTGCTTGGTGAAGTTGCTGTAGTAGTAGAGCTGAAGTGCGTTTTGCTCTGGGTAAAACTGGGCCTCGATATCAGCCCTTTTATACATTTTTGAGAGTACCGCCGCAGCTGCTCTGGAAGCCCTCATCGTCATCAAGTACCCATACAATGCGTCACCAACGAAGATGATCCACCACGGGAAGTTAATCGTAGGCTTCCATGCCTCCTCCACTCCTTCAGTTAACTTGACAGGCGCATTCCATACCATGTCACAATACGGACGATACGATTATACACCCGGACGCCCGGCGTTAGCTCCCTCCGGGCGACAATCGATGTATCACAGGACTCGGGGAGATTGACTATCACCAGCTCAAGGGCACCAACCATGCCAGGTAGACCCGAAGTTCTTTCAAGAGTCCTACACTGTCCTGTACTCGAAAGGCGAAACTACCTCCATTACCTCCATATATCGCTCACACGGGTCAATCGCGTGGTATCCATCCACCGCAACTATCCAAGTACCGGTGCGATTTCATTGTTCAACAACACACCAAATGTCGTTTTACCCAGATTTTTACCATCGGCATCGTCCAGCCGTGCACCCTTAATACGGTCACCTGATCCGCTGTTGGAACCTCGGGGAGTAGATAACATCGGACTCCTAAATCCCATTCCCGCCGACCCCGCTCCAATGCACCAGCTTCCAGGTAAGCTTTATACATACCAAGGAATTATGGAACAATAGTAGTTTGGATACGTGACCTCAGAGGAACTTCTCAAGTCGAACGTTTATCATTCCTTCACAAGGAAGTTGAGGTCGTGCAGGTGGAGTTTAATGGGGGAGACCAGTTATGGACCTGAATAGAAGGGGTTGGAAGGCGGGAGAACGACCAGGCCAAGTTGTTCAAAGTCAAACGAACTTTGATTGCCGCCCGGGCCGCCTCAGAACCGGACGGCCAGAGCAGAATGGGCGCTTAAGGCTCCGATCGTTCAACGAATGCACGATGTCGGTAAGGTAGGTAGGTACATTACGCGAGAAAATACCCCATTCTATCCGAAACTCCAACTCCTAGTAATTCTAACTCTCCTTTGGCTCGACTGGCACTACAACGACCACAGGCGCGTTCAGCATCCACGCCAACCGCAAGGACCCAAAACAAATCGACATACTCTTGAGCATAGCGTGCCCCTCGACCCCGGTCGCCTCCTTCCCTTTCGCAGGTAACCCGTTCGCTCCGACCTTCCCTCTTCCAATGACAAACGGTGCTGCGATCTTTCAACCATAGCACCGTCAGTGAGTGATTGTATCAGTGAGTGATTGTTGAATACTGATTGAGGATAACGATATCAGAGTCATACTTACCTCATATCCAAGGTGCGCGTATCGATCTCTTGACTTGGGAGTTGAAGCTTCGAGGGTGAACATCGCATCCGGTGCGTGACTGAATGCTTCCCTGATGACCATCGACATATAACCTGGCAGCGAAACACGTCAGCCAAACGTCAATTCGCCAGGGTGGACGGCTTCCTCACCTCTACCCTGGAACTTGGGATCCGTCATCATGTGCAACAAATACCACGAGTCCGCAACGGGCGTTCGGAGTCCTCGAGCCCTATACGCCTTCTTCATCGTCTTATCGCACACAGTCAGGTACTCAATACACGCTCTCTGCAAAAGTCCACCACCATCAGCGTCACAGTAAGTAAACCCCCATCCACATCCACATCCCCCAAAGCCTATAAACTCAAAATCGACTCAAAAAAAGAAAAAAAGAAACGCACATAAATTCCTTTCACCCCCCACCCCCTATACGCCTCCCATATCCCTGACTTGAGTAGAATAGATATCTGCAGTGCACTAGGCCGTTTGTTAGGCGGCAACCAGTACGCCGCAGCGCAGACCCTCTCTCTCCCTTTAATCTTCGGTAAGGAAGCGTCGACGACGACGGTCACACGCCCTCCAACCGCTACACACATCTTCAGGAGGAAGGAAAGCCATGTACGGAGGTTGTTGCTGTCTTTTTCGAAGAGGCCATCCTCGGTGATCTGTTGTTCATGCAAGCGGTCGTATCCGCAGGGAAGGGGGATTGGGAGTTAAATTCAACCAGCTTAGGACGGTTCGCGAACGAACGAGACGTGTACCTCGTACCTCTTTCACACCGCTCACATACAGCTCCATAGGGTCATGCACGAACGCATTATGCGCCACCTCTACGACTTGATCAAAGTCCTCAGGCTCGGCAAGACGGACGTACGGTTTGGCGTCGTCGCTGTTAGTCTTACCCTCGATCTGAGTTGACGTTCCACCCTGAGGATTTGTGTGGGCAGTCAACTTGGATGTCGAAGTAGTCGAAGTTTCAGTTGTTGTAGCGTGAACTGTTGCCATGTGTCGCTGGAACCGATCTTAACGCTCAACAGGTAACGAGCCGAGACGATTTATATAGCCAGAGAAGTACGACTTGAGTCTACCAGTCCTGCACGGAGTCAACAGTGTCTGACGATAACAGACCCACAGAGATAAGCAACGACTGCGGCGCGGCTCGATCATGAATCTATACATTGACATACATTGCAGTGCCTCAACTCAGCTTTCATCTCAGCGCGCCGTTCTCCAAGTAGCATTAAAAGACGGTGACGAGATACATACAGTCTTCAGAATCTCTCTTCCTCCCAATCGTCATTTGATTGACTCGATACGGTTAGAATCCACCCGTCTCCACCCCACCAAAGCCGGTTAGAACTTTGCTGGATCACGGGGAGGCGCCCGGACCTTTGGGGTAAACAAACACCCATAGTACACCAATCGTTATCACTTGTACAAAGGCTTCCGCAGCCCCCCAGCATTTTAGAGAGTGCCTTTCGAACGATTGAGCAGCTGCGATTGCATTTCTTGGGGTGTGTCTGTCTAAAGCTGGTCCCAGGCACGCCGGCCTTCACGCCCGCAGTCTTACCCCGGTTCGTATACAAATTCCAGTTACCCAAACTATCACCGAATTTCGACAGCGTACTGCGTAGAATGGCCCTATGGGCGCTCAATCGGAGACAAAGAACTTCCGTGGGCTGGGCAGAGTCTTCCATCAGCCTGTTGCTTATCTTTCGATGCCGCCCTAGCTCCCAAGTTCGAACTGAGGTCCTTCAAAGTTCAATCCCAAGAATTCAGGGAGAAAAACGGGAATAAATTAGTAGTCCATGTGTAAGTGGAAAGCTGCTGAATGAGAGTAGAAGAATTGTACTAGAAGTGGTATACGCAATAAATTAGTTCAACGAATTAGAAAATCTGGATGTGAGAATGTGGGTTCGTCCGCATGGACGATCGATCAACTAGTATGTCTCCGGAGCTTGCACCTCTTCACGCCTTTCGTTCTAGAAATTTAAAGCACTACTGCGTGCCCTTGGACGGTGGCACTACGAACCCATTATCAAACTTGGCTCCTCAAACAGAACCACAATAAAGAAGAAGAATACGTACATTTGAGCATAGCATACGCCTCAACTCCACTCGCCTCCTCCTTCCCCTTCCCCTTCGCAGGAAGCCCATCTGGACCCACTTTTCCTTTCCCAATCTTGAAAGACCCCACGAGCTGCAATAATGAAATAATGAAACCAAACCATTAGCATATCATGATCAATGCAGAAGGCAAACGGTCAAGGACGCACCTCGTACCCCAGATGCACGTACTGGTCCCTCGACTTGGCAGTTGTCGCTTCATGAGCGAAGATGGCATCCGGTGCATGATCAAGGGCTTCTCGGATGATCATCGACATGTAACCTAAATCACAGAATGAAGGAAGGATTGATTAGTCGGTGGTTTTCGAAGGGGGTTGCGCAAGAAGAAAAGGACGAAAGCAAAGGCTTTATGCATACCTTTCCCTTGAAACACCGGATCCGTCATCATATGCAACAAATACCACGAATCCTCCACCGACTTCTTGATGCCCTTCGCTCTATACACCTTCTTCATCACTTTCTCCGATTTGGACAGGTACTCAAAGCCCGCTCGCTACACCACCACCACCACCACCACCACCAACAACAACAACAACAACGAAAGATCAGCTGGTCACGAAAGACTGCTACGTAACAAAGTTCATGAAGAAGGGACTCACATAAACACCAGACAGCCCCCACCCCTTCCACGTCTCCATCAAGCCACATTTAACAAGGAGGCGCACATCAAAGACGCTAATCCGCTGCTTGGGAGGAAGCCAGTACGCTGCTGCGCACACTTTCTCCCTCTCCCCCTCTCCCTTTGGTCCAGGAACCTTGGGCAAGGAAGGATCAACGACAACCGTCACCCGCCCTCCGATCGCCATACACAACTTGTACAGGTAGGAGACCCATACGCGGAGGTTGGTGCTGTCGTGTGGGAGGAGGCCGTCTGCTGTGATCTACCCGGCGGGGATAGGGACATCCGTATGTGATGGTGATAGTGATAATGAGATTCGTTACATGGGCAGGAGATCGCGCACAGAGATCGAATGTCGAATGGTGGAGGGTAAAGAAAAGTAATGTAAGCTCACGGAAACGAAGATATAACAGTACACCAGCTCACCTCTTTCACATTCCCAAAATACAACTCCACGGGATCATGCACGAACGCGTTATGCGCCACCTCCACAATCTGCTCAAAGTCCTCCGGTTCAGCGACGCGGACGTAGGGTTTCGAAGGGCCCCCGGGAGATGGGGATGCTCGTTCGGGCTGTGGGTCGGGGCCGGGTTGCGCTGGCGTCGTATCTGCGTGAGGATGTGGTACTGGTGCGGATTCGGGATTGGTTTGTTGGTCTGGGGTGGGCTCCAATACGGCGGCCTCGTCGGGCGAAGAAGACTCTGACTCCATCGGGTTTGCCGTCGAATCTCGTTCAGGTTGCTCCTCCAATGCCGACTCTCCATTCAACCCAGACACGTCGTTCAAACCCGCCCCTTCCGCACACGTATCGACCGCCACCACCTCTGGACCGTATTTCGCCCCCTCCCCCGGCCCCTCCTTGGTAGGCTCGTCGCTCGTCCACTCGACTTCAGACGGTCCCGACGACAGCGTCAATTCGACTTTAGGCGGTCCAGACGACAATGTCGACTCGACTTTGGGGGGTCCCGACGACAGCGTCAAGTCGAGATTAAACGGTTCCGACGTAGTCGAGTCGAAATTGAAGGGTTCCAACGCCAGTGTCGAGTCGAGGTGACCGGATCCCACCGCCCCCGTCGCTGCAGAGTCCGCATTCGATTGGTCCACCTGGTCCGTCGTCGGCTGGTGCTGCCGCTGTTCAGTCTGACTCGCCATTATTTCCTACGTCGTCAGCGCTTGGAGGCTTGGAGGCTTGCTTGGAGGTCGCGTCGAAGAAATTCCACGTCGCGGTTGATGACACGAACCGCGCTCGCCCGAGAGCCTAGAGGGATGCAATAAAAACAACGAAACGAACGAACGAAGGATAGCACAAAAGAAAGGAGAGGAAAGAAAAAAAAGGAACGACCACCGCAGGAGACTCGGATTAGCACAGAACGAACGGAAAGTGAGACAACTAGTCACAAAGTTGTGACGCAGCACCCCCGACCGCAAGCGAGCGGAAAGAGTTTCAATGTCATGATTCATCAAGCCGCTCGGGCTCGGTAAGGAGAGGCCGCCGCAGCCGCGCAATACAGAGTCCAGACTCCGGAAAGATTCGTGAGTCGTCAGCGAGTGAGTATGCTGCGCTGCACAGTTCATCTTCAAGTGCAGCAACGAAGAACGATGACAAAACATGACGTAGCCACAAAGTTTAAATTAAGCGCCCAGGAACCTAAAGTCAAAAAGTAAGATCCATCAACTTCAAGGTTTCTGCGCGAAGCCCGCTCAATATCCACCTAGGAAACCGGGGGAACACACTCGTTATGTACATAAGACACCAAACTTAAACGAACACACATGTTATGTACGCCAAACTTAAAACGAACACACACATACTCCCCCTATTTAACCAAACCACAAATCCAAGCGATAAGCGCTGTATGTACATAGACTCACCAAAAGGGTGAACTTTTCTACATGAAGGTCAAACGTTCTCAGTACACCTCACCTCATCTCACCTCACCCCCCTTCCCTCACCCCCCTTCCCTCACTCCCTCCTCCAAACACCAACCCTCCCAGCAGCCCCACACATCTCCCTCCCATTCCCCCTACACGGCATATCACACTCCCCATCAGACCTCAAACTCGCCGTATCCCGTATCCGACTCCCACAAAAACACTCCTATAAAACCGTCCCCAAACCAACCAACCAACCCAAAGAAAAACACGTCAGTTTTCGGCCAGACATCGAATTAAATCGACTCTCGAGGAAGAACCATCAAGTCGAATGGATTCTCGAGGAAGAAAAACATCGAATCGAATCGACTCTCGAGCAAGAACTTAAAACTCAAGGCGAGACCACGCACCTGCCCATACTCAACACCCCCATACCCCCACCCCAACCGCCCACACCGTTCCAAACACCCCCTCACAGAATTCCCAACCCCATCCACAAAATACCCTCCATCCCACAACGTCCGCGCACCCGTCGTATCAGTGTAACACCCCACATATCTCCACGTCTTACCACTCACAGTGGTGCTTGCAGGAGGAAAGGGTGCGTTCACAGTGGTGGTAGTGGTAGCCGCAGGAGGAAAACCTGGTGTAGTCAAAGACGGACGGGAGAAAACGTTAATCCGACCCGCCGCTCCACACATCTGGCTAGCTATAAACATAAAAACCACATTCAGCCACCAGCGACCAAACACAACACACGAATAAAAGAAACCCACCATCCCCACTACACCTAACCCCACACTCCCCCTCCCCCTCAGCCCTCCTCACACCCTCCCTCATACCACGACTACAAAAACACTCCATCCCATACTCAACACCACCATACCTATACCCGCCCCTACTACACAACCTCAAACACCCCTCCCTCGTATTCCCCTTCGAGTCGCTGATGAATAAACCGTCGGGTAGTGTCCGAGATGCACTGTTATCGTGGTAGCACCCTTCATATTTCCAGGTTACACCGTCGATGGTCGTACTCGAGGGCGCGGGAAGAGATGAGGTAGTGGTGGTGGGTGTTGGGCCCGTCGTAGTAGCAGCTACCCAAGGCCCGAATTAGAAATCACAACCGGAGGAAATGAACGAAGGCAACATACTAGCAGCCCCAACATACGCATTATAATTATCTACCTCCCTCCATCAGCTCCATAACCCCACTGCAGAAAATATACACATCACTCACACCGCGCAGGCCTCTCAACAAACTCAAACCCCCCATCCGTCTTATCAACCAAAACAACACCTCCCCTCTCCATCTTCACACTAATCCTCCCAGGCGCAGTAGGAATCTTGAGCTTGCTCACACCCGACGGGACTTGGAACGTCCCAGACGAGGAGCCGAGTCGGAGTGTGACTGTGGCTGGGTGGGTGGCGAAGACCGCTGCCCAGAGAAAGTCCTGCATCCCAGGGTAAGTGAAAGAAGTGCAAAAAAAAAAAGAGGCAGGTAGACTCACCTCGGCCCAATCCCATCCACTCGGTTTGCTGAGTACAGGTCGTGTCGCATCCGCCCGTGCGGGGTGAGGCCTCGACCAATAATAAACGACATCTTTCTGTAGCAAGCGCGTCGATTATTCGAGCCCGCCTCAGACCCCAAAGAAACACGCACAGTAATAGCAGGATAAACACCCGTCTTAAACGCCTTGATATAATACTCCGACATATCAAACCAAGCCGTATGAGGGAACCCATCCGCCCAATACGTGCCAGCCGGTTGGGCACCTCGAATCGGACCAAAACTTGGTAGAAAATCATCAGCTCCAAGGAAAACTGGTGTGGAAAGAAAGGGGAACATACTAATCCGATTCACCATAATCGTTCCTGTATTAGGTGCGATTAGCGGAATACGATGGACGAGAATACGGACATACCAAGTCAACATCTCAATAAACGTCAACCGATCTCTCATACCCACCAACTGCTCCCACCGGTTGTTAATCAACCAGTTGTCGCCTCGGAGGTAAAAGTTTTTGGATGGCAGATGCGTGCTGGAACGGAATGACGCAGGAGGTCAGCACCATACGAACCAGGAGGGAGGAGACGAAAGACCTACAACATCCACATACTAACAGTCGTCGCATACCGACTTCCCAACTGCGAAAAATCTACCAACATCCCAATCTAATCAACATCGCAAAACCACCTCTAAAGAATCTGAACAAAACCCACAATACTCATCATCCGACACACTCTTATCCCAATTCCCCTGCGGCCACGCACACCCCCAACAATACCAACTATCCAAACTATCCCACTGCTTAAACTGCCCTTCAATCCCCCAAACGAACGGCATCACAAACGCCCCAGTCTCCGCTTTCACCCTCCTCCAACCCTCATTCCCCAAACACCCCCCTCCATAACTACTAACCATCGCCCTCCCCCCAGGCCCTCCCACCCTAAACTGCACCGGATAACTCTTAAACATATTCGTATACCGCACCACAAACCCAACATCACACTCCATCTCCGTAAAATCGAACGAGAGGAATAGGTGGAGAGGTGGGTTTAGGTGTAGACGGGAGCTGAGGGAGCTGGCCACGGTGTAGGCGGTGTGGAGTTGGTGCAGCTGCCACGGCGAGGAGCCGATGTTGAGGGCGATGGCGTCGATGCCTTTGGCGTGGATTTGGAGGAGGTCCTTTTCCCAGTCGGTGGGGGTGTAGGGGTAGGTGTCTGGGGAAAGGGTTAGTGGATTGGGAGGGGAGAAAGGAAAAAAGGAAATAGAACGCACTCCCAACGATATGGTGCATGAACACATACTTGGTCCCATCGCGCTTCACGAGTTGGGAAGTATCGTCGCCCGGCCATAGCGTCGCATTCCCTGTCCTATTTCCATCCGAATCCACGTTCGCAGTCGGAGCGGGACCACTACCCCCAGACGCCAGTAAATCACTTCTCCGTGCATGCCGATGATGATACTCCCGACCCTGTCCATGGCGCCGCTCCAACCTCGCCTCGACGCACACAAGGGGGAGGAAGAGGAACGAGAATAGCAAGATGAAAACGGCTCGGAGCATTTTGGGGACCGACGCTGTCTTGCGAGGTTGCTGGTATGTATGTATGTACTTCGCGGTTGCTGGTGTGTATGGATTGCGAGGTCGTCGGTCTGTATGTATGCACTGCGAAGTCGTCTGTACGTATGGATGTATGGTGTCGTCGGTGGTGGATGGTATTGTGGCGGCGGCGCCGTAGCTGTCTTTGAGGAGGTGAAGCCCTGGTCGTCCTTGAGGAGGGTATGTCTGGTCGTCCTAGGAACCTATAGAGTACTCGTGTATCTCGCCCTGGCGAGTCTTGCGTCGAATACTGCAGGCGAGCTGGAACCGCGTTATATACAGAACCGCGTTATAGAGAGACCCGTCCAATCCCTACTCCTTTTTTGAGCGTGTATTTCGAGTGGCGAGATTTCGAGGGGAAGTAAGTAGATCGAGCACCGAGAGAGGCCTTCCTTGCACCGCGTCGTCGTCCAACGAGTGTGAATCGAGTAAAGAGCGTGTTGGAAATCTTGTAAGGAGCGAACGGATTGAGCCTAGGCGAGGGGGCGTATGCGTAGACGAGATGCTTTTAGGCGTAGGCGAGGAGGCGTTTCGCGTCCAAGCAGACGTTGCGACCCAAAACGAGCGAGCGAGATCCAACTACCGAGCGAGAGAGAGGTAAAAAGTTAAAACCCAATCAACGAGCCAAAGTCAAACGGTTAGAAACCGACCGTGGAGATTCAGAGAAAGACCTGCACGAGGACCACAGCGAGCGAGAGAAGTAAAACGAAGAAAGAAAAAAAAGGTTAAGAATGTCAACCCATTGATCAGACGTCCAAGGATCGGTGCCTTGCACTGGATGGCCTGTACGGCGCTAAGCACGTAGGCTGTCAAGTTCGCGCCGCGGGAGGTGGCACGCGCATCGCATCCTCCATACATCCATACAGACATGCTTGAAAAGCGTATACATAGCTCCATAACGCACTTGCTGTGCCTGGCGCTATCATGGTCATAGTCTACAAGCATGGGGTCCCAGATGGTGCTGCTGCTGTACGCGGCGAGAGGTCGATTGAAGAGAGGACGAGGAGGGAGAGGAAGAGGAAGAGGAATTGATGATCGCGGCTGAAAGCTACGTCTCTTGTCGTCAACGGTAAGACCGAATTCGAAGGTTGATCCTTTGATGCAATCCGCGGCTTCGAGTGGATGGGATTGACGCGTCTTGCTTCCCTTTCTGCGGATGTCATTTTTGTGTTGGTCTGAATAGACTTGCAGTACGACGCTAGCAGCCGGCTTACACTTCACGCAGAGAGGAGCATGCAGCCTTTTGGGCGTACGACTACAGGGACGACATTCGTTAGTACAAAAAGACCCAGAGGAACGGGGCGAGGAACGTACATATGTACACTCTCTTCCCTCCACCAAGCCCTTAGGCCCTTCTCCCGCGTCCGACATCCAAGGCCTAAACTGGCCGGGGCACCACACCTCCCGTACCGCCGTATGCTCGTAGACTCTCAGTTGCTCGTTCGCCGTACGCACCCTGCTCTCCTCCCGTGCACATAGAATAGATCCACACACCGTCGACCTATGTACCAGTCAATGAGCAAGTATCAATGCCCAAGTCGGCCAACCGCCTGAGTCCTCTGCGATGTCATCTACCCATCCCTTCTGCCATCTCCGTCTCTGCGCTATATATCCACCCATCCATCGTTTTCTTGCTATCCACCCATCCTTCGACGTAGCTTTTCTTGAGCGTTGCGTCCTCGTCGTTCAGACTCGATCCAATGAATCATGCGTAGAATGCGATTCCCAGTTGTGAACTGTCCGTCAGGTCAAGCCTGCATCGAGCACTGGATCAAAGTCGTATGTCGCAAGTCATGCACCACATCGTCGCGACTAGGTATGCGTGTTGTGGTCGCTGGGTACCTTCGTCTTCATCGATCTACATACTCAGTAGACATCATCGTCAATGTCCAAGCCTTCCTTCTGAATCTCCGAGTCTCCTTCCACCACGACGCCAAGCGCACCCCGTCAACCGGACCGATAACACTGACAGCGCAACCTCCTCCGATACCTCCGTCCCCGTGAACCCAACCCTAACCCGAATCCATCCATCAAATCTTCGATCAACACAAACTCGATCGAACTCGAATTGACTCTTTTCCAACCTCACCTCTCCTCCTCCAGCTTCACCTCTCAAAAGTTCTGCTAGGACGCTTACGCTTATCCTGCGATAAGCAGTACTCTCTAAAAAGGATCTTATCCAACCTAGAGCGATAGGAAGATCTACCACTGTTGGGCCTCCAAGTTCTGGTTGAATTCGAAAAACTTGTTGAAGAATGTCTGGAGAAGATAGTTCTGCTACTACTATGGCCGTCGATGCGGTTACTACGACGGAAACTCCCGCCTCTACCACTACCACTACTGCCGCAGCTGCTCCCTCAGAAACTGCAACAACAACCAACCCCGAAAAACCCATCGAAGACGGGGAAGCGCTCGCCAAGATGGAAAAAGCTCGTCAACAAGGTGCGTATCTGTCTACGTCTGTGTGTTGTGAACGGGGATGACTGATTGTAATTTTGAAACGGTACAGTCGAGTTCTACTTTGCAGATTCGAATTTGCCTTATGACAAGTGCGTTTCCTGCCTCCCTCTTCCCTTCCCTTCCCCCTCCCTCCTCCTTCCCCCATCCCCTCACAAACCCCCTCCCACTCCAACCCCCACTAACCCCTCCTCCCTCCCTCCTCCAGATTCATGTGGACCCTGCACACCAAAGACCCCGAACACTGGATCCCCCTCTCCACCATCGCCTCCTTCAAACGCATGCGCGAATACACCGCCCTCGGCGCCGAGTTCGTCTTGAACGCCCTGCGCCCCTCGACCTTCCTCGAGCTCGACGAGAGTGGGAGGGAGGGTGCCGAGTTGGCTGGTGTGAGGGTTAGGAGGAAGACGGAGGTTAGGGAGGTGAAGGATGCGTTTGAGAGGAGTGTTTATGCTGTGAGTTCCTTTGCGTCCCTGTGTGTGTGTGGAAGTGGAAGTAAGTAGTGTTGATTGATGCGTTTGGTATTTTTGTTTTCTTTTTGTAGAAAGGTTTCCCGGAGGAAGACCCCACACTGCAGAAACGCCTCGAAGAGTTCTTTGCGACGTTCGGCAAGGTGAATTCGGTTAGGATGAGGAGGGACGAGCATAAAAAGTTCAAGGTGTGTCTTCCTTCCCGCATGAACCCTTCTGTTTATTTTGTTCCTTTTCTTTATCCCCTTCTGTTTATCCTCCTGTATGGCCTCGTTCGATTCTTGCGTACCGCCTTTACCATGTCAATCGTGTTTTTTCCTCCCATCGCTATTATGTTTCTCGCGCATCTTCATTGCCGCTACCCCTTTTGTGGTTCCCCTCCCACACTTGCCCCTCGAGCCCCCTCCCAGGATATCCATTCCCCCCTCGACGCGTACCCGAGACCTGGAACATCGACATCATACTCCTCCTCGTTTGTTTTTCCTGTGCCGTCGGTCCCCAGATCCATGGCGGCGTTATCCTATACGCTGCTCTGCTTCGTGTTTCGTGAAGTCCCCTGAATCGTTTCGTCTTCTTCTTCAATGACGTTTCGGCGTCAACCTTCCCCGTGACGTTCGACAAGGTCCACGCGTTTCATCTGTCCGCCGTGCCCCCCTGTTCGCTGGGCGACGTCTTGCAAACTGGGGGTTGCCGCTGTCCCTGGACCAGAAGTCCTGTTGTCCCACCCGCCGACTCGATTTCATTTTTTTTTCCTTGGTTGCGCATGGCTGTCCTTTTTCCTGGTTACCCACGACGAATCCGTCCGTATACGATTACGCGTAACTGACACCTCCACTCCCACTTCCAGACCTCCGTGTTCGCTGAATTCGCCGATTTCGAGACTGTGGACAAGTTCCTCAAGGCTGATCCCAAACCTACGTTTGAAGGGAAGGAGTTGTTGATTATGTCCAAGTGGGTCGTCTCTTTCTCTCGTTGGGATTTTCTCCTTGGCTTTTATGAGCCTGTCCCCTTCTGTTTTCGACCATCCTCGCGGGGTTGCATCTCTCAGTTCTACCACTCCGCGGCCGGTCATTCGACCGCCCTCTTTCATGTACTCGATATATAACAACTCCTTCGCCCTTCTCGTTAACGTCTACTTACACCCTAACCCAGACACGACTACTGCGAAATGAAAATCAAAGAAAAAGGTCTAACCGGAAAGGCCGCGAACCACCGCCGCGAAATGCTCGCCAAAGGACGGGGATTCGACGCCTTCCGCGAGTCCTCTACCTCCTCCCCTTCTTCCTCCTCCAAAGACGAACCCAAAGAAATCCTCCTCGAATACATCGGAAACCGCATCCCGATCAAAAAAGATTCCGAAGGGAACGGCTATGTGGAAGAATCCTCCATCCCTTTCGTGCGAGGTGCTACACTCCGGTTCGACGGCTGCGCCGGGGACTGTACCTGGTCCGACATCAAAGACCCTATCAAAACCCTCTTCGACGGTAAACCGCCCTATATCAAGTTTACTCGGGGTGATGATTTTGGGTTGGTGGGATTCCATAAGGCGTTGAGTGAGGAGGAGGTGGAGAAGGTTAAGGAGGCGGTGAGGAAGGTTAATGGAAGGGAGGTGAGGTGGAGTGTGCCCGGGGAGGAGGAGGAGAAGGCGTTCCAGGTTGAGAGGGCACAGGTGGCGGCGAGGGGGGCGATGGCGCAGATTACGGGAGGGGGGAAGAAGGCCGGGTCGGGTGGACGCGGTGGTGGCCGGGGAGGTGGACGTGGTGGCCGGGGAGGAAGGGGTGGTCGGGGTGGAGGACGAGGTGGAGCACGGGATAACGGGAGGAAGGAGAATGGCAAGGAGGCTTCAGGCGGGGCGAAGGAGGAGAAGGGCAAAGCTGAGGGAGGAGATGTAGAGGTTGGTGAGAAGAGGAAGAGGGCTGTTGAGCCTGATGGGGGACCGTATACGGGTGTGAGGGGTACGAATGCCCCGCCTGCGGTTGTTGCGTCTAGTGAGAGTGCGGCGAAGAAGGCCAAGACGGATGCTTGAGGTGGGCGTACATCAAGGGCGTTGGTCGTCCTTCATCTAGGGTGTTTGATGGTACCCTTCATCGCTAACCGCACCGCTGGGTTCTCCACCTCTCAAAAATCGAAATGAAATGTTATCCATGTAGCACTAGTTTCTGCTTTTTTGTTGTGTTTGTTTCGTCTGTAGTATGTAGTACCACGTAGCTAGGTCAGGACGACTGAACGAATTGCATATTTATCTTACCAAGTCGCGAGCGAGGGACTGAACGAATTTGAAGGTGTTCTAAGTTATTTCTCTACTTACCGCGTTCGAGTTCCCTTTTCGCAGCGCTACTTAGACCATATGTTCCATAAATTAGATGGTACGGTGGTTTGATGGAGATTTGAGCTTGGTCGCTGTTGTGCGTACGTACCAGTGATGGCATCAGCGCGCCGTGCTTGACGCGAATCGCGACTGGGACTGGGTTTCCTCTCTGGAATCTTCATCACCCAAAGGTTGCTGCACCAGAAGATGCAGAGATCCCTAAGGCATCGCATAACTTGCAGCCAATAATGATTAATGAGCGCTGAGCCGTCGGTCTTCTATCTTTTCGAACCCCGAGCCCCAACATGCCCACAGTGCGCACACAAGTCGCTTCTCACCTTTTCATAATCCTTTCACCTTGACCGCTACTCTCCGCCATCCTGATATCACGATTCCTCTCCCTATCCCAGCGACGATGCCTCCTTCGACAGTATAGCACCTCGGCGTCCAATGAAGACTTCTTCCGATTCACATCAGGACGATGGCTGCACGACGAGGACAACCAAAACGCACTGCGGTACCAACGCTTCAACGTCGAGGCGCTAAAGAACGCCGCCACGCTCAGCCTCTCAGATGCACCTCAAGCTCAAGTGTCCAACTTTAGCAAACTAGCAGAGGGACGATGCAACAAGGTGTTTGACGTGCAATTCACGGATGGGCGGCGGGTGTTATCGCTCGCGTGCCCACTCCCCTCGCTGGACCTGCGCACTTGGTGACAGCCAGCGAAGTGGCGACGATGAAATTTCTAAGGGAGCGGTTGGGGTTGGTGCAGGTCCCCCGGGTTCTTTCGTGGTCTTCGCGGGCAGAGCACACGCCCGTCGAAGCGGAGTATGTTATCATGGACGTCGCGGACGGTGTAGAGCTGCCATTCTCGGTCTGGCACCAGCTGACCATGCACCAGAAACTACGCCTGGTGGACCAATGGATTAAATTTGAATCTACGGTCATCAAGGCCCTCTCGGGTGGTGGGTACGGCTCGCTGTATTATCGCAAGGACCTTCCGCCAGAGGTTGCGCGGGATGTATTCGTGGACGGCCAGGCGGAAGAGGAGTTTGCACTCGGTCCTAGTACCGTACAGCTCGGGTATTGGGAGGAACGCTTCGGCTGGCCGAGAGACCTAGACCTTGACTGTGGACCATGTACGTGTTCCTATCTACATGCTTCGAGTTCTACAACTGAATGTATCCTCCAGGGCCAGATGTCTTATCCCATCTCAAATCTCTCTCCGACTCCGAGCGTGCCTGGATCCGCAAATTCGGCACGCCCCTCTCGTACGGCAGGCGCACATACAGGGCACCATGGGAGCTCCCTCCGCACCTCCAGATCCCCTCGAACCACATCCGCCTGCTCGACCAGTACGACGACATCGCCCCTACCTCATCCCCAAGGACAAATCTTTCCACCGCCCCGTTCTCACCCTCCGCTACTCGCACCAGAACAACATCTTCCTCTCCCGCGAGGCGCTCGAACGCGACGGGACCATCCAGATCTCAGCTGTGATCGACTGGCAGCACACCGCTGTCCTCCCCCTCTACCTCACGACGTTCATTCCGCAGTTCATCCAGCTGGCCATCCCCGCACCCGGGCAGCCCCAGGAACAATTCACCAAGGAAATAGCGTACCTCCGCAAAGCGTACCACGCGTTGTATTACGAAACAGGTGGAGACGTCGATTGGGCGACGATTGTAATGTCAGAGATTGACGGGAGTTTCCCACTTTCGCAGACGGTCCCTGCAGGGGCAGAGCGATGTTGGCATAGGGGGTATGCCAATCTCAAAAAGCGTCTCATTGACATTGGGACCCGGTGGGTACAGCTAATTGGACCTGGCGTTCCCTTTCCTCGTCCTGAACTGTGTTCTGACCCGGAGGAGGCTGTGCGCGCCGAGGAGGACGATGTAAAGTGGACTGAGGTTGCCGGCGAGTTGGATGCGATACAGCGGTTTGTTGGTGTGGGGTCGGCTTGGGGGGTGTCGAATGAGGACTATGAGGGGGCTGTCGCGGCGAATCGGGAGTTGTGCAAGGCTTGGGTTGAAAGTTTGACCGAGGAGGACAAGAGAGGGATGGGTGGTGTGGATCCTGTGGATATTTGGCCAGTTCGACCTTGATGATACTCGGTGTGTGTCATATACAGCAGTCGCATAAGTCGCACTACATTAGATATTCTATTTGGCTAAAATACGCGTCTACCAATAGTATTGGCATTTTGATGAACATTATTGAATTAAGCGCCCACCCCGCGGGGCACCCCCCCCTTACCACTTGGGCATCAAAGATGGCTCGCGATCGTTCCCCGCTTGTGCGGGGCACATCGAGAGTATTTCCTGTTACCTCAATGATCTCCCTTGATTAGTACAGCCGCTCATAGGTAATACCCTTGCTTCTAGGCCACCATTACCGGATGCCCAGGAGTCATTCAGTCTTCTAATTCCCTTTTATGGTGATAGGAAGTCCTTTATCCCCTCTATTCTCTGGCTAGCTTTCAACTTACCGAGGAGTCCTAAAAGACGTTCCTCGCCCTCGCCCTCGACTTCGCTCTCATCCCAATGCCCAAGTCACACTTCTACGTCCGCCCGCTCGAGGAACGCGACATCCCTTCAGTGCTGCGAATATGCAGGAGGACATTAGCCAACGACCCTTTGACGACTTACATATGCGGCTCCGAGTCTGATTCCGAGCCTTCCTCGCCCATCGATAGCGATATCAAGTCGACGTCCGAGTCTGCGGCGTCATCATCCCTCCTCCTCCGTATAGACGCCTATGTTACTCTGCTTTTGTCATGGGCGAGGTCGAAGGGTGGTGCCGTCGACGTTGTGTGTACGCGTACCAGGGTGGATTCAGATGAGGATGGTGATGAGGATGGTACGGAAGAGACGGAAGTCGTAGCCGGTGTGGCGGCGTGGTGTCCCTCGAATCGGCGACTCGGAACTTTCTCCTGGAGAGGGTTGTGGAGTTGTCAGTGGGCGTCCCTGGAAGCGTTGGGTTTGCTTTATCGACTTGGAGTGTACCCCGCCAAGGTCTGTCTCTGTCTCCGCTTCACGAATAGCATGTTCAAAGGGATTTCACCGCTGCCTCCCTGGGACTGACTGACTCACCTTTCCTTTACTTTTACCTTTAGCTTTTATAGCGCCTCTTGTTCGATTACCCAGCTCAGAGCTCAGACTCGTGGAAAAGAGTCATACACGTCGACCCCTCCCTCCGCCTCGCGTATGAGACGTCCTGGTCTTTAGAACTCATGGTGACTGACGTTGGGTACCACAAACGAGGTTCGTACTCCTCGATTGCGCTAAGCCGTACTATCACGTTTGATTCCGCTCAGCCGTATTATCATCCTCGAATCCGATTCCGCTAAACTGACGCGATACGATATGATCGTTTTATATTGCAGGCCTAGAATCAATGCTTCTTCAAGCCCACAAAGCTCGCTCGGCGGTCGGAGGAGGTCCAGGAGCACTCCTCCTCGAAGCTACAACCATCTTCGAGATGAAATACTTTAGAGAACTTGGTTTTGAGGTAAGTAAGGAATAATCTGTTGTGTTCTGGTTCCGACTTTCGACTTTCGACAAAGTTGACCTTTTTGCAATCGTCCTGTCTCGACTCTCCGAGGCTTGACGAAGTTCGTTTGGGCTATGGCAGTGGGAACGTGTTCGTATATCTAACTGACGATTCAATTTTCCGGAACTCGCAGCTATTTGATAGATTCAAACTCGACCTCGCCGGCGGCAACTCGGATGAACCGTATAGTAGCAGCAGCGTTAATGGACCCGCGGCGAAGATTGAAATCTTCTCCATGATGCAGCTGGCTCGAACATAGACATGATAGGCCCTGGCATCACTTCATCTTCTCTGGAGAGAGAGAGAGAGAGAGAGAGAGAGAGAGAGAGAGAGGCAGGGCTCGTACAAGTAACAAAAAGAATACTACAGTGCATTATACAAATGTCCCAGGCAGACCGACATTCCGGTCGGCCATTATCTATGGTACAAGTACAAGGGGAGAATGGCTATGGCTAGGGCTATGTACTAAAGGGCTGGAGAAGGGTATCGTCGAAATCTCCACGATGAATGATGTAACAACAAGCTCGGAGTCGTACATACAAACAACAATGCGAAAGCGTGTAAGAAGATAGATGGCGGTGAATCCAGTAGCCTAGGTGCTACTTGATCCAAGTCTAACTGAAGTGACATAGGTGAAAACGATGGTAACGTTAACGACAGTGTACTAAGGTATTTTTTTCTTCTTTTTTCTTTCTGTTCACGGTTCCCCAGCGCGCGCTCCATGCCTACCCTGACTTCCCCCCACTCCCTTAACACTCTCAACCTCGTCCTCTACCTGAGAATGTAATTCAATCATTCCAGGCGAGTGAGGGTGAGACGCGTCGGGATTCTTGATATGGCCCAGAGCTTTGGGGTTGAAAGCGAAGGATCCGACGGGGACGAACGTTGACGCGAGGATGATCACCGAGGCTACCGAAAATTGAATGCTATTGGTTGGTAGAATAGTGAGAGAAAGCTAAAGGTCAGCGATCGCGCATGTGGCCTGAAATGAATTGTAGTACGCACCCTCCGATGGTCAGTAAGGAGCGGGTGATAGTCCCATTATCCTGGAAGTCTCGGTCCAGTACGCCACCCAAGACAGAACTAAGAACAGCGTAGAAGATGATATAGCTCGAGTAGAGGAATGCCTAGAACCATCATGAGCCTTCAGACTCGTCACCAGGATGATGAGGAAACGCACCATGACGGCCCCGAGTGCTGACACGCGGGGATGAACTGAAAGAAACGTCTCCATTAACCATCTACTAGCATTTTGGATGTTTATGTCTTACCAAAGTTTGCCTCAGTCAGTGCAGACTGGATGTACGCGGCCAAAGACACATCTCCCGCAGCCCAACCCATCGAGATGGGGAAGAAGCAGCCTGCCACTGCCCATGCCCATTTGACATCTCGTGGTTGAGCCATTCGTGAAAAGTAGGGAAGAAGCCAGACGAGGTTGAGCTAGAGGGATGACGCCGGACGGTGAGTGAAGAAGAACAGAATGGGTGGCTGAAGAGGGCCTTACAGCAAGCGCATCGAATCTCAGCCATGGTACCGGTGTCGTCACAATGTTCGAGAGAAGCAGCACGGCGACCGCACCGAGAAGCTAGACGTCGACGTTAGTTGATAAGGTAGTTCTGAAACCGTTCGTCGACTTACTTCACCAAAGTTGGATCCACCAACCATAATTTGACTCCAAGCTGAAGTTTCCAACACGCGCGTGGCAAAGGCAGTGCCTAGCGCACTCTCCAGGTATCGATGGCAGTAAAGTGCGATGGAACTGAACAACATGAGAACCATGGAGACAAATGGTCGCCAAGAAGCGCTTACTATGAGGGTAACAGCCCTACAACGAGCGTTAATTCTAACGATCCTTAATAAGTTAATACCTGTGACTCACAGAAAAACCGCCGATTGGTGAAGAGAAGCTTCCCTCCAATCCACACCGATTCCCCAAAGCCAGTCGCACCCCGGATGACTTGCTTGAAGTACCCTTCCGAGCGCCCATTGGATTGACTGACCTTTGACAAGCCTGTTTGGTTGAGCTCTCCGTCGATGGCGTTTTGACGCTTGAAGGATAAGGTGCTAATGAATAGCCAGATTGCCTATTGGGAAGGTGTAAATGGAGTCTCGAGGTATATGAGTAAAGACCACTGACTCCAGCAAAAGTGAAGAAAACTGGGGTCATGAAGAAACTGTAGTTGTTACCAAAACGGGAGATCGCAGAGGACGAGGCGAATGCGCCTCCCGTGCCGGCAATTTCTATGGTTTGAGATGAGCGTCTGTCAGTGAGTCGACGAGGTTCACGTACCATAGAAGATGTGCTATCGTATTCCACGTTAGTCACGCGAGAAATAAATATCGATATATTGAAAATACGCACCACTGTTGCATCCATCGGGCGGAGTTTGTGCGCCTTGCCACCCACGATATCGACTGGACTGAGATGAGGTTTAATGAGTTTACCGACCTACCAAATGGACAGAAAATACCCACATTACTCTGCGGATCAGCTCCACCATCCCGTAACATACCCCCGACAAGGTCCATATCAGGAAAATCTTCGACACTGTCAACGAAGAGTGGAAGCGAAACTGGTACTCTACACACCAAGTCCACAGGCCAGGTACCGTACTGGGTTTCCTTCGTGATTGGATCCTTGAATTCCCCGTCTAAAAAGGTGCAATATTAGCACGAGTTCATCGAAGAGTGGGCTAACAAACCTGTAGCGGCGTCAATAATGAGGAGCAGGGCGGTCATAAGCGCAAATGCGAAGATGCTGAAAGCCAACACCGTCCGCGTCGGCCAGCGCTTGATGAGGGGTGCAATCAAGATAGCACCTATACACTGCGCTGCCTGGTTGAGGCCTTTAGCTGCGCCAACTGGTGGGTCGTGTGTATAAGCGCCGAACAGATTTCACGAGCGACGAGGATGTCACATACGTTTGGTAAAAGCGTGCTCTGTCTCGAACCGATCTGCAGCGAGTGTGATGATCGACCCATTGAAGAATTCGATGCCGAATTTGTAGCACATTATACCCCCAATGTAGAACGCGCTGTGGTGGTGGTGGTGTTAACAAATTGACCGTAGCTCGCGTGAATCCCTATGAAAACCCACATATTCCGCTTTTCATAGTGAGTATACGCTACAAACGAGCCAATAGTCAGCGAATAAGCCCGCAGCGAAGCACCTCCAACTTACATCTCCAAATTGCCTTGACCCCGAGCATGACGTCCAGAAGCAACCGCGAGACCTGCGCGAAGGGAGGGGAAGGACATGAAGAAGATGGTGTAAAGGTGCATACACTTCATAAGCCCACTCATGCCGGTGCACGTTTGTCAATTCTTTCAGTGTTTGCCCTGCCGAGTATGTTTGGGCGTCCATCGCATTCTAGAATTAGTGTTATTGTCCAGACGATGGGCATATCCATCAACTTCCGATGCGATGGGAGGGCTGTGGAGGGGATGCGATTAAACAGAATGCGGGGGCGTGGTTTCAAGCTAGTGGGTCAGTGAGACGAGAAAAGATCACTGAGTCTACGTAGGGCTTCAGATACCTGCACAAGACCAGAAAAACAAGCTTACGGCCGATAACAGAACGTTGGAGCATGAGATAGTGTCCGAAAGAACCGGGCACCTACTACGCACGTTCGTAGGAAGGCATTGGAAGGTTGTCATTCCCTTCACTTGATCAAACCTTCTACCCTCTTTGACGTGACAGGATCACCAGAGCCATGAAGCGGGAGTAAACAGGAAATCCAGGAACCCGAGTTTCGACCAGAAAATTGGAGGAGAGCGTAGTCATTGACAAGCTGCGGACCGAAAGGAAACCTGCTGGGGAAGCCGTAAACTTAAGGCCACGGACACTATATCATCACTTCCATCATCGTGATGCCGAACGGAAGCAATTCAAGCAATCTAAACTCGAAAGTGATTATCTTCTCCAAAGGATCGAGTCTGGTTCGCGAGTCTAGGTAAAAGGCTTTCGGAAAAAGTAGTCAACGTTCGGCTGGAGAAGATTTGGAATGACATTGGCGCAAGCTCTGGTGGATGCCAGTGGTTGCCCAATGATTTGGATCCTGCCGACGTTTGGCCCATCCATAAGCTGGGCAAAATCAAAGGGATCCTGTAGCGGAGAAGGGGAGGTGAGGAACCTATACAGTCCAATCAATCCTAGAAATATCCTCGCACTGCGGACCGACGGTACACCACCAACAACATTCCAGTGGCCCAGAGCGTACTACCGTGCTCGAAATACTTGGCGATCGGCATCTCCAAAGCCGACGGCAACCGATCACTCAATCACGATCCCTCGGCAACCCGCGCGGACGGCTTTAACGGCCCCAATCTCCGAGTCGGGTTATCGCACTCCCGCCGTATATAACCCTCTCCGGCTCAAGAAAATGAAGGGTTTACACAGTACCTCCATCACCTCCGCCCCTCAAGGGAGCTTACCCTACCCTTCCGTTACTGCGAATAAAAACCTCAGGAATATACCCCCGCCAATCGTCGCAGAGGCAGGTCCTAAAACCCCTTTACACCAACCTTCGAAGTAAAACATCACGAGCGTCAGCCCTGGCGGTTTAGCTAGCCAAAATTCACTTTCATCACCGACCATCCCACTCATGCCCATCACCACCTCAAGTTCAACCTCGAATTCAACTTCATCTCTAAGCGAGCTGTGCCTCGCCATGTACCCAAACACAGACGACGGGTACTGGATCTCCCCGCCCAACTGGATCGTCGACCTGACGAAAAAGTTGGAGAGAAGAGTCGGTGTGTTCGGGGCTCCCATACACGGCCTGAAATCGGGTTTTAGAAAATTGAAGCGAGTGGCTTCGAGGGTACGCAGATTTAGTGAATAGAACCTGGACTGACCTCTGTATTGAATCGGCGTTGAATCAGACTGTCGGGCACGATACCTCGGAGTCGCCTGACGAGGAAGGAACAGAACTCGACGAGATACCCACTCGGTCACCATGAATCCAAAAGATCCCAGTAGCCTACTTCGCAACCCTCTTCACGGACACTACACGAATAGACCCACTCCCAATATTTCGATTCTACCAAAAATTAGATTGCATGTATTACAACAGTTTGCTAGATGCGGCTGGAGCCACCTTTCTACGAATCAGCTTGATAATATACAGGGGTATTGTGCTGATAGCGACGATAACAGCTGTCTTCCATGCGAAAGCAACAGAAACAACAAAGGTAAGATCTACACTCAGATAGTCAGAAGCTGCACCTTGGCTGGGAAAGAGAGGACGTACCGAAATACTCGGGAAGGAAAGCCATACTCGCGACATAGAAGAATAGCGTGACGATTTCCGAGATGACCATGTAAAGATGCCTGGAAGTTTTGTCAGTCACGGCGAAGGAAAAGACCGTGAAAAGACTAACCATGTCGTAATCTCCAAAGCAACCATGATAAGTTCATTCAAAATAAGAGCAGTGAACGAAATAGATACGATATGCAGGAACTCAGTCTCAAAGAGGACGAGCGACATGATCATGATGGCCGCCCCTAGTATAACCTTCAGCATTACTCTGATCCTGGAAGATAACAGTACACACCTTGGTAAAGACTGATCATACACCATTGGAAGAACGTCTTGTACGACAACGAACGTCCCTATCGACGACATTCAGCGAGGCTCTGCCACCAAGAAAGGTTCGCCACATACCTTCGTCAGTTCCTTATACAGCTCCGGATACAGCAAGGCAAGGTCCTCGCTAACATCCCGATCGAGGACAAGAGAGAACACAGGGGCCATAGTATACACCGTCGCATATCCAACCAATAACCAGCCCTGATACAACGCGATCGGAGCAAAGTAGAAGATGGCCGAGAACACGGCCTGCATAATCGAGATGATCAAGCCACGGTGGATGACGAATTGAGCCAGCTTGGCCGAACGACGATACGAGTTGCGGCCGTGCCAGAGCAGGAGCTTGGTGAGGTAGCTGAACTGTGTGACGGAGAAATCGGCCGCTAGTGATGCTTGTTTTCCTTCCTTGCCCACGATACCGACACCTAAACGACGTGGGTGAGGAAATGGAATATCGAGACAGGAGGCAAATGCACGTACCAACATCTGCTGCCTGGATCATGCTCACATCGTTACCTCCGTCTCCGATACAGCACACCCTCTTCTTCGTGAACTTCCGAATAAGCCTAGCCACATCAGCCTTCTGGGTAGGCGAGCATCGACAAGCCACCACCGCAGAAAGCTTCGTTGCAATCTCAATAAACTCGTTTTGGAAGAGGTTCAGACAGAGCTATAACGGGTCCACATTGCATCAGCGCTCCATGCCAAAGAATCGATACTCGATGCAGCACACCTGTAGCGATTCGCCATCGATGACCAAGCAGCAATCCAACTTGTTCTGCAGGAAGTCGAGCTGATCTCGGATCTGGTCGGCGGTTTTCACTGGAAGGTTTACACTATCAACAACAAGGCATGACCTGGAGTATAAAGAGAGACATACGCTTCGACAGCTCGTGAATGTACTGGTTCCTGGCTACCAGTTTCGTCGAAATCGCAATACAACGAGCGGTTTCCACTTTGTCACCCGTCAACATCCAAATCTTGATCCCAGCGTTGCGGAGGAGCTCCAATGTCGATTTCACATCGTCCTGCAACTTGTCTTCAACCCCTGTCAATCCCAGAAGCTCGAGGTCATGTTCAAGGTACTGCTCGACAACCGCAGCCATGGCTTCGTTCCTCCCTTCGAGCCTGATGCTGGCAGCATGGTGCTCCTTTACAAACTCGTTGTACAGCTGAGAGCTGAGCCGTTTCCTCGCCATGACGAGGGTTCGAAGACCTTCACGTGCCATGTTCGCGGTTTCCTCTTCCAACCAGTCGTTGCGCTGGACGATCTTCGCCATCACAACATCCGCTCCCTTCTGCAAGAACATGATTTCTCCAGTTGACACGTCCCGCACCACGATACCCATGCGCTTGGATTCCGAGGTGAAAGGGAAGATTTCGAGGATGTCAAAGGTCATCCTTGCTCCGGATGGGTCCTGCAATTCCATTTTGGTTCGATCACGGAAGACGAGAGTGAGGCCGACAGAGGCTGTCCAATTTACGATCGCAACTTCGTCCGGTGAAGATGCTTGATAAGTCACGGTCCCATCTTCATTTGTCACTGGAGTTACCTAGAGGAGGAAAATTGCATAAACATGTTTTGAAACATACGGCAAAGGATCAAGGGTCTTGCTTACATTGTGACAGAGTGCTAGGCTGAGAACCACATCGCGGACACGGGAAGACATATCCCGTTTACCTCTCGTGGCAAGTTGAGCCCCAGTTGATAACGACCCTGTGATAGGACACAATGAATACCCTGGGGCAGCTGGAATCAAGGGGACGAACCATGTTCTGCACCAAACGCCACCGCCAATTGATGTGCGACCTCATCCATGGAGTCAGCACCGTATGACATGGTCCCCATATGAAGCTTCCTCATCTCCATTTCTGGACGACACTGTCAACTTGAAAGGGTCTACAAACTCGGCGAAATCAGGGACTTGCCGTTCTGAGTCAGTGTACCGGTCTTATCACTGAGTAGGTATGTGATCCGCCCCAGCTCCTCGGGAAGGGTGCTTGTACGAACAATGGTGTTCGGAATCTCCTTATCGTTCATGATCTGATGTGCATACACCGTTTTGCCCATGTCGAGATTGATACGCAAACTGGAAACTTCATTTAGATATGGAACGAGAAAGCATAGCGGGAGTGACTTTACCTAATGGGAATGATCGAGGAGAAGAGGATAAGGAAGCGGAACACGTAGATGTACCACAGACCACGGAACCCGTTTAGGGCGACGAGCACGAACGACAGAGCGAATGTCACCGCGCAAAGAATCTAAAGTAATGTTAATTTGGACCGAAAGATGATTTCATCGATCACTTACCTTGGCCAGATTGTTGATCTCGTAGTCCAACAAGCCGACCTTTGTTTCAGGATGACTTGTGTTCATCACTGCGCGAGTGTCCGAGCCAGTGTAGATCACGAACCCAACAGCTGAACCTGCAGCCAACACTGTGTTGGACCACAGAATATTCTCGGCTGTCAAAGGAGCCACGGAAGGGGACATGTTTTGCAAGGGTACGGAGTCGGCATCCACGTTCACGGTGCTTGAAGGATGGGGCTTGTTCAGGGTAAAGGTTCCAACGAAGGTGTGGATATCCTTGATGGGCGGGTCCGCTATTGACGTGATCAGCGCGTCAAACGCAGCGAGGATGGAATACTCCTACCATAGACCTCAGCGTCTAGTCGGGGTAGATCTTTCTCGTCCATCTTCTGGGTTTCTGGGACGGCGACACGGAGTTTCCAATCAGTTTCACCGTCGAGCTGGTCCGTTCGAATGAAGCAGGTTCCGGATGCATCTGATGTCTTGAGAAGGACGACGTCCGCTGGAACGCGTTGATTCTTCTCCAGGTGGATGAGGTCGCCAACGCGGAGCGAGGATGAGGGAACAGATCGCGTATTGGCGTGTGCACTGAGATACTCTTCTTCTTCTGGCGAGTTTCTCCCGGAGGTAGGTGTTGGCCGTTCGAGAATAAGGTAGCGCTGGGAGTTCGCTTCCTTGTCTCTGAGATGGCGTTTGTAATCATCGTATGCTTCCTTCCCAATGGTGACGGACAGAACAAAAGCGAGAGGCGCAATGTAGGTCACAAGGAAACCTATCCGCAATGCTGGGACAAATTGAGACAGCGCGACTAGGAGGAAATATAGGTTGAAGAAGAACTTGAACTGCTCGTAGAGGACGACGGGGAGGAAGGTGAAGACGTTGTACTTCTGGTTCCGCACGATGTTGGCCGGGAATTTCGACTGAAGCTTCTCTAGAAATGGTGTAAGTTGCTGCAATACGGTGTCTTTGGTCAATCCACCAACCTGGAGGATTGAAAGGGATGGTCCTTGACTTGTCTTTGGGACCAGGACCAACAGATTTTAATGGTGGTGCTGGAGAACGCTTGACCAAGGTCAGAAATCGACTACGGGATCTGGCGCTGGGAACCTCACTGGTGTTGGGGGTGTACGGTTCGACCGTGGCTGGGCATCGCTGTCGTCGTCGTCCTCGTAGGCGTCGTCTAACAGTCCGGCCCGCTCTTCTGGGTCGTCTACATATCTCTGCTGCAATCGCGAGCGTCCAAAGTTTCTCCCTGAGCGTGATGCGGCACCGATGATTGTGGTCGACCGATGCATGTCGGGCGACTGCAAGGTGATTCGCGCCTCAGCGTCGTCGAGTGGTGTATAGTCTCCCCTGTTTCGTTTGAGCTTCCTTAGAGGGATATCCGACATGTAAAGCGTCGGCAACGTCCTAAATAGTCTGACCGTCAAAATGAACTCCCGAACGCCACCAATGTGACCGTGACAAGCGTACCAGTCCACTAGACGATAAGGAATGAGCCGCTGGCATAAGACGTTGCGAACAGGCCTTTAGCGGGTCGTCGTCGTTGCCCAAAGGTCGTGTTCGCTGTTGTTAATGACGTTGACCACCGTCACCGCCAATCGTGGGTGACCGTGATTGAGACGGAGCTTGAATTTCCGCAGTCATCAATTTCCACCCGCCGCTGTGTCGTCGTCGTCGTTGCTCCCGATTCCCGAAGTCCAACCATGTCCACAGGACTACCTTTCTGACTTGTCTCACCACCCAATGAAGGCCTTGGATGTCATTCGCCCACCAGCTCTTGGGTTCCACGAGAATTTCTTCCTGCCTTGGTAGACCCTTGGAACTGGCCAAACAGTGACCACTGCGACAGTATCCAGTGGACAGGTCTTATTAGTCTGTTCCTAAGAACGCTGAGCACGACTTGCATCTGGCGGGTTGTGGATGAAGGTGAGTTCACCCAATTCCACTCGATCCGGGAACTGAAGACTTCGCTTCAGGGTGAGGGGCTGAATCAGCGTTATGTCGGGCACCTCCATGTCATCTGAAAGTGAACCTTGATTGTAAACTCACCCATTAACTTCGCCTACACATGCGAAGAAAAGCGGAACATGTATGATCATGTTCTCCTTCCTTCGCTGTGCTAGAGTTGAGATGCCTCATTGGGGTCTACATTGCTGGAAACATGTGCTATGAACAACCTTCGTTGTATGGATGCAGCGGTGGTCAGCACAACAGTGACTTTGTGACCCCGCGGGACCCTCTTCCACCCCCATTTGCAGCATGTCTTCTAGGTCAGACGCCTGGATTTAGTAGCTACGCCTTTGCCATGGATGTGAATGGACGCGTTGCTGGTACTACGGGGTCTATACCCTCGTCTGGCTCAAACTTTTAACCACTCCATGGCCCAGCTGTTTCATGTCCGGGTGCTGCCCCACTTCGGGCGTCTTGAAGACAGCAACGACGTTTCATGGCCCTGGAAGATCGCCGGGTGTTTCATTCCCATCTCATTGGGTTGGGCCGCTGGAGACGTCTCTTTTGCAGCGTACATGATTCCGTCAGCGTTGGCTGAGTCCAAGTGTTTCGTGCGTGCCCTGGTACCCACCCGAACGAAACGAGTCTGAACGACATCCATGTCATTCGTACAGCCCATGCGAATGTTTCTGCGCTTGATGCAGCGGCCATGGTACGTGGACTCGGAAACGAAACAAGGCTGAGGTGTTTGATCAGTTGCTCAAGCCTTGTTGCGACATGAAAGGCGATGTTAGCATGCTGATCATGATATCCTTCCCGATAGGCGCAAATACTCGAACCTACATCGTTTTGAATGCCGCACTCAGCTCTGTCCTTTGCAACGTCATCGACAAGGACTTCACCCGCAACGGCGACATCATGCGGTCGCTCATCACAGTGGGAGGGTGAGTTGCCTTTCCTTTTGCAATCTATCCAGCCATCCAGTCCTCTCTTGCCTTTCTATGCCGCTCTGCCTTTAAACACTTGCCTTTTTCGTCCCCTTCAAACGAATCTCAAACCCCATTCACCTCCGATCGTATATTAAAATCACCTTACCGGCCCCACCCCCATCCCGAGGCCTTACCTTCACGTTTATTCGATATCTTTCCTGCGATCACTCCTGTATTTTTCGTGCTGGCATCTATCTCGTCCTAAAACAGCGCGCACTTCACTGTCAGTCGCGTGATACGTAGCCTTCCTTATGAGACTGAAGGCGCTGGCATGCAGCGTACCTGGATATCAGCTGCGGGATGATCCGCATTCAGTCCCAAAGTCGGGGGGAGGTGGGAGGCAGCGTGTCAGCCTGTAACGGGGATCCAGACAGTCTCCGAAGACATGGGTCGTTTGCGATAGTGGGTCTTGTGGAATGAATGAGAGGTGGGATTGGGGGTAGCTGCGCAGCTGGTGAAGGCTTCGCTGACAGTGGTTACGGAGAGGGGAAGGTTGAGCACGCTGGGAAGGAAATGTCGATCCCTATGGAGTATCCCGCACGAATTCAATTCGGAGCTTCCTCGGTGCTTCACTAGGGTCACATCCTCACTCCCTGGCTTCCTTGGGCTTAGAAGAGATGTTTTGCATCCATAGACGTGAGCCTTACTGGTGCTCCGTGCTGTCTACTTGAGTTCTGCGCTTGGAGGTTGACGTCACGTAGTGATTCCAATTCTCTTATCTTTAGTCTCTCGTCAAGAGAACGACATGGAAGTCCATCCACATGGGTAGGTATCGGTGCATAGGAGACTTCGGAGCCCACACTCAAGTACCAAGCTCTGAGCATCAGAAGCTAGGTCCGATTGACTTGTCGTTGACCTGGGATGTGGAGAAAGCGATCTCGAATGCAAGTTCGAGAGGACTTATCTAATGATGGCCAATGGCGGAGCTCATGAGAACAGCATACTAGCAAAGGGAAATCAAGTGCGACCTGTATTCATCTTCCTGATGGAAGGGAACACTATCTGCTATCTTCGGTGAGAAGTTGAGGTACTTGGAAGCCAAGAATTCATCTCTTTCCTGGATTCGATGTACTATCATTGACAACGGTATGCAACGCGGTCATAGTGTTGCAACGGACCTTATCGCAGCCCAGGCGCTGCTTTATTGGCCCAGATTTTTATCTAATCCTATGCAGGCGAACGCGACAGTGCTTTCTATTTAACTTTTGTAACGGAGAAGCAATTGCTTCTCAGAGGAATGCGTTATCAGTGGTAGAATTTTCGTTGCAAAAGCAAAAATCCCACGTAGTTTGGACATTCCGCAATGAGTGGGAGTGGATTGACCGTATAAACTACATATAAATTAACAATGAATGTTTTCTAACCCACTGGTCTACATTTCATGCCCCTCGTACCCTTTCTGAAGAGACGAAACAGAAATCTTGGGAGCGTGACAGGAGCGAGAGAGCGTTCCCAGCAGTTTGCAACGCGACCTCCCGCGACTTTCATCAAACGATCAAAAGTTTGTCACGCTCCCCCCTTCGGAGTTGCCAATGATGTGACATCGGAGTGTTCGCCATCATGTCACAGTCGTTGCAACACTATGACTTTTGGTACTTTTGAGACACCCTCCACCGGCCTCCCTCTGGCAGAACGAGAACTTCGCTGATTCTCTAAATGACTAAATAACTGGATAGCCGAATAGAACAGCAACCTAAATACCAAATTTCAAATTCCCAAAATGAGTACACAGAGAGATATAGAAGAGAGAGTGAAATCCGTTGCAACACCCTGCAAACGATAGTATTGGTGACATGACATTGTATGAGCATTCGATGACGATGAGGGTGCTCAGCTAAAGTACTGATTGACAGCCGAAATTCTCGCCACACAGTATAAAAGGGTCAGCTGCACCAACCAATCCTTCCCAGAGCAATCCGACCCCCGCTCTACTACGCCTTCTAAGCAAGCAAGCTCTTTTCCCACTACAAAAACAATGTCCGAGTGAGCCACTGTATCGCTGCATGCTACTGTGGAAGATTACTTACCTTGCACGGCTCCAGCCTTACAGGAAAGGATACCATCACCGTCGGTGGTTGGTACGTTATCAACATCTGGCAGGACCCTTCCAGGGTCTTGACCAATGTCGGTAACGACATCTACCTCCAGTCGTACGAGGAGGGCAACAAACACCAAATCTTCTACGCTACCCACGACTCCAGCAACCGCCTCGGGTTCGTCTGCGTCGGGACCAACAAGCGCATGGGACGCAACCGATACGAAAACGTCAAGTGCGAGGATCCTCCCAGTGAGCAGGGATCCTGGCAGGCGTTTTACCTTGACGACCAAGCTGGCGGTGGTAGGAAGATGACGATGACCATCTATGACACGCTTACCCCCATGAAGTACGCCTCTGACTCTGAAGGACAGTACCTGACCCTCTCCAAGGACGGAGACCTCAAGTTCGGATTCACTAGGGTTGGTCCTCCCTCTTGAATGCTCCAAGCATCCGCGTGGGTAGATGCCATCTCCCGAGCCCGACCTTTCCCCATCTCCGAAACCTGGCTTACGAACCGTGATCAGTTTGTGTTGTGATTGTCTCGACCGTAGTTAGCAGTCTATCGTAAGAAAAACCCACATATGTAGTATTCTGTAACCCTGTGCACGGACACAAACTCGTTGTCAAATGCTACGTACTGTTACCTTGTGCCTTCTTGGTTAAATTCTCAGCGGCTTCCGCCACATATCTTACATCTTGACCTCATCAGCTGCAGCCAAGCCTGCGAGGCTGATGCAGGTAGTGGGCCTATGGGATTATCCGACTCGGACAACAATTCAATGCACATCGTAACCTTCGGCGTTACCTGCCACCTGGAGGGCCGGCAGGTAACTCGCCTAAAATCCCTACTACTGTATGAGCTTATGGGCACAGTCACGTTACAGGACGTCATGAGACTAGCTTAGAGGGCGTGCTGAACCGGGAATGAGGGAATCTGTGTCAGTCCTTTGGGAAATTCACTGTACTGAAATTTTCCGCAATGACGTCTGTCCCTCGACCTGACAAACGCTGTTCGCCGTCCGCCTTGCTCTGTGCACATCATAGTTCCTAACCAGAGCCATTCTCGTACGATCTCTCCCAACCATCCAGTCCTCCGTTTCCTTTTACACTTTAAATTTAAACACTTCCCTATTTCGACCTCGCCTTCAAACGAAGCTCAAACCCCACTTTCCGTCGACCTTAAATTAAACTCGCACCCCACCGCCTGCACCACTCCAACACCCTGTCCTGCGATGGATCGTTCTGACATATGTTTGTCGCCGTGCGCTATACTTTGTTATAGTTTACCGCGGACTCACCACCCTCATCCCAGAAAGAAATTTCATTTCATCCAACGGTCCTTGGCGGGTGGATGGGAAGCGAAAGGTCAGCGCAGGGCGCTCCGTTCTTACTTAGAACACCCTTAGCGGAGACAGAATGAACTTTCCAAGGAGGCAGGAGTGAACCGACACTGCAATCACTTCATACGAGAATAGGAATAGGGGCACTATATGCGAAAGCTTAGCTGGCAGCGGGGATGGAAAAGACAGCATTGAGGAACGAAGAGCGGTTCTTATGGAGCATTCTACATCATAGAGAGCTTAGTTTTTGACTTTTGGGGTGCCTTCTGTACTCAATGGTGTGTCTATGTCGACGGCGAACTTCTGGATTCTCATTATAGAAATCCGAGGTGTTTTGTGACACTGGTGTGTCCCTCGCCTAGGGTCCTTCCTCCGGTATTCTAACCCATTTCCAGGGTCTTGCAGGGACTTGAATCCACCCTATCTACGGCGAAATATTCTCTGTTCTACCCAGCGCACACACCATACGCGAATAACGCAGATCCCGATTCCTTCGCTGCCTCGTGGGGTGGTCGTGACGAAGCATGAAGCTAACTAGCCACTAGCTCGCCACGCACTGCCAGGCAGCTCCAACGATAGCACACGCCTCATTCCCAAAAAACATGCTTTAGTTCCAAAAAGCTTCAAACATAGGTCTACATAGGTGGCGCGACATACGCGCTAGTAGTCAGCCTCTCATTGCTTCTAAGTATACAGCCACGCTTCGAAACTTCAGAATCAGAAACCGTTCTCCCAAGCACGCGCACTGCTGAGAATAGAGGCGATCTCCATGTACATGTTCTATCGCCACACGGTTTCCCACATCGCAGAACCCGACGGCCATCTCCACATCCTCGGGACGAGCGCGAAGAAAAACATACAAGGGGCCTTCCATCATAAAACCCCCTCCCATCTCCATCCATCCAGCCACCCAACTCTACTTAAGTAAGGACACACAGACGAACTCAAAGTGACTGGAATCTGGACCATTGAACACGGGAAGGTGCCTTCAGCCTTATTTTACCCAGACATGTGGGATACGTGATCGATGGGAAGGGTTGGGATGCAGGGAGCGGAGTCTGGCCGTGTACCAAGGTCCCAGAGTAAAGGGAAATTAAAACGATCGAGAGATGGCCCTTGGACGGCCACTTTCAAGTAACGTTTGGAAGGGACCCCCCATTTCGGTGTTAATCTGGGAATTATTTTTTTTTACATTTCTCAAGGATGTCGACGGAGTTCCAAGTTTTGGATAATCTCCCCTTCTTCTTCGGTCGTGTTAGAGTGCGCAGGGAGGATAGCGCCGCTGCGCACAGCGCCCTGGTACACATTCCTTACATAGTCCAGAACCTGTATGACGACGACGACTTGAGGTGAACCGCGAGAAACAACGCCGATCGCAACGAAAATCATGCACTCTGCGCGTGCAATGACATAGTTCTTCACTCCAGTTCAGAAGAACCCGAGATCCCAACCACATCCATGCAGAAAAAGTCCCGCCCACCGCGGAGAAAGCGCTCGAGAAAGAGGAATGTCAAGGTTAGTCACCTAATTGCTCAGAACACTCCTGGACGAACTTAGCACCAACACTCCCTGATCGCCGTCGCCTTCTTTCAAGGTTCCAAGAACCAAAAGAACGGAATCGATGGTGGCGAAATGTTCACATGCTCGATAAAGTGGGTATGTCCTTAACACATATGTTTTTGAACTGATTACTGGAAAGAGGCAAGATGTCTGTCATATCGAGGAAGAGTGGAGATGGGGTTACCCGGATCTGGGCTGTTCGCGCGCGGTATTATCGTCCCCAAGAAAGTCCGAGGAAGAGAAAGATATGGCAGATGCCAGTGGATAAGTAGGACAGACTGGTTTATGACGTAGTCTTGTCAGGACTCACTGGCAAGGTGGTTGCCGCGCGGTAGGGGAATAGTCATAAAATCGCTGCGGCAAATTCTGGATAAGGAAGGAGCGGACGGGAAGGTAGGGTGGAAGAAGGATAGATAACATACCCCTCGAGCAGGCAATTCGTCCAGAGAGTGGGTATCGGGTGACCCTGTTATTGAGATCTCGAATCTGCGTTGTCGCTATAGAGTCCCCCTGGTCCCCAACGAGTCATAATAAAGGTGAATGTCTCCATTCCTCTATTAACTTTAGACTCAAACTTCACAAGTGACGTCGAGTTTCGAACTTCGAGAAGGTGGTTACGAGGTCTAGAGCACCATAGCTATGATAATCTTTTATAAGGTTCAGACAGACATAAGGGATGAATCACAAACATATGAAGCGCGAAGTTGGAGTTACTGTATGGCGGGGTCCGCAGTCCGCCCACTGCCTATACATGAATCCCGCACCGTGTGCCAAAAAAAGGGACGCGGGAACAAGTCGAGAGGTCTTACCTGCCAGGGATTATGGTTTAGTCTCCCGGTCACACATCAGGACATACCAGAAAAAAACCCAGCTCGGAAAAGATCTGGAACACTTGGAAAGGAAGGAGATGTGATAAGATGGAACTTGAGGAAGGGTCTGTCACGGGGAGCGTGTACGTACGTGCGTGCGTATACATACTCGTACCCGCGCTGATTAGCGCCCCTAACCTCAGGGTACTGACGTCGATGTTGGGTGATTAGGCCTTTAGGTCCGATGGAGGGGAAGAGCTTCTACAACCCGATGTCTTCGTCTGCAGACCCAGGGATTGTACGGTGAGCGTAGTATAAGTACCAGAGTCCGTCAATGTGTAAGGAAGACCCGTACCGAGGCTATCCAAGCTTTGTTGTATTTCAAGTTCAGACGTTGTGACCTGGGAGATAGAAATGATGAAGCTCGCTCGGGACTCGGGCCCTGGAAAAGGGCGTATTATTGAATAGAGTTAGCATCGGCTTATCCGGACAGAGTATAACCTGTCCTGAATAGCTACAACGCCTACCAATGACATACCTACTTCCCTCTACTCAATTGAAAAGCCCTCCTCGCAAATGATGATATCGAACACGTATGGAACGTGCTGCGGGTGCGAGTGCTTGGCCTGCCAGAATGTGTTGGTCTCCAAGACATCGCAAAACTCACCACTCGGAAAAATTAAAGAGATTGGCTCGAAAGCGTAGGTGCGGACCAGAAGAGCGGGACGCCCGCATCATCTGACTTGTATCCTGAGAACAGCGCAGATGACCGACCGTCCGAAGGTTGACAGAAGGCAGTTCGATGACGATAGAGGTTTGTTGGGCGGGTGGATGGTCGCAAGGCAGCCTCCTGGTTTTATTGTGCGCTGTCAGTGTTAGTTTTTGTACTCGGTAACAGGGAGACGACTAGCGCGTGTGATCGATGGAAAGGAATCGAGTAACCATGTTCTCTTAGGCTAACTGTCGGCCGTCACCCATGGAGAATATGCTCAGTTGGAAGTGTTATATGTCGTAGTCTAAAATGTGTGATGTTGTGAAGAGGTGAGGTATCAATTGTGAGGAATGATGAAGGTTCAATACCACTTTTACTCTCTCGTACATAATTGGATTCCCCACTAGATGGAACTTCGTCCAGGATCTTTATGGTATCTGGACCCGATCGATTGGTCAGAATCACTAGCCGCTGAGTTGTCGAGCGGGAATTGAACCACTATCCTTTCAGCAATATCAAGGGTCGAGGGCGATGTTGGAGTGTGGTTTCGAGGATAAGCCTAACCAGACTATCATTTCACTTCGAGTAGAGGTTTGAGTGAAAGCCTGAGGAGAAGACGCCTTCCCCAAACCCAGTGCGTCATAAACACATGGAGGGCAGGCACCCAGATTAGTACCAGAGGGGTGGGCGGCGCAAAGCGAACGGCCCATTTTGTCAAGGCGAGGTGAAAACGAGATGGATTGGCCAGATGAGAGAGGAGAGGGCGAGACGCGGCATACTAGTAATCTTGACAGAAGGCTGTTTTCGATCGGGAGGAGCGAGTTGGAGGGGCTAAGCTCCGGAGGAGAGGCTCGATAAAGCCAATGTATGGTTTCCTACCCATCTTCGAATGTCCAAATAAGTTTCTTGGTGCGAGTGAGATGGATGGATTTTTTATAGTGAATGCATACCGCGCGGAGGACACGTACCTAATTATATTACCGATTATGTATGCCTTTGCTAGATGCCGTAGCCTCACCGAGTTGAGAGGGGGGAGAAGGTTATACGTGGGCATTTCGGCGATCGATGGATTGAGAATCTGGGAACCAGCAAGTGGGGCTCTGGGTCCCTCGTGCGTTCCATGATCCGTGTCATGGGGTGTGGTGACGGTGACCTACCTCGAGGCGATAACATACCATCCTCGATTTGGAGGCGGGATTTGTGCGCGCTCCCGTCGTGGAGGCGTGCGGCGTCTTCCCGACATGTGAATGGCATATAGTCTCTATGATTGTTAGTTGAAACCCGTTTGTATCGAGTGCTGTTTAGGTACTTTTCTGACATTCAAAATACGGGAAGTCATACCTCCCCTTTTGTACGGTCAGTGACAACGCCGCTGTCCTGGTATTGTGTTCGATAACATATCGTTATTAGCCGAATGGGCCCGAAGAAAAGCCCTTTCCCTCCATTGCAGGGAGAGAAGGACTTCGAAATAGGAAGCCAGGTGCGTCCATCTTTGGCTCGGGTATTTCGAAGGTAGAGAGGCGTGTCCAGCTGGACGCCTTACGAGGCTTTGTTTGGAAAAGAAAATATGACTTGCCATTGGTGGAAAGATGAAGGCCTTACCAGGAAAAGCAGCGGCGACCCAAATCTGCGGGAAGCTGGATTGATGGCGAACGAGTCCGAGAGATTGGATACCCAGAACAGCGGCACCAGTGACATTAGTAATAGATAAGTCCTGTAAAAGGAAATTGTCAGAAATTGTGTTTTTTATTCGGACAAACCCTAAAGCCAACGACACCGTTGTCCGGGGCGAACTTCAGAGTCTTTATTACGCGGGGACTCTCACAGGATCTCGGCTGCCCCTTACCCCCCTTCCCCGTCGACACCAACATTCCTCCTCATCGCCCACGACGACCCCGACGACGACAACGACGATGTCGGGACACTACGCCCATGATAGGGATCGATTGTGAGTATTCAGGCGTCTCTTTTCTGCCGTGGGCCCGAATCGTTGGGTCGCCCTGTAGAGTTCAATAGCTCCCACAGCACGAAGCGCGACCATTGCGATAACGACCCATGGATCCATTTTCTGTCCCGATTTTCGACTGAGCGGGTTCGCTGACTGTTTTTTTTCCCTTCTCTGGCGCTGTCCTTTTCCCGGTTTTCGTCCTTGAAACGGCGATATGGCGAATATTCAATACCTCGGGATCCCCAACGATGTGCACGACAATAGGGTTTACGAGCTCATTATGCGACAAGAGCCGAAGCAGGCGAGGATGTGCGGTGTTGGCGGCAAAGGTGCGTCATCATCGCGCATACCGTCAAGCCCACGCGGGTTCCTGACGTTTACTGTCCCCCAGCCGATCGACGTCCAATTGACCCCCCGCCAATTGTCCAACTCAGAGTGATCGATCCCGCCGCCAATGAGCGACGGCGGCGCAACGAGGCCAACGGATCCCCCGCCCCAAACGCCGACGACGACTCCCTCGACAACAGCTACGCACAGTCGTTCCTCCAGAACCCATATTATTTTATGTTCGCGAGTTTGGCGAAGCCAGACGATGATGCCGAACTCCACTGGCTGAAGGTGAGATACCCCACACTGGCCTCGGCTGAGAAGCCCACATGTTGATGAAAATTAGGATGGCCGGACACGGTGTACGACAGGATCGGTAGTGTCTTCTCTATACCATCTCAAAGATCCTCAAAACAACAACGAAGGTGCGCCATTATCACACCGTATGGGTTTTCCTGAGACCGACCGGGTTTGTAGATGCCGGCTTCTTCGTCTTCCCCGATCTCAGCGTGCGGACTGAGGGCAGCTATCGATTGAAACTTAGTTTGTTCGAGGTTGTTGGGTGAGTACTGTCCCTCTCTCCGTGGACAGATGTACCTGGCGACTCCCGGACATCACTTGCCATGATGCAATGAATCGTGATGCGCCAGAGGGATGGAGCCTACATTAAGATTCCTGCAACGTTCCTTGCCATTTGGCGATAACCCAAGTTGCTATCCCTCTGGCCGCTCATTTTCCCTTCATTTCCAAATAATTCACTCCGACGATATCTAATACCTCTATTAGCAACAACGTTCGACATTGTAAATCGATATACTCCGCCCCTTTCTATGTTTATACCGCGAAGAAATTCCCCGGCATGGAAGGTAAGTTGCAGACGTTTGACAGTCCGCGATGTACATACTCAAATTCCCGTCACCCTTTCAGAGTCGACGCCGCTTTCCTGTTCTTTGGCCGATCAGGGCATTAAGATCCGTATTCGCAAAGACATCAGAGTACGCAAGAGACCCAATCAAGGTTACGATCTTCCTTTGCCTCTGCCCATGGACGAACAGCAAGACGACGAGGAAGACGATCAAATAATCCGGCGGGAACCCAAACGTACCCGCACGGATGATGGTAGTCTCGATAACGCACGTACCAACGGTACGGTGTCGTCTGCGTTGGCGCCTTTGGGCCAACAGCCACAACAGCCCCAGCAACAGTCTTGGCCTCCCCCGACCGGGCAGGATCCTGCCCTTGGTCCCAGCATCCCGCCGCCACCGAATGCTACGATGAGCTCGACTCTGACCGTTGGTGATGTACCTGGCTCTGGCACAATGAACATGACTTCGTCGCCGTCGATACCTGGCCCTCCTGCGACCTACGACTCTCGCGCGCCGGCACAATACCCGCCTTACGATCAAACTTCTCAGCCAATGCAACAGACGCAACCGCAACAACCTTACCGCGACCCGAACCAGCCTTCTGCTGCCCCTCAACAACCACCCCCGCAGCACATGCCCCCTCCGCCACCGGCTGTTCAGCACCAGCCTCAGCCCCAGCCACCTCAGCAGCCTCAGCCGCAACAGCAGGTCTATCAGCAACCGCCAGCCCAGCACATGCCCCCTCCGCCAGGGCACGTTCATGCCCAACCGCCGCCGCCGCCACACGGGCATATGGCGCCAGCTCCTCCGCCGCCCCCTCAAGGATATGCACCGTATCCTCAGACCTGGGGTGCCCCACCGCCGCCTCAGCAACCGGTTTACGACGGCTATTACCATCATCAGCAGCATGCACCTCCGGTGCCTCAACACCACTACGCTGCGCACCCCAATGCTTATGCCCAACCTCCTCCGCCCCCCGCTCACGTAACCCCTAGGTATGACTATTACCAGCAGCAGCATCCCCCGATGCCTGCGCAGTATGGGTATTATGATCAGTCTGGGCAAATGCACCATCAACAGTTGCCTCCTCAGCAGCAACAACCAGCTCCCCAGTATGCCGTTCCTCCTCATCATCAGGGCGTCCCACCTCACCACCAGCCACCACCCCCGCATCCCCAGTACGTTCAGCCGCCGCCAGTAGGTACTGCCCCGCAACAACCAGTACCTGGTCAGACTGCTGCTCCGGCGCTGCCCCCACCAGCAACAGGATCTCCAAATGTGGCGCCTCCGCCTATCGCACAGCAAACTCAACAACATCAACAACCTCCTCAACAGCCTCCCCCTCAACAACAAGCACAGCCTCCAGCAGTAACGCCCAATTATGATTATTCCTCTTCCTATAGACCGGCTACTGGCTCTCCTCAGCCACGACCCCCTTATGCCCCTCCACATCCTCAACAAACCCAACCACCGCCGCCACCCCCTTACACCCCTTATACCGCCCCTCCTCCTCCCCATATGCAGCAGAGGATGAACCCATACCCCCCGCCTCCTGCTCCCTATTACTACGGCACTCCCCAACAACCCCCGCCAGCCACAGCCAACGTCAACGGCGACTGGTCGACCAACGGATACACCCAGCAACAACCTCCCGCGTCCGCCTGGCCGGACTACAGCCAACCTCAACCACCAATGCAGCCCCAACACCAGCCTCCCCACATCCAACAACCCAACCCGATCCAACCTCAACCTTCCCTCCCTCCTCCCGTCCCGCAGACCCCGACGTCCTCGTCAAGCAGCTTGATGGGCGCGACCAACGGTGACCGCATCCAGCTTGCACCGCTGCGATCGGGAAGCAGCGGTCACGCGTCTTCTGCTAGTGGACCGCCCAGTACGGGAGCTGGAAGTCCGGTGCTCCTCTCTCGTCTCCTGTTGCTGTTACGAATGGGCACCATACGCCCCAGCAGCAACAGCAGAACGGGTATGTGATGTCCCCGGTTAGGAGTAACAGTCGGGATGGATATGGTCCGTCTGTGACTCCTCCGTCGAGGGAACGGGATGATAGGTCTGGTGGACGGGAGTCTTCGAGGGAGAGTGATGGAAGGAAGAAGAACCCGTTGGCTATCAACAGTATCATCTCGGACGACCATACGAGATGAACGATGAGCGACTAGCGTGCTGGTCGTTGGTTCCTCGAAATCAAAAAACGACACTGGGAGTGTCCGTTGTATTTTTATCAACTGGGTTTGGGCGGTTTTTATTCGGCGTCGCGGTTTTCTCAACGTATTGATTTTTTTTCTTACATTTCTTTGCATGCATCGATTTGATCATCCATTAGTTCTCTCTTCTCGCATATCCTAACGACATACCTCGTCCATTGCGATATCCTTTTTCACCTGTTTATTGCTTTTCTATCGCTTTTTATCGCTATCATCGATGCATCTACCACCTCCCATTTTTCAACCACGAGCTACATACATCATCATCGTCTACCCACATCTCAATGCTGTACCACCACTAATTCTTTCCTCTTTCTACTTGCCTGTTATCTTTGTTCCTTTTTCATTGTTGTAACACACCCCTGTAGCAGCGATGGTAACGCTTTTGCACATCGATATCAATTAACATTGAAGTGACAAGATGGCGTGTACCCCGTGGAGGGCAGCGAAGAGCATATGATCCAAGGAAAAGAAGAGGCTGTTCTAAGTTACTAGTTTACCTATATTACAATTACAGCGAGGAACGACAAAACGAAGGTGAAGAGAGTATAAACAAAAAGAGCAACGCGAACGAAGTTGCAAGCAGACAGAGTCTATCTAGAGGGAATCAACGAAAGGAGCGAATATACGAATGAACGTCGGGAGAGGACAAGTGAACGAATGGCGAACAGAGAAAGAAAACCGCGGATAGTCCAGGAGAAACGAAAATGTCTTTGGGGAAAGCAATGTCAGAGGATGATAACAGAAAAAAGAGCATATTGAACGGGTCCTTGGGCCATGCAGAGGTTGTGGTCAGACCCTCAATCCTGGTTTGGACGTGCTCCTGGTGGGTGTATTCCTCATGAACTATAATTCCAGTTGACTTTGATACGTCCAACGCCTAGGGGTGCCAGTGCTTCGAATGCTGCTGGAGACAGGTCGAGGCTGTATCGGCTGCATCCTGGGCACGAGTCGACGACGAGGGCTCGTACGGATCGGCCGTGGTCTGGGGGTGGGAGCTGTTAGCACTGGCTGGGATATGGACATGAACAGGGACTTTGCGTACAGTGGATAGTGATATGCTGGTGACACCGATGATGTCCACTGTTCTCCTCGAGAGACAAAGCGACGACATATTGGGATTCCGTGTTCTCTTCTCCACAACTACCCAGCTATAACAGAAGAACGTGTCAGGAATCCCGATCTTCACCCAGCTGAACGCCACGGAGAGAGAGAGAGATTTGAATCGCAAGCAGTACTCACACCGGGAGTATACCAAGTTGCTAGGAACGAAATCGTGGTCAGCCACACTTGCTCTCTTTGAAGGTGGGTCAGGACCACAATCAACCAGCTGGGGCTTACCATCTCCATGATGGGAATTCGCATTCACTCCGTGACACGCAAACGCGAAAAGGGTGGTGAACAGAACCGTCAAGATCTTGTTATAGTGCATCGTCTGGATCGTCCTCGTTGCTGGTGGAGTCGGCGTGTAGAGTCGGGGCGCCTCTTGTCGCAACTGGAGGGTCGTCGTCGAACAAGGGGCGAAGAGGAAAATTGGGATGTGGTCTGTGTTGGGCGGTCGGCGCCTGTGGGTTGGGTGATCGCGGCCTCGGGGGCGGGTTTCGAAGCGAGCGAGGGAGTCGATTTGAATTGTTACTTTGGTCGTCCCGGATACCTGTGAGTATAAGAGGGCAAGCTGGCAAAATATGCTCGTAGGTTAGTATGCTGCCATTCCCGATGTCGTTGAGAGGTCGTCCACATGTGTACGGATTGGATGCGCAGTGATAGGCCGTGAGTGCATTGTACTCTTAACTTTCGCGGCTTGGTGGCACAGGGGGTTTTGAATTCCTTGGCATGAGCGCTGAATACAATATGGCCTACGCGAATGATGACATTGGTAGTCATCGTCTGGGTGCGAACTACAGGTAGTACATCTCTGAAGAGCTAGGGTCAGGAACGCGTCCAGGAGAGGAACTTGAAGAAGGGGCGGGAGAGATGACGCACATTTTAGCCCCTCACCCGCTCATGGGGCTCTTGCCACGGAACTCCCAAAATTCTAAAGATCTCTTCCTCGGTCTCTGATGCAATGATTTGACCTAAAGAGAAGATCTCAGCCCCAACTCCAATCTTCGTCATCGCTGCGGAAAGGCCACCCACCTCTATTAAGTTTGACGCGACGGTCTCTCGGATCTCGCACCACATTGCCAAACAGGCCTCTCTGGTTGAGCGAGTAGCCCATTACATTTGCCTTCAGACGCATCGCCCTGTTGAACTATAAACAAGGGGTCGGTAAGTCTCTCAATCGATGCTCCGTCAGTCAGGCAGTACGAACGATGTCATCTCCCTGGAAGGCGACGTTAGTCCAGGTCTAACAGAGTATGGAACCAGCACGTACTGTGTAATAGATCAGGGCAGCGCCTCTCGAGTGATAAGGTACAGTGAGGAAGTCTATTCTGCGCCGCTTCGAGTTTGGGACGTTCGGCAGCCGGCAAAGTCCTCGATAAACGCCCTCAAGGTCATCAATTTCTTCGGGGAGTGCCAGGTCTTCGGTGAGAACGCCTACAGCGTGCAGCTCTTGTATCAACCGACCAAGAACTCCTATATCGAGGTTAGGTCGTGGAAGGGATATGCGAGGTTCGGACGAGTACCTGCATGCGTCTTCCCGTCGTCCGTAGGCCTGGTTATTAATATGTCGATATCACCGCAAGTGGCTTTCCCTCTGTTTATCACCATGAATTGGGGCTCCAAAATAAGGGACTAAAGGATGACCGTACCGTCGGTAACTGCCCATTATTTCGACGAAGAGTTTGGGGTCCAAAGAAAGCGCTAGATGCCATATGAGACAGGTGAAAAATATATAACTTTAGACAGGTCCAACCTATGGGCTTGATGATATCGTAAATGGCCTTCGCTTCCTCTCGAGGCATCCTGGAATTAATGTCTAGAGCATATGAAGGTCAGCTGGACAGACATATCGGCAAAGTGATTTACCATCATAGTACTTGAGGCCAATTTCTTGCACAGCAGAGAGCTTAACCCCGCCCTTTCCTTGCCTGATATCGTCGAGGGTGCGACACCCCGCGTTATACCACTTGTATGCAGTGGAGCGACCTGCAAGACCATTCAGGCGTTTACTTCCTGTGGATGGCTAGAAGACGCACCGACGCCATAGATGCCTTGGAAGAGGGCTGCCGCCACGACGTCTCCAGTCCGCTCGTATTCGATCCGCCGCAGTTTGCCAGTCTCGAGGATCTCGACAATCTAAACATTTGCCTCGATCATCACTCCGCAGCAGATTCAAGGAAACAAAGACCATGCCTTCTGTGCTGTTTTGCTGCCAATACCGCGAATTTTACTTGCTTCTTCCAAGGAGCGTATTCTGCGCGGATATGAACGCAGTGCCCGTATGGCTGTATTAAGGGAGAATTCACTACATGAAAGATGTTGGGCAAAGGCGAGCCTCGAACCTTTGCTATATGCAAACACTCTCCAGCGATCATCTTCCGAGGGCTTGGCTTCATGCAACTTCATTAGCTCTGTTAGCTGAATGGAAGGGGTAAGCTTGCAGGCGAAAGAGTATTGGGTATGAGGGCGTCCCTTATCAATGACGTCCTGGTTTGGGCAGTCCGTAATTTGGGCTTCTGGATTGTCACAAGTCCAGCCCTGTGTGTGGGGTCAGCCCTATACGTATTCGGGCAGGATGGACCACAACGCACCCTTTTCCTAGGTTGGATCTCAGGGATCACATCTTCTTCATCACTTTCGGCCTCAGATACAACTCGTTGTTTCTGTCGGAACGGATCAGCAGTTGGTGCATGGAATAGCCCGATTATTCCCAACCTCTTTCATCTGCTCTGCTTTTGCCTGGTCGTAGAATTCGGCCAGTGGGTCATGGGCGAGTTTCGCCCTGGAGGATGACGCCTCGCTGAAGGCTGGCCCGAGTTGCTGCGATGCGGGAGGCGAAGGCAGTCCCCCAGGCCTGGCCTCAGTAGGTATAGCTACCGAAAGAACATCGTTGGCAGATACTTGGCTTTCATATTCGTCGGCAGCCACTGGTTCCTGAGTTGAGTCGCTGATAGCACTGTGAATGAGGAGAACGAATGACAGGCACGGCAACTTACGAGACCGGACTTGAGCCTTCTTCGACCAACCTGGCTTTCTCCTTGCCTTTCCCCTTGGACTTCGCCCGAATGAAAGATTTCGTGGCTTTCATTCCCGCTTCAAGGCGGTCAGAAAAAGCTGCATGCTGCCAGAGGTGATCTCGTAACTTCTCGTAGAGCTCGTCTTTAGTGCAAGATGCAGCCTTCCCGATGCCCCAAGTTACCCAGCTCCACTTGACTGTGGGGATGCGATCAGGGATATCCCTCAGTCTCTTCAGTCCAAGGGCGTTCACAGTTGTGGTCTCTGGGGCGTCAGTAACGATATGGGTGACCACGTTCGGGTCGTAAGTTGGAATGAGGGTCCCGCCATAACGGACGATCTAAGGAACCTGTTAATCAAGAAAGGCGAAACAAACTGCTTTCTGACATACTAGCTCCATCCGGGCCCTCGTGGTCTCCGAGGCGTTGCGCATGTCTCCGCCAGTGTAAAATATTTGGTAGCCATCTAGAAACTTGAATCCAGTCAGCGGCCGTTTGGGCAAATTGCCTGCTGCAGCCTCAGTTTGGATGTACTGGGCATATTCTGGCGGTCTCATCTTCGGTTGGTCCTTCTTGTTCTTTCCTTTGGAGGTTGTAACCTTCGGCGTCTTCTTCCCAGAGACGGAATTGGCAACCTTGCCTTTCACCTGTGACTTCATGGTGATATCGGGAGCAGGCGAGCTTGCTCGGGAGGACTCTGAAGATGACACATAGATGACGGAGCTTCCGTCAATGGAGCGTTCAGCGTGGATCACAGGGGCGGTGTCCTGTCTGTCAAGGGGCACAGTCTTCATTCGGCTCTTCGAAGCACGATGCGCAGCCACGCGTTCCCGTACTTCCAAAAGCAAGCTACTTGATTCCGAGGGAATCGCCCGATTGCGGGGCCTCTCTTTTGCAGCGGATAAAACAACACTAGGATCCTCGATAGGCGAGCTGCAGACCTCGTTCTGGACCACAATGGGACTAGCTTTCTTGCCTTCTTCAGGCGAGGGTTTCGTAGCCTTGAGCTGGGGTTGCTTGGCGCCAGATTGCGCTGTGGTCCTGATGGGCTGCAGCTTCGCCGGTTGGGCCATCAGAGCACCATTTTTGGGTGCTGCAGTCTGTACAGGCTTCGAGCCAGGAGGGATCCTACGAGAAGACTGTTAATTTTGGATATATGAACTCATATGGACCGAAACTTACGGGGACAATGTCAGTTTCGTTATCTCCTCATTCGGCAACTGGTCAGTTGACATGCGTCGCTTCTTCTTTGTACCACCAGGAGAAGACAGTCCCCGTTTCCTCGAGGCGAATGCGGGCGAAGGTGTGACCCGAACGGGACTTGCTTCCCCGTGGCTATTCCCGGGAGAGGTTGGAGGCATCGGGGCATCAGACGAGGGCTCTGGTGCATCGACATCTAATGAATTGGGCCAAGAATCATTGGTAGGAGATGAAGGCACTCCGCCATTTGTCTTTGGCTGGTAAAAACACGAACCTGGACCAGGTGATGAACTGTAGGAAAGAGCATTAGCCTGGAGCCATTGCATGCGGCCGTAGACGCTACCTGCGCAAATCAACGTGCATCTCATTCAAAGATAATTCGGGTGAATGTATGCTGCATTTTCCCAGAAACTGGCTGTTAGCCGCAGTAAATGAATGCGACCCCCCTTCGTGATGAAGGTCAGACCAACGCTTGCCCCTTATGAACAATAAATGAACTAAGAAGGTTTCCTCCAAAGTCTTGAAGGGTATGAGGGCATACCTAGGAGGCTTCCAAACGGTCCGAGTTCGCTGGAAATATTCGCCCACGTCCTCGTCTGGCAAAGACATAATATTGTCTTGTCCTTCCACAAATTTCTTGAGATTTCGCGCGGCCATTATGTCTTGATTTTCTTGTAATTTAGTGTTCTTGATACTTGGTGCACACAGTTGGGTCAGGAATATAGGAAAGCGTCTGTTGTTGTGTTGGTGGTCATGGATCAACTTCAAGGTGACTCGTCGCTTCGCTGGGTTCGAACTGGGACAGGGAACAGCGTCAAAACTGATACAAACACGCCACACATATTCTCGAGAATCCCAAACATCCGATATCCAAGTGTTATCGCCGCACAACTAAAGGCTTCGTCTAAAATTTTGTACGGTCATACCATATACCCCTGCATATTCAATGGTTTGACAAAACCTTTGTAATAGTCTCTAACAAATTCAAACTAACTTAAACCAGCGATCACCGTGTTACGCTGTCGCGACCACGAGATATTCACGTGACGTCTCGGCCCAAAATCATTTAAATTAATTAATGCGCCGCGGGAGAAGCTTTAGACTCGACCTCGCCCGGAGCTCCTGTTTCGGCGGAAATCCCCAAGGTGGTCGTCGATGAAAGCGCAGCATGAACTGTGGGTATGCGTTGCATGGACAGGCTCATCAAGAATCGGCAGGAATGCGATTTTGGGGAGGTGAGGATTGGAACCTCGGATAGTGACACAGCCAGAACACAGCGCGCCCGCAGATTCGTCACGGAAGGGTTTGCCCCGTTTATTACGACATAACCCGGGAGAGCATGCCACCAGAAGGCCAAAATGAAAGGAGTCTGAACTTGCTCTCAATACAAAGTGATGTATTCTGATCCAAATGACGTTTGAGGGACCACATTACTATCACCTCTAGGTCGTGCAAGGCTGCCCGGAATCGGTATGTGCAAAGGTCCACGAAGTACCCCACTGATATACTCACACAGGTCGAGCCATCCTCAAGAAGAGTTGGGGTTTCAATCCGGGACAAGGTCCCTTCTATTCTCCTTGATTTCATGGATAGGAGCCACCGTGCAAAGGTCACTTTCCGAGGGAGTTCTTCATGGACTAACTCCGTCAGGTCCTTAAATGAGATCTGTCGGGGATTGCAGGCTCCCTGCTCTTTACATTAATGAAATCTAAATTATTGTCTCCTCCATGCAGAACTCTCGGCGAGGTGATTTCTTTCGTTGAAGGGACTCAGCGGACGATGAAGGATATAAAGGGACATCCGTCAGGGTAAGCTTTTATCAAACAACTTCTGATCCAATATGTCCGACGACGAGACGACCCTACAGCAGGCCCTTTTCACGACTGGTCACGAGGAGAGCGGCTCTTCTGACTTCGACGAATACATCCAAGACGAGGGAGCAGAGACCGCTTCATCGGGATCGTCTTTCGATGAACTCGACGATTCAGAGTTTCCTCGGTATTTCTCCGAACGCCGAGGACGCCTCTACCACTCAAGCACTACCGCTCCATATCCATTACCCGTTGACACACCTGAGCAACAGGTAATGATGGTCGCCCTTTTCCCTTCCGGGTCCTAAACCTTCTGACATCCGAAACAGAGGCACACCGTGTCGCATAATATCTTGAAAAGACTGATGGGAGGGAACTACCTCGGCCCAGTCCCCGCAGCTCTAGCAGCTGGCCAGGACAGGAAGGTCCTGGACCTTTGTACTGGCAACGGAAAATGGTGTGTCCACTCTCAAGATCCAACCGATGACCTAATAGTTATTGCTCCACGACAGGGTGACAGAGATGGCTGAAGAGTTTCCACACGTCAGCTTCACCGGCATCGATATAGGTGATTGCAGAAGTGATCTTCCTTCACTTTTATTTACCACCAGTCGTAGTGCCTATTGCAACTCGTTATCCCCCCGATAATGTTCGCTTCATCCTGGCAGATGCCAACCAGACCCTGGACTGGCCAGGTGGTACTTACGACTTCGTCCATGCGAGGGACACCTTGCTGGCTGTACGTCAACACGTTCATTCTGTGCGTTCTATTACATTGACACGTCCCCCAGATCGTGAACTACGACTGCTTCGTAGCGGAAGTAGCTCGCGTCCTTAAACCCGGGGGCTTATTTCTCTCGGTGGAATGGGACCGCTCTCCTCACTTCCACCCAAGCTTCGATCTCGACCCCAAAGAAAGCGCCCCTGCATCCATGCGGCTCTCACAGCTGGTCTGCGACGCCCTACTTCACAGTCGCGGAATGCAGCACACCTCCTTCACTTGCTCTTCGTCCCTCGCAGCATCCCCCCATTTCACCAACCACGAAACTCACAAATTGTACGTTCCCATCGGCGGCTGGCACTTGAATCCCATGCTTCGTCGCGTGGGACTCGCGTCCAAAGTCGCTCAGACACGGTTGGCACGTGCCTGTAGAGAGCTGCTTGTCGATAACACCCCATTGACGCCTGACGAGGTTGAGAATGCGATACAGGACTACGTAGACGAGCTACTGTCGACCGACGGACTGATGGCCACGGTACACGTTGCATGTGCTACGAGGGTCTAATTGGCTAGCATTTGTCAGACTGTCGTAATATTCGCCACTGCGTACGCAGCTCTCGGACACCGCGTTCGAAGATCTTTGATCGGCGAGGTTTCGTCACCATGATCGTAACGTTCCAACAGTTCAAAGTCGATTAGATTTTCGCTGTTTGGGATTGTCTGTGGGCGTGGTCTGGTTCTCCCGTTCTTCGCAGTACGCGACGCTATTACTCACTGGACTATGATTGGCTCGAGTTCCAAGAGCTCTTCCTTGGTTCTTCATTTTGCTACCCCTAGACCATGCCCGTGCGGATCCCGCTTTGGACCCTTTCTTCGCACCCAAGACTTCTATTCTTTCAAACGATCTAGTCAGACCTTGCTCTATACATGCATCACCCAATCATCATTTGTTTCTATTTCCGTTAGGTTTATCTTCGGTTTTGGAACTCAGTAAATTAGAGCGTACATTGTTCTCGCCAACTCGAGGCCCAGCTTTCACACATACATACATGATAGCTCTATGGTGGTTTGACTCCGACAATCGTAATGCAGCGGGCTGCTAAGGAGTCGAATCGTCTTTTTTAGGTTCTTTTGCAATCCGATTTGACATCCAACATTAATTTCTGCTGAACAACGCTTGACCCGCGTAAGTACTTCCATACCTCCATTCAGAGACCCACTGCGAGACTCCGACAATTGAAATCGGAAGCTGCTCTGCGCGTTCTATCAAACCTTCGAGTTAGTAAAGGGAAGACGTAAGACATCCTTCGGCGGGTGAAGACAAGACCATGCGGGCCGTTCGCCATCAAAGCAGAACTCTGAATTCGATGCCTTGAGAATCGGATTTTGGGGGCTGGGACGCGGTCCGGCCTTATCTTAGCGCCCGATCTATATGTAATAAGCGCCTAGCCCAGGCGCCTCGGACAGGTGACGTGGACGCCGGCGGCATTCAGCCCACCTTACTCCGGGCCGAGGGCTTCGAAAGGTCACTTTGACACGCGTTTTACAGCAGGATCATCCAGAGAAGGCTTGAATCACACATCTATTGGCAGTTGGGATCGCCTTTCCGAAGTCAAAAATAATCATGCATCAGAAGTAATCGCTCGGCCTGTATAAATAACTTAGGGGTTGCACTATTGCCTCCTTCTAAAGAGAATCTCGGCTTTTGGATCCATTGCTCGACTCTCTCCGATCCAGAAAGGTTCTGGAGGGGTTGTCCTATCGTTGGGTAGCTTAATGTCATAATTGAGGAGCACGTGCGCCAGTACCAGTTTGGCCTCGTTGACCGCGAGGTAACGTCCCGGGCTAAGTGCAAGTTAGTACTTTAAACACTAGACCGAAAGGGGCAGACCCACCAAGCTGGCCGCCCGCCTCCGAATATCAGATAGCTGGGGTTAAGTGACACCATGCCCTGATAATCCCGTGCAGAGTCCCCGTTCGATCCTTCCTTGTTCTTGACAAAGCGGAATCCATCGAAGGTATCGGGGTCCTCGTAGACATCCTGTGGGAGACCTGTGTCAGGAACAGCACATCTGCACGGGCGAAATGGAACGTACGGGATCAAGATATGTCGCAACTGAAGCAATCGCCGTCCTAAAGCCTTTGGGGACAACTACACCATTGGAAAACGTATAATCGTTTCGCGCCTTTCGATGCATTCCGACTGATGCGTAGCGTCAGTTTTTCTCTGTAAAGGATGGAGGCTAAAGAAGGCAACACACAGCAGACAATACCAGCGAGTCTCGTACTCTCCTTCAAGAAGCTATCCAATTTGTGTAGCCGATCCATCGCTTCCTTAGACCAGCCCATCTCCTCGACTGCCTCCTCGATTTCCTCCCGAAGAGGTGCCGCATACTCAGGTCGGGCTGCTAGGTCAAACAAGGCGTTGGTTACTGTCTGTCAGGAAGGCCTGAGCGAGAGAATCAAAGTGAATGCCCGAAATAACATACGATCGAAGTCGTGTGGATGGCCCCCATGTTCGCGAAGATGATTCTCATAGTCATGTCTTCGACGGTCTTGAAGCCCCCTTCCTCAGGGACAGCGTCCAGGAGCCATGAGATCATGTCGTTCTAGCGCTGTTAGTACTTGTATTAATATATCGAAAGTTCTTGGCCGGACTTACGGGTCTTCCCTCCCATTTACGACCGTGTTTCTCGTCCATCTCCATCCTCTCATTGAACAGAGGGTACACCATTTTCGTAACCTTTGCATGATTCGAAGGGAATTTGCTGAGGATCCTGCCAACAAATCTAGTTGCCCAGGTTCAGTGACGGAGTACCATGAGCACAAGCGAAACCTTACGATCGCATGAACTCTGGGATTAATCCCAAGAGGCTCGAGACCGTGAACATATGGATAGTGAGCGACTCTTGAATTCGACAATACTCAGGGTCTCGACCTGTAGTAGAGTATTTCGCGTAAGCGTCAAATAAAGAATACCGCGGGTAACACCTACACAGCGGCAAGCCCACGAAGAGGCGGTTCGTAGTGCGGCATATGGTGGATACCATCGTTTTTTGGGCTTGAACTGGGGTCCATTCTATTATCGGAACGGAGTAAGAAACCACGACTGCGCCTTTCCGCGCGTTGGGAAGCGCTCACCCTTCGTCCTCGGTACCATTTCCCTAAAACAGGACTCAACTTCATCCTTTAAGTCAGCCATCTGAGATGGGAAGGCTCTAGTCATCGGGCCGCGAATCACTCCAGTATTATAGGTATTCTCCCAGGTCTTGTCAGCGAGGCTGGTTGTCACGTAGTTCTTCTGTAGAATCTATGCGCAAGTATCGGCATGTGTTCGCAAGCCTACGCCGTTCGTCCCGACGTACCTCGTAAAGAGCATCCATAAATGATAGCTCCCGTTCGGTTGAGCATTTTCGAACGTCTTCAATCATGCTCGAGCCAGTCAGGACGATAAGCCATCGGTTCGGAGTCATGAGCGTTGGTATTTTGAATGCCGTCCCTTTGTACTGACACGAATTCTCCGTTAGACTCACCGTCCATTGTCCGGCAAGCTTGATTCTTGGGCGTCACTCACCTTGTCATATCCTTCTTGAACAAGATCCTTCCCTTTGAACACAAACTTCCAGGCTGCTATGTACGAAGAGATGAAGCCGTCAGGGCCCACAGTCGGAATGTGTCGGACCTGTCATCAGAGAGTGTCGGTCAATGAAACGAGGCGGGCGTCCGTGGACTCTCGTACTGACCTTTCTTTCGTCAATTCTGAAGAGTACCCATTGATAAACAAGCCAAATGGCAACAGATACTCCGGCTATGGCAAGGTAGGCCATCTTGGTAACGAATGAGGATTGAGGGTGTCCACAATCATGGCGCTCCAGTTAAGTATCATCCTAAGCCTGGGTCAGGTGAAAAAACAAGCCGCCGGGTTTTGTAACGCTTCCACGGGGCCCTCTGATCAAGGTCCAGTGGTGTTGATACGTACACAACAGATGGCCCTTGCAATCAGTGTTAACGTTGATACACACCTTGGGCGCTGAGCGCTCTGATGAGCTTCGTTCGGGCCCATTGCCCTCCCTGCGACAACGTCACCGTGGAGGCTACGACATTTGGAAGACAGTGCTCTCGGTCCTCAAGGCTAATGAGCCTGGTCTTCTCAGGCAGCCTTGAAGCAGTTCAATGAGCTCCGCTATTAAAAGTAGCTCACTCGGGAAGGGCGATACCTCGTTCTGAGTTTTGTGCGAAGGGGTGGTGAAACTCCCATCAGTGAACTCCTGATGCATGCTAACCGCAACCGACTCCGACTCCGGCGACTCGCGAATCCATTGACCAAGATTGACAACCAATGCGGCGACCTCGGGAAGGTGATACAATAGATCAACTGGGATTGGGGACACAACCATGGTGAGATGAAGGAAGGCATAAGTGTTGTTCCTCCCAGGAAAATCCCTATAGCACAACCCAAGCGATATGATGTGGGCGCATCAGTGTACAGTGAATTGACGTCCGTGAATGTCTATGTAGGATCGGCGGAAGGATTACCAGAATGCGATGAGCGACCCTCGCCGATATGAGCGCTTGCCCTAGGAGAGAATCGGTCCTAGTGAAACAGGATGCACGAGCTGCTGTACCACGATCATTTGATTGTCGATGCATGTCGTTTCCATCACCACGATATCCTCATTTCCTGAACAGTATCTCAGCCTTGTGGTCGTGCCCTCATGGGGAGCTTCAAGTCGCAATGCCCATTTCCAACCATAAGAAAATTGGGATCTCCTATCGAGAACGCTGCCTTGAACACGGACAAATCGGAATCCGTCGAAGACTCTTGGATTGGGATAGAGTGCACAAGTCAAGCCGCAAGTACCAAAGTCATGATATCCATACGGTACCCCATGCCTTCCTAGACTAACAGTGAGCCCAGATTAACATCGGCTTGATTAAGCGCGCGTCTACTGGGCGACGCTTATATCAGCAGGCGTATCATTCAGGTTCCCGGCGCCTATCGTGGTGCTATTTCGCGTACCTAATCTGTTGGCTTGAACACATGCTAGTTCTTCCAAACCATCAATTTTGGCCCGAATCCAACATTGGCTGTGTTAATCAGACACTCCAGGTCTGATGGATCACCATATAGGTGAGAATGAATGTCCAGATGATGATAATAGTCTATATACCTGATGGATCACCATATAGGTGAGAATGAACTACGAATACATGAGATGAATGGAACTAAGGAGACGACGAAACCATACTCACTGTCCAGATGATGATAATAGTCTGGAGAGTGAGGATGGGGAAGACGCGACTAAAGTACTGTGCATGTGATCGTGTAAGGTGATGAGGTAACCGTAGAGAAAAACTATCTAACACACCCCCATCGCGAAGGTGGACGAAGAACCGAAGACAATAAGATCATGATGTCTTTATAATAGGGGAAGAAACGCGAGGTGAAAGAACAAGACCAAGAGATTCACGATGTTTTTCGAAAAGAACGGTTTTAAGAGGTTTGGTAAGAATATCGGCAACGTTAAGACCTGAGGAAATCCAAGAGGGTGTAAAGATCCCTTCTTCGAAGTATTGTTTGATGAAAAGTTCGCGAATGTGAATGTGTTTTGAACGTGAGGAAACGCCAGGAGAAGATAATTGATGGATTGTGCTGCGATTGTCGCCAATGAGGTGGAAAGGGGAAGGGACCGGGATGTCACAAGATTCAAGAAGTTGACGGAACCATAAAGCTTGTCGGACTAGAAGCGAGGCGGCGTAGAGTTCGGACTTGGTGGAAGAAAGGGCGATAGACTGTTGTCGTTTGGACAACCAAACAATAGCACAGCATCGATAGTAGAGAACACAGCCAGAGATGCTGCGACGGGTAGAGGTGTCGGAGGCCCAGTCGGCGTCGGAGAAACCGCATCCAATGAAGATATGGCGATCGATGCCAGGATCGATGGAGTTGGTAGGAGCAAATCGAAGGACGAAATCTTTCGTTTTATAGAGATAACGAAGGATGTGTTTCCCTGCTCCCAGGTGTTTCATCTCGGGTTTAGAGTTGAAACGAGCTAGTGACATCATAGCAAAGGAAATATCGCCCCGAGTCGTAACGGCAAGCCAGGTGAGTGAGCCAATAAGTGACTGATATTTCTTTGTTAGGTTCTGGGGGGTGACGCCATCGAAAGGTGGGGGGCCAGACCATTCGGGTAGGTCGCAAGGAAGACAATCCATAGGGAGAGAAACACCGCGGCAATTATCCATCTTCCAGTCTTCCAAGAGTGATTGGATGAAAGGGGACTGGGAAAGGTAGATGATGCGACGTTTACGGTCGCGTTCGATGCGAGTCCCGAGGAAGATGTTGGCAACACCAAGGTCTTTGATGGCGATACCGGTGTCGTTGACTTGACGAATGAACCACTTCCAAAGGGGGGTGGAGTTGGTAGAAGCAAGCCCGTCATCGACATGGATAGGAACAAAAAGAGTAAGGGGTGAACCATCAGCCGGCATAGGAATGCTAGGGTCAGGCGGGGTGGTCCAAGTGCCAAAGAACAGGGCGTGGTCTGCCTCGCTGCGTTGCATACCAATCCCAACAAGAACCTTCATGAAATGAAGATACCAAGCGAATGCGGCTTGTTTAAGGCCGTAAAGAACGGAAACAAGACGATAGACGGCATTGGGATTTTCAAGAGGAAAACCAGGGATCTGGCGACAATAGATTTCCTCCTCGAGGGGGGAGTGGGTGAAGGCAGCAGTGATGTCAAACGCGAAAAGTTCGTAATCACGTTCAGCAGCGTTGGCAAGAGTCATGCGGATAGTGCCTTGTTCAGCAACAGGTGCGTAACATCTGGCATATGAACCAGGTCGTTGTTGGAAACCTTTGACGACCCAGCGAGCTTTGGCTGTACCATCCTCCTTGAAGGCATATACCCATCGCCCATCAATAATGAAGGCACCGGGGGGAGGATTTTCCTCAACACGAAGAGCAGGTTTGCCGAGCAGTCCGTTGACTTCCTTCTGCATAGCGGCCATCCAGATGTCGCGATCGGGTCGGGCCATGGCATGACGGTAAGAGAGAGGGGCTTGGGTGAGATCGTGTAGATAGTAAGACGACTCGGGATCAAGAGACTCGTCGTCGAACATCAAAGAGTCCATGTATTGCCCACGATCCGAAAGAGAGGAGCGGGAACCAGGATCGTCCATCATGCGATGACCGCCGATGATCCCAAAGTAAGCGCGGAGTTCGTCGAGTTGAAATGCATCGAGTTTTGCACCCCCATGAGACGTACCCCCAGTAGTCGCACCCCCAGTAGTCGTATCAGCGTCGTCAGAGAATAGAGCCAGAGTGTCTTCCAAGGTGATGGAGAATCAAGGTCGGTGTACAGGGAGGAAGCCGGAACGCCAGCAAGACGGTTGGAACGACGAACCTCCTGGAGAACTCTCCGCGCAGAGACGAGATCGTCAGGTTTGGAGTCTGTCGTGATGCGGGAGCGTCTGGCAGTGACACGACCCATATTGTTCTCATCGAAAATAACATCCCTAGACCACATAACTTTGCCAGAGGAAGTAATGACGCGATAGCCCTTGCGACCGTCACCATATCCCACAAACGTGCATTCGACGCGCCGGAAGTCGCCTTTCCTGCGGAGCTCGGTGGGTATAAGTGCCCAACAGCGAGAACCAAATACTCGTAGGACAGAGCCGTCGGGTGGTTCGCCGGTGAAGAGGGTGTAAGGGGTAGTGTCAGATCCAATCGCCTTGCAAGGAAGTCGGTTGAGGAGATATTGAGAGGTTTGAACCGCATAGCCCCAATAGGTGGCAGGGAGTTGTGATTCAGCCAGTAGGCAGCTGGCCTTGTCCTGGATCTTCCGAATATGTCGTTCGATGGCACCGTTCTGTCCATGTGCATAGGCGACAGACCGTTGAATCTCTACCCCCTTAGAAAGGAGATGTTTCTCCATTACCCCACGCGAGAGCTCAGGAGCGTTGTCGACTCGAACACGACCAATCTTCCGGTTGGTTTGATTCTCCACGCGAGCTTCGATGTGGACATAAGCATCGAAGGCATCGTCGCGAGCTCGTAGAAGAGCAACCCATCCAAAACGAGTATAATCGTCAAGAACTGCCAGGTAATATTTGTGTCCTTCAGGCGTCTGAACTGGCCAAGGGCCGGAGATGTCAAGGTGGAGGTGTCCGCCAGCCCGTGTGACTCGTGAACCGCCTTCTGAGGGGTAAGGAGTAGCGGCACGCTGGGCGAGCGTGCAGACGGCGCATCGACAAGTAGTGGAGAGATTGCCAACACATTTGACGTTCTTCATCAGATTGTTGTTGACGACTAACTTGACGATATCGAAGGACGAGTGACCGAAACGTCGATGGAGCAGTTCGATGTTGGGTGGGGAGCTGGGGAAGAAATTGGGAAGGTCACATGTTTCCGAGGAAAGGTAGAATGCATGGGGGACAGACGTGTTGACGATCATGTTCGAAGGGACAGGGTTTGTCGTTGAAGAGGGGAGGATGAACGTGCAGTTCATAACGGTGAGGTATCCTCGACGAGGAATAACGAAAAACTTGGAAGGTTTGGTCCCTGGTTTATATTCCCAGCAAAATGTGCGGGAGCGATCGAACAGAATACGTAGGTTGGTAAAGTCAGTCAAGCGACCTACTGAGAAGAGGTTGACCGGGCTCTTAGGAGCAAAGAGACAGTTGCGTAGCGTGACGGCGCAACGCTGACTGCTGGTGAGGCGAACGGTGAACCTGATAGATCCTACACCAGTAGCCATGAGAGGAGAGGCGCCGGCAGTGCCAATCTCGACGTTGATGTCACGGAAGGTGTGGAACAACTGACGATCCTTGATGATGTGTTGTGTACATCCAGAGTCCCAGATGACGAATGAGTTGCAGGACGAATGTGTGTTTGCCGCAGACTGGGGTTGGGGAAGAGGTGTGATGGTGAACTCATCATCCGAGAGGTAGCAGCCAACATCGAGCTTCTCATTGAGGTTGGTATCAACAGACAAAGTGCCTAACTGTCGGGTCAAGAGTACAGCGTCTGCTTCGGAAATATCACCCCCATCGTCCGGAACCGGTTCGTCATTAATCTCTTCGATACACTCTAACTCGTCTGCATCCAGGTCCCCATCGTTCGCCATGTAAGCCGATTTGGTGGGTTTGCGACAGGTGGCTTTGGTATGGCCGACGGCACCGCAGTTGTGGCAGATGACGGCAGCCTGTTTGTTGGTGGGAGTCGTAGATGACGAAGGAGCAGGTTTAGTCGTTGATGACGAGGTGGTGAGGGCAGTGGACGAGGAAGAGGAGTTGGATGGGCGAGGGTTGGTATTCCGGAAGATGATGGAGTTGGCGACGAATTCTTTGTGGAGACGTTCAGCACTACGCAGTTCGTCAATAACCATCTGCCATGTGACTACAGCCCGGTCACCCCCATTGGATGTCAACCAAATTCTCCATACCGAACGGAGGCTTTCGCCAATACGCGCAGGTAGGCGATAGTGAAGGGTATTGATGAGGGCACAAGGAGACGCGTCGGTGAAGTGAGAGTCCTTGATCTCTGTGGCGAGGTCTTCGAAGCGAGTGAGGTAGCCGGTGACATTGGTACACTCGAGGGAACGAAGACGTGCCCAAGCGGCTTCGCCTTGCTCATAAGAGAGGGCGCCGTACTCGTCCCGAAGAATTTGATAGGCAACACGGGCGGTAAGGGACTCTTCACCTTCACGTTGGACGTAGTAGTCGATGCGACGACGGGCAGCTGGGGAGATGGAGGCGAGAAGGTGGTGTTGGACGAAGAGATCTAGTTCTTGCCAGATGTGAGCGGCGTGGTGGTCAAGGTCGGACGATGATGCCGTGATTACAGGTGCCTGAAGTGGACGGCTGATGGGGGATAGCTTGTCCAAGTTCTCCTCGGGTAAGGTAATCCATCCTAGAACGTTCTTGCCGCGTAAGAGGTGCCTGATTCCACCAATCCACTCGTTCCAATGCGCATGCTTTTCAAGAACTGGTAAATGTGAAACGGAAACCGAAGTACCCTTGCGGTGCATAATGAGCGCCGTTCGGAAAGGGTTAAAAGAAGAAGAGTTATGACGACCATCGGAAGATTCTTTAGCTAAAAGTCGAAGGAAGTATAAATGATCGAAAGGCAAAGGGTTAAGAGAAGGAGGGGCAGGAGGTCGTGAGGTACGAGGGGGAGGTGGGGGAGGAGGGGCACGAGCGTAACCCCGATCGCGACCGGACGCGAGATTGCGTGGCGGAGGCAAATCGTCATCGGAGGACTCACCCCCATTTAGACCATTCCCGAGAGCGGACCTCGCGGCATCTTCCAGCTCGGCAGGGACAGAACCAGTGACAGCGCGAACATGTGCCAAGAGGTCAGCCCAAACCTTAGGGTCCGAAGTACCCGTGGTTGGAGGAGACAAAGAATTAAAATAAGGTTGTTGTTGGAAGGGATTAAAATAAGGAACAGGCCAGGGAATGAAGTTAGGGTGGCCGGATTGTTGACCAATCTGAGAAAAATTCCAAGGAAATTGGCCAGGAGGAAGATTGGGAGGAAGATTGTATTGAGAAGCGGAAGGCTCCTGTTGGGCAGGGGCCTGGGAAGCCGAAGACCAACGGGAAGTTTTATCGTAATCAAGGTCATACGTCGAAGGGCCTTTATCGGCAGTTTTAGAACGAGAAGAAGAATAAGGTTTCTTAATTGTAGAAGTGGAAGGTTGGGCTTTAACCGAAGAAGAATAAGATTGTTGGCTTGTGTATGAAGGAATCGAAGGCATGGCATTGGGCGAGGAATCGGGGATAGGATCGACAGGCGCACCTATTTTCTTGGAGCGAGAATGTTTGCCCTTAGAGTGTTGGACGTTGTCCGGGGGAAGCTCCTCAGCTTGGTCGTCGTCATCAAACACAGCGCCACCATCATCAACCTGTCCATCATCCTCGAGATCGCGGTTTTCGTGCCAGGGGTTTTGGCGGACATCGCCCGAAGGAAAACTGCCGGCGGGGAAAGACATGTCGTATAGGGCAGAGAATGCAACAATGGCTCAAGGCGGGTCCTTTAAAACGTAATCGCGAGCAACGCTCAAGCGGGATAACGTCGTAAAGGCGAGAGACGAGCTTTAAGGGAAGCTCATAACCTGTTAATCAGACACTCCAGGTCTGATGGATCACCATATAGGTGAGAATGAATGTCCAGATGATGATAATAGTCTATATACCTGATGGATCACCATATAGGTGAGAATGAACTACGAATACATGAGATGAATGGAACTAAGGAGACGACGAAACCATACTCACTGTCCAGATGATGATAATAGTCTGGAGAGTGAGGATGGGGAAGACGCGACTAAAGTACTGTGCATGTGATCATGTAAGGTGATGAGGTAACCGTAGCGAAAAACTATCTAACAGGCTGTGCCCTCAACATCATGGCAGACCGCCTCGAGAGAGGCCATCACGATCTTCTTCTCCCTATATCAGCTGTTGTTTTTTACACTCTTCTGCGGCCCCCCGATGGAGACCATCGCGAGATGTCGATACCGACTGACAGAAGATTTAAATTTAACTAGTGTTCATCGAGGTGAGACGAGCTCGAGGATAAATGACTTTGTATTTTAGCGGATTAGCGCCCGTCCCCGCGCCGAAGGGTTCGGCGTGCAATCGTGGCCGTCAGCTCAGCTGAAATCCACTCATACCGCGCTGTATAAAGTATAAGAAGAGGTCCATTCGAGAGTTGTTCTACTAGAACCTGCCATTCCTCCATCCTCGTACTCAGAGGCCAACCTTCCTTCAACTACAATCCTCCGCTCATTTCCTTCAATATGTTACGCCGGGGTTGTCTGTTCGTCGCAGTCACTCTATGCACGTCAAGCGTCATGGTGAACTCAGCCGCGATCGACACCACACATCCTCGTCTGTGCGGCTCTGAAGTCAGTGCAGAGCACCAGGCTGCACTGGAGGATGATTTCAAGGCTAACAAGATCCTAGCTTCCGCTAGGCTTGGCCCGTCTGACCCACTCAACGTCTACTTCCATGTCATCTCCAGGGATGAAAGTAGGGCTGGCGGTCACATCGACGATGTGACCATTCAGGAACAGATGGAGGTCCTGAACACAGCATTCCAACCAAGTGGTGTACAGTTCCGTCTTGTGAAGGTGACCAGAAATGTCAACCCCACTTGGTTCTCCAGGGCAGCACCTCGCACCAGGGAACAAGCCGAGATGAAGAACCAGCTCAGAGAAGGAGGTCCTGCTGATCTAAATATCTACACCGTTGGGTAAGCTTCACATATTTGCTTAAGATTCTCTAGTTTGATTCTGTTCAAACAGATTCGAATCTGGTTCTGGCGCTGGTCTCCTCGGCTACACGGCGAACAAAGTCCTGTCGAATTTGATCGTGGGTGACGCAGTCGTCTGAACTGGAACTAGGTCGGAACTAGGTTGGAGCCAACCTGGAGCCAGCATGGTGAGTACCTTTCCGTTCGGAAACAAAGGGACACCCGAGGGCTATGGAAGTGCGTGGCAAACGCGAGGCAGAAAGAAGACCGTGAGCCGGGCTATAGCCACTGGTCAGGCATAAATTCGGGCCTGGCGTCACCGAAAAGAAGCACCGGCCAGCCGGGGGGTTGAAACCCCTCTACATTTCACCGAGCTCGATCTATCATATTTCTCGCAGGGCAAAAAAGACTTACAAGTCCTCTAGATATTTGGGTGGTGGGTTACAGTGCAATGATACTATCTACTACCAATGGACTTCGTAAAGTACACAAAATCCAGAAATGCAGTAGAGGTTTGAGTCTCTCAACTTTGCCTTTGTCACGATGACAAAGGGAAATTTTGTTATTAAGGTGTTCCCCCAGAATTCTCATCAAGTCCACTGAGATGGAAATGTTGAAGCTCCGCAACCGCTTTCAAAGCTGAACGTCAGCTCATCTAACTGTAACTGCGTCTAAGACTGGGTTTCAAAATCTGGACAGGCGGAAAGGGGCTGGATACCCTTCAATGACATTAGAATCAACATTATCTGATGATCCCTGGCTGCCGCCAGTGGACGGTGATCCTATGCAGCCAGACCCCCGGCCGTCCGTACTCGAGGCCGAAATTGAAAGAGCCCCCGTCCTCATTGATGCCATGCGCACAGAGTCCCTCATATGCCCTTTGTGTAATCGAAGGTGACAGCTAAGGTCCAGGTGAGTTCCAACCTAGTTCCAACCTGGCTCCAACCTGGTGGACAGCGTCACATCAAATTTAATTCGACAACAAATTGAACACTTTGTTCGCCGTGCTAGTACGCGACCTTCCCCGCTGATTATCAGGGAGCCCCCAAAGACGACGGTGTCGTTGTTGTTCATTCTTCCCTCCCTGGAGGATCCATGACCAACTTCAATCTCGGTCAGGTCAATGAATGATATCATCAACTCGTTATTCTCTATAGACTCTCACTCACGAGGTGGGTCACTGGGTTGGCTTGTATCACACATTCCAAGGTGGATGCTCTGGAGTCGGTGATCAAGTTGACGACACACCAGCAGAGGCAACTCCTGCCAATGGATGCCCTATTGGATGTGATACTTGCCCAGGCGGAGGACCTGACCCAGTCCGTAAGTAATATACAGCAACTCACTGTATTCTTTGTCATTGGACTGACCCTAACCTTCAGAGAACTACATGGACTATTCTTATGATAGTTGCATGACTGGATTCTCCCAAGGTCAGATCACGCGACTTCAAGACCAACTCGCCACCTACAGGCTTACGGGAAATGGGACTGATCATGAACCTCACGTACCAGAGGAACCTACCTCTCCTGGCCTCCCCGTTCCTACAGACGCTACGCCCACCGACCTGCCAGAACCCACTGACCCTCTTCCAGAGGTCCCTGGCATCCCCTTACCATTCCCGACCGGAGAGAACCCTTGACTCCCTGGATTCCCATTTCCAGGTATTCCAGGCCTCCCAACTGATCTGCCCGGATTTCCTGGATTCCCATTTCCAGGTCTCCCCACTGGCCTCCCTGGCTTTCCCGGATTCCCTATTCCTGGCTTCCCTGATGGCATTCCTCTCCCCATCCCAAACATCCCAGGTCTTCCTTTCCCATTCCCGGGATTCCCATCCAAGCCTTCTCCCGCCAAGCAACAGGTCCCTGGAGAACGAACATATGGAAGCGGAATCCCGGTTCCATCTGTTCCTGTACCTGAGAGCGCCTCGAACGACGAGGTCACTGGAAGCGTTACCATTCTTCCTGTGCCGGAAGAGACGACTATCATAATTGGAACTCCTTCCACGGAGAGTAAGCCGTACACCGTCCTCCCGATCAATACAGAAGCTAGCTCAGCAGCGAGCGCGTCTGGCGCCGGAATTCATACTTCCCCCACCCAATACCAAAACTACTAGGTTTTGAAACTCGTTTTGACGTAGTAGATCTACTTACCTTTCGCAGACTCTCGCCGTCCCACCGCGTTCCCTTCGCATCTATAGCCCTGTAATTTCTACGACATTTGTATCGTACACTGTCCGGAAGACCAAGCCATGTGGTATTGGCCAATAAGTAGAATGGCGAGTAGCTTAATTGTACAAGGAGGTATCATAGACGGACCGTATCATGAGCATGAATCAGCATAGACCACAAGCAAGCAGTCAGGTATCATCACGCAGCCTGGCTAACAGGTTCGTAACCAGCCCTGCTCCCGCTCGCTCCCCTGCTCCACCCCATGAACAAACTCGACCTCGAGCTCCCCAGAACCTTCCTCCCATTATCACCGACATCATCTTCCCTCATCGCCCTCCTCCTCTTCGCCTCTCGGAATCCTTCCAACGGCACGTCATACAATGTCTCATACTCCACGCCCAACTCCTTCCCGTTCGTCCAGAAATCCTTACAGTTGCTGACGACACCTAAATCGAAAGGGTTGCTCGCCTTTCCAGCTCGTGCAAGGCCATCGACGGCCTTGCCCTTGGTGAATCGGTCAAACCCGAGAAGGTTCATGAGGAATCCACCGCCGGAATGTCGGTGGCCAGTGCCTCCGGGTATTGATGAGCCTTCACCACCGACCAGGGATGTATCTTCGCTGTCGACACCGGGTACACTCTGTGGAGCACCATGTCTGTGTTGGCGGTGACCCATCTGGCCAGACATGCTTGCGCCGGCACGGCCACCCATGAAACCGTATCGTCCGAGGTTGGAGACTTCCAGAGTGGTCATCTGCCGAGCCACCTGCCAAAGCTGAGAAGCAAGAAGAACAGACGTCCATGAAAGCTGGAGGGTTGCCCAGACGGCGACAGAGATGAGGAAGGGGTCGTAAGTCGTGACGGAGCAGAGTTCAACTGGGAGCGGACAGGAAGCCGAGATGTCCCCAGGATTGACGGGAAGGGTCGCGTCGGAGAAGTAGGCGTAGGTAAGATAGTCAAAGAGGATGACGCCGATTACGAGCGTCATCACGAAGAGCAGGAACTGCCGATGGTTATTCGATCCCACTGAGAAACATTAGCAAGAGATGATTACCAACGGCAACAAAAAGGATGCTTACCGCAATTCCAAACCCAAGGACAATGACTGCGGAGCACGTAAGTATGGAATATGACAAGGGTTAACACGGGTTGCTACGCACTGATCACTTCGAGCTACGCATTTGTCACAAACACGACAGTGTTTTGAACGCAATGGTTTGCGGGCCATGCATTGAATGCAGAATGTCTGTCCGTTTAGCCGGCCCTCGCTTGCGAGATCTTCGATGATCTGCTTGAGTTCCTCGTCGCTAGCAGGTTTGGGGCATGTTCCAGGGTCGAGTGTGATGGCACGGAAGAAATTGTAGGCGCAGAGACCAAGTGCGAGGCCGAACATGAGATGCGCGAGGGAATGTGACTGTGCTTCTGGCGGAAAGGTGAGGACCTGGACATGGAGCGACAGCCTTGATAGACTTACGCTGCTGCACTAGTCGTGTCACCCAACAATAGGCGACCCAGACCATCGAAGCTGTAATGATACCAGCGAAGTAAGGTGTGGTGTTGACACTGTCAGTGTATGTTGCCCGGTTGAGCAAGACTCGCGTCACGATCTATCAAAACGTTGAGTACACGATCACAAAGAGAGCACAGGGATTAACACACATGATGCATGCCGAAGAATTCGGCCATAGCGAGCAGAATTCCAGTGTACCATGGTAGGATCGAAAGGGTCGTGAATTGCAACCAGAAGAAGAATGTTGGGAGTAGAAAGATGACGATTTTGGTGTTGCGTTCGCTGAGCGGTGTGCCACGCTTGACTCCATATTCGCTCATGCCACCTTCCTCGAGAGCACGTTTCCATGCACCCAGGCTCTTGAGCTCCACGGCCATGTCCCTTGGGGTTCGATCTTCTCCATCCTTCGCGTTGATGTCTGCACCGTTCTCGATCAATCGTCGTATGCAGACCTTGTTGCCGCGCACGACCGCCCAGTGTAGTGGACTCAATCCGGCGTCGTCTTTGAGATTTGGATTGGCCCCGTGCCGAAGCAGCAGGTCAACTGAGAGAGCGTCGCCCTGGTAGGCTGCCCACATGAGCGATGTATGTCCTTGCGAATCCTTGGAGTCCACGTTTATGGGCTGGTGAAGTAGATACAGCAGTGGCATAATGGACGACGAATGGGTGACAAGATGAAGCGTGTTGTATCCTTGAGAATCGCAAATATTGGGGTCGGCGTTGTGGGCGATGAGCAGGTGAATAATGTATAGGTAGCCATTTCGCGCCGCCCACTGCATAGGCGTCGCGACGAGGTCCCCGCCCAGCGCATCGACCTCGGCACCTTGCTCCAGAAGATAACGACACGCTGCAACATGGGCATTAATCGCTGCCCAATGCAGCGGGGTAACGTTCTGGTCGTCGCGGTCGGTCGCCCTCGCCTTGCCAGACTCGATGAGATACCGTAGATGATTGACGTCTCCACGTTGCGCGGCGACGAAGATATTCATCTGAAATCGCCTTTCTCTGTCATTTCCGTTTCTCCAGATAAAAACGTCAATTTACGCACCTCATTGTCGCCGTTCTGTGCGACTGGTGGTTGGGAGAAAGAAAGATTCGTAGCGCTGGCCGTTTCGACGTTCACCAACGACTCTGAAGGCTGCGATTTTGGGGTCACCAGGTCATCCATGGCGGCGTAGTCGTCGTCAGCAGACAACCAAGTTTGCTCGTCGTCTACGGTGCACCGCCAACGCTGCCGAGCACTCTGGGCGTTAACTATCCCCGTTTGTTGTCGTTTTCGCACGGGCCACCTGACTTGGCGGATGATAAGATTCGGGTAAATCACGATTTCTTTCACCAAAATTTCTTTCTTCTGAACCACCATCATCTCAAAAATGGCCCCTGCAGGAACTCTCTGGACAACGCCAGCTCAGTGGAAGGGCAAGGCTGTGAGTATGATCTCGTGAGATCGCCGCTGTTGACGACGAGCTCATCGTTTTTTCTGGTTTCTCCACGATTAGATCAAGGCCATCGCCGCCTTCGGAGGCGTTGAGGTCGCTGAGCCCGCCAGCTACGAGCATTTCGTCGACAACAAGAAGCCTGAGTTCCTCGCCAAGTTCCCCCATGGCAAGATTCCTGCCTGGGAGGGTGCTGAGGGCTTCAAACTTTTCGAAGGTGCCGCCATCGCTCGCTATGGTGAGTTGTCTTATCATTTATCTAATCGATCGGGTTTTTGCACCACATGGAACCGATGGAGAAAAGAATCTTCGAAGGATACATTCTGGTTTTACCAGATTTTGGTTTAGAACCCACCAAGGTCTGGTTAAGCTCCAGACCACATTCCGGATATTGGCATTTCTGCTTTAATTCTACCCTTCTTCGTTCTTGGTAGAATTCTACTTCGATCCAACTCTTGTTGAAGGGCTTCACGGAGAAGGCTTATACTGTTTGGCTGAAGCTCTGCCCTCCTTCACTTCTGGTAGAATTTTGCCGCCCTGGGACAACTCTCCGGAGTTCGGTTGAACCTCCGGTGTCTGGCTGAACTCCAGGGACATCCTAACTTCGATGTTTCGGGTTCTACTTAGTGATTAGCACCGCGTCGTCGCGTTGGTCCCAGCTATATTCTTTGATCCGTTCCAACTCGCCCAGGGCCCGGGTAGTTTACCGTTTTCCGGCTTCCTGAACGCGACTTTAATTTCTTCTTTCATCATCTTGATCTTCAGGCCCGTTCTAATCCTTTTGTTCGTAGTCGCTTCCCTTGCCCCCAACTCTGGTCTTCTTGGAAACAGCACCGAGGATGCTGCTTTGGTTGATCAATGGGTTCACCTGGTCGAGAGTGAGGTCGATGTCTACACTGACTTCGTCCGCACCATCACGAGTGGACAGATCCCCTACAACAAGCCCGTACGTGAACAGTATCAGATTAGAGTGCTCAGGTGCTTAGAAGATAACCTTTTCCCAGACCCACACCAACCTCTTGGAGCGCCAAACTCGTGCATTGAACACCCTTGATGCCCACCTCAAGGCCAACACTTTCTTCGTCGGTGAACGCATCACCGCTGCTGATATCTGGGTCGCCACTCTCATCCAAAAGGCCGTTGGTTTCACCGTTGATGCCCCCGCCCGCGCCAAGCTCCCTAACCTCGTCCGCCACCTTGAGACCATCGCCAACCAGCCCAAGTTGAAGGAGATCTTCGGCGAAATCAACTACGTCGAGAAGGGCATCCAATTCACTCCCCCTGCTAAGGAGGCCAAGCCCAAGGCTGCTCCTGCCCCCAAGGCTGCCCCAAAGAAGGCGGAGGCTGAGGAGGAGGAAGAGCCTGCTGCCCCCGTCATCCCCAAATCCAAGCACCCCCTCGAAGACCTTCCCAAGTCTTCCTTCAACCTTGAGGACTGGAAGCGTGCTTACTCCAACTTGGACACTCGCGGTCCCGGCGGTGCCATCGAGTGGTTCTACCAGCAGTGAGTGTTGATTTCTCCCATGGACTACCCCAACACTCACACACTATCTTCAGCAACGATCCCGTCGGTATCTCCGTCTGGCGTGTTGACTTCAAGTGGCAAGAGGAGTTGACTCACACCTTCATGTCCTCCAACCAAGTCACCGGCTTCTTCAACCGATTGGAGGCTTCCCGCAAGTACGCCTTCGGCTCCGTTGGTGTTCTCGGCGAGGATAACAACAACATGATCACTGGTGTCCTCATTGTCCGTGGCCAGGAGATCGTCCCTGTCGTTGACGTCGCCCCCGATTGGGAATCATACAGCTTCACCAAGCTCGACCTCTCCAACGACGCCGACAAGGCCTACTTCGAGGGTGCTCTTGCCTGGGATCTTGAGATCGACGGCAAGAAGTGGGTCGATGGAAAGAACCTCAAGTAAATGCGTGGTGACGTGGGTTAGAGAAGTTGCTTTCATCTGTATTATGTTTTCGTGTATTTTGGCAATCCATGCATTTTTTGATCAGTGATCCTGCTTGATGGTGATCAAATCTTCCTGATCGCGTCTTTCCATCTAACCACCAGCTTCGACAGGACCCCCAATTATCATGGGTGAGGGTAGGTAGCAAACCGGCGATTTCTGTCCGGAATCTTTTTCCAAAATTCGCGATTTTTGTCCGGGATTTTCGTCGGCCTCTCAGAAGGCCCAAAATTTGTCCGGAAATCGCAACCAGCCTCTAGAAAGCTCATTTTTGCGTTTTTGTTCGTCGATTTCTCGATTTTCCGCGTAGTTCGCCGTCTGTTCGCGCTATTCAGGACGTAACGGACATCCTGGGGGTTGGGAGGTATTTCGGGCGTGGTCTGAGACGTGGTCTGAGTGTGTGGTGACTTTCGCTGTGAGTGGTTGTGGTCACCACTAGTCCAGACTGACGATCGCGACATTTGACAAAATAAATAATTTGCTGTATTTGGCTTTACTCCTAATTACATGATTTGCATTTCAAAATGTAAAAGAGACGTCGCAGAGGTTCGAACTCCAGTATTTCAAGCTTAGAGCCAGGAGTTCTGTTACACAACCCGGTAGACCAACTGGCCGATGGTTTGTCCGGAAGGCATACCCGCCCTATTGGTCGCGACCCAAGCCTGTCCGGACATTCTACCCGACCTTTCTGGGATTTTGGCCTAAATTCTGTCCAGATTTCGCTCCCGGCCGCAGGCCGGGAGCTCACTTTTTTGTCCGGAACGTGCCCTACCCTCACCCACGATAATTGGGGGTCCTGCTTCGACTTCGACTCCACATGCTTGACTCTTCGTCGCGGGCTGTGTTCTCGTAGTGCCTAAGCACTGCTGACGTTCATGAAGAATATCGCTGACTAGCGCTTACGGTACCCCTCAGGTAAGCTTTGGATTTTTAATTGGTGTTCTTGATGTCCTCGACGTTGATAGCTCGCTCTGAACATTTTGCCGGGAGGAAGAGTCGAGTTCTATCGACAATTGACAATTGACAGAACTGACCCACTTCACTTGAAATACGTCCGGCACTGAGTAAGGTACGGCCGCTGCTCAGGTCATCGCGATCGGCCTGTGTCTTCTTGTGGTTCACTCGGTGCCATGGGCAGTGCCAGTGTTCTGCCGCTACTAGGCGCTCAGGCTTGATTGCTCACTACGTAAACTCCGCCAAACGCCACTCGCGCAATCTCAGTGCTTATCGTGGTTTAGTTTGGCCCAAGCGCATTGGATAACGGTCAGCCCCACAGCAGTGGTCACACCACCCCTTCTTCCTCCCTTATATAAGAACTACCCCTCTCTGTCTCTGGCTTCGTTCTCATAGCCCTCCATGCCCCTCGACGCACTGCCATACGACGTGAAGGAGCTCATCCTCTCCGCCCTTGGCTCCCCAAAGGACCTCCTTCGATTGGCGCTCACGAGCAAGTCGTGGAAGTCGCTGGTCATCCCGCATCACATCGAGTATCGTCTCCTTCGACTGGACGACCATCGACCCGAGGTATGGAAGCATCTCGCGGAGAAACGACTCCTTGCTTCACGCATCAGAACTGTCGTCCTGGGCCCCGACTATCGTCTCTTGCCCGGCGTTGGACAGTCTCAATCTTCGCTCTATCCCAGGACGTTGCTGTCGACGCCAACTTCAGAGGCAGCCCAAATCAAGGATGTCCAGGTCGTTAGGGAGGACGTACTGCAAGCGCTCCGGAACATGACTTCCTTGGTCAGCTTCAGCTTGCACCTGGAGTATGATCCGGAGTGCCCGCTGCAGCCACTACCCGGTGATCCCTTTGCCGGGAAGGAGATCGTTCAAGCGCTAAAGGAGTCCAAGTCGTTGCGCAAGGTGTCGATATCTGACCTCGGGAACAAGATTTTCTCCTGTGGATTGAAACATCATGAAGCAGAGGTTGGGTTGGAAGACGTGGTATGTTTCAGGGTCAAGAGATCGGCCTTCTAGCGCTCACGGTGCGATAGCTGTGGGCATTTCGCGACCTCGAGGAGTTGTCCACGACAATTCCTTTCCCTAAGCTGACCGCAGCAGTCAAGGCTGTTCAACCCATGTCGAATCTTCGCGTACGTCTGATGTTCGTGATGAAGTCCCTGTATTAAACCTTCGATTTTCAGCGCCTGTGTATTCGGCCTGGGACCTATCATCTCAGTAGCGACTTCTTGTCGTACACCTTCCCACATCTACACACATTCGATCTCAACGTGTTCCCTTTCGGAGAGCCCGAAGTTTGGGACCAGCCGGTCATCGAATTCCTTTCACGGCATCCAACAATCGAAGTATTGGAATGGCAAACCCTATATCAAACTCGCCCACCTCGCCTATCGAGGACGTTGCTTCCGAACCTCAAGGTCATCCGGTCAAACCACAAGTTCGTGTTAGGGATCGTGGCGTCGGGTGGAGAAAGGCCGCTTACCGAGATTCACGATTTGGGGCTCGACGAACAGGCGTTTGCGATCTTATTCAGGGAGCGGAGGGCGCTGACGTCCGTCCGGTGCATCACCGTCGCTCACGCGTTCAATTACGGCCTGTTCCTCAGACTGGGAAGTATCTTCCCGTCGCTAGAGGTCATGTACCTGCGACCAGATCAGCCGGGGGCATTCAGTCTGGTCAGTGCTGGCATCTGGGCTCAGGCGACGCGATCTGACCACCTACTATTATAGGACGACTTTGCAATGACGGCTTCACATTTCCCTTCGCTTCGATGCCTACCAACGGTCTCCGTCCTGTTCAAAGCATCGCAAAAGGAGACGCTAGTGAGGAATTTGTTGGCTGCCTGTTCGACTCTGACGTGGGTCACCGCGATATGTGAGCGGAGCGGCGATCAGGAAGCGCGGTCATACCTTGTCCAGCTGCAACCTGAGAGGTGGGAAGAGATTGACAACCCCGCTGCGGGGTGCAAGTTCCCCAACGTTTCCCCCAGGCCAGAAGGGTTTGGACTCCTTGTGGATTATAGGGCGCCACTCGTTCAGATCGGGGATCAGTGAAAAAGGCAGGTGTGTCCGCGCAGCGATGACGTAGAGGGCAGTCTCCAAGACTTTTACCATCGGGACTGTCCCTTCGGTTATAGTTACCTTTTACCTTTTCATTCTTCGCTTTACTCTTGGGTTTATGTTGATGCACAACTCGGACCTTGGCAGTTGGTGTACTTATAAAGCTGTGACCATCTTTTTACCCCGCCTTCAAATCATACCCACTTGCCACTCAAAAATTCTTTGGTCCCCCATGTCCGCTCAACGTCTCGACGCTCTTCCCTACGATGTCAAGGACATTATTCTTTCGCTAGTCGATTCTACAAAAGACCTCTTACACCTCGGAGTGTCCAACAAAGAGTGGAAGGCGCTCGTCATCCCTCACCACATCGAATATCGAGTTCTTCGTCTCAAATGCCACCACTCGCACCCAGAGGTCTGGAACCACCTCGCACAAAATCGACACCTTGCTTCACGCATTCGAGTAGTGGAGCTCGAGCCCGACCATGTTCACGCCGACAACGCCGATGCCCATAGTACCCATTCGGCTTCCAAAAGTCCACTTTGCCTGTATCCAAAATCGCTCTTAGGCGAACCGCTGGTCCCAAGATCCGGAAGAGCGGATGCGAAGCAGGACATTCTGCATGCCTTCTGGAACATGACTGCGCTTACGAGCTTCAGTTGGACGACCGCTTGCTGCTCTGGAGCAGGCACCTTCTCTTCCCCTTTAAACGCGGACCCCACAGTGATCAAGGAGATCCTGAACTGCCTAAAAGGCTTGCAATCCCTTCGCAAGCTCTCGGTTTGTGATTCTGGGGGAAAGGTCTTGGCCTGTGAAGATGCCCGAGAAGAGCATGAGGCTGGTCACTGGGTATGTGCACATGTAGCTCTCCCCGCGGGGTTCTTGAGAAGCTGATTCGACTTCCCGATTCAGCTACGGGGTTTCCATAACATCGAAGAGCTGTCAGCATCGACGAGGGACCCCTCATTGGGTGTAGGGATCAAGTCGCAGGAGCCAATGTGCAATTTGCGGGTGAGCTCGTCCATCTGCTCGAAACCCCATTAAAGCCCAGACCGATGGTCCATCGTACCAGCGCCTGTGCATTCAAACCTGTGGCGACTATGATCCGAGCTCAGAAGCCTTCCTTTCATACACCTTCCCAAATCTCGTCAGCATCGACATCGCAGTCCCTCCATCGCGCCAAGCGGAGTCATGGACTCGGCCAGTCATCGACTTCCTCGCCCGCCACCCATCCATCGAGGCGTTGGACTGGCAGACCGGATCTTGGGTGGCAGGTAGACTTCGTCTTCCAAAAGGCTTTCTTCCTAACCTCAAGTTCCTTCGTGCATGGAACACTTTCCTTCTCGCCGTTCTTGGCTCGAAGGTAGATGGTTCGAGGAGGCGACCATTAAAAGAGCTCCACGGGTTGTGGCTGAATGACGACTCTTTCGCCATGTTGCGCAGAGAGCAAAGTGCCTTGAGCTCAGTTCGATGCGTTTCCGTGGATCACATTTACAATCACCAACTTCTTCTCGCCCTTGGAAGGATCATACCTTCGGTCGAGGTGTTGACGCTGTGCCCTTCCAATCCACCGGTATACAAGCTTGTAAGTTCCAGTTTTACTACGTCATGAAAGCGTGTTGTCTGAATAGCCTTTCATTCGCCTAGGCAGATTTTGTTGCGATTATATCCCGCTTTCATTCCTTGCAAAAACTGCCCGGCGCTGCGGTGCTGTGCCGAACCGAAGACAAAACGATACTGGCGGGAAGAGTGCTGCAAGCACGTCCCACCTTGCAGGGATTTACCACCCTATGCGAGCATGACCAGTCTTTCTACGTACATCTCCATCCGGAGAGATGGGAAAATATGGAGCGTCCTGTGGCACACTCGAATGGGCTTGGGCCGGTTCCAAAAGCATAGGTTACGTCGAATAAGCCCAATTACAATAAGTGATGATCGCGTTTATGCAATGGAGGGTATCACAAATGCGGGGTATGGTAATGGGGTTGTCCTCTATCGTCGCCGATCCTATTAAGCTTTCTGGGAAGACCAATTGGGCCGGTAGGTTCTGATCATGCTGGTCATGCGGAGCATCTGGCCAATAGTGAACTCGTTCGTGCAGCGGTCATCTGAGTAGTCCATGTAATTATGGATCGGATCCTCTCCCTCTCGGTCCTTGCAAGTGTTTCGCGACTTGGGACATCCGTTGGTGGACGACTTTTGTGCCGGGGTGTCGTCAATCCCGTCACCGATCTTGTCATCACAGCCTCCTTCGAATGTGTGGTAGAGACCGAACCAGTGGCCGACTTCATGGACAAGAAGCTTGTGGTGCACGTCAATTAGGCGAGTTTTTAGTTGTTCGACAAGAGAGGGGAAACATACGTGACCACGGTCCCGGTTCTTGTGCTTGCCACCAGGGACAGTACGGTAGTCAATCATTACACCATCCAAGAGGGGTTCGCTCCACGCATACGTCGGGAAGGACGAATAACCGATTAGGCCAGAACCCCAGAAATCTTTGTCGGCATCGAACCTGTTTCACGCCTCAGTTGTCCAGCTGGAGGAAGAGCGAAACAAGATACGCACGAGATGGACCAGATGTTGAGGTCAGCAGAGCCTCCTTCGTGCAGAGCGCGCTTCATGTGTGCAGTAAGGGGCTTGTTCTTTAATCCAGCCTTCTTGAACCATTCAGGATTTACAGTCCTGGTAGTCTTGACATGGTTGAAGCGAATGCCGGTGCCACTAAAAGCGTCCTTGAGAACTTGGATTTGCTTGTCGATGGTCTCATCGCTCAGGTTTCCACCTTTCTCCGATTCATCTTTCGAGATGACATGAAAGTAGACATCGAAGGGATCCAGCAGGAAATTGGCGAAGTTTGAGACAGTACCGTCGTCCGAGACAAGGGATGCTGTTTGGTTAGCGAGCCGAGCCTGGAAGTCCGCTTCCATCAGCGCCTTGGTCTCGGGGTCGAAATTGGTATCACAGGCTTTATTGTCAATGGCTACGGCATCGACGAGGCTAGCGGCAGATACGCAGAGGACAGCCGTAAGGGAAATGAGTTTGTTGAAAAGCATTGGGAGAGAATTAAGGGCGACCGAGCGCGATAAATAGCTGGAAGCAAAGAAGTAGTAAAGATCGACGGTTGCGCTCAGCGCAATGGGGAAAATAGTTAATGGGAAAAGTGGATGAACTGCTCGCATGCCTGTCCCATCCCAGCTTTTATGACCCCACCGGAAATCTCGAGCCTGTGATACTATTGTCCTTTTACATCAGATATTACAAGACATCGTCCACAGTACAATTACATTGACTCAACAGTGGGTTCGTCCAACCGCCAAGGCCAACTGGTCTATTGTTCTCGGCGCTGCACAATCTGACGGTTGGCAGCAGCGAAATCCTCGACACTACACTGGATGGTGGGTCCGTTTCCAGCTCTCTGACTTTTGTAAAGTAGATGCTCGAGAACCCGTGTAATAAGCAGTAGCAATAATTATACAATACACTGACGACCTCCAGCGCGCGGAGGGCTTGCCATCGAGAATATCGGATCAATGAATCGCCCAAAAAGTCAATGGCGACTCCTATTTCGAGCAAGGAGCGTCTCGCACTCTGCGGTTGGCTATGTAGATCGAAACAACCAGGCACCTCTGCTCAAAGGGCATGTATTACAGGGAATACGAGAGTTGAAAATTAGCCAGATCGGAGAACAGGAATTTACAGAAGATGACTGATAATATTACATAGATGTCGAGGTTCGCGCAGGTCTTGTAAAGGTGGGTATGAATACAGTTGTGTACTAAAGGGATCATTAGTAACCTTCTGCGTCAGTCGCGCTTATAACACTCGCCTTATTGGGCAGTGAACGGGACGTGCTCCTTGGCTCCTAGCGGTGGCGTCGAAGGAGGGGTGAGCACCGCACGCGTCTTCCGCGAAACAGAACTTTGGGATGTAGATGGAGAAACAACGGGGGCCAACACAGGCTGTGGCTCCTGATGATCGTGCATGGTGGAGCTCAGCTGTGCAGCATCACTCTCTTTTGCCTGCCTCGACCTTCGATCGTCGAGTTCTTGCTGGACCCACAGGTCGATCCCTGAGACAGCATCTTCAGGGGATCCCTTGCACGAGAGAAGATAGCCTTGGAGTTCGGCCGTCGAGAATTTATGTTCGGGTATCCTACTCGCAAAGCGCACGGCGAGCTCCTGAAGACGGGCTGCCTTGTCTGATTCGGTCGATTCCTTTCCCAAGGTTGTACGGGCTGCAGGGAAGAAACGTGAGAACAGGGCGGTCGCCTGCGCAGCTGTTGTCAGCTTGTATTCAATTTTGCGGTCGATTCGGCCTGGACGGAGAAGAGCTGGGTCCAATCGATTGATGTGATTCGTCTGAATGAGGTTCATTTGAAAGATGCGTGTCAGTAAAGGTTTCATCAAAGACTCGGACGGGGTATAGTTCGAAGACGCTCACAGTTGCGAAAAACAGCACGCCTTCTTCACTTCCTATTCCATCTATCACGTTCAGAAGGCCGGAGAGGGTCACGTTTGAGCGCCTCAGGGGCATAAAAGGAAGCCCGAGAAAACCGTTCGATGACGCCCCTCCGGAAGTATTAGTCTCGTCGTCCTCGCGTGAAGCAAACGCGCAGTCGATATCCTCAATCAGAAAAATGGCTTTCTTGGGAATCGTCGATGAGGCCTGCTGAAGGAAAGCATCGTCCACGCTTTAATCGGTGCTGTCAGGGAGGAGCTAAAGTAACGGATAGATTCACTTACAATCCTGCAGACAAGGAGAGAGAGAATATCTCAAGCCCGAGCTCTCCTGCCTAAGCCAATACATTTGAGACCGCACGCAACAAAATCGGGGTGACAAGATGGCCTACCAACGCATGTATGGTGGAAGCTGTAGAGTAAGGTTCATTGTTAGAAGCTCCAGAGACAACAAGTGATAATCAGAACTCACTCTTCCCTGTTCCGGGTGGTCCGTGCAATAGGTATCCTCTACGATGAGGAATTCCTGCCTCGATGTACCAGTCTTCCATCTCGATGAAGTCTTTTGCATCCTGCACGATTGAATCTAGCATGCCTTCCTCTAGAATGATTGAGTCCATGGGCCTTCTCAGCTTTCGCTTAACGCTGCTCCAGACAAACCCAGGGCCGAAATTGGGCTTGCAGATAGAAATCAATCACTTCGGAATTCGCGGATGGCATCGAGCAGCAGGTACTCACCTGAGACGCCGAGTGAAGGATGACACTAGAGCGGCCATGCTCGATATAGCGAACCCTGGCCTCTTCCACGAACTCTTGAAGGTCCTTGACGTTGAGTGTGTAGATCCTGAGAGTCTTGACGTTAGTGACCACTGACAGGGCCAAACCAGAGTGGTTTCTCCGCCAACGTAATTTTCCACGATATGTCGGGAAATCAGAAACTTACGTCAGGACTATCGCTCCGGGACTAAATCCTCCAAATGGGGGCTGTATCATTGCCCCTGTGTTCCGCTTCGTTTCTATCCAGAGTCCTTTCCACCTGAACAGATGGGGGAGCTCGTAGGTAGGGACGAAGTCGACATGGTCGCTTCCGGGTGCGTTTTCGCCGAGAGTGATACCCCATCTTCGCGTCGAGCTCTTAGCATTGATATGAAAGTCTCTCGAGCGCTTCCATATGTTTTCTTCCGTCTAGAGTGCCGACCGAGTCAGCCGTGCGTCGCAAAGGGCAGAAGACAGTGGCGCACCAGGAACATGACAATCCATTCGTATGCCGGGTCGCCTTCAGTGAAATGCGCAGTGACGGAGTACTCTGCGGCGATGACTTGTCAGTCTGACCCCAGTCGATTGGCAGGAGACGGTCGGACGTACGGAATCTCACACGCTCAGCAAGCCACTGCAAGAATCTCCGTCCAGCTTCCACCAGGGTACCAAGGAAGAACAGTTTGGCAGTGTCGAAGACGTATGATTGAGAGTTTGAACTCTGCTGAATCCAGGAAGCTAGAAAGGAGAAGCTCATAATACGAGCCAATAAGCTGGAAGTCAGCGATGACAACGTTCCGACATCCTGAGTCGGAACCTCCATCGCTGGGTGAGTGGTAGGAGGGGAAGGGAAACGAGAAGGCGAAGCCGATTTACGATCGACAGGTTGCCTACTAGTTTCTTTTATACCCACAGGCGTGCCTTACATGAGCCATGTGGGTATGTATTCCCACTTGGGTGCTTCATGCGTCAACAGGCCGCATTCAAGCATATATTAGAAGCTGAGCGAACGTGAAACTGCTGCACCGCGATCACCGAATAGGCTAAAGTGAACCGACAGGCAATTTCTCCTTTTGATAATCAAGCAGAGTAAAGGATAGTATACAACCGAGGAATTACAGAGAGCGTCGCAACAATCTTGTTGCAACTACACCCGCAACGCGCTCGGCGATTCCGCCGATCAATTAGCGCCCAGATAGCGCTCGTCAGCGTTCAGAGCGTTTGGTCGACAATTGGGGGTTAGATCGAGCGAAGGGGAGCTCAAAATTTGAAGGAGAGCAGCTGGAAATACTGACGATAACGATTCAAAAAGGGTTCTGGCTGAAAGAAGCTCCTATGTGTGTTGGTGGGATCTCCGAGAAACCCGACGCGTGGTAACATGAGCCCTTCGGGCCCCCAAATTTGAGCTACGGCCTGCGAGTTGGAGCTATATAGACACCAATGCCCAGCCTGGTCTCCTTAAACTCGGACTCTCGATCTCAAGAATGTCGTTCGATTGCATATGAGTGCTCAATCATGAAAGCCATGCCTATAGTTCCCAACTCCTTCGCACCCGTTGTTGGGGTGTCAGATTAATAGTGACGCCACCTGACACGACCTTGTGCCTCACGTCGAGCCTGAGGAGGGACGCCAGATCATACCCTTTAAGGGGGTTGCTGCGTGTAAAGCCCAAAGCAAAAATACCCAGCCAAAAAGACCGCATCGGTTACTCAACCTGCTTGGCGCTTTAGTTGAATCATGATAGCGCGCGTCTGATTCGGGCTACGCACGGATTGTCGGAACGTACGCAGAAACCAACTAGTTCCATCCAATTTAGAGGCAGCTTGCGAATGACGGAGGGCAAGAGAACGGGCCAAGGGGCTGGATGAAACGCTTAATATAGTACCAGACACTTATTACAGGGACTGTCTACAAGCCAATGACCTCATTGAAAGAAAGGATGGAAGCTCGTTCAGCTTAGCCAGAAACCTGGATGACCACCTTCCCAACATGCTTTTGGGACTCCAAATGGGCGTATGCTTGGAGTGCCTGGTCGAAGGGGAACACCTTGTCGATGACCGGGCGCGTGGTGTCAGGGTGTGCCTCGATGAGCCGAATCATCGAATGGAACCTGGAACGCGATCAGCCACTAATATCGAGCTATCTCCGTCCTTAGGCTCACTTTGAAACAGGCCCAATGTACACGCCTCGCACTAGGATAGACTTCATGATCACAGGAATGAGGAAATCCATCGACCCTTCCCCCTATTCCATCTGGTGTTGAGCACGATTATCTGATAAGCCATAATCAGCCACCCACTTTGGCAACAAACCCGATAACCTCAATAGACCCTCCAATTCTCACAGAACTAACAGACTTGGGAAGAGTACCAGCACCACCCACTTCGATCACACGATCGACTCCCCGTCCATTAGTCTGCCAAAGCGAACCTTGTCAGCGCGAACTTCGAGATTACCCGACTTATCACGACCACGGATGAGTCGAACAAAGTCATGGTCAACGGTGAAAGGACAGGGTGGTAAACTCACGATCCTTTTAACTTCTTCGTCCCAGTTGGGTGTCTTCTTATAGTTGATAAGATGCTTAGCACCCAGTTTCTCCGCAATCTTCAGCTTTTCGTCGGACGATGATGTGGCGATGACAGTAGCACCAGATGCGACCGCAAACTGCAACGCAAAGCTATTTGTTCCGCAGAGGAATCAAGAGAAGGTGGAGTGTGTTAGACATCAGCTTGGATCACTCCCGGAGATAGATTGGTGACGGAAGGTTCAAAAGATAGATGGACGGATGGATGGGTTGAACTAATAGTGACACTGAATAGAACCCACATTGATACACCTCCGGTTCCCAGAACGAGAACTGTCTCTCCACCTAAAACAGGGCTTGGGCCGAGAAGGGCGTTGTAAGCTGTCAGAGCAGCGCATCTACCAAGAAAAAGAGCCACATTTCTGTCAGTTCCCGTCTCGGTTTAAAAAGGAAGCCAAACGTACGGAAGCGTCGATGCCTCATTATACGAGAGGTGCGATGGGATGGATACCAAAGACTGATGGATGATATCGGTCAGTACGTTGCGCGGTGCACACATTCAGTTACGAAAGAGGGTCCCAATCAAACCACTGGAAGGAGTTTAGAAAAGCGCGACCAACTTACCCGAGCAGGAAAGTTTCTATACTGCGTCAACACACCGGGCGACTGCCCGCCCAAGGAGCTCTTGACAGTTTCCTCGGTAGGATCTCCGTAGAGATGTTCAGTGCAGAAATTGGAGCAAACTCGGTCTCCAATCTTCCACTTCTTCACATCCTCGCCTACGGAGATGACTTCTCCGGCCATGTCTGAGCATGGTATAATGTTTTCGTAAGTCCTATTTAGAAAAGAAAGTTAAGTAAAGGCGGATAAGAATAGAACCCCATTAAGTGTTTGGGGTTGACGCTGAGGAGGAAAGGGGTAAGCTCACCCGATGTCGTAAATCCCTTGGGCCACAGAGTAATCGCGGTACTGGCCAAACGAAACATCAAACGCTGAAAGGGACCGGGATATTCTGGGTCATGAATTCTCACCTGGAGGGATACGGCATGGATTTTGACGAGGACCTCGTCGGCCTTGGGTTTGGGAACCGGTGCCTCTCGCTTTTCGAGACTCTTGTAGGTGCCAACCTGTGAAGTCCAAGTCTGGTTAGGCCAAGTCGCCTACAATCGGTCAGATGCACATACCTTGGGCAGGAAGTAGTGCGCGGTCTTCTGAGGGATTGACATGGTAGGGATGTGTACCGAGTGGTCGTGGTGAATGTTGTGTCAATCCACTTCGGCACCCCATACTTCAACTTCCTGTGTCTTAGACCTAGCTGCGACATGGGCCTCGAGAGGGGAAGCATGAGCAGCATGTTTCACGGCTGGACGACATGCCATGAAACCTCTCAGCTCGACTCCTATCAAATCGGCTGATAGAGGTCTCAGAATAGACCACTACATAGCGCCAAGTGCAGAAGTTCAAGATTTAACGATGGTTCCGGGGTTCAGCTCCTGATGTCTAGATGAGGAATCAGCCAAGGGCCCTCGTGCGGTGAAAGGACTCTCACCGATTGCGATTAAAAGATGGCCAGACCTGGTGCACCCCTGATGACCAGAATCTCGTGAAGTGACCTTGTGTTGAGGGCATCAGGTCGCCTTTTCTCACCGGAGAACGATTAATCAGGCTGGAATCATTACGGCTTCGACCCAAGGAAGGAGAGGCAGAAGACAAGTCCCCGGGTCTTCCTCTTCCACCCCTGAAGGCCGTTATGGACATCCCAGCGCTCCACTCCAGAACACTTCCCGAGCATGTATTTGTGCTAGCTCCGCACTCTTCCAGAAGTTCGAGCCCACCGAGTACGCAATACGGCGTCTTTTACAGAAGCTTGAAGCGGTGCAACAGTTCTTGACAAACTGAACCAATGGCATTCTCATGCCACGCAAAAGGAAGAGAAGCGTTTAATGACCGGGTAAGTAGCTCAAATGGTCAGAGCCAGGTGTGATGTTAGGTAAGGTGAAGGTGTTTTCAGATAGCAGTGTGGGATGGTACAATGGCTTACAGATAGTATCATATGGCTCAATCAAGCGCTGAAAGAGGATTATGATTTCCGCCTGGGATGACCCTATTTGCGCTAAGATTGGAGACGTTGTCGGGCGTACTCCACGAAGTCGTCGATGGTGGAAGGCCATGCAGCTATCGCTTAGAGTCAGAAGATCCTTCGAGAAGGAATGGGGATAAACAAGAACATACCTTCCGGGTCGTAGTTCTTGAACTGAGAGTCGATTGTGCGAACGAAATCGAAGAGCTGGACGACGAGAATCAGACTGATGGGTTCTGAAGGTGCCGTGGAGATACTCACCATATTCCATGTATCCTTGCTAACGCCCTTGCCGCCTTTGGCTTGTAGGAATTCGAACCACCAATCGACGTACTCCCGTTTGAAGCCTTCACCCCCGGCACCATTCATACTTACGTCCTGATCCTCATCTACATGGGATAGGGCTCCCCCTTCCAGACCGTGCGGCAGAAGTAGAGCCCAAAACGCCTGTGCGGTATCGAGGCCTGTGCAAGGATGAGTACGGATACTTTAGATCGGGGCGATCGACTGGAAACGAACCTAAACTTCGCTGGCCCTCATTCCTCGCAAAGTCAAAGGTATGGCTGTAGACTTTCTTAAAGTATTTCGGATCTGACCCTAATTGATTGCGGAGTTTGGGCAGCAGTGCCTTTAGCCCTTGTATCGAATCCACCCTGAAGGAAGTATTAGGAATAATCTTATAAGTTTGAAGGCAAATGACGTACCCAAGGCTCTTCAGACCCTCAACCCATCCCTGCTTCGTCCATTCACCAACTCTGGGTGATTTGAGCTCGTACGCTACAGCCAACATGACCACGTCCTCCGGATCGATTTCAAGGTCTTCGCAGAACTTGATAGTGCCGTCGATACTGATCTCATTACCGTCAGGATCTGAAGTATGTCAGCCCAAGCGCCAAATCTCGATGAGATCGCATCCTCGTACCCTTGTACTTGTCGAACAGCGCGTTCAACTTGCTCGTCGACGGTGCAGCGCTCTGGGCATGGCCTCGAGACTTGGAGTTTGCAAATTGTTGTGGGTTGTTGAAATAGTTGTCCATAGCGACATCTAGTCGGTGGTAGGTCTCGAGGAACCGTCTTGCATCTCGCGTCCTGAGATAACGGACGATCAGTTTCTTATCGGCGGCGACGGCGGCGACGACCTACGTTGCTCCAGTGACGGCAACGAACTGCACGATATTCTCTTCCATCTTCTTATCGACCATGGCTGAAACTGGGGAACGGTGTAAGCCAAAAAGTTGCTGTTTAGGGATAAGACGCGCGACAGGAAATCCAATTTGCCACACGTGCAGGTCAGCAAACAGTCCCAATACAAAAGAATTTCGGATAATACCAAGGTCTTATTCAATCGATTTCGTGAAAAGGCAAGAAGAAGAACAGAGAAAACGGCAATTAGAACTGTTATTGCTAGATTCTTCAGTTTGAACGTTGGGAATATACGGCGCTCGACGTCGTCCTCGCCGTTGGGTCGAACGTCTGAGTGCGGTCCCCACAACCGGTAGCGGAGCCGGAGGGAAGGGTGATTTGTCATCCCCAAAGGTCAAGCGTTCGATTCCCGGGGGCTCCATCCATTATTCAGTCCAAAGTGTAGGCTTTTTGCACTAGAGAACGAGGCCTTGGGATAACTATCGGATATATCAACCGTCAGGACAGGTAGCTCTTCCACATTGTCCGGCCAGAGGAACGAGTTCCTCAATCCGACGGCTAAAGAGCGTGCGATTTCCACAGAGGGATAATCTCGCCCGGGTGGACTGCCCCAACGTCCGATGCTCGATAGAGTTGGTCTCACTCAGGTTGAACAAAGGTTAGCCGCCTCGAGGCAGTCTCTAGCGGATATCGAGCCACGGGGGGCAGTGTACGCAGGCCAGATTATCCCTGAGCGGAAATTGCACGCTATCTAGCTATCGGTTTGAAAGGATTATTCCCGTTGTGATAGCAAGCTTTTGCACACCGGCGCAGTCTAATTTGGGAAAGACTCCCATGCTTACTGATAGTGACAAGTAGATTTCCTGTTCTTTCGAGGGAGTAGATAATCTACAATATGTAAGTATAGCTTTATGTCGGAGATATGTCCTCTCCTGACAGGTGTCGTGTATGTCAGTCAGGTCAAGTAAAGCGCTAATACTTGCTACTGACTAAGTACTAGTAAGTAGTGTTACTCGGACTGCGAAGACTTGACTTCTGTACTCCGGTGTTTTGTGAGTCCATTTTAGTGACCGGCTCTCGTGAGATCTTATGGTAACGAGAGTGAGAGAGTTCCCAACGGCCTTGCTCCAGAGATTCGGATAAGCGCCCGTAAACGTACAAAGCTTGTCTGTATTTGCATCAGAAGCTTCCGGCAGCTGCCGGTAGCGAGCATGACCAAACGCGAATCGGTTCTGAAAACCTTGTGAAAGACGTCCAAACCTCAAGTACTAGTAAGTAAACGAAGATTCTTCAATGTTTAAGACATTGCTGATCAGTTAACGCAGATTAAATGTCCTATCACGTTGCTTTAGGATCTGAAGTTTCTCGCAACTCGATTCACTAACATAACGCCGCGCTCACATTTGGATGATGTCGCTTGAGTAGGCATCGTTTCCCCACACCGACCCACTGGTCAGAGACAGCATGTGCCTTCTGTCTGACATGTCGTGTCAAGGTATAGCGGAACAATAGCTTCTTCGCTACCTTTATCCATAACCACCGTTCTACATGGGAATCCCAAGGCATGACCTCCAAAGATATATACGTGCGTCCATTCCCTCCGTTTCATGATTCTCAGGTTATTCTTAGGATTCTTTCATCTCCGTCCTGCGCTTCTTGTTTAGTGGGCCTAAAACGGGAACGAGCGGCTAGCGTAGGGAAGTCTCTCCAAGGCGTACCCTCAGCAACGTCAGGCAGATTGCTGGAAACTTCTGTCCTACTAATGGTCATGCGCTATTTGGATTGCCTTCCAGAACACCTACTCGGGTCAAAAGAGTCGCGAAACCGAACCGCTCACCCACAGTACGCCGGCAGGATGGACTGCAAAGTTTCATTCAATACATTTGCCTCCGCTGGCGCCACTTGCTGTCAACATGTACGAGCTCTGATGCTATGTACTTTTATGTACTTACTTCGTTTCATGGAGATTGCGCTTAACGGGAGCGCTTCTCTTCAGGTGTGTCTTTTAATCTCAGACTGAATGGCGTCGGATATTTACTGACTTTCTTCTCAGCAACAATGGCGACTTCGGAAATTTGTTGGTATCAAATCCAGGACGGACGTCACCAGCCTCCATTTTCCCGTCCCACGAGTCTAACCACTTCAATCGGAGCAGGCCAACTTTATGACTTGCCCACGAAGCTCGCCTTCCACAAACCTGCTGCGAACGTTTGGACCCCTCATACAGTGTCCGGTTTCCCTATTCGCGACCCCTTACGCGAGCGGAAACTCGTCTGTGTGAAATTCCGGGCCCTCAAGGGACGCTAGAACTTAACCGGCCATCAGGAGCTCTGCTGACCTCTCAGACCGTCCCCTCGGCCATTTCTATCTGTGGACGAACCAGGTCGTTTGTCATTTCAGGCGAATCAACGAAGCACACAACACGACACTGATGTTCTAGGCTTCTAGCCTCAGCAGCGTGTTACCATCTCGCGGTCATTAGAAGCCTCAATCCGGAGGTTACCTCTCGTCAGCTCACCGCAAACTGGTACCTCGGACTCGGCGGAGGATGTCAATCATCAAGTACCCTCCTGCGGACTGTGCTTTTGGCAACGCTCTAACTCGATGCAAGACGGCGACCTTGCTGGCTTTGGATAGGCTTCTGGGAGCTAATCTCTGGCGTAAACATGAAGCGGCATGTATTAACACGTGAAGCCTTCGGAGGAGGCAGCAATTCTGGGGTGCGCATCCAAATTCTTTACGTGGGTCGTCAGATATCCACCCTCGACGCGACTTCACCACGCTCAATCCGAACCTGCCTCTGATACTCTCATGTACAGCCTTGCTCTCCCCGACTACGGGCGTTTTCGCCGCCCAAAATAGCGCTTGCCTCAAGGATCTAGACGCCTCGGGCTGTCTTCTGTGGATAGACTCAGATCCCAGAAGCAGTACGCGAGATCTCGCTTCTCGAAGGAGGTATGAATCACGCTCGTATACTTGACTTTAGAGGCGGTTCACGGGGACCTCACGTATTTCACCTTCTTCTCATCAACATTTACTTTCGATCGACAGCTCGTCGACGTTGAATAACTGTCGTCCCTGCACCTTGCTACAAATTTCGTTTGATGCCAGAGCTTAAATTGCTTCAACCTCCGCGCGATCCCCTCCTCATCGCTCCATGACGCCAAGAAAACCTTCATCCAACGGATAGCCTTTCCAATGGAGAGGCAAACGACAGCCATGCGTAACGGCGTTTGGCTGCAGGCTCGACTTAAACTTTGCATGCACTCCCATGCCGTTCGACCGCTTTGAAGACCGAGCAAGGGTCGCTGTAACCGACCGGTAAATGATGTTGTTTTGTGTACCGAGTACCCTTCATTAACAGCCTGACCATTCAGGTCGACGCGCGTCGGATCTCGAGAGTTGCATTTATAGTCTGGCCAACGCCACTCACGAGACACTCCTGCTATGAATCTAATTCGACTCGAATCATGCTGTTAGTCGATGCTCCGCGAATCCGTTGTCTGATGGACTGCATCCTGACTCCACGACGGAGCGATGGGCGCCAGGAAAGCGTCATGGGTGCTTACAGTTGGAAGGCTGAACACTCTTACATGGACTCCCATTTTCTCTTCGGAAAATTCCAAGGAATAGGATCCCGGGCCGTCCAGAAATGAACAATGCGCTCGGCTGGATGAACCCATCGTTTACGTCTCCTATGACATTCAAGTTGGTCAAGAGACCGCCACACGGGATGGATTCGAACATAAGAAAAGGCCGAGAACCGTGATCAGAAACTGCTTTCCTCAAAAGCCTGGTCCATGACGGTCGGATTCAATCGGATTCAATAGGCTCGGCTAACGAGGTATTTTCTATCTGGTGCAGTGCATTTTCCAGTTTTGCAAGGGCTTCCTACTTACGCTCACTGGATAGCAAAAATAGCATGATACTACATCTACTAGGTCCGTCAACGACTTCAACGATCGCGCCTTCCTGGATACTGCTGCATAGCACTCGATCGGTCCCCGCTGGGCCTCGAGGCCCCATAGATGTAATTCATTTCCACACCTGGTCTCAAGGAGGGCGAAGGGCGACTCGACAGCCACGCGGCACTGTTTGCGATAGTAAGGTGTTGTTCCTTCCTCGCTCTCCATTAAATGTGATGCCATCTTCCCATGTACCTTGTTCAATTCTACTCACAAAGCCCAGTCAGCGCGGGCCCTTCAGGCTTCAAGGCGGAGAAGAAACTGCCACGGGGAAGTCCTTAATCGATGCAATGCGGCAACGGGCGATTACGATCGTTGGCTAGATGAAAACCATCCTGCAGGATCATTACCGTATATGGGGAATATGTGGACGATATGGGCGTCCTAGCCTCAGTTTTGGTGGGGTAGACTAGTAATCCAACCCCTTTCGATATAGCCCTGATCCATTTTCTTACGGAACCCATAGCAGCCCTCTCCCCGTAATGTGGCGGCACGAGGCAGAGACGCCAACAGTGGGACTGAAGCCTCACGACTTCTGTGTTGCTCTGATTTGACTGTAACGAAGACTGAACCCAATCCGAAAGGTCGACTGACTCTGACTTTTTGCTGCGATCATCTGAAACGAATGTTAAAAAGAGTCAATGAATAAACCGACATTCGCTGGCTATTTCCGAACCCAAAGCCCCTCATTTCGAGAGTCCCATGTTATGACAAAGTTAGATATGCTTGTCACTCAATTAGGATTGGGCCCACAGCGCTTCTTTGTAAACCATTCCATTGATTTACCCTCTGAAATTTGTTCTAACTGCCAGCAGGCGTTACATGACAGACAATTTCATAACGACTTTAGCCTTACTTGGGCGAGCAGGAAATATCGTCTACCCGGATACCAGAAACGGGATAGTACGATCATCTCGTCGCACGTTACCCCGCCTACGAGCCCATCAGTTCAATCTCGGCGTCTCCGAGTCACCTCCTGCTTTCCTGGCCTCTACAACAGTCGATAAAAAATTTACTCTGGCACCCATTCCATGGATCGATTATCACAATCCTTAAAGTTCATCTAAGGGCCTAACCGTCGCCCCTATAGCTAGACGCTGAGAACCTTTGTCCGAGAACAGCTCTTTCTCGGCAAGTTCAATTGACGCTGGAGGAAATCGAATGGGCTACCAGATGCAACTGGATCGACTTGGATCGACCGCCTGCTTCTGAGCTAGATTCGGATCCCTGGGTTGGTCTTACTGAGATATGCAGTGCTTCTAATGGGGATCCCATCATTCCGTTGAGTGTACTTCCTATCATCCAGAACTACGTACCATTTTCCCGTTCCCCTCATTCGCTAATTCCGGGGTATGCGGATATTGCGCATCGCGTGAATGAGATCCTTTACACCGCTCATAGCAGAGAACCCAGAGAGAGGTCTTGGACTGGGCCCGGGGAAGCTACGACAGGCAAAGAGTGTTTGACACTCTGACGCAGCATTTCTCAGGAGAAATAATGGCCGTATGTTTTTGTGTAATGACTGACATCAGGTTCTCAATGCAGAGCTTCTAGATGTCCATCGGCAACCTACCTGTTAGCCTATCGAATGGTTTGTATTTCTCACATCACAACCTCCGCGCCTCTTAGGCAGTATCAGAACAGAAGTCGGAGTGAAACTGCTTCGCATAGACAGAGCCTTCGCGCGATCTACGTTAAGTTCTCTGTCGCGTCGCAATAACTCCACCGGGTCCGTTCAATGCGAGGATTTTCCCAAGGGTTAATGAAGGTTACCTAAAGGCAATTGACGGTTGCTCCGCCGTGCAGTTAGGTAGGCCGTGCCTTTCGTGTTATTTCTACTGTCATGCAGCAGCCTTCACCTCGTATTCCTAAGTCTTAAGAAAAGATGAAACGCCCTTGTCACAAGGACACGTCTCCCAGTACCGTAATCTTCTCTTGTCTCTGATGCAAAGAAGCCCCCACTGGTCTCCAAATCCGTCACTCACTTCTTCTTTGAAATACCTCCAAGGAACGCTTCGAAAAAGGGTGATAATGTGAAGGGAGCAAGTATAATTCCACTCAAAATGAACTGCCCTACTTCCCATTCCCCTTCCGCCCTTTCCAAGCACACCCATTGATCAGGCCCAAGGGCCGTTTACGATCAGGCTCCGTCGGAACAACCTGGCTTTGACGCCACAAAGCCTGAAGCATCCGCTCCATTTCCCCCGTTTATCCAAACTTCACCTTGTCACGGTCGCGACTTGCAGGGGACCTTGTTGCGTTAGATCGTCGACTCTTTCTTTTCTGACAATTGCTACCGTGACATGAGGATCTGAGGGGTGAAATTGTGGTCGGTAAGCGGTGGAATAGCTGGGTTTGGGCCGGTGAGGAAGGCTCCTCCCTCTCGTACTCGACGCCCTCGATCTTTCAGCCACTGACGTATTCCAAGCACTGGCGATGTTGGTCACCATTTGACCTGATAAGCCAGCTGCGCTGCCCACTGTCGCACACGGAAGACAGACAGCCCTCACGAAGCTGTAGAACTACTATGTATCCCGTTGGAAGGATCTGTATCCAACGTTGCCCTTTCAATACAAATTAGTGAGCAAAGTAGCCCAGGCAGAGTTTAAAGCCCATCGTTGACGTGACTGGAGTTGTAATTTAATTAACGCTGAGCTGAGAGCTCTTCCCCAGAGTCCACACAGGCAGACTCCTTGTGTCAGACGTCAACATAATATTTCCCTCCCTAACGTCATCAAGTAACATTTCATTAACAGCATGCGATCCTTGAAGGATATCGTGTTCAACGCATATATCCTCTATATCTCCACCAATTTGACCGCCACCAACATACTAATTTCGATGACAATCTACCATTTAACAGTTGTGACAGATGATGTAGTAGTCCTGGGAAAAGCCAAATGCAATTCAGGCGATATTGATGTCTTCCGAGTCATTACTGGCTGTCAGTGACAATGGCATTGAACTTGGAAGGGGACGGTGATAAAGGAGTCCATACCTTGGAGACAGGGAGGTGCTATATTTAGTCGATGATGATGATGTCGCGTCGTCGAGCCGCCCTGAGGCAGGGAGGAGGGAGGAGAACCTGGATTTTGTCAGAAGAGTGGAACATGATATGGAAGACGGGATAGGAGGCTTAAGCTTTATGTGACTCGACTGTTCGACACCCGATCGGTGTATATATTTTATCACTCGGAAAATTAAGAGAACCAGCTCGAGGAGAGGACCCCCGAAAACCAGCTGAGAGGTCAGTTCTGGGAAATGGATTTGTTAACCGGATTTTATCTCGCAAAACCCCCCAGATTTTAACCGGGTTTTGCAGTGACCTCCGTGCCAAGCCAAAAATCGATACCCGGATTTTGGAACAGACCTCAAAGTCACGGAAACTCGTCTGAATTCTCATATTTCGCTCGTATATCCATGTAACTACGTCCAAACACTATGGTATGATCAACCCTCGTCTTCATCTCCGTTGCTGTCCCCTTTCTTTGGCTGTTTCGCCACCAGTCCCTTCACGGCTTCAGCAGCGGTTGACACGAAGGGAATTGGACTCTTGCGAGTTAAGGACAAGGCGCTCGTATTGACGGTCCTGGGCGTCTTTAGACGGATAGCTGTTACCAGAATGTAGACCCAAGCCTACATATGGCTACAGGCTACAAAAAATGTACTCATTGATTCCAATTCATAGCCCAGTTTGGTGATTTACCGTCGCAAATCGTAGTCGATTGTGAGTCAAGATACTTCTACATGTTTTGAGTAGAAAATGGGCCCAAAATGGCAAGTAAATTCACGGTCGAGACCACCCAGGACCACCCAAGATCATCAGGTCGCGCGAGCCTGCCGTGCACCAATACCCGGATTTTGGAAGTGACCTCCTCAGAGAGTCGATGATACCCGGATTTAGGAACCGACCTCGACCTCGAAACCCCCCACAAAATACCCGGAAAATTTCTGACCTCCACCCCCAGACCCCCCCAATTTTAACCGGATCTGCACTGACCTCTCAGCTGGTTTTCGGGGGTCCTTCGAGGAGTTATGAACCTAAAAACATCCCCGCACTGGGTCACAAGAAACCATGTGCGAGTCGCAACAAATTGAATAATTCCTCGAGGCCACTTCTGTCAATGGGAACGCATGGCCGTCGAAGGAAGCTTCCAAATTGATCCTAAAGCCCGGGTAGAGATAGTCGCGAGCATGGAAACGCGAAGCACGCCGTGCTGAGAGACTTGGGAGCTGGAAGGGCAAGTGGAAGGGAGCTTGGGATCCCGAGACCGTCGACCAGATGCCTATCACCTTAGCGAAGCAGCCGAAGCTACGCCAATGTGGAAGCAGTCTTTGGAGAATTTGAATGGCGTCGTCAAGTGCTGGAGCAATTGTCGATCGCATGGCAGTGGTGTGTTTGCTGTGTCCTGTCACGTCTCGAGAGAACGATCACCGACTCCACCGACATATCCTACAGATGGATTGTTGAAAGTGAGAGGACGCCAGGGGTCTGTCGTTTTGGAGGGAGTTAGTCGTTTGGCAGTTCGTTTACCGTCTGTCAAGTGCTTTCCCGTAGATAGAAAGCGGACATCGCGACTGCAGGCATTTGATTACCACTAGGGAGAAGCCGCATATGTCAGAAGAGATGTCACATTGAAGGGTTCATCGTATTTCAGGAGGCTACCAGGATAGATTTGTACGACATGGCGAACACATCGGCACTTGTTTTTGTGCGTCGTGGAAGAAGGTGCACGACGGTACCACCGGGATCATCAAAAGATAATAGTCATTATGGCGCTTCGAGGACAGTTGTGGCTGCCCACTTCCAAACAGTCAGTCAAGAAAATGTTACAAGCTCGAGAACCGCAAAAGAATCATGATGGGTAGTCGAAATGGAGGAAACGCCATCCTGCAGCTGTTGTCAATCGTCAGAAAGGTCTATGTCTGAGGAATAGTAGGATCGTGGTTGGCATGTGGTTCCGTGAATCATCCAAGTGGAGGATATAAGTTACTGTACTTCTAGAAGATCAGTCAGTAACGAGAACTCGTCGGATCGACTGATGAAGCTTACCAAATTAGTGTAACAATGGTATCCAGAGGTCGAGGTGGGTGCCCAGAAAGATGCAAGAAAGCGCGTAAAATAGAAGAGAATGGTGAAGATGCAAAATGTGCTGTACAAGACAAGTACAAGATCGTAGATGGTACAAGATGGGGGCGTGCGTGAACAACAACAACGAAAGCAAAGGGAGGCTGGAGCGTATGTCGGTTTCTTTCTAAGTTCGAACAATCACTCTTTTTGTGTGTTTTCCTGCCCTCCGACGCTCAGCCTGGGGAGTAGGCCGTCGCCAGGCTTCCTCGTCTGGATCTTCTGGTGAATAATCACCTTTTGCATTGAAAGAAGCATCGCGGGGAGGCGTGCGGGAATCGGGGCCATTTTGGTGCGCATGGAGATTAGACGGTAGGCCAGGGTGAGAATGGGGGTGATTTGTTGACAAGGGGAAGAGAGGAACGACATTATTAGGCAGGGAATGTCTCTGCAAGGGACGATTGGCATGATGGGGATAGGGGACTGGTGCCGATGAGGAGGATATATGAGGTGATTGCGAAGCAGAAGCTGGCCCAGATGGCGCTGAAGGTGGCTGCCATTGTCGAGAATTGCCGCTACCGGGTGGGAGGTCCACCTCTACCCGGACACGGACGATTTCCTTGCCAGCTTGGGCAAAGAAGGCTCGCTCCTGTCGTACGAAATAGCCGCTCGTGGGACCCGCCCTCAGCTCAGGGAAATTATCGGGTGGGGCAGGTGGGAACATGGCCATGAGATCATGGCCTGTCGGTGGTGCTGGGTACTTTCGGGGCTGCCCGTCGTTTGAATTCGTGAGATCAACGTCTGATACAACGGTCGTCAACGACGATGCCCTCGACTAGGACGTAAAACTAGTGGCTCTGACCTCGTAAGAAGTTCGGTGATAGTGGACGTCTGGCTCTGCCGTTGACATTGGGGTTGCCTGGTGGCGACGACCTCACCGTTGAGGACGTCTTGTAAGAGGGGTTCTGGTCGTCGGGGGTGCTGGTGGAGGCTGTGGGAGACGGTGACGGCGACATGGCTGGGCGAAGGGGGAAAGTGGCCATTGATTGGGAGAAAGGGAAAGCGCGAGAACTGAGCTCATAAATCTAGGGTTTATATAAAGCGCTAGTAGAGATTGAAGAAGAAAGTAGCAAGTCAGGTTGTCCCGATTTGGCGGGCCTGATATCTCTAGGAAATCGGTTCAACTCCGGCAACTGAAAATCGAGCGAGCTGTTTCGGTTTCGGAACCTTTAGTCCCAATTTGGTCTCTCCAGATACATCGCAGTTCGACCGTCGTTTCCAGATTCACTTGCCTCATGCTCCAAGCATGGTCATGTCAACTCTGACAGAAACCGCTCTGCTGGGAATATCCGTCATCCAATTCCGTCTCGCCACTGTAATACCGTACCTGTCGGTCGGTTCTCTGCCAACTGCCAGAAATCGCTCGAAAGTGGGTTCTTGAGAACTCCATGGGGTGAAGGCATACTACGAGCAGTCTTCTCGGTCAGGGATCTCACTTAGAGGTTCTTAGAGGGTTCCTAATCTAGCCTGTGGCCAAGGGCAGGACGGCAGCTATCGCACAGCGTTCTGGGAATCGAGAAACCCTTCGTTCGTCCCCCCGCTTCGCCTTCCTATTTCAGCATGTCACAGAACCAATTCAATCAAGACGGGCAGCTGCCTACGGTTTCGCACCGGTTTCGTGACTCGTCGGCCTTAGAACACCCTATCTGCGAGAACGAGGGCGTTTCCCGTCCATTCATTGGGCAGGACCGGTCCCACATCCGCTTCGAGGTGGAAGCAGTCTAGCCTTGGATAGCTTTATTTCCCTGCGATGCATTCGTACTTCTGGCGGCTCATACTCAGGCTGCCCTTGAATTGATCGGCCACTGCCAAGGTCCGGTAAATAAGGAACCCCAGTAGGCAAGTACGTCTTTGTCTGGAAGCGAGTGACGACTTCATCACTTCGACGCTGACGGAGCGTTGCGAGAAGCTGATGAAGAAGTAATCTTTACCAAGGGGCTGAGACGATGGATATGATCTCTATATCATCCGAGTAGCACTATTCCTTTGAGGTGTGTAAAGCACCCATCCAGTAGCGCCTCTCGGAGCAAATGCCAATGCGCGGGTGCATATGTGTTCTGCGATTTCGTCGTAGTAAGGTACCCGCACGACTTCCGTTTCCATTTATGATGTACTGATGACATGATCAACCCGTTTTCTTCGATTGGAAGAGCAGAACCATAGGAACCAGAGTCATCAGAAGCTAGCTCTGAGGCTCACCGGAGCTGAGCAGGAGGATCTGTAGTTCGATGGCGCCCACTGCACCGCACTTTGAAACGCCTCGGGCAGAAGAACAGAACGGCATCGATGGCAAGTGCGAGAGGCCATGTGCGGCAATTTCTTAGCCGAAATTGCTCATTCTACTTATATTTGACGGGGTGAAATTTCTTCCCTTTCTTCATTCGGGCATTGAAGCTGTTCTGACTACCGGGGAGTAAACCTACATGCTGCAGGTTGACGTTGTGGGTTGACGTATCGTAACAATCGCTGACTCTCAATTCATACTTCCTTATAACTCGGGGAACTTTCCACAGGCGAGGATAGAGTCTTATTTAGATTTTTACCTTTCATAATCTCCGACTGATCGCCGTTTAGTGACTCTAGATTATATGAGGTTTCGGGCTACTCATTGACATTTCCACTTGATTTTGAAGGCGATCAAAGCGTATGACATCTCTACTATTAATCGGTTAGCTTAAGAGACGATAAGTGCATTCATTCACACCCGCCGTCCCAACCACGACACGCTGTAAAAGGGTGGGTAGGAGGTACTCCGAGCGCCGAGGGATTAAGCGCCCATTCTGGTGGCGGTGCATCTAGCTTGGCTTTGTTTGTCTCGCTTGGCATTGAACCAGCCGTCGCCAGTGGCGAGCAAAAATGGTTTCTTGATCGTCGTCCACCACATTCTCGTTTCAATTCTCGATTTCCAGTCATGTCGACCACCAAAACGCTGAGCAACGGCACTCTCAGCCTCAAGTTTATGCAACGTGCGCGCGAACGGAAGGAAGTTCAACTAGAAAAGGCTGAAGTAAAGGACGACGGAGCATGGGAGGTTCCCAAGGCAGTCCGGGAAGGATGGGGGTTGACGACAGGTTCTGCGGCTTCGTGAGCTTACGTTTGAGCTATCGATACTGTACAGTCAACTTATAATGGCAAGTAACAGGGAAACACAGGTTCATGAAGAGTCATATCTACCGTTCTTGTTTTCAGCGTCATCCATCGAAGACACAGACGTTCAGCCTCGTGGACGGAGAGTTTTTGGAAAGAAGGGCGAAGAAATTGTAAAACAAGTAAGCAACCCTCCCGATAAAACATACCTTTTGATACCAATCCCGTTCACAGAGTACAGAAGAAGAAGAATCTGGGGAGAGCAATGTGCCAGTGTCAGGCAAAGACGCGACTTCTGCGACAGGAAAAGGACGAAAGATCCATCCAAGACCCGTATCTATCTCAACTGCGGGCTCATCTGGGTTGAAAGGATTCGAACACCTCAAAAAGCCGAGACCTAAAGATACCTCTTCAGCTTCTACGACGGCGCCTACCAAATCTGCCCGGCAGATGATATTTGAAACTGCGAACGTTGGTACTGATCTTCGTGCTTCCCAACAACAAACGGCTAGATCTTCTGGAAATCCACCACTATCAACCTCATCTGAGGCACCGAAAGGGTTTATGAAACCCGCTGGTGTGGATGAGCCAACACGACCTTCTACGAAGAACTCGTCAGACAAGTCCGGTGAGAAGAAACCAAAACGGAAACGACCAGGGGCCCAATCCGAGGGTGACGATAGGCCCAAAAAACAGAAAAAGAGCAAGGTGTAACGTAGGGACTGCGCGGCCACTGGCCTCCTGGAATATGACATTGCGTGAGTCTTGCTTCAATCCTTGTGCGACACCGTTCCTTGCGATAACGTCACGTCTGGTCAGAGACGGCTGCTTCTACCGAATCCACCCTAAACTACTGCGGCCTTATCCACCTATCGGGGCCCCACTACCTCCCATCAACCCCAGTCTGATACTTGGATGCCTATGGGGCCAGTCACGCGGGTACCGGGGCCATGACTTTCTTTTCCTGGCGAACGAAAGGTTACCATCTCCGTCGACTCGACCTCGCACCCTTGGATCCTCTTTGCTCGCCCAGCATCTGGAGATCCCTTATCTCCGGGAATAACACACTCGGTCGGGACGCTTGAGTTCTTCAAATAAAGTTTGTTTGACGTTGGAATTACCTCTTATAGGCATCGCAATCAGATATCCTTGCGCTTTAGCGCGCTTGCAGTTCACTATCGACATGAGAAACAGGTTTTTGACTGCCTGGAAATTATTCCCTCACCCGCGGCACCGTCCCAATTCAGTGTGACTTCTATGTATGCCCTTTTCAGGTCTTTTACCACCTTACAGGTGACCGGCGTCCGAGTGATAAGGTACAGTGTACTTCCCTCCTTGAAATTCGGAGGACACGCCTGTCGATCTCTTCAAGTCCCACCCGTGTCGACTTGATCCTGGGTAAGCTGGTTCGTCGCCCCCAACCAAACCAGAAAAGACAAAACGTCAGGCAACGGGGATCCGCGCTCCCAGAGGTGGACAAGCCAGCAGGTCGAACTGTGTCACTGATGTTCACGCCATTTGGTGACATGTATGTCTTTCGCCCGATGGATGTGTGAGCCGCCCAGGGTTACTCAGCCGTGGGTTTGGACTCTACTCCCCTTTCCGTCTCGCTTTCAATTGCCTGTGCCAGGTGGTTTCTGCATCCTTCTCACCATCACAAACCTCTCTGATTGGTGCCCTCTCCCGATGCCCTTGACATCGCGATATCTGATAAGATCACTTCCATTGTGAGGTTACCACCTTTGCGAATGAATTGGATCGCTGGAAGGGTAATCAAGGCCTATAGTATACATACTGGACCGTGTCCACTGGCTATTCGGATTCAGACCGACGTCATCCATCATCCACCAATCTATCGTTGTTCTCCTTTTGTTAAAGGCTGCTCTGAGTAGTCCAAGCAAACGACCCAGCAAATGGATCGATTCCTGCGATGTCTGGCCATGGCCATGGTCTGCTAAGGGCATGTCCTTGATTTCGCTGGTCTTGGGCTCCCACCGCGTGTCGACGTGGAGTCAACATAGATGACCTGCTGTTGAGATGAACCATGACGAACTCCACCGTCCTTACTCATGGGTTGTTCTCATTAGGCGCCGGAGTTTGGAATATGACAGTTGGAAGGGCGGCGTGATCAAATGCGTCTGAGGGAATGATTCGTGAACGTGAAGGACAGGGTGGTGGTTACGTTTGATCCTACGGAGGCTCCACCACAGCCGGTATCGGTATCACCAGCGAGGTGTAACCTAGAGTAAACCTGCACCATGAGTTGCAAGTTTTGAATTTACCCATAGTGGAAGCAAGGACTCAGCCCGAGGGTTCGTGGCTACAACACATCAAACACCTACTCTCCACGGTCATAAGTCGCTTCAGAGGGAAGAGGCGCCGAAACAGAAAATTAAAAATACCAAGACTTGGACGCTATGGTGCAAATGGTGGGTAATGTACTTCGTGTACCTCTACCCGCCTTTTTCCTGGAAGCTGCGAGCGTCCGGAGACAAGGCGTCTCCGGGCACTCGCGACAAAGTCCCGCGTTCGTAACCCAGGAACAAGACTGAAATTGCGAGAAGAAACATGAGCGCTTGGATTGTTTCTGAAACAGGGTATGAGAATTCCTCTCAACGAATAGTGGAGATTGAAGTTCTCTTACCTCTGGAACGAGCGGCCTGCCAACTGTCATGAAGATGGAGGACATACTTTCGTCATCGTAGCTGGGATAACATGTCGAGAAAATCCGGACGAGAGACGGTAGATTGATGGAATGGGTGAGCGAAGCCTCCGCCACAGAACTTGAACTTAAACTCTAGATTCAGATTCTCGTCACTTCAGCCAGATTCTAGATGACCTCCTGGACGGCGGAACTGGAGGATAGATTTTGCGCCTTTGGGCTTTAATGAGTGTCTGGGAGTCCATGGACATCGCCGGCCGTACAGGCATGTGAGCGATAGGTGGGCGGATTGAAAGCGTCCGAGAGGGATGATACCTCGTAACGGGTCTTGGGAGGATTGAGGCTGAGAGCACAGGACTGGGTTCTGCAGTTGGGTAATCATAGCATGTAGACTGTGTCTAGTTCTAGTCTAGACCGCAAGGAATCGTATAAGGTCTTCATCAATACGGACAGAAGGGTTCCCTCTTCAATCACTTGCGTTCTCTCATAGGTCGTTTATTTAAGCCCTCAGGCGCAGCCCATCCACATTGGTCTCCTTCTCTGGAGTGACAGTTTCCTATCCCTTTCGCTCCACCATGACAGGAACTTATCAGAAGAAGAGTGTACTTGTATTGATAGTCGGAGATGTGGATTCCTCCGTAAGTCGTCGCATGTATGAACAGCCATGATACCTGACCCTAGAGGTGCCCTCGCATCGTCGACTGGAGGGGTGAAATCCCAGAACAGCGCAGACAGAATTTCGCCTTCGGAAATTGGCTACAAAGCAGGCAAATCGAATTTCTCGCGAAAGGTCAGGTCCGCTGAAATCGAACAGCCGTGGCGAACCGATCTACAGACCCTTCCTCCGAGAGGACCATGAGGAGAGGTCATCCGCGGCCCGCCCTAGAGCCATAACGAAACACTTCTTCGACACTGGCCCCAATGTCCGGACGACAGTTGGTTGCGACAGGAAAAATTATAGGAAGACCAAATCAAGAAAGGTTTATCATCCGCCGATGGAGAATCAGACGTGTCCTGGTGAGTGCTCGTATCTTTCCAGCCTGAGCGAAACACTTAATTTGTCCTGTTTGAACCAGGGTTGACACTTGAAGAGCCACAATGTGCGTAGGCTTATCTCTGTCAAATGGGCGCCTGGGGATATGTTTTTACGATGTCTCTGAGCTCTCATTGGCTCTGGAAAGTCAAAAGCCTGGCGTGAAGCCCCAACGGTCCCAACGGGATTGGCTGCTGGGGTTTCATTAGCTCCTTCCTTTCCCCCGCGTGCCCGGGAACGGGTCGATGACCCGATTTTCCCGTTCGCTCGAGTTCGAGCCACATTTTTCATGCCTTATCTACGTCACCGTGCTTCTATACGCAGCGAAAAGATTAACATCGTAGTTGCCATACCGCAAGATGCCGAAGATCGCCCTGAGCCGCTTGAATTGTGGTGTAGTTCAGAGCTCAGAGCCCCTGGACAGGGTCAAAGATTGCCAGGCGTATGTATACTGGTGGACTTACAGTATCTTTACATGACGCTCGAGCCTCGCAACGGCGGGGAGCCTGACTACAACTTGCACCATCGGAACTCGCCCGCAAGATGGAACAGAATCTACCAGGTCGTTATCCTAGAGTAAGAGGATTTAGTCTAACTCTGTTATGCCGCTCAGCTTGACTGGCAGCACAGGATAGGACATGCGCGCTGCACCGCTTGGCGCCGGCGATTGTGACAAGGCGGATCATTTGGCGCATCAGGGGCACTTCGAACTTCACGCGGTGCAACGTTCGTCAAGTACATACCTGCCAGCTAAGCTGCCTAGGCGTAGAAATAGAGACCATTGGTTGTGAAAGTGGCTCAGGCCCTACCTGAGGTCCATTGGCATTTTTCGAAGTTGGAACGTCGTTCACTGGAATCGGCGCGATGGGCCGGTCACACCATAGGGTCAGCCTCGTGGTGATGGTTGTAACCACGGCACCTTTTTATGTACGCTCATGCGTATGGGACGAGTCTGGACGAGTCAATTGCGCCACTTAGCTGCACCATCCTCTCGGTGATGGCCACGCTTGATGGGGAGGGTGGCTTCAGTGCTCGCGAGTGGGAACTGGCTAGTGGGTGTCTTCCCGTAAGGAATCTGGCAGGAATAAACGGCTCCAGAAATGTGGGAAGAAAAATATCGAGAAATTGGTAATAAATATATCGCCCCACAACCACAAATATTCTGTCCTCGATAAAGGAGAATATAAGGCCGCAGCCATCAAATCGGGGTTCCGGGCGCGGTGCCAAGGTTTCCCTCAGGCGTCCTTCATCGGCGCTCGTCAGCGCTTAAGCCCTCTTCACCTCTTTCAATTGGGAGCAAATACGATACAGATGCGCTCAGAGGAACTTTCATGATTGCCCTGCCAGGTGGTGTGATTGCCATAGAGTGGAAGGAAGAGTAGATGGAGTCGAAAATATACATCTCCTTAGCTTTCCTTTCCCAGATTGTAAAGATCGAGTGAGAGGTTGCTCCAGTATGTCCTTGTCATCGCAATACACTAGATTAACGTCGAAAAGGACTAACTTAGTGAAGCGCCGAGGTTGTGACCCCAAGCATTGCCCAAGACCGCCGCGCCGGGGCAATTTCCATATTCGGCCGTTATCCCGCGTCTGAAGGTGTTTATCGGGTGGTCCCTCATCTGGCGAGGCCTCTGACCCCCTCGCCAGACTGCGATATCTAGAACTGTCTGAAAAGGCCATTTTTCGTTGATGGTGGCGTTCGGCATCTTTTGGAAAACCATTTGAAGTCGTTTATTGCCCAATAACCCACTTCAGATCCTTACGGGAAGACATCCAGTGTTGTTGCGAGGTGGAGGTCCCTCAAGGTGGAGTTACCTTGAGGTCCCGTATTTGTGATGGTGGCGTTCTCAAGGTCCCTTGAGGTGGCCTTGATGTGTTTTCCCATCCCTGTAACGGAATCTCCGGGACGGTGATGTGGCAGCGAGCGCGAGCGCTTGTCGATGCAGAGTGCATTAAACTTGCTATACTTCATTTGCTATTCTCATTTTACTACCTTATGACTTCAAGGATATGCAAGAGTGCTGTGCTTCCCTATGGGGGACCGCACCGGACAATAATAAATAGGCCTTATTTCGAGATTACGCAGGCTTATTTCATCAACAACCGGGATGAATCCATATGTACCTTATTTCATGAATATACCTTGTTATTTGGATACGCACACTGACTTGGGGAACAGTACTTAGTCTTATTTAATGGATACAGTACTATTTGCCAACTAGTGCTATTTGCAACTTACATGGGAGATCTGAAGTAGGAAACTTAGGCTCTGTTATTCTCAGTGCTCTTTCGATAGGACACACTACATAACTACTGTTGACTCCTAGGATTGGCGGGATGCGCCTTGATCTGTTCACTGGCGGATAGGCGGCCCGCCACGTCGCGATCCCAGCCGCTCAGCGAATGGGCGCTAATCCATAGCTCCGGTTCACTACAACCTGAAAAATGTAATGGAAAAGCAAAGTGATCTGCTTTCCAAGAAGCCATAGAGTTACTTACCTAGGTGAAAACATATTGAACTTGGATAAAAGAAAATACACTTACCCTTGACACTGCTAGCCTGTTCCATGCTTGTCAATGTGGAAATCTCTCCATACGACTAACCTTGTAGTTTTCCAACACAAAGCCACCTGCGGCGTTTAGCAATGAATAGACATTTTATCACAGCCCTATTGTTAGACTCTACGGAACTGCGGAGTCTGCGGAGTCGAAGGGACCTTGGCCTCAACGTATTGCGTTGTGCCCACGCTGGTGGTATATGGTCCAACCCGAAAGGAGAGGGGAGGAGAGGGAGAGAGAGAGACGCGCCTTACGGCGGAAGACGAGGAGAGAGAGGAGAGAGCCTTGCGGAGACGGAATCAGGAGCACTGTGCGGATATGCGGAGTATGCGGAAAGCTCTAGCAAGCCTGAAGGCTCAAGACTGGACAGAGGAGAAGTTCTGTATAAGTCTGATTCGAGATTCCGGATGAGTATCTACTACAGAAATCTAGCTAGCTTATATATCTGTAGATACTCTGGATATACTCTGGGACAAGTCTGGGACAAGAGAAGAAACTGAGTCATAAGAAATGCGGAATACCGCGGAATGCGAAGAGGATGAGTAAGACGATTCCAAAGAACAATAGCAAAGCAAGGAAGGGAGTCATAAGGAAGTATAAGAGGTCACATGTAGAGTCTGGGCGCCTAGAGGGCGGTTACGAGGTTTCTCCGCACGGTCCGCACCGGCCCTCAGTTGCGGGCCGTGTCGTACCGGCGGCTCTCCGCATAAATGCGGATGCGGACTTGCGGATGCGGACATCCATAGAGCGGACACATGCGGGGAGTCCGCATGTGCAGGAGTGGGATGGATGTGGCGGAGATGTGGGAGATGCGGGATGCGGAGAGATGATGGCGAGTGCGGGGATGTGCGGAGTCATGCGGGATCATGTGAGATTGTGCAGGGAGTGCGGGTCAAGGCTGGTGGGTTGTGGGTGGATGTGGGTGGATGTTCGAGACCCTAACACCTATGGACGGAGATAGTCCCAGGGGAGAACGGAGTATCCAATTATTCCTGTGTGCAAGCACCCATTCCTTTTGCCTTTTGCACCTCGCCTCCTGACCCTGGTTCCATAAAAGCGGACATAACTGAAGGCGACGAATGCTTACCGGTCAACCTCTTTCATTATGAGCCGTGTGTTTTGCCATGTGGTGGCCTAGAACCGTCTAAGGGTGGCTTTGGGGGAGCCGATATTGATGAACGTCTCGTCTGAATCATCTGCTCACCCTCTCATTTTCGGGGTTGGTGTCGCGAAGAGCGAACACTAAACCAAACCAAAGACCAGTGATGCGGAGCAGATAAGAGCGGCGAGTAAGATAAGAGCGATGAGCGACGAATGCAGATGAAGGCTGAAGCGATGTATTGACGAAGAGGTCAAGCTGAGGAAATACAGAGCAGACTACCTAGCTTATATACCTATTCTACTGTCTACATAGCCGCAGTGAGTCAGAATGACGAACAAATGGTGAAACATCGAAGAACAATAAGAAAGGTCATGAGGCTGCGCGAAGGCTGCGCGAAGAACAAGAATGAAACAATAATGGAACAAGAAGGTGTCAGAGTGTGTCAGAAGGCCAGTGCGTAACAATAAGGACGATAGAGTAGGGCAAAGGGCAATGCGAGGCAGTGTTCCATGAGTGAAAGAGTCCATAGAGGGAATAAGGAGGCGAAGGAGTAAAGGAAAGTGGAACGATAAGATGCGAAACAGATTAGATAAGATAAGATGAAAAATAGGGGCTATACCGGCTGTTCACGACATTACCCCCCTTCTAAGCCTCATCGTCCTCGATGACCAATGGTAGGCGACGTCCAAGTTCCCAGTCGAGGTCGGTAGGCGGAGCGTCGGTGAAGTTCTCAAGTGGGCGCCAGGGGAGAGAGCTGAAGACGGTGGCGGCGATGCGGCGTGGTGCAGAGGGGTGTCGCTGGTGGAACTCCTTCACAATCTCGGGTGCGTGCTCCAGGTTCTCCTCCGGTTCCCAAGTGTCATCCGTCGACCCGTAACCCTTCCAACTGACCAAATACTCCAGTTTGCGATTCTTTCCTCAACCTCTCCAACGGCTGTCCAAGATGTCGTGAACTTCATATTCAAGCTCCCCCTCTAGTTCGACAGGCTCAGGCGGGGGTGGCAAAATGCCGTTGACATCATTGCCTTTCCAGGGGGAGAGCTTGTCGACGTGGAACACAGGATGAATACGGGAGAGGGACGGGGGAAGTTCGAGGCGGTAGTCGAGGTCGCCGATGCGTTCGGTAACTTTGTACGGACCAAGTTGAAGATCGCCGAGTTTGCGGGACGGAACCTTGATCTGGATGTCCTTCGCGTTAAGCCAAACGTAGTCGCCAACCTTGAACTGATGGGCCGTTCGCTTGCCGGACTCAGTACACCATCCTTCTGTTGGGCCTTCTCGAGACGTAAGGCAGCTTCCACATCCTTGCGTGCTTCTTGTAGCTGCTGGACACGCTCGTCAACAGGGGCGGATCTCGGTTCGCTTGCCGATGGGGATGTTTGAAGTGAGGAATGTAACCATAGAGGACTTCGAAGGGTGAGTGATCATGAGCAGAGTGGACGCGGGAGTTGATCACAAATTCGGCCATCGGTAGGTGCTTGTCCCAGTCATCCTGTCGGCGGGAGACGTAGAGGCGGAGGTACTTCTCGATTTCTTGGTTGGCCCGTTCGGTCTGTCCGTTGGCCTGAGGGTGATAGGCGGTCGTGAGGTTGGGCTCAATGCCGAGGCGCTTGAGCAGAGTGCGCATGACCTTAGAAGCGAATTGAGGTCCTCGATCGCTGATGAACCGGAGTGGTAGGCCGTGGAGACGAAACACTTCACGATAGTAGATGTCTGCGACGCCTTCGGTGGTGATGTCAGATGTGCAGGGAAGGGCGTGAAGGACCTTGCTGTAGTGATCGGTGAAGACGATGATTGCGTCGTATCCATGGGCTTCTGGCAACTGGGTAATGAGGTCAACTCCTACTGTCTCCCAAGGTCCTTCAGGAACGTCCAACGGCTGGGTGGAAGCTCGAGGATGCTGGGCGTGCTTCCTCCGA